AGAGTCGTAAGTGAGTACGCGGAATCTCCTTTGAACAGGTTAGAAACTATCTGTATATACCAAAGGTGGCGACTAGCGAGTGGCGTTCGGCCGATTATCTGACAGAAAGTCTACTTCACGTGTCAGAAAGCTTGAGCTCGTCCTGCATTTCTACAGGCTGGCAGTGAGACCAATGGCTTGGGACAAGATGCCACTACGTCCGTACACTGAAGACTTTCGCCGGACAAGCTGGCTATGGATGGCTCCTCGTGGTTGAGCTAGTAAACCTTTCCGGCTGCTGGCTAGCTGACCAATCTGAGAGGGGCGCCAAGGATTAGATACAGTTGACCTCGTGGAGAACACATTCGCTCATCTCTTGGGTAGGGCCGAAAGCTAAAATAAGCGTCAAGTGGGTTTGCCGGTCCATTGCAAACCTTGCTTGTTGGGCTCGAGTATAGTAGTTGCAGTACAGCGCCAACGCTATTGCCCTTCATATAGTGCTATACTACGCGAGATATCTGGTTTCCTAGAAAGCCTGCCGCCATGACCGTTTCTAGAGCATTAGCTTGACCTAACCACCAAGTCAACTTTTGGCGTTGAGTGTGTGCCATGCGCTGGGTGCATTCTCTCCACGGCAAGAGAAAATTACATAACCGAGCCTAAGGGGGCCTAATTACATCAGCAAACCGGTTCAATGAGCCAATATACTTGCGGTTCTTGAGATTGCGGCGCTCTGACCTTGGTACCGAGTTTTGGCCTGCTCTCGCCCGCGAAGGCTCGTAAGCAAGTCCTGCAGGTTGCCGAAGACTGGACCCTCACTCGACCAGCCAGATCCATTCCCAACTACCAGAGATGTTTGTGGCGTCTCGTAGAGCGAATGACGGTAGGGTAGCTGCATATCTGATGCATGTAAAGACGGAGCGCAAGAAGGTAGATCGATAGCCAAGTATGTCGAAGTCGTGGTCTGCGCCCGCGTCTGCCGGCTCTCTGCGCTCCTGATTCTGTCACAGATGCCGACCTGGGCAATCTTCAGTTGAGCCTTGGCCTCGAAGACTACAAGAGGAAGCACACTGCTTGCGGCTTCGTTCATAGCTCAGGCTGTCCGCTTGGCATGTCCTTGTAATACTAGATTCCTTAGCAGAAACCACCTGCCGTGTTGGTATCAGCAGGGCTGCCTGGCTATGGTGAAGGGGAGCAGATCAAGCCCAGTAGCTTCAGCAGCAGCTCCATCTCAGACTTGTTTGGCTGGCAAAGCGTGGAGGGACTAAAACAACTTGAAGCAATCTCCCTGCACCTCGGCGGCTTCTTGCCTTGATTGTCAGAAACTTCTGGACCGCACCTGCCCAATGCTTAGGGTCTAGCACAGCTTCACTTCACCTCGCTTCATCCCACTCAACTGACCAACACCTCGAAGTCCTCTCTGATGATTTGCTCCTCTGGCCCAAACCCACATTCTCTAGTGCCGCGCGGTAGTTCTTCGATTCTTCCGAGGCTGGTCTGTCACAGACTCCTCGGTACATAACAGGGCCCCTTCTGGCTACACATATACATCATCGCGCGCTCTCATTGGCATCACCGCAACCTCCCATGACCGAACTCTAAACCAAACTGATGACCCGGCCCTATTTCCATCACTCCACATTCTCCAACTGTCAAAGAGCCGCCGCTGTCTCAGAAGCTTCAGCTTGCGCAACCATTTCCTCCTGATAAATCCCATTAAGGAGCAGAGACTGTAAGTTTGACTCTGGGGAGTCTAATCCGAGTTCTATTCCCAGGATCCGCTCTATCTGACATGGCAAGCGGACGCCGCCGCCTTTCCCTGGCACAGCCCATCACATCAAGGCCACTAGGCCAAGACTACTGCCTCAGCGTGGTACAGCTTATATCACGCATCTGAGCCTCCAGCGCCATCTAGAAGATCTTCCGTGCGATCCAAACCACACAGCATATCTCCTGCAGCTGTGCTAGAGGGTATATAACTTCGCTTTGCTCCAAAACCCTGAGCTCTACTTGGACACTGGTACAGTCCAGACGAAGTTTTGATTGCTCACTGATCACCTACTGCAAAACATACACACGTACACACAATCTGCCGGAACTACATACACGTTTGTAGTCCTGTCTGCTTTGGCGGGCAAGCCACTCGAGTCGACGCATCTTTGGCGCTTCACTCCCACTCTTCAGGACGCCGTTGCCGTTTCCTTCCTTCCTTCCTTGAAAAATATTACTTCTCTCTGAAAAAACGCACCATAGCTATATTGAAATCGGGTAAGTGGCTTTGCTTGGTTTCTACCACATCCCATAACCTCAAAGTCGTTTGACTATTTGCTCCCAGCAATCCGGTGGTGTGGCGTTCTGAGCTGTTTGCATCATTCAATCAGCGCGCGAAACGCATCCTGCTAATGGTCAATATACAGAGACACCGGAAGGCTCTATTCCAGGTTAGTGTGCGCTCTCTCCCGAAATGGCGCAGCATCGGATCGAATGCTGCAGCTGTACTCCGTACGCCGCAAGAGACTGGAACGGACGCTGCAGTCGATCGAGACTTGAGGGCGATACGCCAACGAGAATGCGCCTATACGAGAAAGCTTGCGTGTTGACACGATCCGCGTTGAGCTGAAGCACCCGGCTCTGGGCTTGCACCGTCTGGTTCCTGAACCTTGGCGTGATCCGGAATCACCATCCTGTTTTCGTCTGTCAATTAAATGATTCCTATAAGAGATCCGCCTTCGGATGTTGAATGTGCTGACGAGGTTTTGATCTAGGGTTGGGTAAACAACCTGCAGGGTACTTTTCCCTTGTACGGATCTATAAATCCTTTGATTGGAGGCACGCAACTACTCGAAATCTGTACAAGGTGCAGTCAGCCCAGGTAAGATCCTGGAGCAACACCATCAGCGGGCTTTGAACTATGCGTTCCTCACCCGCGCCGCTTGCCCAAGGCTGGCTGGCTGATTTACATGATCCCTGCCTGTCTGTTGGTCCAATGGAATACCCTGTCGTGCTGACGGTTGGCAGAACGGAAAATTGACCGTTACCTTACTTACTAAAAATCCACCGTCAACGCATCCCGACAAGAGGGATTGCCAAATTATTCATATGAATCCAACACTCCCCAAGGTACTTGACACTTTTTGCTCTCTTGTATATGCACACCACATCCTGTCAGCTCGCCATCACGATCGCTGCGCGCCACAACGTCGATAGTAGCTTCACCGCGCGCACCTGCCGTGCCAGGTGCATTGAGCTGCTTTATTCTGCAAGCGCCGCCAATTGGACTCAATGGATCTCCGCGTTATGGAAAAGCAGGCTTAGATCGACTTACAGAGAGTTTCGGCGAGTCTGCTCGCAAAGCAAGAGGCACCAACAATAGGTCAGTACACCTGATGAAACAATCGCATGGCATCTGAACCTTTATCCTTTCCTACCCAGCCTCATTGATTGGCGTTTTCTACAAGAAAGAGAGGAATTACATCCACGGGAGAAAATCATGGCCTGGTCCAATTAGGTAACTTTCTGACCTCGTGGTTTTCCTCGATGCAATGAGTCAGGGGACGTGTCCATGAGGAAGGGCAGCTCCCTCCGCATGCTTGTGCCACTCGAGAAGGCTCTTCATTCACGAAGCTGTACCGCACGCTTGCTCGATAGTTTGATGCACATCGATTTGCCCCTTTCTGCCTTCTTGGGTGATATTGCCGTCACACATCTCCGATCCACTTTCACAGCAAGATCTTTCTGTTTTCAAAGCACCTCGACCGCGAATGCTCTTATATCCAGCCCCTTACTTACAGAACAATACCAAGTACTTTAACTATACAAATCAACCACTGACTTTTGCCATCTGCACTTAGGTCAGCAGAATACTACAGCTCGATCACTCGCCGCGCAATGCCAACAACCTGGTAATAGAGTCGCCCTACGAGGCCTTTTCATGACGAAACAATGATGCTTAGTTCTATTTGAATTTTTCCACTTCGCTGAAGACTCTCTAACTTAGCCGTGCTTCCAGCCGGATTTTGATCCATCGCCGCCCTCTTGCAACGGGTTGGACTACATCGATATATCAGGCACCTCCGATATAAGGTTAGTGAAACCCCCTTTACCCTGACCATCATAGTGATCGAGGCCCTCCCTTCATAATCGACTTCCCTATGTATCATCAGACAGGAGAACCATCACTCTTGGTTCTCTTTTGTTTCATTGAAGGCACCCGAACCTTTACGACGCGAGCCACGCAATTAGAACATTGGAAAGCTTCTCCGCTGCCACAGGCGCTCTCCGTCGACTAGGCCGGGAAGGCTGTGTGCAAGAGCCTGTGGCCTTCTGTAGCTACAAATGTGCTACCTCAAAGCCTGTGGCCTCTCCAGTTGCTCGCCGCGTGGTGGCGTGGTTCATGCCTTGATCCAATCCCCGCTGTTTCTGTGGCACGCCAGTGTTGGCAGTGTTACCGCCTGTGGTACTTCAGCACTTCCTCTCACCTGGCAAGTGATAGGAGTCCTGTTGTGTTAGCTTGCATATCATTTTAGTCCTGATCAGTTATTTGCTGGACCTGCTGCTGATTCATTCACTAGGTACAGCCAAGACTCTACTGCAACTCCATTAACATTAGAAACCCAGCCTCCGCCGCTTCCCATCTTTCCGGCGCCTCTTCACACAGGCACTGGTTATGCCCCCGATAACCCATTTTGTTCTCCAAATTTCTCTAGCTTGGACGTAAGGCAACGCCTGGGATCAAGGTGAGCCACAAACTGCACACATTTAACACCCGGCCACAAAGCAGTTGCTTTAATGCTTACCATTGAGTTTGCAGCACCTCCTCCGTGGGCATGGCACAGAGCCACCGCATCAATTCGTTGCCAAACCCATACAGCGCCAGAACTATCTACGCACCATCGCAACCTGTTTTTCCTCGAGCGGATCACCAACGATCACCACAGTTCCCTGGGGCCCCGCGGCGACATCCCTTGTCGCCCACACCAAGCCCAAACATTGGGTTTCCGAACTCTATCAATTCAATCAGGATGGATTCCAGCCAGTATGCCCCGAAAGGTCAGGCCAACATTCCACCACTGCAACCAGTTGTTACGCATGGCCAGTTGGTCTATGTTCAAGGTCATTCCCATACGCCTGTCAAGATTGACATTCATGGGACGATCGACAAGGGGTTCTTTCTCTCTGATGGTGAATGGACCTGCTATCGACGCAATTACTTCTCCTGCATCTGCTCATACAGCCTGACCCCAAACGTGTCGGGAATAGCAATGCAAAGTCTCAACGGGATAGCGATGCAGTATACGCCCAACGGCTCGGCCACTGCCTACGATGTCTACGAGTTCGCCATGACCATCTCAGCTGTGGTCGCCGAAAGTGATTCACACAATATTGAACTAGTCCAGCACACCCCCAAACGTGACAAGGGACCCATTTCCCGACCAGACAGAGTGAAGCTCAGTCCAAAACAGCCGACGCCGACACCCCACCCCCTGGGCGGAATGTATACGGATACGCATCGCCTTGGTGCTGGAAGCTCTGCGGGCAGCCTGTACGGAGAGTACTCTCAATCTCCAGGAGGTCACCCAACCGAGCACACTTTTGAGCGCATTCAGTTCAAACAAGCAACAGCGAACAACGGCAAAAGACGGGCGGCACAGCAGTATTATCATCTAGTAGTGGAACTATACGCCAACGTCGGCGAACTTGGGAGGGGCGCTCCACACGAGTGGATGAAGATAGCACAACGGAAATCAGCCAAAATGATCGTGCGAGGGCGCTCACCAGGTCACTATCAGTCAGAAAGGAGGGGAAGTACCAGCAGCGGACCGGGCGGGTCAAGTGGCACTCTCGGCAGCTATTCGGGATCACAAGTGCCCGACTACGGCGGCGGATCGTCGATGCTGGGCACCAGCTACGGTGGCAGTGGTTATGACCCACGGTCAACTCATCACTATGGAAATTCACGCCACCACGACCTACACATGGATCAGGTCATGTCACCTGAGGAGGCCAAGGTCATCGACAATACGAAGGAATACCAATACTACCCAACGCCTATCTACGAAGGCACCGACATTAGAGAGGGCATTCCCATGTTCTCTCCCCGTAACGACCAAGATTCAGTAATCCCCTCGCTTTCCCGAAGTGCTGACCCACCAGCATCCTCCAGGCTCAAACATGAGCATGAGCCGAGTCTCCCCAGTATATTTTATCATCCCGGGCCGGCTTATTATGGACAAGGCTGCAGTCGGTTTGAGGGCAAGTCAAGCTCGGCAGGGTACTACCCAATCCCCCAGTCGACTTGATCGCGCATCGCGGCGAGTCCTCGCACCCATCAGCAAGCGACCTCTTGCGATGGATACTCCAACTTGGATGCCGTGGCGGTGAACTAAACCGCAATAGAATTTCCTTTGTGATAGGGACTGGTAAGGAAAACGGCATTGCATGTTCGCTCGGATGCTAGGCTCAGAGAATACCAGGCGCATGTTATAGGGCAGACAGAACGATCATGGATCTGCATGGAGGGCTATCGCGGGACCTAATGGGAGTCTAAGGCAATTTGCTTGTTTGACGGTCAGATTCCATGCGCATGTGTAAAATTTGGCGTGAGAACTGTTTTGTGGTGACAGAGAGGATACCCAAGGTTATGATTCAGCAACTTCATCGAAGGCAGGAAGGAGTGAATGGTATGGCATCTGGGTGGCGTTGGAAGACTCGGGTCACAATGGGGCATTATTTCGGCTGCAATGGCTTTTGCTTACTACTTGAACCTCCTGGTGAGACAAGATTCCTTCCCCGTGGGCCTTTACTGGTGGTGGATCTTGATTTATCGGGATTATCAAGGAAGGTTCTGGGTGCCGCATCCTCACACGGGCTTGAGTCCTGAGGAGGCAAGACCCTGTGGCATCATATCCTCACGGACGTTGGCCACGTTGCCAGCAATGGTTTCTCTTGTGGCTCGGTATATGTTTCGTCATGTATTTTACCTCAGGCAGTTATTCATTCTCCGCCATTCCCATTCCCATGCCCATGCCTCACCTCACAAATGCCATGCAGTCCGAGCCTGGCCTCATCTGAAACGGCCCCCACGACGACCGAGCCCCTTCGACTTACCTCCAGGACCGCCAGCCATGACATCAGCCGCGATAGTGCTGGGACGTATTCTTACGGAAGCCCATTACGGTTCCTTCAGCGCCACCTGAACGTGGTCGGGGTTTCTAGCCCTTTGGGAGAGCCACTGCAGACAACCTAGTAGACCCACTGCGGGCACTAAAGTAGCGCGGCCAGGGTCATCGGAAACAGCGCACTAGCGGATGGGAGGGTCGCCTTATTGGCTTGAACCAGAGGTTCGCGAACCGTGCCCCGCCGTCTGCCGCCCACCACCACCACCACCACGACGGGCGACGGGCTTGACGGGGTTAACAGACCAGAGGTACGCTCTCTTCTGGAGGGCCTTCTGGAGGGGCCTCCTGGAGGATCGATCGAACCGTTTCCAGCCAAGCACTGCCAAAACCTGGCCCCCGGCATGCTCTCCTGGGTCCCCCTCTGGCAACCCTTGCGATCCATCTTTGAAGGCGATCGACCCAGAGCCTGGCACTAAACAGGTGAAATGGCACCTGACGAAACCCGGAAAAGAAGCGAGGCGACACGATTATGGTTCCATGCGCCATGTCCCATTGCTTTTCCTCGACGTGGCTCCGCCCTTCACGCGGCTCAATGGGCAAATGGCCCTGCGCATGATGGCTGGTGACGTGACACGGAATTTGTGAGAGCCTGCGTCTTTCTGCGCCTTTGCATACAGTCGGAGGGCCATTGGCCGTCCCAGCCATTCTTGATCGGCCAGGACGTAGCAAGCGGCGCCATATGCAGACCCTGCATTTGTAGGGGTCGAATTGCAGCTTACTGGGCGAGCCCCAGGACGTTTCCTAGGCACTGGAACAAAAACGCGGCCCTTCAACATAATGATAGCGCAGCAGTCGATCCAACCTGCCTCTGATGGCAGCCGGCATGCCGCAACTTTAGCCGTACGGTAGCCAGACACAACTCGTAGCAGCGCCATCCATCACATCCTCCATTGACGTTGTAAGGTTGTCTAATTAAGCTTTTGTGGGGATCAATGGATGAAGTTCCGGCCGTTCCTTGTTTCGACTATCCCGTGACTGTTCATCAGTTGCCATGGCCGTGGTATGTGCAACTCGCCGGTCAGGGAATATTTGGTAGAGAAGTTGATGTCCAATGCATGGAAGAAAGCAATGTTATTGACAGAGAGGCCATGCGGGCGGACTTGCCAATAATAGACTTGCTGAAAACGTCCAAAGCCTGCAGACGACTCCTTCGCAACGGCCGCAAATCTCGGGAAATCTGGTTTTGGGAATGCACCATGATCGTTGCCGAGAACTTGTTGGACAACATGGCCTGGCATGCGAAGGGCTTCCCTCTGGCCCCGGTTCTGGCCCCAGTTCTCGCGCTATGCCTAGCTGGACGTTTGGGCCAGAGCACACAAACCCCGCGAATTAGCGATGTGTGGCATCGTGTTATACATATTAGCTCTCTGCATGCAACAGGACTCGTTCATGATCCGCCATTGCCTCTGCAGCGGCGATGGCAATGCAACAGAACAAAACCTCGAGCCTCAAGGCTGCCCTTCGTCTGAAGAGGTTGATGAGCCCCGCCTTGACCGGTTTCCTGATTCATCCACATTATTCGGCACATGGAAGGACGGAAGGGCTGGTGGTGGGGTACCTGCTGCTGGCCGAAAACGTCGAGAAGGGATTCGTGTTTGGCCCCGGGCGCGAACAAGATGTCTTGAACTGGCCGGGACATACCCTACCCGTACCAGGACAGGCTCAGAAAGAAAGACGAGGGCTCATTCAGCAGATCTGTAAGGCCATGCTCCAGCTCACTGAGGCCAACGGATACGGTTGCAGATCCGGGCGGGGGCCCTTAATCGCTACATGACACCGATTCTGTCAAGTTGGTTGCCAAGTGAGAAAGTATCCTCTTCTGGCGGAGTTACCGTCCGCAGAATGGCCTTCTCGGCACATCTATTCCTGCCATACGCCTCCAGATGCAGTAAAAGCCTTTGCCGCACTGGCCGATACCACTGGTTACTGATTGTCAAGAAGTGAATTATTCCATCAATTGGCCGCAGACCACCTTGGGTCCCATAGAGTGATTGGTAAAGCGACGACTGAATATTTTCCATTTTTCAATTTTTTATCTTTATCTATAACTCAAGATTAAGTTTGACTTAATGTCGAGTTTCGTTACACAACCTGCCCGTCTTCAGCCCTATGAGATCTACCCATGGGCAGACGTCACATCACGGCGGTTGCGGGTACCGGGGAAGAGCCGTCAAGCACGCATCTGACTCAGCCTGCAATGACGGTCAGCAACAGCAACGTCAAGACATTATGGGGTTACAATATTGAAGGCTCAGCCGTTTTGCTTGAATGCGACGTCGATCAGCAATCCTTCTTCGGTCGCGAAGGGCAAGTGGCCCCACTCGCATCCATCCTCGCCGTGTCTTTCTGTTTGCTGTCGCGTCTATCTGTGCCACTGCCAGTGCGTCCAGGTGCCACAGATCACCTTGACAAGGTTATAAGCGTCTACTTAATATCATCTTACTCGGCACCTAGCTGGTTGGCTCTGATTCCCCACGCAGCAATTCGGTGAGAAGGCGACGAGCCACGTTGCAAACGGGCCAGCCGCTAAACCTCGCAATCTACCTCCTTCTGTCAAACTCTAGCCTACTCAAAAAGATGGGGAGAACTGTTTGGATATGACATGACAGCTACCAGTTGCATAAATCCTTGACCGGTGTATAACCCGAATGCAGGGGTCTTCAGGACCGGTGTCACCTAAGCCGCAGACGCTTGTATGACTTGAGTCCCGGGCTCCGGATGGCTCAAGCGCGGAGAAACTCACTTCTCATATTTCCTACTTGCAGTAGCTGTTCAAAACGGTTGACAAGACCAATCGGAGGTTTCTCTGCATCTTTACGGACATGTGTGTGGCCCTAGCTAACTGTCCACACCGTTAGCCTGGCGTATGCCAAAGCAAGGAGCACTTGGGCAACAATCAAAGAGGATACAGGAGCCCCGAGACCCCCCTCATACTCTCCTAATCCCTGAGGCTCCATAATCTCCTATCAAATACCAAACAAACATTAGCAACAATCAACGTAACGGGTGCAAAAACAAGTACGCAAGGGATAGAGATCATGGAATAACGAGCGGAAGGATCGAGCCATGTCATTTGAGGGATTACACTTGCTCGCATTTGTAGATCCTCGCCCTTGCATGCAATGAATGCCAATGCTGGTGGCATCGTAACACACGGTACCATGGCTCAACGGCTCATGCACCTCGATCGTACCTACATCTGACCTATATGTTCGTTAGCTGCTACCCATTTTTCACTCTTTGTTCCCGTGACGTAACGCTGTTCTGGCATTCAGGCCAGGCGACACATTTCTCTCGTTGGAATGACTAGTTTGACTAGTGCGGCAGAACATACATATGTAGCACATTACTTTTTCTCTCTTTTCTTCTATTCTTTTTAATCTGGGTATTTTTCTTCTTGCCTTGATACATGACTCTCCAACACGTGGAACACTGACCGACCAAGCTGACACGGCCTATATATATCATCTAAACTGGGTCGAAGTGCATAAAGATCCACTGTCAGCAAAGAAAACCAGTGAAGGGGCAAAACACCGCTATCTGACTCGCGTTGCCACATCATGTAGATTAAGGGGCAGGTTTGTCCTTGATGACAGGATGTCTGGGCGCAGTGACATAACGTCGCGCATTGTGCTCTGTGCCAAGCGCCCAGGTCGTGATTGGGAATCACCGCATCCTCAACCACCGTTTCTTGACGTATGTAGTGTGACAATATTCGGATGCGATAAATGACTAGTGCCAACGGACAAGTCTAGAGAATTAGTAGGACGTAAAGGCGCTAAGTGGACGTACCTCATACCATTGAACTTGGAGTTACTGAGTAGACACGTCAATAGACACTCATATACATATGCCAGTAGTCACTTATTGACTAACGCTGCATATATATATATATATTACCAAGCCCACCATGCGAGAAACCGGGATGGTATGGTGGAATATCAAGGGCTCGAACGGGTTCTTCAATTGCAATGTGAACTTCGCAATCCAACCCTAGTGAGAGTACGGTGCTTCGACGACCGACTTTCCTTGCATGCGTCATTTTTTGCACCGATAATGCCTTGGACATGGCCTCGTCATCAACGAGAGGCTTTCTAGAGCACGCCTTGATTCAATGCGAAAGTTCCGCACCTAAAAGGCAACGTTGTCTCTACAGCCGTCGTCCACCAGGCTGTCGGTTACACCATCGTAACTCCGTTGCGTGTTTCCAATATCTATAGCTCTACACTAATCAAGGGTTTGGCTAGTTGCATGTGCTGATAGCACTTAGAAGCGCACTTAGAAGAGCGAGGAGACCCGAAGCATCGTATTATACCTTGCCCCCCAGATGCAGCATCCTTGGTACAATCTGCTGGAACTATACCGCTGATAGAGTCCAAGCGATCTTTGCAGAGTGCGCTCATGCACTTAGTTATCCCAAGGAAGGATGGGACCACGTATTGGCTTCAAATTGATACTGAAACCGGTGAGGAAATATCCTGACGTAGACACATGGTATTCATTGAGACAAGAGAGATTACCATCGCATTCGATACTAAGCTTGATGTCCGACACAGCAGTAGTATCAACACGCACAACACGAAACCTAGTAGCAATCATGTCACAATACCTACTCAGGCATCCCTAGAGGTAATCTTGAAAATATTTCACGTTGATGGAAGACGTGAGCGCATTCTTTGAACTTATAGTATACTTTGCCATCCAGGATGCCGGTGAAAGACAGGAAACCCAACTGGAAAGAGGCAGCAACTGTAAATCACAGTTCTCTCATAATTCGGTACGAGAACTTCTTGGTCTCTGTGGTTTTTGTTTTGGGCGCAAAATCTCATTGATTCAACTCAGTTGACGGCAACTGATATTAGCGAGGACTTCACATCTATGAGCAATACTCTTGCCATGCTGCCTACAGCTTCGAGAACCAGTCCCGCCTTGCTGTCTTAAGTTCAAACCAAGCATGTCCTTCCAGCATCTTTCCAGCATCTTTCTAGCAGCAAACGTGATACTGGCAATGTCTACGGAATCCCTTATTAGACCGATGGGCCACGGATCTAAGTCAAGTCGAGCTTATATTAGAGAGGTTGTTAAGTCCAAAGTAATGGTCTGTGCAGTGCATCGTCCGCCACAAGCCACATTCTGCATTGGAAATGTCTGGAAACCATTCAGGTCCTGCGGTACACCTTCCATTCAGCAGGGCTAAAAGAGTGCCTCGCTTACGATACGTTCTGACCATACTGTTTAGGACGTTTCCGCCAATGGCTTCTACAAGACATTGATACACTGTGAGTTTTCCATGGAGACTATGATTATTTGGGAATTGAAGCGCTGTTGACATGTGCAAGTTAAGATATTGTAATGAGTTCATGAGCTCAGGGCTTCAAAGACCCAGGTACCAATTCTGCTCAAGCAGACACGTGAGAGAGAACAGTACAAGCTAAACCAGTGCCAGCGAACACCAATGGAGGAAGAGTAAGTAAAAGGACGAGAAGAAGAAAATAAAACAGAACGGTGTAGAAGAGAAGAAGGTGAAACTGCAGCAACAATGCATATGCCCGATACGACCCATCAAAAATAACTATGAAGAAGTCTCGCTTATGATACGTTAGAACATAGGAATAATCAGCTCGCTACATGGACTAGCACTCCGTAGGTCTCATGTTGCGGCATTGTCAAGATAGTTCTTTCGTCAGTTTCAGCATCGCAATGTTTGGCCTGCAATCCGTGACGTGGAGCCCAACGATAGCATTGCCTTCGGGCGTGACATGTAGGTACCGCTTGTGATACAGAGTCTAGAGGCTAGGAGGGCAACTAGCCAGTTTTTTTTTGGCTGAGATTCAGGGGGGTAAAGCCCGACGCAGGGCACATGAGAATATACCTATGGAATGTCAATGGCGAGTTCCACAGGAGCATCGGTGTTGAGGAACGCCACAGGATTTCAGTAAATTGAAACGTACTGTTCTTATGGTGCAGACAACTTGCTGGTGCGAGTTGATTGGTAATGTTTGATTTCGTTCTAGACAAACCAGTGTTCGCGGCGGAAGGATTCGTTTCAAGATTGAATGCCTAATGGACGTCTAATAGTACAACTTTCAGCAAGCATCAGAAAAAGTAGACAGTATATCGTAGGTTCACCTTACTATACGCCTCTTCCTTCAGCCCAGCCGTGGTGGTAGTGATTAGTCTAGGAACGATCGAGTCTTGTTTATATATAGTGAGGCCGCGGCCGTATTTCTCCTAATTTTCCACATAACTCGCTTTTGTCATGCATTCAACATAACCTTCTCCGTGCTCGAGCACGTCCGTTATCACACTCGTTGGAAGCTTCCCGAAATCACTTACATTGACCAACTTGCTGTCCACAATGTTCATTAAAACACGTTTCAATGTCTAAATCAAATACGCTTTGATATCTATAAGCGCTGTATAATGTAGAGTTAAGGGAAGAGCTGTGGCAAGTAGCGGTACCTCCTGTCTGCATGTTGGTTTCACGGGGTCCCATTTAGAGCACGTAGCCTTGATACTTTCCGTCGCTTCTGTGGCACAGAAACGGTCGACTGAACGTAAAGTACCTCCCAGTGACATGTATTCAGACCCCTCTCGACGCCGGATCCTACGAACCCGTAAGCAAGTGGGTGATACGAGAAGTGCAGCGCTGCCTTCACGCACTGCGCCCGTGCGGCGCGGCTCGAGCCGTCATGAGGGGGCTGGGATTCGATGGGATCACTGATGCGTGCGGAGTCCACGTTTGATCATTCATACAAAGTCGAAAGTCTAGAATTAGGGCCCGAGGGTGGTGTACATGTGGTAATGGTTACACAACGCGTGAATACACAAGTGGCTGTGTCGTTGAGGAATCAGCCTGGCACCCAGACGAGGAGCTATGCCATGGATTGCAGATGCGCGCGCCGCAGTGCTGCCTCTATGACCGATCAATACCGCCAGATAGCATCAGCCATCTTGACCACCTGTCCCATCTCCACGACGTCATGAACTCTCACGATGTCTGCGCCTCCCTGCACAGCCGCTGCTACAGTTGTAGCCGTGCCAAAGATCCGGTCCATTGGCTTTGGGACACCAGTCACTTTGCCAATGAAACTTTTGCGGCTTGAGCCCAGTAGCCACGGGAAGCCTTGCAAACCCGGCCAGTTCCGCAGCTCATCGAAATGCCTTAGTATATGGAGGTTCTGCTCCCCAACCTTGGCGAATCCTAGGCCGGGGTCTAGGATGATGCGCCATTTACGAATACCTGCTGCCTCTGCTTCCGCAACCCGTTCAAGAAGCTCCTTGGCTATGGTAGGAATCAGGCCTTCTGGATAGTCGTTCAGCTTGCTCATAGTCCCCGGGTTCCCGCGCATATGCATCAGACAAACTGTTTTGCCAAGTCGTGCCATTGTTGAAAGCATGTTGGGGTCCAATTGTCCAGCAGAGATGTCATTGATGATATCTGCTCCGGCTTGAGCGGCGGCTTCGGCTACGGGAGCACGATATGTATCAACGCTGATGGCGACATCTCGTGCCTCTGGTAGACTGCGGATAAGCTCTATCGCTGGAAGAACCCTGCTGATTTCCTCGTCTGCACTGATGTCAGGGGTTCCCGGGGAGCTTGACTGCCCGCCAATATCAATCATGGTCGCCCCTCCGCGGATGAAAGTGAGGACCGAATCCCTCAAAGAATCAGGAGTATGCACGCCTCCATCTGAGAACGAGTCGGGGGTAATGTTTAGGATAGCCATGACTTGGGTCTTCCGGTCAGCTTTCAGGGCATTCAATGACTGAACCGTGGAAGAGATGGGAGTCAACGTGGACAGTGGGTCGGATGAAGGAGGGAGGTCATTGAGGAAATCTTGGACGAGCTTCCAAGGTTTTGACGCATAGATTGCCTTGGTAGGGATCAGTTCCGCAAGAGGCCGCAGGACAAATTCCCGTTCGGGGATGCCAATGTGCGGTACAGTGAGCCGTTCGTGATCGACCTTCTCGTCGCCATATAGCAAGACATCTAGGTCTATGTTTCTAGGACCCTTGTCGATGAGCTTCTTTCGCCCCATGGACTTTTCGATATCTTGCAGTTGGTCCAGCAAGGGCAGTGCTTCAAGCTCAGTTTCAACCTGATCGGCTCTTAGCATGCAGAACCAAGCACGACCTGAGATAAAATAGGGCAACGCACCTCACAGGCCCCATTCACGAATCTATCTTGATCTAGAACGTACATGGGCTCGGTTTCCCAGAGGCTACTCGTCCGCTTGACCTTGATTCCCCGTGCCTCCATTTCCTGGCAGGCCTGCTCGATCATCGCGACTCGGTCACCCATATTACTTCCGAGAGCAACGTAAGCAATCCGCTTTGAGCTACGAGCCGCAGCGCAGCCGCAAGCTGTCCTGTGAGCTTGGTTCATTTTCCTGGGTTGCGCAATCTGGGCACGAGGAACGGAGAGGTTAAGGGATGAGCGGGTGAAAAGTGAGGTTTGAGCTTGGCGGCAAAGAAAGCTCCATGCCCGAGGTGACGCAGGGAGGCTCATTGAGACGAATCAGTCGCCTATTCGCACCCTCTGTCAGCAACTCAGGTCCAGCACTCCTGGCGTAGTCATCTGAGGCTTATCCGAAAGTGAAGGAAAATCTAATCGACAGGGTCCAGCCGGCGCCAGCCGAATCGAGGCCAAGCGCACTTAGTTGGCAGGCAACGCTAAAAAACAGTTAGGGGGGTCTTAGCCTCTGTGGGGTCGGCAAGGCCCAAGCTCCCAAGCCCCCAGGCCCCGAGGGGCTCCGCTGCCCAGCTGTGCGGCCAGGACTAACCGAACATCGACGTGCTCCGTCCTCCAAGTGTAAGTCACTGGCAGAAGTGGCTACCACTGATGCCTGCCCGAGAAACTGGGTCTTCACTTTGTGTCGCGCTGCGTGGCGGGTAGAGTCTATATGTTCTCGACGAGGAGGCTCTTACCGTGGCCATTCCCCAGGTCCAGCGTCGGTTCAAAATTGGCCCATCCAGTCCTGTCTGGGCGAGGCAAGTCGCAGAGGTAGGTGCCGCTGCGGAAAAGAGCCTCGGCAACTTCGCGGTGGGATCGTCTCACTATTCCTATCGCAGTTTAGCCCACAGCGAAAGAGTGGACCACATGCGCTGCATGTCCCCTCGGCGCGGGCATCGAACGAGGCGAACTTCCCCAGATTCACGTCCTTGCCGGGAGTCCCGCCATTCAAGTCGCCAAACTAGATATACCGTGTTCCCCGTCGGCATTTGCCAGATACCCTTCTACCTGTCTTCTCCGTCTCTGTCTCACCTCTGGAAGCGATTATCTGTCTCTCTGTACTCTCCGTACCACGTAACTCTCTGCAATCGTCCTGTGATATAGCCTGTTTGCCGTCTGCCACTGCTTCGCTACTGTTTTCAGCGTCATAGTCTACCCTGCTCTATTCAAGATGGCATCTCCGCGTTGGTTTCTCCCAAACGTACCTCGTACCACGCGCGGCCTTGCTGACTTCGGGCCTTTACAGAGAAGATTCGAACGGAACTCACCGATCTCTTCGGTATCAAACACCCCATCCTGCTGGCCGGCATGAACGTTGCCGCAGGCCCAAAGCTGGCAGCCGCGGTAACAAATGCTGGCGGCCTCGGCGTCATCGGTGGAATGAGCTACTCGCCAGATATGTTGAAGGACCAGATTGAAGAAATGAAGAAGGATCTGAAGGACAAGAACGCTCCCTTTGGTATCGATCTGTTGCTTCCTCAGGTTGGAGGCAATGCTCGAAAGACGAAGTAGGTCTATCGCCGAGACCGGTGTCCACGAGCCATAACACAGTTGTTCGTAGGTGCTAACATCGTATTCCTCGCCACCTAGCTATGATTATACAAAGGGAAAGCTCAATGCCTTGGTCGACGTCATCATTGAGTCTGGGGCCAAGCTATTCGTTTCGGCTGTCGGCGTCCCGCCAAAGGCAGTTGTCGACAAGCTGCACAAGCACGGTATCTTCTATATGAATATGGTTGGCCACCCAAAGCACGTCCAGAAGTGTCTCGACATTGGTTGCGACATCATTTGTGCACAGGGTGGCGAGGGTGGTGGTCACACCGGAGATGTCCCCACCACCGTTTTGATCCCGGCTTGTGTGGAGGCTTGCAAGAACTCCAAGAGTCCGTTGACTGGCAGGCCGGTCCAAGTTGTTGCCGCTGGCGGCATCCACAACGGCAACATGCTTGCTGCTTCCCTCATGATGGGTGCCAGCGCCGTGTGGGTGGGTACCAGATTTATCCTGGCTGATGAGGCTGGTGCACCTGAGGCGCACAAGGAGTCCGTCAGGACTGCGAGCTTCAATGATACAATCCGCACCCTGATCTTCACTGGACGGCCGCTGCGAGTGCGAACCAACCCATACATTGAGAACTGGGAGAACGAGCGCCGGGATGAGATTAAGGAGCTTACTTCCAAGGGAATACTGCCTTACGAGTCTGATCTCGAGAAGGTCATGAATGGCAACGGTGACAAGATTCCAGGAACGGAGTCGGCCAAGGTCAGTGAAGATGACGATGTCGACGATATGTTGGAGCAGTTCCGTCCTTTCCTCATGGGCAAGTGCGCTGCGCTCGTCAACGAACAGAAGCCCGCTCAGGCGATTGTTGACGAGTTCATTAACGATGCATCTGCATCATTGAAGAAGGGTTCGCAGATGGTCGCGAAGCTATGAGATGTAGTATGAGATATTAGTGTACATACCCTGCCTATTCAGAGAATCGATATCTTCCAGCATAATGAGTGTGCGCAGTACCTGGCATTTTTTTGATCTATAAACGGGCCTTCCTTCGACGCTCTCCAACAGACTAAGAGGCTAGGCGACCTAGTGGATCAGGAGCTTTTGTTCCTGGCGATCCCGCACACGATTGGCCCACATTGTGTCTTAAACATTATACCTTACGTCATGGACCACTTACGTTTGCATGGTGGGCAGGTGCAACGTCAGAGTTATCGAACGTAAGGCTGACACCACGAAAAAAGCCGTGACTGCGCATAAAACAACCAATATTCAGCAAATTGAACATTTTATCATTTCGCTACCCCTCACGTCCAGAATACCCATATCCCTACTATTCCCTTCTGCGACAGCAACTTCCATCATGGCCGAGACACATCACTTCGATGCATCAAAGCTTTTCAGCGTCAAGGGCTTCGTGGCCGTAATCACAGGGGGCGGAACTGGGATTGGTCTGATGGCCGCACAAGCTTTGGCAGCAAACGGAGCTAAGGTGTACATCACCGGTCGCCGGATGGAGGCTCTAGAGAATGCAGCAAAGACTCACGATCCTGTCCACTCTCTTGGCGGAGAGATAATCCCCATTGGTCCGTGTGATGTCACCAAGAAGGAGGATCTGCAGAGGTTGGTGACCGACCTGGGCAAGAAGGAGAAGTACATCAACCTTCTCATGTGTAACGCTGGCGTGGCTGGCCCCAAGGCGGAACCAAAGCACGAGAACGCGGAAGACCTGAAGGCAGCGCTATGGGATAACGAAAGCGTCGAGGAGTGGCAGAACACCTTCAATGTCGACGTCACGTCAGTCTACTTTACCACCGTTGCTTTTCTGTCCCTTCTCCAAGCCGGAGTGAAACCAAACGGGCCCCTCGAGGCCTTCGCACCCTCCGTTATCACCACGTCCTCCATGTCGGGCATCATGCGACACGCGCAGGGACACTTCAGCTACAACACTGCGAAAGGTGCCACCGTCCATCTCACCAAGCTCATGTCGTCAGAGTTCCAGAAGGCCAACATCAGGGTCAACTCGATCGCGCCGGGCTATTTTCCCTCAGAGATGACGGCGAAGTCAAGTGATGATCGACAGAAGAGTCACGTGGCACCCGAGAAGATCCAGGAGAAGGGGCATGTGCCTCTCATGAGGCCTGGAAGAGACGAGGAGATGGGAATGACGGTCTTGTACCTGGCGAAAAACCAGTATGTTAACGGAGAGATCATTGCGGTTGACGGCGGTGTGCTCAATGTCCTCGCTGGACGCTGAGGAGATGAATTTTCTTTTCTGTTCCGAAACATTCCAAGGGATATGAATAGAAGAGAAAATGATAAAAGTTCAAGCTAGAAACGGATAGATGCAGAAAGCTATAGGGCTGGGCGTTTCAGCCACATCTCAAAACGACTTAGAGGAGAAATGACGATACGTGAAACAGACTTCAAGGAACGTATATTCCCAATGAGGAGATGAGGGATATGATATTGGGAAGCGATCCAATCGCTGTGCAGTTAAATAAACATAATAGTCAGAAAATTCTTTGACATCATGTGCGTTTGAAGTTCCTGCCATGTGTGAAGCGTCTCTTGTCTCTCATTTGTCTTTCGGGAAGAACCAACTACACAGGGGCTGAACAGTAGCCTATAGAGCTACACGCAAATAGTTCGCCGCTTGAAAGCGTATGCCATGCGACTCCGGAAATAACTTGAAACTGACACTCATTTCACGGCAACGTTTCCATGCATGCCTTCCCCGCAAACTCTATACTCACCTTCCTGCAAGCCACGTACGGACCTGGCAGATCTCCACATCCCGTCTTAGCCTTTAGTGCTACCTTTAATATAACTTCACCCATTCTCCCGGCTTCCAGAACAAGCGACCGTTTTTGGTCCTGGTACCCTGCACAGACCACCATCCGTGATTACCCATCCCGATTGGGTCATCTTGGTATTTGATCCGCTTCAAACCAGCGAGGAGCAGATACGTACGTGGATTTGCCGGACTATAGGAGTGGATGCAAGGATCTCGCCGCCATGTTTCTCAAGAAAAGAGCCGAGCCGCCGACAACGACCGGAATTGATGTCCACGTAATGCTGGCATGGCGGCTAAGATCTCATAGTAGGCCGAGATGAGGAATTCAAAGCCCTCCAGGGCCCCGTGAAGATACTGTAGGATGCTTGTATAAGAGGGAAAACCTCGATCCCCCGGTGGTTCTCTCAGGGATCAGGAAACTCGCAACGTATTCTCCGGAGAAAGATCTCATTTTCGTCACAATGGTAGGCCTCCGAGCAACTGCCGCTTCTCTGCTGGCTCTGGCCGCTCTATGCGGCTCGGTTTCTGCCCATCCTGGCGAGCACCGCAACGCAGCGAAGCTGAAGCGGAGCGTAGAGATAGCCCGTCGCGCCGATGAGAACGCGGATCAGATCATCGCAAGATGCCAGCATACAAATATCGCCAAGGCGATGAAGGAAAGGGCAGTATTGCGTCGAGCTGCCAAGGCACGGGAGATGAGGGAACAACGCGGACTAGAAGAGAGTATGACAAGAATCCTTGCCCTTTGTATACGGAGGAGCTAGCTTGCTAAGAGTTCTCCAGGTCGCATGATTGCCAGGAGGGACCAGGAGGACCTTGACCAGTGGATGCAAACTTGCCACAATCAGGGTGATAAGCACCAGTATGACAAGTCAACTCCCATCCACACCATATTCGGGTCAAACGTGACCACAGGACTGGCCCCTGAGACCATCATCGGCCCGTACTGGGTCGAAGGAGAGTTCATTCGCACCAATATATTTGAGAAGCAGGACGGCATTCCTATCCACCTCGACCTGCAGTTTGTCGACGTCGCGAGTTGCGCTGCCGTCCCCAACATGCTGGTTGACGTCTGGCACGCAAATGCGACCGGCGTTTACTCGGGCGTAACCAGTGGCGGCGGCCTGAACTCAACCTTCAGCCGAGGGGTCCAGATCACGGACATCGACGGAGTGGTGCAATTCGACTCCGTCTTCCCGGGCCACTATCTCGGGAGGACGAACCACATCCACGTCACCAGCAACAGGGGTGCCACGCTGCTCGAGAACGGCACGTATACTGGTGGCAAAGTCAACCACATCGGCCAACTGTACTTCGACCAGGAGCTGGCCAGCATGATCGAGACGATGCCGCCGTACTCCAACAACATGATGAAGCTGACGACGAACGCCCAAGATTTCCTGACGGCGCAGCAGAGCAGCCGAGAGTATGACCCGTTCCTCGACTATGTGCTCCTGAGCGAGAACCCGGCCGACGGAATCCTGATGTGGATCACGATTGGCGTCAATACCACCGCTGACCAGAGTCATCTGGTCTCAGCTGCGTCTCATTACTACAAAGAGGGCGGCAAAGAAAACCCATCACCTTGGGGGAACATTTCTTTTCCGGGCAATTTCACCTTTCCCGCCGGAGGGTTCCCAGGCGGCGGGTTTCCGACTGCCCTCCCTCCAGGATTCACACCTCCTCCCGGCATGCCACCGTTCCCAACCGCCAGCGGCCCAACGCCAACACCGACCAAATTCTGGGGCCCTTGTATGAAGAAACGTGAATAAGAGCAAGGGGATGTTGGTGCTCGCGAATCGGTAGTGGCTGATGGACCGAATGGGGAACAGAACAGTGTGTGTGTGTGTATGTGTGTATATGGCTGTCAATCTACCAAGTCACTGACTAGAACGCCCGCTACCGCAATGCTGGATGACTCTAGGGTATAGAAGCGCAGTATACTCCGATGATGCAAAGACCCCTCGCTCTATGATGCAAGTAATGACTTCCTTACTGTTGTGCCACATTGTCCGGCCAGATCCGTCTGGTATCCTCGCGTCCATCGAGCCAGCTCGTACAATTCACGCAACGAAGGGCCTATCGAAATGGTCCACGTTAATGGGGTTCACAACACTGCGCCAACGCGGTGCTTACCTTATCACTGATACGCTTCTTGCAATACCGACACTTAATGGAGTGTTTGACGATAGGGTCATGAGACAAGCGCTCGTAGAGAAGCGCCAGGCCGTAGAGAGCCAAACCGAGGCCCAAGAAGTTGACGCATCTATTTAGAAAGAGGCTGTGACCCAAGATTAGCTCCAATGTCCCACAAGTGCAGGATATGTTAGATACGTACCCATAAGCTAGCACAACGGCGCCGTCCTCCTGAGCCTGCGAAAGCGTCGTGTAGCCATCTAGAGCGTCGTAATTGGGCCCGGACTGCAGGACGGCGAACTTCTCGTCCAAATTTCTGTTCAGCGGTAATATCACCGAGAGCGGCGGCAGTAAGATGTCGCTCACGAACGACGTCGTGAGGGCCGTGAAGGCTGAGGCAAGACTGAGAAGGATTGTGTCAGAATTGACGGCTTCATCGCATAGCGTCCCGAGCTTACATCAGACCGAAGGCGATTTCAAGGATATTGCCTGAGAATGCAAAGTCCAGGAACCCAGATAACAACCGCTTAGCTCGTCTCTCACTGCGTTCCAGCAGCTCATCTGTCTCTTGGGCGTCGACGGCAGGCATATTGCAATAGTTTACAGTTTACAATACGGGATATTGATAGGTTAGAGGAGAGTATTATCAGCGTCCAGCGAGTAGGTGGCTGGTTATTTTCATCTGAAGGTCGGTGAGTTTTGGGCTGATGTGCAATTTCCCCATCAGCGGTATCATGACTGGGGCCGCGGATCTTGGACCCTGCCTGGGGGCACGGCGCAGTGGGGCGCTTCAGGTGGGTTGGTTGATTGCACTTACAGCGACTTCCCAACCTCTGCCCAGCTCAACTTAGTCACCCAATCCGACGCGTCGCAGTCTAAGTAAGTGCAGCTTGTCGTCTTCAAGCCCGAGATCTATGTCTTTCGAACGTTTGGCGTGCGCAGAAATGATGGAGATGGACTCTACACACAGTGATATTCCGTAATTCGTCAATTCATCAATTCTAAGTGTGCTCAATACCAGCTAGCAGTTCCTGGCGCAACAACCGGCTAGATACTCCTGATCCCACTAACACACCATAGTGAGTTGTTGTTGCCCCTATCTTCGTCGTCCGAATCTGAAGCGAGAAGAGCTCGATGTTTCATAGCTGTGACGACCCTCCTCGACTTTGGAGGTCCTCACGCGGCTCTTGCTGCGACGGCCTGCAATGCCCGCGAAACACCAGAAGACGCATGCAACAAACATGGCTGCAAATGATACCCAGGTGATGATTATGAACTTCGTGCCAGCATTTGCAGAAATCCCCACATCGCCGCCCTTGTCGTTGATCTCCTTCTCACCCTTCTTTGCTACTCCCGTTGTGATCGCTGCCCCGATCATCAGGGCTAGAGCAGCAAGACCTGATAAGATAGCGTTGCCGAGATGTGTGAATCGAGGTGGGTTGCCTTTGAAGGTGCCCAGTGATACCGCTGCAATAGTTGCCAAGAAGGACAGGCCAGCAAATCCAGCTCCCAGGCAGAAGAACACGAACATCGCGAGCAAGAAGCTGTTGAGATAATTGATCGCATCGTTGATCTCGTCCGGCACAGGCAGGTCGGCTGGGTTTAGCTTCAGAGGGCCGACCTCAATCTGGCGATCCAATATCTCCGTCAGGTTGAACTGAAAGCCGGCCTGTTGTGCAGTACAATTGGTCGTGTTATACCAGGCACCTGGGGTCGTAGCGTTTGGTGCGAACTGTCCCTCACACGCAGTCATGACGTGGAGTGAATACCATTGTGAGATGCCAAGTTTCTCAGAGAGCTCATCAGCAATGTCGTCGGCAATGTCGTCGAGCTCGTCGCTGATCTCTGACGCGATTGTCGCCACCACACTGCTAAAGAAGCCTCCGATGCCGCTGCCCGTGGAAGTTGGGTCGGAGCCACCCGTCGTTGCCGTTGGTACCAGATCGTGGCCAAAGTTTGACATGTTGATCTTTGTTGATGGTCAGCCTTTTCTCCCGCGACGGTCTTACAGCAAGGGCACTCACGGCGATGATATGGAAGTCTTCCAGCTGGCCCGTTTTGGAACCCGCGAACAGGGATAGCATCGCCAGCACGAAGCCGGCAATGGACAGTATTAAGGGTATCACTAATGCGAAGGCCCTCATCTTGTCGGAATGTAGAAGGCTGGTGTACTACGATAAATGTTCTAGAAAATGTTGCTCTAGGTTATAATTACAGACCGCGGAGGGCGGATGAGGATACGCAGGAGGGTTGCAGGCTTATATGCAGAGTTGGCGAGGCTGAAGAACAAAGAGATCTCCGGATTATATAGAAACCTCGTGCCAACTTGCGCGCCATGATGCAACAGCCGGTCCAACACAGGACTCACGAGTCAATAGAAACCCGGTTTGAGCAGGAACCAGGGCCATCCCGGCCCACGAGGAAGCCAACGCATAGGGTCCAATCTGACCGCCTCGGTGGGCGCGAATTGGTGCGTGCATCGTCTGGTGGGGAGACTCTAACACACGGCTGTCGTCCTCGACGCATGACGACGTCTCTGGTGTCCGGCGAAGTTCAGACCCTGGCAGTGATAAAAATGCGGTGGTTAGGGGTGATTGGTATCTGCAGGGTCTCTTGGCCTTGCGTCATAGGGTCCGGGTGGGCAGATTAGACGCATCCAAACCGGTTCGACGGCGGCTGATCCATGCCAGCCACGCTCGTCCAACCAGCGCTAGCCAGACGTCAATCTTGAAACCCATCAACCTCAACTGCCGCCGGGACGATGACAGCCAAATACGAGCAACCCAGACACGCATTGGTGAATGTTGGGGGCAAATCTTGTGTTGCATCGGCCTGAAGTACTGTTTTGGCCCGGAGGATACCGTTGTCCACCCTGATTCTAAGGCCGCCAGACGCTTGTCTTCGAGCGACGGGCTGACAAGTACCTAGTGCTATGGAGTCTCCCCACGACGTATCACCTGTCAACGCTGCATTTGATTAGCGTTGGAAATAGTCTTGCAAATTTCCGGGCCACGGTAGTTCACTTTCCGGCGGAGCGACAGCCGCAGGTTTGGCCTGTCAGTCGCAGCTATTTTCACACCATGTATTTTGCTGGAGAGCTTGGCGGGCAGTGCCTCTTCAGGGTCTTGATATGCTGGGCGTCGCTCGGCTTCTATGCCGCGGCCCCGTTACCAAGCAAGGGACACAGCATGCGGCTCACGACGGGCGAGCTAACCCATTGTATCCAGGTATAATGTCCCGGTTGTACTTTTGTCCTCATATACTCATTTGGGGTTGGTTACACCTCCGAAAATCCAGGCTGGCCATATAGCATGCTAGATGTGGCTGATGACAAATTTCGAATGGAAAGCCCCAAGGCGAATAGTAGTCTAAGTTCCTTCTTTCCCATTTGGGCATCGCGTCTTTCGTGTAATTTGCCAATACACCCTTTCGCAGTGCTTATAGAATCACCACACTCATTTTCGTTCAAACCTTTTCAGATCTACGCGCCATGCTCAGTCTCCTGTGGATGTGATTAATATATTGATTTTGATGTTCATGATGAACGTCTCGTCTGCGAATCTGTGCTTGGCAACCGCCGATGATGCGTTTGGTCCGGTCGTTGGGGGCTGTAGAGATGACTTCGACTTCACCCTAACGTTCGAGCAATCTTTCTTCACGCTCATCCCTGCTTCTCTCTTACTTCTGGTCTCGCCTTTCAGAGTCTGGAAACTGAGAAAGCTGCCGAATGTAGTCCGGGGCACGGCTGCTAGATATGTCAAACTCGTGAGTGTCAACAATCAAAGCAATGATCCGCTTTAACGTGTAAATAGGTGGCGGTTGCGCTGTTGTCGATTTTCCAATTAACCTCGACCATCCTGTGGGTGACCATGACAGGCCCTTCAGCCTCTCGCTCTGTTTCCATAGCATCTTCGGGCTTGTCGTCCGTGGCTACTTTTGTGGCCCTAGCATTATCCTACATGGAACATGTCAAGTCCAAGAAACCGTCTGCAACATTCACTACATACCTTTTCTTCTCACTGATCCTAGATCTTGCAACTCTGCGAACTACATGGCTTCTTTCGTTGCCAATCCCCATTAAAGCCGTTGGGACGCTTTGCTTCTGTTGGAAAGCAGCTGTGCTCTCACTGGAGGCAAAAGAGAAGGCACATTGGACAGTCGACGATGGCTGTCGCCAGAGCCCGGAGTCAACCAGCGGGATATTCAATCAAGGTCTCTTTTGGTGGTTAAACTCACTTCTAGCTAGCGGCTTTCGTCAGCTACTGCGGCCAGATGACCTTTTCATATTGGACGACGACATGTCAGCTAGCATGCTCAACGAGAAGTTTTGGACTGCATGGAATCGAGGTGCGTGATTTTTTCAACGAAAAGACTCTGTCGGGACTTGTACTAACTGTCTCAGCTCATCGGGACGACAAGCATAAGCTCCTGAATGCATGTGTGGTCACATTGAAATGGCCAATTCTCGCTGCAGTGCCACCACGACTTATACTAGTCGGGTTCACGATTTGCCAACCATTGCTACTCGAACGATTTCTTCAGTACCTGCGAGATATGAATGAGTCTGCCAATATCAGCTACGGTCTCATTGCAGCGTACGGTTTGGTATATGCGGGCATGGCAGTTTCCTCTGGGTTTTACTCTCATAGAGCGTTCCGGATGGCAACAATGCTACGAGGCACTCTCATTACTGCAATCTTCAGGAAAACCACAGAGATTAGCATCACCACCGCTGATAACTCAGCTTCGGTGACTTTGATGAGTACTGATGTACGACTGGCGTATAACAAGCAGTATAAATGGATGAAGCTAATGATATCAGGTCGATACTATTGTCCGTGCTATGCGACAGGTCCACGACCTCTGGGCGGATATGATTCAAGTAGCTGTTGCAACATGGCTTCTCAGCAGGCTCATAGGCCCCGCTGCAGCAGCCCCAGTCGTGGTTTGTCTGCTTTCACTATCAATCACCATGTACGCATCCCCGAAAGCCCAATGCTCCCAAGCTGCCTGGTTCACCAAGGTTCAAAGAAGGGTTGGTAAGAAAGATGCTTTCCATTCACTCCTGTCTTATGCTGAGACTCTCATTTGCAAGGAATCACTTCACAGATGCTTGGACATATGAAGAGCATCAAGATGTCTGGTCTAGCTCCGAAGCTCGCAGCAACAATCACCCAAATGCGAGTCGACGAAATCGCCGCTGCCAAGCCGTTCCGCATGATCATGGTATCTACTGCTGCGTTGGCGCAAATACCCGTCTTGTTGTCACCCGTTGCTGCCTTCGCGGCATTTGTAGCTGTGGCAGCAAGGGCCGGTGAGACGTTCGAGGCTACCAGGCTTTTCTCCTCTTTATCACTTATCATCCTTCTTGCCGCCCCTCTATTCGGAACCTTTGAGACCATTTTGAACCTAAATGCCTCTCTGGCATCATTTAATAGGATACAAAAATACCTGTCTCTCAAAACTAAAGATAAACACAAAGGGAAGATTCAGGACGTCGCGCGATCTTCAGAGAATGCCTCTCCATCTTCATATATATCACCTCAGTCTACATCGTCTCCAACTGCGGACGGACAAATCGAGCTTGGATCTATTCCGGGATCAACACGACAAGATAAGCAACTGAATACGAACAACACGTGTGTTCGCTTACAAGGCGCATCATTCTCCTGGGCGGCAGATTCACCCGTTGCCATTAACAATGTCAGCACAGTAGTGTACAAAGGAGAGATGTTAATTATAATGGGTCCAGTTGCCTCTGGCAAGAGCACTCTGCTGAAAGGCATCCTGAACGAGGTCCCTATTGTCAGTGGGGAGGTAACTGTAGCCTCTGGCCCGAAGGCGTGGTGTGATCAGACTCCTTGGCTCAAAGTAAGTTGTCGTGTCCCATTACAATATTTTGGTAGTGCTGAAAAGTGTAGAATGATAGCATCCGCGATAACATCATCGGATACGCCCACTTCGACCCAGACCTGTACAAGGAGGTCATTTGGGCCTGTGATCTGAAGAAGGACCTTGCTCATTTGCCGGGCGGCGATAGAACGGTCATCGGAAGCAAGGGTGTTTCCCTGAGCGGTGGGCAGAAACAGAGAGTAGTACGTTACGCAGTCCTTTCTCCAAATTCGCCCCATCGTTGACTTTCTTAGGCTTTAGCTCGGGCAGTGTATTCAAGACCTCATATCGCTCTTTTCGACGATGTACTTAGTGGGTTAGATGGTCACACTGCGAGTGTAATCTGTAGCCGGCTTTTCAGCACCAACGAAGGTTTATTGAAGAAATGGGGGACTACTATAATCCTAGCGACGCAGTCAAGTAAGTACTACTTCAAGGGTGCGAGGCCCTTACGCTAACGGTACCCAGTCCTACCGTTGACAATGACCGACGAGCTGTTGGTCCTCGGAAGTGATGGCTCTGTCGCAGAAGCCGGGTCATTCGGGGAAGTCATGAGCCAAAATGGCTACGTGAAATCCATTTATAGAATGAGAAAAGATAACCCGAACGTAAATAGTGAAACAAGCTCCCAGGATGACGAGGAAGTCGAGCAGTTGGTAGGTAAAGACGCACCCAAAGATGACATCACGGACAAGCGCAGGCAAATTGGCGACAATACTGTATACCGCTTCTATTTCTCTTCTCTGGGGCCAGCCTTTACGGCCATTCTCGTCGTCATGGAATTTTCCAACGCGTTTCTGCAAACCTTCCCAAGTGAGTACGAATGCGCAACGGTCGATATCTTGATTTACTTACATGATGATAGCTGTTTGGTTGAAATGGTGGTCTGATGCCAGTGAGGCTGAGGGTAACCAGAGCATTGGAGTTTACCTTGGCGTTTATACGGCACTCCAATTCGCCGCACTCTTGACTTTCTTTCTACTGACCTGGTAAGATAGCCAGCTACTAACATACTGCTGTGCTATGAAATGTGAGACTGATACTCGGAAAGGTTTGTTATTGTCAAGATAGTAGCAAAGTCCGGGCTCGAGTTACATGGCAGATTACTCCAGACGGTTGTCCGGTAAAGAGGAATGTTCTATTTTACTGCCAGTATTCTGACAGTCAGCTAGTGCTCCGCTAGCTCTTTTCACTACGGACGACACCGGATCTCTCACTACAAGGTGCGTTACGATGATTCGATGTAAGAAAACAAATGCCCTAACGTGTCTAGATTTTCCCAAGACATTGGAGAGGTTGATAGGAACCTACCCCTAGGAATGCTTGTCACCATCCAAAGTACGTGATCGAGTTCGCAAAAGAATAGTTACCACTAATTAAAATGCGTAGGCTTTCTTACATGTATTGGTCAAGCAATCCTGATTGCCACTGCAACATGGTATCTTGCAATAAGCTACCCTGCTCTGATCGGTGTTTTCTTCTTTCTACAAAAAGCTTATCTGCGTACGTCTCGACAACTGCGATTTCTTGACCTTGAGGAAAAGGCACCAGTATAGTAAGTAGATTGCGCAAGAACCTCTTGAGTTTGAAGGAGCTAACAAAGCCTAGTACACAATTCATCGAGACTTTAGCAGGCCTGTCGACCATTAGGGCGTTTGGTTGGGGACAAGCAGCTATCCAGCAGAACTATGAGCTTGTTGACCGAGCCCAGAGACCCTTCTATCTACTTCTCATGGTTCAGCGATGGTTGACTCTGGTGCTTGACTTCATCATTGCCGCACTTGCTCTCCTTGTCGTTGGGTTGGCGGTGAAACTGCGTGACTCGATCTCCGTCGGGTTGACGGGTGTCTCACTAGTACAGCTGATCACGTTTGCGGAGACTATGAGGATGCTGATTTTGTGGTGGACATCTCTGGAGACCTCAATAGGGGCTGTTGCCAGGATCAAGCAATTCAGCGAACATACAGGCGATGAGAATCTCGTGGGTGAGGAAAGGGAGACACCATTGCATTGGCCAGCTCAAGGAGCCATTGATATGCGAGGCATATCTGCTTCGTATGGCCCAAAACATGAAACGCTGGCGCTTGATAATATTTCTCTCTCCATAAAAGCCGGTGAGAAGATCGGCATCGTTGGAAGGACTGGCAGGTACGTAACTTCGTCCCGGGGCCATTGACAAATACTGAAAATACCTGGGCAGTGGCAAGTCATCGCTTCTTCTCTCCCTTGTCAGGATGCTAGATCTCTCGTCGGGCACCATCATCATTGATAGCCTTGATTTATCCACGGTCTCCCGAGAGGAGACCCGGGCCCGCCTGATTGTCATCACACAGGATCAGTTCCTGCTTCCGGGTAGTGTGCGACAAAACGTCGACCCATATGAATCAGCCAGCACTGATCAAATATGGGTTACCTTGTCAAAAGTTGGACTACGAGAAAGTATCGAAGCGAAAGGTGGTCTCGATGTTGACCTAGAAGAGGAGACGCTCAGCCATGGGCAGCGTCAACTATTTTTCCTAGCCAGAGCCATCTTGAGGAAGGAACATGGCAACATCGTCCTTTTCGATGAAGCCACAAGCAGGTCTGTCTGACATTTAACTCCTCTATTGGTCTCGTTACTGACAATTGAAGTGTCGACCAACACACCGAGATGCGAGTACAAGAGATTATCCGAAAAGAGTTCGCTACCCATACTGTCATTTCCATTGCACATCGTTTGGACACGATCGCAGACTTCGATCGAGTAGTTGTCTTAGAAAAGGGGGCCGTGGTAGAGCAGGGAGCACCCAGCGATCTGCTGCGGAAGTTGGGTCCTTTCAGAGTCCTGTGGGATGCATCGCATGGTGACTAGGCTAGCTTGTAGGCTTCGGCTTGATGATATTTTTTCCTTTTCCCCCTTTCTTCCGTCTTTGTGTCTAAATCGATAAAGTGCAGTGAATATTTCCTTCATCACTGGATACGATTGTTGATAGATTGACTTGTTAAGTCCACGCTCCCAAAAGTTGTCAAGTTAGGCATTGGAAATCCGAAAGGGGCTGTAGTCTCTGTAAGGAAGAGAGGGTGAGTCATATGACTAAAGAAAGACATTCGGTAAATGCGACGAAATCCTCCTGGTGAGTCAACTCTCAATTATATCAGTCTTTCAGTCGCGTCAACAGGGGTATCTGGGGTCCTCATGTGGGCCTGCAGTGCCTGTAGAAGCGGACCTGCACGGGCCAGGTGGGGGCGCGCGATGACGATGACTCGAATTGCAGCAGACCGCGGTACCAGCACGTATATGCATCCGAGCATCCCACTACACTCAACTGTCACCATTCTGCCGAATATCTGTTCCGCAGAGGTTTCCCACATGAAACGGCTGTTATGCCCAAGAAAAGACATCAGACCAAGTACTCAAAGCCGCCGTCGATAGCTCCGCCGACTCTTCGAATATCGTCTTCGTCCCAGAGGACGCCTGGTAAGCCACTCTCGTGCACCGACTAGCTATACTGCGGCCTTGGCGTGCTGATATGGCGTCCGCAGAACACCATGACCGTTCAGTCAACGAGATCCTCGCTGACATGCGAAGGAGCACTCTGAGCACCAGCTCACCGCAAGATATCTTACCGCAACCCAGTGTCCCTCCCCAGCTGCGGTGGCTCCTGCAACATCCCGAAACCCCGGCGCCTAGGCCCCGCCGGCTCCAGCGACGAGACATCAACGGCCGGCGAATCCCACCGGGGCCACCTCCTCCGCGCTCCTGGCTGGCCTTGTCGCAGTCACGACATGCCCCGGCTCAAGTTCACAAGGCGGCAACGAACATACAGTATTGGCCGTTGCCGGGAGCATACGTGCCGGGTGATGGCAGCTTCATAGACATGGCCTTGCACCGTCTAGTCGACGACTGGGCGGTGCAGAAAGACTGGAACCGGTTTTACCTTTATACCATGCCGAACCGACTCAGAACCGCGCTCATATTCTACGTGTCTAAGTACCATGATCAGGGTATCTCATCATCAGACTTACGCCTGATCCTTGCCGGTCCTCCGGAGACCGAGTTGGCTGAATACGACCTTGAGAAGCCTGAACCGGCCAGGTTCAACAAGAATATTACGCACCTAGACTTGGCAGGCTCAATCGGCAAAGGTTTGTCCTTGAAGTCCTTGATGGACCTACTGCTACCAGTTGATGCTACCCCAGAGACTGAAATTCAGGATTCTTGGGATGCGCCCGAGATCCCGGAAGCGCCGGCTTGTCTCCTGCCAAATTTGACACAGTTATCGCTTGCAGTTACCGGGCCGGGGCAGGCTGCTTCCTGGAGGCAGCTATTGGTATTCTCTACCAAGCTACCACAGTTGACTCATCTCAACTTGTCGGGGTGGCCCACTCCGTCAACGACACCAAACGCAACTCTTGCCAAGATGGTTTCCCCTGTGACTGGAACATCTGTCCACTATGGCGGTACCAATGCGTACAGTCATTCTTTGGACGACGACTGGTCCGAGGCCATATCGGTGTTGAAACGACTCAGCAAAGCCCTTTATGGCCTTGAGTACTTGGATCTGACAGGCTGTGGCGACTGGTTCCCAGCTTTACGGAAAGAGGCAGATGCTCATTTGGTCATCGATTTGGTCGATTGGGCAAGAGATTGGAGCAAGATCACCAGTCTGAGACTCTGTTCTGGCTACGTTGCCGAGCCGGGTTCGGATTCTCAGGAAGATAGACTGCGTGAATGGAAGCGAGAGGCTTTAGCCGTAGAGAAGCATATCATAGCTCAAAGAGCTGGCCAAGGACGCTTCATCACCGTTGAGACGGACGTCAATGTCAGCGTAGATGGATAAGGTCTTAATACCTAGATAAGAAGCCATGGCGATGCATCGTTGGACGCATGCCTTACCAAGTTTGAAGCGCCACAACCTATTCCAGACTAATATAAGACCATGGCAGAAGCAACATTATGATCGGAGAAGAACAGAAAATCATGTTTACAATACATCTCATTTGCTATCTTACTTCCTGCCAATTGTCTTTTGCACTATTCTAACGCCCTTCGTTATGTCTCTGGTTGCCTGGGCATGGCACCACGGCAAGGGTCAATCGTGGTTCATTGGTATGGGCTACCACCAGCCGCAACTCTGTCCAGCGTCGCAAAGCCATTGGACTCATCGATAACGACAACCTGCCCTACATATTGCCTTCCTTGGTAATGGGACGGAATCCAGAAGTTTGAACTGATAGTGCAGTTGGTTTTCAGTCTCATTGAATCACACCATGTTTCATGCATTGATGTGCCTCCGTCGTCTAATCAAACTATAGCGGGTCTCAGGTTGGCGGTAGGGACTGTAGGGCTGTGCTTGCAGCTTGCCTTGCTAAATCCGAAACAGGCCAAATCAAAAGAGCCACTGAAATAGGTGAAGATAGCCAACGACTCCATAGACGCCCTCAGTGATTTAACAGTCTTGTCGCCCTCAGTGAGCTTGCTTGCTTGACCTTTTCTACTACGCAGCTATTCCAAGACGCCAGTACTGCAAAGGGACTCGCCAGGTGTTTGGGTTTTTGGTACGAGTATTCAAGACGCCACGCGCATGAAAGCAAAACGTATTACAACATGAGGACCCAGCAATTCGCCCTCCTGTCGGGCGTAATACACGGCGCTGTTGCCGCAACCCCCACGACATCGGTTACCAGCATTTTCCTCCCCGGATTCGACACGCAGAGCCTGGTGGCGTCCGTTATTACAGCCGCACCCACGGCGACCGAGTACTTCCTACAATGCGATTCCGGCAACCTTATGGAGTGCGGCGTTGGAACAGGTGAGAGTGCATACCGCATCTGCGGCCAAACAGCGAAAAAGAAACTGACCATTTCCGTTCGCAGGAATGACTGTTACGGAAGGCCCATCTACATTCGGGTTGGAGTTTAACGGCACAGATATGTAAGTATTGCCCGTCTTGTCTCACCACAAAATACCGATTGTGTAGGCGATTAGAGACTAATACCAACTATAGCGCAATCAGCGAGGCTTGCGCACTTTCAGGCGACAACGCAGTCTGCACGTTTAGCACACCAGGCGGGAACGTATCGACCGAGTCAGGATCCGGTGTCAAGTCCATGTTCCTCGAGGTCACAATCACTGCTGGCTTCGCGGCTCTTTCTTCGGCCAGCGCCGCCGCCGCCTCTGCCGCCGCCGCCGCGGCCGTCAAGACCGAGGCCGTGGAGCCCAAGACTACAGCAACAGCACCGACGGCATCATCCACGTCAAAGAGCGATACCGCAAGCGAGACAGCCAATGGCATGGGAAGCGCTGCAACGCGACAGTTGCAATGGGACATGACCGTATTGCTTGGTCTGGTCGCGCTGGCAGGTGCTTCCGTGGTGCTATGAGACGATACCCAGAGAGAAAGAGACGGTTTTGTGTGACATTGCTTCCAAACTACGAGTTAACAAGATACCCTTTTGCAAAATACGAGATAGAATAGAATGATAATTGGTTAATCATCCGGCCGCCCAATACTCTCATATCTCGATTATCCATCACGACCTAAGATACGCAACGGACAATGCTCTCCCAAAATAGTCTTTCTCATTTTGCAGATTCTATTCGCAAACGTCAAGGCGAAGTTAGGGATATTTTCTTGCCTCCGCTGGTGCTAGACACGATATGGCCATGGGTGTCTTTGGGCGACACGCTCCACGTCAAAAGCCATTCTTTTTTAGCAGTCGCGCGGCTCAGCAGAAAGAGAACAGTGACGCGGCGGCCAGTCGATTGCCCCTGGCGCTAGCATCAAGCTCAATTTTAGCGGATGTTTCAGGTACAAAGTTGCGCCTCCAGGCGGTCGCTGTCAGCCAATCGAGGCCTGGTCGAGTCCCTGATTGGTGCAGCCCATGATCTACGTCGAGATCCCCCCTAATCGAGGGGTCAAGCTGGCAGGCCTCTTTCTGTTCCCCACGTGAAAGCCGCGGGGTTCGCCATCGAATAGGTACCGTTCCCCAAAGACGAGTGTTCAAGATCCACAGAAGCATTGGTCAGACTTGAAATGGAGTCTTGAGGCTGCATCTCAAGATGGACGGAGTCCCTCCTAGTGCAAAGACAGATGGCGAATGTCTATCACCTCCAGCCGCTGTCCTGGCGGCAAGGGGCGCGAGATGCATTGGGTTGAGGCTTTGACGTCGTTGCCCTCTGTCCAAGTGCCGGAAGCGCAGCCACGACTGGGTGTGCCCCCCTCAACCCCTGTCTTTGCATACACAGTACAATGCTTCCCCGGCCTACCAGATCTGCATCGAGCCAATTTTGGCTCCAGACCCTGGATATGCTTTTTGCAAAACGAAACAACGGGCCGCCTGGCGACCAATCGTTCCCCTGGGACGCTGGCTTTCAGTTCCCTATCCGGCGTAGAGGTGGCTGTCCATCCATGGTGATCCGTCCAACCCATGTTGGCCGTCTTGCGGCCATGGGATTCCATCGAATTAATTAAAAGGTGCTGCCTCCAAATCACCGTGACATGATGATGTTGGCCCATCGCTCTTTTCGTTCATTCACCTTTGTTGCCCAACGGCATCTCCACCTTTCGCTTTTTGGCCACGCATTATTCAATTCTTCTCTCGTTCCCTGCTTCATACGCGTCCCTAGCGGATTTGAACAATCGTTTCGTCAACTCTCCTGCCATACCAAATCGAATACCTGTCGTTGAACAATCGTTGCCTCGTTATCACTGGCACAATCCTTTGCCAAGCCTTGTTATATATCCCACCTACGTAACTCGCTTCGTAGACGAAGCAGTGACTCTGTTCTTGTATTACATTCATCGGCAACTTTGCGGCTGTTCAGGAAGTGGGATCCGCAGCCACGATGTTCGTCAAATCAGTCCACGCAGCTGCGGTGGCAGCAACCATCACCGCGCCTAAGGATATGAACATCGCAGATACCGGTACGTTCCAAGTGTTTGCCTCATTGGAGGGTTGCTGCTGACCATCCCAAGCGTCCATTCGCAGCGTAGCAAGCACTATTGCTCACGGTACCATGTCGTTGTACACCGGTAACATCACGAACACAGAAGAAGTAGGGCATCATTTGCGAAATGAACGACCATGAAGTCAACTTGTACTGACAGTTTTGACTCAGACAATTGCAGTTTGGCCTGCTCCAATTTACTGGTGGGTAAGTACATTTGAGGACCTTCTCCTCCCCTGTCAGACAAGTTCGAGGGCAAACAGCTGTGTTTTCAGATGCAGACTCCCTATAAGGAGTTGGACTACTAACGCAGACGCTTATAGGAATCTGGAGCAGCCTGGGGAGCTATGCTTGACTACTCTCATTACACGGGCGACTCGACCTACAATGATGTAATTACGCAAGCCCTGCTCTCACAACTTGGACCCGACTTCGATTTGATGGTCCCCACACACTATGGTAGCGAAGGGAACGACGATCAAGCTTTCTGGACATTCACTATTCTGGAGGCTGCGGAGCGAAACTTCCCCCAGCCTGACGATAACACTCCAGCATGGCTCGATATAGCCATCAACGCTTGGAACACGATGGTTCCAAGATGGAACACGACAAAGTGTGGAGGAGGACTCTACTGGCAAATTTTTGAAGACAATCCGAACGGCATGACCTACAAGAACTCAGTCAGCAATGGCGGTTTCTTCCAGATCTCAGCCAGGCTTGCTCGTGCTACCGGAAACAACACCTATCTTGATTGGGCGCAAAAAGTTTGGGACTGGTCAGAATCCGTCGGATTTGTCAACGACACTACTGGCAGTGGCGCGTTGGATGTGCTGGATGGAGCGGGAGACGAAGATAACTGCGAGAAAACCAACCCGGTTTCATTCTCATACTCGCAGGCGATATATCTCTATGGCGCTGCTGTCTTGTACAACTACACCAACGGCGATCAGACCTGGGGTGACAGGGCGACCAGACTGTTGAAGGGTACTGAGTCATATTTCAGTCCGTTCGACAACGCGACAGACATCATGTGGGAGCATGCCTGCGAAACGTACGATATCTGTAAGACGGACATGCTGAGCTTCAAAGCATACATGTCCCGGTTCATGTGGGCAACGACCAAGATGATGCCGTCAACGCTCTCCGAAATCTCACCGAGACTAACGGTGAATGCTGCGGCAGCCGGCAAAGCTTGTTCTGGAGGGGAAGGGGGTACGACCTGCGGTTTCAAGTGGTATACCGGGGGCTTTGACGGAAACTCTGGCCTCGGTCAGCAACTGTGTGCGCTCGAGACGATCCAGGGTTTACTCGTTCAGGAGGCGACGCCACCTTTCAAGGCTGGGGAGATTCAGCGTGTCAAAGGCAATTCGGATCCGGTCAGCACAGCGAGTCCAACGCCTACCAAGCGATCCAACGGCGCTGTCACGCTGGGCGCCCCCGCTTTCACATTCGTCTGGCTGGGTTTAGCATTTGTGTATAGTATGTATTAGAAATGGCGGTAGCGAAACAAGGGTAAAAGTAGATGCTTTCAGACACAAGCAGTACGCAAGCATGGACACGGCGTTTAGAATGTTGTATTTACTTACGTTCTTGGGGTGCTGTTCCCCGATCCTGATAATGAAAGGTCCCTATTATTCAGCAGTGATAAGGAAGTCTTGACATTATTACTGAAGAATGAGCTTGTTAATAATGTTGGACCCATCTTACGGTTTGGTTTTCTGGATCGCTAAAGAACAGCTCTACCACCAGAGACACAGTCCTTCATAGCCCCTGAGGCGTGTCAAGATCACGCTACAGTAGATGCTAAGTCACAAATACGAAGATATCTTCCCTTCCGGCCCGAAGAGTCACACGTGCGCCGAGAACAGTACCATTCTGGAGAACTCTATCTTGGTGTAATTTAACGGATTTCAGGTGGCAGACTTCTCTTCTCTATGGTATTTTCTTAACTCCAGTCTATGCCACAATGCCGCTTGCGTCTGCCTCACGCTGAGCCTCGTCGGCTGGTACAGAAGCTTCGGTGCCGTGGATCTTCTGGGCACCGTAGAACTCGGCTAGCGATTTTTCAAGCGCCGCCAGAAATCTTGTGACTTCCTCCTCTGTGCCAACCGTGATCCTCAAGCAGCCTAAGCAGCCGTGCTCCTTACCGCGGAATCGTACTACAACTCCCTTGCTCTCGGCCAAGGACTCGTAGACGGCGAGCGCTGCCACGTTATCCGGCTGTCCTGCCTGGTTCAGGATCTCGAAGAGGAGGAAGTTGCTCTCCTGGCCACCCCTGAGACGCCCCACACCCTTGATCTTGGGCATCTCCTCAATCAGCCTGTTTCGCTGCACAACGATCTTCTCTAGGTTGCCCCTCATCGTGGTGAGACCGTTGGCAGACACTGCGTAGGTAGCCAGCGCGCTCGTAGGGCTGGAGATGTTGTATGGTGCCTTAAGACTGTTCAGCAGCCGGGCGATCGGGGGCGATGTGAAGGCAGCACCTAGTCGGATACCAGCCATGCCGAACGCCTTGGACAGAGTCTGCATAACGACGAGGTTCGGCCACTCAGCTACCCACTCAGCCAACGAGGAGCCTTCGGGCGAGAAGTCAATGTAAGCCTCGTCGACGACTACCACACCGTTCCATGTCGGGTGCTCCAGAACTCTCCGGATGTCCTCTTTGGCGAGTAGTGATCCTGTGGGGTTTCCTGGCGAGCAGAAGTAGGCAAGCTTGATGTTCTGCTCCGAGGACAGCGTTTCGATGATCTTCTCCACGTCGAGACCAAACGTCGGGGCCGGCAGCAAGGGCACCTTGACGAGGCTCACGTCATTGACCTGCGCAGACACCGAATACATGCCGTACGTTGGCGGGCAGACCAGGATACGGTCCTGTGCGGGCTTGCAGAAACAGCGCAGCAGAGCGTCGATGGCCTCATCGCTGCCCACGCCCACAAAGAGGTTCTCGGGCCCGATCGCCTTAGGAGTGTGGTGGTGAGTATTGCGAAGATTGCACAACAGTTGCTTCAGCTCGTGCTGGTGGGGGTCTGGGTATCTGTGCAGGCCCAAAAGATCTATCTCCGGGTTGCCCGATGCCGCAGCTGCAGCGCCGTTTGCTGTGACTGACTTCGGCAGCGACGGCCCAAAGGCATTCTCGTTGGCATCCAGGAGGACATTTGTGCCATCATCCTTGTAGTCACTAAACGCGCGGTCAGATGATGGACTCTAGGGTTTACGGTGATCGCTTGACATACTCTCGCGCGCATCGGTAGGGCTCCAATGCGAGGATGTTAGGCCTGGCACAAGTTTCGAGATTGAAAGGCGACATGATGCAGAGTGGCACGTAGTGACTCGGGGAAACGCCTCAGATAGCTCTCCCAGGCGAATTGGCCTCTATCACGATTTAATAGTCAATCAATGCCTGAGTCACCAATATCTACGGAGTCCAAGGAGTCATCGTACCCCGGCATCACGGATTGAAGTGCTTGGTGCCGTTGCGAGAACCCACTAAAAGCGGATCCCGAGGCCGGAGAGGTGACGAAAATCTCAATTGGCAGATAACCCGCTACTCTCATATGCACTTACCCGCTTTTTCTTCCGCTAGGTTAACAGCATCTTCTGACGAAGCCAGACAATGTCACTGAACATGATTTCTGGTGTGATGCAAAACAATCAGTCGATCCATGATTGGTCGCAATATGCCGCATGGTCTTCGAATGCATTCGTTCTCACTTCCCGCCGCGAAGCAACACCTTGCACACCTTGAAGTGCATGAAACGTGAGTAAAGGGAGAGCCGGAGGTGAGTCTCGCGTTCCATCTACCCCCGTGGTAACCTTATAGTACCTCGGATTGCGGAGCCGTGTGCCATTGGGTTAAGAAACGCTTGAAAACCGGGAAACATCAATAGATATTGTCGCCTAGACGGTCTGAGAGGGTAGATTTCTTGTCTTTTAATATGTTGCGATCGAAGTTAGCGTCAAGAGCCCCCCAGATTAGCCATACTTGCTGAAGCCATGTAGCCTCCACGGCCTAGAACAAGCTTCGGCAAGCTTTCATGACGCGTGGGAATGCCGAAATCAATATCACAACCCAGCAGCGGGGCCAGCTGGAAGTAATGGAAGTAATGGTAACTGGCGAATGTTGCCCACCTCTAAGCAGTCACTAATGTACGGCCCAGCAGGGGTCAAGGTTGCGCAACCAATGGTGCAATATTTCGGCCAATCACAAGCTATGAGATTTCACTATATTTTATCTCTGGCCTGGTCAAGTCATGGCCACGACCACCAAGGTTGCATTCGGCTGGTCCTCCTTCCTTTTATGGCCTGACATACGACAACCTTCGATTGCCCCGCAAAACGACCTTGTCCAGAGTGACTTACTACCCATGAGACAGTTGCTTCAGAACGATGTACCTGCATTATTTCGCTGCAGGAATGGCGATTGGTATATTGAGAAGTCGTGGATACATAGATAACCAAGGTGGGTCTGTGGGATTCAATTGGTTCCTGTGCAGACTGGTTTAAGTTAGAGTCTGCCATGCACATACTACAAGCATTGCCGGACCAAGACTGCGCAATACTAGCAACTATCATGATGCCGTATAAGAATGGAACCCGATGCTTTTCACCCCCCTGCTAGGAGCAGTACGTCCTTCTTCAAATCAAGCAGCGAAAAGAATGTTCCCGCACGTGCTATGCGCAGCAGCAGCTGTTGTGCCGCTCTCAATTGCAGTCCCTACAACCTTGCGCCATGTAGTCCATGAACAACGGACCTCCCAGGCTCGAGACTGGGTTAAGACTAGTCGACTTGACAGCTCTGCCGTCTTGCCGATGCAGATCGGGCTTTCACAGAGCAATCTGGACAAGAGCCATGACTTAATCATGGAAGTGTCACATCCAGAGTCCCCCCTGTATGCTCAATGGTGGAGCGCTGATGCTGTCCACAACATGTTCGCCCCCACAGAGGAAACAATCAGCTCTGTCAAAGAATGGCTCGTGTCTGCTGGCATTGAAACATCGCGCATCGCGCAGTCTACCAGTAAGGGATGGATCTCCTTCGATGCATCCGTCGAAGAAGCCGAGGCCCTGTTCAAGACGGAATTTTATGAACATGAACACAAGAACACTGGCAAGCTGCGTGTCGGAAGCGATGAGTACGTGGGATCAAATACTGACGCTCTCTATGTCGACCCAACTGACCTTTCAGGTACTCCGTTCCTGAGCATCTGACTTCGCATATCGACTTCATAAAGCCTGGTGTGAAGCTGATGCCGGTGCAGAAGAGAATTGTGCCTGATCCATCGAAGAAGAAAGATAAGAGATACAGCCGCAGTCCCAGAAAGCCAATTGGCCGCGTTTCAGTCAAGGACGACCCATTCGCTGCCGAGTACCCCTGGGCCTATAAACCGCCGTCTGCTCGTGATTTGCCTCTCGACTTGCAAGATTGTGGCCGAAACATCACTCCGCCGTGCTATCAAGCCCTGTACGACATACCCAAGTCAGTCGCCGCAGTCGAGGGACTCGGCCTTGGTTTATTCGAGCAAGGTGATTATTTCTCTAAAGCCGACTTGGATCAAAGCTATGCTGCTTATGCTCCCTGGATACCAAATGGAACGTATCCCATCAATGCCACTATCGATGGAGCGCAATATGACTTTCCCCAGAATGCCACGGACTTTGTTGGAGGAGAGGCGAATCTAGATATTTACATCGCGTGCGCAAGTTCCCCTAACGCATATCCAATGTTTGCTAAATCTCTAATAGGACGGCTTTGATCTATCCACAAAACGTAACTCTCTACCAAGTCGATGATCAGATTTACGCCCCAGTAGAAGTTGCAGGGGTGAATCTTTTCAACACATTCTTAGATGCAGTTGATGGTGTATGTGCTCTATGTCAGAAACTAGACACAAGTTAACGGGAACCCAGTCATACTGCACGTATTCCGCATATGGGGAGACAGGCGACAACCCAGCCATTGATCCCGTTTATCCAAACCCAAATCCAGCTGGTTACCAAGGTAAAGTAAAGATTTAAGCGGTTCTTCGTCCCCGCTAACGCATGCAGGACAACGCCAATGCGGCGTTTATAAGCCAACACCTGTGATAAGTGTCAGTTACGGAGAGGCGGAGGCAGACCTACCCCTTAATTATACAAAACGCCAGTGCAACGAGTTCTTGAAGCTCGGCCTCCAAGGTGTCTCAATCTTGATCTCCTCTGGGGATTATGGTGTTGCCTCATTTCCTGGCGATGGATCTGACAATGGATGTCTCGGCCCAGACTCCACTATATTCAATCCGCAATACCCCAACGGCTGTCCATATGTAACCTCTGTGGGAGGCACTATGCTCTACCCCAACCAAACAGTCCTCGACCCTGAGAGCGTAATGCAGGTTGGGCTGTCCGGAGCGCCTAATTTCAGCTCAGCTGGAGGATTCTCGAACTATTTTACGCAGCCTAATTACCAACAGAGTGCTGTATCGACCTATTTTACGAAACATGATCCGAGTTACCCCTACTATGAACAATTCAACCCAAACTTCGATACTGTGCAAGGACTGTATAATCGGCTCGGACGGGGTTCACCAGATGTCTCAGCCAACGGAGCCAACCTGAGGGTCTTCACAAACGGTTTTGACTATCGCTTTTACGGAACGAGTCTCGCAGCGCCGCTTTTCGCCTCCATTATAACTTTGGTACTTGATACACTGACTCAACATGAAATCATGGGACTTTGACTAATGAATAACAGATCAATGAGAAGCGTGCCGCATACGGTAAAAGCACTGTTGGCTTTGTGAACCCAACCTTATATGCGAACCCTGAAGTGCTCAACGATATTATCAATGGCACCAACCTTGGCTGCGGAAGCGAGGGGTTTCAGGCTGTCCCAGGGTAATTTCTGCTTATGACTGTAGATGTAATAGGTTCACTAACTCGGTCTTGTCAGTTGGGACCCCGTCACTGGTTTGGGAACGCCGAATTATCCAAAGATGAAGGATCTATGGCTGTCATTGCCCTGATACCAACCATAATTTACCTGCGTAATGACCAGGAATTAATGGTGATCATTCCGGATTCAGAGGTTGGTGATCATACTTGTAGAACAGTCCAAGGGGCTGAGTACATAGGTACGGTTCCAGGAAGCCTAAGATCTTGCCCTTTTGCGCAACTTTCGGTCAGTGGACTGGCCGATGCCATTCAGGAAGCTATTATTACCCAGCCAGATGGAATCAACCAATTTATCTTTTCTGTCATTAATAAACTTCGGCATGAATACTTGTGCCATCCAAGCGAATACTGTGATATGCATGTAAACAGTACAATACGTAATGCTTATTATCATATCACCTCGAAAGATCCCCAAGTACGGAGTCTTATCGGGGTTGAGTCACCCGGTTAGTGCATGCTGGTGACGGGAAAGAGTGGGTCGCAAATGCAACTTTCTAAATTTCTCACACGAGAGGAGAATTTGGTGACGATCATATAGAAAACTTGATGATTGCCCGTTGAAACGGAAAAGTTTTGACTTTGACTCACAATTTCCACCACTTTCACGGAGTGAGCCTCAGTGACGACGCAGCAAACATGCGGGTTGAAGAGATCACAGACGAGGTGGCTGAGAAGCTCAAGGTCACACAAGAAACCCAAGAATCGCCGGAGGCGACCTCACAAGATGCGCCAGCTCCGAGCGCAGCAGCTCCGGAGGGCGGACCCAGCGTCATGGGACCCGAGATGTCAGAGGCCCGGGCTATGACGAATAACAAGACGGTGGATGAGGTGTGGAGGGAGCTGAACAAGTCCCCGCTGTTCATGACGGAGCTCGAGGAGAACGACGATACGGAGGCACTGCGAGCGCTGGCGTACGAGGGCACACCGCTCGAGGTCGCCACGGACTTCAAGGAGCGCGGCAACGAGTACTTCCGGGCCAAGCGTTGGAATGATGCCTGCGAGTTCTACGAGAAGGGCATCCTAGTACTGCGGGGCGAGGAGCGCAAGCGCGCCGGCCGCGACATCCAAGGCCGTGTCATCGAGGCGTCCGAAACCGAGCCTGATGAGCCTGAGGAGGTCGAGAAGCAGCGCACCTTGCTTGAGAGCATGTATGTGAACCGCGCTGCCAGCCATCTGGAGCTCAAGAACTACCGCAGCTGCTGGCTAGACGGCGCTGCGGCGCTGCGGCTCAACCCGAAGAACATCAAGGCATACTACCGCTCCGCCAAGGCGCTTCTGGCCGTGGACCGTATCGAGGAGGCTGACGACGCGTGCGCGCGCGGCCTGGCGCTCGACGAGGAGAACAAGGCGCTGCGGGCTGTGGCGCAGGAGATCATCAAGAAGAACGAGCTCGTCGTGGCGCGGAAGAAGAGGGAGAACGAGAGGCTGGCCAAGGAAAAGCGGCGCGAGCTGTTGCTAAAAGCAGCGCTGAAGGCCAGGGGCATCCGGATGAGGTCGACGGAGAAGCCGCCGGAGATGGAGGACGCACGCGTGCGTCTGGTTCCGGACGAGGACGACCCGACCAGCACCCTCAGCTTCCCCACCGTGCTGCTGTACCCAGCGGACCTGGAGTCCGACTTCATTAAGGCATTCAACGAGCAGGAGACGGTGGCAGACCATCTGTCCTACGTATTCCCGCTGCCCTGGGATAAAAACGGAGACTATACTTTGGTCGCTGTCGAGTGCTACATGGATACTGTCACCGGTGGGCTGATCAAGGTGGGCAAGAAGGCACCGCTCTTGAAGATACTCTCTTCGGATAAGGTAGAGGTGGTCGATGAGGTTGTCAGGTTATTCGTGTTGCCCAAGGCCAAGGCCGAGAGCTGGGTCCAGGATTACAAGAGCAAGAAGGCCGCCGAAAAAGGTAGCTAGACTTTCATCATAGTTCAAAAAAAGAAAAAGAAACTACGTCACATGGACAAGAGACCATAGCTTCTTGATTTGAGTAAACAGTGTGTTGGTTGCCTTGATATGATGTTTACCTGGGCAAGCGAGATCGCCGGCACAAGGGAACATGCTCTCCTAAAACTGCCCTGTGCGTTTCAAATAGAGTTTTGTAATTCAGACAGCCTTCCTCGAAACTCCAATTAGATGATGGCATCCATGTTCAAAGGCACAGCCGCCTTTCGTGGGTGACACACGTCCTCAACCAGATGCAGATAGATTACACGAGAGCACCGATACTCAACCACCAATGGGCGTGGTCGCCCTATTATATCCTCCAAGAAAATAGTCACATTGAGCTAGCCCTCGACCTCTTAACCCTCGGAAATGCGGTGTCAACCGGCGAAGCGGTTTCCGAGGTCGTGCCTAAGTCCTTCCCATCTCTCTTGGCCCCTGCGTCGCGGACGCTCAGGTTCATGAGGAGCAGCGCTGCATTTTTCTCAGCGCCAATCGCAGACTCCATCATCTTGTTCTCTAGCGGGCTGGTAGCTGCTGTGCTGGGTCCTGTAGCAGTCCTACTCTCGCCACCGTCGTATTCGCAGTCTGTGTCGATATGTTCTGCGGAGCGTTTTGGCCTCCAATGATTGGCGGTCGGGGGGTACGCCTGTACTGTCTGAGGGTGATTGCGAGGATAACGTCCATCCCGGACATGAGGTTGGGTTGAAGGCTGAGAAGGCGTGCAAAGATGATAAGGTTGATTGCTCGTGAATCTTGGCACGGCACTTAGCCAAGGACTCGGCGGAGGGGCATCATAGTGATGTGTTGCGTTCGCCGGTGTCCAGCCGCTGTGGACGCGATGTTGAGCGACAGGTGGTATAGAATAATGGAATCGATCCTGCAAAACTCGAACAGATGCCGGAGAGATCTCACCATCCGTATCGGTTACGTAGGGGCTGTCGCAATGTAGATATGGTCGGCGAAGTCGATGACGGGGGTAATGCCGATGATCATCGTAGACGCCTTTGAAAATTTTACGCTCCCTCTTTGGGACAGCATTGGCGGCGGAGGTCACCATATTTGTGAACAACCGGCGGTAGCGCTCAGCTTCTGTGGTCGATTGGATGACAGTAGCTGGATCGATAATCATGCGACCGTGTTCAGGGGCCTCCGGTGGTATACATTGGGAAGGGAACTCTGGGCCGAAGAGAGGAATTAGGGCACCAGCGATATGATGGCAGAACGTCGCGCAAACAGCTTTTGCACACTGAAAGGGCATCCAGTAACCTGAATATCAGTCAGACACGCTTGTCAATACCAGTAGACGCCGATTTGGAGTTAGGTGTACCTTGAGCCATAATCGAACCGCCAGTAATACTGTGAGTGATCTCCTTGAGACCAGGATTCATATTAAGCATCTTTGCCGGGGTAGTCTACCTAAAGTTAGCATGCAACTCAACATGAGGCTCAGGATTAATCTGCCTTTGAATATTTGCAGCACTTGAAGAAAGGTGTCATGCGAACGAGGCCGACATTGTAGTCCCACATGACGGCATACTCGGAGTCATCTCCAGGAACCTTGAAAACGTATTGAAAGACTGTGATTGGATCAGCAAGCCAATTTCTGCGAAGCACTACTCCCGAGGACCCGTTTACCTTCAAAACTTTCTCGGCCAGTCTTTTCGAAGAAGTCCTTCTTCCCACTGTTGTATGGAATGTGCCGGCAATAATCCTGTATCTTCCCGAAGGGAAATACTTGGTACTTCTGGACTTCACGCAAGGAGGCATCGTCGAGCCTCTCGAACGGATAGAAGTGCACGGAACCCTTGACTTTCCCCTTTGTGAACACCGCGGCATCTTTTGCCATCTTGTGCTTCGGCATCATAGGTCGATCGAGGAATACAGGCTCATCAGCAAGTGAAGCAGTTGGCGAGACGGACGAAGCAGGGCTTGGAAGTAGTCGATTGTGAATTGAAGGCCCCGAGGGAGCAGGATTTAGAAGGGAGGCCACGGAGAGCATGGCGGTGAGTGGTGCGCTGAGGAATGTCTTGGATATTGGATGTAGAGCCACTGCAAGTGTGAAGTTGTCGACTGTGGGCTACAGGGCTCTGGTGGAAGAAGAGCCAGACAACTCAGACAGCACTTGCAGTAGGAGCCCCAGAAAAGGAGAGGGGGGGAGGACCGACTCCTTTTCAGATCAACAAACAGATTGGTTTCTATGGCGGCTCCCCAAGAAAATGAGCCGAGGATGGCACAAGGCCACCGAGATTGCTTCTTTCTTGACGGTATCCGGTCATGCAGGTGTATGCAAATCACATGGCGGTGACCGGTATAGCCTTGTCGAGATATGTATTCGGTGCAGCTTCCTTTGTCGAAGCAGTCTTGGAATCGACCTGTGAGAGTAGCGAAGTCCGTTTGTGTACGCCCACCGCTCTTTGGGAGATCGAGTTCAAAGCCACCAAGTGACAGGTGACCGGGCACAGGCGAGGCAGCGCGAGAGCTAGCAGCTTGATGACTATCTACAACTTACAGCGACGGAGTAGCCGAGCTAAATGTCAGGCCGAGAGCTCAACCTGGCTGTGCAACGACCTCCTGACGGAGCTCGATGTTTCGGAACCTAGGAACTGGAGAGCGCCAAAGTTACTGTCGACTCCGTACCTCAGCGGTACGGATAGATCCAAAGTAAAGTTAGACGCGTATGAGTCCCTGTCGCTGATTTTAGGACTTCATCGAGGATAGCAATGTTTCAGTCCATCTCACCAGCTCAGTTGCTGGCCCGAAAGGGGTGATCACAGGCGACTGCATGACGCAGCGGATCTGTCGCCAGAGACAACAAATGAGTTTGGCACAACAAATATTGGGCAGTCATGAGCCCAAACAGGGAGCTGGCTTGTTTGAAAATACATAGAGGAGTTTTGACAGAAAGCAACTTGTCGGATGGCTGCATATGGTGCCGGGACACTTACCAGGCTAGCCGGGTTTCCCAAGAGTGTAGAACAAAGAAACCGCTGTCCTCAGCAGATCAGAACCTAGACAAATATTGCTTGACTCGACACACGTGTACCCATGACTCCCAACTCAGATGGGAGGGGAAATCCACACATCATTTTTCGTGACGAGGCTTCCTTCCCCAACTGGCGCTCCACTGTCAGAGCAGAAGTTGCGAATTATTCACCAAATGTCTTGATCCTCACCGCCGAGAAGGCGACTGCTACAGTGGAGACTTACTGTGCATAGCCGTGCAGTTCAGAGCGTAGGTTTGGGGATAGACGACCTACCGATATGATCGTCGGCCCGGAGTCTTACGGCTTGCAAGAGAGCTTGAATTCTGTCAAGAGATTCTCTAGCTGGGCTTGATGTGGATGTCGCAGAGTCACTACATCGACCCTTGTTTTCCCTATGGGCTTTAGAGTGTACAAGCACCACAATTGTCCAGATGAAACACAGAAGGTGGAATCTTGCCCTTCTTTGACAGAACGATAATCGACATAAACGACCAGATGGTGTTGGTGAAGGAATTCATGGGAAAGCTCCCCGGAGATATTATAAAGCGTTGCAGGAACCCTTCGAATATTATATATGTCGTAATCAAAAAAGAAAATTTCGGGTTCATATATCGAATTCGTTCTAGAGGCGTTATGGTGACATATTTCGCTAGATGTAGTGACAAACGGGTATAGACTCGGATACTGGACTCGCCAAGCAGGATGTGCCGTGGATCATAGGGCGCCTATTTCGCTGGAAAACTTTAGGCAAGGTATAAACTTTGTTCCCGATGTAGTGAGCCTGCAAATGCGAAGATCCAGAGTGTCTCGAGTCAGTGGCCACCCCTCGGAGACGCCCAGCAGCTCGCATTCCTCAACCACTCTACGTGCTGCAGCTAGCCGTGAGAGGATAGACGTCTGAATGCTGCAGCAAATCAGGGCCTAAGCTGTATATGTCTCCAAACGGATAGGGCAAGTGGGGAGAGGTCACATTGGACAAGGTCGAGCGCGGACAAAGAGATCCATGGCAACATGCTTATCAGGCCGTGAGAGACCTGAGATCAAGCTTATTATTCCGTGTAATTGCTTGTAACATGACACGATTGATACCTAAAGCCGGGATGAGAGGACGCCCCACGCGTTCTCAAGGACACGGCCAAGGTGGAAGAGGGCATGCCAATTTCGGTAATCCATTGCAACATGACCAGGTGTGTAGGGATGATGGAACATGGGTCCGGCGGCAACAAAGGCAGATGGCATCGACTAGCGATCGGCTCTTCCCCGCGTTCTCGCCTTTCCAATGTCTGGATCTGGCCAAGTCTGAGGCTCATCAGTGCCCTCTCTGGCGGTGGTAAAGTTTCAGATGATTGTACAGTGGGCTGCCTGTGGTACAGCATTGGATGACAGGAGTGCATAGACACCTGGGCTTTGGCGTGCGGTGGAACCTTGGACAGGGCCGGGTGTGTACCTTGACTTCGGGATGCTTTCTTTACCTATTTCGTCCACGGGAGCAATTGTCTGCAGGTCGTACGCGCATGAGGGGCGGAGAAAAAAAACCAATGGTTTCTGATGAGCCCCGGACAGCCATGTGTCGTTGTAGGACACATTCGCACAAGAGCCCAGGGCCACCGACGCGTTCATCAGCACGGAGGCTGATACTATTGGCTTTGCTGGCGATGGGGTGTTCGGTTCGGGGGTCTTGTCAAATTTGACGGTCTCTTGGGCTAATGTCTTTCTGGGGGATTGGGAATCGGGCCTTTGGATAGCTTGCCCTGCCGATCCGCGTGTAATGAGGAAGCGGCGTAGAGCCAGCCCTGAATAAGGCCATCCACTTCCAGCAACATCAACACCACCCAAGTGCCTACAGGACCTTGAGCTGAAGTAGTTAGATGGAAGCGCTCTGATATGTACAAGCGCTGCCGTACTACAACCCGCCTCCTGTACAGGCGGTGCCTCTCGACGACCTATGCGAGGCGGGCTCAATCGAATCGCAGAGTAAGGGCTGTTACATCAGTCATCAGTGCCACAGCCGACGAGTCTGTGGCATCTCACTTCTTTATCATTATGATTTTTCTTTCCTACTTCTGGGACCAAGGTAGCTAGTAGCTCCACCAGAGTGAATGGCACAAGCTAAACTATGTACGCACCGACGTAGGGAAGGTGAGCAGGCCATGTTATGGTACCCAAGAACCTTGCCGACGAAACTACCACTTGTCGTCCATAATCGCCACTCATACTCCGGGATGAGAGTTTCCAAGAAATGCAGCTTGGTATCCAGAGAGAAGTTCAAGCCGTGCCGTTCTTCAGTCTGCCATGAGAGTCGTGCCAGTCCCATTCATTCACCAAGGGGTGTGCAAGGCGAAAGGGCAGTGGGACTGGACAGTTCATTCCCATCCCAGGCGGACTTGTTATTGGAAGGAAAGAGAAGGCCTCAAGGCCTCACCTTCGCAAACAACCGAGCTGGGCTTGCTGGATGGAGTGCCACAAATATGGTCCGTGCGTGTTATTGACATGCGCCACACCCAGCCACCCCGCCAGGCCCGCCTTGCCAATTCGCTTTTGAAGTCCAGGGCTTTTTTTAGGGGGTGGGGTTCTGGTGAAACCCCCCTGCGGGCTAGCAGCCCAGCGCCCGGCACCCAGTTTGCCAGTTAGCGACGCAAGACGCGTTAGACGCGGCCGCCCCGACTTTGGCCAGAAATAAACAACGTCGCTTCACATCTCGAGGCACAATCAAAACAACCCACCAACGTCGTTCACTTCGCGACCCCCCATCGCATCGCGACAACCTTTCACTTCCCACATCGAGGACTGTGTCCCGCATAGTCTGTTTTGTTCTTCTCACCCAACGTTGATGAAGAGCAGCCCTTCATTAGGCCGCGTCCTCTCATCCCTTCATTCCACCAAGTAGCCTTCAGGCATCGATCGCTCCTCCTCTCTCCGTGCGTCGACACGCCTGCGCAGCGCTGCGTCGCATACACCGTCGCCATGGACTCTGATATCATGGATGACTCCGTCTTTGATGACGACGTCGAGAATGACTCAGATGCCTTCTCACCCGAGCCTGTAAGTTGCAATATGTCATCCTGATTGACGTTGGCCCCAGGCCATGATCGTCACAGTTCGCGTCACAATTCAGTCACTCACCACGCCCACCTCCCCACAACACCAGCACCAGAACTGATTTTATCCCGCCGCAGAAACCCAAGGCCAAAGCTAAGCCTGCCGTAAAGAAGGCAGCAGTCAAGGCCGCCCCCAAAAAGATGGTTCAGACAACCCTGAAAACCGCCAAAGCCGTGCCCAAGAAGCGCGCAAAGCCCGCAAGCGACGACGAGGGCGACGACGATGACGCCAACTCAGACTTCTCCCACACCCCGCCCAACGCCAAGAAGCAGAAGAAGGCCCCCGCGGCCAAGAAATCTGCAGGCAAGCCGCTGGAGGAGATCGAGAACGACAGCATGATGCTGGATGGACCTGCGGACGACAAGTCTGCATCTGCAAAGGACAAGACGGCGACTGAGAAATACCAGAAGCTGACCCAGCTGGAGCACATTATCAAGCGACCTGACACATACATCGGTTCCGTAGAGCGTACCTCGCAACCAATGTGGACCTTCAATAAGGAGACCAAGCAAATGGAGCACCGCGATGTCAGCTATGTGCCCGGTCTTTACAAGATCTTTGACGAGATCCTCGTCAACGCTGCCGACAACAAGCAAACAGACCCGAACATGACCTTCATAAAGGTTACCGTGGACCGCGAGGCCGGCCTAATCACAGTCGAGAACAACGGCAAAGGTATCCCCGTGGAGATGCATGAGAAGGAGGGAGTGCTTATTCCGGAGCTGGTTTTTGGCCATCTTCTTGCCGGATCAAACTTTGACGACAATGAGAAGAGGACCGTCGGTGGTCGAAACGGTTACGGAGCGAAGCTCTGCAACGTCTTCAGTACAGAGTTCACCTTGGAATGTCAGGATCAAAAGAACGGCAAGAGATATAAGCAGACCTGGCGCGACAACATGAGCAAGATGGAAAAGGCCAAAGTCACATCCAACAAATCCGCCGACTTTGTTAGGGTTACGTTCAAGCCCGACTTTGTCCGCTTTGGAATGCCGGACGGTATCGATGATGACCTCGAAAGCATCATCTATCGCAGAGTTTACGACATGGCGGGCACTGTTCGCAAGGTCAAGGTCTACCTCAACGATACTTGGCTCAAGTTGGACTTTGCCAAGTACTGTGAGATGTATGCCAAGGCCATCGCAGCCGAGCGCGAAGCCGAGGAGGGTGCCGAGCCTAATAAGTCATCTGTCATCCTTGAGGATTCCACTGGCCACCCGCGATGGGAGATTGCGTTCGCCGTGTCAGACGGCTCCTTCCGCCAGGTCTCGTTTGTCAACTCCATCGCTACCACTCAGGGTGGTACGCATATCAGCTTCATCGCCGACAAGATCAGTAATGCTCTACTCGCACACTTGAACAAGAAAAAGAAGGGCCATACCTTGAAAGCCAACCATGTCAGGAACCACATCTTTATCTTCGTCAACTGTCTGATCAACAACCCGGCCTTCTCGTCTCAGACCAAGGAGCAGATGACTACTAAAGCAAGCCAGTTTGGTAGCAAATGCGATTTGAGTGACAAGTTCTTGAAAGCGATCGCCAAGACAGATGCCATCCAAAACATTATTGATTTTGCCGAGCGCAAGGCTGATAAGCTGATGGCAAAGAGCGATGGCAACAAGCGCTCAAGAATCAGCAACGCCAAACTTGTCGACGCCAACTTGGCTGGCACCAAGCATGGCCACGAATGCACCCTGATCTTGACAGAAGGTGACTCGGCCAAGAGTTTGGCTGTCGCCGGCCGTGCTATCTTGGACCCTGACCGTATTGGTGTCTTCCCCTTGCGAGGCAAAATGCTCAACGTTCGTGACGCGTCGATCGACCAGATTTCAAAGAATTCCGAGATTCAGAACATCAAACAGTTCCTCGGCTTGAAACACAAACAGCACTACACGGATACTAAAGGTCTCCGATACGGGCACTTGATGATTATGGCCGATCAGGATCATGATGGTAGTCATATCAAGGGGTTATTGATCAACTTCTTGCAAGTTCAATATCCCTCTCTGCTCAAGATTCCTGAATTTTTTAGAGAGTTTATCACTCCTATCGTCAAGGTTTGGCAGGGCCCTAACCCCAAGAAGCCCCAAAAGCTGTTGTCTTTCTTCACCCAGCCTCAGTACGAGGAGTGGAAAGCAGGCCAAACCGAGCTTAAGAAATGGCACTACAAGTACTTCAAGGGTTTGGGTACCAGCTCCAACGAGGATGCCCAAGTCTACTTCACCAACCTCGACGACCACTTGAAGGAGTTCAATGTCATGCAGCCCGACGAGGCTGAGCTTTTCGAGCTTGCTTTCTCCAAGAAGAAGGCCGACGCTCGAAAGGAATGGCTCGGAAACTTTGTACCTGGCACATTCCTTGACCACTCGACCAAATCAATCACGTACAACGACTTTGTCAATAGGGAGTTGATTCTTTTCAGTATGGCAGACAACATGCGTTCCATCCCCTCGATGCTTGACGGCCTCAAGCCTGGACAACGCAAAGTCCTTTTCGCTTGCTTGAAGCGAAACATTACCAAGGACAAGAAAGTTGCGGAATTGGCAGGTTATGTGTCCGAGCAGACTGCATATCACCACGGCGAAGTGTCATTGCAAATGACCATTGTCAACTTGGCACAAAACTTTGTGGGGTCCAACAATGTCAATATCCTTGAGCCCAGTGGTAACTTCGGTTCTCGCCTCGCCGGTGGGTCCGATGCTGCCAGTGCTCGTTATATTTACACAAGACTCTCCCCCTTCGCCCGCAAGATATTCTCGCCTCTTGATGAGCCCAACTTAGAGGATCTCGTAGAAGACGGAAAGAGGATCGAGCCGAAAGTCTACGCCCCCATCCTTCCGATGGTCCTTGTCAATGGTGCAGATGGTATTGGCACTGGATGGAGTACAAACATCCCCAACTATGATCCTTTGGTAATCATTGAGAACATCAAGCGACGCATGGGGCGCCTTGATGGTGAAGAGGAGAAGCCTTTCGAGCCGATGAGCCCTTGGTTCCGAGGCTGGAAAGGCGAGCCAGAACCAGCCGGTCCCAATCGCTACGCGTTCAACGGTCTTTGCTATGTCGACGAGAAGAAACCTGAAGTCGTTATTACCGAGCTTCCCGTTCGCCAGTGGACGGATGATTTCAAGGCCAAGTTAGAAGAGGTCATCAAAGGAGAAAAGGGGCCGTCTTGGATCAAAGACTACAAGGAGTTCAACGACCACAAGAATGTGCACTTTGAGATTCAAGTGGATGAAAAGGTCGCCGCTGAACTTCGAACTAGCAAAGAAAAGCTTCTTGAAAAGTTCAAGCTCACGAAGCAGATTCCTACTTCCAACCTGGTAGCATTCAACACCCGCGGAATGATCCAGAAGTATGAGAACGTGGAAGAGATTCTCGAAGAGTTCTATGTCTACCGTTTGAAAAAGTACAAGGAACGCAAGGTATGTTCTCTCACTGCATCGCCTGCGAGTTTTGAGCGACACTAACAGCCACAGGCCCATTGGCTTGGCGTTTTGGAATCTGAGCATCGCAAGTTAAGCAACCAAGCTCGGTTCATCAAGGCAATCATGGACAGCGAGCTTGTGGTCAACCGCAAGAAGAAGCAGGTGGTCGTAGAGGAGCTTCGCCAGAAAAAATACGACCCGTTCCCAAAACATTCCGATACCAAGAAGGCCAAGTCTGATGAAGATGAGGTCGACGCCGAAGGAGAGGAAGAGGTTGAGACCGAGAGCGATGCTGGCACTCGAGACTACGATTACCTTCTCTCGGTAAGCTCACTGGTGCCCACTCTACATTTTTACTTTGCTGATAGTCACAGATGCCAATCTGGTCTTTCACCCAGGAACGTCTTGACAGACTCAAGGACCAGCTCATCAAGAAGAAGGCTGAACACGACGAGCTTGAGGCCAAGAGCGAGAAAGATCTGTGGTGTACTGATCTCGACGAGTTCGAAGCGGAATGGCACAACCAGTTGCGCCTCGACGCTGAGATCACCACGTCTATCCGCCGCATGGGTCGTCGTGTATCGAAGAAGATTGGCGCCGGACGTGGCCGCAAGGCCAAGGATGACGATGACTATGCACCTGCTGCCAAGACCAAGGCTGCCTCAAAGAAGGTGATCAAGCCTACGGTCGTAGAGCAAAAGACCCACCAGCGTTTTGCAGACAAGTTCACCAACAGGCCCAAGAAGAGCACTGACGGTGCTGATGATGAGTCTGATGCCTTCTCCGACGACGACTATGCTGCGCTCAAGAGCAAACCAGCCAAGAAGGCCCCAGCTCCCGAGCCATCGCCCAAAGCTGAGTCTGATCTGGAGGAAGATGAAGTTGTAGCTCCGGCACCTACTCGTGGGAAGCGCGCTGCGGCGGCCAAGGCCAAGACGTTCATAATTGATGACGATGATGACTTTGCGAGCTCAGACGATGACGATAACATGCTCGGCGACGTTGGCGCCCTTGTCAAGGGCATTCCCGGCACCACTGGCGACTCGGGTGACAACAAGCCTGGCCGACTTAGTCTGTTTGCCATGTCCCGGCCCGACAGCAGCCACGGTGGGTCTGCGGCAGTGAAGTCCAAATCCAAGCCCAACAAGACTTTTGAGTTCGATTCTCACGACGACACAAACTATGAGATGCTGGCTAGGCCAAGCCCGCACAAGTCGCCGTTCACTCGGAACGAGGTGGATGATTTCTTGAGCGATGATGACCTTCTGCCGACGAAGCCGGCTGTCAAGGCTGTGGCATCCAAGACGAAGAAATCAGCCTCTCCAGTTGAGGATTCTAACCCTCCTGCCGCCGCCCCAGCCAAGAAGGCCCGTGGTCGTCCGGCCGGCAGCAAGTCCAAGGCCAAGGAGGCCGAACCAGCAGCCAAGAAGAAAACTGCGGCGCCTGCCAAACCTGTCCAGCTGTCGCCCGCGGCCAAGCTTTACGCCAAGAAGAAGGGCGTCGAGAAAGCCAAGTCCAAGAAGGACCCCTTCGACATGGATGACGACGATGAAGACGAGGAGATGGCAGAACCTGACTCCCCTCCGCCGAAGCCTGTGGCGCGAAGCCGTGCCGGCCGTGCCGCCGCGACGAAGAAGAAGCCGGTTTATGTCGTTGATGACGACGAGGATGAGAGTATGGAGGATGAGGTGGCCGATGAGGCCCAGGGCAATGAGAGCGATGATTTTGCTATGGATGACTCGGACTAGATCCATCGCTGCCACTAATACCAATGAAGCTCTGGTGGATCTGGGCGGTGAGGGCTTCCTGAGTTCTTTCACCGAGGGTGGTCATGACTTGGTTTTGGGAGACTATGGTTGACTTTGACCTTGGCGTTTGCTCTGTGGTTGCTTATACAGTCTTTTGAGGAGGCCATGCGTTTTCCTTTGCTTGCAGCCAGTACATGGCTGCAGTTTCGTCCCCAACGCCCTCGTGCGTTTTCCTTACGCTGAGATCACGATTTCTATTGTACCATAGGTTTTGAGGCGCCCGTACTTGTAATACAGGGTCATGACACCGGACATGCTTAGAGTGCTCGTGATGTGTTGACACAAATTGGCTACCCGAGTTGTGTGCTGGCCGTGAATAGTGCTATAATATTGAGCTGTGGTTAATATGCTATTTTGGTCTGCGTATATAATCGCTACGTTTTACACGAGTAAGTTAAACGGTACCAAGCCCAAATCTGCATCAGCCTTGTACAGCGGCTCCATGATGTGCCGGCACGGAGCTTTTCGGCCGGTCCACGGGATGCGACAAAGAGACAACTTGGCAAAACTGGTTGAGTCATCATCATTGGAGGGCTATATTAAGTAATTCAAACGATTATACTGGATCGTGGGGCATTGGAAAAGCGAGAAAGCTGGCAGGCAGATTGGGAGCGATCTGCCCCAGCGGGTGGAACTATGATCTCCAAGTTTATCACGGCGGATACTGCGTCATTCGTCACGCAACGCGCGAGATCTGGATTTCGTCAATACCCATCCCCCTCAAGACCAGAGCTAGTGTCTTAGGGGGCGGCGTGGCGGCCAGCGAGCGCGCCGGCCAATCAGAGGCGGCCCAGATGAGGTGTCGTGTGCTCCAAGAATCACATGCATAAAGGTGACGACATGGGGGCACCGGCCAGGCAAGCCCAGCTTTCAGGGACAGCTTCGCGAGACGTGAGTAACAACACCAAGAAGTGGGCCCAGTCACCTGGGAAGGAGATGTGTTCAGATGAACACTTGGGCAGCAGATTCACAGGCGTGGGTTTCGATAGCGCCCGGGTGACACCGTCATTCTGTGAATCCAATCCCATCCCACCTCGAGTTGGAGGGGTTCGTGGCTGTTGGATAACCGGTTTCCAAGGGGTGGAGGTTTGCGCCATGCTGCCATTAGGCTCTACCTAGGTACTGTAGCTCTAGCTCTTAGCTGTGGGAGTCTGTTTTTTCTTCCCCTGCCTCGATGGCGCGCTCGGGGTGCTTAGGGTGCCCATGATGTACGTGTGTGGGGCCCAGCCAGTGCGTCGCGCGCCCGAAACAAGCGGGCGGCAGCCAGTCTAGCCTCTGCGCAACGTCCGATGGACGATCCGATCGTACGTCTTTTGGACGACGACCGCACTGTAGGCCACGGAAACGTCGGGTCTGTCTGTTCTCGCGTTGCGGACAGGGGGTTGGTCCATCAGTGAGCAGAGATGCTGTCAGGTAGATAGGTGCAGTACCAGCTCATTGAGAGAACAGCTCGGCGCGTGGTATGCATGGGGCCCCCCGGGACTTCAGTGCTGCCTGCATTTTGCTGTCGTGTGTTTCAAAGATATGACACGCCTGAGGTGCGCAACACACCCAAGCATTTTGTCTCGTCTCGGACAATGGAGTATGCGCCGCCCGCAGCTTGGGACACTTGCGCTGCAGGCAAAGGGACGTAAAGCACCAGAGACGAGATTGTACCCTCTGTAACCACATACTAACTTACCCTTTTGTTCTCCGGCAAAGAAAGCTTCGAATCTGTAGCTGAGGCAGAGCCCATATGTACGTCCGTCGGTGCAGAATCGCGAAAAGCAACCGGCAGAGGAGCTATGATGGATAGAAGCAAGCTAGCTGGCAGGGCGTCGGCGCTAGCAGTCATCACGGCGCCTGGCCGCAAGAAAGACGAAATAAAATAAATAAATAAAAAAAGTGAGTTGCCAGTAAAGGGGAAGCACGGGCCCCTTCGAAAGGACGGGATGTGCTGTATTTCCATTGACTTCACTTCGTTGCTGTGTCGTCACAAGGGGACCCCCCTCCCCCGAGCTAGCCAATTTCGTTTCGAGACAGGGCAAAGCGTCATTCTCCTTTCCACCCGAAAATATCCAGCTCGTCCTCACACACCACAGCTGCCTGTATCTACACACACACACACACTCATACCATACACACACACTCTGTGCATCTTGTCCTGAGAATCTCCTCCATCCGCCCGCTGCTCGCAAAGGTCTCATCACCAACTTCCACTCTCAAGATCCGCATCCTCTTCATCCCATACTCACCAACCCGAAAACCGCCGCAATGGCCGACACTGCGCCCGCTGCCAACGGCGGCTCCATCGACTCCCTGAAAGGCAGTATGTTTCAGATGCTCTTCCGATCGCTCCGGCCACGCTCGCGATGCTGATAACCCCAACCACAGATGCTCAAGCTGCCTATACCCAGCTCGCCAACGGTAAGCTACCCTCCCGCGTTCTCATTTCATGGTTTTATGCCTTATCTGTCCATCCTCCTGCGACCAACATGTACTGATGTCTCCCCGTGCTCTCGCCAGGCCCCGTTGCTCAGAACGTCAAGGACCAGTCAGCCAAGACCAGCTCCGAGTTCTCCAACCTCGCTGCTTCCAGACAAACACCCTCCCAGCCTGCTGCCACGGGCCAGCCCTTGACACACTATCACTCCTTCTTCTCGGAGCTGCTGTCATGGAACAACCCGCGAGCTTCGGCCATCGCCTACGCTAGTGTCGTATCCTTCATCTTCGCGGTTAGGTACCTCGACGTGCTCCGATACGGCTTCAAGCTCACCTGGATGGCCCTGGGCGTCACTGTCCTGGCCGAGCTTGCCGGCAAGACCGTTCTCAACAACGGCCTCGCCAGCCAGCTGCGTCCTCGCAAGTACTACACCATCCCTCGCGAGACCCTCGATGCTCTGATCGGCGACGTTCACGAGCTCATCAACTTCTTTGTCATCGAGGCCCAGCGCGTCTTCTTTGCTGAGAATGTCTGGGCTTCTGCTGCTGTAAGTTGCCTATCTCCCCTCTCATGGCCCTCCTGCGCCCTTACTGACGAGATCCCAAGGTCGCTGTCGCTGCCTTCTTCTCCTATTATCTCGCCAAGGTCGTTCCGTACTGGGGCCTCTCCCTGGTTGCTGCCACCATTGTCTTCTTCGTGCCTCTCATCTACACCTCCAACCAGGAGCTCATCGACCACCACCTGAAGCAGGCCCAGGACGTTGTCAACACCCAGACCGAGCAGTTCCGCCAGGTTGCCAGCAAGCACACCTCCCAGGCCACTGAGATCACCAAGCAGTACATGGGCGATTACACTACCAAGGCCCAGCAGATGCTCCGCGGCCGCAGCGCTTCTCCTGAGGCCGTCACCAAGCAGCCCAAGGAGGCCGACTTCCCGGCCGTTCCCAAGGAGCCGGCCTTCCCGGCTGTTCCCAAGGAGGACTTCAAGCACGACGAGCCCGTTGCCCCCGTCGCCGTGAAGACTGAAGAGGAGCCCTTGATCTAAATGACGGCAATAGCAGTCTGATCAAGCAATCAATAATACCCCACCTCCCTTGCTCCCCCTCTGTACAGAAAACTCCCTCTATACTGGATGGACCTGCTTATCCAGACGAACCTCCGACGATCCCCCCAATACACACACACGACATTGTTACGACTCATGGCATAAGAGATACGACACTGGGTGCTCTGATGAACGGAGTAGACAGCTGGGTTCCCTTCGGCGTTGCAGTTGAACGAGATTGGCATCTGTGGAAGAATGACCACGAGACGAGAACGCGAACATGCTTTAGGTGCGCAGTAAGTAGTAATAGTTCGAGATTATACTACGACGTTTTTCGGTACCCTTCTTTCTATCGTGGTGACATTTATGGTGATGAATTCATAGTAGCAGTGAGAGCAATTTTCAATCAAGTTCAGTGATGCGAAACTCACCCTCCAACGTTGTTCAGACAGCAGCAGGAGTTGATCGCTCCAGCTAATACACCTTCAAAACGGGCCTCGACAGAGCATATTGATGAGAGCACTAGTATACTAGTTGACTATCTAATACTTGATACGCGTGCAAGTCCACCTAACCAGTTCGACCTTCTACTGCACTCCCGCCTCCTGGCTCGCAATACTGCGGCCCATGGCTCTGCGGCGTCGATACTCCCGCAGAATGTAGACACCATACACGAGCCAGAGCACTATAAGTAACACCGATAACACCAGGCTGGTCCACAATAAAACGTCGCGGCCGTGTATATCCCTCTGATATAACCGTCCTGCCGTGCCTTGGGCTTCTGCTCCGCTACCAGCGTGTTCCGCAGTTTTCAGGGTCATGGTCGTCGCTGCTGGGTATGACGACATGCTTCAGGTGAGCGTAAGATCGTCTGCTTCGCGGCCGTGTGTGAGCGATGACGTCCACGGGGGTGTGGTGGTCGTCAGGGCGGTTGGGGCTCGTCGCCAGGTTCCAATTGGAGGAAAGGCAAGTGCTAGTAATGTGCGTTCGCGCGTTGACGGTTTCACGCCTGGTGGATCATGTCTGCGATGCCGTTTGTTTCTATAGCGGAGATACGGAATTCAGATGGACTATTTCCTGTGCAGAGATCTAGCACTTGGTCCGGACGGTAATGTCGTTTGCTTTTGACCATGAGGGGGTGGAGCGATGGATCCCAGCGAGGGCCGCTCGAAAATCGAAATCGTCTTACGAGGGGCAGATGAAATACTGATAGTTGATGGAGCGTGACACCGGATGGCTGTGGGTATAGGATGACTGTATCAAGTTGATGTTGGAGTTCAATGGACGATAAATCGAGGTTCAGTTCGGGAGCCCAGACCAGTGCCAGCATTCGTCCTGTAGCTCAGGGAACCTCCTGACTTGCAGCTAGCTCTTTCTTCTGTTTGCTTCTGGCGGGCCATTTACACCACACCATGGGAAGGAAGGCATACATGATTATGCGAACATGAGAAAGAGCTATCTGTCCTAGTCTGACGATGCATCTCGAGGTGAACCTGCGTCTTCCATAAACTCACATGAGGAGTATAACATACATCTTTCCCGCCGCGTCTCGATTGTACAGCAAGTATCATTATGCGTAGCGTTTGTGTGTGGTTTTGGTCACTCTTGTCTGGAAACGGCTGAAATCTTCCATCCCGACGCTATCACATCCAAGCGGACACTGTTGTAGCACATCTTCAGCATATTAGATATCTGAGGAAATCTGGTTTTCCAATCTTGCGATGACAATAGCGTCTTCCTTATCAACCAAAGAGATCACTGTAGCCGTTAAGTAATTATGACTTTCTGTTACAGAATCGTACTGTATAAATCAAGGGTATTCTTTGTGGTTTTACTCCTCAGCACGTACGAAGCCCCAATCCAATTACCGGGAAATCTCCCGCGAATGCCTTGTGTTCAGGGGACCGACGTGCCTAATAGAGAACTCATAGGCTTCCAGTATCGTCTATATAAAGATGTAATCTCATTTACCTTGACAAACACGCAGGTCCTCATAGTCCAGATTATGCTGCCATGTTTACATCGATGTAAGGAAAGGAGTCAACTTGCGTAATCTCAACTGTACAATCCGTAAACGGGGGACTGCTAAGCAAGGTTGATATGGGAATTATAGGATTTACATAGGGTGCTGCGGGTAAGGTGGGTAACGGGACACTTATGAGTATTAATACGGCTACCAGGTGCTGTTCTTTGGGCTCCCGATACTCCGACAACAAAAGCTATTATGAGGAAAGGTGGTGATTCTCCGAGACCATACTCAGTCTGCTGCCGTGGAAGTTTACCAGGGTTCGTAATGGCCAAGAGATAGAGATGGTATGACAGAGTACGTTCCTTGGATCGGCTCTAGCAACGGCACAAGGAGGTCGGAAGAAGACAATTCGAAGCTTGAGGCTTGATGAAGTACCTAGATAGCTGGAGAACCTAGCACATACGACCATACCTGCTAGAGAACTCAGGATCCCGTCTGCTCTCCTAAAGATAAACTGGCAAGGGCCGGATTAGTAGCTGGGTGGGTGACCATCAGCGAATACCCGGTGTTGTATGTTTTTTGTCTTTTGCAGACGTATCTTTTTCGAGGAGGGTGACGAAGGACTGCTGTCCTTGGGTCAGGGTATTTGAAGTGCCAGGTAACCCGCCATATATGCATACTTGTTCTTCAGGGAGCTGTTCTGTGCTATGTACTATTCGTTACTGGCAAAAAATCTAAGCCAGTGTTGGAGTTTCGTTGATCGGAATCGAAAGGCATACTATCGTACAGCCAGCATCTATAACATCCCGTATTTGACCAACTCCGACCAACCCGCCAATACGTAGGATGTTTAATGCTTTCACTCAAAAGTGCCCTCCCATGCCCGAAATATATCCTCCAACTCGTTCCATTGTCCTGCTCCCCATTTATCCGCAGTACATAATATCAATATCCGCCTTGCGATCGCACTCTCGGGCGAGTACGCCTGCCGTACCCACCCAGACCCTACGACGTCCTCGAATGCTCTTCGAATCCGGGAGTTACCGGTCAGCATGTCACTCCCCTGAACTTGACCCCGTATCTGAGGAGCGATGTGGCGGTTTTCGGGTGCTCTTTCTGCAGACCGCGCTTCCGACCACAACCACTCCGGTGGCTCCGCTGCCAGGAAACTAGGCCCAAAGACAGGAGCGCCCCAGCCCAAAATCCCTGTGATTCTTGGTTGGGATCCGTCACCGATATCGATCAAGATATTATTTGGCTGAATGTTTAGGTGGGCAAGGCAGTAGATCCCGTCCTCGTCGTCAAAGACACCCCTGCCATGCATGTCCTCCACAACGGCGAGCAGACGTTCATAGCTGCTGGCGACAGTGGACCGCGTTGATGCGTCGCTGCTTCCATGGTAGAGCTCCTCGAAGCGCCGCCGGACAGCGGCGATCACCACCTCGCCTGAGGATGATTCCGCCCGAGCATGGCTTGGATGATGCAGTGTAGTGTCTTCAATATTACTGAAGCCATTGACGCATGAGACCCCCTGACACCCGGTTTCATCAAATGGCTTGACCTCTACGAGCTTCTCCGGGCGTTCGACAGGCTCCTCGATGGACTCAGCAGCACACGAGACTTGAATTCTACCAGCAACCGGGCTTCGCAAACTCCGCAACTGCGAATAGACGTGGCTTATCTCCCTCGCGACCGATACCCTCTGCCCCCAGCCCAAACGGTCCCAGCATGTTTCCAGGTTGATTCCCGGCATGCGATTGGCGATGATGTAGGGATACTGCAGTGCATTATTGCGAGTGTGGTCCCACCGAACCACTTGGGGTATCTTGGACACCAGCGCCAAGGAGTCCTCGGAACCTGAGAGCAACTGCCTCGTGAGGTACCGCGAGACGCCGACTACCTGCAGCACGTCGTGCTCGAGCTCGGGGAGGCGAAGGACGTACTCGCGCCGTCCGACGTGCTGGTCCTCCGGTTCCGCGATGGTCAGCGCAAAGACCTTGTTGTTCTCCCCGTCGGCGATGAACGCAATTGCGGTTTCTTCGTGCGCAGCCGACGGCCACAGGACTTGGCACAGTAACCGAATGCGAGGAAGCCAGAACTCGGGCGGGTTGTAGTAGTCGTCGCCTGTGTCATAGCCCCTGTCTAGACTTGTGCCGTAGTCGTCTGGACTACTGGGCTCGGAGGTCATAGGGGGAGATACCAAAGGCGCTGATGCTTCCAAGAAGGGGTTTCGGTGGTTTGGTAAGTTCGGTGTGCCTATTTCGTCTGTCATCTTCCCAAGACTATCAAATACAAGAGCCCATTGGCAGTCAATACTGGAATCCAGGGATTGCCCGCCTATGCTGTGAGCCGGGGGGTCCCCCAAGTAAGGCATGTTGGTGATTACAAAGGGCGAGTATAGCCTTTGTTTTTGGTATAATTCTGCAATGATTGGTCCTTTGATACGAATTGACATCCATCACATTGTTGTTGTGGTCGACTCGGGAGTCAGGGCGCGAGGAGCATGTTTAAGCTTTCTGGGATGCCGTTACGGAATTCCGACAGCATTCCAACCCGGCACGTGTCGCATCCTCACCACAAAGTCATCTGATATTATCAGGGACGTCTGGACAGCCCCCTTCTCAGCATAATCATGAGAAGAGCGTGAGATAAGCCGTGGGCGTTATGTACTCGTGACATTCATTAATGATTACCTAATCTCCGCTAGGCCCCCCCTTACGGGACCAGCTCCCAAATGGTATAGAACTCCATAGACCAGCCCACTTTCCCAAGCCCTTGGTAATATTCCTGCTTCGTGAGGCCTCTAGGGTTCTTGTTATCGCCCCATGTGGTGATGGCACCAAGCTTGACTTGTTGCCCAGGAGCTCCAAGGTCGACGGAGTTGATATCAAGCCACCACCAGAACCCATCGTGTTCTAGTGGGATATTTTCGTCCTTCCTACCATCGCGACCTTTGGTACAAAGTACGAGCAAATAATTCTTACCCTTCCCATGCTTGGTACCATCCCAATGCTCGCAAATCTTTCCGAATTGGAATCGAATGACCTGATTGCTGTTGACTGAAAGATGCTTCTCGGCCGGCATGAATGTGAATTCGGAAATGCCTTCTTTCGTTCCATTGCCATACCAGGCGGCTTTCTCACCATTGGTAGGGCCGATCATATACTCGTCCCACGTGGGAATACGGCCATCGCTGCGGTAAAAGTGTCTCGAGTCTGAGGGGAAATGCTTCAGACCAAACATGTCGTTGGACATGTAGAACATTGAGGCATTGAAACCCTGGTGATACTGTCCATTCATGAGGGCGCCGGCTCCCCAACAAGCGTCCAGCAGCTTCCACTCCCCGTTGTCGATGCGGACGGCATTCCAAGCATGGCCCGTAGGGTCCCGAGGAGGAGGTGCTTGGCCCTTTTGCAACGGATTGTGGCCGTATCCTTTGCCATGACCCCCAATTACAACACATTCAAGGCCAGCCCGCCGTGCAATCGCTTGATAGACCTCAGCGTAGCCCTGACAGACGGCCTTGCCGTGGAAGATTGTCTCCTCAACGCTGCGGTTCTTGATGCATTTGCCGAAGAACTCTTCGACATTGTAGGCAATATTGTGATGACACCACGTAAAGATGGCGCGTGCCTTGTCGGTATGTGAGGGAAAGGATGCACAAAGAACATTTGCCAGATATCCAACAGGGTCACTGCGAGGAAGCGAGTGATTCGGGAACTGCGACGCTATCGTGTCAGGCCGCGAGAAGTCACGGCAAACCAGACACGTAATGACGCTATTGCTTGCAGCGCGGACCGTCACTGCACTGATCTGAGCCGTGGTCGGACGCGAGCTGAGGGGGACAGGAGGCGGTGCTTCGGGCCTTGCTTCGGGCCTCCGTGGCGTGGGTGGAGTGTAAGAACCAGGCCCTGTGAAACCAGCTGATGGCGGCGGTGGTAGCCGGCGAGCCGGCAAGGAGGGCCCTTCATTCTGCTGAGGGATGGACGGAGATTTGGCCGGCCTGGACGGCAGTCTAGGAGGGAGTCCAGGACGCTGCGTTTCCTTCACTTGAGGTACTATCGGGGCTGACTTGATGGCTCGGACGGGGGCTATAGATGTAGCTGACTCGGCTTCCCTGGCTGCTTGTGCTTCTCTCTCCCTTTTCGTCGGTGGAAGGGGAGGCAGCTTGGCCTGATCCAAGGTGGGGGGCAGTTTGCGCGTCGACTGGGTCTCGGTGGATGTGGCGCTCGTGTGAGAGGATATGGGCTGCAAGGAGAGGTTGGAGATGGCGGAAATATGCGACACGTCGGAGGCATTAGAGCCTCTCCGCGTACCTAGGGTCTGTGATGATGGGCGTCTCGTGGGCAGGGCAGGAGAGGGCAGCGAACTGTTTGTATTCGTCCGGCCTGGCAGAGGCGGCGGCGCACGGCGTCCGGGGACGATATCTGGGGCCTCGAGTATCGGTTCCGTTGCCGTGGTGCGCCGTGGCAGGGCCGGAGCCGCCCCGTTTCCATTGACCATTGGAACCTGGACCTCGGACTTGGGCCTGCCCGGGGGCGGCGGTGGAGGGGGGCGTTTCTTGGGGCCATCCCCACTACTGCTGAAGTTCTTCTGCTGGTTGAGAGCAGCTATGCGCTCCTTCAGACTGGCGTACTGCGGCTCCTCTACTTCTGCCATGGCGAGAGTCCTTCGGCTCCGGGGAGGGAGATCGTCTTCGAACGTGGATGGATGCGGTCTTGGACGTGTATCTGACGGCGCAAATGTAATTTTAGAACGAAAGCGCTGGTCACTACTGGATGCCCAGCTTGGACTGCAGCACGATGGGAGGATTTATCAAAAATGGTAGACGCAGGCCAGTGAGTGAGCAAGCGGTCAACTCGGCGACGACAAGAGCGGACAGGAAAAGAAACGATCGGGCCCGAGGGTTCAACATGGACGAGAGAAGCAAACATTAAGTGGCACAGCCGCCTTGCGAATGACGGAGATTTGCGCCGGTCGTGTTTATCAGTCCAACGATCTGATTCACACCACGACACCCGACACCCGACCAGGCGACCTCTGGGATGCGACCCCGCTAAGCGGCACAGCCCTGCCGAGTGGGGAGCCCAGGGGCGCCCGGGGGGGCGATCCTTCAGCCCCTTCGCTAACTTTAGAATCCGAACCCACTGGCCTACGTTAGCGCCTCATTGGGGGAGTCTCTCAACGTTCGAGAACAAACAGCAGAAGGGCTTGAAGGGCTTGGTTGTCCACGCCATTGTTCCATATGCCGTCAGAGTAGTATAGATTTCTGCGCGCACGCATGCATGGACCATTGCGGTCCATGTTCAAGACTATTTCTGGTGTGCTGTAATCACCGCCCCGTGCTAAGGGACTCGCGACTGGTGTAGCACGGCAGAAGGCTCTGAACTGACTTGGATGGTGCTGCCGCCCAAGGACGAACAAGGCTCCCCGATGCATGGCTTGCTCTTCCATGTTTTGATCTGCGCCGTACGAATGCAATTGCTGATTCATTGCGGGCTTCGTCTTCGGGCCTGAGAATGCTGCTTATTTCAGAATAACACGGTTAGATTCTACTGTAGATAGGCGATTTCGTCCGTGGTCCGTATGAGGGCGGTTGGTCTTCCGCATTTCCGTGCTACCGTAGAGAACTTGCAGCGCTCGTGGAACAATGGGTACATAGCATTGAGAAAACTATGACGGGTAATACAGGCCGGCTCAATTCGGCCAAGAAGAACGGAGAACAACGTTCTTGCGCAGCAGGAGACATGCTATCCTCGAGCTCGTCATACGAGCTACACCAGCTAGCAAGCTATACTCGGCGGTTCTGGTTCTGCTTGGCATCTTCCCAGGGTCCCAGCGGATGGACCCTTGCCAAACCCCTACCTGGGTAGCTCGGAGCTAAGTGATGGCTGACGGTTGTTGCGGAGCGGCTGGCGAACCGTGCGGTCCATCACCATGGGTGGACTGGCCTGCCTAGCCCCAAGGTGCTCTAGTAAATCGGACGCCATCTCGTTACCAAAATCCCCTAAGGGCCGCCTAACTAGGTACGGTACCGCAGCTATCCAGCCCGCCACTCCACTCGGGACCCGTTGTCAGCCAGCGGCTCGAGTACGGCTCGAGTACTGTACCTGTCTGCCCCGCAACCGACATCAACATCGACATCGCCATCGACATCGACGTCGACACCGTGACAACGACACCCGCGTGGCTGCACCAGTAGGCCCTGCTTTGGCCCCGATCGACAGCTCGCCGCTTCGTCTTGTGTCGCGGCCGGCTCTCGGACTTTCAGCGCCTCCTCAGCGCCCATGTATCTCTAAGCCAGCCTTCTCCCATCCTCTACTTGCATCCTCTCTCTTGCGACGGCTTCATTGTCCTCGCCAGCCTCACAGCAATGGCGGCGAGCCCGGCATCGCTCCCAGCCCGCCTCGGCTTCCTGGGCTTGCCTGAAGAGATCCAGAAGGAGATATTTTTCCACGTAGGCGCCCAACACAGAGCCCCCTTCGCCGTCATCTTCTAACCCGGCGACCAGTGCTCCCAGTGCGAGCTGATATGCCTTTCTCTGGTCTGCAAGCGATTCCACGAGCTGGCCGCCGCGCAGCTTTATCGCAACTTCCACATCGTGTTCCCCGATGAGGATGACCCGAGCTTCGACCTGCCATTTGACGGCCTGGCCGGCGGCCTCGACACCTTTGTTACCAGCGAGTACAACTATGCCAAGCATCTTCGTGATCTCTCCCTCGATACTCTTAGCGCCGGCGACAAGGGTGAGACCGCCTACAAGCCCTATCTCTTCAGCGTCAGCTGTGGCAAGTTTATGAACACGCTGCTGCTCCTCACACTCCGCAAGGCGACGTCTCTGGATACCTTCCGCTGGAACATCCGTGTCGAGCTCAGCCGCCCTGTCTACAAGGCCCTGCACAACATCCGATCTCTCAAGAACCTACAGGTGCGCATGCAGAGCGGTCCTTCTCTGTATGAACCTCCGCCGCCGCTCCCTTACAACAGCATCAGCTGCCCTTTTGGCGGGCCCGCAAGCCCCCCAAACGCTACACAGTGGTCCAACATACCATCCGCCCAGTCCACAGCGAGCATTGGCAACGGAGCTGCCACCGCCCCCATGAACTTCTATAACGTGGCCGATCCTTTCCAGCCATCCCTCTTCAGCCCGCTGCCGTCGGGCCCGTTCGCTTCCACCATTGGCCCAGGCCAGTTCACCACCTATGCTCCTCCATCTGCCGTCGCTGCACTCCCATCGACTTTCAAGCCTCCAACCAAAGCAAGGATTGCCAGAAAGCAGCGCGAAACACAGGAGCCACCGACGATCGCAGGTTTCCGGGACTTGGAGAGCCTCGCCGTTTTGGACATCGAGGATCTTGACCTCATTTCCGAGCTCGAGACATGTGTTCGCAACTCAGCTTCCACGTTACGAAAGCTGAGGCTCTCGTTTTCGGATTATCTAGCATCGCAGGCTAGGAAACCCAACGTCGATGTAGATCCTAATGAGTCCGATGACGACGATGAGTTCCAGGTCGTGCCCATGAACGCCAATTACGACGACGGGACCGGTCCCGCAAAGGCTTTTCGAGCTCAGGAAGAACGCCGGGCCCAGGAGTCTGTTCTGGGCCGTATCTTCGACGTTGAGCATCATTCCCTGCGAAAGGCTATGCAGACTCAGAGTGAGAAACAACCCGATCCTTCCGAGCAACCTCAGGGCGATCGCAAAAATAAGTTTCTTGTTGCAATCCAGGATGTTTCAAAACGCCTGGCTGAAAACACCCAACAGCTATCTCTGGACGTACACTCCCAAAAGGATATCCTGGACATGATTGCACTGGCCGCAAACATGTACATCGCAGATGTCGAACGAGAAACTGTACCGGAGACCTCCGCTGATTCTGGGGTCGAAGCAGCATCTGGGAATCCAGTCACAAACACAGAAACAGGACTTCCAATCTCAGATTGTCAAGCCGCAGGTGAGACAGTTAGACTGCATCAGGCCACCAAAAAAGGCGACGACGACACAGAGCCCGAAGATATTGACGTGGCAGCGCCAGAGGAGCAACTCGGTGACGAGCCTCAGGAAGAACTTAAAGAAGACGTGGCGCCCAAGAATGAGCCCTTTCCTCCCAGCACTACAGTTCTCACCCCTAGTGCAACAAATTCGACAGCAAACGGGAGCCCGTCTAAAGTACCCTCAGCAGTGCCTAGTGTATCCGCTGCCAAGGTAAGACACATCCAGATCCTCCGAACTCGGAAGTCCAATCACATATTAACACCTTCATAATGGAATCGCAGGATATATCAGTTGATGCCGACACCCTTGCGCACTTGATTGACCCAATTGAGAGGCGACCTGAATCTACGAGTCACCGTAGGGATAAAGTCTGGGATGAAGCTATTCAGCACGAGTTGAATCTAGCGGAAGCTGAGCTTGAGGAAGCCGAAGCAAATGCCATCCAGCAAGCGCCGGTCGACAGTGGGGAATTGCGACGTCTCGTGAGCGAGTATGTAAGGAAAACAAGAGGAATTCCTCTTGAGTCCCTAAGTCTCTACCTCATCCCCGTAAAAGCTTCGGTTCTTGGTCGAGCCATCGACCTCCGGACCTTGACTCGGGTCACGCTCCTGAATGTTGGTAACCAAGCAACAATCTGGACATTGATGGCCAAGGAGAACAAGATTTCCCCGCTTCCGCTACGTGAAATCTTCACTGACAACGTGTCCCTGCCATTTCTGCATCTGGTCTCACAGTTGGATACCGTCGAGGAGCTTTTTATGCTTGAGCGTGGCCCCAAGTACAAGCCCGAAAGCTTTGCCCCAAAGACTAAGGTTACATTGGAACAAATTCGCCGTGCTATACTGAAGAAACATATGCCAACGATTAAGCGCTTAATCATCAAGAATGAGGCTGATGGCTCTTGGGATATGGATGAGAAGACTATGCAGTTGATCTGCAGACGAGGAAAGCTTCTGGAGGAGCTAGCTGTGGTCATGGGCATCCGCGCTGTTCATGCCTTCCTACAGTACTTATCCGGGCTCGTGAAACTACGAGCGCTGCACATAGTGTCATTCAGGAACGACGACACCTGTCTGTCTGTCATGCGCGAGATCCGCCGATTCATTGCCGATACAGTCTCACACTACCCCGAACTCCAACTCGAGTGGATTGCGATGGGCGATGATAACCGTGCAGAACGCATCATCCGCAAATCAGACGCTCCGAAGCTGCCCAAGAGGGAAAAGGGAAAGGGCAAGGGGGTTGCTCCAGAACCGAGCATACTAGACCCTTTTCCCATATTGCCCTCTGATGGTTGGGACGGCAGCTCGAGCGAGGACGGTGACGCAACTGATGATGACTTCGAGACGCCATACCTCAAACTCAACCTCATTGAAAGGATATGCTTCTACGATATTTGGGGTGTACGCATCTTTGAAAAAGAGATCGTTGCTGCCCGCCTATAGGCTTGAAAGACTATAGTGGCTCACTTTGTCCTCATGGCCAGGATCCCTCGTTCCGTTTCCAAAGGAATTCATTCTCGGTTCGTACATTCATGGCAAGGTGTTCAGCGTTTATACCATCTGTTTTGTAATGTTGCAGCGGCGTTCGCAGAGTAGCACGTGCTCCAGTGTACGATTGGTTTGATCAGCAAAGGCATGCTGACATGGATGAATACCCCCCTTGCCCTCCTTAATTTCTCCCTCAAGTCATCATGTGGATAGTTCGCAAAGGCGGTCTACTGTGGTATATTCTTCGGGCTGAAGGGTTGCGGTAAATTTTACCGCAACCCAACATGGCTGCCCATATATTCTAAGAGAAAATCACGATTGCAAGAGCAGTGCTCCGGTCTGTGTCTCTGTAACCTTCATGTACCGAGTAAATAGTGAATATATATGGTAGCACTACTTGCGAGCATCTTGCGCTGCCCAATTGCTCCAGGTTGTATATGATGGATTCGCCGGGTATATAATGGACTCCCCCTGAGGCTCTCGTGGACTAATCTGAGGGATTCAATGGGGACGATGGAGTGCTTGGTTGCTCAGTTGTCGTAACAACAGAATCCGTCGAACCTCGGACCAAGTAACCCACCACTGGTACGCGAGGCACTGGTTTAAGTTCAGCTCATCTGCATAACCGTTGCCAAGCTTTACCGCCAAGAACCTCTTGCTTGCTCAAGTCGAGAGCTTAGGGTCCGGAAAGCTTATGTATTGTGTACGTCGCTGCCTATGTAGGTAGGGCCCCTGCATATCGGCACCGTGAAGCGTGGGGCCGCAGATCTGGCATAACTTATTAGGCTTTCAGTCGTGAGACATGCACCGGTCTTCCGCACGCCCTCGTTGCGAAGCCACGTTTCCCGAGGTTTGCTTGGCATCCCCGTCCATCGGGATCCATGACGACATCCTGAGACTCTGTTCTCCACAGAGAAAAGTGAGTTGGCGAGGGAATTGCTCGCTGCACGGTTGACCATTTGTTTGCGAACCGAAGCGAACAAGGCATGTACGGGTGGAGCATAAGCAAGCCGCTTGTATGGCTTGAACACTGAGAGTAAATCTCAAGAGCATAGATTTTCTACATGTTCTACATGTTCTACTTGACTAACTGAGTGGTATCGTATGCGTAAATATCCCTCTTCTAACCATGCTTCCGGATTAATGCTATTAGTGCAGAAACTTTCGCTTTTTTTAACGCTGCTCCCATCTGGACAACCTCACTTGAATATATTATTGTGGGAAGGAGCCTGATCAATGTGTAGCTTCCGCTTCCTTCCCTTTAGCTATGTCAGTAGCTGGCACCGACTTTGTTTTCTCCGTTGATTGTCTGGCCGATGACGGCGAAGCGGTCTGGTCAGCCGGCTTGGGAGCTTCTTCAGACGTCGTCGATTCTGTTGCGGTTTTGTCGGAGCCGGCAGGTGTAGGTGCCCGTCGCGGCCCCGTCTTCTTGATGTTCTTCCACTCGACAAACAGCGCCGCAACGGCAGCGACGAGGGCGACGCCCATGCCGCAGAGGAAGATGCGAGTGATTGCATGGTTGTAGATCTGAAGAATCGTGTCGCGCAGGTTCTCGGGGACCTTTGACACGATATCCGTGGCGCCGCTGCCGACGATGCCCGCTGCGTCACCGCCGGGTATGACCCCCGATAGCTCGTCGACCAGGTATGTGCTCAGCAGGTTCTGCCCCACGGACGTGAAGATGGCCCCTCCCAGCTGCTGCATGAAAAAGATTATGGACACGCCGGTTGGCACATCAGGCCGGCCGAGGACAGCTTGCACCGCCAGCCCACTTGATTGCATGCCGATGCCCAGGCCGAACCCAGCAAGGAACTGGTAGCCGATCCATCGAGATGAGCTCTCTCCTGGACTGAAGGTACTCATGAGACCCTCCCCGACGGCGAGGAGACTGGGGGAGATGATCATGGCTGGCACGTAATATCCGATTTTCTGAGTGACCTAGTGATTACTGTCAGTTGTATGCTAGACGGTGATCAGGCTAGTGTGCTTACTCCACCAGACATTATACTTGCAACCACCATACTCAGGACAATGGGTATAGTGTATATGCCTGACTTCACAGCACTCACTCCTTGCACTACCTGGACTATATATGAAATCCTGTTAGCTATCCGCAGGTCTTCAATTGCAATCCCTGAGGTATGAATTGTGACTTACACCATAATGGCAGGTAGAATACGATCATCATCATACTGCCAGCAACGCAGAACATGAAGATCGATGCCGCCAAGACAGTCCTTTGCGTGATGATTCGGGGAGGCACGGTCGCCGTCTCCGGCTTCAGTACCTGAACAGCGCAGAAAGCGAGCCACAAAACAGCAAAAACAACCAGTAGAGCGATGATACGGGAGCTGTTCCAGGCGTAGGTCGACCCACCCCATTGCAGCGCAAGCAAAAGACTGACGACACTTGGCACAAAAAAGAATGTGCCGAGAGGATCGAGTCGAACGAATTGTTTCCAAATCGATACGGTTTCGTGATTCGTCTTTGGTAACTTTAGCGTAAAGATGAGGCAGGCAACGGCTACCGCTCCGATCGGCAAATTGACATAGAAGCACCACCTATGTAGAGTATTAGAACGTAACCCTCCTCTCAGATGACGGAAATTTTACGTACCTCCATGAGACAGTACTGTCCGTGAAACCACCGCCAATCAAGGGGCCCATTACAGAGGCGATGCCGAAGATGGCACCAAAGAAGCCTTACATGTCTGGTCAGCAATTCCGCATTCCATTTCGCAAATGAGAACCCATACCTTGGAACATTGGCCTTTTCCTCAACGGTATGAGCGGCACCATTATCATCATCACCCCCGAGAAGATACCGGCGGACCCAAGCCCGGCTATGGCGCGGCCGAGTATGAAAGCGATCGAGTTTGGCGCAGCGCCACACACGGCAGATCCGATCTCAAAAATTGCAATGCAGAAAAAGAAGGTCCTGGAATAGTGTTAGGATCCCCAACGACGGCATAAAGAGAATCCGCACATTACTCACTTCTTGATATCGTAGAATTTGTAGATTCTTCCAAACATCAGTTGGCACGCCGAGGTCGTCAGCTGATAAGCCGAGCCATACCACCCAATATCACCCAGACTCTGGAACTCAACGGTGATCCGGGGAATGGCAGTCCCAATAATTGTCCGGTCCAGGGCCACGAGGAACAGGGCCATGAAGATGGAGACCATTGTCGCCCAGAATTTCATGGATTTCGGCTGGAAGTTCGCCTCTGCCTCATCCTCCTCCGAGGGAGGCTTCGCGCCGTCCAGCTTCTCGACATCTTTGGTCGAGTCTCTATCCGCCGGCTCGACAGTGGCCTGCGACTTTTTCTCCGTCATCGAGGATGTCGTGGACATTGCCAAGGGGATTCAAAGTGGCAAGTGTGTAACACGACGAGTGTCTCATTCGACCCGGGTGGGCGACGGTGGCTTTATTTACTTGGAAACCGAGGCTCCAAGGGATACGCAACTGGCAGCAGGACAGAGCACTGGGACATACGAGGAACTACGAACAGACTATCGAGCGTAGTTATGTACACTCATTATTTCAGAGCTAACTAGCCACTACGTGGATATCTGGCTTACCGTCTGCAGCCATCGTCGCATGTTTGGCGTCGGAAAGTAAGCCTCCCAACGTCCGTGTCATGACGAATGGAGCAGGACCGTTGGCACGATGAATTCCGTGGCTCACTGCTGAAGGCTAATCGTTGGGGGAGTTCCGGTGTCAGATCACCGTGGAGTCATGTGGGAGTGAGGTCTCTGGGACTCAGGCAGGTTACACGGGCGACAGTGGCTTGCACGGGTACCGAGTTGCTTTTCTCGCAGCCGAAAGAGGAAAGCATCGAATGCCAAGACCTCGAGCTCTGGCAGGGCTTGGCAGTCCGCAGTGAGCGAGGGCGCGCTACGCCTGTCTGGGCTTAGGGCCGTCGGGTGCTCTACAGGCCGCCTCGGGCACGAGAATTCAGGTTCGGTCCCGAGGTGCGACCTGGGAGGGGCGCCGGCAAGGCTGGGCCCCAGTGCTCGGAGCCAAAGACTCCGCGATGCCGCGCTCCATCTGCATGACTAATGGCGGTGGCCACCTCCCTCTGGCTTACCTCTCAGGCCTGGGCTGGCAGCAGGCGGCATCCTTTCCAGGTTCCAATCCTGCCCTCAGCCCTGTAAAGCCCGGCAGAGCCCTTGTAGGGCCCCGGTACAGCCCTTGGAGAGCCTGAGAGCCCTGAAGAGCCCTGCAGCACACTGCAGAACCCGCTCCTCGAGCAAGGGTTCTCCACCTGCAGTGGTCGAGTGTGTTGTGCAGCGCATCCATGGCAGAAGGGGGGGCGGTTTTGAGGGCGCTGCTCATGCACCTTGAGATAAACACGGATCATTGAGAGTCCCACTATTTGGGGGCAAGACGGGAGCCGTCCAGCTGGGCGCGTAGTATAGAATTCATGTGCCTCTCTGTTCGACGGCCACAACTTTCCCGTGTGCCTCTCCGTCCTGCTCTTGCACCAACACACGTTGTCTGTCCCACGCCGGCATCGATCGCAGGAAGCTGCCCGTCGCTGCTGGGAACGACCCGTACGTAGACCTCGGTCCCGAGGCCCCGTCGCGGCGACAGCCCACTATCGCAGGGCGTGCAGAGAGAGGATTGGCCTGTTGCTTTCGCGGAACCGGCACCAGACCCAGACCCGGGGGCGTCATATCACCCTTTGGTGCTGTCCGCAGTCTGCTGTGCACGCCTAAGACCCTTTCGGGACCGACACCCAGGGACGCCTTCACTTTTGCTCACCTCAGCATGTCGGACACGGCAGAGTCCAGCATTCACACCGACGGTGATCCGTATAGGCAAAGCACCTCGCCTGGCTCCTCGTCTGCCCCGCACGGCCAGCCGTCGTCGCAGGACCTGGCCAATGTGATCAAGGTGACCCGCGGCACCTCGTGTGTCCTGTGCCAGCAGCGAAAGGTGCGATGTGATAAGAACAAGCCCTGTTCCAATTGCGCAAAGGCGGGCGTCGAGTGCCGGGTCATCCCCCCGCAGCCGCCAAGGAGGCGCAAGAAACGGATATCCGAGCGAGACCTGGTCGCTCGCTTGAGGAAATATGAGGCCCTACTCGCCCAAAATGGCATTGAATTCGAAAGTCTCGGACCTGACATCAAGGTCATCGACCCTGGCACCGTCCATGAGGGGGATGAGTTGGATACGGACCTCGTCAGGGCCAGGCAGACGTCCGCCGACCCCCTGAACCCCGACTTGATATCTGCTCCTGGGGAAACTCCAGCAGTGCCCAAGTCAGTTGTCTCCCCCAAGTTCGTCCCATATATGGGATGCTAATCGAACCAAACTCGCAGAACCTTCAAGTGGTTTCCTTTCCAAAAGGAGGTTCGTCTTTCGGCCCCTTTGCCGCATTTGGCCGGCTTATACTGATGATAGCGTGCCACAGTTTCGCATGACAGAGGACATACTGAAGGACTCGTCCGATGAGGATGATATAGGGTCCAGCATTAACCAGGCTTATGACAAGATGTTCGACAACTCGGACGGATTCCCGTTCATCATCGGAGGGGGCTCAGAGAGCGTAACTGATCAGCACCCCTCTGCCATCCAAATCATTCAACTATGGCAAACCTACCTCAACAACGTCAACCCCCTGCTCAAAATTACACACACTCCTACCCTCCAGGAGCGCATTATCGAGGCGACGGCCAACATCGACAAGGTGTCCAAGAGCCTCGAGGCGCTCATGTTCTCCATCTACTTCATGGCTGTGACGTCCATGAAAGATGATGATGTACGTCTCCTGTTCAATGAGGAGAGACCATTATTGTTGCAGCGGTACTATGTCGCTTGCCAACAGGCCCTCATTAACGCGGGCTTCATGCGAAACCCAGATCTGACGCTTCTCCAAGCGTTTCTGTTGTACCTTGTGAGTGATCCATACTCTACCCGTCTTCACGATTTCAGCCTAACAAGGTCAAAAGCTGGGTATCCGGCATTATATGGACCCCCGGTCACTATTTTGTCTCACAGGGATGGCTGTCCGCCTGGCATACCGCATGGGTCTTCATCGGGATGGCGCACAGTTCAACTTGTCACCATTTGAAGTGGAGGAACGAAGGAGGCTGTGGTGGACACTAGCAGGATTCGATCGGCGGATAGGGGAGATGACCGGCTCGACCATCACGGCCATATCCAACGGAGGGGATTGCAAGCTTCCGCTTAACATCAACGACGCTGACCTAAGCCTCCATGCGAAAGAGCCGCCTAACGCACACATCGGGGCGACCGAGATGATGTTTTCGCTTACCAGACTCGAATTTGCCAAGGCGCCTGGCAGCGATAAGATGAAGGCCGTAATGGCCGACCATGTTGGCCAAGTACCGAACGTAGCGGATCACCGCATGGTGAACTATATCGAACGGTTTTCCACGCACTTGGAAGACACATACCTGAAGTACTGCGACCCAAAGATTCCGCTCCATTACTTCACCCTGACGATGACCCGGGAATACATCTGCAAATTGAAGATTCTCTCCGGGTTCTTCAGGGTGGCCCTGACGACCCCTCAACCAATATCTTCTGAGGACAACGACAACCTCTTCATTGAAGCGATCAAGATGGTAGAGTACGATACCATGATTCAGACCAACGAGGGGCTGAAAGGATTCCATTGGTTTACCTTGATGCACTTCCCGTTCCCAGGTTATGTGGCCCTCATCAAAGATCTGCGTACTAGGGTATCCGGCGAGCTATGTGAACGAGGGTGGCAGACGATCTTCGAGAATCATGAAGCCCGAGGCATGACGAAGACGATGCGAAGCCCAATGCACATTGGGTTCAGCCAGCTTTTTGTGAAAGCATGGGCTGCTCGTGAGGCGTACGAGGCACAGCAAGGGAGGACCCTTGCCGCCCCTCCCGTCATCACAGGCATGAGACAGTTGGTAGCCCGGCTGGGCCTTCGAGACAAGAGCAAATCGCCCGAGCCACCCACACCACTGATGACGCCGAGGAGTTTCTCGTCCCCAGAGGCCGAACTCAATGCCCAAACACCGAACATGCAGCCCTACGACGGCAGTGGTAACGTCTGGGGTGGTATCCCGGGTATGGATATCAACAGACAGTATGCTGGAGCGTTTGCCGATGTCAACTTCGGCGGTGAAGTGGACTGGTCCTTCCTGATGCAGCAATACAGTGGGATGCATCCACCGGCACCAGTGGCCCCGATTCCCATGGATCCCGCCGCAGCACCATACTGGCAGTAAAGGTTGCAGGACTGAGTGATGTACTACCCACTTCAGGGCATGAAATTTTTGTTCGATTGTAAGATCATCAGCTGGGGAGACTAAACTGCACATGAACACGTATTTGACGATTAGGATACCCCATTACACATTAAGGCAGGGCTGTAAACACGTAAGTCAAGTTTCACATTTTCAGTAAGCACTATACCAAAAATATGTACAAAAGTCTAGCATGTGGAGGAGTTTATGATAGTCAGATAGACAACAGTTGGGCGAATATGAGTCACATACACGATTACCTAGGTAGATAGCGAGTATTTCACAAGTCGTGCGAATGTAAACCCTGAATATTGAGTTTCTACAAGACCGCTCTCGTCATGAGAGGGAAAGATTGCAGCCAACCACATTCGGTTCACAACATGAAGTGGAGAGTCATCGAGTTCGAAATGTACAGTTGACCCCTTGGTCTATCTTCACCTCAAACAGGACCTCAGATCAAGTCATGACAAGTGCATTTCGAAGCAGCAGGAATCACTGTAAAATAACTTAAGACGACATCACGGGCTCAGCCTCAAGATGATCGGAAATAGAGATATCGGCCGCGACTATCAATAAGTCTGGGTTCTTACAAGATCATCACAGCTGATGTCGACTTGGAGCATGGGGGCCGTCTTCAAGGACCTCTCAGACCGACTCAACGAGCATCAGAAGCCAGCTTGCACCCAGTCATGGGAAGTTCGCCCAGGTGGCAGCTAACATTGGCCCTTCCATGAATACTGTCCGGCTCACTTTCGTCAAACGCCGAGTTGTTGCTACGAAGATCTAGATACCACATCCGTGTGACACTAGTCGAGGAATGGGATTCTGCTATGCCGGCGACGCCCCTTTCAACTACCGTTCGTTTCAGAAACATGAAGTCCCGCAGTAAAAGTCGATATCCCTTCGATCACCTGCCCGACTTGCTCTACGTCCTTAGAATGGGGCTGTGCCATTAGTGGAATTCCTGGAGGCTCACAGGCTATTGTTGGTAACTCGATGCTATTCTGTTGACAGTTCAACAGAATAGCGAATAACATGTGTCATTGGTTTTACGGACCCCTTAATGAAACTCAGCCTGAGCAATGAAAAGGAAGTTAACATTATGTACAGCAGACCACAGTCAGAATATTGCTAGGATACAGTTGAAATAGGACACATATATGGCAGCATATCGCACTTGCCTCCCCAAGATAAGAGATGTTACTACATAACGAAATCAACCGAACTCCCGTACCAACTCCGACCTCTTCGACTTGCTCCTCGTCCTCATACTGACAGGTCCATCACCCCTCCGCGGCTTTTTGCGCGGCCGGCCCTCGGCCTCTTTTTGGCGAGCCAGTTCATCTTCGATCTGCTCCAGCAAGGGATTCTTTTCTATGGCAACAGGCGCCTCGCGCTTCGTCCTGCTACCGCCAGGAGGAGGCGGTTCCTGGTACGGTTCCAGCATCGGCCTGTGCACTTTGTCGGCGTTGGTGTGGAAGTCGATAAAGCCACGGACCTTCAAACACGGGAGCAGGCCAACCCGGGTGCGCGCGGAGCCGCAGTGGATGAAGCGCATGGCCTCGACGGCGCAGATTCCGATCATCAGCGCGCGCACCTTGTCGGGCTGCAGGTTGCCGCTAAAGTTCTCCCACACGTGCTCGTCGCCGTTGCCCAGGAGCAGTGCCGACTCGATGCGCTGTAGGAATACCCGCATGAGGTCGACCGCCCTTAAGCCGCAGGAGAAGTGATCCCGCTGGGCCGGAAACCACACATCCCGCCTCGCCTGGATACGCACCGTGAATCCTGCGCACGAGAGGAGCCTCCGCACCCTGCGCCACACGTCTTTGATCCAGTTCAGCCCGTGTCCGGGTTCGAGGATGGCGGCGGCCGCTACCGTCTGTGATCCCTTCTTACGGAAGTTCGATGCCATGCGCAGGATGATGACCATCCAGTGGTTCCCCGTGTTGATGGGCCATATGGTCCAGGCATTCGATTTGATGCGGTAGAAGAGGTTAGGGTTCTCGGCTAGGAGGTACCTCATGAGCTGTTCGAAACGTCTTTCTCCTTCTTCCCCTTTTTCCTGCTCATTCCAAAGCCCTATAGGCATCTCGTCTAGTGAGATGTAGTTGACTTGTTTCCTGGCAGCGTCTGCCATATACCTCAAGTGGAAGTTCATTACAGTGTCTATGGCCGTGGAATGAACCGGCGTGATGGGGCTCAACTGCAAGGCTGGAGATTAGCGACTAGTTCCGCCCAAGGTCGGCCTATTAAGTGTTCATATTTGCAATGGCTACTGGGGCAGACTTGCCTGTAAGAGATCGAGTGCCTTCAGAGCAGATTGCGCTTTGGGGGGAATAACATAGTCCTCGGGTTTCACGACCCCTGAAGTGAAGCCATTGCTCACTACCTGTGCACTTCTCACGGTGCGCGGCTCGCTGTGAGTCGGCCTGAACGACATGACTGAGAAGTAAAAATGCTGGATGCTATACGCGTGACCGATTATACTTTGGGGTCTCTATCTGCCGCCCTCTGTTTTAGAGGCAGTCGTTGCAGCAATGATACAAAGCGATACTTGAGTTGAATGGTTCCTTGATGGCCATGGCATGCTTTACCTTTTCCGTCAGAATGTCGTTGTATTATGGGGATAAAGGAGTATGATATGACCCTGTTCTGCCCTTGGGCACTTGTGCCCTTTCCTTTGTCGGCTGGCGGTTCTGGAAGGATAGATGGCGTACATGCACGACTCCTGGAGCATTTTGCTAGGATAGCATGGTGGATTCTACCGTGAAAATTATATATTCGCAGTCCGAGCCCATAATTGTATTTACAATGCTGCGCGTGTCTCGGTCGATCATCACGAAGGGCCAAAGAAGTATGGATGCATGAGGAGCGCTGGAGACAGTGGTAGAGTTGATTCATTCTCCGGTGGGGATAATCCCCAGAGCGTGTTTCATCTGACCTGCTATGTGATTTTCAGTACAGGTTCAAGTGATCACATGACGCGATGAGCGAAGCTATGATGACTTGGGGCGGTATTACATGTCGAGTTTGGGAATCTCCCCAGCATTGGAGTTGGTTTGTTGTAAGCCGTGAACAGGCAATACAGTAAAAGGTATGAGGTACCTGTGGGTCGGATGCACTGTGTTCAGTGCCTGCCCCGCAGCAATGTGGCAGACCGTACAGTAGCTGCTCAGCTGGCATTGGCGGCGTTGGTGTCCGGGTGTGTGGCTGAACAGCGCCCAAAGCACGGGAGGGCCCGCCACGGTCAGCGGCTCGTCCGAGTGATCTGATTGGCGCACCAGAGCACGGTAGCTCTGAGGAAGTACCTGGGCACTTTGGCCGGCGTACCTTGGTACCTTGGTACCTACCCAAGTCGCGTCTCTGCCAGTGGGAAACCGCGTCTCGCCATAAACACCGACGCCCAGCTGGACGTGCACTAACAGAACTCTGCCACGCCTCTGGGACTTTGCACAGCATTGATATCGCGACCAGTCTGTCGTCGTGTGCAATTGGTATTCTGTTGCTTGCTTTTAACACTGGCAAAGCCTGTCCAGTTCTTACACTGCATCCTATACTCGAGAAGCGACAGACATCACGTCCACACGCGCGCGTCTGCCTCTTCGCCGCGGTTTAAGTGCTTCCCGCCCGAGAATCGATATACGACCACCCGAACCCGCAGATCCCATGTATCGATTCCTGTAGTCCTCGACGACGCGTCCAGATACAACCGAACATGTATCTGCCACGCGAATTGATCTCGAAACTCTACGCCCACCTGCAGAACACGCGGCATCCGCTCTCGCCGCCCGTGCTGGTCCTCGTCGCCCTCGAGCCCGACTCTCTCTGCGCCTGCCGCATCCTGACCCGCCTGCTCAAGCATGACTACATACCCCACAAGATACATCCCGTGGCCGGATATGGCGACCTCGAACGCGCCGGCCAGGACTTGGTCGCTCCCATGATGGAGACGCGTGGTGGCAACGGCGGCGTTGTCATCTGTCTGGGCGTAGGCGGCATGGTCGACATGGGCACCATCCTGGGCCTCGAAGTCGAAGGCGAAGAGTCTAGCTTTGGCGGTGTAGAAGTCTGGGTTCTCGACGCCCATCGCCCGTGGAATCTGAGCAACGTTTTCGGCGGCTACCCACTCGAGCCTGAGGCCGAAGGTCTAACCAGCTACCAAGGGCGCGCTCCAGAAGGCGTCGCGTCGGGGCGTATAGAACGCTCCTACCGCCCTGGCAAGGGCGGCATCGTCGTCTTTGACGACGGGGATATTGCAGAAGGTCTGAATGCTGAACGGGACGCGTATCTCGCCTTGGTGGACATGCCGGACATTGACGATGATGGCGTCGAGCTCTACGGCGATAGCGACTCGGAGTCAGACGGCGAAGAAGAACCAGCACCGAAGCCCGGACAAAAGAGAAAGTCCTGGGGCGACCGCGACGAGGAGAGTAGTGACGAAGAGGATGACCGGCCAAGGCAGAGGAGGAGGAGCAATTCTGTAAGTCGTTTAGGAGAATATTCTGGCGCTGCAACTAACGCGCATTGCAGTCGACGCCGATTGCCGAATCTCCGCGTCCAGCACGACGAGGCTTGGTGTCTCTCCGAGACGACCTGATCACATCGGACGACGCAGAAGATCCCCCTTCGGCTGCACAGCCACCTAAGGGTCCATCGGCACGCTCGCTGCGCAGAAAATTGATCAGGATGAAGCAGGAGAATGAGAGTATTATTCGGAATTACTACAGAGGGGGTGCCTCCTACTCTGAACCGGTGTCCGCTATGGTCTACTCCTTGGCTTCAGAGCTTGGAAGGGAAGACAACGATTTGCTGTGGCTGACCATTGTAGGCGTGTCTTCAATGGAACTCTACGGCCGCTCGTCGGGAGGCCTGGCAATCTCTGTGAAGGGCTCCGACACGCCTGCCACCGGCTGGATGGGTGTTCGTGGTGCCCGGTTGCGGCAGCTTCTTCGCGACGAGGTGCGGCGTCTGAACCCGCCTGAACTCACTTCGCAGACTGGCCGCGTCTCTCAGACTGAGGGCCCCGGCATAATACCGACCACAGCAAGCAGCCCGGAGGATACCTCCATTCGGCTCTCCCCGGAGCCAAGGTTTCTACTCATACGGCATTGGTCACTCTACGACAGCATGCTTCACTCGCCTTACCTCTTCTCCAAACTGCGCATATATAATGAAAGCGGCCTCAAGCGCTTGCACAAACTACTCGCCAAGATGGGTGTCAGCCTGGTTCAGTGCAAGCAGAGCTACACGCATATGGACATGACGCTAAAGAAGGAGCTGCGCACCAAACTTCTAAAATATGCCTCCCTCTACAATCTAGATGATATGGTGCCCGGGGCCGAGACTGATAGTCGAGACCGGGGTGGAGCCAAGGATGGCTGGGGCTTTGTCCGAAGCTGGGGATGGCGAGCGACTCTTTCTGCCCAAGACGTTGGCGTTGTCATCGGTGCTCTACTCGAAGTTGGTCGGAACAGCACGTACGTTAGCCACGACGGTAGTCTCCAGGCCAGCCAGTCGTTCTCGCAATCCTCAGACATGGTCGATGACGACGGCCTGGCGGAGACAGAGGAATGGGTCTCCCGCTTTTGGGAGGCTTATGATGCCCTGGAGGACATTGACGCACTGAAGTCTGGGTTACCGACGGCACAGTATCTCCATCGTGCCATTTTCCGCACCGGCACGTCCCTTATCGGCAAGCGACAGATCAAGCATCTCAATGCCTTCCGCATGTGCGTAATCAAGGACGGCCCGGACGTCCCTCTCTTCACCCACCCGTCTGCATTGACGAAACTGGCTTTGTGGATCGGCGAGGCTCTTACCGAACAGGAGCGAGACGACAGAGGCAAGCTCTCCAACGGCGGTCGAGGCACGCCGCTTGTGGTGGCTAGCCTGAACGAGAAGCGTGGTGTCTATGTCGTAGTCGGCACCGGTGGTGGAGGCGGACCCGACCTGGCATTCTTGAACCGGGAGGGGGCCAAGGAGAAAGCCGCTCGCCGCGAAGCAAAACAGAAGGAGCGTGAGGCGAGACAGAAGATCCGCGAGGAGAAACGCGCTGCCAGGCGCGCTCAGCGCAACAGCGATGACGATGACGACGAAGAAGACGACGAGACGGAGTCCGAGGGTAGTGACTCGGATTCGGACTCGGACGAGGAAGACGAGGAGGATGAGCGGCGGAAGAAGGGCTACGGCCTCAACAAGTTCGGCAGCGCGTTCCAGGATGTGATCAGCGAGACCAACGCAAGGGTCCGGATCGACAGCTTTGAGCACTGCGTCGTCGAGGTCCAGAAGGATGACCTGCCGGGCTTTTTGGAGAGCCTGAGCGCAAAAGCTGTGGTCGGTTGACCATTGTCTATACAGTCGGCTGCTCTCTTCGCTCGAATCCTTTGCCCCTGGGTCTACTGTGTGACGGAGAGAACAGATGAAAATCCCTGGAGGGGGCGTATAAGAACCATGAAAAGGGGAAGGTCATGACGCATTGATGGGATGAATTAATTGAAGGAGGCATCACGGCGTTTCTATGGACTGTTGGGACCGGCAAATGGCGGCACATGATACACACTCCCTCCGTCGCTGTGGATAAGGTAGGCCTTGTTTTGCATTTTCTGACGGAGCGTTGTGGGCAGCATTGAGGCTCCTTTTTCATGTTAGATATCAATTTGTTTGGAATATAAGGCATAAGTACAGTGATGTTGCTTCCAGCCTGGCTGAGCGTGTTCGGGCATTGTTATTTGTGTTGATGACCAGAACTAGAGAGTATCGTACCTGGTAAGTACTTGATAACTATCGTCACGACACCGCCGTGCATACTCCAATGCCAATGAACTGCAGCCTGACGGTTGGAAACGCAGACTTATACGAGTTACACGACGGAGAGAGCCCGGGGATATTACTGCATCCGTCATCAGTGCCAAGCCGATGGGAGAACGGCCGATCATGGTATCTTGCTGGAGAAGCGCTGGGCTGCCTCCCTAATCACACACGAGAGGCAACTGCCCATGTTACACAAGGGCCATCAACATAACTCCGAAGTCCTGCCCAGAATGCCATCTGGATCTTGAAAGCTTGGGCGAATCTGGAAAAAGCTTATCCGAGCAAAAGTGGTCGTCATGGGCTTGCTCGGCGCAGATGGATGGAGCAAAGGTGGTGACGCTAACCTAACGGGCAGCCAGGACTGGGGCTGCACAGCCCCCTTAGGTCAGCAAAGGTCTCCAGAGGGGCTCGGCTGCGACTCGCGGTTCGTAGACTGTCCGAGCGTTTGCGAGTCGTCACACTGGTTTGAGTTGCAGACTTGGCTCAGTAACAAAGTTGCTTCGTGTGACCCGAGACAGCGAGAGGGGACATCAGACGACGGAAGACCCTTGGAATCAACTGGTGTTTCTCAAAGCCCCTCGCGGGGAACTCGATAGGGGTCCCCGCCTGCTCTCGCTTACGAAAGTCGCCGTGTGCAGCTGTTGTTACATACATGGTCGTGACGTTGCCCTATGTAGGTAGTCGATACCCAGCGAATCGCTGTGTGTACTATGTAACCGCTCCAGGGGACGAGGTCCAGTGGCCGTTGGGTCCTTCCTGGCCACGATCGGTCGCATCCAATGCCAGTTGATTACCATGAGAACCGACCGCTTTCGAACCAACATGGAAGTCATGAGAACAGTAGAGTAGCTGGTTCAGTTGCAATGCGAGCAAGTAGGGACTCGAAGCCAGGAGGTGTCCAAGGACTAGCCAACCAGCCAGCGAGCCAGCCAGCCAGGAGGGGCAAAAGGCCGTACGTAACCTGTCGCGGTCGCTGTAGGTACCCATAACCTAACTTACCTACATCGTCATCATCAGCCGCAAAACGTCTCGCCTGCTGCTGTTCGTCCCGCCGCTGCCCCTCCACTGCCCCAGAAACGCCCCCTCCGAAGTTGGACCAGGGGCAGCATGCCGTACAGCATGCCGCACAGCATCTCACTTCACTCACTTCGCTCCCTTCATTGCTATACCACAAGGTTGCACAACACGCCTGCAAGAAGCGTGCAAGTGCTTCTGCTCTGCTTATCACTCGTATTATCAATCGCACCACACGGCGACTGGTCGAAAGTCCCTTTCGTTCTCACGTGATAACTAAGGATAGGATATTCTTGGCGTTTTACGAAGCGGCAAGCCTCGTCTACCACCTGCTGGACGGCCTACCAAGCCTACCAAGCCTACCAAGCCTACCTCCACCCGCCTACGCGCCCACCAGACCCGTCCAGAGCCAAGCGGCTGGCAAGTAGAGAGTCCGACCCAGTTCCAGTTTCCAGTTTCCAGTTCCAGGTCAGGTCAGGTCTAGGTCCAGGTCGCAGTTCCAGATTGCCAGACCCCAGTGCCAGCGTACCCAGCGTCCCCAGCGTCCAGTCCAGTGTTACTAAGAAAACGAGGCCCGGCCGCCCTCCGCCCTCGCGCGCGCCCCCCCCCCCCTTCTGCCTGTCTGCCCGCCGCCCGCATAACACAACGCCCGGCTCGACGACTACCTTTCCCAACTGCCCCCCCGACATACATAGAAAACTTTCGGGTCCCTTGCAGAAGCGCCGGTGCACTCGCATACTTGTTGATTGAACGCAAACCCTCGTTGCGCGCCGACGAGCACTCACTTTGGCGACACATGCGCGACGTCGCTCCGTGACCTTGGACTTTCCCCTCCCCCTCCTTTCCCTGGGTACATACGACAACACGCGGCTCGCCGTCGCTAGCGGACAGCCGCCCACAACACTGTCCCTTCGCACAATCGCACCATTAGACACGTCTACACAGCGTCCTCGTCCGACGCTCCCTCGAGTCCAACATGGGTAAATCGTGAGTAGAATTCCCATCCTGTCCCATGAGCCAGCCGCGGGAGCCCGGGCGCCTTTGCGCGCATTACGCCGGCTCGCCGAGGGGCAGCCAGCCAGCCAGCGTTGCGTCCGCGGGCGATAAGGCCCGGCAGTGGACGATTAGTGTGCCAACGGGCCCGACACTTCCCACGATCTCGTAAGGGCAGGACATGTTGCTAACGCCTCTGCCCTCTCGCTAGACAGTCCAAACTCTCCCAGGAGCAGCTGGCCGAACTGCAGAAGTCGACGCACTTTGACAAGAAGGAGCTGCAACAATGGTACAAGGGTCAGTAGAGGCGCTGGCGAACCGACACGCTGCCCATGCGCGCTCCCTATACCCCCCGAGGCGGACGCTTTGCTGACGGGGCAACCCCTTTCTCAACAGGCTTCCTCAAGGACTGCCCCTCGGGCATGCTCACCAAGGAGGAGTTCCAGAAGATCTACCGCCAGTTCTTCCCCTTCGGCGACCCGTCGTCGTTTGCAGACTACGTCTTCAACGTCTTTGACAGCGACAAGTCCGGCTCCATCGACTTCAAGGAGTTCATTTGCGCCCTGAGCGTTACGAGCCGCGGCAAGATGGAGGACAAGTTAGACTGGGCTTTCCAGCTCTACGATATCGACGGCGACGGCAAGATCAGCTACGAAGAGATGCTCAAGATTGTCGAGGCGATCTACAAGATGGTAAGCCCGACAGACCGAGAATCTCAAGAAACGAAAGAGGAAACACGTAATAAGAATGGTCTGCTAATCCAATACCTGACAACAGGTGGGGTCCATGGTTAAGCTCCCCGAGGACGAAGATACCCCCGAGAAGCGCGTCAAGAAGATTTTCCGCATGATGGACAAGGACGAGAACGGCAGTCTAGACATGGAGGAATTCAAGGAGGGAAGTAAACGCGACGAAACCATCGTTTCCGCCTTGTCGCTGTACGACGGCCTGGTATGAGCGACTCCCCTAAATAAAACCCTCTTTTACTTCTCAAGGAAAAAAAACTCAACTATAAACGGAAACAACAAATTTGGGGAGAGACCAAGAGCGCCGCGGTCTGTTAGGCGAGAGTGGCATGGGCTATGTAGCAACAATGAGCGGCAACCCGCCGGCGCCGGACCGGGCCAGCCGGGAACCTCGGAGCAAAGTCCCACCAGACGGGGGAGTCGGCCAACGGGATGGTCGGAATGGCCGGACGGACAGACGGCATGCGCGGAAAGGGTGCTGGGATTTGCGGGATGGATTGGATGGTGGAAAAGGGAGGGGGGGTGAGAAAGGAAAAATCCTCCCCTTCCTACATGTGTTATCTCTCTCAAGCTCTTTTCCCTCCTGGTTTTGTTCTACCCTAGCTCTCGAGATTTGAATTCCGACGCAAATGAAATGAAGAGAACTCCCCAAAGCCCGAGGCGAAGGGGTGGAAAGGACTCGGGGCCTGCACACGCGACCGACTACGTGAAGTTTCTCAACCCTGCCCTGCACCAGCCTGACCCAAAGACCTACACGTCGCCTTTGCGCTATTTGAGAAGGAAACCACCACCATGGAACAGAAGACATCTGTCTGGCATTTTCGACATTGGTGAGCTTCGCATATGTGTATAGAACTTGCGAGTATTTGGAAATGGTAGACGCAGGCGCGATCCAAGATTAGAAGAAGAATTCCGTGTTGTTGCTACAAGGTATTATATACAGAACAGTCCATCCGTACCAGCTAAACACCGAGGCTCTTCATTAGGATAACAAAAAGGATATTTCAAAATAAAACACAAAAAGGAGGCTACGCTCTCCTGTCCTATCGAGTTCTCTCCGTAGGCCGTCTTTGACAACAGCCCCTGCCACGCGTCGCCGTTGCTCCCGGTCTTTGCTAGCCTCTCCTTCTCTTTTTTCGCTGCCCTCGCCTCTTCACACCCTGCGTCTAGGAGCCGTAGGCCACATCCACCTCCTTCTTGTACTTGTTGAGTATGCCCTTGCGGTTCAGCTTCTGGGCGGCGGTGACCAGGTTGTTCTGTGGGGTCCACTCCTCGTCGGACATGACGACGCCGTCGATGATCTCGATGCCCGACAGGCCGCCGGAGCGGCCGGCGTTCTGGAGCTCCTTGAGGACGGCGCTCTGCAGCTTCTTGTTGTGGACCAGCTCCTCGAGGCTGGCGTCGGGGACGCCCGTGGCGGCGGCCAGCTTCTTCAGCGCCGGTTCCGCGGGCACGATGATGGCGATGGGCTTGGCCTTGGACTGGTCGGCGTAGACGCAGATGTTGGCGACCACGGCGGCCGACCGGTAGATGGACTCGAGCTTCTCCAGCGCAATGTACTCGCCGTTCAGCGTCTTGACCAGGTTCTTCTTGCGGTCGATCAGCTTGAGGTGGCCGTGCTGATCCCACTCGCCAATGTCACCCGTCTTGAACCAACCGCCAGGCGCAATGGCCTCGGCCGTTTCCTTCTCGTTCTTGTAGTACTCCTCCAGCACCGAGGGACCCCGGATCCACACCTCACCCTGTGGGTTGGGCTTGTTGGTGGCATAGTAGCCAGCATCAGGGAAATCGACCAGCTTGACATCGATGCAGGCAGGCATGGCACCGAGCGACTCCGACGTCCACTCCATGGGGTTCATCAGGCAGCCCATGGCCGTGGTCTCGGTGAGACCGTACCCGCTGATCATAGGCGCGATGGCCATGGAGATGAACCTCTGCGTGTCCCTCGCGATGGGCCCACCACCGTTCATACACAGCTTCAGCTTTCCACCGGTTGCCTCCTTGATCTTCTTGAAGACAACGGCATCGAGAAGGCCGGAACCGGGGAGCCCCGCCGACATGAGAGTCTGCTTGGCCCACATTGCTCCCCAGAACATGTTCTGCACGACAGCGGACCCGGCCGCGACCTTGGCACTGATGCCCTTCTTGACGTTCTCCCAAACCGCGGGCACACCAACCAGAACCGAGGGCTTGAATTCGCGAATGTCACCCGCGCAGTTGCGCACCGACTGGTCCGACAGGGTCTTGGGGTTGCCGTAGCCCATGGTGGTTCCCCAGTAAAGCGAAGCGTTCTCGAAGACGAACTCGAGGATATGCGCCAGGGGCAAGTAGGTCAACAGGCCGTCGCCCGGACCAATGTAGGGCTGGACCACGACACTGACACCGGCGACTGCTGCAATGACGTTTCTGTGCTTGAGAGGAACACCCTTGGGCGTACCAGTCGAGCCGGACGTGTACATAATACAGCAGAGGTCCTCGGGCTGGGGAGGGACGGGGTCGGAGGGGTTCTCCTTGCCCAGCTTCTCGAGGTCCTTGAAGCTGACGATTGTGAGCTGGGGGAAGTTCTGCTTGAGAGCGCTGATGTGATCCTCCTTGACCTGGTTCTGGCTGTTCCAGATGACGTAGCGCACCTCTGTGGCATCCTTGAGCACGTTGCCGAGGGTGGGCAGCAGGTGGGGGTCGAGGAAGATGGCCTTCGCACCGGTGGCCACCATGGAGTGCCTCAAGCCCTCCTCCCCGAGGGTGTCGTAGGCGGTGACGATGGGCATGGACTGCGAGGCGGCGGCGTGCGACATGGCGAGCCAGTGCTGGCTGGTGGCGGCAAAGATGTGGACGCGGTCGTCCTTCTGCATGCCCAGCTTGCGCAGACCGGAGCCGATGTTCAGGACGAGGGTCTCGTATTCGTGGTAGGTGATGTACTCGTAGGGGCTGAGCTCGAAGAAGGTCCAGTTCTTGTCGACTTGTTGCTCCTGGCCGTCAATGATCTTCTTGACCTTCTTGGTCTCCTGGTGGGTGCGCACGAGGCGGCGCGAGCCGAGGGCCTTCGCATTGCCGTACTTCTGGGCGCTCACGCGCACCAGCTCGTAGACGGTCGAGATGTTGTCTACGGGCTTGGAGATGAGGCCGTCCTTGGCCTGGGGCAGGCGGCGAGGGATGGTCTCGCCCTCGACGGGCTCTGCTCCGGGGGTTTCGATGGAGTAGGGGCCCTTGGCCGACATGCGCGGCTGCAGGGTCACATTCTTGAATTTTGATTCCGCCCACGACATGGTGACAGATGGGTCAGGGCCGCCTGAGCGAGGGGGGAAGCGGGGGGGAGGTTGACGGGGTAGTTGGGTATGTATTATTGTTGTTGTAGTTGGGAGAAGGTGACGCAGGTGCGGCGGGTTTGAGGATGTTTCGGTGCCGATCCGAAGAGAGAAAGCATCAAAGGGGACCTCGTGAGGTAGGAGGGGATGGGGAGGGACGGCGGTTCCAACTTCCAAGCCAAGCACGTTCGCTGCTCAGCTGCTTGAGACACGGGACTGGGAGGCGGTCTTGTCAAGCCTTCGAAGGTGATGGTCTTCTTGGTATTTGGTCGGCGTCGCTGGTCGACGGCGGTGCCAAGGAGGGCCTACGGTGCCTACGGGGTGCGTTCGCCCTCTACTTTTCTGGAATCTGCTCAACTGGCTTGGGACGGAGACCACGGCGGACCTATGGGGCCTCGTCTTGGCCTGAGCTTCCCCAGAGATCCCAGAGGTCCCAGAGGTCCCAGAGGTACTATGACGAAAACAATTGTCCCATCTGCAAACCTGCCAGTCTGCCCCAACCCCCCGGCGCTGGCCCCCCCCCAGCGACCGGCGCCCGCCCAGCGATGCCGAGAGCCAATCACGCCTGATCAAGCCCGCCCCAGGCCTGAAGCGGACAAGACCCCTCATGCTAAACCCCAGCTCCAAAATGCAACCCTCGATGCCGAGCTCTGTGCTCATGCTGCTGGGCTGCATTGCCATCGATTCCGAGGCACCGCTGCCAGTCTGCGCAGGCTACGGGGTAATCGTGCCTCAGGAACGAGAGGGCTTCTCGGGTCCTGCCCGTCAAGATCAGCTGTAAACCCCCCATCTTGCTGAAAGTCTGATCCGATACTGAACGTGTCTTCTACGTAGCTGGGGACAGGACGACTCAACCAGCCTGGCCAGTAATGAGCTCACAGCACACCACGCATGCACGTACACGGTCCCCAGAAACGTCCAAGCTCTCACCCTAAGCATGCCGTTGAGAAGTTGGAGCCGTACCGAAAATCAGTGCCGCCCTACTGGTTGACTGGGGCCTTGTAGGGCATACCTTTTTAACTTAGTTTAATTGACTGGCACGCAGATAGGAATCTGCAGGGGAACCCGTCATTGACTTCTCGCTACGAGTTACGCTCAGTCGGGTTGCTCAAAGCGAATTGGCGTCCAGAGCAAGACCCCTGATTGCTCATCTCCTCTGCAGAGCCATACATCTTGGCGATATCTCCAAACGACAGACTAAACCACCACTGCATTATGGAGTTACAGCCACAGTCTTGATCTAAGTCACAACGACAGCGAAGCAGGCCGCTTCATCAGTCGCAAGCCTTGCCTACGCCACCCTAGAGACCTTGTTGCTCAACACGTGTATCCACTGCGAGGCAATAGCGTGTGATTTGATACTTGGATAGCCAAAGGCTTTCCCACCACGACAGGCCCGCGAGCTTTTAGAGTTGCAGTGTATGTACGGACGCTTGCGCCAAGAAAGGATTCTTGGTCAAGCTGCAACACCATCTTGGCGAGCATTGCCCCAGCCAGTGCCTGAAGCACTTGGCAACACACACCCCCGAGTGGCAGCACCCCTGAAGACGCGTTTTGCGCATGCTAGTTGTACTATAGCAATGGACGAACTACATCTTACGTTCGGATCCGAAGTGGAGGATCCGGAAGAAGGTAATTTGATTGGAGCGCTGGAATCATCAACCCTATAACGAAAACTCTTTGGCTTACAGCAATGACAGAGGCTTTCCTTCTTTTCAGCCAAGAAATACCATCGCAGAATCTCGGCTTTGTCGACTCGAGGGCCACTACTCTCGAGTTGACTGTTGCTGGAAAGGATTATGTGATTCACCAGTCCCCAACAGTTCTATCGTCGAACCGCGCTGGTGGGACCACCGGTGCTGGTAGGTCTCCCTCTGTGGCCACTGGCGAACGGAGAGTCTTCATGTAATTAATCAACCTCGACCAGTACTTTGGAAGGTCACTCCCATGTTTGCAGAGTGGATAGCATCACCTAGGAATCCCCTTTGGAAGATTGGCGCCTTGGGTCCGTCGTCGAATGTGATCGAACTCGGCTGCGGAATCTCTGGTCTTACAGGATTGGTGCTTGCGCCGTCCGTGTCCAGATATGTCTTGACAGATCAGCCCTATGTGTCCAAGTTCGTGGAAAGCAATCTGGCAGAGAACATGAGCAACATGTCTTCCAGCGCTCCAGGCACGCGGCGGAAGAGGAAAACCCCGGCGGCACCGTCGTCAAAGGACAATCTGAGATTCGCGTCCCTGGACTGGGAGCTGGACGAGGTCACGTCTGATCTCACGGGATCTGATGATGCCAAGAGCTTCGACGTCGTCATCGCGTGCGACTGCATCTATAACGATGCTCTGATCCGGCCGTTGGTGGAGACCTGCGTTGATGTTTGCAAGCTCGGTGGTTCAGATTCCGCAACACAGTCTCCTCAAACGCCGACTATCTGCATTGTTGCCCAACAACTCCGGGACCCAGAGATCTTTGAGGGATGGATGAAGGAGTTCCACAAGCACTTCCGGACCTGGCGGGTTCCCGAGTCGGCTCTGACAGAAGAGCTACGGTCCAACGCCGGGTTCGTGATACACATCGGTATCCTGCGGTAGGCTGGTGCTGGTGCCAGAGTAGTCGACCACAGTGAGAAAGGAACGCAGGGAAGCTTATATATCCCACAGAATATCCACGTCGGCTGTAAGTCGTTCCGACAGGCGGCCTGGAGGTTGGATGAATTGTGACAAAAGAGTAAATAGCTGGGCATGAGGGCCTATCTCAGAACTATAGGGCAACCCGCCAGTTGGTGGCTTGAAGGTTTTCATGGCGGCCCACTCCAGACCCGTGAGTCGAATCCGTGAGTCGGATGACCCGTTTGCTTGCGGCCCTCTTGGGCAGGCGACATTGCAAACGCGCTCCTTCCATGACGAAACACACTTGGAAAGTTCGTTTGTTTCACGAATAAGAGAAGCACTGGAATTGATACGGCCTGAGCCTCTCTTTCCATCATCATTTGCTGTATGCAAAAAGACACCCAGTCAACAAACATGCAGCAAGTCCGGTGTGGTGTAGTGGTTAACATTAGGGATTCTCACTCCCTGGCCCAGGGTTCGATTCCCTGCATCGGAGATCTAGTCTCGCTTTACATTCTGTTTTTTTTTTTTTTTTTTTTTTTTTTTTTTTGTTTGGCTCTCGTGGCGCGTTTTCAGCTGTTCAACTCCCTGCATCACTTTGTAACTGTTCATGTGTTCCCTGAGTAGGTCGCGTTTAATTTATTCGCTTATATGCCTAGGTACGTTCCAGAACGGGTTATATGGAAAATCAGGATCCTTCATCCGCAATAGAACTATCTAAAGCCTATGTTTAAGGAACACTACTTCAGCATCAATCTCTATTTTTCTAGACTTGAGAATAACAATAATAGCTGACTCAGGAAGCCAGAATGCGACTTTTGGTTGCATACAACTAATCTTGCTGATTTATAAACCAAATAGCGGGCAACGATTTAACTTGTCCGCAATCTGCACAGTGCTGATATAGTCTGGAGGAAATCACACTGAACACGCGATGCAGTGTTTAATATGGCCAAGTACTACGCATTCCCTCTATGGTCTGACTCGCCAACTAGCAGAAGTTACGACATACGTGATTCTATTGTCAGCCTGGTTTCTTTGTGAATGAGCTTCCGAGGCGTGTGGGGGTAATTCTTTTCAAACCCAAGGGTACAGTGCGTCACGAGGCACAAGGCTCCAGCTGGCCCTGCCAACGCCAACCACCACATGACAAGCTGCACAATTGATTCGTTCGATCCATCTCCCCCACGAGCGCAGGATATGGATTCCGGGCTCTGGTCTAGAAAACGGGCCGGAAACCACACTGACGAGTCCGCCTCTGCCCCCAGATGAGTAACTGGCTGAGGGCGATTGACTTGGCTCATAGCGCAATGAGCAATGTTACCAGTGGTATGCCAGCGACTACGCTTCCTCCGAGAGGGAAAGCGGGGACTAACCGCAACCAACCAGGCCGGCACCGACAACACCACCGCATCCCTCGAGCCGAATAACGGGCCAAAATCAGATGCGGACGAGTCCGTAATACCGACCGAGTATCAAACTTCGAGCATAAAGTCTATGCTCAAACCACGATGTAAGTGTTCCATGGCGATGACCAACAGCCGTGCGGTTCCCGTCCAATTGCTCCGGCTGACTGAATACATAGCCAAGACATCTTACGAGTACAAGTTCTCTTTTATGCCTGGGTTTTTCGTAGATTACGTAAAGGCCGCTGAGCTTTATCCTGACGCCAAAGTTCAAACTCTCCCAAACCTTGGGATTACAGGACGGGGGTATGGCGCCGCGCCTGAGGGTCCGTCCAGTGGTGAACAACGGCCTTCGTGGAGGGGGTTTACAGAATATTTACAAGGGCTCAATGAAAGGAATGAGCATGGTGAGTCTTACAAATTGTTGTTTTTAATTCGGCATGCGGCCGGAGTACACAATATCTTCATGGAGCAAGTTGGCACGGATGCATGGAACGTAGGTCGTCATACTCACTTCCACATGACTAGTCGCTAATGTCTCCAGGATTACTGGGCTCATCTTGAGGGTGATGGCAAGGTCATCTGGCTCGATGCCCGTGCTGTGGACTCCGGAATTGTCGAGGCTCAGAGGCTCGCGCAGTTCTGGATTGACGGCGTTCAGAACGACGATATGCCCCTTCCGGGGACCCTGTACACGAGTCCTCTAGCCCGTTGCCTAGAGACTACCAGGCTTGTTTATGCCCCCGTGTTTAAGAGTCAACAGCGAAGTCTCCAGCCTGTAGTAAAGGAGCTTTTGAGGGAACGACTTACAGGCCACACATGCGACAAACGCAGTACCAGGTCCTGGATAGCAAAGGCATTCCCCGAGTGCCAAATCGAACCTGGCTTTGCAGAGTCTGATTCGCTCTGGAGAGCCGACTACTTAGAGACTCCAGAAGACCACGTCGCACGGAAACGCGAACTCCTTGAGGAGATATTTTCGAACGACGATTCCCCATTTATCTCGTTAACAACGCACTCATACGCCATTTCCGCAATCCTCAAGGTGGTTGGCGCGCCAAAATTCCGAGTAGCAGAGGCTGCTATGGTACCTCTTTTTATAAAGGCTGAGAAGATCGCGGCTGGGGCTCCATGAATGCACATCATCCCACAGTTAGAATGGCGACCTGTATGACAGTTGGACATAGGTCGGTAGAAAATAAATGCAATGCTGATATATCTGCTTTCGGCAACCAGATGTGAATCCTGCGCTAATGCCTATTTACGCACTACGTGATAATCATAGGGCGGGATTATCCATTGATCAACTTTGGGCCCCAAGACTATGCCTAATCACCTCTTGACGTGAGCATGGATCAATCGTATAGTGTGGAATGTCCTAGTAGCCGACCCGTGGCGCCAAACCCAGGCATGTCCTCAGCAACCGGTGTGATGGCAAGTGCAGGTAGCCGCCGGCACCCTGGCAAATACTCAGAAGCCGGGCCGCGGTAGCATGTACCTTGTCGCGGGAAGAGGTGTGGGGCGGATACCTACCAGACACTTGCGTCTATACCCGCCAATACAGAAATTGTACAATCATACAACGGTAACGAAAATGAGTAAGTGGCGGATGAAGTTCCGGGTTATCGCTTTCAGTTATCACTTTCAGATAGTACCTGAAAATGCTGCGATAGAGATGATTTAACGTCTACTTTCATGGCTTTTCGAGCTGACAAGCCACACCCATACAACCCCTGCACGGCGCAATACGATGCAACTCAGCCCCCAAGAGCTGACCAGGGGCTGGGCTGGCGAAACATGCAGCCTGCTGGATCAGGCTTCTCGCAGCTCACAGAGAGGGACAGCCAGATAAGTAGACATGCTCGACGCCGAGAGTCCTTCTGAACGTTGCTGAGCACAAGTCGCCGCCTCAGATCGTTTCTGAGCCAGTCCGAGCGCCATCATGGAGATACTCCAGTGCATTTCACGCCAATCGTTCAGCGGACCTCGTCAAGAGGCTGGCCCAGATCATCATATCAGAATTGTCAGCGCATCTGCGTCCAGTGGTGGCCAGACGACAGAAACAACTATCGAACTCCGCACGCTTTTTGAGAAGATCGAGACGGCGCAGCTGTTCGATACCGGCACAAGCAGAGCTTCGCTGAACCTGGTCTATTTCCCTCGTGATATATGGAAATTGATTTCGGAAGATCGGCCAAGAACCACGGAGTTGACGAAATATTTACGCCTGGACGACTCTGTGCTCGGTTATCTAATATCCTCAAGATCAGGATGGTACTGTGTGGACAACACGAACGGCTTATACACGTTCATGGTCAAGGAATATCTATACATGTTGGTATGGTCCTTCGATACGAAAACTTTCGAAACCAGGGGCATGGTCTGTGAGCGAAGTGAGTTCGAAAGCAGCTCTAAGTTAAAAGATGCAGACGGCAACTTCGCTCTGCCTATGCTAAAGGAGATGCACCTGTACCACCCTCTGTCACTAGCATGCATCAGTATAGCGGACTTGATTTCTCACCTTGACATACTTCTGGTCAAGGAGAGTCACAAAATTGGTGACATTGAGGACGCTACTGGTCATGGTTTCTGGATCAAGAAAGAAAACGCATATCTTAGTCAGAAGGCAAGACTCGGCAATGCCTACGGCCAGCCAGATGCACGCACCCATGCTCAACTATTGACAAGAAGAGAGAGGGTTACCACACGGGGAGAGCTCAATGTTCAAGCCAACGAATCTCTTTCCAGCGAGAAACTTGCGAAACTCACAGATGCATGCCAAAGTATAGCGAGGAGCATCGGGGTATTCGCCAACGTCACTAAAACCATTGACATGATCGAGGCAATGGCAGATAGTCTAAAGTCTCGAAATTATTGGGATCAATGGTTTGATGAAGAAGCTCCTGAGATATGCCGGGATAATTACGACGCGTGCACCAAGTCCTTCGGTCGAGCTGTGGGACTGCTGGAACAGCGCATTCGGACGATTAGGCACTCTGGCAAGAGCTTCGATGAGCGAGCACGCGCACAATTCTCGGTGGTGAGTATACCTGACCTGGTCAGAGCGCTCAAACTGGCTTGATGCTGATTATCATCCATTACTTCTTTAGATCTCCACTCTTATAAGCCGCACGAACAAAGATCTAGCAGATATAGCTCGTGCTTCGAAAGACCTGGCCGAGGATGCCAAGAAGGACACCTCTGACATGAAGGTCATTGCTCTGATGACTATGGGCTTTCTTCCCGCGACCTTCTTCGCTGCTCTCTTTGCGATACCCTCGCTGGACTGGGATCGACCCGGGGTTGTCACTGAGAACTTTTGGATATATTGGGCATGCACGGTGCCAACGACGTTTCTGATTTTCATCATATGGGACTTTGGCAATGGCCAACAGATGCACCGCCAATTGTTTAATAAAATCGCTGGGCTTTTCACTAGGAAAACGGGTGGTACAACTGGTCAAGCATCGTCGGAGACACCCACTGCGACGGCACCACAAGTCATACTTTCCCTGCCTAAATGATGTGCCACAAAAGAGAATTATTCCAAGCGCAGACTTATATGTGGCCAACTTGTTGTTTTTATGTATATCTAGGGTTTATGGTGTATTTAGGTACTTTTCCCGAGAGGTTCGTGCTTTAATCTATTCCAAGGTCACTGGCGTCAATTGGGAATGTGTTCTTGTCTAGATATTTTTGTTACCAAGCCCACGCACTGTGATCGGCCCAAGTTTGAATTCCACCACGATTAAACTGTACAAGGCATGAGAGCTGCGACTGTACTGCCGCCACTAAAGTCTTTGCACGATCGACGGTATTCATGGTTTGCCTTGTTGGCCAAAAGCAACGCACACCAGCAGGGGTAAGTTACACACGCTGCGCCATCCACAGCCTGCTTCCGACCTGGAATCAGAGGTTAAAGTGAGCAGGCTGCTACATGTGACTCGCCATCACTGTATATACAGAAGGCTCTACGTTTCAGAAGGTTTGCTACATGCAGGGCCAGCGTTCTCTTGAATAACCAAGGCGAACTTGAAGTCCCTGCACTCAAACCCAAACAGTTCCATTGCCCATTATCAGCGGCAAGTAGTGTAGCCGCTGGCTGCGTCATTTCGACTTCTCCTGTAACACAAAAAGACTCAAGTTCATATCCTCGAGTTTCATACAGCATATGGATCTCATCTGTACACTTGCTGTACCTAGATGCCAGGGTATCTACGTGCAGTGTGCGGCGTGGACGATGATTTAAGCGCGCACAAGGAGGTAAAGGTATATTTTCAAAGCTGTTTATGTAATATTGGATATAAAATTGGAGCGAGGGGGGGGGGATGGGGGGAGAAGGTAGAGAAAGAAAGAAAATCCCTTCGTTAGATGGCAAAGATACACGATCGGAGCAGATCGTCAAACGTGTTGAGCTGAGATATTTTGTCCCAAATGAAATTAACCCTGATAGTTACATAAGCCCGAAATTCATGCACCAATTGATCTATAATACCTTTAGTCGCAAACTACCCGTCAATGATGTCACCCTAGCTGGACAAGCTCGCGAACTAATTGCCAGGTCAGTCGATGCGCGGAATTTACCTCCGGACTCGATTACGTCTAAAAGGCAGGAGGTGTCTGGGCAGTCACTCGTTGCACATTTGATGAATGGTACGCGATGATGAGGCTATACCAGGGATTGCAGCCCTGTCGCGCGAGGCACCGCGTATGGCTCTCACGCAGCAGCTGTCACTCGGCGCCAATTACAACCTGGACCGCCAAGGTGCGCAACGCATCCGTTGCACGCGTTGGTCAGTCTCGAGGGTTGGACAAAGGCCAACTACCACGGACCTTCTTTACGACTGGAAAAAGCCGGCAGCAACAGGATGGAAAACCCGGTAATGGCCCCTTCGGAATCGTGGTGCCGGTCCTCGGTCTTGGTAGCTTACTTATATACTCGCTCTATCCAGGCGAAGAACTGCACCGCGCTCGACTCGGGCGTGAGACTGAGGAAAGTGTGCAGTCTGTGAAGCAGGATGAGCCGCCCGTGGACTCTACGGCGTGGACCGCTTTTACCAGCAAGTTCAAGGATCTGTCGACCATCACAGACATAGAATGGGCCTCTCTGTCGGACCGCATGGTCGACATGATACTCCCGGACTGGTCCAAGGGTCTGCCGGTCTACCTCAACAAGCTACAGCGGGAGCTGTCAATGTCACCCGGCTCCATCGCAGATGAGATATGGAACGAGGCCCACGATCCGTTCATCAACCCCGAGATCCGGTACAAGGCCAAGGTCCGTGTTTCGGATGAGCTTTGTGACGAGGAAAAGGAGTTCCTCGCGCGCCGGAAAAGAGTCGCAACTATGGCCTTGGCGCGCTACCTTGGACTGGACGAAAGGGATGTGCATCCCGACGACGTGCCAACCATTGCCATGTGCGGCTCTGGTGGAGGTCTCAGGGCATTGGTTGCAGGGACAGGGTCAATGCTTGCCACACAAGAAGACGGACTCTTTGATTGTGTGACATACACTTCCGGTGTCAGCGGGTCATGCTGGCTCCAGGCACTTTACCATTCTTCCTTCACTGGACGCAGACTGGAACGAGTCATCGACCACATAAAAGCTCGGCTGGGCGTCCACATCGCATACCCGCCCGCAGCCTTTGCTTCCGTTCTGTCGGCACCGACGAACAAGTTGCTTCTAAGTGGTATGGTTGAGAAATTGAAAGGCGACCCAAACGCGGATATTGGCCTCGTCGACGTCTATGGTATCCTCTTGGCGGCGAGGCTGCTCGTCCCAAAGGGCGAGTTGGCAATAAATGATCGCGACTTCAAAATGTCAAACCAGCGAGAGTACATCAAATACGGACAGAACCCGCTACCGATCTACACTGCGGTTCGGCATGAGATCCCTGACATCGAAGGTGTTACTGCAGCGGAAGGGCACGCCTCTGAGAAAGCCAAAGAAGTGGCTAAGCAGGAGGCATGGTTCCAATGGTTCGAGATGACTCCCTACGAGTTTTTCTGCGAGGAATTCAACGCCGGCATTCCGACATGGGCCATGGGACGTAATTTTGAGAACGGAGTAGACGTGCCACCCGAGAATGGATTCCACCTGCCTGAACTCCGGATGCCGCTCTTGATGGGTATCTTTGGGTCTGCGTTTTGCGCAACGTTAAGCCACTACTACCGCGAGATTCGACCCATTGTCAAGAGTCTCGCCGGTTTTGGCACGGTTGATGAGATGGTGCATGGGCACAACGAGGATCTTTCGAAGGTCCATCCTATCGATCCTGCACAAATCCCCAATTTTGCGTATGGAATGGAAGACCAACTCCGCTTTACAACACCGACTGCCATAGCCAAAAGCCCCCATATTCAACTCATGGATGCGGGGATGTCCAACAACCTGCCGATCTATCCTCTACTCCGGCCTGGACGCGATGTCGACGTCATTATTGCCTTTGACGCATCTGCCGACATCAAAACAGACAACTGGCTCTCTGTCGCTGACGGATACGCCCGTCAGCGAGGGATCAAAGGATGGCCTGTGGGCGTAGGCTGGCCCAAGGCGGGTGAAAAGCCCGAGCAGGCGGAACAGGAACTCGCAGCCGCACAGGCCGATAGTGCAGCCGATGCGGATGCGAGATTACGCAAGGCCCAGCAGGCCCATGAGGCAGGCGAAGCGATCGATCCGGCTGATCAGAAGAAGAAGGCTATACACAACCAGTCGCACCCCGAAGATTCGGACCTGGGCTACTGCACTATCTGGGTTGGAAAAAGCCAGGAGCGGTCGTCAGAACCTCCCCCGCCAAGCAAGGCCGTCGATGAGTCGAATAAGTGGCAGCTCGTCGAGCCCGATGCAGGGCTTGCCGTCGTCTACCTGCCCTTCATGGCTAACCCCAAGGTGGAGGGCGTCGACCCTGCCAAGAGCGACTATATGAGCACGTGGAATTTCATCTACACACCTGAGCAGATCGACAAGGTGGTTGAACTCGCACGGGCCAACTATGACGAGGGCAAGGAGCAGATCAGGGGATGCATACGCGCTGTCTACGAGCGTCGGAAGAGGATAAGGGAGGAGCGAGAAGATGCTGTGAAGCAGGAGAAGCGGAGCCGGCTACGCAGGCTAGGGATCGAGGGTAAGTTAGGCGAAGGCGATCATTTCAGTTGATTTAGCTCTGTTTACAGGACGGGGAACCTAAAACAGTATGTACCAATTAATTACGGCGTGATGGGGAGCATGGTGTAGAGAATAGTTGATACCCAGATATCAAGATCATCAGACTTGACTGCAGGTCCCTCCATGGCTGCAACCCTCTCGCTTGACATGAGAATGAGTACTCCATGCAACCAGTGTTGTAGTCTCATGAAAACAAATAGCCAATGGTGCCGGCGCCGTGTTGCATGTCGGAAGAGCTATTATAGTTACGTTTAAGTTCTTGAGTACGAGACATCAACAATTCAAGCAAACGTGACGCGCATCAGGACTCGAACATCGGATCTTGATCAATTCCTTCTATTCGCACATCTAGTTGCTTATGTACAGGTAGGACGTCCCCATCTCTCGATTCTGCCGCATCACGAACCGCCCTTCTTGGCGGCCTCTGCCTTCTCGTGCTCGATGATCTGCTTGCTCCAACTGGGGAAGCGCCGGCAACGTTAGCCGCATTTGACAATTGGAGGAATTCGCCTTATGCTTATGAAGTACTTCTCCGTAGAAGAGGGCAGGGAGAGACGTACTATCTGCTGGGGAAGAAGCGTCCCGGCTCGGGGAAGTTGTGACGGGTCTCGCGCTCGGCGCTCAGCTTCCAGGCCAGGGCGGTGATGCCGACGATGACGGCGCTGAAGACGGCGGTGTTGGCCTTCCAGTTGGACGGCTGGGCGTACCAACCACCGCTGGGCGACCAGACGTGCTTGGGGTACCTGGGTTTTGCACACACGGTCAGAGGGACAGGTAGCTTTGGAGGGGGACTGTGTATTCGCGGGTTCGCTCGTCGGCTTACGGGACTCTTGGACCACCACCCTGGTTCGCGTTAGCTGGTGAACACAGAGGGAGTGGGAAATGCGACTGACCATCTTGTCTTGGGTATGATGAATGGAGTCTCGGGGTGTTCAATTGACGGGGGATCTCGAGAAATCGAAGAGCTCGACTGAGGTCGTCACCAATTGCTCGGAGTTGATTGGGAGAGCTGGAGAGGCCGGCCGGCAGACGGGGATTAGCCAGGGTTATTCCGGCGAACTTGTGCACAGAAGAGACAGTGCATATGTACATAACTAGTCCCAGACTACGTCTAGTTAATGCACAAGTGTGGGTAGTGCACAAAGGTGCACAGGCCATTGGCGCGCTGGGGCGCCGCTCAGAGAATCCCTGGCCCGACGGCAGCTTCAATTCGAAACTTTTTCCTGAGCTAATGTAGACACGAGACCTCGACGCCGACGCAGACGCAGACGCACCACGAGCCGCGACAGTTCGTCCTCCGAAGCCCCGGCGACCTCTACCGCTTCCCGAGTCTCCGTCACTGCCGGCTGGAGGGAGGAGCAGCCGTGTTTTTTTCTTTCTAGTCCCTAATTTTCCAAGATGAGGAGGACAAGGCTAGCGAGCCAACTGCTTGCCGGCGCCCCGAGAGCTGCCAGAGTATCGAGGATATCGAGCTCGACGACACCGGCGCTGTGCACGAGAGGGTACGCCAGCGCCGTCTCGGGCCGCGAGCCCCTCTCGTTGGACGTCGAGGATGAAGACGCCCTCTCGCCAAAGGAGCTCATGCGGAGGTCGACGTCGCTGCCCTCACCACCCCCTGCGAGGGCAAAGTACTCGGCCAAGCTCGCCGCCCTGCATGCACGACTCTCTCTTTCCCCCAAGATACCGGTCGAGACCCTGGCCCGCGCCCTGATCGACCCTTCCGCCGACGCACACCCCAGGTTCAACAATGCGAACCTCGCCTGCATCGGCGCCGCTCTCCTCAACAACCACGCCTCCGAGTTCCTCATCACCAAGTACCCCCGTCTCCCCATGACCATACTCTTCACCGCCATGAAGGGCTACGTGGGCAACCCCGTGCTGCACCAGATTGCGCGCGCCTGGGGTGTCGAGGCCACGGCCTCGCCTGGCGAGGAGGTCGATCCGGGTCTGCTGCAATTCGATATCAACAAGCCCACCGCCATGCACACCAGCTGGGGCTACGTTCGTGCCGAGAGCGCCGAGATCCAGCGCTACAAGTGGCGGAGGGGTATGAGCAGTCGTGTCATGTACGACGACGCCTTTGGTGACCTGGTCCCTGGCCAGTCATCTGTCTCGGATAAGACGGGCGCTCTCGAGATGCGCAATGACAAGAACTCCAAGGAGATGCTTGTCAAGGATATGCCCACGAACGCTCATGCCAACTTCGTGAGGGCCGTTGTCGGTGCCGTTTACCTGCACTGCGGTCGCGAGGCTGCCAAGAACTTCATCAAGCCGCACTTTCTCTCGCGGACCCTAGACCTGGCCAGCCTCTTCGAGTTTAAGATTCCCACGCGAGAGCTGGCCCGTCTGTGCGCCAGAGAGGATTTTGAGCTCCCAGTCGCCCGCCTGGAGAGCGAGACTGGTCGCTTGAGTAGGACACCAGTGTTCGTGGTCGGTATCTACAGCGGGAGAGATAAGCTTGGCGAAGGCACCGGCCCGGATCTCGACTCGGCACGGAAGATTGCCGCCATGAACGCCCTGAAGGCTTGGTATCTGTATAGTCCTGGCGTCGTCGCCGTGCCCAGCGATACCCTTGCAGAGGATGCCGCACCGTGGAAGCCTGCCTACGTGGATATTGGCGAGGTTATCTCATAATCACCCGGAGACGATGAGGTTGCTTGGACAAGAGATGAGAGAAGGCGCTGTATCCATCCATGGTGCAGGTGATGGCTGCTGGCCTTCTGTGTAAAAACCATACCAATACTGTACAGCCTGGCGGCGATAGGAGCCTCAATCCCAGGGAAAAGGGGGCCGACGTGGTGTCGTGGCCTCCTGACGACCATGTACCATACAATATCAAAGAGCATGTAGACATATATCTTGCGAACTCTCTTCAGAAGAAAATGCGGAGTTCCTTGCCAAAGATCTACCCTTTTATTCGAGTAGAAATATCCCATAGTCGGCCTAGAAGCAGCGCTGGCTTTTCACGACCTCAACCCTCTCTCCTCTTCCGGTATTATCTGGGCAGAGCACACGGTGACTCATTGAATCAATGGTCCATGGACATTTAGGGAAACAAGAATCTGTAATTTGGGACGTCGGTGTGAGAGCTTGCAGCATCCCCAGTTATATATATGCCCCTAATATCCATCAACTTCCTACAATGCAGCTGCTGCACTATCACCATCCTCATGGAAGCACGCCTTTAATCCGTCGAGCTTCAATGTCTCCTTGACGGCCTCTACCCCCTCAAGCTCCTGGGCAGCGCGGCTGTACTCAGAATACTTCTGCAGCATGTCGAACCCGTTTTCGCAGCCCCACCGGTAGAACACGTACATGTAGAAATCCACGACCGTCCGCTCGTTGCCGACCATGAACCTACGCCCGTCACCCTGCCTCAGCCGCTCCTCGATGCGGCCGAACGCCACCTCGATGGTTTTCCTGCCCTGGGCCCTGACAATCTCGTACAGCGACCTCTCGTCGCCCACGAACCGCTGCGGCCGAAACAGGCTTCCGAAGCCCTGCCCGTGCAGCGTGCCGCTCAGGAACGCCGTCCACTGGGCGACCTGCGCCTTCTCGAAGGTCGTGCGGCCGAGCAGGCCTTCGGCGCGGTCGCCGCCCGCGAGCAACACGATGTAGTTCAGCAGCCCCGCCATCTCGACGATCACGTCGCCGCCGTGGCCGACTCCCAGCGCCGGGACAAGACCTGCCGGGTTGACCTTGCGCACGTACTCAGCGTGCGTCATGGACCCGTCGGCCGCTGCCCACTTGCCGCCTTCGCGCGTGGCAAAGGCCATGGTGACGGTCTGGAAAGGCAGCGAGAGGTGGTTGAGCAGGATGTGAGGGACCAGCGAGCAGGACCCTGGTCCGTTGTAGAGGGTGAGGGATGGGGAAGGAGACGACATGGTGGAATTCTTCACGGGCTGTGGATAGTTTAGTGGTGATGAGGGACAACTGCTTTATGAACTCTATCTATGACCTTGGCGATGGAATGTGGTTTACTGTGATTCTGTTAGTTAAGACCTTTTATATGTCTTCTGTCTAAGATATAAATCTGCCCAGGTTGGAGATGCCTCCTTGGGGGAAAAGAATGCCAGCAAGGCCATTGTGGACGCCTTTCGCGTCCATCAGTAACGGCACCCGCGAGCTTATACAGAGCAACCATTGGAATTACCCAACTAGCTTGTCTACCGTTGAATTCATGGCTGTTATATGACGGACAGCCGCTATGGCGAGGATTGATTGGTCAATGGGATCTCACTTTTGTCAGCCATCCCACATAGTGCCCTCCCACATGTGTCATGTCATTATTAAGGGCGCGAGGGTGCTCAACGACCAACCAGTCGCCGCCTTGTTACAAATCGAAATGTGAGCTCCGGTAAGACAATGAGAGAGGTGGCCTTTGTCGGATTTTAGTGGAGTTGAGTACTTGGTATCCTCCGATGCTAATGGTTACACATTGGCTCTGATGTCAATTGATACGTATTCTTTGATTTCTAAGCACTTACGAGCGATAGGCTGATCTATTCATACTCTATGACCAGGCCACACTTGGTATACATTAAGTATACGAATGTAGTACGCGGGAAAAGTTCTATGTCACTGCCTAATGGTCGGCAAAGGCGCCTGATGAAGCAAGTTTCCTATAAGACACCGTTCAGGTCATTCTAAACTGGCTTCCAAGTCAAGGTCAGCGTCTTGGGGTGGGCATGGCATGGGTGCGCTTGTTCTAGCTCCCGTTGATATAAGGCTTCTCAGGACGTTATAATGTTCTTCAAAGAAACGACTCTGTCCCGTGCCGCATTGGAACCGAAGTCGCTACATGCAATAAAATAGATACTCTATAGTCCGGAGCAAATATTCTTCAACCCCCTGAAACTACAGTGTCAAGGTCACTACGGTAACAAAACACCAGTACTCAGAGGAACCTGGATAGTCAGGGCTTATTGAATTTTGAGTTCATATGCAATACAGTTCGTTGCACTTCACCAAGATCAAAGGTTTACCCACGAATTGCATATATATAGGGAAAAAGTAGCAAAATTCCTTTACATAAATAGATGTCAAGAAATTGTACACCCCGAGCCGGAGAGCAACCGCGAATAACGATGGTTATTGGGCGTGGAATAACCCTCATATAAACGAGAACAAAGTAGCACATACGTTGTCCTTCACTCGCGCGAGTTTCGTTTGCAATGGTATTTGTTATCGACCACGTACGAGAACCAAATTCATCTGAATGATTAGTCAAAGAAGATTCTCCCGAATTACGGTGCTAGTATGGAGATAGGAAGAGATACAGGGAATCTATTGTAAGTCCACGAAGAGCAAGAGATATGAACCATTTTCCCTTGAACATGCTAAATTTGACTATCTCACCAGTATAATAACCCGCAACTAATATAATGTGATTGCTTTTTAACACTTGCATGGCTTCGACTTTAGAGCGTCTCACCGGAACAACCCCTGGGCATATTGCCTTTCTGGTCGAAGAGAATATGTCACGTTATATGTACAGCCTGGCGAGTGACCTTCAACTCGCAACATTTGACTCCTTCTGTTCGTCCCGCGTTATGCACCTCAACAATCCTGCACGAAAAAGTGTGATAGAATATTCCCTCATAACTCTCAGAAAGGAAGAGAATTACCATGCAAGGGTCTTTTGTCTGCTGCTATCTGAGGCATCATGGAGCGAGCCAGCGAGAAAAAGTCCCATGTAAGTTCATGGTGGCAAAGGGACTCTGCATGCGGCTCTGTAGGATCAAAGAACACCCTGTACACCACGGGCCGCAGATGTTCATCCCAGACATCTGGGATCACCAGCCAAAAAGGAACCCCCAGCAATATCCTTCCTGCATGATCCTGCTTGCAGCTCCACGACTCTATCGGGAGGAATGGACTATTCTTTGCGGCTCCCCGAAAGGATCCAAAATTCTCCGTCAGTCATGATCCTCTTCCGCTACAGACTCGTTCTCGGAGGTTTGACTGCGTGCAACGTGATCCTTCGCAAGCTCTGCCCCCAAATATGCCTGTCTTGCGGTCACTTGTGCATCTTGCCACGCTGACTTCTGCATGCAGCCGGATTTAGACATTGCTACAGACGTGAGGGAGGAAGCCTGATCGTCACAGGCTCCAGGTCCAACTCGTGAAGAACGACATCCTCAGCTGCCGGTGACTTCAATATCTGACATGCGTCGCCAGCCACCGCCCGGAGTATCGGCCATCATGGCCGCGATGCCTCTGTTTCAGCATTGCAGGCCGCCCAATGGCATCGAGCTCCCATGCTGTCAGCTCTGGGATCGTCAAACGCCACGAGGCCATCCGCGCTGGAGCTCTCCATGGTGAACGCGGGGAAGGTGCCATGCTCCTGAGCTATAATAAGCATGTGACGATCAGAAGTACGCAATCCTATACCGTTGGACTAGCCCAGAGCCCCTCCACCGCAGGTATAGAGAGGTGGATGGCGTCCAGCTGAGGGAGGGGTAGCTTCTGTGAAACCATCCTTGTGATCCCTCTGCGCCGGGTATCCTGCGTGAGACCTGATCGAAGTGGGCAATCGCTTCAATACCCCATCATGCGCATACAGCGAAAGCTTGGTAGCGGGGAGTGCCTGCAGCTCAGCTTCAATGGAACGCCGTCGACGGCCTTTAGGATTGGTGTGGCACGTGTTGGGAGGGATAAGACTCCCTTGACCATCTATCACACCACCACTTGTCGGGTCGCCTTTACCCCGCCATACGGCTGCACTATTAGGGATCATTGAGGTGTGAACACCAGAATACTAGCCCCTGTCGTGATATTTCATGCGAACAGAACATGGCCCTTTCTATGAAGATAAAAACGTGCCTAACTCGGAAAGAGACGTCTTGCCGGTAGTGTCTGGAATAAGCAGTGGAACGTAGGTTTGCCCAAGTCCGCCAATGGGATCATGAAACTGAATGGTGATTTGACATGACAGCACACGATGCTGCGGACACTCCTGGATAGTACTCTGTGGTAGTGAAGTCATGCAGTCCAAGACAGCCTGCAATGTGTCATTACCAATGTGACGAATAGAGAATTGGATTCATGGAAGCATCGTAGTGACTAAGTCTTCTGATGCCTGGCAGATTCGGCAAGGTTATTGGGAAGCTGGGTCAGTCCATGCGAATCTGCAGAGCCTCAGAAGTCAATTCGAGCGGTAAGACAAGGAGTTCTAATACTGCATAGACTTTACTCAATGCACGTTCATCTCAATAAATGATAAGCTCTTCCAGAAAGGCGATCCATTGGATCACATCAGTCAAGTGAACGAACGCCCTTTCCGATCCAAATGCCTCGGTAGTAGTTGCTGACAAGGGATATGGAGGCCTACCTGGCGGGCCGAAAGGCACGAGGCCTCACTTCAACGCAAGAGTTCTAAGCGCATGACTCTTCATCAAAACAATGATAAGCAGGTGGGACAGGAAAACGAGGGGGTTCATTCTGTTATAGCATCGAGAGGTTATCATTCAACGTTACCGCATTGATGAAATTTCCAAACTGCCCTAGGCCATAAAGGGGTAAATGAAGATTACTGTCACTGAGGCTGAGTTCCTGGGTATGTGTTATAGCTGGTTATAGCTGGTACAGGTCCGGGTCTCGCAGAAACAGAATGAACGATTATGCTGCATAGACAATACGTGACTCCAACCTCTTGTTCACCGGGCGTGATCTTTGATGAAATTGAGGGCGCTCTCATTTCGATTGTCATCACTAACTCACAACGGACGTGGTGGGCAAGGGTTGGACATGAGCAGCATGAGACTCCATACGCGACTGCCGAAAGCTAGGACCACACTCTTGGCCTGTCTCACACGATGCCAAATCAAGCTGCAGGTTGCACCAATGATCAACTGTCATGAGAGCTACAGATGGAGCACTTCATGGATAACGGAAGGAAAGATCAAGAGAGCCAAGGTCAGTGGTTCACACGCGTCCAACCAAGCGTCTTCTGCATGTGGCCATGCGTTCGTGAGTGTGGGAAGGGGGTTGTTTAATCAATTGGCTCTCCGAGGCGGCAAAGCTGCGAAATGCGGCGACATCCCACGCGAGTTTTGGGCCAGGTGAAACGGCAACAAGTACCGGAAACGATGGCTGATGCAGGCCTGCGCTGAATAAGGTTGATGCAGTTCGACAAGGCGGCTGAGCTCATTCGCGCGTGGGACGATTATGCCGCGTCCGCAAATTCTCCGCAGCGAGACACCGGGTTCGGCAACGGTTGGCTGAGTGCCAAATATATCCTTCCCTGGGCTTTGGGACTGGTGATAGACAGTGGTAGGGATCTCAACCGGAAAGCTGTCGAGGGTAGCATCCAAGGGAGCATGATGGTGTGCTTCCCGACTGCAACCGTACCTAGGCACGTAGTAACCGCTGGACCAGCGGGCATCGCAAGGCACTTTGGCTGCGCGTTTTTCTTGAGGTAGGTCGCAAAGATGGCGGCATCTGGAAGAGCTGTGTAGTCACGCCGTGCCAAGCGTCTACCTCCAGTGACGATTGGCTTTTATGCTTTTCATGAGACTTCATGGGCACGGCTGAGCCCGTTGTGAGGCCGAGAAGGAGGGTAGCGCATAACTGGCATACCTAGCGGCTAAGCCCGTTCGACCATTGAGGCCGACATCGTAGAAAGAGCGCATAAGCTCGCTGTTGTCCTATTCCCGCCGAACCTTCTCACCGCCTGGCAAGGCTAGAGGGTACCGCGCGGTCAAGTTGAGGACAATGGCAGTGCAGCGCGAACCATTATTGTACTTGTACTATGCAGAGACTGTCTCCTTTATCAGGGTTCATCGTCATTTCGCGAATGTGAGTTTAAGGTCCTGGCATGGATGGAGTTCTCGGGGCTTTCTGTGGGTGCCGCAGGGGGCCCCTTGCCGAAGGATATTCCCCATCTGGTCCTGAAGCAACAAGTCAGATTTGCGGGAGCCAATCAGAGCCCGGGCGCATAAGATGAGACAGCACCATTCGCTGCCCAGCCAGATCTGGGATTTCTTAAAGTAGGCTAGCGGGCCGCTGATTCTTTATCTATCTTAGGTACAGCACTACCAGCGTGCTGGTGAGTTTTCTCGTAAAAGTACCACCCGTGGGGGAAGGCGGTTAGATGGGGATTCCCCCTTCACCCTATCCCATTTGCTGTAGCCGACGGCCAGGTTACGGTTGAGAACACTAGTTAGCGAACTGGCCAAGATGGTGATCGCGTCCGCGAGCTGACTTTTGCTGTGCGTTGACACTGTGAACTAAAAGCTTACAGACGTAGAGTTGCTGTCATCCCAAGAATCTTGGTCAGTTCTCAGAATCTAAAAGCTGTAAATCGTCCAATGCCAGTTGCCACCAAAGGTCGAATCGATTGTGGCCCTTGGTTACAGAACTGCCGGAGCTATCATGTGTGCTTGAAGGGAGAGTCATTCAGCCAATTCCAGATGAAAGAAGATTACCTAGAGTAGTCTAGAGCGAGGCTCGCAGGCGTGTGCCGCGTGGCTGCTATCGGCAACCGTCCTAAAGCTTAGGCCGGCCATCCTGGTCAGATCAATTTTAAATCCAAGGGCGCGTTACCCGATCCCGCAAAGCTCCCCGGGCCAATGCCTGTCGCGCTAAGCTAAGGTGCTTGGTGCATCCTTGGTCTATCCTTGGGAAATTCGCACATGGAGCTTGGGGGGAGGCCTGGAGGAAGTTTCAACATCGAGTCGCCGGCCGCGACGACAGGCCCGCTGGGAGCCAGCGTTTGAATTGCAGTGCTGTGGTCGTAAGAGAGGCAAGATAACCTGACCGGGGGTTGGTTGACTGCCTCACGTAGTACACAGCCAGTAAGGTGACCTATACGTAGGAGAGGCCGACGAAGAACCTCGGAGGTCGGGACTCAGTACCTCGAGGTAATCAGCCAAGTCCTATGCCAGGCACAGGCACACAGGCTTAGGCACAGGCACAGGCGCTATGGTGGGCCCAGCTGGGGCGGGTGAGTTCGTGAGCTTCCATTTTGGCTGCATCTCGAGTTGCAGGCGTGGCCGGCCGCCGCAGTGTCGCTTCTGCGGTGATGGATGCCAGGGACCACAAGACGCATTCCAGCCTAGGCCATTGTTAGATAGTCGACGAGCTGGCCATGCGGTTGCGCTCCATTTATTTGGCATGGGCTTTTTCGATTCGCAGCCGGCGGAGGCCACGCACCCACGGTCCCGCGGATCCTCGACACCTGGACACCCACCGTACCCGCGCGTTCCAGTTTTCTCTCCTGTTTGTCACTTCGTACCTTCAACTCCTTCTCTCTACCCTACCTCTCCTCAGGTCGGCCAACCACAACACACCTCCGTGTGTGCGCGATCCCTTTCCCGTTTCCCTATGTTTCTGCTTCTTCCTGTTGGTTCGTAGCATTACTCCCCGAGCAGTACTGTCTCTACTTCTCGAGCATCGGCCAAGATACCTGCGTACCTGCGTACCTGCGATACCTCGACGACCAACGTCCGCCCACACCAGACCCCCATTGTGTAACGCCTGGGCTGGCTTCCTACAACTCCTCCCAACCTGCACTACAGTCCAGCATCGTGCGCGCGCAGACAAGCCCCTAAACGTCAAGCACGACCTCGCAGTAGCACGCAGTCCTCGTTCTCCTGGTCGTCGCTACCTTGTCGTACTTTTTTAATCCTTCTCGCTTTCTCCAGTCGGAGACGTTCACTCGTTACAACACCTGAAATACCCACGCGGCCCTTAATCCTTAGTCGACCTTCACCACTACCGCCACCTCTTCCACATCAACCAGTGCAACCGTCTCCCATTCACCTTTGGACCACCTACAAGTGATTTTTTGGTTACGATTACGGTTTAACGACTTCTTTTCTGCCCGCCAAATTTTCAGCACTGCATGCACGAGTGACGTCGCACATCACCTCTCCCCTACCCGGCTTTGGAAATCGCGTGCTGGGTAGAGAGACAGCAACTCACCTCAGTACTCATCTTCCCTGGGAACCGGATAGTATGACGCATTGAGCAATGTTAGGATCAAACCGACATGCCGCCAGCATACTACTGATACCACACGGCAATAGCTTAAAATTGGAGGACGAGTCTGCCACTGTTCACGCAACGTTCGGCACTCAGACTGCACAGATGGAGGGCGTTGGATCAGCACAGTCCGCAGGGAGGCGGAGGACGGTCGTTTCTGGAATGTCAAAAAGCGCGGCCGTGTTGTCGATCTTGGCACTGGCCACACCCGCAATGGCTGACTGTATTCCGCTCTCAGGGACTACGACATGTCCCGCTTTTGAGTCCGCGTCTATATCAACAAGCAGCAGTCTTGTAGGACTATTGTGAGTTATCAAATGAGCTTTGGGCCGGGTGGCTAGCCATCTCTGGAGAAAGACAGGCTCTAACATGTGTCTCCAGTGGTTTCCTACAATTTGTCTCAGACAGAGCCTCTTTTGACTCACGTCTGACCTCATATGTCCAGAGCGACTATGTTCGTGAAAAGTAAGCTGCTAACCCTTTATCTGGATCTTTTATGCTGACAGGACCAGGTACCAAAATTTACTGGGCTGTGGCAACATCAACTTCACAAACACGTCGGACTATTATGCACGATTCACAACCTCAGTCATCTGCAATTCCATTGTGCAAAATTCGATCAGCGATTGTGCCCTGTCTGGAAGTGCCACTCGGCCTCTGTGTGCTGATTCTTGTGTAAGACTGATGTGAATTGTTATCAAATCTAAAACTCGCGTGACTGATATCATCCTACAGGCTCAATATGCCGAGAGCGAAGCATACGTTCTGTCCGACAATAAACTGTGTTCTCGACCTGGGAATAATGCTGCCAGTCAGATCAGAGCCGACTTCACTAACTGCGCCCTGCCTGCAGATTCGCTGTCCAGCTCTCAATGCATCTCGGCCATCAACAATGAGCCAGACAATTGTGGCTATGGTAACAGCACCCTAGGATTGTGTTCTTACTGCGCGTCAGGGGGAATCAACTCGACAGACACGTGCTGCTACAGCTCAAACGCCGAGAGACGATGTGCGGGTGTGGTCTTGCCGCAGATTACTTCTACCATCGCCATCACCACTTCGCTTCCGACGAACTCACCTACTAGTACACCGATTGCAGGGGCTACAAACAACGGACTTTCAGGCGGTGCCATTGCTGGCATTGTAGTTGGCTCCGTTCTTGGTCTCGCCCTTCTCTTGGCCCTTATTTTCCTGTGCATTAGACGGGCACGCCGCAGAAGGGGCGACAGCCACAAGGGCAGCATTTTCAACCAGCCGTCGCCCTCGAGGAGTGGACATCCACAGACAACACAAATACCCGCCATGGCGACTCCTGCCACAGCGGCTGCGGCCCCCAAGGGGTATGAGGTACTGCCTGGAGGCAGAATAGCTCGCATGTCCGCCTTGGAAGGGCATTCTGCCGATTCACCATCGAGGCATGGAGGGTCCAGAACAGGCAGTGGAGGTGCCACAACTGCGGCCGCAGCCGGCGCTGCAGCAGGTTATATGGCAGGGAGGAGAAGAGGAGATAACCATTCGTCGTCGGATGAGTTTGGTGAGAGCCCTACATCAGAGCCTCGCTCGGGTATCTTGCGACCGCCGCCCACGATGCTTCGTAGGAATGGTTCCTTGTCCAGCAACTCCGTCTTGGCCGGCGACGAAACCCAGTCGCCGACTAGTGGTGGCATGTCGTCGCCTCAAGGAGTTGCCAGTCAGCAGTCGGAACAATTACCGTTCTTCAAGGACTACTATTCACAGGACGACATCAGCCCAGGCGATCGAGTGGCTGTCCTTTGGGCATACCACCCTCGCGCACCGGACGAATTCTCCCTGGACCGCGGCGATATGCTCAAGGTGGTAGGCATCTGGGACGACGGGTGGGCTACTGGCATCATGGTGGATGAGCGCGCAGAGGAGTGGGAAGCACGCCGACAGGCTCAGCGGGACAGTGGTGTGTCGAACGCGTCTGGCCGCGGCCGAGACGTGTCACCTCCGGTCAGTGGCGAAATCAAGGCCTTCCCTCTCGTCTGTGTCTGCCTTCCCGAGCACTGGAGAAAGACCATCGAGGGCGACGGATCGACGGAAAGCGGCTCCAGCGCACATCAAGGTCTCCACACCTGAGTTGCGCAAAAGCCTTGGCTTATTTTCCGCTTCTGAAACAAGTCTTTGGAGAAAGACATTCCGGTCCGCACTGCTTCGGCGTTGAGGGTATACTGGAAAGCTTCCAACGACGCATCCAAACGACGATCTGCCGCGCTTGCTCAGCAAACGGCCCGCTACGGAACCTGCAACGCGCCTCTGTCTATATCTCCTGGCGCCTCGTCTTCCTTTCCGATCCCACCAGCCTGCTATATATTGCCACATAGACACGACCGTCTGCATTTCTGCGACGATACGCTTAATGCCTTCAGTTCTAGACGACCTACTTAATTCACTTCACACGACATCGCCCTTGGATCAGGATTTCGACCGCGAGGATTTTGATGCCCACTATGGTGGTGCTCACCTGGTTGCCTGCGGCACATTGACGAGATGAAGAGACGCGATCCGACAGGTTCTTAATACGACAATCACGCATTGCGCCCTCCCCTCCTTTTTGACTTCATTGTTCTCTATATACCCTTTTGCACTGTCGAGGAAGTTTTCTTGATGCGAATGATGTTGGGGAGGGCCATTGCCGTGTATAATTCACTTCTGCTTCAAATCGTGGGGAAGAGAGAGGAGCACGCAGAGTGGTCTCAAGGGGAAGAAAGTCCTATTTCCGGGGGTCTACATACTAGACGGAAAAAGGGGACGAGGTTTGACAATTCAGATATATCTTCGTCAGTGTGACGGAGAGGCACTGTGGCTACATCACACGGAGATGAGCTCGAGGGCGTCCTCGTCAACATCTCAGTCGCCCAACATCTCAGTACGTAGTTCAATAAAACAAGGATGATCCTACAAAATTATGACTTTCCCGGTATCGTTCCTTATGACGCCAGCCGTGGTACACCGTGGAGGTGAAAGTCCCTGAGCGCGTTCAACGGTAGGGTGCACCTGTGACAACCAAACTAGACCTGGGAGATCCGACGTAATCCAATAGCCTTGCTCGCCATGTGCACCTTTACCTACTGTGCCTACATGCCTAAGTTATCTACCTACTCTTACCTACTGTACCTACTTACCTCGAGACGTATCTGAGTATGGAGCCGTGAGCCGCATGATCCAAGCGTCTGGAAGTGGTGGCACCTCTACAGTGGGTAAGTATGCAGGCCCTAGTTGCGCTTGGGGGCTCCAGTTGGGTCGGGTCCTCCTACCAGGAACCTTAGCCCCAGACATCCCTCCAGGTGCCCATGTCACGCGTTAAGTGCCCCACAACCGAGGTGAGGGACGCCTTAACTCCAGCACTCGACCCGCCCACTGGTCGCATGGTGGCGTTACGTCAAGCTTCAAGCTGAGCAAACGAGGACAAACCAAACACCCTGGAGCCTCCGGAGCCGCGAGCTCACCCTCGTGCCTTCCATACCCAGCCTTGCGACCAAAAGCCTCGTCGAGTTGTACTTCAGCGTCTGGCAAGAAATTAGCCACCACACGTACTCCGGCGTATCAAACCTCGTTTTTGGTCTGTCCAGATCGTGGGTCTGGTCGACCTGACCGCGTCCTCGCTTCAAAAATGACCCTGAACCCGAGCGATCGCACCCCTTCCCGGTAGCCCGCCCCCGTGTGAACACCCTCGCTCGCCATGGGGCAGAGCTATTCTCTCACGACGCCATACGCCGGCTCGGCCGGCATCGATGTGCCCGAGCTTTCCGACCTCGTACACGAACGGTCTCTCGGCGATGCGCGCTTCATGAAGGCCATCCGTGCTCGCAGCTACGATGGCCTGGTCCTGGCCAAGGTGACGGTCAAGCCGCATACGCCCATGTCACTGAAGTCATACGGCGCCAAGATCCTGCAAGAAACGGACAAACTACGAGACGTCCCCAACGCCCTGGCCTTCGAGCGCGCCTTCGAAACCGAGACGAATGCGTACCTTGTCCGCCAGTTCATGTACAGCTCGCTCTACGACCGTTTGTCCACCCGGCCGTTCCTAGAGGATATAGAGAAGAGGTGGATCGCATTCCAGCTGCTGTGTGCTCTGCGCGACTGTCATGCCCGCGACGTGTACCACGGAGACATCAAGACGGAGAACATACTGGTTACGTCGTGGAACTGGGTTTACTTGACTGACTTCACGGGCTCTTTCAAGCCGACAACCCTCCCCGACAACAACCCTGCGCTCTACTCCTACTTCTTCGATCTCTCGGGCCGCCGGACGTGCTACATAGCACCCGAACGCTTCCTCGCCCCGGGCGAGGAGCCCAAGGGCAGCGGCAAGATCACATGGGCTATGGACATGTTCAGCGCGGGTTGCGCCATTGCCGAGATGTTCCTGGAAGCTCCCATCTTCAGTCTCAGCCAGCTGTTCAGGTTCCGGCGTGGCGAGTACGATCCTGTCATATCCCATCTCAGCAGGATATCCGACCCAGGCCTCAAGGAGATGCTCTCGAGCATGTTGGCCTTGGACCCGGAGAAACGCTACTCTGCTGAGCAATACCTGGACATATTCAAGGCCAAAGTCTTCCCCGAATATTTCTACACATTTTTGCACCAGTACATGGAGCTTCTCACCGATTCCTCCTCGGGGCGCGCACCTGTATCAGGGGCGGCCAAGAACCTCGGCGAAACTGACGAGCGGATAGACCGTGTGTTTTATGACTTTGACAAAATTTCCTACTTCCTGGGCTACCACGATGGCAAGCCCTCCACCGAGGTGGCGCCTTTCAACCCGCGTTTGGGCTTAGGTCTCTTTCCCGTGAGGCTGAATATTCCCAACAATGAGCATTTCGTCTCCGCTTCCGCGCAGCCGGCAGCCGACGACGGGACTTTGATATTTCTCTCTTTAGTTGCAGCGTCCCTGAGGCATACCGCACGCGCTGCGTCTAAAGTGAGAGCCTGCGACGTGATGCTGGCCTTCTCCGAGAGACTGACGGATGAGGCAAAATTGGACAGGGTTCTCCCTTACCTTATGATGCTACTCAATGACGATGTCGATACCGTAGCTATTGCAGCTCTGAGATCGGTCACACAACTTCTAGCCATGGTCACTGTAGTGACACCTGTCAACGCACATGTCTTTCCAGAATACATCATGCCTAGGATGCAGGTGTTCCTTTCCGGAGCCTCGCGACAGCCAGTCATGGGCAAGGAGCGTAGAGAGCCAACACCTCTGGTTAGAGCCACATATGCCTCCTGTCTAGGTAGCTTGGCTAGCACGGCTCGCAGGTTCCTGGAAATGACGGCGATATTGCGTGCAGAAGGGTCTATCGCAACGGCCGATCCGGAAATCGAAGCCGGCAGTGACGCTGAGGCAGCCTTTGATAACGTGTTTGACAATGCATCACAGGAGCTTGTGGATCTCTTTGAAATCCATGCCAAAGCTCTGGTCGAAGATTCGGATGCAGCTGTCAGGCGCGCGTTCCTCAGCTCTGTCCCCGAGCTCTGCATGTTCTTCGGAAGTGCAGAGTCCAACGATATCCTGCTGACGCATCTGAACACGTACTTGAACGACCGAGATTGGATGCTGAAATGTGCTTTCTTCGAGACAGTTGTCGGCATTGCTACTTTCCTAGGTAGCACGAGCCTGGAAGAGTTCAACTTACCACTAATGGTTCAGGCTTTGACCGATCCGGAGGAGCATGTAGTCCAAGCAGCACTACACTCTCTCGCCGAGTTGGCAAACCTTGGTCTCCTATCAAAGGCGAAAATTTGGGAGCTCCTCGATGTCGTGGGTCGCTTTACGGTACATCCGAACCTGTGGGTTCGCGAATCCGCGGCGGAGTTCTTGTCAAGTGCTACCAAACTCCTGTCCCCCGCCGATATAAGGTGTATCGTTCTGCCTCATATTCGCCCTTTCCTGAAAGATGCCATAATTCCCGACTTTTCTGAGCTGGGGCTGCTTGATGCTTTGAAGAAGCCACTCTCACGGACGGTCTTCGATCAGGCCTTGGTATGGGCACAGAAGGCAGACAAGAGCTTGTTTTGGAAGACTATACAGAGACAGAAACAGTCTACATTTACTATCACTTCCATGGGAATGGCGAGGGGGTCGCGCGAGCCTCAAGCCTTGGCTCTCAGCAAATTATCGAAAAGCGAGGAAGACGAGCAATGGCTTCTACGCTTGCGTAATTACGGGCTTACTCAAGAAGACGAATTTAAGCTCTTGGTACTAAGAGAGTTCATTTGGAGGTTAAGCCAGATGAAGAGCCGTGACGGTGCTACGACGGAAGGCACTTCTACTGGCTTGACACCAATACTCACTCTGCGCAGTATACTTGAGAATGAGAAATTCCAGGTCCAAACAATCATGTTCGATGACACGATAGCACCTGAGCAACCATCCCAACCAGCTGGCCAACGTCCAATTCCCGACAAAGGGCCTTACACCATTGCTGACGCCCTCCTGGATGCATCCATGACCATAGACGAGCCGGTCGGTCGACGGAAGACAGCTGCTATCAACAGCCACCGGTCTAGATTGAGTATCCAAGGCGGTATCGTATCACCTCGAACGTCATTATCGCCTACAGGCACGCACTCCTCGTCTCCTGTCGATGGTCGTGGCGGGTTTGGCGACTCCCGGCGCGCATCATCTGCCGTTCGCGGACGAACCTCGGAGAGGGGCGAAGACGTGACACCCTCAGATAGACCATTCTCTGCCCGTCGCGCAGTCCGACAACAGTCCAGTGCGCTTGATCTATTGAGAAAAGACAGTAACAGGTCCATGGCGGAGACCAGCACAACTGAAACGAACGCGTTCGGTGAAGTTGAAGGACCGTTTGTACAGAATCCCCCGAAGATAGCATTGCCCGGGGCCGCTCAGGAGAATGTCGATTTGAATACCAGAAGCGGCCAACCTACTAGGCAGAGAGCCTCGCATACGTACGAAGGAAACGACCCTAATATTTTAAAGATGTTGGATGGCATGTTCATTGATAACTACCCACATGACATTGCTGAGTTTGGTCCACTCGTCGCACCGGTGTCCCGACGGACTGCCAAGAGCATGGCTCAACCACAACAAGACGCATGGAGACCAAGCGGAAGACTCATAGCAACCTTTTCGGAACATATAGGGGCAGTCAACCGAATTGTTGCTTCCCCTGATCATATGTTTTTCATCACAGGAGGCGACGACGGTGCCGTCAAGGTCTGGGACACCGGAAGACTTGAACGAAATGTTTCCCATCGCTCTCGGCAAACTCACAAACATGGGCAGGGGGCTAGGGTTGTCGCCTTATGCTTCATAGAGAACACACACAGCTTCATAAGCTGTGCGACCGATGGTTCGGTACACATTGTCAAAGTCGACACGATACATTCCAGCGGATCGCCGAAGTATGTTCGCCTGCGGCTGCTTCGTGAGTACCAACTGCCGGCCGATGAATATGCAGTTTGGTGTACCCATTTTAAGCTGGATCTCCCTTCCGTTCTACTGATCGCTACGAACCGTTCGCGTATTCTGGCTATCGATCTAAGGACCATGACTCTTCTCTACGCGCTTGAGAACCCTGTGCACCATGGTTTCCCAACGTGCTTTGTGGTGGACCGCAAACGCCACTGGCTTTTGCTCGGAACATCACATGGCGTGCTGGACCTATGGGATCTGCGATTCAAACTACGGCTCAAGAGCTGGGGCATTCCAGGCAAAACTCCCATCCACAGACTTTCCCTCCACCCCAGCAAAGGCCGCGGAAAATGGGTCTGCGTGGCTGGCGGCACCGGCCTTCCCGAAGTAACCGTTTGGGATCTCGAGAAGACGCAATGCCGGGAGATATATCGCGCAGCAGGGTCATCCTCTTCCAAGGAAGGGCCACGAGAATACAAGGCTTGGGATGTCGACGAAGATAAGCCTGAGGGCATGCTTGGCCGTTTTGCTACGAGCATCGAGCCTTCCGCTGCTAGCGCCACAGACCGCTGTGTACGTGCCATGGCCGTAGGCAGCGGGGCTTCTGGATCCGATGAGCGTGATGTACGTTATGGCTACATAGTCACAGGGGGTGGCGACAAGAAGCTTCGGTTCTGGGACCTTAACAGGGTGGAGCAATCCAGTGTCTTCAGTGGTCTACTGGGCGACAACCAAGACGCTCCGGCCGGGGCCAAGCCTGTTTTCATGGCACAGACGTCGCCCAACAATCCCGGCCTCGTTCTGAACCTCGAGCGGATTCCCAAATCCTCAGACCAGAAAGGGGGCAAGGACGGAGAGGCATCGACGAGAAAGAAGGAAAAGCCACCCCGGCACACTGTCATCTCGGCAGAGCAGGCCAGACTGCTGAGGAGCCATCTCGATACTGTCCTCGACATAGCCGTGCTGGAGCACCCGTACACAATGACGGTCTCGGTGGACCGCTTGGGCGTCATCTTTGTGTTCCAGTAGGACCGGGACGGTTGGATGGCCTTAAAAGCGATGCAGGCGCCACAGCAACACTACCGATCAGACCCTGCCGCTGATACTGACAGGGAGGGTAATGTTGAGGCTAGCGATGGAGTTGACGCTACCCCCGTGGTGATCAGATCGGGAGTTGGGCGCAAGGGGCTTAGATCAGGAACTATGTAGCTTTGACTTGGTTAGATATTTTACTGCCTATGAAGTAGTAGAGCTTCACGATGCGGGTCTTAATATGTGAACACTTGTTCTCTCATATGTGTTTGGGAGTAATTGTGCGATAGCCAGCGCATAATCATGAATGTGCTTCTCGTGTTAGCCTACTGTAATAGTTTATTGTGCACCACAGTTGTTATGAGATATTCGTACAGAATTTAAGGAAATTAGGTTGGTACACACTAGGACATGGTCCGCGGTACAATATACTTTTTTAACGACAAAAATAGGAGACATGATCAGGCTGATACAGAGATGACTTCGACATAGGCCTGGTCGACCTCGGAAGTACGCATGTGTATGTTGGCGCGAGGTCGCATCGGTGTAACCTAGCACGCATGGAAGCGCTGTTCTTCATTCAAAGCAGATGCGGTGGGGTCTATATTAAGCTCTCCCTGCAGCTCGAACAGCACCCCCTGCGTGCGGCGCATAATATGGTAGATGCTAGGCCATGTAGAAATGGTCACGAGTGCTGCTGGAAAACGTGCTAGAATTAGTACCGGTGCAACTACAGTGGAATGTTGGGATAATGAAGTCTAATAGTGCTAGACGCATCCAAGCTGCCTAATATTGCATGTAATTCAAAACCGAAGTTCAAGTATAGAAGCCTGTGCCGCAGCCCTTCGTGTGCTGTGACGCTATCTAACGGTAAGTGGTACGGTAACAGGGCTGATATATCGTACTGTTGCAGAACTCAGTCAAATCGAAGATGGAAAAGTGGCATTGATGCGTCATTCACGTCGACATAAATGGTTCTCTGATTTGTAAACAAATGTCCAATGATTGAGAAGTAATGCCTAACTTTATATTGGAAGCCTTCTCCTCTAATACACCAACGATATTAGACGTAGAGCGTTAGAGCCGTAAGGATGGATCCACGGTACTCTGTCAACATCTCATGACTTTCCATATGCATTCGCCACGTTCCACGCCGATCTTCAGAGCATTACCCCTAGATAGCATGGTATGGGTCATACGCAGTTGATGCATCATTCAGAGTCCTGTCGCGAGTTGATGCGTGTGTTGACATGGCTCCCATAGCGATATCACCAGGGTATTCATGTGGAAAGTCGTCTTCCACGGCGGCCACGAGGCCACGGTGATCATCCTCGGGACTGATAGATCTGTTCTGAACGACGACTGGATGCTTTTTAACCTGACTGTACCTGTGTCGATTCCAGGTCGTCAGATGTCGGATCACTCCCGGCTTGAAGACGCCTGTGGCAGGTTGGGACTCTGCTGCGGCGAAACCCTTTGGTGGAATCCCTCGATCAAGGATGCGGTGCCGCTGCATGCTTTGCTGCTTTTTGTGTCGGACGGCAAGGACAATCGTAGCGCCAAGCGAAACGGCGAAAGCAATAAAGCTCAGGATGTAGACCCTCTGGCCTAGAGTGGTGTGGAGCCCAGTGCTTCCGAGTGTGGTGTTGAACTGGTCCCGAAGCTGGCCGAATTTGACGACCGAGACGACGGAGCCGGTGAAGAGAAATAGAGTCGCGATAAAGGCGAATACTAGACTCCCTATTGTAGCTGAAGGGAAGCATATCGATATCAGATTGAGAATGATGCAGAGAAATAGGCTCACTGCTGAAACAAGGTAGGCGACGGCGAGATAGTACGCCACTTTCTTGTAGGACTCGATTTGATTCCGGTACTCGTCATCCTGAAGTCCCATGAAGGAGCTGCCGTCAAGCCTCAAGTCCTTTCCTGGGTTGAACCAATAGCCAACTTTTGGCCTGGCGCAGCTCGAGTCGCCATTGCTGTCTCGCGCACACGCAGTCAGGAGCGAGACCGTGTATGTCATTCCCAAACCAAGCGTCTCGGGCATTGAGCCTGAGCCGACGAGGTCCAACCCGGCATAGGACCCAATGTCTAGGAGGAAGGTTGAATTGTATAGTCTTGCTGGTATGTTCAGGTTGGACACATCGATCTACATAATCAGCCACCAGAGGTCGACTCGCTAGTAAAGAGCAATGGCGTACCGATATGAAATGATTCTCCAAGAGAACATGAGGTCCTGAACCAGAGACGATGATGAGTGTTGTCTGGATTAAGCCGGAAATTGCCAAGAGTAGAGCCCCAACACCAAAACCGCAGAAGCGTGGCATGATGTAAGTGTCGAAGGGCCCAAGGGTTGAAAGAAAGTGAATAATGCCGGAAGGCTCGATGAGGAGAAAGTTCGATGAAAACGTAGGGCAAACTATTATACTGGATGTCCCATACACCCCACGAATCACTCTTCAAGGGCTGATCCACTTGGCAAGGCGCAGGGGGACGGCAAAGGGGCTTGCTAGGATCGGAGACCACCCTCCAAGCCAGTGTTAGAAGTGACAGGAATGAATCATTGGCTGACGCTTTCAGAGGCCAGAATTAGAACTAGTTCGCCATGGGAACGGAAGCAGTCATCGAGTACAGCGATTTTACTTAAGAGCCATGCTGCTGGCGCCGATTTTGGCTCGATAGCTAAGCGCTTATAACCAAGTAGTGCTTGGTGATTACTTGCACACCCATGGGAGTAGAGTTGTTATTCCAATGTATGAGCATGGGTCAACTGGGCTGGGCCGTGCTGTGCCACGGTGTCGCTCGGCATGTTGTCTGAAATGGTGTGTTTGTCTCATTAACAGAAAGATCCCGAGGTCCCCTGGCGCCAACAGCCAGCAAGGGTCTGGGGAGAAAAGGTAGCCGTCAGAATCATATGTACGTGGCGGTGTTGACCACGGGAACCAACTGCCCGAGAAACGAAAAGCACTGAGAATGAGGCCAGTGGCACGCGGTTGTCCGCAAACCGCGTGGCTTTGCGCGGTATCGACAAGTTCCGGGCGCGCTCAGTCCAACCCTGTCGCTGGCCGCCTGGGTAGACTTGGCGAGTTCCAAAAATGGCTTACAAAGAGACAAGGGGCCACTGTAAGGGCGGACTCCAAAATAGAATTGGCTACCGGCCTATCAACTTACATGATTTACGATGGCGCCAGTTCGCGGCCCAGGTTCTGAACATACGCTGAACCCTTGTTCGCTGATGCATTATGGACGAGAGCTTACATATCTCTTAATCCAGAATCCTTGCACTGCCAAATTTGCTCAGACTTAATAAGACGAGCGCGCTGTGCGAAGGACGTTGTACAGCTTATCCGACTACTCGTGCCTGTATCTGTATTTTCCCTGGAACAAAATGACCTGGCTTCAACTCTCTTCAGTTGCTCTCACATTGATATCTGCGTGGTCAACGGTAGCCGCAACACATCATGAAGTGACAGTCGGTGCAGGAGGACAGCTGAAATTCATTCCTGAGACTCTGAACGCTCAAGTGGGAGACCAAATCACTTATCGTTTCTTTGCCAAGGTTCATAGACCATACGCCCTTTACAGGCTGCCTAGATATGAATAGCTGACAGAAGCAGAATCACTCCGTCGTTCAGTCAACATTCGCAGAGCCGTGTCGACCACAGATAGGAGGCTTCTTCTCCGGATTCGTCGCAAACCCTAGTCAAGACGACGCAGCACCTACCACCTTTACCATTCATGTGAACGATACTAAGCCAATATGGGTGTACTGTGGCCGTAAGTCATCACTGCTGACGACGACAACGCGTTTCGCTTACTCGAACGCAGAAAGGAACAACGATCACTGCCAGAATGGAATGGTTCATGCCATCAACGCGTGAGTAAAACCCTCTTGCATGCCCGGACGGGTTGATACTCCTCTCAAATAAATCGCCCTTTCGAAGGGGTCCCGTTTGAGCCTACTGAAGGAGGCTGTTAATACTCAAGGGGCACCTTTGGCAGCAATCACGGGGCCAATTGCTGATCTCATCCATGCTAGATCTCCTGAGGGAACGAACACATTTTCCAACTTCAAGTCAGCTGCATCCAATGCCCAGAGGCCAAGTCTGACGCCATCCGACGGGCTTCCTGTCGGAGGCGTTCGAAAACTCCATGTCGACGTGGGCTCCAATGGAAATCTGGTCTTCGATCCAAGCAACGTAGCAGAGCTTCCAAGGACAGTAATAGAGTTTAGCTTCAACCCAGCCAACCACTCAATTGTGCAGTCGTCATTCGATGCCCCATGCCAACCCTTGGATGGCGGGTTCAGCACCCCCTTCGTTCCAACACAACAAGCACCGTCAGGAGTGACATTTGAAGTTGTAGTCAAGGACACCAAGCCAATTTGGTTCTACTGTGCGCAGACCGCAAAGACGCATTGCCAGGCTGGAATGGTGGGAAGCATCAATGCAGCGACTACCGGGGACAAGACCTTTGAAGCCTTCAAGCAGTTGGCGGCGAAGGCGCCTGCCTCCAACCTCCCAACACATCAGCCTAACGTCGGTGTTCTTAAAGTCAACGGTACGGCCGTTTACAATGTGAACGGCGTCGTGTTTGACTCTACCAAGACTGGATGGGATTCCTCGATTGTCACGGACGTGCCTGCTCCTGGCTACACCTATTCTCCTTACATGGTTGCAATGGCTGGTGGTTCTGTACCTGAGAACTATGGCTGGACTGATAGGCTCTCATCAAATGCGACGGAGTACTTGCAAGCCATGCAATTGATGGACCATTTTGTGGTACAAGTCCTGTTTGAGGGCTATAGCAAGCTGCGCCAGGGGGAGTGGACGGGAATCCCCGAGTCTATTATCAGCATCTTTGGCTCCATGTTCGCACAAGCTTTGATTCAAAGATCGACTTATATCGAGTCTCTTCAGCACTTCAACAAGCCAACAATTAACGGATGCAAGTTCAATATAGACAGCAGCAGCTTCGATGAGTGGCTGCAAACCTCCTTGACTGCCACGACCTTGTCCACAGGCGCTGTCATGGATATCATAACGCAAGTCGAAGGGCAGGACCACTGGATGATCGCCGCGCTTGCTACAGCGCTTGGGTCAAAGGCGAGAATGAGCGCTGTGATCAACATGATGCAGAACCACATGGCCGCCAGCGCCCCTCGTGAGGTGTTGATTCCCGTCGAGCTCGCGCTTGGCTATGTCCGATCCAAGTATGCTGTTGGAGGTACATGCGGGCCTGAAGCAGATAGTCTCAACAGCAAAGCTGATTTGCCGGCACTAAATATCACCGCTAAGGAAACGCAGAGTGGTACCGGCCGCCTAACTAGCATCACCGTGTCGTTACCATCGTCAAATGGAAGTCGGTATGTTGCTTGGATCGGACCCTGGGGTGGTATCAAGTATTCGGACCTTGATGCAGATGGGAAGACGGTGGTTCCGGAAGGGTTATCTGGGCACGTCTGGATTGCTGTGACCTCTGCTAAGGGCATGAGAGCCAAGGAGATTAGCCATTCGGCGCTCACTGCGATTGAGAAAGTCTGGGTTGTCGACCCTTGGGGTCATGATGGTTAAGACCTATGTGCTTTCGGAGGTCGGTTGTATATGGTAGAGTTGAACTTGGGGTCCCATAGTCGATAATTTGTTGTATTTGAGAATCAATGCTCGTTAGGTAATTCAGTCTCTGATAGACACATTTGAAATTATAGATCAGGCGCACGGGACCGCCAATTGAAGTACTCCAATCACCGCGGCCGTGATGAATAAATCCTCCAAGAGCATATGTAACAATCACGTAGCCTGACCGTCACAATATTTCAATCAACCCTTGAATGTGATATGTTTATATTCGACCTTTTCGCTTGGAACTGTAGCGCATGTTGAGCGCCAGTGGCACATTGTGGAAATGCAAGTTTGTAGAATAAGCCGCTAGCCACCCAACTTGCTGGTTGCAGGGCCACATTTACAAGGGGCCCCGGAACCTATGGGGCCATCCTTGTTTCACACCATGTGGTCGCCAGCGCCTTTCCCACCAACCAAACAACACAAATACAGCTGTTTTCTGGCGGCCAAGAGCCCAGCGACGGTACGCTAGCACGAATACTGACCGAGCCGCGACGAGGCCTGTTCATGACATAGAGTCAAGTCGGGGACGGTGCTCTAGAAGCTGAGCTAACATCATATTGGAAGTCTGGATCTCGGCTGAGCCTCATCTCGTGTAAGCGACACCTGAACAGGAGCATACCTGGCGGCTCGTGATGCAGCCGAGATACATGTCTGACTCGTTGAGGTTCCACTTCCTGGTTATGCTCCTGGTGAAGCGACGCCTGCACTGGAGGGATGAGATCTGGATTCACCTGGAGAACTGAAGCATAATTCGGGCCAGGCCAATGCCATGGACTTGCGACCTCGCCAATCGATTCACTCGCCAGGCAGGAAAAAGCCGCTTGATGGAAGAAAGCGAGCCCAGGATGGTCGTTGGAACAGGTCAATCCGGGACTTGAATGCGCATCGCCTTCTGACTTGCCTTCTTTCTCGGCTGCGGCTTATCCACGAATAAGTGATCAATCTCCGAACAGCATCATCATCAGACGCCCAAAAGTTCAGCGACCCGCAAAGACGTTTCTAAATAATTGCAGCCCCTGACCCATAAGATCACCCACCCAGCTTCTCGGTGCGTACCGAGAAGCGAGGGTTAGCGGCGCCGCGCCAACGGATCCACTACCACGGTTACAAGTATAATGCCACATGGGTGGCCTGGCGGAATGGACCTGTAAAAGCGATGAGGCTCTCCAGACCCCTGCACGATTTACCCTGGCCTTGTCCATCGACGTGGGGTGGTGCTTAAGATGGGATGAAACTTCACCTAACATACCTGCCAGGCTCACCGTAGCATGGGGGACGATGTCCATCATGGGTGTTGTGGGTATCCAAGTTGAGGCGCAACTAAGTCATGTTTAAATATGAGATCTCGCTCCTCGCCAGAGGTTCGCTCCCAACCATCATCAGTCTTCCCCGTTCTTTACCGTTGCTTTCTTCGCTCACTACAGGTCGGTGACCTCGACATTCTTTATCTCGTCTTACATCTTCATTACGCACTGGTGCACTGTTTTTTAACAAGAACGAACTCGCTTCGCATTCACGGATCACCGTTCCCAGAACTTTTCAAGCTCCTCTACTATCACCAACACGATGAAGTACGCTATCGTCTTTGCCGCCGTGGCCCCCCTGGTCGCTGGACATGGAGCCTTGACTTCGCCCACGCCCCGTAAGGCTGGCAGTGCTCTGGCCTCGGTCTGCGGAGAGCAGATCTTCAACAACATGAACTCGGACTCCTACGGTAACATCCAGGGAGAGACGCAGCTCATCCAGAGCGACTTCACTGCCGAGTGCAACCTCTGGCTGTGCAAGGGTTTCCAGTTTGAGGACAACAAGGACAACGTGCAGAGCTACACCGCCGGCCAGGTTGTGCCCATGACCTTCGAACTTCGTGCTCCTCACACCGGATTCGCCAATGTTAGTATTGTCGACACTGCCACGAACTCCGTCATCGGCGATGCGCTGGCCTCTTGGGACGTCTTTGCCTCCAACTCCCAGGCAACTTCAGCAAACGAGTCGTCCTACTCTGTCACCATCCCGGATCTCGGTGGCAAGTGTGCTACCGCTGGTGAGTGTGTCATCCAGCACTTCTGGCACTCCGAGAGCGCCGGCCAGACCTACGAATCCTGCGTCGACTTCACTGTTGGTGGTTCCAGCAGTGGTGGCTCGGGATCGAGCTCGACTGTTGTTGCTGTAAGTCGATCTTTTGGATTATGGGATGGTAATTTCATGTTGATGCTAATGAATATAGGCGCCTTCGACCACAGCTGCTGCCACAAGCGCTGCTGCCTCGACTACCCAGGCTACTGCAATCTCCAGTGCGCCTGCCGCGACCACTACCGCCGCTACCCCGACCGGAACCGATGATGAGGATGATGACTCGTGCGAGGCTGAGGAGACCAGCACCGCCCCCAGCGCCGAGGCCACCGGTGAGGCTGGCGACGATGAAGACGACAGCTGCGACGCTGAGGAGACCGAGCCCGTCACAAGCGCCGTTCCTACCACCGCTGTCCCTACTACCCTGATCACACGTACCAGCAGCAAGCCTGCTTCGGCCACACCTACCTCTGGGTCTAGCACTGGAAGCGTTGTAAGTGACGAGATACTTTGCCCCCTTTTCCAGCTATTCCCTATCAAATGCTGGCACAGTCCAAGATCCAAGTCCCATAAACCTCGCAAAAAGCAGCGACCCCTTATATCAGATCACTTACACTAACACTGATGCTTTAGGCGCTCTACGGACAGTGTGGCGGTAAGGGATTCACCGGATCAACCACTTGTGCTTCGGGTACCTGCACTGTCATGAACGAGTACTACTCTCAGTGCGTCTAAACATGTATCAACTCGGTTTAATAGGGGGACTAGATTCTGGTCGTGATTGCTGAGCGAACTTCGCTTCATTGTACATATATTTACTAAGCTCTACTTAGAGCACAATGTCAATAAATGGGTTGCCTGTTAGAAGATTAATGTTCTCAATTCAAGAAGTCGTATATCATAACGCCAATCGGGGAAAGGTACATGTAACAAAACGTTGGTTGCCATTAATTCTTCATTCTAATTCAATTTAAACCTTGCCCGTCGGCGGCGTCGTTTACAGTAACATGCCACTAAACTAGGAAGTCACTGGGGACGTCAGGTCCTAACATCGGGTTAGCTGTGTCGTAAGCGAGCATAATTGTACAGAAGTTCTCACCCCAGACGTGCAGGCTGTCAGGCGATGCCTTGGAACGATGTGTCGGCTCTGTGTCGTCAACAAGATCGCCATCAACATAGTGCTCCATGATAAACCCAGCGGGGTCAAACCTATTGGGAATGGTCAGCTACGCACGCCTATGCAAAGTCCCTCGTTAGGGTTCCCTGCCACTTACCAATAATCGAAGATCTGACTACCCATAACGTGCCTGCCCACGCCCCAACAGTTCTTGTAGCCCTGCTCTCGCAGCCAGTCGTGGCCGAGCACTTGGGTGTCAAAATCGTGCGTCTCGTACGACGAGTGGTGCACGTGGAACTTCGGGCCCTGGTAGAAGAAAAAGCAGTGGTGGTCAACCTGCTCCTTGCCACGGTTAAGACGGAAGAAGGCTGTCATGTCGACGCCTGCTTCGTCGTGGACAACCTATCAGATGTCCAATAAGCGACCGATCTACTGCTGGAAAGTCTGGGGAGAGGTTGGGTTATTTGAGCACTCACGTCACTGGGAAGTAAATTAAAGTGAGATGTGTAGAACTCGTATGCCTTGGCGAAGTTCGTGGTGCAGTGGCCCCAGTGCCCAAGCTTATGGACGGGTGCTGGCCGTTTCTGGAAGCGCTGGAACTGATTCACTCCTCGGTTCTTTTCCGTGGGCTACCATCTTTGTTAGCACTGAATTTGGTCATGGTGGGCATTGAGCCCGTCCGTTCTGATCGTGAGCTTTACATAGTTATAGGCCTCCTGTGGCAGCGGAATATCGAGCATATCCGTCGTCTCCTGCCCGTAAACAAGGTGGAACGGAAACCCATCCACGGGATCCGCGAAGGTCACACATTTGCCCTTCCCTGGCGCATCCTCTAGTACGTGTACCTTGGTAGCCTTGGGTAAGATCTCGGAGGCGTACTGCAGGTCCTCCTCGGAGTCCACGACGTAGCCGATGCCACCGAACTCATTCTTGTCGGCCTTGATTGCACAGATGACCCAAGGCTCGGTTCCGTAGCCGCGGAAGTAGATCTTGTCACCGACCTTTTTCTCCTCGGTGAAGCCAAAATCGGCCAGAAACTTGACGGCCTTGTCGATATCCGCGTACTTATAGTACGCGTGTGCTATGCGGTTGAGACTGATCTTTCGGGGAGCGTCGCCGGCCATGGTGCGGGGGGTTTCCGGAATGGGGGGATTGCTGGCTTGGGGTATACACAAATAGACAAGGGTCCACCTCAGTGAGTTGAATCACTTATACTGCCCTTGGGGTAAAGGTAGGGTGGGATGGGATTTACAATCACAGCTCTAGTGAATACTTTGGAAAGAGGAAGAGAGTTTCCAATCATGTAGATTTTATTTCGCCCGTCGCTGCCGGGGGTGCAAAGCTATGATATAGCCTCTGGCACAACGGTTAAATCGAGCCGGGGTTGTGGAGGAGTCCGTTCCCCCAAGGGGCTGAGACAAGAGCGCCAGTGAATTGCTCAGCGAGGGGCTTGAGAAGTTGGAGACCGTCTTACCAAAGTATTATTAACCCCACCATCCCCGAGCGAGCGCCTCCCCGCAGCGTCATTCGTGGAGTCGAACGATTCGGCAGTTCTTCTTATAGCGCTCCCCCGTGCCCCAGTGACACCAGTAGAGGATGGGCCGTATGGGGCAAATCCTCACCTGGCCCGAGGTATATCGAAGTCTGACGCACTTTGACGTTGGAGATCTCTTGGAAGATGCACGACGGCAACGGGCGCGGCTCGTGACTGCAGTGCCTCTGCAAGTCTCACGGGGAAAAGCAAGGACGGACCTCGACGCGGCTTCAAACTCAGACCGAGCCTTGTCCAGAGTCCCTACCTAGGTAGGCCTGGGACACTGCGAATCCGCTAAGATTTGGACTCGATATGCACCCGGCCAGGGCCAAGCCAAGGCCAAGGGGGCTGTGGGCACAAGGTTTCAGTACCCTTGAATTGGAGTTCGGGCTCAGATCTAGCACCGTGGCCACATGTGCCATCGGGTCATTTACACATCGTCTACCCTTCTAACTAGACTCAAAGCCGTGAACCACCCATCCTACCCGACCCGAATCAGTACAGCTTGGAGAAGCCGCCCAAAGAAATGATAGACATGATAGCTGGCTTCCTGCCAACAGGCAGCCTCGCTGCTCGTGACAGAATCTCGCCCCGATGGCAACGGACTGTCAAATGACGGACGTTCTTCCACGTTTCGATTAACAGCACCACCGACACACCTGCTTTTCTCGTCGCAGCCCCCTCCGCTACCTGTCGTCCACCGTCACCTTGCCGTTCGATGAAGCTAGCATAAAACCACGAATCGGCCGACAGCTAAGGTTGCGTGAAGCGTTAACAGACACCTCATGAGCGCTACTTCAAGTTTCAGCCAACTGCATGGACGACAAAGGATTGAGCCTTGTGGTATACAAAGCTATATCCGCCCTTGCAGCTCACGAGACGGGCTACTGTCTGCTGAAGTAGCTGTTGTGACGTTGGGTCACTCGGGCTGGAGCGACTCCCGATTGTCAGGTCTACATCTTGACTCCTTGCCGACTTGTGCGCCTAGAAGCCTCGAAACCACGAAGCAGGGTCTCGGCAGATTGACGACACAAGCTGCCCTGCTTTGAGAGATTCGCAATCGCTCGGTAGCGGCTCTCGAAAGACCCCATCACTACCTGATTTTTTGTCGTGGGTACATCACGATCGAAACCGACGACCTCGACGCAACAGGCCTGCTCTTTCTCTGCTCCAAGCTCCGAAAGGAATTCAAGACTTTGTAATCCATACGTGTCGAGGAGTAAGATCACTTTATTGCAGAGTTTAAGACTCGTCCTTGAGCCTACGAACGGCTGGTGTCTAAAGGAGAAGACAATCATAGATGTGCGCCAACTGGTCAAGCGTAGCAACGTCCACACCCCGGCAATGACTTGGACGCATTGCATGTGAATGCCTTGGACCGTATTACTCGACGGTAAGTTAGTATTGCCCATTGCATGTTGTACTATAGCATCAAGTATCATAATGTGCCTGTCACAATGGTGTTGATGAAAAACCTATGGAATATGTGCGAAACGCGAGACTGAATTGGCAGAGAGTAGGATCCCGTTATTCTATATCGGTTGAAAGAAAAAGAGAGACCAGTTGAATATGTGGCGATGATTGGGAGTAAGTTGCTGCTTCGAATATATCATTTAGTATGTTACCCTGCCGTGTACCTGGTGCTAGGTAACCTTGCATTTAAGCTGGGTCCAATGACGCCACCGGCCGAGGGGTGACTGAATGCCCCTCCAAAGGGATAGAGAATCTTATCGCCATACTGCACCCTGAGGTTGCATGCCTGACCTGACCTGACTGCGCAACATTACTATTACATGCCACTCGTTTCGAACCGGGGGTTCCTGCTTTTCCACATACTCGTCCTCCCCAGCATCCTCCTCCTTCTATTCGGATCCGCGCCCCTGCTGTCCAAGATGCCTAAAAAGCTTTCCAAGCAGGCGACGTCGACCTCGCTCTCCTCGAATGCCTCGTCCTCCTTGGCGTCGTCGCTGCCGGGGGTGCTAAGCGACGGCCTGCCGCTGCCGCGCCTCGTCGTCTTCGATCTCGACTACACGCTGTGGCCGTTCTGGGTCGACACGCACGTCTACGCGCCGCTCAAGGCCAACGCCAACCACAGCGCCTGCACCGACAAGGTCGGCGAGACCTTTGCCTTCTACTCCGACGTGCCCGCCGTGCTGCACGGCTTGGGCGCCGCCGGCATCAAGCTCGGCGTCGCCAGCCGCACCCATGCCCCCGACCTCGGCCGCGAGATGCTCAAGCTGCTGCACGTGCCGGCGGCGTCGACGCTGTTTCCCGCCGCCGCCGACGGCGAGGCCCCGACGGGCAAGAAGGGCGACAAGCCGAGGAAGGCCATCGAGTTCTTCGACGCCGGGCTCGAGATCTACCCCAGCAGCAAGATCAAGCACTTCGAGGCCCTGAACAAGCGGACGGGCATTTCGTACACCGACATGCTGTTCTTTGACGATGAGAGCCGGAATCGAGACACGGAGACTTTGGGCGTCACCATGTGGCTCGTCCGAGACGGTGTCACTTGGAACGAGGTCGAGAAGGGCATTCTCGAGTGGAGGCGACGAAGAGCCAGAGATGGAGGTTCATGAGTGCGATTGGCAAATGCGTCAACGTTTTTCATATAGACTTGCTTTTACGGACGGAGCGCCACAGCATTGCAAGGCGTCAAGGTGTTAAGGCTGAGGGATCGATCATTTAAATTCATAGAGGCATATGGGTGATTTCTATCCCATTGCTAGGTGCAAATGCAGAACCCATAACCTGATTTCTATCCGCAACCATGCGCCTGTTTTACCCTAATAGGTTGTTGTGCTGTTGACAATCAAAATGGTAAGCCACCTTGCATATATGCTCTATATACGCGACTCTGGTAGATGCAGCGAAGACTTCGCATATCTAGGTCTAATCTTTACAATGTGTTGGAGATGGATATTACGAAGGTACCGTTGTCTCTTTCGGGACAACAGGCTGGCTAGCGATCTTTTCGGAAACCTCGGTGGTGCCGTCTGTCTGTGCAGTGTCGGTGACCGAAAGCTTGTTGATATCCTCTGTCAAAGGAACATCTGCGCCGGCGGGCGCTACAGCAATATCGACCTTGGTCTCAGCGGCGACGGTCTCGGCGTCCTCGGTCTTTGACTCGACGGCAGTGGCTTCAGTTGCGGTGCTAGCAGCTTCCTTCTTGGCTGGGAAAGCCTTGGGGATCGTGGCAAACACCTCGTCACGGTGCTTCTGGTCCTTGCTGCCGACGGCAACGAGCTCCAGGGTAGTGCCATCCTCACGAGGCCGCACGTACATTGGTCCCTCGGGGATGGACGTGTAGCCGTTCTGGAAGGTTATGATACGTTGGTACTCGGGGTCGTCCCATCTGGGCTCGTCGTAGAAGTCCCACTCCAGTTCGCCGCCGTAGGCTTTGGGGATGTTCCTAATGTCGATGAAACTGGTCAGAACGGGCAATACGTCTGCCGGACCAAGAATGAAGATCTTGGACACTGTCACGGGGTCGAACCACCGCTTGATCCAGCCCCACACGGTCGAGAAGAAAACAGGAGCGCCAATGATGAAGATTCCTGCCAATAGAGTTAGCGTTGTGGTTCCTGTTTTTTGTGATTCCAAGATTATAGCATACGGTCAAGGGTCTCCGGGTAGTGAGATGTAGCCAGTTGGCTGGCAGCCTGCATATGGCCCTTGAGGTTCCAGAACTGTCGCAAGCTCACACCAGAAATATCGACAACGTTCGTGCTGAGCGTGATGGGGGTCTCTGCGCTCTCTCGGTCGGTGCACTCGGACGACAGCGGCTGCACGAACCGAGTCAGGTTCTCGTACAGGGTAAATAGCCGAAGTAGTTTCCCGGGTGTCTTGCCATCCGTCTTAGCCTGGCTGTAGGTGGTGTCTGCCGACTTCTCGTACTTGGCCACGGTCGAAGAGTCAAGGTGTCGCACTTGGTATATGTAGATGGGAATGCCCCGGCGATCCCGGCGCCCGGTGAATCTCGGATACTGTCAGAGATATACTTGGTGAGCATGGCGGCGCAAAGGGTTGCGCAGTAGGGTTTGGGGAGTTCATACAAGCTTTTTGGAGGCTTCGTACGCATCAATATCCATGGTATCGTAGAGCACTCCAATGTCGTTCGCCTTGCGGAACACCTCCGTGTCGTTGAACTGAACGTATGCGTCTTGGGGCACCCATTTCCGCGCGCGGAGGTATCGGCTGCATTGCGAATGATCTGGTCAACACATGTCACGGCTATACAGTAGCAGGTATGCAAGAGATCAAGACGCACAGCAAAGTCGGGTCGTCGTGGGACGGTGGCGGGCCGGGTGTCCAGAGGTTCTTCTCCTCGAGGAGGACCTTGAAGTCCTTGAGGGCCTGCTCCTCAGTGGCGGTCAAGTGGCCCAGGTGACCCTGCGGATAACCATGTTCAACTCCACCAGCGGATGGTACCCTGTGGAGGGAACTCATCGACTTTCTTGTCATGGTGGTGGGCAGCTCGGGGCGACGCGACAGTAGTTAAGAACGGAGGGTTCGATGGAGGACGTCGCTCGTCTAGGATATAGAGCCGCAAGTCGACCTGGCTGTAAGGGCGAGGCTGGAGGATTTCACTGGCTGAACCTTTCACCGCGTCAACAGTTTGCTGACAACGATATAATTATGGAGGTGGGGCTGAAAATCAAGCATGGGGGGGGGGGGCGTGACCCCCCTGTCGCGATCGCCATCCCACCCATGATCCTTATGGGGCTAGCCTCTAAGGCGCGCTAAACGCCCTGAAGCCAGTCAGTGATCCTTCCGATGAATCGAACCGTCACAGATCTTGGTACGACTCATATGCAGCTGACTTGTCGGTATGCAGCCGGATCTACGACTATACGCCTAAGCCCATCGGTAGGTACGAGAGCCGTTGGCTACCTATATACGGTCTATTATCATCAATGCGCCAACAGCGGTTGGAGACACTCCTCCCAATGAATCTGCGTTGACAAGCAATACTGCCCACCGGTTAGTACCTAGGCACATCGAGTCATCTTAATGTAACGTGTTGTGTATTGGAAAATATTATATTCATGCCATCCAAATGTACGATAATACAGGCTTTCGCTTAGTCCATGCGGACATAGTGGTTCTTCTGCAACCTATCTCCTCTCGCTTCTCATTCTACTCAAACACAGGGAGCGCCAACCAAATCCCACATCGGGTACCAACCCTTATCCCATCCCCAAACCCGGCCGGGCTTCCGATGGGCCTTCTTTAGTTAAGATTGAAGGGCCGGTTATCTATCCGAACCCATGGGGGCTGATGGCGGCCAGCGAGCCCATGGCGGTTTTGCCTGTTTTGTTGATACGTATTGTACGCCTGGCAATCACCGCACTCTCGGCACTGGCACTGGTGGCTCTGAGTGAACCCATCGTGGTTGTTGCCTTCGCGCACTCTTTCCGGAAGTTGAGGCCGTCCAGCTGGTCTACGCAGTTCGTAATTGTATGCCGGTGGCTGGCCAAAGCCAAATGGGTCGTATGCCGGAGCCACTGGTAGTGGTCCGTTTTGGGTGTTTTGAGGCAGCTGGAGAATTTGCGAAATTGATGGCAGTATAAGTTGCTGATCTGGGTGTTGCGAGTTGCTGTTGCCGCCGGTCCATCCCGAGGCTGTCCCCGTGTTCTGGCCAGGATGTATAGTGTTGAACCCTGGAGGAGGTAGTAGTCGTGCTGGGGAGGTGTTGCCTCCGCCGCCGTTTCGTTTGTGGCTAAGCTCTCTCTCGTAGAGGACAGCCAGATACTGTGCATTCTCTACCTCGCTCAACTGTTCCCTCAAGATCAATGAGACAGAGGCTTTCCGTATTTGGCCATTGTAGACGTTTAGGTGCCAACGTTTTTTGAATGCATCGCTGTTAATGAGTTCGTGCCACTTGGCTATCAAGCTCTCACCCACTGCTTTCTCTGATTCTCGGGTCCGACAGTCGCTGATCCAGCGTCGTGATGCGATACCGAACAACTTGCGGGCAATCGCGTATTCGGGAAGGTAGGCCAGTCTCTGCCAGCTCGGGCCGGCGTTTGAGTCGAATGCGTCTTTGATGGCTTTGCCTCTGGAATTGTGCGCGTCCTGCTTCATTTCGTCCAGAGACTCCTCTTCGATTCTCCCGCAACAAGAACAGTCCCCAGATATCGCCATATAGCAGTCTCTCCACATCCATTTAGGGGCGGGACAGGCTGCGAAGTCTGGTCCGTATATGGAATCGTCCCAGTCGATGAAGCCCGTCAGAATTGGAACGCCAGCTTCGTCGGTGTCGACCATGATGTTTCGAGGGAACAGGTCTCTGTGCCATACGTTGAATGCTCCATTTTCGTACCCATCCCCAGAAAATAGCCCAATGAATTCCATTTCCTTAACCATCCTCTGGAATTTGAGCCAGGTATTCTTACCGTGCAGGACGGTTCTTCCTGTACATTCCTCATAGCATATGCTCCACTCGAATGAATCCAACATTGTATCCGCGACTGATCTTGGGAGGTGATCATTCTTCTCACACTGTTGTATCCTAGAAGACATACGGGGACTACACCCGTACTGTAAGATGTGATTCTTCAGGTATTCGGCGCTACTCCCGTGTGGTGTGAGCCGGAAGCTAGGATTTTGGCAATCATTATTAGCGTCAAACTTCCCGGTGGCATGGCTCTTGATGGTCAACATTTCGTAATGGGCCTGGCCAAGTTGTGCTGCGATCCCAATGCGCTGCTCATCGTTATATGAGCCCCAGACATCAATGAGAGCTGTGCCTCTTACTCTCTCCACTATCATATATGGCCATCCGAAGCCGTTGTCCGAACCGCAGGACCAGTCGAAGACCCTCGGGGCCTTCAGAGTTTGAAGTTCATTGGCCTTGATCTGGTGGTCAACCTCTCTCAGGGTGAGGGCTTCCTTGCATAAGCAATGGCGTGTGTGTGGGACTCGAAATACTATGTCGTGATCCTCTCCATTGCGCTCGTAGACATGAATATTGTACGCGGCGTTGAAGCTGCCCTGGCCTAGTTGTGTGATATGAAGTCTGGCGTTTTGAGGCAAGCCGAACTTGTGCGCTACGGAACACACGAATTTGTTGATATGCTGGGTAAATGCCTCTGGGTCACGTCTGTATACCTCAGCGGCGTCGTCATCTATATTAAAGAAAACCATGGTGGTCAGGGAAGGTGAGGACAGTAAGAGAATAGATCCTCTGGTTGGAGTGAGATGAGTCCTGAACCCTAGTAAATGGGATTTATCGGCAGTGAAGTTCGACAACAGAGAACCCCGAGTTGCAAAGGTGATTGTGTGATTAGTAGCGGGCAAGAAGATAATGCGTCCATGCTGAACATCCCACGACTTTTGTACCCGGCGCAGTGCATTCCGGAGAAAGCTAGAGTTTTCGTGATAAGAGAAAGTTAACAGCCTCATTTGTACCTGAAGTTCTCGTGACTCCTTTTCTCTGCGATAACAAAATAGAGTTACGGGTTGAACGTCGAGGGCGAGTCAACTATCTGCTCTATCAAGGTCGAATAGAGTTCCAGCCCACTTTTTAAACAACATATACCACTCATATTGGAATTCAAAAGGCAGTGGCCCGAATTTATAGAACGTATATTGCTGGTATTGGGTGGGAGGAAACCCACGGGGCAAGCTGTGATAGTCAGGAGAATCAGCCTTGGTTGAATGTACAGGAACCTCTGCTTTCACATGCGATTACAGCACAGCGCTTTTTTCGAGAAGTGATCTGAACCCAGGAAAAAACTTGGATTGTGTCAAGTCGTAGTCATTATAATAACAGCTGGACTCTGATTTTCCTATATAATATGGATGTGGTTAAAATATTGAGAAGTCGTAGTTGATTACTCAGAGCTGACGACTTCTCTCCTCCTTGATCAATATGAAAGGCGATGAATAATTCAGCCTCTTCGAAACTGCCATTCAACGCCGCACGGAAATTGAATCATATGCGAATACCCAGTGGCTATAGGACCTTATTTCACCTGATGCACGATCTATATTATATGCTATGACAGAAAACGGAACGAATGTAAGTCTGCTTAGACGAGATCACTCGCATACGTAAACGGTAGTAAAGTGCTTCTGCTGCCTTGTCAAGGGGATTGTGAGGTTAGGTATAATCAGAAGCACAAACGTATGGTTCAATTCATGAAGAGACTGAATCTTGCCCCCTTTCAAGGAGAAGGGACAAGATAGGGATTATATAGCGAACACTCCTCGGTATCTCACCGGACCTTCTGTAAACCTAATGCACTGCCGTGACATGCCTCCTCGGGACGGATCTTGTGGGGTCTGCGACTACCACATCAGGCTACATAAAACAAGCCGAAATCAAAATCCCAGGTCTTGAAAACAGTTTTATACAGCATCAAAGAGGGATCACAGATTTTGGAGTGATAGGCACCACTGATATGATTTAGGCTTGATTGCAGTGTGGCTGTTTGCCATATCAACTACCCCATATTGTTTTGATAGCATGCCTACTACTAAGAAACAAACATTCATAGTGATAGCCTGTAACGCCCATATGCATCGTATGAAATTTACGGGCCTGATGTCACAATGTACTCTTACGATGTGTTGTGTATAGGCTTCACTTGTCTCATGTCGCTTGGCGGCCAATCGGTATCATCCCGTTTCCGAATGGCGTGCTTGCCGACCATCCCCGCACCGGACTCCCGGACCCCAGCATCTCGGAGCGAATACCGAGAGTCTCGTACTTTCATACATCTTAATCTGTGGATGGCGAGAATACAACGTCGACATATTTGGGATTGTCGCGATGTCTTCTGACGCAGCTCATGAACCGGACGCGATAACCAATGCCGACTACGATCTTAGCAAGCCTATCGGGTCGAATGTTGGTCTTCGTCAAGGCCTGACATCCTATGGCGATGCGCATTTCTCACTTTTTCTTCGGAAGGTATTCATCAAAGCGCTAGGATACAGCGAGGATGCTCTTTCACGCCCTATTGTCGGCATAGTGAACACGTACTCCAGCTTCAACCCCTGCCACGCCAACATCCCGCAGCTGATCGACGCCGTGAAGCGAGGTGTCCAGCTCCATGGTGGTCTTGCAATTGACTTCCCTACTATCAGTCTGCACGAGTCTTTCGCTTCGCCCACAAGTATGTTCCTAAGGAACCTGATGAGTATGGATACCGAGGAAATGATCAAGGCGCAGCCTGTGGACTCGGTCGTTCTCATTGGAGGCAAGCGTCACACAGTCTCACCAGTTGAACGAGACTAATTTGTGATATAGGCTGTGATAAGACAACACCGGCTCAGCTAATGGGTGCTATATCTGCCAACAAGCCGGCTATACATCTCGTTACGGGACCGATGATGCCGGGGAGCCACAAAGGTGTTCGCATTGGCGCATGTACTGATTGCCGCAACAATTGGGCCAAATTTCGTGCCGGTACCATCGATATCGAGGACATTGCGGAGCTCAACGAGGAGCTGGCTCCCACTGTAAGTCATAAGCCGGTCGTAGTCAAATCGCACCTGACTTTGGACGGCAGGCTGGAACTTGTGGCGTGATGGGCACGGCCTCTACTATGGCGTGCATCTTAGTCGGTCTCGGGGTAATGCCGATAAAAGGTGCAACGCCTGCAGCAGTTTCCTCGGCCAGGCTTCGCATAGCGGAGGATGCTGGAGCAAAAGCAGTCATGCTTGCGCAAACCCAGCTCAAGCCACAGATGATCCTGACTCGCGAATCGTTTATTAACGCCATCACCGTGCTTCAAGCAATAGGGGGTTCCACAAATGCTGTTGTACATTTGCTCGCGATAGCCAATCGACACCCAGACATAGCCGGAAGCATCACACTTGAGACAGTCGACGAAGTCGGCCGTCGAACTCCTCTGTTGGTTGACCTCAAGCCCAGCGGCGATAACTATATGACGGATTTCCACAACGCCGGCGGCATGCCCGTCCTTCTACATGAACTCAGACCCCTTCTCCATCTCGAGGCGCTTACGGTTACCGGGAGAACTCTCGGCCAAGAGCTGGACTCTCTGAATGTAACACCATTGCCTTTCGATAACCCCGCCAACTGCATCAGGCCCAAGTATTCCCCCTTGTATCCATCCTCATCCTTGGTGGTCCTACGCGGAAATTTGGCACCGCGGGGCGCTGTGATGAAAGCGAGCGCCTCGAAGGAGCGAAAGCTGCTGTCGCATTCTGGGCCCGCTGTTGTCTTTACGAGTACCTCCGACCTAGCCGCACGGATAGATGATCCGGAATTGAAGGTCACAGCTGACAGCATACTGGTGCTTCAAGGCATCGGCCCCATCGGCAACCCCGGAATGCCTGAAGCGGGTCTGATCCCTATTCCACGCAAGCTGGCTGCGCAAGGGGTCACTGATATGCTGAGGATATCCGATGGACGAATGAGTGGTACCGCCGGAGGTACTATCGTCCTTCATGTGTCTCCCGAATCTGCAGATCCCTCGTCAATACTGGGCATCATTGAAGATGGTGATATAATAACGTGTGATATCCAGACAAGGAAGCTCAACGTTGAACTTACAGACGAGGTTGTCGCGAAGCGAGTGGCTGCTAGGAAGATTGCGCTGGAAGAACAAGCTACCGAAGACAAAACAGAGCCACACTGGATCGCTCGCGATACCATGAGAGGCTATCGGGGTTTGTACATGCGATCTGTCAATCAGGCTGAGGAGGGGGCGGACTTTGACTTCCTGACCGCTTACGGACCAAGGAGGTTATGATATCTTAAGAGACTTGCACGGTTGCCGGACCTTGCCAGAAATTTTACGTTGGTCATAGCATACTGCACCTAGAGTGAACTAACCCTGACCGTTGATGCACAATATCATGACGTGCTCAGCCGGACTCGATAACGATGACTCTTCTAAACGTTGGAACCGACGGTGTCAGCATTCCTCGCCCTTTAATAGAAGCTTCACACCGGTTCTTCCCCATGCTATCCATTCCCTTCTCGCCTGTCAAACGGAACCAGCGACGCCGTACGGAAAACCAGCTTTCAGTGGCGAAACGTTTGAACTTCGACCACTCTACAATGCTGTCATCGAGGTCTTCCGATGGAACAGGCCACTGGTCCTGGTTGATGAGGCTAAGTAACAACTCCTCCAAGCCCTCATGGCAACAAGACAAACCGTGACCGCGCAGGTTTGCAATGAAATTTTGAAAGTCGCCGACAGCCACGATCACCACCTTGCTGCCTAAAACAAACAACCGAGACTCGAGGCGCGGATCATACCGCCGAGGCAGCTTGTAGCTAATGCTCACAAAATCGAAAATTTTCAGATTAGGAAAACGATTGGGCTGGAACAGTTGCATGAAACAGTCGTGGTATTTTCTCTCAGCCGAGTGAAGCGTGACGTATTGCGCAACCTTGGCAATATTGTTAATCCCAATGACACCTGTGAACTCATGATCCTCGTTCGAGATCACGCTGATGTATAGAGTGTCTCTCGTCGCATCGAACCAGCTCCACTGTCGCCCATTAAAGAGCTTGTCGGTGTAGACCATGCCGCCGCTGTGGGATGCAACAGCTCTGGCTTCACGACATGCACGCGAAGCCGCCGGAGGTGCCCAGCTCTGTTCAAGATCCCAGCCGGATACTAGCCCGTCCATCCTCGTCGTCTCTCGCACGTGAACGATGTTGTTTGGCAGGGAGAAGCGCCATATCATGTTGCGAATCTCAGGAGGCAGTTTCTTGAATTGAGGAAATTGCCAAGACGGCGTGGCCATCTGCCGTCGGAGCAGTTGTACCTCAGCACGAAGGGCTTTCGCTTGGCGGTTTGCCTCATTTGAGACCTCGGTTACTGCTTCCAACTCCTCCTTGAATGCGACCTTTAGTGCCTCAACCTCGTCGTAGTACTCTCTTTGGTCATGATTCAGCTTTTGGCGGAGCGCAAGCTGTGCCTGCCTTAGAGAACTGATTTCTGCGGCAAGTTCTGCAACATTTTGCTGTGTCTCATTGGAAACACTGAGTACGCCCTTGAAAAGACCTGAAACTTCAGAACTATGTTCATCGAATCGATTATAAAGCGCCTGTTGATTCAGCTGCAGAAGGTGGCAGAACTTCCGAGTGGCTGGACCCTCATTCGTCTCTGGGAGCTCATTGATAGAAATAGGACTGTCTGGTCGGGATGAGCGAGATCGTTGAGAATCGTAGGCAAGACCTTCATAGTGAGCGTCAGTTTCTGTTGAATCCTCACTTGAACCTCTCGCTGAAGCTGAAGTAGACATAATGATTCAGACCGAGGTTGGCTCTTTTCATCGGTTGCAGTGATGCTGAACGAGCCATCGCGCTAAAAGCCGCAGACGCGACAAGACATGGCGGCTGTCAGCTGGTGGGCAACCTTGACAGCTGCTTCGTTGACGGCCGAGAACCAAGACACATATAAATCGCTGAACAGGTTTTTGGATGCAACTGGGTAAAATTTGAACTAGCTTGTATAATGGAGAGATGTAATGACTAATTTAAGCATGGTTGCGTTGGCTGAAGGCAAGCAGAGTCACCAATGCTTGCCCTCTGCCTCCTAACCGCCTTTGTTCGAGAGGAAAATCCAGCAGCATCTCTGCAGCCGACTGTAGGATACGCCGAGATGGAGCTCGTGGCAAAGCTCCAATTCGAATTGATATTTTCACGTAATCATTCTAGTTTAGGTTAATTTATCCCCAAGGCTGACGTGTGATCTTGCAGCATTTGCCCAGTGACAGTTACAGCGGGTGCGGGCCGAGACCGAGAACACTGCGTAGTGGGGCCAATTGCTCACATACATAAAGCTTCCTTCAAAGACGCATAGATCTCTTGGGTTCGAGCAGCATTCACGAGTACATGTTCATCGGGTCCAGCCACCAGTTTCTTGAGAAGAGTACCTAAGAAAGACTAAGAAAGAAAGAAAAGAAACCTCGGAGCTATCGCGAAAAGTTTCACGCATACGAAGTACAATACAGTATGGCAGAAGCCCCACTTGAGTCACGCAAGTTGTACGTCCGCTCGGAGGATGCCCAAAAGTTCGTCGAGGATGTTTTGAAGGGTAACGGCGTGTCTGCGAAGAACGCTTCTACTGTTGCAAGGTGTCTTGTTCAAGCAGACTTGCGTGGAGTGGACACACACGGGATCAACAGAATCCCGTCTTACATGGCGCGCATCCAGCAAGGTGCCCTTGACGCGGCAGCCGATCCGGTCGTTACGAAGGTTACTCCGGTGGTTGGCCAGGTCGATGGTCGGAATGGGTTCGGCTTCGTTGCCGCACATGCCGGCATGAAGCTGGCCATTGAAATGGCTGAACAATTCGGGATTGGGATGATCAGCATTAAGCATTCGAATCACTTTGGCATGAGCGCGTGGATCGTCCAGCAGGCTATTGATGCGAACATGATGAGCCTGGTGTTCACCAACTCAAGCCCCGCCCTGCCAGCATGGGGAGGAAAGAGTAAGCTCATGGGCGTATCACCGATCGCCTGTGGTGCTCCAGGACGGGATAAACCGTTTATTCTTGATATGGCTCCTTCCGTAGCAGCCCGCGGCAAGATTTACAAGGCCAAACGCCGCGAGGAGAAGATCCCATTAGACTGGGCGCTGGACGCTGAAGGAAATCCCACCGATGATCCAACTGCGTGAGTGTGCGTTTAAAAAAATGCGTTGCACGATGCTGACTATTTACAGCGCACTTGGAGGAGTCATGCTTCCTATGGGCGGACCAAAAGGGTCTGCACTAGCTATCATGATGGATGTCTTCTCGGGTGTCCTGTCAGGTTCTGCTTTTGCTGGCCACGTCACAGGTCCTTACGACCCATCTAAACCTGCAGACGTTGGACATTTCTTGGTAGCTATCAAGCCAGATCTCTTCATGAGCCTGGATGAATTCCGCGACCGAATCCAGTATCTGTACGAGCGGGTTGTGGGCTCCGAGAAGGCTGCTGGCGTGGAGCGAATCTACTTTCCGGGAGAGATTGAGCAGCTTACTCAGGCGGAGAGGCTGAAGAATGGAATCCCATATGTTAGTGCCGAGATTAATGCTCTGAACGCAGAGGCAACGAAAGTCGGTGCCGCTGGTATAATTGTGCGGGATCAATGAGCGGATGGGCGCGCTCGCGAATGGAATATAGAGGCAGAGATTTGAGGGGAGGTGCATCTACCGCAGATGTCTATTATTTAACTGTGTTATCATTGCTGAGGAGAGAAAAGAGAGAGAGGAGAATTATTTGAGCTCTGTCAACTTATTTCAGTCATTAGATACCTTTAATGGCTGTTTCACGGGTGGGACGTGAGTGGGCGCTACACTTCCCGGCACTCGAGATTTGGCCCGAGACTAAAAATGTTTTCTCTCGGCGTCAGGGTTTCCTTAGGCTTGCGCGTGAAGATCTATCTTTAAGAGATGCAGGAACTTGGTGACGTGATAGGACAGCCGGGGTCCAGGGGCTCCGTTTCCCACCACAGTACCGGAGCCAAGCCTCGGGCCTCCAACTGCGAAGGTTGCGGCCCCATCGGGGCGGAGCGCCCCCCGAAGTTTATGGTGACGGGGAGTTGCAGCCCTAGTTTCAGGTCACCTTGCACGGCGCTGCATCAGCAGGACGTTATGATCAGATGATCGGTAGGTACAAGTCTCTAATCTCGACGAGGTCTTATTATACATTGTCTGGCCTGTAATCAAATCTCACAGTCATTCCAGTTCGATGCATCTGCACCTAGCTACAGATCTAAGCGTTCCTATGCAGCTTGAAAACCAGAAACTGATTAAATTAGGCGGATAGACGCGAGCCGGGCCACCACTTGTTTTCCTCAGCAATGAGGGTCACATCGAATAGCAGTACATACACCACAATCCCCAGGGTATTTTATAGAAGCTGGTTGGTACCAAGATATGCAGGCCGCGCGAGTTGAGCCACTACAGCGAATCGGGATGCATGGCTTGTTCAGCGGCAGTGTATAAGTCGGGCGAGTGACAACGAAGATTTGGCGTCCCATAAATGCCGTCCAGTAATAAGGAAGTTCAGTGACTTTTGCCGTGGGCTATTGCTGAAGATAGTAGCCGAGCCGAGTACCTGGACTGTTCGGTTTCGCTATGAATAGAGTTATTCTTGAAGATAGTGTGTTAGTTAGCACCATTGTGCCCCCTAAGCCGTCAAAGTATCCCCTGCTTTTAGGGCTATCGCGGCTTGTTTTGCGATTTGCGCCACGGCTAAAAGAACTCGCCTCGACACCATGAACCGTCAGACTCCTGTAGGATTTTCCACAGGGTCTTCGTCTCAAAGGTCTTACAGTTCAAATTGCTGGGACTCTGAACGTTGGACGTGAAGGGTGACCGGCCTATCTTACGAATGAGGAAGATTTGCGTGGCACAGGTGGAGTTTGTTGTCTTGGCCGGCCCCGGACTACACCCAGTGTAGCCTCGGAGACACCATACTTCACTGCGTGGCAGAGGTATTCTGCAGCGCAGCAGTAGCTCGGCGACGAGAAATTCACCAGCATTCACAGTGGATAGCAACAATCCACGTTCGGAACTTGGGGGCGCCGGTATCAGCGAAAGCGCGAGCCCCGAATGGAATATGAATACTGGGTCCGCGGGCATCTCGAAGTCTAAACTGCAGAGGCGGCTGTGCTAGCCAGGGTTGGCTTGCACATTTGCGCAGCTCGAAGATAGTGTGCATCATGTATAGACCAATTGACACAAGAATCAACTTTCGTTCATACAAAACAGGTGCTGTACTTACTGATTAATCGAAAAGATCCGACACGGTGCGCCGGACATGACAAGGTTTGGTAAGAATCGAAGTCCGGACAGGGGTGTTGGATTGAAACCAAACCATACAGGCGGGTGGATCGAGGCTGGACTTGGCCTTTGAACGCAAAACGCCAGCCTGAGCACTGTTTTATGGCCGCGAGCGAGACACGGTGTGATTGTTTCAGCTGGACCTCAGTTGCTCGGTCCCGCGATAACACGGGCGAAGTACAGTGCTCTGTCCGCTCGGTCTCTCTCCAATGTTGTCCGCCCGCTCCGGGTCTGGCTGGAGGCGCCCAGCGGCGTATAGTGGTCAGAAAATAGCACAATGGCTGATATATAAGGATGACTTCTTCTGTCTCTTGACAATGAGTTCATTCCTTATCAGTCATCTCGATTACCATCAGTCACCCGTAGAACAGCATCAATTTGCTTGCAAACTTTCCGACAAGACAGTCAAACTACCGTCACAATGCCTGGCCTTACTAGCGAGCACCGTACCCCCAGCAAGTATGACCGCATTCCCGGTCCCCTGGGTCTGGCCTCTGCCTCTCTGGAGGGCAAGGTTGCAGTAGTCACTGGAGCTGGTAAGTCGCATTCGATGCTAAATTCCTGCTTTCCCGGTCTCCCCACGTTTTCCTCCTCTTCTTCCACCCCGCTGCAAGCCACAATCCCCCGGAGCCGGCATAGTGGGGCCAGACCAGTTCCATCCCCACCGGAGCTCCGTAGACGCTTCGGGCCGGAACTTTGAAACGTGCATGAGATTATACAGCACGTGTAAGGATATCCAGCTAACCTGAATCAAATCTAGGTCGCGGCATTGGCCGGGAGATGGCCCAGGAGCTTGGCCGCCGTGGCGCGAAGGTTATTGTCAATTACGCCAACAGCCGCGAATCCGCTGAGGAGGTCGTCAACGTGATCAAGAAGGCCGGCTCCGACGCCGTGTCGATCAAGGCCAACGTGTCCGATGTTGACCAAATTGTCAAGCTCTTTAACGAGGCCAAGAAGGTATGGGGAAAGATCGACATTGTCTGCTCCAACTCTGGTGTTGTCTCTTTCGGCCACGTCAAGGATGTCACCCCTGAGGAGTTCGACCGTGTCTTCGGCGTCAACACCAGAGGCCAGTTCTTCGTTGCAAGGGAGGCCTACAAGAACCTCGAGGTTGGCGGACGTCTGATCCTCATGGGTTCCATCACTGGCCAGGCCAAGGGTGTCCCGAAGCACGCAATTTACAGTGGTAGCAAGGGTACCATTGAGACCTTTGTGCGATGCATGGCCGTCGGTAAGGACAAATTCACTCCTCCAAAGAGCTCGAACGCTAACTCGAGGATGAGACTTCGGTGACAAGAAGATCACTGTGAACGCCATCGCACCCGGTGGCATTAAGACTGACATGTACCACGCCGTCTGCCGCGAGTACATCCCTGGCGGCGCTGAGCTGGATGATGAGGGTGTTGATGAGGTATGCTTCATATTTCCATAACAATCATTTTCAGTACATGGATGCTTACTGACACTTATGCAGTTCGCTGCCACCTGGTCGCCTCTTCACAGAGTCGGTCTCCCCATCGACATTGCCCGTGTCGCTTGCTTCCTTGCCTCTCAGGATGGAGAGTGGATCAACGGCAAAGTCATCGGTGTTGATGGCCACGCCATGATGTAAAGTGGTATCGTGCAAGCCTTAAGTTCACGAGATGTATTATTCTATTCAAGCGCAAGGAGACCTGGATCGGCGTATCTGTTCATAGTTCGCAGAATGTCGATAGAATAATGAAAAATATGATATCCACACTAGTCATTGTAGTCATCGTCCTGGGACTAAAGAAACGTCTTCTATGTTGATGTGTCGAACAATTCTTGGATAATTGATTACTGAGCCATCTGCACCATACCATGTAAGAATCTATCATGCACCAAAACCCGGGAAATGTCTACACGCGAGATTCGCAAGCCACTTAGATAGGTGGACTGCTTACCTATTTTATTATAGGCCCGAGGATTATCAACCAGCTCTTGATAACTGTATCATTAACAGAACTTCAACCCTGCTGTAAGTTCATACCAACTTAACTCAACTGAATACGCAGTTTAGATGTATATATATATTTCTAATAAAACAAAAAGCAACATCACTACAATAAGACCTAGCGCTTGTCACAAACAACTGCATCTTCTATGGCTCTCTCACTCCGCTTTCCGATGCTCAGTTCAAATAGGGATTGAATTTGCACCATCATGAAAGACGTACCGCCTGAGCCATGCATACCACAGTTTCTACTTATCCGCGTGTTCCACAAAAAAGAACAGGCGCCCTGTTGTGCTGTGTTGTCACAACCTTCACGATTGAGAGAACGTAAGTTCAAGGAAATTGAAGAGAAGATCTTTACGTAGAATCACGCACAAGTGGGTGAGTTTGCTCGGTGGCTTCGGGTCCTAGAGTTACTCAAGCCACTCACGGTGGGAAGGAGTCGCCGCAAGCTATTTTCCACCGACTCAATCCGTGTTAGTCACAGTTTTGGTTTCAACTATGGGTGAGAGCAACACATAAATCGAACACAGTGGCATTGTTGCCTCTTTGGCGAATCTGCGAGAAGGCAAATCATTGCTAGCCGCGATATTGAAAGAGACTATATTCAGTATCATGATGTTGCCTTGAGGGTCGGCCAAGTGGCATATGCTCTGCCAGCTGGCAGCCAGACAATGCCGGAGTCCGCCCAAGTCCAGCGAAAACCAAAGGCGTTGATGATTGGTTGAAAACATGGAGATTCCCCACCTCAGCTCACTTCAGTCTACGACAGCGAAACGAACAGACAGAAGTCATGTCTACAGTTCAGCCGCATCAATCCATCGCAGCCTATATGGCCCGGTAATCGTTTACCTGAAGATCGCCCAAACACCGAAGCGATGCGGCTTCTAAACGTATCAACGCTGGAACTCTACGACTTCACCGGTGATGATGTGCCACCATACGCTGCACTCTCGCACATATGGGCCAACGGGGAGGTGTCATATCACGACATCATCAATGGCGACGCACCGCTGAAGATCGGATTTCGCAAAATCCAGCACGCCTGCCGTCAAGCCATAAAGGACAATCTGGACTGGACTTGGATAGACACGTGCTGCGTCGATAGAACCAGCAGCGCTGAGACAACAGAGGCTATCAATTCAATGTACCAATATTTCCGGCAGGCCGCGTGGTGTTATGTCTTTTTGGCAGATGTCTTCACCGTCGATGATGCATTATCCGAAGAGGATCGCTACCACCAGCTGCGCCGTTCAAAGTGGTTCACTAGGGGCTGGACTCTCCAGGAACTGATTGCGCCGCCGAGGACGCTGTTCTTTGACAATGCCTGGAATCTAATAGGAAGCAAAGGATGCCCGGAGTTCGATGTGCTGTTGTCAGAAATATCCGGTGTTCCGGCATCATGCATAGAAGGCTTGCGTTCCCCGCTTGAATTCAATGTTGCCACCAGGATGTCGTGGGCATCCCAAAGACGATGTGCGCGAAAGGAGGACGAGGCATACTGCCTTCTGGGTTTGTTTGATATAAATTTGCCTCTGATTTATGGTGAGGGGGGAAGAGCATTCGTCAGATTACAAGAGGAAATACTACGGACCACGAGCGATCAATCGCTCTTCATGTGGACTGTCGACGAGGGCAACCCACGCTGTTGGAAATCATCCAGTGTCTTTGCGGAATCTCCAGAAGATTTTCGTATTATCGGGCGGAAGTCTCACATCCTTCGAGAACCGTCAACGCCAGCTACGGTGACCCAGCTGGGCTTGAGCATTTCTTTGCCTGTCGCACCAGTCAGTGGTCGTGACGCTATCTACGGTCACCCTGATGAGCCGGCAGGCACATTTTACGAGGCCTATTTGAACTGCGAGGACGATCTTGGCGGCATGGCAAAGATATACCTCCGTCCTGTCGAAGGGGGAAATGAATGGCAAAGGCCGAACTCATTTCACCGCATCGCAACACCATTTCAACACTATGGAATACCGTCAGAGTACGACGCAAAGGATATCTTCATTAAGACACGGTTGGGGTTCCGCTTGCATAATGCGCCCACATCTACTTCAACCATAGAGACACCGCACTCTTTTTCGAGCCTGGAAATATCACCACCCATAGCAACAGCGCAGGGTGAGGAACTAAAGCCAAGGATATTCCACGACATGACTGTTATTCAAGATACATATTCTGCCATGACCATTGAGTCATTGGAAGACATTTTATACGAATGGCAAGTTGAAAGCCTTGTTGGCAGGTCTTTCATCCCGGAGGGGGTCTTGGAGAAGATCTTGGATAGAGAGGCCATCAAACATATATGCGGCACGCTTATGCCTGTTTCCCAAGCATCCGCGTCCTTGGTTGATCGTGTTATGTCCTCTAGTCAAAAGATATTCGTGGTGTTGATTTTGTCAGGATTATCACAATTTACGAGCTTCGTCATTGACAGTATTGGGTTGACAGACGAACATCTCCCCATGCCGGATCCAAAATTAATTCACTCAAAATCGCCACCAGGGTATTTGAAGGAACAAGACAGCCATTCTTGGTCACAATGGAAAATCGTGACGGAAACATTCGCCAGGAAATCCTACAGTCAGCGGTTCTTTGAGGCTCAGTGGCAAGTTCTGGCACCAGTTTTCAAGACCAAACATTTGGTTTCGCATTTGAATTTGACTGCAAACCATATCCTACCGTATCTGAAGCAACATCTCGGTCAATCTGCTACTGTTGGAGCTGAGGATGACCAAGTTAGGAATGGGTCGTTCAGTGATATTCGCAAGGTTGTCATACATCCAAACCATTACAGCTTTGGGGATTATGGGGTACGTTTCTAAGACTGTGGCCTCATATGTGTACTAACCCTTCCAGTTGGGGAATAATACGAATAACGTGTTTGCGGTCAAACGACTGCATGCGGTCGACCGTATGCAGTTCGAGCTTGAGAGGGAGGCACTGACTCAATTCAGAGAGGGCCGTCCACGTCACATTGTTCAATTATTGGCAACATACGAAGTTCAAACAGGAGGTGGCAATGATTTATTTGCGGATTATTACATGATTTTCCCGTGGGCCGATGGAACCTTACGCTCATTTTGGGGTTCACAGAAGGCCCACGTGGGTGATGTTGCAATTATACCTTGGCTCTTGCGCCAGTGCTTGGAGCTGGCTAAGGCTCTTGAACTCATCCATGAAGGGCGCAGTGGCTTTCCACACGAATCGAGCGAAATTGAGCCAGTACCCCGTTATGGGCGGCATGGAGATGTGAAGCCAACAAATATACTCTGGTTTCCCAATAATGAGGCGAGTGAGACGAACGATTTGGGTAGCCTTGTCCTGGGAGACTTCGGGCTTGCAAGATTCCACCGGAGAGATTCACGATCCAACTTGACTTCGACTGACATTCCACGGTCCATGACATACTCGGCACCGGAGTTTTCAACTCAAGGAAGGATCTCAAGATCCGTGGATATATGGGCCCTAGGCTGCGTCTTCCTCGAGTTCATCACCTGGTTTCTTGAGGGTGAGCAGGCTGTGACGGAAACGTTTCCGGACCTCCGTTGTAGTCGAGACTCGTATGGGTTTATCTCTGACACATTCTTCGAAGTTTTTGAAAAAGGGAAAGGCACCGAAAAGTATCCCACCGCGAGACTGAAACCACGAGTGCAAGACTGGATCGAACGTCTCCACAGAGGTTCGACACAATATTGGTACATCCACAAATTTCTGGCGTTGACTCTCAGGATGCTCGACACCGACCCCCTAACACGCATTCGAGCTTCAAAAGTAGCATTTGAGATGGAAGACTTGCACAGAAAATGCTTGAGAGATATGATCTCTTTCCCAACTAGGTCGTCCCGGGCTTCTAAGCTGATTGAACCGGTGGGTCATAAGACATCTTCGATCCTTCGGAACGTCTTACGGCGATCAATGTTTGGGCCTTAGGGGGTCCTGGACGCAAAGGTAACTCTTTCAGGTATCGGACTCTGTTGATGTTGGGAGAATAAGGCATGAGCTATAGAAGAACGTAAAGACAAATGAAGGACAAATTCTCGCTACTGATGCTACAATGATGAAAACGTTTGAAATGTGACATGAAGAAGCTATCAAGCTTGGAATAGGTTCTCTTGCCGTTGACATGATTTAAATTATATATTTCCCAGCATTGTGACACTGTCGAGAAGGAAATTCTACTCCATTGTCCGGGCTTTCTGAAGAACATAATCGAGAGGATGTTCAAAACCGGTAAACGGTCCCATCCAGTAGAGCAGTATTATATGACCATATTATCCCTTTCGAGTTGGGTGAAGAATCAATATTTCGATCTGGCATAGTTCTTGAGCATCCAAATCTTCTTCAAGTTGGATGTGAGAGATTGGATTTGGTGTGATAGGGGCGAGTTCTTATAAGTATAGTAGAATACAACTCAAGCCTGCAGAGCGGTCTCTGTGGATCCATAAAGGCGTCCTTATCTCTTTTAAAGGGTTGTGGCAAATTCGACGATAGTGTGCCGGCCCATATTGTACCCCTACCATTACATGACAATAAAGTCCTGGAAGCTGCTGTATGTCAAGGGCCTGGGCCAGGCATGGCGAAGATACTGTGCTGAGAATGGGCTGGGCGATGTCAAACTGAAATTTTTGGCCGGTATCGAGAGGCCTCACGGCATGGAGGGCGCTTGGCAGCAATTACGTGATAGTAGGATACCGCCCGGTACAGCCACTGGAGTCATACTGAATTCAGTTGGGTAAAAGTTTGGTGACTATTTTGGTATACCAGAGCGTGGGGCGTCAAGCCAGATTCTCTAGTAGAGCTAGTCGTATAACATAGCTACGGCGTACAATTCTCTTAATGTAAACATTAAGGAGTCGAAAATTCCGAGTTGCACCGCATATTCTTCCAGAAGGTGGAAATACTTCTAGAATCAAGGTCCCCGCCTAGGCGTACTTGAACTGCCCCCCGAAATTCTTTTGAATATGGAGCTGATCCCGTTGCTGATACTGTTGGTAATACTTGATGCGGTATTTCTCCTGGAAACCTGGGCTGCTGGAGGCTCTGCCTCGGACGCCATCATATTGAGGCCTTTATCGTCGAGCGGTGGCTCAGTCTGCCGAGCTGGTTCCTGTGCATGACTCTCGGGAATTCTAGTCAGAGTTGAAGATCCAACTACGCTCCTTTCTATTCTATTGCCTGAGGACGGCTCTGAAGGCTTGCGAAATGTGTGCGCCAAGTCTCTGATATTCTCGAGATCCTCCTGGCATCGATCGCATTAGTAGTCTGGGCAAAAGGTTGTTTGATTTTGAATATACACTATCTTACCTCGGAGAGTTCTTCGGGAGTCCTGATAATATATAAATCCTCTTTCAGCTATAGGGGGGGGCATTCGGTCAATCATGTAACCCACACCCAACTTCAACTTGTGCATTGAGGGAACTCGATCGAGGGAGGTTCAACTGTTTTGCTTACGGCGACACTGTAATTATTCTTGCCAAATTTCCCATCCAAGTACTTTTGTAACCTCCTCGGGTTGATATATCTCATCAACACTACTTGTTCGCAAAACGCGACAGGCCCGGACATGATTATTCGTGGAGTGCAGCGAAAATGGCCGCAACTTATGGGCGCTAATAACCCTGGTACGACAGCGTAGTTCCGCGTAGAAAAGGAGACTTCCGCGAGGCTCGAAGATATCTGAGTCTGATGATTCTCTTCTCAAACTTTCGGGCGCGGCCGCTTGAAGCAGTCGTCTTCGTTTTAGTCAGATAAGAAATTGAGTGAGCCGCCTTCATGCGCGGCGGGAGGATTTCCCCAACCCAAATAAATCACACGTGACTACGGGCTGCAGCTGGGATGTAGGAATATGTACACTAAATAATTTGTCAAGCCTATCGTTGCCCTCTAAGGATTATGGTGGCATTGCGCAGCTGAAAACCACCCGCATGCAGCGTCCCCGCCAAAGGGACCTGCGCCCTGTGTGACCCCCTCATCACACCTTTATAACTGGCGGCTGCCTAATCGCAGCCAAAACTTCGTAAGTGATCGAGGCAGATTGACTCAGAATTACGTCTTGAGCAAAATCTGCGTACGTCCCAATTTTCCCCTCTTTACAGACAGCAAGGACGTTGTTTCGCTGTAGAACGAGCAAGCATTCAGGAGCCTGTAACCTCATGGTGGGATTATCACCACAGCCTGCTTCTGATGGCGCCGCCTGCCGTCTGCGATCCTTGCCAATGCAACGTGGGGGATGCAGTCCGCAGTATGGTATTGGCTAAAGCCCATTACGGCACCTTCAATTTCAAACAGGCTCAGCGCAAGGTGATCGGAAATTCAAGACCCTGGCGGCTCAGCCGCACCCTGACACGCCGGAGTAGAAAGTGGCACGAGTTCCGCTATGCCACGCGTCCGGAGACGATGTTCGCTGTACACATACCACTGGTGATTGTTCAACTGTAGAACCATGGAATGGGTACCCAATTCGGACCCCTTCATAGCTCCCAATCGTATTGATGACTTTGATTTCGACTTAGGCCCTCAGACTCCCGGACAGACATGCCGTGTCATTCGGGATTACAAAATCGTGAGTTTCCGAGATCATAACCTAAAACTTGAGCATTGGGACTGAGCGTCAGCAGGATGACCAGCGAACAACGGCATCAGATCAAGACATCAAGCTTTCGGGTGACGACAAGTGGACAGATTTGTTTTCGGTGTGTTTATTCTACCGGTAACAACGAATGTTATTAACATTCTGGGGGACAATTGGTGGCACACCGAATGGCTCTCTATACTAACGTGAATTTCGCTCAGGCTAACCGATTGTTCTCCTTAAATGACGCCTCCCTCTCATTCACGGACTTGCCAGAGGATGGATACTGCATCCTGTAGGCTTGACGCTGTCGCCAGCCTTGATTTTGTCTTAGTCACTAACACCAGCTTTTGTTCCAGGTTTATACCCCAGGCCGCGGACGTGAAGTTCTCGGAGAGCGAATCTCAGCCAGCAAATCTAACTGATCTACCAATCAGCCAAACTCGATGGACCAAGGTCGCCACGGCATTCCATCTTCCTGGACATTTTCCCAAGGTTGTCGCGAGGAAGCTAACATCCGTTATCTCTATTAATCGGACGCATAAGTTCAATGATCACTTTAGAGATAAACTCTGGATGCATACAGTCATGACCAATCAAAGCGATACACAAGCATATGCCATGGCAGCCACACACATTGCGTGTAAGAAGCTTACTCTCGCTGTCATGATTGGCTGCTCTGATGCGCAGATTCGCATCGTGAAACGTCTGGTTAAGGGATGGAGCGATGCGATTGGGCATCCACTGCTTATGCTTGGAGTATGCGCTGAATTGGAGCTCAATCGTCTGGAGGATTTGGTCGGTGCCCAAACACAAAGATATGTTGAGCTTATGGCGAGTATTGAAGCCGAACGTGTCAGTGCAGGCCATCATGGTTTCAGCTGGGAACTGATACAGCGAGTCCGGGCAACTCGTGAGGCGAGCAAGAAAGCCGAAGAGGAGGTTGACACAGCCAGGTCGCAACTTGAAAAGGCCCATAAGCCAGCGATAGACGCATTGATGCAACGCTATGCTCCACCTAACCCATCATCAAGTCGGCCCAACACGCCATCGGGAGCACAGGGATCAGTAGTGGCCACTGACACCGGGGGCACGCAATATACCGCGTCAGCTACTACTCATACTCCAGCTCCACCACAAAGTGTTCTTAACACCCCTTCCGGATCTCACGGAGCTGCAGGACATACTGGCTCCAGTCACGTTCGAAGTAGCACTACAACTCTCGCTCCATCGCAATCCCGCTCCAACGCGCAGACGGCACCACGGGGAGCTGGAATAGGAACGAGTCTCAGCAACACTACCACTGCTAACCCGACCCCATCCACAAGTCGCTCAAACACTCCAGCTACCACTGTTGGCCTAGGAAATACGTCATTAGGGTACCAAGGATCTTCAAACAATACTACGATAGGGGGCACCCTCGGTAGCGCGGAAACCACTACCCTTACCCCGTCTTCAAATCCATCCACCAGGCCTTCAGGACTTCGCGGATCAGCAGCCAATACCAGAACAGGAAGCACCCAAGGCTTGACTGGTTGCAATCTTGCCAGCGATGATAATGAGACTTTGAGGGAAATAACTAGCTTATTCCAGGAGCGATTCAATGACATTATTTCTAGGTTGGAGGGATTGAGTGCCAAATGCAGAATCAACGTGGAAGGGATATCGTTCACGACGGACATTGTAAGTGGCGCACGTTCATTCATTGATCAATTAAGCAAACAATCTCTGATACTCATATTACTTCAGATCAGAAGCGAACTGGCTAGGCAAGAAGCAAACACCAGTGCCCAAAATACAAGTTTCGGCACGGCAATCTCCTTTGTCGCCTTGATTTACCTTCCAATGACTGCTATTGCGGTAAGTGCGACTCTCTTCAGGTACATGGCACAGCTGACGATATTGTTAGACAATATTCGCGATGCCGATCTTCAAATGGGAGAACGACTGGAAAGATATCAGACTACAATCTATCAGACAAGATAAATCAAATTCTACGGATGCAGATTCCGGCGAGGATGAGGTGCAACTTCCCGTTGTTTCCGGTTACATATGGGTGTACCTCATCATTGGTGTCAGCTCCACCGTGATAACGTTTGTTGTATTCACGTGGCATCTTCGAGACATTATGTTTCCAAGAATCAAGCGCCGCTGGGTCAAGTTTACGGAAAGATTTAAGAGAGCCCCGCCGGAGCCACCGGCACTTGCGCCTACTCCTGCGAGCACGATGTCGACAAATATCCCACAGCTGATATCGTCAAGAACCTTCCCTGCCCCGCCTGCACGGGCTACTTCAAGGTAAAGCCAGAACTGTTCTGAATTCTTGCAGCGTGGCTCAGCATCTAATGATTTGGAGTTCAAGCAGACTACCTTCACGCAGTAATAGGGGTGCAACTAGCAACCAGGGGTCCCCTACGCAAAGCTTGCGGCATAGGACACCTCAAGGAATTGGTGCTGTATCATCTTCCAGTGCTGGGCAGAATCGGATACATGGTAATACATTGCCTCTGAAAACGCAGACCAGGATTGCTCCCGCTGCTCATACTAGGATAGCCTCTTCCACCACCAACCCTGCACCGGTTCCGCCTACCACACGGGCAGCACCAGGCCCTGCGTCCAACACAGTAACTGCACAAGCGTCAGCTGCTAAAAGGGTACAGCCACAGCTACCACCTGAGGTCATGGTTTAGTTCAGCTGAGATCCTAAATGTGTATCTCCTTAGAATGCTTCGATACTTTAATGAGTGTGTTTTAGAAATTAGGAGCTAGCCAAAGCCACAATAATTATTCTTCCTTTACTATGTGTTGCTAGCAGCGATTGAGGCTTGCCCATCTGCATGGGGAAAGAACCAAAGAAAAAAAAAAAAAGCAACGAGCTACCAAGCCCTTCCTAACCCTTCTAAAATTCCCAGGTTCCTGAAAATCCTCGTGGCTAGCAGTCGAGACTGGAAATTTGCAGGAACAAATGGAACGGCAAGTTCTAGGACCATTGCACGTCAGTGTCCAGGCCTCGGTTCAAACATGCAAAAGTGCTGGCTATAGATAACCGTAGGCCCAATTCCCTGTCACACTTCCATTGATCGAGCCGCGGTGGGCAACGCCGTCACCTGCCTTAGACCATGTTGTAGAATGCAGTACCTCAGCCTAGTAGCGGCGTCCCATGGAAACTAAGGGACCTGTCACATTTGGCAGCTAGCAATAGCAGTCTGTATCACGCTCCAAGAATGACTCATTGTGAAATACAATGCTGGAATTGCTGTTTTGATTACAGATTTAAGCTGTCGTCGTGACAAGTTGGGTCGGTGACGACTTCAGTCCCAATTGCAATGGTCCGATGGTGTAGTTGGTTATCACGTGAGTCTAACACACTCAAGGTCGGCGGATCGAGCCCGCCTCGGATCAATCTTGACTTTTTATCCTTGAATCTGCTCTTTTTGTCTTATTTACATCTCGGCGCAAGATCATGGGTCGCAATTAGACGTCCGTCGAGCTCCTCGGCAGTGTAGTGTAGAAGTCGACCGTACGACACGATTTCTTTTTCCTGTCGAATTTGAATGTAACGCGCGACTTCGGTGTGGCTCTGCTATGGCATGTCATCAAGCAGCATACCATTCTCAAGTCCATCTAGGCCGTCCCATTTTGGCGTCCCGTCAGGTATGTCCACTACCCTCTGTGAGTAGAATATATGGCAACTGCGAGATAAGATATTAGGGAAAGCTGTCAGTGTCCGATCATTGCACGACTCACTGTGGGTAAAAGGCGTCTCTTTGTGGCTGATTGTTGAATTTGATGAGCGTCGGAAACAGCAGCACCATCCGCCTGCCTTCATCCATGATCGGGGTCCGGCAATGTGCGCAGCTCACTTTACAAGGCAAGTCATGTTCTAAGGTGTTGTCCGCTGAGTTGTAGAAGACTAGGTCTTTCGTGCCATTCTCGAACATCATGTCTTCCTTGTGGAAGATAGCAGCCCACTGAAATGGAGCGCCTGAAGACGTCAGCGTTCGGTTTTCGTTATACTCTCTGTAGGATTATTATGCACCTACCATGCAGCACTTGACATCCACGGCAATGGCAGAATTTTGCAACAAGAGGTTTGTCGCGACTTAGCCAGTACTTTACACGCCCACACTGACAACGGCCTTCATGCTTCTTGTCAAAAGAGTCGCCGCCATCAGCAGGTTGGTAGGGAGGACTTTGCGTCCAGCTCTGGTCTGTAGGCATAATCCTCACATAGATTGAGAGATGGATTGAAACCCTCTTCTGTATTGTGTTTGCGCATATTACTACTGCAAGTTGGTCAGGGTCTGTTCCACGTGCGGTAAAAGAATGACCCCGTATGACGTAGATATTACGCTAGGTTGGCGACCGCGGCTACATACATCCAATGTCGTTCCCTAAACTGAACAGCACATCCTCCGTAAAGTGACTATTTTGAGATTTGCCTGATACCTCAGGTACTTAGTATGCTACATGGCGTGCATTCGTGATAGGCATTTAGCTTTTCCCTGTGGTGCCACCACTAACGTCAATATACTGGCCAGTGATCCACCGGCTTTTCTCCTGCGCCAACAACAGTACCGCATCCGCAATGTCTTCGAGCGCCCCGACACGATCCGCCGCCTTCGTCATGTCTACTAGATCCTGGATTGCTTTGTATCCCTCTGGATTGTCACGGGCAAATTTCCTCTGCTCGTCAGTATCGACGGGCCCCGGGGCCACTGTATTGACGGTGATACCATGGCTACGCCCAAACTGCAAACAAAGATATTAGTTGCGGCAAATAGCACTTGAATCCAATCAAAAATGCAACTCACCTCCGCTGCCCATGTGTGCGTGAGTGAATCTTGTGCTGATTTTGCTGCATTATAGAAAGGCAGGCTCTTGAGACCCAGCTTGGACGAGATGCTGCCTATGTTGATGATGCGCCCGCCCCGTGGCATGTGAGGCACTGTAGCTCGCACGACGTATATTGCCGCAAACACGTTCACAGAGAATTGCTTCTGTATGTTTTCCAATGGCGTATCTAGAGTTGAACCTGGCAGGTTGCACCCGGCATTGTTGACTGCAGTAGATGAGTCACATGTCTTGGTATTTGCAGATAACGAGTAGACTAACCTAGAATATCAATATGGGCCGTCTTGAGTAGTCTAAGGGTCTTCTCAATGAGATTGTTGGCGCCATCCTGTGATTCGATGTTCTCTTGGATCGCAACAGCTCCGATGCCATAGTCCGTACTCAATCTCTTCGCCAGCGTTTCAGCGCCATTGCGCGTTGTGTCGCTTACATAATTAATGACTATAGAGGCACCGTTACGAGCAAGAGCATTTGCGATACCTGCACCGAGACCAGTTTCGCGCCCAGAGCCTGTCACGATTGCTACTTTGCCAGCGAGCGACAGAGTCTCTGTAGCCATCGCCTGTTAGAAGTTTAGCGTTAATCGTATCCCGGTCTTTGAGGTTATAGGAGTCGAAGTAAAAGAATAAAATACCATGTCCCATCCTATGTGCCGCTGTCATTTTATACTGCAGCGCCGATCAGGTAAATTTGTATGTGCTGTGCTCCTCGCAAAGCCTGACGCGAGGCGGGCCACTCTTCCCCATTTTACGCCCCAGTCCACTGTGATTGCGCGGTTGCAAAGTATCAAGTTGGTCTTGGCTGTGGACATGAACCAGTCATGGAGACCCTCATTGGATCTCTGTAGGCTGTCTTATTGGCCAATGTGTAAAGATCGCCCCATTGCATCTTAGCGAGCTGCAGATTTGTGTGCATCTTTGTCATTTTTATTTTAGCGGTCTACGGCATAAGCGGCCGCGACAGACAGAAAGAGGGAAAGAAAGTACGAGAAGTCAATATGGAATTTAGGCTCGGGTGCTGACCTTACCATGGCTACTCTAGTTCTGCCCAGTACCTAAGCAGTACGCCGTATTCGTGTTAGACCTTCCATCGCCCTGCACAACAGAGTACCATGGCATTGACAAAGGAGCCAGTAGCCTCTTTGAAGATTGTGATCTGAGAAAGCGCGTGAGTGGATTGATTCAAGTCTTTGTATTAATTTGTTCTTTCAAAGCTTTTCGACAGCGTAGTATAGCTGACTCTGTCTTTGCACATATTTTCATTATAAAGATATCATGAATCAGGTTGCGAAAATTGTCCTGGCCATCATTCAAGGTGCGCAGATGTGAACTTGAAGGCCACTTGAACATGGTCTCAAAGATCTCCACCATATATATATAGCCAAAAGGCTTAAGAGTTGCTTTCAATCGCAGGAAGCAGCTGATACTGCTGTAAGAAATCAAATTAAGTAAAAGGATAAGAAATAGCTAACTATATGATGACCTTTTGACGCTGTCGAGTTTCTGATAAACCATCCTATTTACACGCTCATGCTGACTCCTAGACTTGCGGCCCAGCCTTCAGTTTCTAAGGACTTCTGAGGGAGCTCTAGCTGCCGGGTTACTTGGAGGATTATACTGATCGTGGAACTGGACCATTACCCTTTCACCACCACATTGCTACTAGAGACAGGGACAACATCAGTCGAGCAGGAACGGCCAAAACACCTCATATCTTGGAAACGCGACAATGCTGACCCAGTCAAAACGTACCATCATCAAGACCGCAGACCCTTGAAAGCCAAACTGCCGTCCTTGTGTCCCCAGTTCCGACAGCAACATGATCACAGAGACTCTTGGATGCCTAGTCCAAAACCGCGAGGACGCCTTTAAACAGAACACGATTTGGAGCCATTGGATTAATTAAAGTAAATGAGAGAACCGAGAGATGCAAAAAGCGGTACCCTATTGAACAAGCCTAGGATATTGAAGTCGAGCGGCTCAGCGCCTGATGCTCCATGTCCATCACTCTTTCTCTTGTGCGACAAGATTAATCAGACCGCAATACCTCACAACGAAAAAATATAAAGCTATAATACTACGGTAGACGGTTAAGCCCCATATACGACAAAGCCTCGATTTATATTGGGAGGCTGGACCCATTGCAGAACAGTGAGTAGTCTCAACAAATAGCCTTCACTTACAAGGACGAATAATTCACGTCGATGGTAGCAAATTGCAAGACTTTCAACTTCATGTACATTTAGGATTATCTACACACATCATGATTGTTTATGGACAAGAACACGCGAGCAAGGTGCACCTGATGCTAGCCTCATTTACCGAGGTGCTGCACAACAGACTTGATCACTACGCGATTCCGAAGAACGCGAGATCCATTGTCTCGTGGATTGGCACGGAATGGCCGACACCTTGGGCGCTGTAGCCTACTAGCTGCGCTGTTGTCGTTGTTCCATCCCCGTAAATAGTCTGCGTGTAGCCACTTTGAGGTGTGTTTGCTGTTTGCTTCGATGTCGTCAAGCCCAAGACATTGGACCATTGCTTCATCGCCTCTTGGTCTAAATAATGATTAGCATTTCCCATTCGTTTCCGGCAATTTTGATCTTACAGTTCGGATAGTGGAGCGTGTTATCAGCAGTTCCGTGCCAGCTATATTATATTTCGTTAGATCGAGCATCCAAGTCTGGTTAGGGAGGATGACACTTACATCTGCATCCTGGGCCGGGGGCCAGTGTAGTTCGGGTAGTAGGATCGCGTGAGGTCGCCCCATTGCTGTGCAGTCTTCGTAGTCTGTCCATTGGCACAAGAGTTGCTCCAACCTGGCGGGTCCTGAGTGGCAGTCGAGCCCGCTACGTAAAAGCATCCGTCTGGTACTCCAGAATAGGCCGATCCAGCCTTGAATACATCGGGATAGGCTCCGACGAGAACGTTTGTCATCATGGCACCCGAGCTGGTCCCTGTAACAAATGTCCTATTCAAGTCTCCACCGTACTTCTCTGCTGCATACTTGACCATATTCACAATAGTCTGACTATCGCCGCCACCATTATGGGTCAAAGCTGTCGGATCATAATCAGTAAGAAACCCAGGGGATGATCTTCGCACCATGCACTATGACAAAAGGCCAGAAGGGGGTGCGTGGGAAGACATACTAGCAGTCGAGGCAACGTCGAAGCAGCCACCGCCAGATTTCGAGTTGGGGAAGATGACGATAAAATTGTGCGAGCTCGCCAATGACATATATTTAGATTCGGTAGAGTAACCCTGGGCCGATCCTTGACAATGATGTACTGCCACGATCATCGGCGCTGGCGTCGTGAGGGTTTTGGGCACGACAACATACATCCCGAGCTTCGTGGGGCCGGCATTGAAATCGTTGACCTTGGTCAAGGACTGCGAGCTGCCAATGGTGGCAAGGCCGGCCAAGACCGCAAATCTTGTCAGGAACTGCATCTTGTCAAGGTATCTGTTGTATCGGGCAAGCGAATACGTCTAGACAGGTCGAGTCAAGCTTTGTTCCAAATTCGAGGAAACCCCAAGCTAGATAAGCTTTTCTTTATTTGGTCGACGACCCTATACTTCGTCCGGTATGACGCTACGGAAAAGCTAGTGGCCATCGGCCTGTCCCCGTTGTGGTATCCTTGTGTCCGACCGTTGACTCTCCACGGATAATTGACCAATCTGCATATTAAACACGGTAACGTATGTACCGATTCTTATTTCGGAGAAATTGGAGTCAATGGATTAATTAAAGAGGGCCTCCGGCGATTTGGGGTTCTTGATATTAAGGGACGTCTTGTGGAGGGGAATGTGGAGCCATATACCGGGGTGTTCCAGTCAGTCCGTATAAGTAACTTCTCGGCTAAATGCCGATGGCGACTCTCAAGCATTTCTACGCTAACGGGCGTGTTTCTGCGCTGGACAAATGCGGAGTACTGATGAAACATGTTCTGCTTTTCGTGCAACCTTGCTTCACAGTTGAGACCTAGCCTAAGTGAACGTGATCAACAGACACGCAAAACAGCCTGATGGCTGGGCCTAGAGGGTGGGCGGCATTTCTTCAGAAGGGTGCAGGTAATTGTCCAAATCCCCGCGTTCATCATGAACCAATATCATCGCTTTCGGAACCGAGGTCAGGCAATGTAAACGAATGGTCATTAGAAAGAGCAGTATTCACTGCGAATATTAGTGTGAGAATTTGCCTGCGGGTGGGAAGTGGCAATCTGTTCCACGTGGGCTAAGCATTGGTGCACTTGCGCAGATTCATATCATTTATTTTCCAAATATAGTACAGAACTTGGAGCATAGTCAGGCCAACAAAACGGCCCACAACCCTAGACATACCTACCTCGGAGAGAAAGGGATATACTGGCACGATCAAACCCGAAGCACAGCCTCTATATTGGTGTGATCGATAGTTGCCAGACGGTCACGTTCACCCTTCAGTCTTCGTCATCACTGTCGTAGATTGCAGACAGAGATACGCCTCCTTCCTCATCATCGTCACTGCTCTCCTCCTCATCCTCCTCTGATACTTGTTCTTGAGTGCTGTCACTTCCGCGAAGCCAAGTGTCGGAAAACTCACCGCTTTGTGGGAAAATCTCGGCGACAAAGTTGCTTTTCATATCCGAGGGTCCGTCCGAGGGTAGAAGCGGGAACCATCTCAGGGGATTGCGGACTGTAGAGGCATCGCTCGATTGCTCGACTTCCCTCTGATTTGCGGTGCTCCAAGCGACCAGAGGCTCGTATTCGTCAGATTCGTCACCCATCTCGCCCACCCCTGCGTCCAGCTCCAGCTCAGGGCTGTCGGCATGGATATTCAGCCTCAAAATTTCATAGTGTAGCTCGCATTGGATACAGTGGAACTCGTTCCATCTGAGGAGACCACTCCCCTTCCTAGGATCAGTCAGACTCTCACGCGGATTTATATCAGTGCCTGCTTGAAGACGGCGAACAGACCATCTCGTGCGGTCATGGCCACAAACGCCATTCCGAGCCCGCGCCTGTGGACACGCCTGCCTGTACTTGGTGTTGTCAAGCAGAACGACGCCGCGGCAACGTGAACATTGCCATCGTAGAGTAACACCTTGACACATCTCGATATGGGTTTGGTGAGTCGTAATAGTAAAATAACCAACGCGTTATTAATGCGTGGCCCTCCCTCTGTACCTAGCAGGAGTGGGCGCACTTTTCCATATTTATGAAAACTCCTCTTTGGAAGAAAATGGCATTGGTGTCGACATAATTGTTCCAGACTATATAAAACAAAGAAACAAAATTCGTAACCAGGCGCACAGGATGTCTTTGTCTGGCAGTCAGATTCAATCTCTATACAAAGGGTTGATTGCTCCAAAGGTAGACTGAACATTACAATCCCATTCTCACGACTCCCAGCTAGGGCCGTCGTGTATCAAAAGCGAAACTGAACAAAGGAGCATCAAGGCGAAGCTATGGTCAAAGAGACTTGCTGATCGGAAATCGGAACGTCTTCAGCCAAGTTGATATCGTCACTCAATCTCTCTACGCATGTTAATGGTAAAATGATTCACTGTGTTACCGCCAAAGGAGTCGTTAGAGGTCACATTATACTGCAACGAGTGATACAAACGACTTGAATTGTAATGATGCGGATTCTGCAATGTGCCGCAACGCCTAGCCATGCTCCCCTCTGCAGTCGTAATGCTACCTATTATATATTACATAACATTGGAGGCCACTAAATTTCCTGGACGGTGCACCTGATGATCCTGAGAACGCCTTTGCTGCTATTCTGAAATGAGACTCTGAACCACGCTTTTCCTTCAGATGCAAATGAAGAATCTCCGAAAGGAAGACAGAAAAGAGAAGGGACAAAAAAAAAACAGAGAATGTTATGGCAATATCCATGCTGAAAAGTTGGAGGTTTTATCCGTGCGATATCAAGGCACTAACAAACCAAGCGCCATAGGATATGACCATACTTTCGGTTGTTACTACCATCGTCGACTAGTTCCATGAGTTAGTTTCTAATAAACAAGTTTGGGGGACGACAAATGATGCGACTGACCTATAGGCCGAATCCACCTTGGCACGCTTGCGCTTGAATTTGGGCGGGTGGGTATCTTCTTGACGTTTGGGTGATTTGTTGCCAGATTCATCATCGGACGCGCCTGCCAGTCCAAGCAGCTCCGCCTCAAGGGGCGTTAGAGGCGACCCTACAGACTCGATTTGCGAGTTGTTACCTATTGAAGAACGGCGGCTTGATGGTCCGTGACGACTTTCTGGGCGATCACCGGTACCTGAAACCTTAGAGTGCCGTCTGCTTGACGGTCGCCGAGCAGGCCGTGGATGCGGTGATGGTGACCTGTCTCTGGATCGAGCATGAAACTCAGTGACCTTCTGTTGTATATAATCCGAAGAAGGCACCTGGAACATAGCATCAACGCGTTCTTGAATAAGATCCCGCGCGGGCTCTCCAGAGGACGCCGTAGCACCGCGGCTGCCATGCCTTGTATAGTCCTGCCTGTAGCCTGGACTACTATCCCTAGCCCATCGATCTCTAGAGCCTGGGCTTCGAGATCTCTCGAAGCGTAAGCTGGGTTCCGAGTTGTAGGCGTCACCATTACGGAACATTCTAGAATCCGAGCTGCGATGATAACGATCTAGTTCGTGATAGTCTCGCACTTCCCTCGGAGGCCGGGGCTTCGAAAGATCATAGTGAGAGATTGTCTCGCGGCTATCTGCCCATCGTGGAAAATCGATATCAGTCGGTGGAATGGTAGTAATGTGAGGCGGGAAGTCTTCGAACGCTTGTGGCGCGGAATCACTGATTTCCCCCGGTTCCGGGGATGTCTCTTTTGCCGGATGGCGGTAATGATCTACTTGAGCGAACGGTGAATGAGAGGTCAGACCGTGGTCTGGCTTGTTTATTGGATGTTGTTGGTCCGCCCATTTCCGTTTACGCTGATTGCCGGAGGACCGCTGATCTCGGTCTATATGGTCACGGTGTTCCCGCTGTCGGGCTTGATTCCTACCACGTCGATCATTGCGGGTCCCGTGGCTCTTGATGGATTTGATGTATGCATCCAGACTCTGCAGAGATACCTCCGAAGGCTCTAGGAAGGCAGGATGCTGGCGGTATTTGGACCATTGATTGGTATCACGGATGCTAAGCGCAAAATCGTCAAGGTTAGCCGATGTGGCATACTTGGATTTTACACATTTAGCATCAAACGCAGGCGGGAGTAAGATGTCTTCCGAGTAGTCCCCGGGTAAGGGTTCAGCAATGGCATCTGCTTTGTGGTCCGAGGGCGCTTCAGCAAATGCCTTTTCCAGTTCCCATTGGAAGTCTTCATCTGGCAGATGGCTACTACTGCTCTGAGATGTTCCGCCATTGCCACTTTCGGTGTGCACTGGAGAGCTACTTGCGTTGCTGGCTCCATCCTCAGCCTTCACCACCAAATTATCTACCGCAGACGGTGGTCCAACGAAGCGATCAGTTTTCTGTAGGGCTTCGAGCGTAGGTGGCTGCTGTGACTCCCCGTCGGCTGTTACACTGGGCGTACCTTGAGACGGAGTATTGTGTGACTGTGTTAGATGGTGGCTGTCGCTGCGCGGCCTGCTCTGCGAGCGATGTCTTTCGTCCACATTGCCGTGGCGCCGAGCATGATGCCTATCGCCTCTACGGCGATCATCTCTCCGCCCGCGTTTAGACCAACTACCGTCATTGGAGTGTCCTCGACTATATCCACTATGGTCGTGCCCAACGGTCGGTCGTCGATCATCATGGTGATCCCGCCTTCTACCTCGTGGATGTCGCTCGTCGCCCCACCGGTCATTACGGCGGTCCGAGAACGATGAATCCAGTTCTTGTCTATGTGGCTCGTGGCTTCGTGACACGCCCGCGGGTGGATTGACCGGAAAACTTGGCGGCGGCGGTCCCGGAAACGACCTGTAATCCGGCAGCGGGTAGCCTTGCGGAGGAGCATGGGGTAGCCCGGGGGGGTAGCCTTGCGGTGGACCTGGGTATCCATAACCGGTTTGTGGAGGATAATGTGACGGAGGGCCGTACGGTTGTGGAGGCCCTTGCTGCGCATGACTTGGAGATGCAAAATGCATCGGGGGACGAGCGGCACCGGGTGGGCCTCCAGGTGGTCCATACTGCTGGTGGAAGGGCTGGGCATAGGGTGGTGCGCTGAAGGGCTGGGGAGGAGGGCCATAAATGTCGGAATATCCCTGCTGAGATGGATAGCTGGCGCCATGATGTCCCTGAAAGGGCGGAGGGACCTGAGCCGGAGGCCAATGAGGCGGTGGTTGGCTGTACGGATATGGTTGGGCTGATGGCGACGGTTGGTACGGGTTCATGGGCGGGCCCTGCTGACTTGGATGCGTGTAACGCGTCACAATCGGACCCTTATGTCTCTTGTTGGGATGGTCATCACCTCGGCTACCACCAGCTTGCTGGCGCGCTCGAGAAGCCTCTAGGCCTCTGTGATAAGTTAGTGTCAGATGAGTGGAAACAGGTCAAATGAGCAACGAGGACTGTGCTGAGATTCACTTACGCTGGAACATCCCTGGTTGGCTCAGGGCAGGCGGTAAATATGTGACCTCTCATGCCACAGTTGTAGCAAGGTGGTGGTTCGCCATGGGCTGACTGGTGTCCAGGAGCCATACTGTTCATGATGGGTAGGGAAATCCCGAGGGAGGAGAACAAAAAGGCTGCTGTGAATAGTCCGGGCTTGTGTGCATGGAGTCTAACGCACGGCGTGAAAACCCTGGAGAATACTTTTCAAGAATATTCAACGACCGGGGCTCGTCGTTGACCGAAAGAGCCATAAGTTTCTGCGCTTTGTCAGTGATGTCCAATACAGGTGCAAGGTGAAAGCAGTTGCTCCGGGGAAACAAGGACTTTCGCTTTGAGGAAGATATGTTGAAGATGGCTCCAGGCAAGGGAATATCGCAAGTGAATTGATGAATGTGGGAGGGGGGTTAATACGGATTTGGGGCTGGAATAAGGCGGCATGGAAGAGATTGAAGCCCAGTGACATTGGACACTGCGCAGTAAGAGCTTTCGACCTCTTAGAGCACAGATAATTCTCCTGGCCACCACGGATAAATATCAGAAGTAATGAAGTAGGGTAGAGTCCAAGGACTGCTACATGGAGCAGTTACTGCGTATGCTCCTGCGCATAGAGCAGGCAGCGTATACGGGTTTCCATATGCAACACCGCAATGCGGCTCGATCAAGAATATGCGCAGACCCTAGCCTTGGCGAATGTCTTCTATGGCTTCAAGAATTGGGCGCAAATGAATGAAAACGGCGCAGATAGACGTACTAGATCAAGACGTGAGCTGGTCCGTTGATGATGTGAGGCCCCCAGGCGCCGTCAACTAGTGGCGCCCGCGACGCCTATCCCCCACCACACACGCACCCGGAACCGCGACGGTTTCGGCAGTCATGCAGGATAGAGCGTGTCGTCTCATGAATCGAGCCCAAGATCGAACCAGCTGCGATAGCAGTGAACGGTGAGTCGTGAGTTGGTTGTCGCAAGAGCTGGAGTCGTGACATCTGGCAGCGTTGTGAGATCGAGGTCGGAGCGCTTGGACTGCAACCGCCGCGCTTCCTAGGGACGGTAACGTGCTGGAGCGATCGGCTAAACGCCGGGAAGCTCCGAGGAGGTCAAGGCAATGTCTAGACGACATGAGAGATTCACTTCATGGGATTACAAACACCTTGCAAGAAATAGTATGGTACGGAACACAACTCCGGAACACATAGGTTGATCTATATATCATGGTTGGCATAGTTTGGCATCTGCGTCGCTCATCACCATGACACGGCGACCGAGACATAGCACGGCGAGGAGAGATCTGAGACCTAGCCCGTGAAATGATAGAAAAAAATCTGACTATAATGTCGGATAGACCGCCAAGGTATACATATGCCCCGAATAGCAGCGGTATGAGAGGTGGAGCAAGACGAAATAAGTACGAGACGTATACAATCTGCCCCAGCCGGGGGTCATGCGAGCCCAGTACTGAAGCCGCAAGCAGGCCATATCCACAGAACCAGTTGGGGTCTGGCTCGGCCTACTGAGCTTTCGAGGAAAGAAAAAAAAAGGAAATCTCCAGCTGATGTTTCCGATACTCCTGAAGATGAAGTTGGTGAATAACGCCATAATCTGAACTGTCCACGACCTTGTTCTGGGGGGTAATACCCCTTCTGACCATGTCCCTAGATCACTAGATCAGGGACAAGTAGTGTACTGGTAAACTGATTCGTTCAGCCATCCCGAGAGCCGATAAGATGACTTTCGAGACTGAGTGCAGCTTGAATGAGACCCAAAGCGGATCGGGTATGTGAAGTTGAAAAAGATGGGTTGATGTTGGCAAACCCACACGTGCCGAAGATATCAGGCTTCAGGAGCGGGACTCGGTGAGAAAATGTTCCGGGGGTCCCGTTGAAACTGAGACGGCATCCAGGTCCGCCCACTCCCACGGCAGACCCTCATGGCGTGCGTCTAACAACGCAGCGTATCACCCATCGCTCACTATCCCGTCTCGTGCTCAGCTCTGATTTGTAAAGAGATGATTTGACGACTCGCCTCACGGCCAAGCAGCGCACCTTCTGATGTTGTGTTCTCTGACGATTCCAGAGCTTCGACCGCTCGAGCTGGGCCCCATGTGAGACGACGATTCGTTCCCATCGATCATGTTTGCGGTTCTTTCAACGACAACACACTCCAAAGACGACATAGCATTCGCTCGGAGCAGAAGGAAGCCACTTCCACCTTGCGACCACAACCGAGCGCCTTGAAACCAGCCCGAACTGGCTGAGCCGCGCCCAAGATGCCTGGGCTTCCGGGTTAGTCCATCCCTCCCCCCAACCCGCGCCGTCGCCGTCGCCGTTTCCATCTCCGTCTCCAACAACGTGGTGCTGCATATTCTGACACCACATGTGCCCCCTCTACAGCTTCAGTCGATTTAGACGAATGCATCTCGCGTCTCTACAAGAAGGAGCTTCTCGCCGAGTCGGTCATCGAGGCAATATGCGCCAAGACCAAGGAGCTGCTCATGCGCGAGAGCAACGTGGTCCACGTTAAGGCGCCCGTGACAGTGGTGGGCGACATCCACGGCCAGTTCTACGACCTGATCGAGATCTTCAAGATCGGCGGCTGGTGCCCTGACACCAACTACCTGTTCCTTGGCGACTATGTCGACCGCGGCATGTTCAGCGTCGAGACTATTTCGCTGCTCGTCTGCCTCAAGCTGCGCTACCCCGACCGCGTGCACCTGATCCGCGGCAACCATGAGAGCCGCGGCGTCACCCAGAGCTACGGCTTCTACACCGAGTGTAGCCGCAAGTACGGCAACGCCAATGTCTGGCACTATTTTACCGATATGTTTGATTTCCTGACGCTCAGCGTCGTCATCAACGATCAGATCTTCTGCGTGCACGGCGGCCTTTCTCCGTCGATCCACTCCATCGACCAGATCAAGATCATCGACCGGTTCCGCGAGATCCCGCACGAAGGGCCGATGGCAGATCTGGTCTGGTCGGACCCGGACCCAGAGCGGGACGAGTTCTCCTTATCGCCCCGCGGCGCGGGCTACACATTCGGCGCCAAGGTCGTCAAGAAGTTCCTAGCCGTGAACGGCATGTCACACATATTACGCGCGCACCAGCTATGCCAGGAGGGCTTCCAGGTGCTCTACGATGACCACCTAAGTACGGTCTGGAGCGCGCCAAACTACTGCTACAGGTGCGGAAATATGGCCAGCGTGCTCGAGGTTGGAGACACGGGCGAGCGTTTCTTCAATGTATTCGCAGCGGCCCCGGAGAACGACCAACACAAGGATCTACAGCAGGGCGGCGAAAAGATCGACGGTAACGCTCTGCCAGATTATTTTCTCTGAAGAGACATGAGAAACCTTTATTTTCGAGGCATGATTAAACTGAAGCGATTGGTCTTCACATGACGCATTATAGACGCCCAGTTGGAGTCATACGGACAGATCAAGACGGGTAGGATGAATGAACGAGGTGAAAAAAGGAAGGAAATACCCTCAAAATATTGCTACAAATATAAAGCGTGCCGGGCCTTTGGCTACAATCTATCGTTGGCGAGTTATACCCACCTGAGTTGAACCACTCACGATCTGTTCAGGGTTTTGTCATTGTTCTGGTCCAAAGCACGAATAAACAAGGTTCACGTAGTTGAGGCGAAGTGCAATGGTGTATGTATTTCTGTAGCTTCCTCCAGCATGGAAGGCTCTAAGCTGAACAGTGCCGGAGCGTGTATGAAGCATAGGTTGTACGCGAACATCGGGACATGCCCTCGTCAGCCACAACTGAGAGCATGGCCGTACTGAAAGTCGCAAAGTCTAGGTATTTTTGGGGTTTCAGTGTTCTCCATCCCGTATCAGCGGACCCCCCACCGTTCAGTCGTGATTGCCCGACTAAATCAGTCGACCAACGCCGTACTGGACAGCTCAGCCAATCAATCTCAAACGCCGTTTGAACGAGTTTTCTCTACCAATCCTTGGCGATGTCGAAAGACCACTCAAACTGCAAGTGGGTCTTCTTGTCATCGTCGACGAAGCTGGAGATGGCGTTGTAGTGGCCACGGGCAAGCATACCGGAAGGAGCCTCCTCCTCCTGGACTGCGAGGAATGTCAGTATTGATGAGATAATGAAACCTGGAGAGATCACTTACAGCGCTTGGAGTAGATGGGCTGCTTCTCTGTGTTCGGTGCGTAGCTTCCCTTTGGGAGTTGTCAGCGGCGACAACTCAGAGCTCGTTATTCCGTAGACTTACCAGCATCTCCGAGTCCTTGCTGACCTTGATGCCCTTTCTCTTGACGACTTGGACGTACTGGAGGCCACTGAGGATCTCGTGCTGAACCTTGAACTCGGCGACCATGGTGAACTTGGAGCCCTCCTTTATCTTGAAAGGCTTGTCCTTCAGCGTGGTCTCACTTCCGGGAGCAGAGAGATCGATGTCGACTGCGGGGCGTCCGGGGGACTCCATAGACAGCTTCTTGATGATACAGACGCGAGTGTCGTTGGGGTCGGAAAGGTCCTTGCCACCACCAAGACCTAGCGATTGCTTGTAGCGTTGCAGAGACTCGTCGTTGGCATCTGTGGGAGAAGCAGTGTTAGGCATGAGTATCGATCTAACGTGGCAAGAATTTGAGAGAATGCGTCCAGGTGCAGAATCGTCAGTACGGGTCTCGGTCACAGAAACATGTCTCCATCGCAGAGGACCGGGAGATCGAGTCGGGCCAGGATAATCATATCTCTTGCCAGTGAGCCAGATTTCCCAGTCCTTCGAAGGCACTCGCTTGGAGGCGAGAGCCTCGATCTTCCACTCGTAGACTTCTTCCTGGTCACTAGCCAAGTTGATGCGTGAGATCGAGGCAGATGTTCCCAGTCTCTGGCGAGGCTTGGTTAGGACATGGCGGAACCTTCTGTTGGAAAGAGGGTAGGCGTTGGCCGTGTATGTGGTCTTGATCACATACGCCGGCGCCGGTACTGCAGCATAATTTGAGGAGGCCGAAGCCAGGAGATCTGCATCTGCCCATACGAACATGCCAGTCTCGAGACTGTCCGCTGTCATAGCGGCCATGGTTGTTCTGGATCGATTGTGCAGTTGCAGTATTTCTCCGTCCGAATTTGCGTAGAATTGCTGGGGAAGTGAAATGCACGCAAAGAATGTTCATTCACGGGCAAGATTCACTTCACATCTCCGTAAAGACCCCAGATGTGATGGATTGCACGGCCCATTGTCGTGGTGCGTTGCCGGTGCGATGCAGACAAACCAAGTGGCCATGCCGTTTGGTTCGCTGCCTCAATGCACCCATCGCGAACCTTGTCGTCCACATCGTCCCGTCGACACCTTTGGGCCCGTTCTTCACGCCGGCACTAAGAAAGTAGCGGCCGGATAGACACCCATAGCATCGTTGGTGCCTCTGTCCGAGGACCATGCTCAACTTGAAAGATCATACCACATGAGAAGGACGCCAGTCGAGCTGAGCAGGAAATCATCCATCGCATGCGATCGGAAACAAAGCCAGATTCGTTGGGCGCTCATGGTATAATCCAGCTGTCCATCGCTGGCGGTATCAACAACCCAACGATAATCGGGCCGCAACACTGGATCATAGCGACATGGCGGTCCTCGACATTTCGTTCACAAGGATGTCGACGAACGGCCAAGTCGGCGTACCAGACTTATAGAGACGTGGAGCGTACGAGAAGAGACACGGCAAGATATAGAAGCTAAAGGTCACTCACCCATGTTCTGGTACTCGGCCAAGCTCTGTTTGGGCTGGTTGAGCTTGTATCCCTGAGTCTCCTCGGGCAAGTGGTCATCTTCGTGGGAAGCCATCTTGGATGCGTGGTCTTTGCGGTTGGTGGCCGGGGTGTAAGCTGCTTCTGGGTGGTATCCAATCTCGGGAATCAACTTTGAAGAGAGAGATTATCGTGAAGAGGGGCAATTGGCGGTGATGGATTGCCTCTCAGAAGTGGGATGTGAGTTAGGACGTCAGAGAGCAAGCTATGCCGTTTTACGGCAGCTAGGTGGGGTTTTGCTCCTGCTGGAGAGGGGCAAAGGGGGGTCTGGCTAAGGTCCTGGCTGGCTGGGCCACGGCGGCCGTGGTACTGCACTGCAAGGGCCGGCACGGGTGAATCATTTGCATGAAGAAGGCCTGAGCAGATCAGATGGGACATGTTTGAGCCGGTGAAGAATGCGATGGCGTATCGAGACGAGACCCTTGTACCGTAAAGGGTGGATGACAGGAGCCCTTGACTGCGTCGATTATGTCTGATCGCGGATTTAAGCTTTACTGTGTAGGGGTCTCGACGATTGGTAGTCCAGGTCGGAACCTGCTCCCTAGGAGGGCTTCGACACGTTTGTGAAAGAGAAGCATAACTGCATAACTTGGACGGCAGGCGTTTGGGTCCTGTTTGCAACACTCCAGGCACAGTAGTTACGTTGATCAGTTGAATTATATCTGAAGTATAGGCCGGGACTAACAAGGCTAGCAACCTCCCACAATGCCTTGGTATACTTCATAGCTATAGGTGGTGATGGTGCATCCAAGTAGCTACCGACGCCATGGGGTAGTTATCGGACCTCGAAGGTGCTGTGCATGTATGTATGTAAGTCTGTGACTCGATCAAAACAAGCCATCAACTGTTGCTGCTGGTGGACACTTGAGGGATGCGGGTTGCACTTTATTGAGGCCTCGCTGGGCAATTTCCTTTAGTTGCCTGGGTATCCGGACTATCTAAGGTAGCTTGGTGGTTTGTTTACAGGTTGCTTGGCTGGCCTGCTGTCGCGACTCGTCGTGTGTGAGCGTTAGCACAGCAGCAGCCCGATGACCATGGACGAGTAGCCGCCCCAGCCCAGCGAGGGCTGTGTATACTCTGTACCGATCCTCGAGTAGACCCTTACTGTGTACCTAGGTAGATCCATGAGGGGAGAGAGACTCATGCAGCCAGAGCCTGGACTGGTTGGGTCTCCGGTTCCTGACGGGAGAGCCCGGGGATGCCCAAGCTTTCTCCTCGAGTCCCCAGCGCCCATGGCCCGCTAGCGCCCTTTCAGCCCTCAACCTTCGACCTTCCAGAAGAACCATCCATTTCGGGGTTCGCCCTTGCCAGCTTACCCATTTCGAGCATGCCTTACTCAGAGTGGACCCCCAGGGCACCACCGGCGACTCGATTTGATTGGCCGCTGGCATGCGAAATTGGACCCTAAAATCTTCCCCCCCCCCGAAGCAGCCCAGGACGCCAGGCCCAGGAAAGCCCCAGGGCCTGTGCGACGGGGAGGTGGCCGTCTCCATGTCCTGTCGCCTCTGTGACAATCCCATCTCTCATCCTTTTCCTGTCCCTTCTGCGACGACCCTTATTGCGCCCAGCCTGCCGAATCGCTGCCTCCAATCGGTCGCCGGTTGAGTCTTCTTTCGCCAGTCTCTTTCGCCCATTTTCTCTTCCATCACCTCCCCTTTTGTCCCAGGCCAGCTCTATCTGGCCCCTACTCGCTTTTAAAATGTGAGTTCTACCCACTTACTTGGCCCGAGCGCATCGAGCTTATCCCTACCTCGCGACTCTGTCACGAAAGCTCGTTGCACTTTCGCGTTTCGACTTGAATTGCGCGACTCCATACTGATGCGACTGCCACAGCACACCAGATCTACCTTAACACCTTGTAATCCGGCTTTCGCATCCGTTTTGCGATCGTCCAAAGGCCATCTGCGAGGACGCGTTATTGATCCGACCTTCCATCGCGCAGTGCTCAATTGACAATTCTGGTCACCCCTGTTACCCCAACCAACCCGTTACCATGGCCTCTCGACAGCTCCCCGAGAAGCACAACCCTCTGATGGTGAACGACATCCCGGCTTGTACTTGACGATTGCCCCCCTGGTATGGCTATAAGACAGTCCACTTACAAGAACTCCAGATACCGAGCTTGTCTCCCGTCGCCGCCTCGGCCAGACCAAGCTGACGGCCAAGATGGTTGCGGCCGGCGCTGCCGGCGACGTCGATCCCTCGAGTCTCGGCGTCTTCGACTATGCCCACCTTCGCGCTCCTCTCCCCAAGGGTATTATTTCGGGCATCTTCAAGTCGTCGCCGAACTCGTACTTCCTCATGCGCCGCAGTCAGGATGGCTACGTGTCCGCGACCGGCATGTTCAAGGCGACTTTCCCCTATGCCGAAGCATCGGAGGAGGAGCAAGAACGCAAGTACATCAAGTCGCTCGAAACCACCAGCCACGAGGAGACGGCGGGGAATGTTTGGATTCCTCCGGAGCAAGCTTTGAAGATTGCCGAAGAATACCAGATCACCCCCTGGATTCGCGCGCTTCTGGACCCGGATGAGATTTCCATCACCAACACGCCTGACAGCCCTTCGAAGTCCATTCAAGCTCCTCCCAAGTTTGATCCTCTGCTGGCCACCCAGATCAGTCTGGCGCCTCCCACTCCTTCGTCTATTCCCCGTAGCACACGTGGACGACGCTCCGCGAGTCCCGCCAAGGCCCGACCCATCGCTTCCCCGAGAAAGAGAGGCACCAAGGTTAAGGCGACGCAGCAGGCGGTAACAGATACGCTTTCCGTCAAGGAAGGACGAGAACTCGCCGTCAACGGCACGCCCACAGAGGACACGGCATCATCGGCAGCAACCGAGGAGATCCAGATCAAGGAAATCACGAAGGAACCCTCCCTTGTGTTCGCACCCGCTGAGGAGGGTTCAAAGGTTCAAGTCAAGGTTGACCAGGATGTAAGAGTCTTCCAGGGTGTCGAGACGACCCACACCTCCGTTGAGTTGGAGCTCCCTGTCAACGAGCCACCTTCTGCCGAGGAAGCCGCGAGAATGGTGGACGAGGCCAAGCAAATGGTGCAAGCTGCTGCCGCCGAAGTCGCGGCATCTGGCGAGTCGTCGAAAGGCAAGCGCAAGGCCGACGAGATCACCGCTGGCGATGGGGAAGAGGAGAACAAGGATGGCCAGGCACTCACCGGGCCTCAGTCCAAGAAGGTCAAGACGGAAGTCGAATTGAGAAAGGAGCGGGTCCGAAACCGAGCTCTCATTGGCCTCAGTGCCACTCTCGCTGTCGGGTACGTGCACTGACCCCGAGGTTTCAATTGGTATAAGAGGTGCTAACACTCACGACAGAGCTCTCATCCCGTACGTTATGGGCGTATTCTGAGGAGAGGCACGGCAAAGGTGGTTGAGGGGCTTTGTGGAAGAAAAATCTAGAGTTGTACGCATGTGTTTGTGGTTTGCTTGGGAGTTTCGAGGCCCCTGTTCGTTCTGTTTTGCACATACCCCATACCCCCCATACCCCCAATGGTTGAAATCACCGACCATTTTGACCCAGATACGATACTCCATCATTTGGCTTCAGTAGATGGCCACATGGAGCAATCATGATGTACACATACTTGATCGCGCTATGGCGACGTGGATTTGGAGGATTTGGAGGCTGGCTTTAGTAGCTTTGACACGAGGAATTCAATCGTTAAGGGTGCAGCACCATCATATAATGTCTGAACTGGAAGAATATTGCCTCGACCGGAGTCTACCCCCATGGCCCCCGAGACGATTAAAAGCGGTAATGCTGGAAATCAAATATGCGGGACTAGAGGCATCGTTTTACAAGTATTGACTCTTTGCATGAGACCGGCTCAAGGAGACCCGCGGTCACCAGGTACATACACAGTGGTGCACCGCGGAATAGAAGAATTACTGCAAGGGCATTCGACAACCAGTGGCAGGCGGCGTTTCTTGCCCGAAGACTAACATATAAATGAATCAAGGCCTGTTACCAGAGCCCAGGTTGTGTATGGTCTAGTCCCAGGACCTGTGCATGTAAGAATCCCAAGCAGATGCGCTGCCCTGGGTGAATAAGTTGATGCAATGATACCGGTAGATTTAGAGGACTCCTATACGATCTAACAGTCACCAAAATTGGTTCAGCGTGCTGTGCCCAAGGCATCTCGCTCGCAACCCGTCCCGCAGGCAAAGTAGCAGCAGTGGATAACTCAAGTTATAGCATCGCGTGGGAGGGAAGCACGTGATCAAGGTCAGCCTGGAATGCAGCACGGTCCGGTGGGAGGTGTTTGTGGAGGAGCTCTGACCGCACCCAAAGCCGATTAGCGCCCTTTCCTGCCGCCCTCAGCTCCATTATCGCGACGCAATCACCGACCGCCCCTGGCAACATCAGGCACTCCGACGGCAACGATCCCCATCAGACACAGCAGTTCCACGGCCCAAATCCATCCATCGACGCGTGCCGCCCGCTCGACATCGACGCGCCCATCCACATGACGATTTTTGAATCGACGATACTCCGCGAGCCCAGGTAGCATTTGCGCCCGACTGTCGCAGCGTCGTCCTCGAGTCGGTGTCGTGGCCCCATACCCATCGCAGCACGTCACACGGCGTTGAGATGGGTGTTATCCGGAAGAAGACGGCCACGCGGGGCGGCGAAGGTGGCGTCAAGTATGTTTGCGACTCATGCTCGGCAGACATCACATCCACGGTATGTTTTCACGGCCTCAAGGCCTCTGCTTGTTGCCCGCGATGCGCCTCTACCCAACTCCAGCTGACCGGCGTCGCGGTCGCTCGGCCGGCTGCTTCCCCACGTCAGCCGGCCCGACACTCGGTCATGCATTCACATTCATTTCCCCCCACACAGCCATCCCCATTCCCCTGCCCGGCCTCGTCCCCGATTAAAAGCGCTCCGTGTTCTGATCATGGATTGTCTAGGTTCGCATAAGATGCGCACATGCGGACTGCAAAGAGTACGATTTGTGCGTGCAATGCTTCTCCAGTGGAGCCTCGAGCGGCAGCCACCAGCCGGCCACACACCCTTATAGAGTCATCGAGCAGAACTCGATCCCGATATTCGATGCCGAATGGGGTGCTGACGAGGAGCTACTTCTGCTGGAAGGATGCGAAATCTACGGCCTGGGGTCTTGGGCAGATATCGCCGATCACATTGGTGGCTATCGCCACAAGGACGAGGTACGGGATCACTACATCAAGACCTACGTCGAGTCGCCATGTTTTCCCCTACCGAAGCGATGTCGGCCTACCGACATGGAACTCGCGCAAGAGATCTCACGGGAAGAGTTCCAGGCTCGCAAGAAGAGGAGGATAGAGGAGCGGAGAGAAGCGCAGAAGAACGCCGCACCCATGCCGCCCAAGACCAAGCCTACTGCCAGTGTGCCGTCCTGTCACGAGATTCAAGGCTACATGCCCGGGCGTCTGGAATTCGAGACGGAGTATGCGAATGAGGCCGAGGAGGCCGTTCAGCTCATGCAATTTGACCCTGGCGATGGCATCAACCCTAGAACCGGCGAGCTAGAGCCTGAGATGGAGCTCAAGCTGACTGTCATGGACATCTATAATGCACGCCTCACCCAACGAGTCGAGCGGAAGAAGGTTGTCTTTGAGCATAACCTGCTCGATTATCGGGTGAACACGAAGGTGGAGAAGAACAGGACGAAGGAGGAACGCGATGTGCTCAATAAGGCGAAACCCTTTGCTAGGATGATGAACCACGACGACTTCGAGTCATTGTGCCAAGGCCTCCTCGATGAGCTGAACCTCCGTCAAGCCATCTCACAGCTTCAAGACTGGAGGAACCTCAGGATCGGAGACCTCCGCAGCGGAGAGAAGTACGAGGCAGACAAGGCAACACGCATACAGAGATCTATTCCAATGGGGTCCATGGACCGCGAGAGACTCGCCACTCAACAACGATCTAAGCAGAATGTGCAGCCGGAACCTCCGAGCGGCGCTGCTCTCCTAATTGCCCCTGAGCTGCCATTCCGCCCTGCAACCAACGGTGCCTCGTCGCTTCCCAACGGTGATTCAAAGGCAGTCCCCAACGGACATGCAAACGGCATCACCAACGGCACGGCCACCAATGGTGCTGCAACGCCTGCGAAGCAAAAATTCCAGTCGCAGCCGATCTCCGGGGTTCAGCCACTGCCGTTGACGCAGGACAACGCGCCCGACATTCACCTTCTTACACCAGAAGAGGTGGAGCTTTGCAAGGTGTCCCGGCTACAGCCAAAGCCGTACCTCATGATCAAGGAGCAAGTGTTGAAGGAGGCCCTCAAAGGCAATGGCGCTCTGAAGAAGAAGCAGGTCAAAGAGATATGCAGGCTGGACGGCCAAAAGGGTGGAAGAATATTTGACTTTTTCATCAATTCTGGGTGGATTGGCAAGGCATAACGACGATACTTGGTGTTCTACTCCCAAAGCTTTCCCAGTCTGCCTCTGACTTCCTCCATGGCTTCAGGCGGCTGTCTATTTATGTTTGACTTGTATGAGTTTGTTGCGTAGCTGGCGAGACCTCGTAGGTTCAACGGATGCAGCTGATCTTAGATCACTGTTATAGATTTAGGAGCAAGGAACATGTAAATTACGGTCTTCGAACCCCAGAAGCTCATACGCATCGTGCCTGCTGTCGGGTTTCGATTGTCCGGCTTGCGGATAGTCACGAGCGGATTCGCCTACGTAGATCCAGTGCCCTCCACACCTAAGTGGGTTTCTACGGTTTCCAGCCTAACATACGTACCCAGCACACATGTTCGAACATCCCACTTCAAGAAATTGATGTTTCTGGATGGATGATCGTCAGGGCTCCAGGCCAGCTCGGTACCCGGCACGGTCGAGATTGGAACTTGCACTACATGATCTTGGCAAAAGCATGATCCCCCTCACCTCGATGGCATGTTAGCATATTCCAAAACACCACTATCGATCGCCACTGCCCCAGGGTGTATTTGCACAACTCAGTCCAAATATACGGTCGATCCTTAAGAGGGAATCTTTTGAATTTTGCTCTCTCATTCTTTTGCTTGAGATTGACCACAGCGTATTCCGCAGACTGGCAGACTGGCAAGACTAGGTAGCGCAAACTCGCTCTTGTGAGCGCAAACACGGAGATGAAACTGTGACCAACCGTGTGGCTTTGAGACATTTGTCTTTCCCCAGACCGCGCACGAGCATTAATTGGCCCAGCGGGCTTCTGGTGCTGAAGTGTCCAAAGCAGACCAACTGTGCGTCTATTGGTGACACTGACGCCTCCGTCCTCTGAGCGCCGTAGCTACGCGACCCGGCACAGAGTAGTACGGCTGCGCGCAGGCTCCAGTCTCCAATGAGCCCTTCGGGTTGCAGTGTAGCACAATGTGGTTGGCTTCAGGGACTACAGTACGTAGTACGGGCCACCTCGACCGCCAAGTCGGCAGTGACGGCGCTCGCAGGGTCGCCGCTCTCTGAGGATATGAGACTTTGGTGGGGCACACCCAGGCTTTGCTGCTGGTAGGCTGGTTACACGCCTCTTTGCTTTGCAACGGAAGCATGGCAGATCCCCAAATAAGAAGCGGAAGGGGCAATTCTCGTTCGTCGGCGTGTCTTACTCGGCCCTCTATTTGTTGGGGGAGCGAAGCCGCGACACAAATAATCTCCATCCTCCCGAGCGTTATATTTTATTTTTCTCGAGGTCTATTTTCTCTTTTGCGAGAAACATTCTGATTTCGTCAAGGAAGGTTGGCGCTTCGGACTGCCGCCTCTGTTCTCTCTCTTCTTGTTATATGTGCGGCTACACTGCCACTCTTTCTCGTGAGAAACTGGAAGGCACACGCATTACTCAGGCCCTCTGCAGGTTCGGCTTTGGCTTTCTTTTTTGGCTGTCGCCGCCTCCTTCAACTTCCTCCCTCCATCTGCCATTCTCTAACTCTTGTCACTCTTTTCTTCATTCAGTCCGCAACGTTTTCGATTCGTCCATCCTCGATCGCTATTGGTATCCCTCGAGATCAACAGCCGCAAGACTCAAGTCGGGCTTGTTTCTTAGCAGCTTCGCCCCGGGGGGATCTTTTATACACCAATTACTGTCGGAGTTAGAATAGCCACTTCAGCCCTGGAGCGAGTGTGGTTCGGCATTCTCAAAGGAGACACCCTCCAAGGCAAGGTCCTTTGTGTGAAACCGGGTGCAATTTACATAGGAGAGGTGCGGGCCAAGCCGATCCGGTAGCTCCAGTCAGATTCGCCTGCGGCTTTCCAGCGACCTTCCTAACCGGAATTGACTTCGCTCCCAGCGTTTTCGGCGATCCCCCTGGCGCCGCAGATGCGAACGGCTGGCCGTGCTGGCCCGCCCAGGTACCGACTGTAGACCATTTTTAGGCCAGTTCGGCGCGACTTGGTTGCTCCTTTGCCAACATGGCAATCGCCAATCACCTACCGCAACAAATTGCGGGCTTCATGCCTCGACGAAATATCCTTATACCGACGCTGTGCATCGTCAGCATCATCTTGATATGGTACCTCCAGGTGCCTCCAACGTCAGTGGAATGGAGTAGCACTTCGAGAACCGGCGCTGAGCAAGCTGCCGCACCTCGTCCACCATCACAGCCGCCGCCACCAGCGCATCCCGTGAAACCCGAGCCGCCAGCCAAACCAGCAAAGCCTGTGACACCAGCACCACCAGCGAATATCGATTTTGATCTCTCCGATCCCGAAGCCCCATTTGTGGGCTGGCCACTACGGCGAGTTTGCGACGAAACGACCTGGGTGGAAGGGCTGGTCTACATTTGCGACAACAACTCGGGCGGTGTTGGGAACATTCGCAACTACATTCAAACGTGTCTACGGTATGCGATCGAGGCTGGCGCAAGCGGACTGGTGGTCCCCAAGATTCGGAAGCGATCGGACAAGGATCTGGCTGATCTGTTCACCTCTTACCTCCCGCTATCATACATGTTCGATGAGCAGCACTTCAAGGATGCGTTCCAGACGAACTGCCCACAGATCACCCTCTACGATGAGGTAACGGACATCCCCAATGTCCCTCTGGATATGGACAACAGACCGCGCATCGAGGAAATAGCTCCGAAGGACTATGGCAACCGTAAGGGGTGTGACTGGAAAGACCAGAACCGCCATACCGACCGCTTCGGTGACACTTTCCGCATATGGGTTGGAAATGCATCATACGGTATTCCTCCGTCGCGCGAGCATCCGCGGCTGATTCGATTTAAATGGGGCGTGCTTTGGGACTGGCAGATTTGGCGCGATGGGCCTGAGTTTGCTACAACATTTGGTAGTGTTCTGAAATTCAACAAGGAGCTCCTGCGTCTTGGGAAAATCGCATTGAAGAACATGCAGAGCCTGGCACAGACCCAGGGAGCGCGAGAAGGGGACTTTCTAGGTGTGCATCTCAGAACGGAAAACGACGCATTAAACTTCTGGCCCGTGTACGACACTCAAGCTACGGGCTATTTGCGCAAGGCAAAGGAAGGGAATTACAAAGCTGCATATCTGGCCACTGGCAATATCACGGAGGCCAAGAAGTTCGAGAAGCAGGCGCTTGAGACTGCTGACATGAAGGTCGTGACGAAACGAGAGCTGCTGGCCGGCGCAGACCTCGAGGCACTTGACGCGTTGAGCTGGGACCAACAAGGATTGGTCGACTTCGTCGTGCTCCTAGGAAGCAAATACTTTGTTGGGCCCATGCCCAGTAGTTTCTCCGTCTTCATGACAATCAAGCGACATCTGAAGACTGGCGGGTTATACACAAGACCATATAAGACGGGCACAGAAGGAGACGGCCTTAGCTATCTCGTCGGCCGATACGAGCAATACTGGGAGGACTGGCTATTCATGTTTGATGGCATGTGGCCCTGAATAGAGAAAAATTAGACAACTGGGGGAGATGGTGTTGTTACATTATGGTAATCAAACTGGGAGGCATGGCGTCATCGGTCTGGGACTTGTAGCATCTAACTCATTCTGTCAAGCACGAAGTGTGTCATAAACACATAGCTCAAATAATCAAGACATTCGATGCATCTTCATTTCTGATCGGTGTATGGCCATCCCTGGGCACAGGACCAGCTTCCCCATAACCTGGAAGTTGGGCACTGGGAGCTAAGTAAGGTACAGTAGTGGGTGGTACAGCATATTATGCACTATAACGCAGCCTGTCATGTGAGATTGCGGGGTCTCCAGCGGCCCGCCCTTGCAGCAGTTCCGGCAGTGTATGCTTGGTGGCAACCTCACCTCAGCCTCAGCCTCAGCACAGCGCCATCAGGACCACCCACCAATCAACGTCACTTGACCCTTGGCCCAGGACCCCCGACATATGACCATACTGTCTCGTCGAGCTGTCCACACAATGAGTTCTCTGGTGACCCTCAGCGATCTCAAGCGCATTTCGGCGGCCAAGCTGGCCGAGCAGCTCACGGCCAAGGCTGCTGGGTCCGGGAACGGCTCAATCGCCATTGTTGATGTGAGGGATGACGGTAAGTAGAGTTCCTCGCAGCCATTGGCGTTTCCTTTCTCTACCCTGTCCCCCACGATTGGACATATATTGACGATGGCCCGTCACCGTGGGGGGAAAAGACCACATCGGCGGCCATATCGCGGGCTCGCTCCACTTCCCCAGCCGCTCGCTCGACGCCATGATGCCGACGCTGCTGCGCCAGCTCGACGGCAAGGACACGGTCGTCTTCCACTGCGCACTGAGCCAGCAGCGCGGGCCCGGCGCCGCCCTGCGCTACCTGCGCGAGCGCGCCGACCTCCTGGCCAAGCAGAAGGCTAAGGGCGCCGCGCCCCCGGACAAGGCCCAGACCGTCTACGTCCTGGACCGCGGCTTCGTCGGCTGGCAGGAGGTTTACGGCACCGACGAGAAGCTCACCGAGGGCTACCGCAAGGAGCTCTGGGAGGACGGGTACTGGGGTTGAGAGAGGTGGTAGAAGGGGTAAGGTGCATGTCACGGTTTGGGAATAGTCTCGAGAAGGCGGCGATCCCCTGCAAGGACTACTCGGCCGAAGAGTTTAGGAGAGACCGAAAATTGAAGGCAATGGCCTTGCGTCGTGCCATCCTCCCGATTTGAACATGGGCGTCGGGTTGTATTGGAGCACATCGGCGTTGATTTGGTATTTGCAGACTATCATACAGCGAGGGAACTTGGGCAGCTGATATTGGGGAAATGGTAACATAGAGCCAAACTCATACATTTCACTGAGTGAGAAACTCCAACTTTCTTAAGTCTTTTTCATGGGTATTCAATCCTCTGATATGACTGAAGGGTGCTTGATAGTTACGAGGCAAAAGGAACCTGGACCCTTGGCAAAGAGGTCCAATTAGCTCTGTATAAGCTCTTTTATCACACGAGCAAGGAGCTCATACTATTCTAGCGCTGCAAGATCGCAGGTGCGAGTCACATATCCATTCTCCAAATAGCCATGGCAGCGGCCTCTTGGTTCGACGACGTCGCTGACGGCTGCCAGAGATTGGCGTCTCGCGGAGAACAGTTTCGGAAAGCGCGATACTCGAAAACTGCAGCTCATGAATGTCTATTGCAGAAAGAGGATGAAACTTTAGGCATCACTTTGCACATCTTCCAAGCACCCACCACGAATAATCATCATTCTGCACCACGTTATTTGCTTCGGCTCCTTGAACGCCAGACGGCCAGAGAATCTATACCTGGCATCATCTACAACTTGCCACATCATAGAGAGCTGTTTGCATCAGGACACCTCCATAAATACTGTCCACTTAGCTATCTTCCATCCCCTACCACGGAAGATGGGTACGTTTGTTTCGGTCATCGCACGCAAGTTGAAGAACCCCTGGGAGCCTGCGAGCAATGCTTGCGCGATCCTGGTGGAAAACAAAGTTCACGAAGGGCTCGATAACGACTGGGCCGAGGCGGCACTTACGATCAGCAACAATGCCACACTCTGCGCACAGTGAGTCTTCTACCCGTACAATATTGAAGATATACCACATGTTGAGTTCGCATGTAGATACGAGGCAACGGGCAGTGACTTCTGCAAGCTACCAGAAACCTTCCGCGAATCCTTCTCAAGATCATGCGACCCTCCGGTGACCTTTCTCAACATCATTGGGTCCTTCTTGCTCGGTATCTCTGTGTTCCTTCTCTGCACCATTGTCTTTGTGCTGGTACTAGCATTACTGCTCCTCGCCGGCATGTTCTTTGTGGACCTCTTCGAGAACCTTCAGCAATGTTTTTCAAAGAAGAAGACCTGGGCAGAATTTGAACTCAAACGTATGAGGCACCTTTCTCGAGGTTGTGTAGGGTCAATCGAAGACACCGAGAGATGAAAGTAAGAAGTGGCATTTGGTCGAGGCACTTTTGACGGGGCTACGTGCAACATGGTTTCCCGGCACAATGGCTAGTGAGGTGGGACGGTAGGATATCAGTTTCAGTAGATCCGAATTAATGATGAGCCACTCCTCATCCTATAACATTGCTCAGGAAGAAGTATGTGATAACAAGAAGAGCACCCGTCAGTCTAAAGAGTTCAATAGCAGTCGAATGTATACAGGTAGGCGACTTTTGTCTACCGCGGGTGCATGGATATTGTGGAACGGTGTCGCGATCGGCAGGACATGTTTGGCGTTGGACACAATCTGGTGGCAGCCACTATAGCCTGCCTAGAAACAACAATTGGAAAGGAGTGTGATTTCCAATCGACTACTTAGCTTTGAGCGCGCCTGGATTCTGGCCTTTTGAGTTTGGAAGTAAACCAAATTATTTGCTCGCACCACCTGCGATTGTGTCAACGCACAATTGGAACCCCCAAACCTAGAGCCTCTGGCTCTATAATCTATTCAACTACCTGTCCAGTTAGTTATCTAACCACGACAACGACTGCTGCAAGGACCTCTGCACACCATATAAAATGAGTACAGCTAAACTCATACCAATGTTACGGGACAGCCCACGAACCACTACACCAAAAGGACAAGTTGACTGACCGCACGATCAGTCACTAAGTGGGCTTATCTAGATAAATGTTTACAGCTGGAATAAGCCATTCTATAACAAGCACGACATCGTTAATACATTCAGCGGACCACATTCGAGTCGGCAAACTGCATTCATCTGAATTCACCCCCTTCTTGCCTGAGTTCATATCTCGAAAGAGGGGACAAAATTTGCATCCGCACAACAATTCAAGTAGTGCGTCATTTCGTTTGTTCTCATAAGCAAGGAGAGAGCATATCAAAACATATGTTTGCCAGAGTGCTGATGACAGTGCGGCGACGAGATAGGTCTCATATAGCCGCAGCGTAGAATCACAGGCTACGACATCTTTTCAGATATCATGTGAAAATTTGGCAAAGCCTGGCTATATACAATTAGAATTATTGGGAGTAGTCTTTTAACTTTGATTTTGTACTCCATGCTTTCTCCGAAGTTCCGCGTACACGTTTATAAATCATATCTCTCACAGTTTCTGGTCATTCTAGCAATGAAGAACTCTGGGATATCTCGCTTCTCCAATCTCAGGTCAAGAATCCACTCAGCTAATCACTCCTATCGGTGCTCCCTACCTGGCTCGCAGGTCACAAAAACAGCGCTAACCAGAATATTTGCCGAATACTTTGGCAATGATCGTGTTCTACCCATTCTGCCGCCACCGCACCTCCAAAGAGGGCTGCAAACTAGGCCAACGTGTATCCATCAGCACGCCACCAAGACTGCGGCGCTGGTCTACGTTCGAAAGTATGAAAGACAACATGAAGAGGAAATTTGAGAGTATTCGCTCAGTCCTCCGGAAAGCTTTTCGACTAGTAGCGCTAGGGGTCATCCTTCTTCCATTCTTACCGATGACTGGGGCTTGCTTATTGTTTGATTGGGTATACGAACGTGTAGGGGCTTACGCTGATTGAGACTCTCATCTTTAAGCATTTTATAAAGGGTGCAGGAGGCGGCCATTATAAGCATGCTTGTTGGTTTGCTGTCAAAGTACGATCCGAATAGGGGCGATGTTCACCTGTAAAGCTACTCATCACGGCTAATAGACCGAATTACCACTGTACATGAGAATAATTGCATTAAAGCTATAAGTTTACTGAGCGCTCACATAAAAAGACGGTCGTAATGTTATGAGTTAAGTTTAACCAAAGCACTCCGCACTTGCGGGGCATACACTTGGGGTACCTTTTCCCCCCTCGGCAAATGCGAAAACATTGAGAAGAAACAATTATAAGTCAAGGACAGGGAAAGAGTTGATCAAACTCAGCATTCAACGACGTGATGTTCTATCCGCCTTGATCTGTTCAAGGCTATATTTGATGAGAAGCTACTAATGGCCAAACTTCCCTCATCTGAATTCTTCTGGGCTTAGGCCTATTCTAATCAAGTCACCCACTCCGGTGCTTTCAAGGCTTAATGTACTTGAACTTCTCAGCCGCATCCACGAGGGCTTCCTCAATGGTCGTTTCATGGGCGCTGTGTCCAGCGTCGCCGATGATCTTGTACTCTATGTTGCTGTTGTCTTTGCCACCCAGGGCTTTGTAAAGGTCCCAGCTCGTCTTTGCGGGACATACCACATCATATCGGCCTTGGATAATGACGATAGGGAGGTGCTTGATCTTGTGGGCGTCATCAACTAGTTGGCCGTCCTTCATCCAGCCCCCGTTCACGAAGAAGTGGCATTCGATGCGTGCAAATGCGAGAGCCCTGACGGAATCAACAGTTGAACTTCTATGGGCATGAGGTTAAACTCACCACTTGGGATCGTCCGCTTTAGCGATGTAGGATGGGTCGACCATAAGTTTGCTGGTTGATACCTCCCAACGGCTCCAAGCACCGGCACTGTATCAAACTGGTCAGACTCACGCAGGTAATGCATGCAGAGGAAAGTGCGTACCATTTGAGCTTCTCTTCTTCATTGTCCCCGGTCAAGCGTTTGTAATAAGCCGCCATCATATCTCCTCTCTCCTCCTTGGGGATGGCGGCCTCATAAGGTTCGAAGTAGTCTGGGAACAGGAAATTGGCCCCCTGCTGGTAATACCATTCAAGCTCTTCCCTTCTCAGAGTGAATATGCCCCTGATGATAAGGCCTAGACACCGGTCTGGGTATGTCTCCGAGTAAGCGAGAGAGAGAGTCGAACCCCATGAACCGCCAAAGACAATCCATTTGTCGACACCAAGGTGTTGACGCAGCTTCTCAATGTCCTCCACTAGAGTCCAGGTGGTGTTGTCCTCCAAGGAAGCATGCGGGGTCGACTTGCCGGAGCCACGCTGGTCGAAAAGGATGCTACGGTAGTGGGCCGGATCGAAGTACTGTCTGTCCGACTCCTCTGTGCCGCCGCCAGGCCCGCCATGGAGATAAATGATCGGTACACCAGAGGGGTTACCACACTCCTCCCAGTAAACGGAGTGAACGGAGGATACCTTGAGGTGGCCTGACTTGTTGGTGTCGAACTTTGGATAAACCGGCGCCATGATGCATGGACAGAATGGGATATTTCGAACGGGCTTCTCGTGCCTCGAAGTGATGGGTCAGTCCACCGAGTTTTAACGTTGAAAGCCGGAAGCCTCGCCAACGCCAACGCCGAAGACCCAACCCCGCTCAGGCTCCGGTGGTGCTCCACATATTCCCACAATAAAGCCGCTAGAAGCCGGACTCCTTCTACAGCCAGCCTGACAGACCTAACCACTCTCACTCTTGTTTACAAGGTTGACGTTGCGATTGGTCTTTGCCATCATTGAAACGAAACAAATCGATAGGCCTGATGATGAGGCCATGGTCATATGCTTAGTTTCTCATATTTGCAGAGTCGCGGCTGTTGAACCAGCACCTCGCTAGTAAATACGTAGGTATCTTTCTGGTTTCCGCCTTTGCCCCTCCTTACACCGGGATCATAGGGTATCTCATTTACCTGACCGGTCTCCCGAAACACGTCAGTCCTGTTAAAGCATTGTCTTGCCTCCCTGTAGGCCTCCGTGCCCATAAGCCGATGCGATGCTATTCCCCCCGAACTCCAAGCAAGACCCTCTCTATCACAACGCCCGGCCCGTTATTCTCCTCGAGTTGTCAATCGAAGATGCCTGACCAATGGTTTCCCTTGAGGCTTCAAACGACGTCGGCTCATACGTTATCGAAGGCGCTATGGAGCCTTTCCGCCTGAATTCAGTCTGCGCCATCTCGCCTGCTCCTGATATTTCCCGGGCTTGCTCTTTTTGTTTCTTCATCTCGACCTGCTTCAGCACACCCAACCTGGTATTCTTCTCCTCGTCCCGAATCCTATTTTCGTAATGCTTCAACATAGTGTAAACAGTGCCAAGTGGCCACGACTGTGCAACAGACCGTAGGCCTGGCGGGAAGACGAGCGATTCATTGGTAAGCTCTTCTAGCAAGCGGTTCAAAGTGATGACCTGCTTCCAAGAAACCAGTCGGTCGCCTATCAGGAATATCGGATATCGGGCCATGGCAATTTCATCGATAAGCCACGTTCGGTGAAAAAGTGGTCTCCCGGTAAAATCAACAAGTGCTGGGTAGTAAGGGCCCTCAAGCCCTTGAGACCAGAGATAAGCTACCTTCTGTAACCATTGGTGTTGCGGGGCATAGTTCTCAGGGTGAAGTCGCTTATCCTCAGGCTCGCCGAAGTTGGGCGGCATTGCCGCTTCCACGTGCTGTAATATTTCCAGAGAGACATCAGTGAGCTCTCCCTTGGGCCCAAGCCACCCAACCACCATCTGGGCAGAGCGGTAGACCATCCCCATGTGCGTGAGTTTCTGAGCCTCCTCTTGTGGGTTCCGATGATCAATGCAAAGAGCGTCAAACCAGACATAGAGGGTCTTCTCGTCATCCCGGCCCCCCTGTGAATCTCCGAAAACTGACTTGACTTGCCTCAAAGCCTCCTTCAGCCAGTTGGGTCTCTTGTTCTTCGTCTGAGTCGGGGACCATGGCCGACCAGGTTGGGCCGGAGGATCGAGAAAAACTGCGCGGACATGTCTGAGTATCTGGCCTAGGCTGGCTGGCACTGCAATATTGTTGTCGTTGATTATGATATTTTCCGTCTCGGTTCCTGATAGTAAGCAGGATATCGCCAGGTACTCTATCTTGTCTGTGAGGGCCACATTGATAAGACGAGCGACGGGAGCTTGGTCGATATCGTCGGCTGGCTGTAGCTGGAGGAGGCGTATCTCTGATCTTGACGGATCTAGCTTGCGGAATTGCACGCCACTGGGACCCCGCGATTCCATAGACTCCATCACATCACCGAGACAAACCGGCCGTGGCTACTGTTCTAGTGATGTCCTGGTATTGAGAAAAGATGATTGAGCACTTCGTGCGGGTTTGCCTAATAGCGTTGCGAGTTTGCACTACACGTGGATGCTGTGTCCGCGTCAGATTTTAGTTGTCGCTGGGGTCCAGCGACACCAGACCAAGCTACCTATCTATACACAGACCATGGAAGAACTCACTTACTTCCATCAACAGAACCTGCGGGGCACATCGAGCTAGCGGATGAGAGACCGGAAATGTTCTGGCTTGCTCCCACTAGAATGGACGCGAATGTCGATCCTCTCGGATCCCTGGCGGGACATCTTCAGCTCGAACCCACTCTGGCGGCGAGGCACAGGCATCTCCATTACCGGCAATCGCTGGATGGGATGTGATCTCGCAAGAGAAGCCAATGAAGCAGTGGGGCGCAGATCGGATTTCCCAAACTCCATGAGAGATTGGCATGCGTCAAGAGACCAAGCCAGACTAGTCAATCAATGGAGTGACGAACTGGCAGGCTCAAATGCAGCTGAAAATAGCCGAACTGAACCCACACGTTTGAGTTTGCACTATAGCACCAAGCGGATTGTCTAGTCACCACGCACTTGCTAGAAGGAGTCACGGACCAAGTGAGAAACGTGTGCCACTCGACGTCAACTTGGCTAACTTGCCAAGCGCCCCTTGCTAGCCTCGACTCTCCCAATGAAAGACGAAGCCTCATCCGCCATTATTCTTCGCGGCCCGGTGATTTGCAGGAACTGACAGTGCCTTGCCTCATGATCCCTGCGAAGTGCGGAATAAATGCAGAAGGACGGGCCCCCTGCTGCCAAACCTGCAGATCACGCTCGCCTACTCCGGACGACGAGCCAAGCTTCGAACAAGTTGGCATGCTATTTGCCCACCAGTGCCATAATAACACCTTGCTCCACGTGGCGCAATCTTTGACACTGATCGCCATAGGTGACATGCTTGACAGCAGGGGCGCCATGCACGAACCCACATGGCCATGTCGGCGTAGCGCCACGCTCGGTACCTCGGCTGCCCTTTGGTGCGACTATATGACCCAGTGCCTTGGGTAATTGCTATCTCGGATTTTAGGGATCCATACGAGAAAACTCGAAGGGGAAAAATCCATTGACCCCGCCAGGATCAATCTGTCGGATACCGCAAGATGGTGGGTAGCAAGTGGCCACTGAAGTGTCATAGCTCCTATCCATATAACGAAACCTCCGTGACCTGCGCGCCATATGTATATGCCGCTGTCGGAAATTCAAGCTTGGATCTCAACAAAAGTTGCCTCTTTTCATCTCATCGTCTCGCGATGTATCCTATTAAGCTACCACGTCTGCAGACAATGATGCCCTTATGTGAAGGGAGATCAAGGAATACGTGGGGTACAATGGCGGTATGAGGCTGAAGAGACCGTCGGAAAGTGCCGAGCCCGGCGATTCGTAGATAAGGCACTGTCGATCCCGAAAGGAGGCAAAAAGAGGAAATAATCTTCAGACCCCATATCTCATTAAGATCATCCTACCATAGTACTCTGCAATGGAGCAGACCGCTTGCTCCCATATTGGTCACTGCTTTGGGGACTTGTCCATTATCTGATCGTGAAGCTGACATATGTCTCATATGAGACAGGAGTACCATCTCAAATGATAAAGGGAGACTCGCTCGGTGGCGTCATAAACAATCAATGGAACAAATAAAATCGTATATATGGCAGCTGTACAACTCCTAGCGCGCCATAAGAAGCTAGATCAACAAGGTGCTGCAGATGTTGACGAAGCCTACACCCTATGTCTCGCGTATGTGGCTCATGAACTGTCGGCACTACGGCCTAATACATCCCGTTGATTCGCAGTCGTATCCACTCTATCGGAGAACATGTCAGAACTACTAGTGGTGGAGAGTTAGGAGAGCAGGTTGCTTTATCTAGCTCTCTTCTTGCTGCTTTGTTCCAGAGCCAGCAGTAAGATGATTATGCACACTACGCTCTCAACCGTATGATTGGTGCTACCGGCCCCTTCAGGTTGACTGACGTTGGCTTCATCATTTTACACAGACGAATCATGCGTGCCAACCATAGCCCGGAACCCTTGCACCACAATCTTGATAATTCTTCAAGTATCCCACCGCTTGCGTTCAGGATGTGTCACAGCTGTCAATAGGAGATATCTACAACCAGAATTCCCGAGTCTGAAACTTTCAACAGTACAAGAAAACTTCGACCAGCTCTGAAAATCGCCCAGCAGAATCAGATACAGATTCATGAACTAGCCCCCTCCCCCAACACGAACCGTGGAGGCCCTATTGGTAAAATTGGACCTCGGGACCTTTTGGCGAAACTCTAAATCAAGAGTGATATTAACTCATTACTTAAACATCTTACTGTAGTGTGGTGAATAGTTCGGTTTCTACGTGCTTCCTGCGCCACCATGCCTCGAGATATTGAAAACAGTCAGTGAACACTTCAACTTAGATGAATGGAAAGCTAGAACAGGTCTTTTAATCCTTCCTCCACAGTCGATTTGTAGCTTGGATCATATCCGCGTTAGATCCGCCCTAGGACAATCAACCAGGTGTTGATACCATTAAGGCTTTGCCCAAACGACACTCCTTCTACCTTGGTTGTTGTGATGACCCTGTATAAGCTGGTACTTGGGCATCGATCTTGTCGGAGGTCGTGGTAGCAGTGTTAATGCTCAGTAGCTTTGCAACAACGTCATGTGCTTATGGGAGGGCTGTTGAAGGCCTGATATCTGGGTTACCGAGTCCAAGTTGGCACTGCTATCATTTATCGGCGGCAGCAGCGAACTTTCCCGAGATTTCACCCTCTGTTGACATTAGGCAGTACTCTAAAATCTACTTCACTATTCAACAAACATCTCACTATTCAACAAACATCATTCGGGGTTTCCAAATTGGGTTAGAGAGGTACATACTCCCAAGTGAGCACGTGGAGCCTTGTGTAAGATCAGAGGTGGTGATGCGAATTATAATTAAACATATAGTCATTGCTCTAGACGCTACTCACCCTGGCACCTTGTATGATACATCTACGGACGATTCCTAAGCCCGAGCTATGGTGCGTTTCACTGTGTCTCTAGTAGATTGGCTTCTAGTCAGATCATGAATATCACTGCGTGCAAACGTGCGCAGTCGCCATACCATGAGCGTCAATTCTACGTTAATTACTATAATTCAATTCGCGAAACTAACAAACTATGGAACTACGAAGTTACGCTATGTAACCGTTCCTCCTCCAAGATATCCGTTTCTTCGCGCTCGAAGTTAGATTCGACGTCGCTTCTCGAAGAACTCGTCGTCGTCGTTGTCGGCATCGTCATTGCGACGTCGCTTTCGCTTAAGCTCCGTCTGCGCCGCGTCCAGCTGGGACTGGAGCGCGGCGATGCTCTGTTGCTGCTGCGCGATAGTCTGTCGCTGATTGGCCAACATCTGCTCGCGCTTCTCACGAGTGCGCCTCGCCGCGGCGTTGTTTCTGGCGCGCTTCTCGGCGCGGTCGATCTCCGCCATCTCCTGGTTGCGCATGGCGCGGCGGAGTCGCTCTGTGTCCGACATGTCGTCGTTAATGGGCAGGTATGGCACGCGAGTCGATCGCTTGTTGATCTTGACACGCTTCAGCGGGGGCTGTCCTGCTCGCGGGGCGGTAATCTGCTCCGAGCGGGGGCGTGCCACGATATCGCTGAGTCTGATGGGCCCGCCGTCTTCGCCGTCAGTTGTGACAACTCGAGGTGTTCCGTCGTCGGAAATGTCGACCGTGACCTTCTTCGGAGGGGCGCGACCTCCGGTAATAGGCGCACACTGCATATCGGTAGCAGTAGCACGTCGTGGACCAGGAACTTCAGTGGGAACAAGACCAGACCCAGGAGTCGGGTTGATCCCCATGGGCTGAGGGGCCTGGCCCGAAGCTGCGTGCTGCTGGAAAGTGGCGGCCTGCTGCGAGGTCGTGCCGAGATACTGAGATTCGGCCTGCATAGCTCGAGCGCGGCTGTGAAGATTGGCGTTTGTAGCCTGACCTGGGTGCGAAGCAAGGAGGCTCTCTGCGGCTTCGTTGCGAGCAACACGGAATCCCTGAGCCATCGAAAGCTGTTGGTTTATGTTGTTCGCAAGATCGAGTATACCCTGGTTGGCCTCAATCTGCAGGTCGTTAACCCAGTTCTGCTGGTCTTCGAGCTCCCTCTGCGAAAAGCCCTGTCGAGGCCTGGGGTAAGGACCCTCAGGATATCCAGGGAAGTTGGTGTTGTCGACCAAGGCGCCGCTCATCATGGCATCGCCAACCTGAGAGGCCTGAGGCTGAGCTTCAGTGCCAGGGGTGAAGAGCGAATCGTCGAGGTGGAAGTTCTCGAGCTCACTGAGATCAAAAGGGGAGAGCTCTCGAAGTCTCGGGTCGATATGGCTGTCCTTGTGCTGGTTTGGCATCGCTGAAGGCTTTTGCAGAGATATTGAGGGGAGTTCTAAGCGGCAAGTGGATACTTGAGTGCTGTTACAATGTTGTTGATGCTGAATTGTTTGGGTACATTGGCGGAGGGGGAAATGTACATCAGGCCTGTCGTATTGTCTGTACTTATACATTCGTGAGGGCTGTTAGTCACCGACCCCTGTGCTCCATTTGCAAGTGAATCTTGCTCTTTCCGCCATACTAACGACAAACGGTATGCTCGAGTGACCTTTCGAGATCAGACGAGTCGCCAACCAGGTGCTGTCCAGGCCCGTCGGTACACAGGAACTGGGCCAATCATCCAATGTTGAGGTCTTCTGGTGAAAACAACTGAAGACAGAGTAGTCAGTGAGCGTCTTCTATGGAAGTCTCTTCACTATCTGACCGGAGTGCCCCTGGAACCTGCCGATTGAATTCATTGATCGGTTCTGGCCTGTATAGAAGCAAGGTGCGATTGAAAAGGCACTATCATCTAGGCATGATTGAACCGCGGCGATGCTTAATGTTCAAGTCTTCAGTTATGTTGCATCCCTTAGAGGCTGTTGATTGCTGTCAAAGGCTGTGTTGCTTTATGTGGAGCGATGGTTACTGGAATCTGACGGCCGACTGCTTGCGCGTGAGATTTGAGTTGCCGTTGACAGAGGTAGACGTTGCGTTGCTGGATGGTCTCTCACTGCTGTATCGAACATCCTCTCCTGAAGTTGTCGCTTGCTCAAGAATGCCGCAGACCCCAACCACTGGTGTGTACTAACGCTTTCCTTCCCGGTTGCAACTCAACCTGTGTTTTGGGAAGTATGCTGCTTGGTGATCAACCGAGTCATCCAACTGATGACTTTGACTGCCGCTTGCCACGAGAATTGTTGACTTCGGAAAAGCCCTCTTGTGTTTCGCGTGCATACTTGCATCTTCCGTTCTCATAGAGTCGTTAGGAGTCAGAATGTCCCAAGACCTAGATGTTGTTTTCCACTCCGAGTTCTATTATGTGGTAAAGAATCAGCTTCTAATACATTCATTGTACTAGATTAGGATCTGTTGAGGCTCGCAATCATAATATGTATGATCTGGCTCAACAGACCAATTGCCGTCTCTCAAATACTCGGTATAAGCCAGCCGTAGTACAACATCGCAGGAGCTGACTGAAGAAACAAGGATATGTTTTGTGCACGAGTCTTAATCCATGGATGGTATCGCTGCACTGTACCTGGAAAAAGCTGTTGATGTGTGGCCTGAATCTCGCGGTCTGTATGAAGTGCTGAGCCGGCTCAAGAAATGACCCTGGAAGCCAAAGCGATCCGGAATTCATAGTAAGATATCTCTCTCACGCGAAGTACCTCCAAAGCCTTTGTTCGATATCCAACAAGACACGGATGCGTGTTTGCCGCGATATTATCTCTGCCTGGGCGCTCATGAGCGTGAAATGCTGAGTGTGGAATGTTGAAAGCAGGGCATGAACATACATCTCAAAGTTGGCACTTCCCTTTAGCAGAGGAGTGCAGAAATACACGACCAGAGAAAGGCTAGGTAGGTAGAGAAGAGGACTGAAACAACTAGCGGTCTATTTCGTCAGGGAAAATGATACCTATGGGGGGAATTGGCAGCTTGACTCATCTCGTAACGCGGCCAGGAGTAGGGATAGGCAAGTCCAGGGTTTATGTACTAAAACTTGCTGAAACTTCCACCGGACAGGAAGTCCATTTTGAACGTTGAGTGCGTTTGGAAAACAAGAAGAGCCGACTCGGATGTGCTGGCGAGTGCAAAAAGGAGAGGGAAAATTCCAAAGGTCGACGATTTCTTGCTCTTTGTAGATTTCCACGAGTTGTGTATCACAATATTGCACACATCATGTTATTCCTAAAACCAATAGCTAGATCGCTATTAAGCTTCATTTTGTGTGAATTGACTCTCGAGCGGATGTGCATCATACTGCGCGGAACATCGAGGCCTGTGGTGTCATCCCGTCTCCGCCATATTTCGTGGGGGTGCGGATCGGGTCAGAAAATCGTACCTTCCTCCCAACATGTCATTGCGGCTCTTAAGATTCATGCTGCCGAAATCTATACGCCGAAACAGAGAGTGACGGGCCGCGCTAATACCGAGCAGTGTCGCACTCACGACGACTGTCTGGGTAGCCCGAGAAGAGCAATCAGGTTGGACGTGATCGATGGTTTATCTTGGCACTACAAGGCTGAGATATCATCGACGAGAAATGGCACTGCAGTTCAGTCCATTGCGACAGGCGATTAGACCGATATATGAAAGGCAGGGAGGGTTCTTTGAAGATAGGGGAAGTCGCCATTGGCTATTGACAACTTGAAAATGTCAGGTACAGAACCCGGCATCCCGGCCTTGACTGCATTTCTACCACCAGTTTCTTGAGGTATTACGCTTGTAGGTATGAGCAACCTTCTGTCAAATCCTCGTTGAAAGGCGCGCCTCATGGAAGAGATGGATAAGTTGCACGACAGACAGCTTGAGAACTGATCAAAAGACATTGAGTTTCTCAGACTTCGTTCGCTAAATTATGACATTCCATTGGAGACATTCAAATCCCAGATCTTCAGGGTACTTTCCTTACTTCTTCTGTGCATCCATGTCTCTGATTTGTCTTTATCTTGGGGATCTCCTCCGTCTCTCTCGTTTTCATGTTGTTGGTCTGTAGGCTGACTCTCATCGGCTGGAAATTCCCAGGCTCCAGAGCAGGTAGCAACGACTGTCCCCGTGGGATGCAGGCATGTGCTGCCCACCGTAGAGTCATGAGCTTGCCAATCCCAGGCTGGTGGTTGAGCGCCCGCATGATGGCCGACCCCTTCCCAGACTTTGACCGCACCAGAAGTGGTTCCCGACCAGACCTCAAAACCACCGAATTCATCTTGAGATGGGAAGACATCGCAGTGCACCCGTTGGTTGCTCAACGCGTCACGGTCCTCCAGCCACCCAAGCAGCTGGCCCATGACCCTGACATCGTACACAAGGATGCCACGTGATTTCCTCTCTGAAAGCAGGAGGTACCTTCCACAGGGGCTCCACTTGGTTTCGGTGATCCCGTCGCCGCCAATACCATCTCTACTCCCACGCGCGGTCTCCTTGACAGCATCCGCAATGCTCCAGGTGGAAATGCATTCACCGGCTTGAGCAAAGTCGTAAAGACCGACCCAGCGAGTCCACGTTCCAGCAGCTACCACGCTGGTATGATTTTGGTCGGGTGGCTGGGCTGCGAGAGTAGACACGGTACCACGCATCCCCACTCCGCCCCCTTTCAACAGGTGTCTCTCGGATGGGATGGTCTTGATACGCAAGATGGGCTCTTCCCCTGTACGACTGGCGTCGAATTTGGCGATGAAATTCCTACATCCCGCGATGAAGTGCGACCCAGGAGAGGGCCATAGCAGCGACGTGGCAGACAAGAACGTCTCAGACCGGGCTTTGATTAAGGGGTATGAGGAAGCCGGAGTGTGGGATGGGATATCGGTGCCATCGGAGGATGGCGGAAATAAGTAATACAGCTGGATAGGATGGTCACGACTGGATACTAGTAGCTGGTTGGTGTAAGGGTCCGCGAGATTGAAGTAAGGTGCCGACGCCAGCACGTTGGAAGTCTCCCCAAGATTGATGGTGCTTTGCGGAGACAGGGTCAGGGGCTCGTCGTGGTGCTCCAGGAGATCCTGAGGGACGACATAGCCCGATATCTGGTTGGAGGAAGCTGATGTGAGTATAGTGGTTCCATCAGCTGTCCTATTGGCCTATCAGCGCGCTGCAGTGTGTAGTTGGGTTTGAAACCAGGGGGGCGCACCAGTGAGCAGTCTCGAAGAACCCAGGGATCCGGTCTTTTGCGGGCTCTTGCCGACGTGTGATGTCCTCGCTGGAAGCAGCAAGTCTGACCTTGTTGCTCTGCTGACCTTGATCAGTCTTCTCATGACTCGCCTGAGCCATGTTGCCAGAGTCGGGCGGCAGTTGTAGCGTTGGTGCAACCACCTACCTAGGTACCCTGCAGTGCACGCCGGTGAATAATCTTCAGACACGGTGACGATCGAGACCAGGAGGGTTGCGACGAGCTCCACAGGCGTGCTAACTGCCGCGAGCGACAGGCCACATCGACCAGCCTAGCATGAATGCCCGTCTCTCGTTTGTCGCGACAACGACGGCGACGATCTGTCTGCAAATCCCAGCAATGGGACCACCCAGAGTCGCAGGCTTACACAGCACTCTCTCCCGATGTTGCAACGCAAGAGCGGTGGGCACACATGGGAAAGGTGCATGTCGACAGGTGCACGTGGAGCGAGTTGGCTCCGGCACGCCCAGGTTCACTGCTAACTTAAGCTTCGGATGCCGGCACGAACTGCGCGCGTTAGAGCGGCCCCGGACTGCAAAGTACAGCGCTGCAGAGAGCCCGCTGTCAGCTACGTCTCGCTGCCCTGGGCGCTATCTGACCTCCGGACCCAGGTGCAAGGGGGCCCCGTGGGCCCCATAAATCCCACGTCATTGTGCTGAAGTCCGAACAAGCGCTAGATAAGGCGCTGTGCCACTGCGGGAGCCTGCAGTTGCCCTGTGCGCTGCAACGGTCCCCTGCCCCTTGGTTGCTTGGCTCTCGGCCTCTTGGGGCATTGGGCCTCTGGGAGACCCCCCGGGGCCCATCCTGGGCTGCAATTCGCGCTGGACCGCAGGCGGCACCCTCGGGTCGCAGCGGTCATACTATGGGCAACTGACCACAGTAAATTGCTGGAGGGGTGGCTCTTCCGGGTCCTTCTCCCCCATCACAACCCAACCTTATTGCTGCTGATTCTTGGTGTTGATCGTAATCCGGGGTCGCGACTTTGTTGAGACTTCCCGCAATATGTGCTCATAGCACCTCTCTACCGCCTCTGTGCTCCGTCTGCACCCTCCCCACGCCTTCCAGCTCACCGCGACTCCACGTTCCGCTCGAACTGTTCGCCTACGCGCGTCTGCCCACTGTACCTACCCTCTGCTCAGTAGTCGGCGAACTCGAAACAGCCGCGAAGTGTTGCGGACGGAAGAATACGTCGGGATATAGTCAAGATGGACGGCTTCTTGGAGATGATGGAGGGCCGCTGTGAAGAGCTTCGTAAAGTGGGCTATACCAACTTCTTCATTTCCATGTGAGTACCGAGAGGGATGCCTACACGCGCGCAGCAGAGCCACGGCAGTGCTAACCACAGCTTCTGCCCAGACTTATCATTATTGGTATCATGTTCTCGTATCTTCTTCAGCACTACCGGATCATTTCCCGTGGCACGTCCGAAGGGATATCGCCCTACTTCGTTCTACTGGGCGTGACCAGCGCGAACTCCCAGTTTGGCAATATCTTGGTCTTACCTCAATCGCGAGCCGATGTCTCGTGCTGCACCGAAGTTAGTCCCTTTGAATGTGCGGCCGGACTCCTAGGCATAGCACAGATTGGGGTACAGTGGATTTGCTTTGCCATCATGTGCGTCCCCAGCAACTCGTGGATTCCAGACCAAGCGCTAACCCAATCGTAGTCTTGTTTTGTTCCTGATCTTCTTCCGTCGAGACGAGGCCAATGTGGATGAGGAAGAGGTAGAGATGGATCCAGACCAACCTTCATGGCGGACAGCTATCGGCGTTGCTGCTCTTTGTCTAATCCAGGGTTTATTTATTGTGATTATCTCCGCTGCACTTGCTCTCGGTGCCCCAAGCTACCTCGGAGCCTGGGCCAACACCCTAGGTGTCCTATCTGCATCTCTGGCGGCTATTCAGTACATCCCTCAGATCTGGACCACCTACCACCTGAAGCATGCCGGTAGTCTGAGTATTCCAATGATGTGTGTGCAGACGCCTGGTGGTTTTCTCTTTGCAGCCAGCCTCGGCGCGCGGCTCGGGTGGGCCGGCTGGAGCTCCTGGGGCGTCTATGTGCTTACCGCATTTATGCAAGGCATTGTACTCTGCATGGCGCTGCGTTATGAGTGGCCATCGCGCGAAGAACGAGACCGCCACCAGTCTCGGCCAGCATACAATCGGCGGACGACACCCCGGGTGCTCCCTTCGCCTGGACCGTACTCGGCGCATCTTCAAGCGTATGCCGAAACCCAGGAGGAAATTGAAGAGGCCCTCGACCGAGAGAGCGTTCAGGGAGTCGGTGAGGACCAGCCCTTGTTGGCACCCGGCGGCATTGGAAGCTCTGGTGTCCGGTGATAAGGCGGCTAGGCTAAATGCCCCGAAACATAGACCCGCGGTGTCTTCGCGTATCGAAACCGTCGCCTTTTCCAAGGTTCTGTGTCACCAATAGTTGAGGAAGCAACTATGAACACTGCAATTCTAGAAATATTCATGGTTATCTGGTTGGGCTGGGCGACGCCATCTTTTCCATGGTTGTCAAAGATGCTGTTTACTATACCCGCTGCGCCGCGCCTTAACATAAACCAAAGTATCTTGATGCATGGATTTACACAATGTTGCATGAAATGCTCCTCGCTTCCCAGGGCAAAGTTTTCCACCGCCTCTCTATGTTCGCGAACGAATTGTCGTAGCCTCATGGATCGTCGGATTGGGCCTGTGTGTCACTCCATCAAGTTGCAGTTCGTGTCGCAGATGGGCGATCTTTGGTTAGCACCAGCCGTGCCGCGCAAGCCAAACATTCGGTACTATGCCAATCTTCAACGAGGTCGGGCATCGTAGGTCACACGTTGCGCGAATTTGTTAAAAGTTCATACTTCAGCTACACAAATTTGCCTGTTCTCTGCGCTCGGTCACTTGTACATGAGGAATAAAATGAATGCAGCATTGCCACCGACTACGAAATGCCACGCCGGGCGCACAGGAATGCACCATGAACACGAGGGCCTTGCTGCAGCCTCTCTGCATACTCTGGTCCATGCGTTCCCGTGTTTACGTGCGCAAGGACGGGCTGTCATTCGGCGCGGCTTGCTCGCCCCCAGTTTCGTCTCATGTCGCTTTATCCATGCGCGGCTGGCAAGGTTGGGGGTGCATGTCAACGTCCAAGCAGAGCCTCCGCCGTCCGCTGTTCTAAGGCTGAGTGCTGTCAAAGGCGATCCTGTCTTATTTTCTCCGCGACGGGAAGCCATTCAGGGCCGTCCCGGACCCCTTCATGACCCAAATGCCCTCGCTTGTACATTGGCGAGTATCGGACGAAAACCCCTGAAACGCGATTCCAAGCTTCAACCTCACTGGGCCGCCAGGGGTCAGAGGGGTGGACTGTTCTATACGCTTCCGATAGCTGTATAAGTCGTCGAGCATAGCCTACCCATCCCAAAACTCACCATTCCTCCGTTTGGATGGTTTGAACGTTTCGTGACACCGAATGACATCTTTTGTCTAGCACCTGGCCATAGCCGCTGTCGCTCGTTATACCATTCCTTGTCACTCACTAGTATACATTTCCCGTTGGGCGGTGCAGTGCACCCCTTTGTACATCTTGAGCAAGTCATGCTCTCTTCGGCTGCGATGGTCCTGCCAGCCCTGGCGGTGCGCCAACTAGGTAATAGCCACTTTCCGTGTCCCAATGGCAACAACACGCAGATCGGAGACATACAAAAGTTTGACGTGTTATGCGGTGTCGACATTGGAGGCATCGAGATAGATCGAATGCAGGTAGACTCGCTCAGCACCTGTGCTGGCATTTGGTGAGTTTGCTCCTCCTCTCACCACGGGTGACCTTTGTAAAGCTCTGGCTGATGACGGGCAATTAAGTACCTCCCATCAGAATCCCCGATGCGACGGCGTCACCTTCAGACTGGATAACACTTGCATCTTCAAATCGGATCTGTCGGGTGCTCAGATCAAAGCGGCCAGCGGCGCGGACTCGGCAAGGGGCATTATGCCCAATCCGCCTCCGACTTCAGGTTGCTCATCTTTGGGCACGGGGAATATTGAGTTCGTGCAGGCGAAGAACTTCAACCTGCAATGCGCGCAGGTGTTTGTCGGGAACGACATTGAACAACAGTTCCAGCCCTCGTTCGAGGCATGCCTCAACGCTTGCGCAAACATGACGGCGTGTGGGGGTATCAGCTTCGACCTCACTCAGTCTGCGGGTTTCAAGAATTGCTACCTGAAGACCGAGATCACCACGGGAGGGCTACTCGCCAAGGCTAACATCGACTCTGCCTTCGTCTCGGTGAACAATGCTGCGGCGAACCCTTCGTCGCAGGCTTCGGGGGGGTTTGTCACGCAATCCTCGGCCCCTGCGAGTGCAGCCAGTTCTACGACAACAACCACCAGCCAGCCCGCAGCTGCCACGACCGTGATGATGACCACGGTCTCCGTCCCGGCGTCCTTTGAAGAGGCCACGTCGACTCCCTCGTCCATACCCGTTGCGACAGTTGCCCCAGTCCCTGCGGACACAGCCGTATCGTCCAACGCCTGGATCGCCGCGCCCGTCATCGGCGGCCTAGCGGCAGTGACCCTGATTCTCGGCATCTTTATTCTCTGGGGCCGCCGGCGGCGCAGCGGTGGCCGTAGCCTGCCCTTCGCCGGCGGGTTCGGGGGACGCCTCCCCCACGGTCGTGCGTTCTTCGGTGGCGAGAAGCTCGTCGATGAGGAGGCCACGCGCGTGAGGAGCTCGGTGTCGAGCCGGGGGCTTGACAGCGCCATGTCCGGTGTGGCAAAGTCCGGGGCATCTGGCGGCATCAAAGTCCTCAGCGGCAGTGGTCGGCGAGTTGGCCACGAGACCATGACTGCTGGCACCGGGCCTGGTTTGGACGACATGGTGGGCCTGCGGGATAGCCAGAATGGGTTGAAGTTGAACGGGGTTAGTGTCCACAGTGCCAACCGGGAATCAGTGCCTGGGATTCCAGGCGCGTTTGCTGGGCCTGAGACAAAGTGAAGAGAGTCAAGTATTATTGCCCATGTACTTGGGAGGGTAGGAGGTACTAGCCGGAGAAAGCGGCCTTGACCTTCGTTTTTAGACATTTCCCGTTGTGCTATACTGGCTAGATACAGCTATTGGACTGGGGAATGGGGGTTGGGGGGTTGGTATCATCCAGACCCTAGCTATACTATGGGACTAAAGAACAAGACAGCAGCGGGAGCGGGCAGAGGGTTCTATAAAAGAAGGAACTGGAGATGGGGCGTTCTATATGGGCTATATTTCGTTTTCATCTCTGTATTTCAATCTCTTGCCTTTTCCACCGCCTCTGGATCTACATTTGGGCGTGCTGTTCGCCCAGGGCTGTTGCAATATACTCGCCATGGGCACGCTCTATTAGGCGTTTTATAATCTCCCAGGTATTGAGGCTTCAGGTGCCGATACAACAACTAGGCCGAAGCCGTTCATCTGAGCCATGATGATGAAGCCGCCATCTGGGTGTAACCTCGACCAATCAACCAGCACGTAAAGCAATGGCAGGGAGTAGGTGAGCCCTGTCGCAGATGGATCCCCAGGAAGTTGGAAACCCCCAGGGCGGAGCTGAAGTCCGGAGTGGATCTCTCCAGGCCCCAATCCAAACCCTCGTGTTTGCGCTACGCTTCTGATTGGCCGAAGCTCCCTATCGCTCGCTGGTTTCGGGAAACGAGTCATTGTCCAAGTCAATGTGTCATTCTCGTCGAGGTCCGATCCGTTCGTCTGACTGCCATCGACAGCGTGGTAGTCAAGCATCTGTTGTCGCGCCCGGTCCGTTACCTCAGTCCGGCATAGCACTCTGAGATATCGTCCCCCATTCCCTCGCCGGATTCCTCGGGACATTGCATCACAGACCTTGCCGTCCGCTGGACCCGGATGGTAGCCCTTATCGCAGACCGTCGAAGATGGCTATCTACAGTGCCGTGCCGCCGCCGCCAGAGCCTCATGGCACCGCGAGCGAATCTCAAGCGCAGGCGGATTCCCATCAATCGCAAAGTCCGAGTCCCGGCGCTTCGACGGCTCCCGTAGATATTGAAGCATGGGCCGTATCGGCACTTGAATCGCTGAGCGTCTCGCCCACGGCCCGGGGCACAACCCCACTCACGATCCCGCTCGACGACCATGGCCACAGTGCCGTGAAGCCCTCCGTGAGGGTACATGAGCCCAACAGATCGACCGACGCTATCACGCCGCCGCGCCGACCCCCTTCTCGCCGTGACAGCATGAAGCGTCGCGACGCCTTGTTGAAAGGCAAGGAGGGCACCCGGCAGCGACGGCGTTGGGAGAATGGTACGAGCACGCCTCTATGATGCATCTATGGGACGCGAAATATGATGCAAACCACTGTCGTAGATGCCATGGAGTTTCATTAGGGCTGACTTGATCTAGATCGCTTAATGCACGTCCCGAATGTCCAACCACCCGAGCCCATTGACTACGAACCGCGACCTACCCACCCCGTCCAATACGTACCCTACCAGGTGGCTGCCATATGGGATAGCCGTCTGCGCAGCGATGTAGAAGCCAAGAAAGCTGCCGCGGCCCGCCGAAAGCAGATGCAGACTCAGACCCTGGGAGACGAGAATGTACATGGCCGTGTACCCCGCGAGCTATTCGTCCGGGCCAAGAAAATCCCCGCTGTCAAAACCTGGGTTCGTTCGCTTGAGGAGCCTGTCCGGAAGTTCCTCATTGACCGCGACGTTGCCAAGTTGGCCGACACGGATAGCGATGATACCGAGGACGAAGAAATTGTCTTCGTCGGCCGCAACGGCTCCATGAGAGATGGCTGGAAGAAGGCAAGACGTGAAGGCCACAAAGACGAAACTGGTATGCTATTCGATGCTCTGGGGGAAGATGACGAGAAAAGTGCATTCAAGTAAGACACCGTTGACTGTGCCTGGGCTACTCGACCCAATGCTGACATGAACAGGCGATGGCTCACCCACTCCATATCTGATTATTACGGCCTGGACTCGTGCTCCGTTTTCACTGGCACTCCATCACGTAAGGTAGTCTACGTGAGTGTTAAGCAGGTGAAGACGGGACAGCCTCCCCCTAGATCTACACTACCTCGACCATTGTGGGAGCTATGCTAGACTCACGGCTTTGACTCTGGTCTAGTTATGGGGTAACCCATGGGTCGAGACGGCGAGATTGTAGGGAACATCATTGGATTGCCCAATTTTAGACTCGTCACTAGAAATCACGTAGAAAACAAGAAGATGCTCATTGTTGCAATAGAACTAAAATGGGTTTCTAGCAATTCTCCTGCATTCTAGGTATTGTGTTCAATGCTATACATAATCGCTCCAGGTTCAGCTAAGCAAGCTCTGAGATTTATCATCAGCCGGTAATCTCCCTCCTGCTCTACTTGACTGTCCACGCCAGCTCGGAAGACCCTGGGAGACCAACATACACAGTGGACGCCGCACATAGACTGCATTCCTACACCACCAATCTGCCTTCTTCCACCCAACTCAGTGTAGGACGTTGACACGGGTTCCCTTCCCAGTCCCATGTATTGCTGCGTCTATCTGTTCTCAATGCTTACCAACGCTCGAATTTGGCAGCCAAACCAGGCCAGTTACACTGGTGCCACGGCGCAAGACATAGCTGTGCTTTACGTACGCAGCAAGAGCCTCGTGGAGTGCTACTAGTTGTGTCTCTAGATCTTGTAATTGTCGATCACAGTTGTATGAGGTCCTGCTTAGATACTGACTGTGACCATGAAAGCCGGTACACAGTCCACAGCTCAAGTCTGTATAGGCAACAGTCTATAGGAGTTAACTCGCGCTTGGTGACAGCCAGCTGTCTAGATAACCAGTGTTTAGCTATTCACACCCCCATAAAACACGCTCCACAGATCAAGAAACGCATTGCGACCGACGAGACCAGGAGGACAAACTCGGCGAATGGTGGCCTGGGTGAGGTTCGGGCAGTGGCGCATTGCAACACCCATTTTTCTTTTGGGACTAGGGGTAATCATAACTTACTAGGGTCTTGGCCCTGTTCAAAATTGCCGTCTGACAACGTGCATATTCAGGATTCGACCTTTGACACAGTCTTTCCATGGCTCCCCTTCATCATCTAGGAATCGGACCAATCTATCCTTCTCGTCTTGTTTCAACCCTGCTTGTGGCACGCCTCACTGATCACATGGCCCCCATGAACGGCTGGGAGCGATCAACAGGAGCCTCTTGGCAGATACTAACCACTGTATTTCTATACTGGCTTTAAGTCATTGCCCTTGCTTCGGTGTGATATAATTTTAGACAAAGAGCCTGTCAGCAGGGCGGCGCACGGAGTCAGAGGAGCAAACATGTTGTAATCATAAGGTATGCACACTAATGCCTACCAGGATGCCCGAGAGCATCTTGACTTCGTGACCCATCTACAATGCGGTGAAATAGCTTTGCCCCTGCCATGAAAACAGATACATCGGCCTTTCTCTACTATATAACTCACCGTGGTGGTTCTACATCAAGCCCTTGATACAACCCCTGATTGCCCGTCTGATTCAATTTCTCCCGTATTCCAGCATCATTACTTTTCAGTGCCCAATTATACATTCAACAGCGGCTTTCACCATGAAGGCCCTCGTCTCCGGTATCTTTATACTCATAAGGGTGCTTCTGGCTTACGCCGATCTTGAGGTCACCGTCGTATCCGGAACTTCTAAGGCCAAACCGATTTTACTAGACTCAGTGACACTCGAACGAACGCAGGTTCATCGTGGAGGCAATGCACCTCCCTATGATGTCAAAGGGAAGAGGAACCCCACTGGTGCTTCCGGAAACTGGTGCGGTGGTTTACAGCACACGCCTTCGACCAACAAGTTCACAGGGATATCCGCATACTTCGCTGCTCCCAACCTCTCATCACGTCCAAATACTCCCTATCCCCAACATGCCGCCTCTTGGATTGGCATTGATGGTGCTAGCTGCCAGACCGCCCTCCTGCAAGCTGGAACAACGACTTCACTTGACCAGAATGGCACTCAAACTTCGAATGCGTGGCTTGAGTGGATCCCTGATGCTGCCTATACCATTCCGTCGTTTCCTCTCAGTCCTGGAGACTGGATGTTTGTCAATATCTCAGTATTGAGCTCCACTTCGGCACAGCTGTGAGTTTCCCTAAGCGACATTATTTTGATTGAGTCAACTCCCCCGCCTTCGATTCACTCATGCTTTTCTATCACATCTTCTATACAAAATATAATGTTCTCCAATGTAGTAAATACAGCAGACGAACAAACTGACATGGTGAAGGGTTCTTGAGAATTATTCGTTGGGCAACACCGTTACCTTCAATCTCATTAATGGTACACCACTCTGCCAGGCGGATACCGAGTGGATCGTGGAGGACTTTTCCACAAACGTTGGTCAAGTTCCCTTCGCGCGGTTCAGTGACATATGGTTCGAGCAATGTCAGGCAAGGACTATGAACGGATCCGTCATAAGGTATGGCTGGTTCACTTCAGCTGGATAACCATGTATATCTGCTAATATGTGTGTCTAGCATTGAAGGGGCTACTATAATAGCGCTACAGAACACAGGCATCACTCCTTCATGCATTGCACAAGAATATGACGATCAAAACTTCTGGTGCTCTTCCCAGGGCTGACCACCATGAAGAGAGGGGATGATTATGCGAGGCTTTACAAAACCGACAATATTCTATTATGTTCTGAGCTACGGAGTCATACATCTCGAGATTGGACTATCAGTAACTGTTCTGGGATTGAAACTCATCAGAGGAGTCGGGGATTGATCTTGCGGTAACAAGCAGAGGGTGCTGGCTGCAGTTAAAAGGGGGGCACGTCATATAGCTTTCTGTGCTGTCTTTTTCAGTGTTCTTTGCCTGTCCCACGCATGAGCCCTTGGTTACTCCGCAGGCAGCCAATACCTACCAAGGTACATATGGACTTACAATACTTGCGGGCTACAGCTTTCTCCAGGCGACTTCGGACGTCAATGTGCGGGTATCATGCGGATCCTGTGCGGAGGCTCTGCAGGCTTCCCCGTGGGGTTAACCGACTAAGTGTGGGCAACCCCACCCACGGGTCCCTACCCAGATAGACACGAACAGATGTAACGGCATCATACATCACTCTCAATTCAGAGGGCTTTGGCTGGGGCCACTGGCGCCGTGGTATGTGTGCTCAGTAGGCCATCCGAGAGCATGGCAATTGGTCATTTCACTTTCAGACATGGCGCCAGCAGCATGGCCGGGAATAAGTCCAATTTGACCTTCCAACCTGCACCTCAGCACCGGGTTGCCCTACAAGGACTAGGGTGAGCCCATCGGCTTATACCATACATAAAGAACACTGCGTACACGGCACCATATGGCATCGTTCATTGGGCGCCGGATTAACGGAGTCCCCTTTTTCTAACTCTAATTTTGCTCGTGCTTGGCGTGTGGACGATCATTTGGTGGTACGCCATTGTTTCTGGTGCCTATTGTTTCCTAAAATGGCGAGCTGCGTGGTTGGAGATGTAGGTTTCGCCGGAATACTTGGAGATGGGTGCATGCGGGGGCTTCTGGGGAGGAGTGCTATCAGAGCCCAGAGGCTACAAATTCTTGATGGTCTCCATTCACGGTTCTTTCAAAGAGGGTCTGCATTTTCAGAAGTCTGAAGCCTTGCGAGACAGCATTACTCCACGCCGGTAAAACATAAGTTAAATCAACAGCATGACTATTGGACCCATTCCTGTTACGGTTGCGGGCAAGACCACCAGGCAGATAGCCCCAGGCTCTGTAAACACGCCCATTGCGCGGTGGCCCTCGACCGCGAAGAACGTGGCAGTCGATGCCGATGCCATCAGTTCCAAGATTATCGATTCATTAAATCAGTCTCTTGAAAGAAACGACAATGTATCTGTCGCTCAGTTATTTTGCAGCGAGGGATATTGGCGGGACCACCTATGCTTGACATGGGACCTACGAACGATTAAAGGGAACAACAAGATCGCGACGTTCCTTGACGATGGACATAATTTGAAGAAAATAGAAATTGACAGGTCCGAGCCAAACCGTGGACCTAGACTGTGTGCATTTAACCCTCATGAGACGGTCAAGGGTATCCAGTTCTTCGTTATTGCGACCACCAAGGATGGCTCTGGCCGCGGGCTTATGAACCTCGTGGAAGATGCCGGGCAGTGGAAGATTTGGACCTGCTTCACCTCGCTCGATGAGCTCACAGGGTTCGAGGAGCCCATCGGTCCTAACAGAGCTAAGGGGGTTCAACATGGGGCCATCGCCTCGCGCAAGAACTGGTTAGACCGACGACGAGACGAGGTTGAGTTTGAGAACAGCAGTCCCGATGTCCTGGTGATCGGTATGATTCGTCTTCTTTTCCTATGATTTGATCTTTACTGACCATACTCAGGTGCTGGCCAGGCCGGCTTGACAATCCATGCTCGCCTCAAGATGCTTGGTGTTCCGACGTTGATTGTGGATGCCTGCGACGAGGTTGGCGACAACTGGCGAAATAGATACCACCAACTCGTCCTGCACGACCCCATCTGGTACGATCAGATGCCGTATCTGGAGTTTCCCAAGTTCTGGCCTATCTATACACCAAAAGACAAGCTTGCCGGGTACTTCAAGGCGTACGCCGAGATGCTCGAGCTGAATATCTGGACAAAGACCACGATTGAGTCGACCAAATGGGATGACAGTAAAGGCCAGTGGACGATCGTCGTCACACGCAAGCATGCCAACGGGAGCATAGAATCTCGAGTTTTACACCCTAAGCATGTTGTACAAGCCACCGGTCACTCGGGAAAGAAGAACGAGCCCAACTTCAAGGGTTGGGAGAACTTCAAAGGAGACGTTATTTGCCACTCCTCAGAGTTTAAAGGTGCAGGAAAGTATAGTCCGAGAAACCAGAAAGGCAAGAAGGCGATCGTAGTAGGGTCATGTAACTCTGCCATGGACATTTGCCAAGCTTTCTACGAGGAAGGTTACGATGTGACGATGGTACAAAGGACCTCAACTGCCATAATTGGCGCAGATACCATCAAAAACCTACTGCTGGGAAAGCTTTATTGCGAAGACGGTCCACCAATTGATGACGCAGACCTGCTCGTGTGGGGATGGCCAGCCGAAGTCCTCAAGGCTGCCCACCAGCAGCTGACCAAGATCCAGATCGAGCAGGACAAACCGATCCTTGATGGCCTCGAGAAGGCAGGCTTCAAGGTCGACTATGGCCCGGATGACTGTGGCATTCTAATCAAGTACTTTCAGCGCGGCGGGGGCTACTACTTCGACGTGGGCAGCTGTCACCTCATTATCGACGGCAAGGCGAAGGTAAAGCAGGGTCAGGAGGTCGACGAGGTCCTCCCCCACGGGCTGCGGTTCGCTGATGGCTCTGAGCTTGAGGCCGACGAGATCGTCGTCGCCACCGGCTACCAGAACATGCGCACGGCCACGCGGCAGATCTTTGGCGATGAGGTCGGCGACCGCGTTGGCGATGTCTGGGGTTTCGACAACGAGGGTGAGATGCGAACGATCTGGAAGAGGAGCGGCCAACCGGGACTTTGGCTTCATGGAGGCAATTTCGCCATGTGCCGATACTTCTCCAGAATGGTGGCGCTGCAGATCAAAGCCCAGTTGGAGGGCATGACAGCATTATAGAGTGAAATTCATACTTTGCAAGATAATTTGGATATATGTTACATCAATAAAGTTCCAATGTAGTTTTTATTTGCTCCCATTTGATCTTCGAGTCAAGTTTTGGGGTTAACATTCCCCGCATCACCGTGAGTATTTGACTTCTCAAATCGTCCTTGAAGCCGAGCAGTCGTAGGCTTCACAATTCACAATGTTGTGGAATGTGTGCGGAGCTTGAAGCCTCCAAGAATTGTCATGGAGAGGTGTCATGTCAAAGCCTGTCCCACTTGAACCCACACAAGAACCGCCATATAAGAAAAATTGATGCAAGAACAGCTCATATTCTCTCAAAGGATTTCCTCAATTTATAAACCAGTGCCTAGGACACATTTGTCAAAATATGCAGGTTCAGTATATACCGAGATACTCTCAGACCAAGCCTACCTGTAGCTGGCGGGTAAGGACTGGGGGTTTTCGTCAACCACTGGGAGGAATAGAGTGGAGGATTACTCTTGGCCTTCATCTACAGTGGAGAAACAAACCTGCAACATAGGTAACCATGGACGATGGCCATATAGATTTACCCTTATATCTTCTCGTTTGTATTTGGCTGTGGTCGAAACACGTCTTGACTTAAGCCTGTCACTAATCAGAAGAGCTGTGGTAAACTGATCTCTACTGCAGCTTCGCCCTATTTTGTGGCATCTTACGGTTTGTTCATATCTTGACCTGAATCACAGCTTTGTCGGCAATAATACAGTGATGGCAGACCGACTTGAAGTGAATAGGTCATGTATTCGGTCCCTGTATATTTCCCATGTGGGAAATTCTGTGCTGCTTGCCAAGCAGTTACTGCTGCAAACCCTAATTAAACTTTATTGACCTAAGTCCTATAGACAATCCAGGATATGTTAACCCTCACAAGAAATCTCTGTCGTTTTCAGGTTCCACGTCACGGGAAATCCCGAACCCAATCCCCCTTCTGCCACATGTATATGCGAGAATTACCCAGTTGAGGTGCACAACAGTTCTGATTCTATGATTTCATGACTTTTTAAGAACGACGCCCTCATGCGACCGTGTATGACCAGACAGGTTTAGCCAGGACAGCGATTAATGCCGGGTAATATTGCCGAAATCAGAGGCACGGACCAGCCAATCTATAGAGTAACGGTAACGAACAGTGGACTGCCTACTTTGGACGATCAGAATCACATGTTGCCGCGCTAATTTCGTTACCTCCTCTATTTGCCGTCCTGACAAGCATCATCACCTAGCCCGTCGCTGCATTGGTCGCACGCGTTGGATTGTCTTTGGCTGTTGGCGCGTCATTTAAAATGGTCCTGAGGGACATATTGTGGGGATCAATCACTGATAAACCCTTGGGCCAGTCTCTGTCATTATCCCATCCCTCTTTTCAGAGTGGACGGCCTGCGGTATCTTGATTTCAATTCTAATGGCTCATACTTCATATTATACGAGCGTCCTGCTTGGGCTATTTGCAATCCAGACCGCCGCTGCCCCGGACTGCAATCCGGCAACCTTCCAATCCCTTACCCTGAGTAACATTGAGATTCTGTCTTATAATGTCACACAATCCAAAGCAACCGTGGACTTCTGCAAGATTTCTCTGAAGTATACGCACCCAGGACAAAACGATGTCGTCAATACGTGGATAGGCCTACCTCTGGATCCCACCAAATGGAACTCTCGCTTCCAGATCGCCGGTGGTGGTGGTTGGAGTGCTGGCAGTGAAAGCACCATCCTTTCGCCAGTAGCCGCTGGATATTCTTCGTCGTCAACGGACGGTGGGCATAGTGCCACACAAAGCACCGCGGATTGGGGACTTGTAAGCCCAGGCAATACGAATTGGCCAGCGCTTGATGACTTTGCAAGCGTGGCTCTGAATGAAGCGGCGTCGCTGGGAAAGTTAGCTACTGAGATATACTACGGATCAAAGCCCACGTACTCTTACTGGAATGGTTGCTCAACTGGTGGCCGTCAGGGCCACATGATGGCTCAACGGTATCCTGAGCAGTTTGATGGCATTGTTGCTGGCTCTCCAGCGATTAACTGGCAACGGTTCCAGTTGCAACAGTATTGGTCGGACTTCATGGCGCAAGTACTTGGTAGGCCATCTCCCCCTGCAACAAACCAGAAGGCTCTAGCTAACACGTTGCAAGACATCAGTCCTCCCGCATGCGTCCTTCAAGCCATCACCAATGCGGCAACAACAGCGTGCGACAGTCTAGACGGCGTCCAGGACTCAGTAATATCATTCCCAGGCAGGTGCAAGTTCGATGCAAAGACTTTGATTGGACAGACGGTCAACTGTACGAGACCTCAAGGAACAGTTATCATCACAGATAAGGTGGCTGAACTTGCAAATGCTATCTGGCAGGGACCGACGTCAGTTGATGGTGACTTCCAATGGTATGGGATACATCCCGATGCTTCATTGACAGGTCTGCTGTCTACCAGCTGTCGGGCCGTGGACAATTGTACCGTGATACCGTTCCAAATTGGCATCGACTGGCTGCAAGTTTTCCTTGCCAGAAACGCTTCCTACGACACTACGACAATCAGCAGGGAGCAATGGGATCATTTCTTCCGTCAATCTGTTGACGAGTATACCTCAATCATTGGCACGGATAATCCAGACTTGACCAATCTGAGGAAAGCCGGCACCAAACTACTTGCCTGGCACGGGACACAAGATCCACTGATTCCATCGAATGGGACAATCGACTACTATGAGCGTGCCAGCTCTTTCAATGGGGACATGGCCGATTACTATCGATTCTTTGTGGCGCCTGGTGTTGGCCATTGCGGTGGCGGTCCCGGTCTTGATCCTAGCGGCACTGTATTCGATGCCCTTCGCGCGTGGGTGGAAAACGGCACTGCTCCAGATTCTCTCCCTGCCTCTGGGCCGGCAGTCGGAGTTGCGGATAAGCAAGCAAAGAGGAGCATTTCGCTTTGTGCTTACCCCAAGGTGCTGACTTATGTCGGGCCAAACCCTAATGAGCAGTCATCATTTATTTGCGAGTGACGGTTTCATACGATCATGATATCGGATACAGCGACTATCAGAAATGCGTCGCATTCGGGCAACTTGCTACTGGCGAAAATCACCCCTCGGCAACTTTAAACCCCACAATATGTCCATCGGCCTCGGGTTGCGTGCTCCTGTGGCGTGATTGAACCTGCCGGAGAAGGAGACCCATTTCGCAATAGGGTCCAGGAGGGTGTAGTCAGGTGTCTTCTAATTTGCAGACTCCCAATTTGGCAAGATATCATTTTCAGTTCCTGGTGGATTTCAAACTGTGATGGAATCCACTGTGATATATATCAGTATACAATGCATAGCAGGGGTTACCCGCCAAGTCTATTCTGCGCATAGTGCCCAAATTACGACCCAGATCGTTATGTTATCGCCCCCAAGAGTGGGCTTTGGGCGTGGCTGCGACCCAATAAGGCCACTTATTCGAGCTTTTTTGTTATCACGTATGCAAGACCTTGCACTTCCGTTGCGCGTGGGCTGCAAGAGCGCACTTACAGGGATGTTGACGCCATTTGGGGTCAACGTCAAGATGTTCCTATCACACCCGATTCCGTCCTGTAGATGAGATGGCGTAATAATGCGTGGTGGATGATTTCTCGCATGAAGATGAGATAAGACGGCATACGAGGTGCGTGGCTTGCTGTAGCTTGGTTCATTGGGAGAAGTCTTGCGGAGCGTCAATATATTGAAGCCTCCGCCTCCAAAGTTACTCTTGGTATGTCAGAATAGGCCGCCTGGTTCCTGCATCTCATAAAAACTCTGGGATACTTGATTTTCCGCCGTGGTTATGTTGCATCTGTTATTTTCTGTGCGGCCAGGCCGGACAACCAGGGTACCCGGAAATGTACCCCCTAGGTGACGATCTAAATCAATGCTTGCGTTGCTTCTTTTGCACTTTTGCATTTTTCTGCAGGCCTAGGCAAGTGTAGAATGGGTGGGCGATGGGTACGGGGGAATAGATGGGGCTCAGTGTATACTTGGATCCACCCGCACCGGGAGACTGGGTTGGCACGGTACGTTTCTGTCCAACAATTCCCTTTTGAGGCGTAGTCTTGGCATTCTCGCTCGGCATATCTGAGATGGGAAACAAGACCGGTAGTGACGTGCTGCGGTCAGCCGCAACGGTAAGCGCGGGAAAAAATGCAACTCTGGCAACAAGGGATTCTCCGATCAGCTGGAAACACATTTCGTCTGCCCACCACAAAAGCGTGTACAAATTCGTGGTGCATATTTGGTTCGGCGTGTTCCATTGGATGCTCAACGTAAGCCCGTATGTCACGAGAAATCTCAGCCATTCCTGAGTCCAAAAGTTCCTTGAGGGTGGGTCGCAATATTGGGGTTGGTCTTTCGCTAGTGCTGCCGTGTGTGCGCCTCGTGAGCCTCTCCCTCTATATACTTAGCAAGGGCTTAATCGTTAGCTTGGCCCTTCCCACCAATCTGCATGCCAGTCCGTGCCGGGGGGCGAAGCTTGTAAGATGCCAGCTCACGAGAAATTGGGTCGAGAGGATGAGCAGGATGGTCATTCACACAAGTTGACGCATAAATCTGCAGTAAGGGGGATAGAACAGCATGATGTGCAGAAGAGCCGGGGTAAGTCAAGGCAGACATGTTTGGAATTGTCATTATATTAATACAGGGCTGTTTCGTCCCATCTACAGTTATCCGACAACCTGGTTCAGCTGCGGCCTTACTGTTTAACCTGCGATTTACCCAGATTAGCCCAATGGTGGTCGTTGCACTCCCCCTTCTTTGGGGTCTTGTCACCCTACTTTCGCGGCTTGCCCAAGCTGGCCCTTATATACGAGACAAAGATGCTGCAGGATCATGCACGGCATCGGCTTTCTCATCTGTCCTCCCCGCCGGGGCGGTCATTGAGAGAGCTGATCATGTTGATGCAGGCGGAAGCTACGGTGAAGGCGCAAAGAACTTGGGCTATCCAAATAACGTAACAAACTTGCCGGAAGTTTGCGCAATTATAGTGAATGTCTCATCATCATCAACCTCGAATTATCGATTTGGGTTGTTCCTGCCCACAGCTGCCAATTGGAATGGGAAGCTCTTAACAGTGGGAAATGGAGGGTTTCTCGGGGGCATCAACTGGCGCGACATGGGACCCGGACCTCACTATGGCATGGCGAGCATTTCAACGGACACAGGGCACAACTCCGGATCCGATCTGAGCTGGGGTCTGAACAACCCTGAAAGGATCAACGATTGGGGATGGAGGGCAATTCACGGTTCCGTTGTCATTGGCAAGACGCTTGTAAAGGCTTACTACCAAAAGCAAATCAAATATTCCTATTACAGCGGCTGCTCCACAGGAGGAAGACAAGGATTAAAGGAGATTCAACTCGATGCGACTTCTTTTGACGGAGCTCTTATTGGCGCGCCGGCATGGGACCAAGTAGGCCTGATGCCTTGGTTATCCCGCCTTGGAACCCTTAACCTTCCAACTACAGATCCTGGGTCTTTCACAGATGTGAGCCAGTTTACACTCCTGGCCGACACTGTTAGAACCCAATGTGATGCCAAAGATGGACTGACAGACAACATCGTGAGCTCACCCGAGACATGTGAGCCAGATCTATCAGTGATACAGTGTGGAAATGCTGGGGTCGATGCTTCGAACTGCCTGACAGCAGAACAGGTCGAAACGGCAAAGAACGTATACAGCGACTACAATGAGTCTAACGGGCAACTGGTATACAACGGGCTAGAGCACAGTTCTGAGGATCAATGGGACACCTACCAACTGTACGGGAACCCAGCCAATTTTGACCAGCAGTGGCCACGGTTTTTCCTCTACAACGACCCTACATGGACATGGCAGGAGTACAATGACACCGTTGCGGATGACGCTAGGCGAATCGACCCTGGTAATGCTACTGCAGACAAGTATGATATCTCTGGATATCGGGCTCGAGGGGGCAAAATCATCCTTTACCATGGCACGGCCGACGGAATTGTTGCAACAAGGTCATCCAAGCTTTACTACAACAGAACAAGAGAAGAAATTGGTGGGAGTATTGATGATTTCTTCCGGTTCTTTTTAGTTCCCGGGATGCAGCATTGCTGGCTAAGCCCCTCTGCAGTGAATGCACCGTGGAACTTTGTGGGAACAAGCCAGCAAGTCGCCTTGGGGTCATTTTCCAATGGATATTCCGTGCCCAACAATATCAATCGACAACATGACGCGATGCTTGCATTGATGTCCTGGGTTGAAAACTCCACCAGCGTCGACTCAGTCATCGCGACGGCGTGGAAAGTCAGTTCAGGGAATCTCCAAGTTGCCAGACAAAGACCTCTCTGCCCATACCCAAAGAAAGCGACGTACAATGGCACAGGAAACCCAGATCTAGCAACAAGTTGGGCCTGTGCGTGAACGAGCTGTCTGCTACAACTGAACGATATATATCAGCGATTACATACGTTTTTCATCTCCAACTTGCTTGCACTCAAGTGACAACCTAACTATTACCAAGATCCCCTTTCGAACAACAATGGTGTGCACTCTTGAACTTATTGAACAATACTAGTTTACTAGCTTGAATTCAGTAGCTAATTGTCGAGTATCACGGCGCAATGAGGTACTGATAGGAGTCCGATATAATCCTCTCCTAACCACCTTCTTGAGAAGAAGATCCATACCGTATGTCTCATAATCATACCTGACCTCATTGCCGTTGAGTTTGCCTCATCAAGCCGGAGGTTGGAAACACAGAAGGATACATATTGCACTATATATATATATATATAAGCTTATCCAAGAGCAGCCGATTGTTGCACACCCTCTCCGTCTAGTTGCATGTTAAAAAGACTGGATTTCACCCCTATCAATATGAACAAGCGCATATATGCAGTGTCAGAATTACCTGTTTGTCCTAGCAGTGACAATCAAATTGAGATGGAGTCAACATGTGTCCCTTGTGCTGAAGTATGATAACCAGGAGAGCGAGGTAGGTAGAGAAGCCACAGATGGCGATGTTTACATGTAAGTGCTAAAGTCATAATTAGGAGTAAGATTGAGGGCTGATCCAAATTAGAGATGTCGAGTTTACCCTTTCATTCCAAAATAATGCACGGGTAATCAATAAAGTTGTCGGCCTGCACGACAAGGTTGTCGACGATATGAAGAACGAATCCGACTTCATATCTCGCGATGTTCCTACCTCTGGCCCCCATCGTACGGGGCCCGGGGGTTGGAAAAGGGCGGCAACGTACTGGGCATGATAGAATGACCGAGACCCATGTCCTATGTATCGTCTGGCTTCAAGTATAAGGTGCGAGTCAAGTAGCTATAGCGGAGGAAAAGGTCTCGCGCTGGGCGCATGAAGTCATCAGCTATACAGCCTCGATTGGTAAAGACAGCGACTTTGTTTACTTGAATTACGCATACGAAACACAAGATCCATTAAACTGATATAGACCCGATAATCTCGAGAGAATCGCAAACGCTACCAGGAAATACGACCCAGCGGGCGTTTTCCAGACCCGGGTGCCAGGTGGTTTCAAGATCTCGAAGGCATTTCCTGCCTTTGCAGACTCGAGCGAACAAAAAGACGAGCTCTGAGGTAACGACGAGATGGCCAGGATCTCAACGCTAGTGTTGAACTTCGGAGAGAGTTTTCTGGCTGAGACAACGCAGCGGGCAAGATTCTCTGCTGTTTGGCTTCGGTAGAGCTTACACGCGGCGCTGCTTTATCAGATGTTGAAGATTTCTGGTCCGTTGAGACATTGCTGGTCACTCAACCATCAATCATTGCACCCAATTTGCACCAAGGATTGCAAATTACTAGAGGTTGAATAATACAACCGTTCAACGTATTGCGAGTTTCGGCAACACTCCTGACACTGGCAATGCCCCAGAGACTTTTGCGCACCGTCTAAAGGTTCTCGAGTGCTTCAAAAAGTTTCTATGTGATTCTAATCGGAGATAATGAGCGCCAAAAAAAAAAAAAAAGTACAAGTTACATAAATGAACTGCTAGTCTTGTCTGCTTCATTGCTCGCTACATATCTACAGAGATACCTGAGGAGCTTAACTTAGTGCTGGTGACTTCGATCTACCAGAATGCCAAATCCGACTTGGAGGGGCTGCACTACCCCGCATGGACTCACTGCACTTGGCTATAGTAATGGCCTTTGAAACAGTGGAGCGCCTTGGATCTTTCCCCTAAGCCGGCTACCGTGGTCGCTGTCATACAACCGAGGGGTTGTTCAGTCTTGCCAGATACCGGGGAACTTGCATGCGGGGATGGAAGACCAGTGCAGCGGCAGTTGGAAGGGACAGGAGGCCAGTTTCGATTTCAACTACAATTACATAGGCATTGCTACCTTTCCATAATTAGACTCTCCGCGTCTTTTTTTGGCCCGAAGATCGTGTCTCAAAGTTTCGGAATGCCCCCAAAGTCATTTGTCTCGGTGCATGCCCTGTCGGGAGGCCACCTCACGTTACCTGAGCGTTTCTTCGTGAGCCCGATCGACGATGAGTCGGCTCGTAGCACAGTCCCGAGTCTGAGCTTTCTTGTTGAGCACAGAAGTCTCGAGACTGGCCGATTGACGCGCATCATATTCGACCTTGGAATCCGGAAAAGGTTACAGGACTACCCCGCAGATATCTATAGACATGTCATGACTCGTCAACCAGTATCTGGTGAGCCCGATACCGTGGTATCACTCGCTCGGGGCGGTTTGTCACCTACCGATATCGACGCCATCATATTCAGCCACCTACACTGGGACCATATTGGTACACCCTCTGATTATCCATATTCAGCCTATGTTGTTGGGCCAGGAGCAGCAAGCCTTATCGATGGAAGCAAGAAGAGTGCCGCTGGTGGCCACAATCACTTTGAAAGTGGACTTCCCGATCCGCAGCGTCTCATCGAACTTAGTCGACCTGGACTAGCCCCTGGGCTTGGGGTTGTGAAGGATCCAGATTTCGCAAACTTCAAACAATATTTCAACCAACCCTGGCAAAGGCTACACAGATTCGAGGCAGCTATGGACATTTTTGGAGACGGGAGTGTATACATCATTAATGCTCCAGGACACCTCGACGGCCATATAAACCTATTGTGTCATGTGGACGAGAAAAGATACATATACTTAGCTGGAGATGCGTTTCATGATGCACGTCTCTTGTCAGGCGAAAAGGAGATTGCAACTTGGGACGACCCAGTCTATCCAGGTGTCACTTGCTGCATTCATGTAGACAAGGTTGCCGCAGCGAGAACGATTTCCATCATTCGAGATACTGTCAGAGATCCCGGGGAGTTGGGCAGTGTTGAAGTCGTGTTTGCGCACGATCCCAGGTGGCAACAGACAGGAAAGAATAGCGGACGATTCTTTCCTGGGGCACTCTAGGATGAGACAGTATAATAGTACCCTTGGCATTGAACTCGCTCTTCCACAAGAAACAGAGGGCCATGGGATAAGTGTTAAACTGGGAACCGTATGGGAAGCTAACCTGGCTTAGAGACCCCCTGTGTATATGTTTCTGGGGTCTGAGAGATCGAAATCAACCTTTTTTTTTCTTCTTCTTTGGTCCGATGTGATAAGTCGTTTATTCATTGCTCCTTGCGAATGATTTGGAGCACACTATCGTCTCAGGTTTCCGCGTTACGCTTGACCCTTTGACTAGTCCTGAAGTTTGTTTGAAAAGGCTTCATGGAGCGGTTCTACATATCCAGATCTTATTTGCCATTCAGTTCGATTGATCCAAAGCTACGATTAGATACTATGTAATACTGGAGAGGTGGGTAAAACATTGACTGGCCCTGCGTTTTTTTATGGTGGCGCCACTGCTGTAAGCACTCTAAATCCTTCGCATTTTGTAGTGAAGCTCGGATTAGCCCGTTCATGCGATCGCTTCGAATCTAAACCACTTGAGCCTTCCTCGTCCGCTTTCCTTAGGTACCTGTATCTTTTCTCCGAATCCAAATTTCTCATTCGTTCTCAAGAAATGAAGGTGGTATAATCGTTGTCCAGCGACGCTGTGTTGACTCACCATTGACCCGTGGTGTGGGGAGAGAGTGACAGGGATCTAAGCGCAGGAATCAAATATCCCAGTACGTATGTAGGTAATCCAATCCGAGACTTTTCTCTGCCTCTGACGTGTTCTTACCACGACATCACAGGCCATAAGACCACAAACGAGTATACTGCAGGCTACCGAACTCTGCACCTAGTATAGCATGCCTCGGCAGTATGCGAAACCTGAGGATTGGGCTCGCCACCGGGAGCTCATCACGCGGCTTTATCAACAGGAACGCAAAACGCTCAAGGAAGTCATGCACATCATGCAACAGGACCATGGATTCGTAGCGACGTAAGGTCCCCACGACGCCTACTGATCGATTGATTGAGCTGCCCATTGACCAAGACAGAACGAGGATGTTCAAGAAAAAGTTCGAGGTTCGTGTTCCACCAATTTCTAACCCCTGACTGAGATGTCAAGTCCAACGACATTGAGCAGTGACCTTAACTAATATTATAACAATATGGGAAAGATATGGGATTTAGGAAAGAATCTCAATCAAGATGAAGTGCTTCAAATTCTACGGCTTATGTCATCAAGAGACCGGCAAGCATCGCCCGTGATGTTTTATGTACGTGGTCAGCACATTCACCAGGGTCGCCTGCGCAGATATGTGACTAGACATCCCGGAGTGGTGGAGCAACTGCGTAATGGCACAATTCCACCAGATGACGTTATCAGCGCAGTGACATACAGACTCGTCTCACCTGATCGATGGCTTTCGGGCATGAAGGATCATCATGCAAGTGAAAATGAAACTCTGTTATGGTCGATACGCAATTACGTCTTGTGCTCGCTAGATTCCAAGGTCTGGTCTTGGGATTCTACCAGCTGCTGGTCCACGGATTCATCGGCTGCCGCAGAGTACAAACTACACAACGATTTGCATGCACCTGACTTCGACATATTAAAGTCTGTGACCCAAGGCGACAAGCCTGAGCTCGATGGCAGGGCGCTTGATCAACTTTTCGAAATGATACCACGTTTCGTAAAAGCACATCCTCCGTACTTTCTCGCTACATTCATAGCTATGTCGGAGGGCATACGAGTGCACGGTCAAGTTGAGCTTTCGCAGATTCTGGTCCGGTACACAACGGAACTAGCTTTGATATACTTTGGCCCAAACCATCCTCTTTATAAATTACTACGACATATTTGTGCACGCCCAGTCCGGGGCGGCATCCCCCTTACAGCCACACCGATGAAACTTCTCATATCCATCTTCGAAGACCGGCTGGGGTTGAATAATGGTAGTAAGTCTACCACGATGAGTAAAAATTGAGAGCATTTTGCTGACTAAGACCGTATAGTAACTCTATATACCTCAGTGCCGTACTTGGCACATCGGCTGATGGCCAGGGACTTGGTTGTTGACACATTTGAGAAGTATTTTGGCCAGATGATGCCAGAATCGCTGCGTTCAACTGCCTTGGACTCGATACCCGTCAATCCCAGCAGTGAGATTGATACAAGTTTTAAGCTGGGTTGGCTCAACTCGAACAACATCCAGCCAGAGTCTCGAGCCGCGGTGTTAGGACTGTGCGGCAGAAACTCAGCCACACGGAATCAGAGCAACTATGGTTTACAAGATAGCATAGGCCTCGCAAGAAAGCAGCTTGAGGTGACTCTTTGGTACGGATCTATCAACCCAGCAACTCGAATGGCTCTCACAGAAGAGTTTTGGTCGATGATAGTCCAGTGGATGCCAGAACGGGAGCAGAAAATGGCTCTCAGATCTCGTCAAAGTGATTGAAAGGTGAGAATAATAGGTATTAATGCAGTGGGAAGATCGAGTAATGCCAGAGCAACATAGCGATAGAGTCTGCCTAAGCAAGTGGCCTCACCAAAAACCACTTCCGCTTTTGAACCTAAGCTTTTGGCGATGTGACTAGAGCTACTACTCAGCAGACAGCAGCAGCTCCTTTGATGACATCGTGATTTGGTTTTCAGGTTCATCGGCGCTCAGATGCAGAAGAATCACCACGAGACGTGAATATCAGGAAAGGTCCATCATGAGCGCCGGAAATGATATCATAGAGCTGGAACTCGTCAAGTCGGCTCCTCCCATTATGACTTCCGGGGCGACCACCACCCACCTCACCCAATTTCCCTGGAGCCCTCTCAAAGTCGAAATACCAAAGTGTCTTCGCTACTACCAGACTGCTTTCAAGGTAGGCCATAGCCTTCCCGGCACACCCGCGATAGCCCACAGAAAAAGCGCTGAATGCATCTTGCATGGATTTCCGCTGGGCTTCTGGCGTCTCAGATAGCCAACGCTCGGGTTTAAAGGTGAAGGGGTCTTGAAAATATTCGGGATTGTGATGGATGGCATAAATGTTGACGCCAATCTGCGTTCCTGGCGGAATGTAGTGACCGTCAATGATTAGAGGTTTGCTGTTATTGGCCGCGGGTTCGCGCCACATTGTACCAGGCACTGGAGGGGCGATGCGCAGGGCCTCGTCAATACAAGCGCGAAGATATTGACAGCCTGCAAGCTTCGGTCCGCCCCGAATCTCATGGCTAGTAGCAAAGGCAGAGCGTATCTCAGTGGCCAGTCTCTCGTAACAACTAGGGCTTTGGGATAGATAGAAGAACAGAGCACTAAGTGCACCAGAGGTCGAAAATGCTCCTATCATCGACGGTCATGGTTAACAGAACATCTGGCTGTGCGAGATAGCATTGTTGCTTAGAGACGCACCTGCTGGAAAAAAGCTAATACCCTCGGACCAAATCTGCTGGGTTCGAACATCTTCATGGAACGGTCGTTGATAACCTGGCCCACAATACGACGCTTGGCTGTATGATGCTGCTTGTCAACAACAGTAAACAAGCTATGTACGCCTGGCGTCTGTATGAAGACTGAGTAGACATAGGACTTCACCACCATGTCGTTGTTGTAGATGTCTTGAGGCCTTTTATCAGATCTCTATTTGAGACAACTAACTCACATGCTACATACCATGTAACGCCTTTGGGGTATTGAATAGTAGCTTGTTTGGTCCGTGTCGGATCACCTTGCCGTACTTTTGATGATCGCTCCTAGACACGAGATGGAGCGATTTTCGCATTGCATAGTAGCCATTGTGTATGTCGGATAGTCTCGCGAGAAATGGTCCTGGATACGCTTTCAACGGGTGCAGCAGAATGCGGTAGCTTAGCAGCAATATTCCCTTGGGAAGGGAAACATGGTCAGATGTTGAACAGGGAGCGGCATGCGGTCAAACCTACATAAAGAGCGACAAGCAGCGAAACATAGAGAAAATCTGGCGCGATAACGTCGGAAATGTCCATGGCTAGCTACGGAAGTTGCATTTGAGTGGTGGCAAGGGCGTTTGCTATCTAACAAGCACATCGAATACCAAGTTCCAATTACGCGGTTCAAGTATTGTGTCGATGATGGAAGAGCTAGCAAGAAAGTCGGGAGAACAGCCAGCCCCGGGCGACGGGGTCACCTTGCAATGGGAGGATCGGGGGCCGCCGCAACGGTGCAAGGGATGCGTGATTCATCGGCCCAACCAACTTCACCGCGATGCGCCAGAAATTTGCGCAGGTGAATCAAACGGCTTTTACTGATTGTTGGCGCGTAGCACTGCAACTGCAATGACTTCATGCTACATTCCTACCGGGGTTGAGAAGTCCATGCTCTGGGCCGTCATATGGCACAGTCGGATTCTGTGGCTGTGGGGGTTCCATTGTGCACTGAATCCATGAATTCGAAACAGCGGGACTGTGACGATGTGGTGCTGACAAGTTGATCTTTTGTCAGATCATGGCGATACCTCTCCATTCGCAAGAACTCTCAATTAGCCTGCACGTCTAGCATTGCTTAAATCTGGTACACAGGGACGGCGATGCATATTACTGTGAGCATGGAAGTCAGCCAGGATAAATGGAGGATACCTGCATCTGGCTGCCTATCGCCTCACGCGGTCGAGTCTCAATTGTAGGCTCGCATCGTACTTCCCCCGACCCATATCATCATAAGTAAGACCCAAGATTTACTTAAATTAAAAGATATAAGTTTGTCATGATTCAGTTTGAAAAAAGAACTTGTACAAAGTAAGCTGTGTTATTGTTTCTACGATTTGAAACGACTCTTAATCACGCCCCCTCCTTCGACTTGTTAGTTATCTGTTTTTCTGCCGGCTTTGCTTGCTTTAAGCCAAACTCGGTCTCTAGCGTTACGCGCATCTCAACGTGTTTCTCGGCAAACACTAACAAGAAGCCCACCAAGGCAAAGGCGAGGCCTACAAACCAGACAACTCGCATAGCTTCCCTATATACTTCAAGCGTTTGCTGCAAAGTCTGGTCTGTTATATCCTTAACGCTGAGTGCATAGCTGTACGCACCACCGCCGGCTAGTGCGGCGCGGACTTTAGTGTCAGTGATTGATCCAAGCATGGCATCGACACGGCTGTTAAACACAATTGAAGGAATGGTGGCGCCCCAGACGAAGCCGAATGACCGGACGAAAGAGTAGGTGCTCGTTGAAATTGCAGTGTCTGACTCGGAAAGTACAGCTTGGACGGCCGGAAGCTGCGTCGTCAATGGGAGGCCGATGCCTATGCCCGCGAGGATTTCAAACCAAGCCCAAGCAATTGTGCTGGTGCTTGACGACATCGTCGAGAATAGACCACATGATATGGCGAGCACACCGAAACCAGCCCAATGTAAGGGCTTGTAGCGGCCAGTCTTTGTGAGAATTGCTCCTGCCACAGCTCCACTAGGGATCATGAAAGCGTTGATGGGTAAAATATTGAGGCCGGAGGTCAGAGCAGACGCAGAGAGCTGTGACTGAAAGTAAAGGGGAAGAATGTATATACACCACTGTAAAAGAACAGAGACAACGAAGTCCTGCAATTAGACAGTGGCTGTTGTACGGTGGGAGAATAACCGCAAGGGCATGGTGGGTTCATTGCAGAAGCCCTGTTGAACAAAGAAACCAGCCCAACCCACAAAGCCGAGCACGATGGGCAGAATGGTCTGCCATGATTTCCAGGGATAAACCACTCCGCCTTGGACAAGACCTATTAAAATAGACGTGATGGAGCCGACAAAGACAGTGTTCCCCAAATAATCTATCCGCGACACGGAGTGCACCCACGATGGTGATCTTCTCGAGGAGATACGCAAGAAAGGAACCATGACAGCCAGCGTTAGGGCACAAACTGGAAGGTTTATCCAGAACGCCCATCTCCACGTTGAACGGGTCACTATTGCACCCCCGATCACTGGACCTAAAACGCTGCCCACAGCACATGCTCCCAGCACGGTACCCAGGTATGTGCTGCGCTCCCTTAGGGGAAGGAGATCGCAGACGATCAGATCAATCAACATGATCATACCGCCAGCACCGAGTCCTTGGACCAGGCGACCGCTGATAAACATGGCCGTAGAGTTTGCACCACCAGCGATGCCACTTCCCAGGGCAAAGAGCGCAACCGACATAAGCATGGGATAGCGCCGGCCGAAAATGTTGGACACTTGGCCATATAGCGGCTGGATGGCCGTGGATGCGAAGACATATGCATTTCCAAGCCATACATACTGTGATTGGCCGCCAAAGTCGTTGGCAATGGTCGGCAGGGCTGTGAAGATAATGGTGCTGTCTGTGGCAGCAACAAATCCTGCGAAACATAGGCCAAGAAAGACTAGCCAGAATTGCACTCCTTTGTTGCTTGTTGAGTCGGTTCCTGCCAACTGCTGAGAATCAGCGGCCGTTGGAGGCTCTACCGCCGAAGAGACGGTCATGTTTTCTTTTGGCTGGACGACAAAAGGTGATCAGCGGTAATGGTTTAACAGAAAGAAACTGGTCTGTACGTGGCAAAAGAAAGGCGAAGTCGACCTTGTATTTTTGGGCGGTCTATGACCAGGGTCAAGTCTTGCACTGACGCGGCAACGCAAGGGATGCAAGTTCCCGCATTTTGAGTATCGTTGGTCATGCAATATCTTGACGCTGCATGTGGCAAAGTGGCACGTACTCTGTTATGAGTTGCTTTCCATCAAACTACCTTTGTGGACTACAAGGCACAATGTAGGTAAGAAACTGAGGTACATTGAAGTTAATGCTCAGAAACAGAGATACATAACAATAAAACCAGGCAGGCTTTTGAATAGAGAGGAATTCATTGCAAACCCAGCTTTCCGAACAACAAAGGTAATGGTTCGGGCCCGATCACCTCCACTTATGCATATGTAATCAAATTTCCATACAAATTGGGGCAGCTTCTGCATGATGCATGCCACAGGAAGGAAAGTACTTGATGAAGTACTGACCTAGGTAGGCAGGTACTCAAGTAGCCAGTTGATATTTCCGCGTCAGCAGCATAGGTTTTATGCGCTTGGGTGATAGACCTGAAATCCTTTGTTGTCCACCTTTCCCTGACTTCCCGCTTGTTGAACCGGGCGGGCCTCGCCAACCGTTGGCAAGCGTCACTGTGGTATATCCTCCTTCCCTCTTGACTCCATTCTGTTGATCGCCTTTGAGCCCTCTAGGGTAGCGCACACTTGATAGTGAGGAGCAATAGCCAACCACAAAGACACCAACACCCACGTATGTAGTAAGCAGCGGCGGTTCGTAACTCCTAAAACGACGACCTACCTTTTACTGCGACCGCTTGAACAACACTCTGACGATACCTAGCGAGAGGGCTCGGCAGTATGATTAGTAAATCTCCTACTATATTTAGTGACCTGTTGTTTGCGCTGGTTCCAACCGGGAAGTTTAATCTGCCTTGAGAGCCGCTAACACATAACAATTTCTACGAAACGAATAAAGACACATGATCTGGGTATGTGAGTGCGTGCTCAAGTACAGTCTGCAACTTAACAGTGATTGGGTCTAAGCGTGTATATTGACCGTCGAAGATAGCTAACTGTAAAATAATGAATCTACCCTTATGAACTCCTTGCATCCCAAAAGGAAAGAGTGAAATTCTGCTGAACACAAGCAGGTCAGACTTGAATGACAATTGCCAAAACCCCCCTTCCCCGTACATTCCCCTAGTACCTTACTTTGGATGAGATGTGTTGCTAACACTGCTCCCAGCCAATTCAAAATGCTGCCCCAAATTTCTCAATGCAGTACGACTGTTCCTACTAGTGACCCTGTGTCCACCCATGAGTATACTATCAAGGTCAAATGGAAGATGTGGCTTACAAACTTAGTCCTTCTTGTAGTTGGAGGTCAAGATCTTGGTCATGTCTTCGATGACCTCACCAGCCCTGCCCTTGGAGTCGGACACTGTGTTGCTGGTGATCTGAATGATTCCTCGGAATCTGGATTCACTGGCCTGGTACCTGCCGCCAGACCATGAGCCCATCTTGCTGACGATTCTCTCCTTAATGTCATCTTTGTCATCGTCATCAACCTCGTACTCCTTGGAGGTGGAAGTGCGTTGCTCCCCCATCTGCCCGCCGTTGTACCTCTGGATGTAGCTGACATTGATTTTGTCGGCCAAGACGCTGGTTGCCAACAAGAAGAAAGCGAGAATGGCTACCTTAACGTTGAACATCTTGATATGTTTGGAAAAGCAGGGTTGGAATCTTTTGAACTAGATAACTGGGAAACGTTGGAAGTGTTCTTGCAAGTGTCTGTATGAGATGATTCTTCTGAGTGTGCTGGAGAAAAGTATCATGTTGGATAGTCCAGTGATCTTTTTATACTTCTTCTACGCCGTGTCATCTCGGAACTATTTTTGGATCTTATAGAGCGTTACATTGTAGGAGGAGTTAACTATTCTCGGATCTACGCATACATCTTCCCTGGGCATGTCTTCTGGCCTGAGCCAACTTGCTTTGAGCCATCAGGAGCGGGCGGTGCTGGTAGATCACCATCGAGAACAGGAGTATAATGAAGATCCGAGTAGACGCCCAATTTCCCTGAAGAAATGGAAGCCGACTAAATATGGAAGCTCGTCACAATAAGGATGCTGAGCGGACCCTGGAAAACTAGAAGGATTGTACAGGCAAGGAAACGCTACGCTAGCTCTATTGAGCTCGCTTGAATCGGTAATTTATATGCTATATGATATCATATTCAGGTTCAACACTTTCCAGTTTCCCTCTATATTCTGATCTATATTCTGGGCTGGGTCGCGTTGGTTATAGAGGATTGCGCTAGCTTTCACCAATCCTACCAGCGGCTCAGCATCCAGTGTTAGGCCATACGATATATGAGCGCAGTCGCTCATTACTCTTCGTGGAACGATAAAAAATTCAATTGGTACTTGCAGATGAGATAACCGTTGTTTGTCTCTATTTTTAGCCTTGCTATCCCACCACCTAGGAAATGATCGCCAGGGGCCCACTGATAAGCTAAGCAAGCAATGACGTTTCTTAGCCAGGGCACATTCCTGAATGTCGTCTCCGACATGGGATCGCAATCCTTCTTCCCCACAATTGGAGCCAGGTCGACATCACCAATACTGCTATCGAAGGATTCTCCGTGGTACCAAGCGAGGCTTTGCCAGAGTTCACGGCGATCTATCCTGCTACTGGCTAATGTATAGTGTTGCCGGAAACTGAACTGGACCTGGTTTACTGGAGAGTACACGCCAACAGGGATTGGTCGCCCGACCTTAAGCAACAGGAAAACCGACAGATTTCAGTATAAACACTACAGTCAACTCAGATCAAACGGTGAGAAACAAAGCGCTTCTACAGGAGTTTCTTCAGGAGAAATCCCACCCTCAGTCTTGAACCTTACTTCCTACCTCATACAGTTTCTCCATTCAGTCTGATACGCCCCTTCATCAGTCAATCATTCAGGCATTATGACGACAACAACAACAACAAACGAACCTTCGTCATTTTCACTGTTCTCTGCTCTCCCCCCGGAGCTACGCGTCCAGGTGTGGGACCACGCACTACCCTATGTCGGGCCAGCCTTGCACTTCTACAAGAAAGGGTACTGGCGTCTCCAGCACCTCACTGAAGCCGACGTGGACTACGACCCTCATGACGAAGATAATCTGCACATCTCATTCCGCCATGACTTATTAGACGATGTCAGGTTTGAATTACCCTCGACTTTCGTTAACCGTGAGGCCCATGACGTCACCTTGGCCTGGCTTCGCGACCATGGTATCCAGGTTAGGCGCCTCGAGGATGGAGAATCCCAGGATGAAAAATGTTCTACATTCGTGCGACTATTTGACCCAAAGAATGATATTTTGTTTGTTGAGTTCGATAAATGGGAAGATTTTATTTGCGAACCAGACGACCGTCATTTTGAGCCGGACATTCAGGGAAAGATGGTCAGCTTGTCATCAGATCTAACGCAGATTGCTTTACCTGAGGCGTTGCTGCTGAAGGAAGCCGATACGTTACCAGAGTTGTTCAGAAGCTATTTCAATGTACGCGTGCTGTTTGTGATTATCAACGAACAGCCGGAACTCCAGCATGACGGTGACAGTACCAAGCCGCAGGCGCCGTGGAAGGTAGACAGCGCACAGGGAGGGGCATTTGCCTGGAACCCTGACCGCGGTGCTTTCGACTTCACTGGCAGCGATAAAACTCAGTGCAGCCAGATAGAGTCAGTCATTCAGCGGTTAGGGAAGGAAATCCCGCAGAATCATATCCACAGATTTGAGGTCCGGCCTGTACTGGCTGTGAAAGGATAACAGTGTTCGTCAACATTTAATGAAATATTTCACGAATGTTACTTTGTTTGTCTGCATTGAAGAGACCATGTCTGATACTCGCAGCTCGGTCGTCGTGTCGTCAGGAGCAACTCTTCTTTTTTTCTTTGTGTAGTTGTCTATCCAGCCCTTCAACATGCAATACTTTGCCGATACTCGGCCCCAAGGCACCGGCAAAGCTTTGAAGGAGTTCGAGACGCTCGTTCCTCGGGCCGCTACTCGGGCGAAATTCCCTCTATATCCTGGTCTTTGATCCCGAGTAAATACTCTGAGATCAAGTATAGGAACCAAAAAGGACATCGGGAATTCTGAGAACATAATAATAACCATGACTATTTAGACAGATAGAATCAACCAATCACAACATCATGAACAGAGGTGCGGCAAGTACAAGGATCACATTTTCGCGGGGTCTACTGGTTTGCTCGAATTATCCAAGAATGATAGTCCTCAACTTCGGCCCTGCATCTACCCATGCCTGTTCACCAACCGAGCCGAGAGCAACCCGGTAAGCTATACCACCAACCTCTTCGATCAACATGACTCTCAGTGTCCATTCAGCGTGATCATGATTCATAAGTAGCACCCTATTATCATTGAGACCATTCTGGTTTTCGGCAAAAGTACCCATCAACCGTTGTCGAGTGGAAGCCATGCGGTTGACCGGCTTCTGTCGGGTCTTCACCGCACAGATCGCAATGAACGTATGTGTCTCGTTGAGGTCTAGATCAATAGCCGTGTTGTCATCGATTTCCATCGAACCAACCCTTGTTTCTCTAGAATATAGATCCAAAATGCGAGTCGTGGTTCGCTGATCCCTGGGTCGCACACCCAACCTCAAGGAAGCCGCAGTTGTGCTAAATCTCAAGCAGTTCAACGGTACGCTGGGTTGTGGCGCAACAATTTTGATGGATGGGCCTCTTCTAGCTTCGATTTGGTCCAATAAAAGTAGCGCAGGATCGGTTCCATCGCACTCGACATGTGTTCGGGCTTCCAGAGATGTGCGTAATAGTCCATAAGGCGTATCAACCGGATGCCAGGGCTCCGAAACAATCTCTCGTAAATTGTTATCAGGACCCGCGATGTATAACCCATTTAACGACTTGATCTCGCTCTTGGTATTCTTGTATACCACCCGACCAGACCATGCCGTCCAACTCCAGCTAGGTTCTTCGGCTAGTTGAATTCTTCCGCTTGGCCCTGAGCTTTCCCACAGAAGAGACTGCAGAAAATATGATACTGGAAGACCAAATAGCACGGGGCTATTGAGCATGCCGGAAAGTGCATGGCTTACACCAGCGAATGCGTGGGCCCTATCCTTCTCATAGGACAATTTTCTGGATGTGTAGTCGGATACACAAGTTCTGTACGCCTGCAAAGTATCGACTTGGTTAACGTTGGAAATAGCATTACGATTCCGCATGCCATTCTGGCGTTCGGACCTTTGCAGCATTCGACCAAGATCTTCTTGGAATATTACCTCCGCGCAGCTAAAGTAAACCTGGTATCTCGTGACAATCAGACACCTTGGAGACAATAGACGCTCCTGGAAGGTCCACCCTCGTGTGTTCCATTCCGACCCGTTCACAGTGACATGATAGTTTATGTCAAGTTTCTGAAGGCCGGCCTTGAACAACCGGGTATCATTTCGTAGAAATGAATGTCTGGGTCGGTGTGGCACACCGCGGAGCCCGAAATGCGCATCGTCTGAAGCGGCTACGAGCGTGAAAGCCGCCATCCCATAAATAATATCCATGGCGCATACTTGCGCGTGAAGTGATTTGGCATCGTCTTGGACGATACAAAGTTTATCAACCCATATGTACCTCTCGTCAAGCTGCCGGCAAAGCCAGATGGTGTCCCCAATCAGTGCCGGCAACTGCTCAAGCTTGACGCCGCCAGGTTGGTGGAGTGCCATCAGATTTGCACTGCATAGTTGCAAATGTTTGTCGCTGATATGCACTTTCTTCCACACATAACTCAGAGCCACGAATCGAGCAGATTTGGGGGCTTCCGTAACACACATTTTCTCAATGTCAATCAGCCTGCAACCATCTGGAAGTTCTGCGGGCGGTTTTCGACATTGTACATGGTGCCGCTCACATGTTCTCACCCATTCTTTGATGAGGTCGACGTCAAATGACGCGTTTTCTTCCCACAATCCTAGGTACGTTAAGCCTTCGCTCCCGCTGTAGGAGACCGTGAGGGGGATCGGCACTTTAGGTGCGAGCCAATAACCCTTGGACTTCAGTAATAGATTAGGTCCATCTGCCACCGGATCGTGGATGTCTACGTAAAGGACGCAAGTTGCTCTTTGGCCATCTCGAAAGGCGTGCAGCTCATAGTTTTCCCGATGCGTAGCAAACTCATCGTACGGGTCATGCTTCTGCACAAAGAATGCTGAGCCCACATAGATCTGCAATCCTGCAATTTGCGCATCTTGGCCCATTTCAGATAGTTTGGATAGGACAGCGGAGCTAATGATTGAGCAGGCGGTACATATGGGACTCTTTGAGATAATGTGCTCCAGAGGCCGGAGCTCAAACGCTTGCACATCCTGCGTCATTACCCGAAAGAAATGGTTGGCAACATTCCAGTCTGAATGCTCAGAGCAAAAGATGGGTGGCATCGGCGAGCTTGCCTGGTCCTGGTCGAAAGACTGTTGCACACGCTGTGGGGATTGTGCTTCACGGATATCTTTCCCTAAAGTATCGGTGTTACGGGTATCGCTGGCTCTGTCCTTACGTCCGCTCCGGAAGCTGTGAGTGTTTAGTTCGTTAAACGACTTTTTGATCCTCTGTTGGCGGATGCTGAACCATCTTCGCACTCCCTGGGCCGGTATCGCTACGTCCATCGCTGTTGGTGAGTCGAGGCTTTGCGATGCCATGATTAGCGAGCAACGATACTGAACTGAGATCAGTGCCGTAACTGGCAATTCAAAGGGTTCTAAACCCCCAGAAAGAAAAGTCAGCTCAGTCCGCTCAGTATGGTATGGTGGGGTGTTTGCTGCATACAGCTATGCGGCACTGAGACCATCTGTGCGGGGATCAAGCGACAAGAGCCGCGAAGCTATAATGAGAATTATGCACCAACATTGAGAATGGGAGGCTTTCGCGGAGTCAACCATAATTTTGCCGTGGTGAATCTACTTAGTGCTGCCGCGGCACGTGCTTGTAATCCTGGTGAATCATAAGCTCTACGAGTTGAGGCGCGCTTCTCAGTATCGACTTGTTCTATTTATAGCTGCACATTGTTCTAAATGCAGGCATAACCACGGCAGCTCCCGAGGCTAGTGAAGTCAGTGGGCGGAACAGATTGAGTTTGGGATAGCGTACGGAAATACTCGTCCAGGCCATGGGCGTTGTTCTTCTTCGTGGGTATCCATGAGTTAAGTTAACGCAATCAAAGAAAGGCACAGTTATATTCTACACGCCTTTTGCATCCTAGCCAGACCTGGAGCTTCGTTTCTATATGAGTATATCTTCAATTTTGATGTTCGTTGGCTTCCGATAGTTCAAGTACTGCGACGGCCAAGATTGTTATTCTCTCAGATATTAATCTTAGAGAACTAGAAAATTTTACCTATCAAAAGAAATAATTCCCCTTATCAATACTCCTCTAGGCTCTCATAAACTCGAGGAAACATTGCGTACGTTAATGGTCTATCTGAGTATATAAAGCTAGTTGTGGTATCTGAACATAGAAGTCGAAAGAAGATCATACCATGAACAAAAGAGCAAGGATTGTAGCGGCTAAGAGTTGCGTAAAACCTATGTCGTGCACCTTGACACCTTCGCTTGAGGCTGGCCTCGTGCTATTTGATGCGGATGTGCCAACAGTTGCGTTCAGCTTCTTCTGAACGAATTGAAAGGCCTGCTGTCCATACTTCATCGGATAAGCCTGATGCGATGCTGCATCGACACCTTTTGAGCAAAATGGATCCGTTGCATCACAATAGGACTGTATGATGCTCGCATAGGCAGGACACTGAAAGCCTACCGGGCGTGCAGCAAACTGATATGAAGTCAGTTACAAGGCAGAAGTTTCCTAGATGCGGTACTCACTCCCCCTTCGACTGCAGTCCCCACATTGAACGGCAGTCCATCGACGTGGCGAGGATTCCCCATCATGATGATCGCTGCCACCATGTTGCCCACTTCTTTCGGTACAAGAGACATAGTTGTATTGAGACTGGTTCCGTCGGGCCCACCGCAGAAAGCGTCATCCATGATTTGAGCTCCCTGCGCCAACAGTTAGTTTCCAACTCTTCCGTCAACCCGATAGATTTATTTCACTTACCTGCGAGTAGCCGACCATAACGATTCTTGATTCGGGGCATTGCTGATGAAATGCAGTTGCCTGCTTGGTCACAGCTTCAATGCCCGCGCTGACGCTTATAGCGTACGACGGGTCCGACGAGGCCGGGTATATGATAGCTTCAGAGGTTGCACCGCTGTTTGCTGTTGTGATCATCCTGACCACCAACTGGGACGATCCAAACCCAGGCGGTGCGGTCGTCTCCCGTGCGCCAAAAACGTGGATGGCTGGGCAGTCAGACTGTCGTCGGAGGCTGACTGCCAAGGCCGATGACGCCCCACCAATAAACGAGAGTATTGTTATAACCTTCATGGTGGTCAAATGATTAGTACGTATGAACAATCGCAACGCCGAGGCCTACTGGGGGGATCTATGTAGTTATCTGATTCACTTGCAGGCCATTCGCGTGGGTCGTAATCAACGAAGGCAACTACCGATCATCAATTCATGGGTGAACAACCGAGTGCTTGGTGTCATAGCGTAAAAATTCATACGGTTCAAAGTCCCACCGACCTGAAAAGTGCGATTTGGCAATTCTCAGATGTCTCAAGATGTGTATAGCCTAACAAGTCTGGTGAATGCAGGTCAGGTAAAAGGCCTAGCTGCGTCGGGATGGGCGATCACCCGCTCCTCCAAAACAATTCAGAGTCCGTGGGTTGGGCGGATGTTAGTGACCAGGCTATCACTGGACACTACTTTATCCGCATGAACGTATCGGAGGTTTTCATGATCGGCCAACACTTGAAACTGTGGCAGCCGCAAGGGAGCATTACAGGGACACAGCACACAAGACTGGTCCAATTTTTGTCGGGCCGTGCCCATGGACACTTGCGATCTCGCTGTCCGATCTGCCACGATAGACTTATCTATCCGTGTTTATCACTCGTGAGTGCCTGGAATTTGACACATCACACAAGTCAATCCTTTGCCACATGCAACGTTGCCGCCTTCCAGAGGCCATTATCGATTATAAGATTCACCTTTCTTGCTATCATCCCTGGCCATCAAACTCGAGCACCGCCTCTGCCATGTTGTAACCTTCGCAGGATTTCGCAGTGCAGTAATGTGCAAAACGGAGATAGAACAGCATATGACACGTCAGAACATATGCGCATGGTATATACGACATTGTTAAGCTAATCATTTAGATAGCAGGCCCAGCAAACCGTTGTAAGGCTAACATCCCTAAAAGCTTAGCAGATACAGTCGGAGTTAGCCCGGCTCCAAGCAATTGCGCAATTATAGTCCGTAATCACCTTTAGTGACTTGGGCCAATCAGCACAAGTCATGTGCAGATCCCAGCTCCGTTCCAAGAGTTGGACAAGGTAGAAGCATGGCGACAATGTGCTCCATAATCGCGACAGGAGAGCACGCTTACCTCTGAGTAATTGCTGTGGTGACTAGATTCTCGAGCTAAAGTAAGCGCTTTCGCTCTGTTATTCAGTACCACATCAACATCTTGTCCTAAGCAAATGGGCGTCACTGGCTCTGGAGTCAATTTGAAACGCGGTAACTCAAAAGACCATTTAAATCTGTCTTTTTCAAGTTGTGACCGTGGAGTCCTCGGAAACGACCCCGCTGCTCGGAATGAGCTCCAAAGTAGAGGTCGGCCCGGACAAGGAGACGGCCATTACTGAGTCGTCCTCAGATCACAATGACACGAGTGTTGTCGAGTTCGGGCCGTCCAGGGAGAAGGCACCGTGGTGGTCCTACATATGGGATTACGAACCTGGCCGGTCACATGAGGAGCGCAAGTTCATCCAGAAGCTCGACGTATTCCTCATCACAATGCTGTCGCTGGGGTACTTCATCAAGAACCTCGATCAGACGAACATTTCTAATGCGTTTGTGAGCGGCATGAAGGAAGACTTGGCGATGAATGGTAATGAGATCAACCTTATTGACACAGCGTGGACGGTAGGCTACGTGGTTGGACAAATTCCGTCCCAAATTGTCTTGACCAAAGTCCGACCGTCTATTTGGGTGCCATCGTGTGAGTTGCTCTGGACTGTCTTGACATTCTGTCTCGCTGCGGCCAAGACGTCGAATCATGTCATTGCCATTCGTTTCTTCGTGGGCCTGGCGGAGTCCATATTCTACCCAGCCGCCCACACGATCCTTGGGAGCTGGTACAAGCCATCGGAGCTAGGCAAGCGAGCTTGCATCTTTCATGCTTCGTCGGCTGCCGCTAGCATGTTCAGTGGATATCTGCAAGCCGGAGTTTATACTGGGCTCAACGGTGTTCACGGTCTACCAGGATGGAAATGGCTCTTTGTAGGTGTATACGATCCTCGAAGGGCGAGCTTGGAAAGTTTTGACAGAGAAGTAGATCATGGATGGAGTCATCAGTCTCCCTATCTGCCTTGCCGGATTCTTCCTACTCCCTGATCTTCCCGAGAACACGCGAGCGTTCTATTTGAATGAAAATGTGAGTTGCGGAGCCCGAGATCTACAGACTGATCTAACCCCAAACAAAAGGACCGTACGTTAGCCAAGAAGCGGATGGCACTGGTCGGACGGTCGCCTCGTGGTAATCTGGGGCGGTCTGCCTTCAAACGGATTTTCGGTATTACTTCCCACATCTTCACCCCATTCTGTAGATGGCTTACACGAATCGTAGGGCGATGGCACATTTATCTTCTGTCTATCCTGTATATCATTTTCATCAACGTTGGCCCAAGTTCCAGCGTGAACCCGATGTCGCTGTGGCTGAAAGCAACAGGCCATTCAGTGTCGCAGATTGTAAGTGCTTGATGAGAATACCATCTTTATTTTCCTGAAGAAGCTGGCCAGACTCTAAACGAGTGCAGAACATCATTCCGACGGCAGCTAGTGCTATTCAGCTTGTCCTGACCGTGTCGTTCGCCATCGTGTCGGACGCGATAAGGCATCGCGCCAGGGTTATGTCGGTTTCGACGTTTTTGGGCGGGTTTGCGGCTCTATGCTTGGCGATATGGAACATCCCGGATGGCCTCAAGTGGTTCGCGTTCCTCCTTCAGAGAGCATCGATCCCTTACGGACCGCTCAGCATGAGTTGGGCCAACGAGATATGCGGCGCGGATGCGGAAGAGCGGGCCATCGTCATTGGTGTCATGAACTCGCTGGGCTACGCTTTCAACGCGTGGGTGCCTCTCCTGACTTACCCGCAGGTGGATGCTCCCACTTTCCGGAAGGGCTTTATCTTCTCGACGGTGGCCTTCGGCGCACAGGGGGTTGTCACTGCGACGATTGCTTTTATGTATAAACGAGACCTGAAGAGGAAGCGGGTCGAGACGACACAGGACGAAGAGGGCGTGGTTATAGGGCCTCCGGCGGAATAGCTAAGTTGGCTGAAGTACCTGGGTACATGGCAGTCAATTGGCTCAACTATCACAACCAGGCTAGGTAGACAAAACATAAGCCGCTCTGTACCGCCTGTTAGCTACCTAGATATATGGAAGGTGGGCGAATATCGCTCTATATTTATACAAACATACACCTTGACATATCTACATCCATGTCTATGCATTTTGCCATTGCTATACCCTTGGACAGCTAACTTAGCTGACGAACCCCCAACTCGGGAGATGTTCGAGATGCACACCGCATACGGCTAAGTCAAAACAAGGCTTGGCAGGCCCGGGCCCCGGGGTATTGATCCAGTGGCTTGGGCCCCCGCGCAATGGCATCTGGCCAGCTGGGGAGCGCGGGTCCACTGCGTCATGCGCCCCTCTCTCAGCGCTTCCGGCTTGGGCAGGTGTCGCAAGTCAGTCGGGGCTCAGGGGCTCCTAGGCAACGGTCAGCTGTCGCAGCTCTTATCGCGTGATTCCGAGCTGCATCTCAGAGCTTCCCAGCTCCCATGTGGTCCAGACACTCTCAACCAACATCCATTCCCTTGCTCTCCGAACCCATCGCCACTGTATCAAGTCCAAGATGAAGGCCTCATTGCTGGCATTGCTGTTGCCGGCGGCGGCAAGCGCCCGTTTCATCGAGGCGAACGAGATAAACCGTGTCATTCCTTTCCCAGATGGGCTACTCGACGAAGCCGCCGAGCAATCGGTCGAGAAATTCTTGATTGAGACCGCCCCCGGCGAGACGAGATGGGTCACTGAAGACCAGAAATGGGAGCTGCGACGGGTAAGGGCTGCCGTTGTCATTACAACCACGTCGCCGCAGCTGTGTCGCTAACATGTCACTCCCCTACAGAATGGCCAGGAATTCATGGATATTACCGACCACGGCGACCTCGGATCCTACCACGTCAAGACCGCTGCGAAGCCCATCTTCCCATCGAAAGTGAAGCTCCAATCCGAGGTCAAGCCTCTTCTGAAGAACTTGACCAAGTCGTTCCTTCAGGAGCACCTGGAGAAGTTCACCAGCTTCCGCACCCGCTACTACAAGTCCGACTACGGCCGACAGTCGTCCGAATGGTTGTTGAAGACGGTGCAGGACACCATCAAGGATGCAGGCGCCGATGAATATGGTGTGACCGCGAAACACTTCAAACACCCATGGGACCAAAACTCCATCATTGCCACCATTCCTGGTCAGTCCAACGAGACCATCGTGATCGGTGCCCACCAGGACTCGATCAACCTGTGGCTGCCCTCTCTACTCCCCGCGCCCGGCGCCGACGACGATGGCAGTGGCACCGTGACTATCCTGGAGGCGTTCCGCGTGCTGTTGCAGTCGCAGGATGTCATCAAGGGCAAAGCACCCAACACGATCGAGTTCCACTGGTATTCGGCCGAGGAGGGCGGCCTGCTCGGCAGCCAGGCCATCTTCTCAGACTATGAGAAGAAGGGCCGCATCGTCAAAGCTATGTTGCAGCAGGACATGACCGGCTTCGTCCAGGGCACCCTCGACGCTGGCAAGCCCGAGAGCGTCGGCGTCATCACGGATTTCGTCGACCCTGGCTTGACGGCCTTCATCAAGAAGGTGATTGAGGCTTACTGCGAGATTCCCTGGGTCGAGACCAAGTGCGGATATGCTTGCTCAGATCATGCCTCTGCCTCCAAGGCTGGATACCCCTCTGCTTTTGTCATCGAGTCTGCCTTTGGTGACTCGGACAAGCATATCCATGGCACTGATGACTTGATCGACTACCTCTCGTTCGACCACATGCTTCAACATGCACGTATGACTCTCGGTCTTGTTTACGAGCTAGGCTTCACCGACTTTGCAAAGCTTGAGAACAAGGCGAACATGGGCGAACTGTGAGGTGCAATTTCTGCAGTTTCATAACCGGGAATCGTCCATTTCACACATCAACTTCTTTCTCAGCGATACGCAAACTAGATAGAATAAATACAGACACATTATGGGAGGCTCTTTGAATGTATTACTAGTGCGTCGTGCCTAGACCATGCTCGTTTCACTCCCGCGCGCCAGTTGCGACGCTCTTCAGTTCCTTGGAGCCAAGGCGAGCCCCGCGCCACAAGATAGAAGGAGCTAGGTATAGTAACATAGGGCAAGGTACTGAGAACGTTTTAGGTTCTCATCATGACAGCGTCTGACGTCACTTGTTCGCGTTTCTAGCTCTTGGTATTGCCATTTCCTGAAAGCATGGCACAGCACCAAGACAATCGAGACGTGCCGAATGACCTGGCTGCACGGCCTGGGGTCATGGCCAGACTCACAAGCTGGAGGTATTGCTCTCCATCCGATTACGCGGCAGTGGCATTGTCAGAGATCTTCGGGCAAAGTAGGTCATTACTAGTGTCGCAGATTTGCGCCTATGTTGAATCAAGGACTTGATTGGAAGAATAATATAAGGACCTCGCGACGTGTCTAACCCGCAGGATTAACACGCCGGCTCAACGGCAAGCAGCTAGCTTGCACATGTTCAGTGACGCAAGTGTATCCTGGTTTCTTGGCATTAGTCTGTTCTAACCTCCACACAGGATTTCGGCTAACCACCATCACGGCAACCACGGCACATACTTAACCTTTCACGCTCCCGTCATGGATCACAGCCTTGGTTCCCCACTTAATTCACCCTCTTCGGACGCGTAACCTACGTTCAGATTACTATATGTATAGCGACAATGTCTTCGACCGGGTTACCAAAGCTTGGCAGTGTTCTCTATCAAACTTTCGTCGAGTTTCCCTGCAGTGCACTTACCATTCCAAGGCAAAGCGATCCAAACGTTACTGCGATGTCGAGCCGTAGTGCCAACGGTGACTCCAGCCACACCATCAAGAATTCTCTTGTCCAGTCATGCCAGTCACCTGAGAGCGTATCGTGTCTCTTGGGCAAAGATCCCAGTCTTACACCGGGGGAGGCGTGGAAGAAATTGACCAGCCACAAGACAGAAGGTCTGCATACTTCGCAACACATCAGTGATGACGGGAAAGATAGAGCAGCGGACCATGAGCTAGATCTTGCCTATGCTTGTGGTAGCTGGGGTCCGAACCGACCCAGTGATTTGTTTCTCAAAGTTAGTTGCATATCTTCGTGGGTATTTCTAAATACTAACTCCGAAAAGTTATATCATGATTCGCTGAGTACCCTAAATGAGCACCCGGATCACGGAATGGTGAGCCCGTCTTTGCTCGGCAGTAATGGAGTTGCACCACTAACCATCATCTCCGTGTAAGCGCACATGTAGCTTTAACCTTTGATGTATAATGCTGACACTCGATAGAATACCAGACATCGTAAGACATATGTCGAACCTGATAGTCCGGGCCGACAGAGAAGTCTTTCTTGCGACCAACTACTGGCAGAACAGCGTGGCATCGGCGTTTATAACGAATGCGATGAAAGAGCTCTCCCGCCGTGCAGGTGAGCGAGGCACGAGAATAGTGATGAAGGTCATATATGATCGGGGCAGCCCGAAACAACTTTTCGAGCCGCACTACATTGTCTCTGAGAAGGAGTACACCGGGAAAGCTGTTGGGCTTCCGGCAAAGCATGAGATACCCAACATTGACCTTGAGGTCATGAATTACCATGACCCATTACTTGGAACATTTCATTCCAAGTTCATGGTTGTTGACCGGAAAATTGGTATTGTGCAGAGCAATAACATCCAGGACAATGACAACCTGGAGATGATGGTGCATGTGGAAGGGCCCATCGTGGATGGGCTCTACGACATGGCGCTCTTGAGCTGGCACAAGAGACTTGACCCTTCTCTCCCGAGCCGTGATAGCTCTGCAGCTGAAGGCGGGACGCAACGCTCTAGCCCGAGTCATGATATTGCGTCTACTTCTAATAGGTCGCTTGAAACCCATCCTCCGAAGACTGATCAAAGGGCTGCCGCCTTTGGGCCGCAGGCCGACGAACACCTCGCCCCTGACCTCACACCATCAGCCCTCAAGAACACGGAGCCTCCAGTGGGAGGTTCAGACTCAGCAGAAGGACATTCAACAGGTCAGGTTTTACCTGCAAATGCTACCAATGACTCTCACCATTTCCATCAAACAGATGCTACAGGCTCAGAAACCCAGGGACGTCCCCAATGCAAGCAGCAGGAAGCCCTCCCAGAACACACCGCCGAAGACCCGCACTACGATATTGATATCGCCGGTGAGATCGCCCGTGTTCAAGTGGCTGTCTCCGCGAAACCTCATGAAACACAACTGGAGGCTATCACACGACACCTCAACCACACAACCAACAAGGATGTCAAAGGCGACCCTGCTGCGTCCTCGCAAGCAGAGGAAATGACCCCATATATATCTCACCCTACCCATGAGCCGTTCCCGATAGCACTGGTCAACAGATCCCCCTATGGACCACCGAACCACAAATCCGTCTCGAACCCCCAGAATGCGGCCTGGCTGTCGGCACTGCGCAACGCTACAAAGAACGTTTTCATCCAGTCACCAACACTAAATGCTGAACCTCTCGTCCCGGCGATCATCCAGGCTTGTGAACGAGGGATCGATGTCTATTGCTATATCTGCCTTGGATACAACGACGCCGTAAGTTTCTCTCAAACCTTCCCCTCCCTGGAGTTGTCGTCTGAACGTCTTGACTAGGGTGAACTGCTACCGATGCAAGGAGGCCACAACGAGATGGTTGCCAACCATCTCTACAAGGCCATGTCCCTCTCGGCGCGCCAGCACTTACACTACTTCTGGTACGTGGGCAAGGACCAGACACGCCCCATCGTCGCAGAGTCGAAGCGCCGCTCCTGCCACATCAAGCTCATGATCGTGGACGAGTGCATTGGCATCGTCGGCTCCGGCAACCAGGACACGCAGAGCTGGTTCCACAGCCAGGAAGTAAACATCATGCTGGAGAGTCGGGAGGTGTGCGCACAGTGGATCGAAGGGCTGAGGCGGAACCAGAACACGCATCGATATGGTGCCGTGGGACGCGACGACGGGGTCTGGAGGGACGCCGACGGCAAGGAGGCTCAGGGGGCTACTGGTGTTGACCCTGGGCATTTCAGCTGGGCCAAGGGGCTCGTGGGAGCTGTCAAGAGAGTCAAGGGAACAGGAGGATTCTGAGTAGAAGGTGTTTAAATACAGTCAAACCACGCGAGGGCTGGGTTGATCGGCATTAAACGTTCTGGTGGATTTTGTCATTGCTGGTACTGCCGGACATTGGAAAGCCAGGCGCCGGCGCCGTGATACATATAATTGTAGTTATAATGGATAATAAATAACGAATTCCAACAACTAATAGCCCTTGACTCGTAATATCTACCATACTGGTATTGCACGGTAAGCTGGATTTTGATCTGGGTGGACATGTCCCTCTTAAGTCAACCGGCTGCTTGTCCACGTCCGAAGGGTAGGCAACAGTCGGAACACATAGGTCCTCTTTGTGAGGAATACTCACTCGTCAAGTCCAGGTTGATAGGTTAAATGAGCCGTATGTGAGATCTGGATGGTGATTGGCCACACTGAGCTGCATGAAGCTTTGTGAGTCATCTTGGATAAGCACGCAACATCGACTTATGTGTGAGCCCGCACAATAGTGAAATGAGATGTTACCACGGCCGAGAAACATTCATGTTCTTCAGGTTACCTAGGCCTATATACAATGGCTCCGCTCAACGAGGCAGAAATGGAGGAGTTGGTGTTCCGCATCTTAAAGGATCTATCGGAGACGCCATACGCTTGCTCCGAACTGATGCATTTGACAAGTGGTACTACGAACTTCGTTTTCCGCGGCAGTCTGTTGTGTCCACTGTCGTCAAGCGCAAGGCACTTTCCGCAGAATTTCGTAATAGTCAAGCACTCTACGGCCTTTGCAGCGGTCAACAAGGACTTTCCCCTTGATGTCACACGATCGGTATTCAGCCCGCCACTATGTTGCCCTCCCTCAGTCCTATCAACTACACCAGTCAAGCTCCAAGAAGGACATATCTCTAATTCGTTTACAGCAATTCGAGGAGACGATGCTTCATGCCCTGGGCCACTTCACATCCATCGCCACAGTGCAAACTCCGCGTCTATACCTATTCAACCGTACAACTAACACACAAGTCATTGAGTATTTTCCGGGTGTGATCGAATTGAAATCTCTCCTTGCCTCGAGCGATGTCTCTGAACCGACCGCAAGATCTATCGGTCACGATCTCGGAAAGTGGCTCAAAGCGTTCCATGATTGGGCCTCAGCCCCGGACCAGATGGGGCTGAGAATAGAGATCGAAAAGAACAGGATTATGCGCCACTTGAAGTACCAGATCACGTATGCTAGATTCATTGATGTACTGCAGAAGTTTCCGGAGTTGATTGAAGGGCATGGGAAGGCGCTGAGAGAAATCCAAGAGATGGCGTTCAAGGACTTCAAGAAGACACCATCGGAGGACGACGGGGACGACTGGGGCCTCATACATGGTGATTTCTGGTCAGCAAAGTAAGTAAGAGATCTTGCCTCACAGCATACGTTGTGTCTCTAATGCACGTCTGCGCGCAGCGTGCTACTGCCACCGTCTCCGCGGATGGAAACGAAGGGCTCGACGAGCCTCTTGGTCATCGACTGGGAATACGCTCAATATGGACGCCGAGAATACGACATTGGCAATATGATTGGTGACCTTATTGAGCGCTGGCATTTCGGACGGCTTCATAGCTTCGTTTGGGCTATTCAAGGGTTCGTCAAAGGATACGGCGGCATTGGCGACGAGATGGCCTTCCGTACCGCAATCTACGCGGGCGTTCATTTAATAAACTGGTACAATCGTGGTCCTTCAAAGCCCAATAATGACGAAACATTAAGCGCATTGCGTCTTGGTAGGGATCTAGTCGTAAAGGGATGGGAGAAGGATCGAACTTGGTTGTTGAGCAGCGTACTAGAACACTTATTTCAGACCACCTGAATTGCTTCACATTACGATTCATAGATCCAAATCAAAAAGAAGTCCATACCAGCGAAATCAGGTGAGAACGATCACTAGAAGAGCGACATAAAGAAGAAACGGTGCGGACTTGATCACACACAGCGTCAAAGATTGAACAGGATTGTCCGCAAAGAACAACAATAACAGCAATGGTTCAATTGGGGGAGGGTAGTCAACGTACCTCTTTCAACCTTTTTGGGTATTTATTTGAGATTATTTGGTCTCAGTTCGCTGAGGCCATCACGTCTCTATGATCAGTTTGTACAGTTCTGGTAGGACCGCCTATCCTAGCCATGAGGGCAGTCAGGGTTGTTTGGCAGGAGCCAGCGAAATGCTCAGTTCTTAGAGGATCTGTGTTTAAATTGTCAGTGTCACACATTTGACGATTTAACCATTGTTGTTGTTGTCGTTAGAAAATGCTATATTTATTCGACCACAGCAAAATTGGACGGCCGTTGCCTAGCCACCAAGCCATCCACATCCTGTTTTGCAACACAACCTGGAAGGTAGCTAGATGTGCAAGTAGAGACGAGAATAATGACCCTTCCCATCAAACCTTCTCCGCAGGTTCACCGAGGTGCATCTACATAAAGACAGGGAAGCTTATGTTGCACTTAGAGGCCAGACTTCAGTAAAAGGGGTGCACAACTCTCCCTCTCGCCGCCTTGCACTGGATATGCGTTGAGTTCTTGAGTTGATCCTAGGACTTAGGCCCTTCTTAGCTGAGAGAAGTGATCACAGGTGTGCAATTCGTACGACTTGCGGCCTTCTGAGAGATATATCCACCTTCGAGTATTGATTTCATGCCCTCAGCCTATCGGGAACCTTTCTGCTCAACAAGCCCGCGCTCTACTCTTTAGTGCCTTAAATTCTTCTCCGCAATACCAGACCACTTATTAATCCACGCAAAAACTTGTCGGTGCCACTCCAGCGAGTTCTCTTCCTTCATCACAAAATGATTCTCGTCCGGAAAGCTCATGAATCTTGCTGGGGTTCCAAGGACCTTGAGGGTACGGTAAGCGGCGAGGCCATCGGTAATGGGGCATCGATAGTCCTTGTCGCTGTGGATGACGAGCATGGGTGTCTTCCAATTCTTCAGCAGATCCGGGCGGGCAGGATTATACCTTTCCAAGCCGTCAAAGTTGCTCCACATGAAGGGAGGGCCGCCGAAAAAGTCGTCCGTTACAACAAAGTCTGTCTGGAGCATGAACGAGGGTAAATGGAAGATGCCGTCGTGGCAAACGAGGGCTTTGAACTAGAAAGAGCATTAGATTCGCATATGCAATCAATACAAGAATGGACAAGACATACCCGGCGGCCAAGCTCATTTCCTTGGATCCAGTTCATCATATAGCCACCATAACTCCCGCCAGCCGCCACTGCATTTTCCATGTCAATGCCGGGCATACTTTTGACATGCTCCAAGCAATTGATGAGATCATCATATGGCCGCGATCCCCAGCTATCTCTAACCCCTAACGACAGATGAGGAAAGTTTTCACAGGGAGAGTGGGCCTTGCTTACCTTCTGCGAAATCCATGCCAAACCCAACGCTACCTGTGATATTTGGTGCCACAACAATATAACCCTGTTCAGCCCAAACAGCCGGGTTCCACTATTGTTCCTGTCAGTACAACGTCCTAAGCTACTGCTCCATACTTAGTCCACGAGCTTACCCTTGTGCTCCATCCGTCTCCCCACGCACCAACGGGTCCTCCATGGACAAGCAGACATAATGGGTACTTCTGCTGAGGATCAAAATCCCGGGGTTTGATAACCCACGCCTGCACGATGTAGTCACCTCCACCCTCAAAATATATCTCCGAAACTTGTTTCGGAGAGAGGCCAAGGTTGCTATGTTGAGATGCGTTGGAGACTATCCACGCCTCCGACTCCAAAGTTGGATCAGTGTTGACAACCTGATAGATCCATGGCTCCACTAGACTTGAACTGGTGACAAAGAGAGCTTCGTCCTTATCCCGCCGAAGGGGGTAGTAGGCCGAAACACTACCGTTTCTCAGGATCGTCCGGGGATATGCGTTGGGTTGGAGATCCACCTGATACAGGCCAGTCCTACCCGCATCTTCGGCGCGGACGTTAAGGGCGTGGCCGCTCGGGGCGAACTCGAAGCCGCTGGGGAATAAATTCCAGCTATTGCCTGTGACCATGGAGAACACGTCTATTGCGCTTCGGGAATCGGGAAGCTTCACAAAGATACTTTGTTCCATCGAGCGCCCGTTAGGTGCCCGTAGGAATCCAACTATTGAGCCGTTAGGGCTGAACCTTGGCTGTGAGCAGTGGCCTTGGTCAGTCCTTGTTCTGGGGTCGATTTCAACCTGCAGGGGGATTCGCTTTGCGCTCTGTGTTACTGGTTCGGAGAATGAATCCAGCGAAACAAGGTAAACGCCCGTGAGTCCTGTCTTCATCGGATCATCAACCTGTGTGTCCCGGGCAGTGAAGACGATTGCATCGTCGCTGATGTCGAACTCGTTGGTGTGACTCCCAGGTTCGTACATATTGGGAGGAGCTTCAAGGTTAGTGCCACCCAATACGTTCCTCAAGGGTTTGTTGAGTTTCCAATCGCCGTCTTCTTTCACTATACTGGAGTACCAGATCGAATACTTTTGTGGTTTCGTATAGGAATCCCACTGAGGCGCAATATCAGGGTTAGAGTCACGTATGATCGGGAGTGGAAGACACTGCACTTACAATGCGAGGTTCCCAGTCCTCTGTAACCCTGGCCGTGTGCTGTTTTTTATCAGATTCCTCATTATAGAGGTTGCCATTTTCGTCTGACAATCCAACGACGACGACAGCAATCGACCCATCCTTGAGCGCCCTGACTTTGAGTGCGCTGACCGGTGCCTCGATGAAATCCACAATGGTTGGTTCAGCAGAAGGGTTCCCAGCATCTGCAAGCTTCACCCAGGTATAACCGCCATCGCCGCCGCAAAGATAGATGACCGAGTTCGACCCGTCGCCCAGCCATAGCACATCACGTGCTTTCTCATCTTCGATCAGCTGCTCCGACTCGCCGGTATCGATACTGAGCACGCGGAACTCCTTCAACGTCTTCCCACCGATAGTGTGAGTTGACTGATAGAAAAGCGCCAGCGTTCCGTCATGATTAGGAACTGCTGGACCTCGCCGAGGGGCAGAAATCAGGAGCTCAGGCGTAAACTTGGGAACAAGCACCATGGTAAATCGCTTTAAGCATGTATACAGTTTCTGCGATGGGTGCTTCCGAGCAGGTGCAGACAAGCCAGTTGCAAGACTTATTAAGAAACGAAAAGTTATTCGCTAGATGTTCGGTCTCTTACGCGGTCATTGCGAAGCTCGATACATGCATGCGAGATGGGATTGAGATGGGTGACGCGGCCGCAGGATCGTCCTCAAAAGAATTCGGCTGCCTGGAATCAGAGCTGGGGCACACCGTTAGTCGTGAGACAAGATGTTAGTGGAGCTGCGGAAACACGAATTGAGCAATTGGTGCTCCTGCTAAACAACTGACGCGAAGAAAGAATACATGAGGTGGAAGTCACTGCCCGAATTGCTGCATTCGCATTTGTTGCATTGAGAAGAAGATCTGAGCATGCTGTGTGTGATCTGGACTCTCTCACAATTGGCTATCCATGCATTTACTTACTGTATGCTGAGGCAGCAGGATTAAGACCACCGAGGTGACATTATATCGCACTACGGTCTACGGAAGATTGCGTAAATACACTGAAGACTGCGTTGACTCCCCAGAATGGTTATTGTCATTCTGAACTCAAATAGGTAGCCTGAAACTCAAGGTGGTAGTGAGTAAATACGTTCTTGAAGTAAGTCTAAAGTATAAGTTACCTATTGGAGTATGGAACGACTACGACTGCTCACAGCTCAGGTGTCCACCGCCAGGACCGGGGTGCATGCAGGATCGACACTGTAGCGGACCGGGACAGCTCCTGTGACACCAAGCACCTTGCCGGGAAGACGAGCACTTGAATACTTGCATAGCACAACTAGAGAACCGCCAGCCCCCCAAGACTACTATGTAAGAAATATCTTACTACCATATCTTACTACCAAGGTCTATCTGATAGCCTCTCGGGTCTCTTTTAACTCAGAGGCGGGTTGTATGAAGTGCGATGATTGCTTATTCTCATGGTCAGAGGCATGGTAATTTCGGCTAGGGCCCCGATAGCGGCACCCACAGCGAGGGAACCAGAGTTCCCAGAGTCCCGGGAGGTGACCTAGCGCTGCCCCATAGGCGGCTCGCGGCGACCTTCCCCGAGCTCCTGGTGCTTATCAGTCCCCAGCTCCGGTGCTCGGCCCAGCTGACGAAAATACGGCACCTCACTCGCCCAACTTCATCTCCAGGATCCCCCCCAGTCCCCAGAGTCATACGATGCCCCGTTAAAAATCCCATCGCAGGAACTACCGTATCGACGACAGGTCCTCGACGGCTGGGTTTGATGATAACGAGCCGCCCTACCTACTTGCTATAATCTTTCCTGCCGCGCTGTTGTAGAGTCTTTCGTTCATCAATTGACCTCCTGGGTGCTCTATGGGAAATCTTTGAATGGCGTCTGCTCCTTTTGCTGTGACATCCAACACGCGAAACCTCAGTGCCGACGGAATGCGTCCCACGTCCTCGAGCTGCTTCCTGAACACGAGGCAGCTGTAAGGCCAGAAGGAAGAGGACCAATCCAACGGGCTTTCCACGTCGTTGCCTGGCCAGTCCGGACCATGAAGGACGAAAGCGGCAGCGAGAATCTGCACATGGATGACAGACTAGCACCGCAACTCAAGTTCGCAGATCCGAAGCTGCCCGTCGCCATGCCGCCGAAACCCTCCGTCGAGGTCAAGTCGCAGCTGCAGCAGACATGGAACACCAAGAACTTGGGCCTACGGCTCGCCGCTGACTTTGCCAGCGCGGCTTGCGCCGCCTCCATGGTGGCGCCCTTGATCTCCGTCATCGACAGGTAGGCAGCCATATTCCATATCCGGAACCACCCAATCCCTCCTAAGGGGGCATCATCAAGCTGACCATGCGCCGTCCAGGTCCATCATGGAAAACGCCTCGGGCCGTCAGACCATGTCCCAGGCCCTCAAGTCCGTGCTAGGCACCCTCCTCACCCGCCCACACACACTGCTCTTCTCCAAGCCGGTCGCGCTGATCTTCATGGTGTACGGCGGCACCTACCTCACGGCCAACACACTCGACACAGCGACGTCCACGCTACATAACAAGCCGGCCTCGCACGTGGCCGCGGGCCCGCTCAAGTTCGCCTCGGGCAGCGCCGCCAACGTCGGCATAGGCATCTACAAGGACCAGGTGTACGTGAAGCTGTTCGGGCCCTCAGGCCCGCCGCGGCCGGTGCCGCTGCCGAGCTACGTGCTGTTCACGCTGCGCGACTGCATGACCATCTTCGCGTCCTTCAACGTGCCGCCGCTGCTGGGCCCGGTGCTGAGCGCGCGCATGTCGGCCGAGCTGCAGAAGCAGGTCTCGGGCCAGACGCTCGCCCAGTTCGCCGCCCCGGCCGCCGTCCAGCTGTTCAGCACGCCCCTGCACCTGCTGGGGCTCGACCTGTACAACCGCCCGGCGCAGACCTGGGCCGAGCGCCTCGCCGCCGTCCGGAAGAACTGGGCCGTCAGCGTCGCGGCCCGCGTGTGCCGCATCGTGCCCGCGTTTGGCTTCGGCGGTACCGTGAATGTCAAGGTGCGGAAGAACCTGATGGAGAAGCTGGCGTGATGCAGGGGCTTTAGTGCCCCGAGGTGTCCGCGTGTGTGCTCCCTTTTCAAGAACAAATACCTTGCGGGTTTTGGAAGTGATTGGCCTTTGGCTATGCTGCGCAAATAGCAGACGAGGCGTTGAGCGATTGTACTGTCTTCCTTGGTTCCGGCGTTGGGGATTTTTGCTGCGCAGATCTATGACTACCATACTAATGTCTCATGATCCATGTTTTAGACTAGAGGATAGACTTCTAGAACGGATGTTTTTCAGGGCTACGTCCGGTCACCGTTGTATAATAGAGTTTGGGTTCAGATCAGGATCTACAGTTGGAGACAAATTTTCAGTATGCAAATATACTCGCGTCGCTCCGTCATCCCGTCTTCTCTAGTGGAATGAAGTGGTGTACAGTCGGGTTTCTAGAGCAGTCCAGAGGCATTCAGTGCCTCGATGATCTTGTCCGCCTCAGTCCCCTGTCGTGACCGATGACGATGCTCCCCTGTATCTATATAGTTCTCCCAAAACCTCAACCCCTCGATCCCATCCTCGCGACACAACACGCCACGCTCTTCGGCCATCTCCAGTTCCTCCTCGGCAACGCCAATACTCCAGCCGAACCGCTCGGCAGTGTCCTGCGCAGTGACACCCCGGCCGAACTCCTGCCAGTCCCAGGAAACTTCACGGTCGGGAGGGATGTCGTGGAGATCCCGGAGCCACACTAGCAAGCCCTTGATCGTCGTCTCGTCTGTCCTGTCACGGCTTTGGACCACCATCACTCCGCTCTTGAATGTCCGCAAGCGAACTGGGAGCTTGAGCTTCTCCCAAAGCCTAGCAGCCTTCTCGAAATCGTTAGGGCTGACGAGTTCGACACCCCCGCGGGCTCTGTTGAACATGGCCCACAAGTCAACCAAGCTGACGATGCCACCGGCCTTCTTTAAGACGCCTCGAGCGTCGTCGGTCAGAAATTCGGCCAAATTGCGAGCCAACTCGGACAGATAGAGGCTCTCTGCACCAGATCCGCTGCCGCCACCAACAATGTCCTTTGTCGTCACTAGACCCAGCTGACTTGCCGACTCGGCCAGTAACGCGTTGGCCTCGGCAGTAGCGCTGTCGGCGCCTCCATTGACCTGCCTAGCAAACGACTCGGCAAGAGCGACAATGTCCTTGGCAGATGCCATGAGGGCTTCAAGATCTTCAAAGGAGCTTCCAATAACCAGCTCGTTGTTCTTGCGTCTGTCGAGCCCCATCTTTTCCAGACCGGCGATACCTGCCGTCCTGGTCCTCCCGGTACCTGACCCAGACCTAGACAGAGAGCCGGATGTTTCATCCCCCATCCTATTGCTCTTTGGCACAGGCGGGGCCTCCTGAAGTAGCCATTTGCGCTGGGTCATGGAGCCCTTGAGTCGTTCGTAAAAGATCTTGTCACCTCCATGCCCACCTCGAAACGAGATCTTCACACTGTCAGGGTTTTCGAGACCAGTGACGCTTCCATAATTGAGGGTTGGTCCGGGCGAGTCGGTCCTGGGACGTTCCTGCGAGGCTTGTGGCGGTGCCTCTTGGGATATCAACGGCCCACCACATATCTCGCAGGAAAGAAGGGAAGGGTGGTTCAAGAAGGTACATCTCGGACATTGAAAGCCAGTCTCAGGGTTGACCACGGCGGTGGATGGGCCGGTGGGTATGTCCAGCACTAGCCCCGTATCATCAGACTGGGGGCGCAGAGGCGTCGGCGCTCTCACATTCGAGACCGAGTTGGAGGCTGGCCTATTCGTGGCATTCGATATCGTTGCCTTCAGGACGTGTGTAAGAGCAGGCTTGATGCCGCATGCCAGGCAGGGGGGCAGGGGGGTATGGACATTGGCAGTAGTCGGGTCGAAATTGGACGGCACGGGATTCGGAAAGCTGCATATTGTGCAGACCCACGTAGCCGAGGTGGCGGGCGACGAAGCTGGAGCAGGAGAGCGAAAGCCGGAGTCGGCACGTGGCCGCGGCGATCCAGAACCGTTGCTCAACGGAGTCGACGTTGCGGCAGCGGCGCGGGATTGTAGGGAGGCTCGTTTGGCCGGCTTGGGGAAGAGCGTCACCTTGGGCGAAGACTTGATGAACCCGGCCTGGAGAGCGGCAGTCAGCGAGGGTGCCGGGTAAGCAGTAGGGCAATAGTGAAGAGAGAATACGTACGTAGAATTCATATCTCTCTACATCTCTGAGGTCGAGAGCCACTGAGTGCTTTCTGGGATCCTGCTTGTCGACGTAGCATATCCGGTGCGACGTCAGGTAGACCTGTCCATTCTGCAGGTTGGGCAGTTTGTATTTTCTTTGTACGAGGATGGAGCGTCAGCCAAGTTCACTCGGGTAAAGGTATGATATGGCATTCAAAGGGCGATATGGCTGCCTTCTTTGCAGAAAGGGCGCATGGGAAACAGAGGGTACAGAGAGAGCAAGACTCACCCCTCATACAACCCCACGTTGTCCTCGACAAAGAGGAGGACTTCATCGGGAAGATACGATGGCCGCAGGGCAGTAGTGAGGTCGATTTGTTTTAGAAACATTCGTCATAGCGGTGAACACGAAAGTTAAGGAACAGGCCTGAGAGAAAGCCGCTGCCAATCGTGCAAGTTGAGGTTCAGATACCTAGTGCCCTCTTGTCGCTGGTGCTGGTGGTTGAGACGAGTTGAACGGGGGGTCGCATTACGTACTGGATGCACACTGTATCGCCCGAACTGCCCAGGTGGGCAGGGTCCCGCCAAGTAGAGCTGTACTCAAGTTACTAGCCCGCTACCGGGTGCTGACGGCATCAGATGATCGCTATCAGCAGCCACCCCGGCACAGCTGAGTACCAGAAGACAAGGCCTGGCCTTCCAGGGTTGCGGGCCTCTTGTTTGTCCGGCCTAGGCAGGCAAGACGGGACAAAGCCCACAGCGGAAGCGCTGGGCCTCCCTGCATACGGTCGGGTGCGTCGTTCCAACAGGCACCTGGGGAGCCAGCCATAGCGAGGCCTCTCACAGGCTCATGGAAGGGCTCCCCATCCGCCCGTAGACCCCTTTGGCTGCTGGCCACTGGCGCCTTTACCTGTGCAGGCGTGCAGGTGGCCTTGTAACCCAAGTTAGCCTTTTGCTCCACTCGCCCACCCCCCATTTCCGCTGGCGCCCAGCCCAAACTTCGACCTTCTCTCCGCGTTAGTTGTTAAACCTTTCGGCCAGCCACGCCACCGCTCACCGTTCTTTCATTTTCAACTTCGACCACCACACACAAAAAATCAATCATCGCCACTCACATCGCCGACGCCTGCTCCCGCTCGCAGTGTTCCATTTGCGCACCACTCCGCGAGACGCTTTGGGATCACAGATACCGATTCTTGATGCTAATGATCCCCATACTAACCGCCCCCAAGCCCTGAACCAAGTCATCCGACAAACACTCAGCACTCGACGACGACAACGATCAACGGCTACCGAAGAATCGACAAACCCGTCCACCTCGCCATGTCGTGGACATCGTCAGTTCCGCCGCCACCAGGCGCAGCATATGGCTACTCACAAAGTGCGTATCCCAGCCAACTGCCATATTTCCCCCCTTCGCCTGTGTCTGGGTCTCTACCCGTTGCCCTTGACACTTCGTCACCGTCGCCACAACATCCTCACCTCGGCTTGACAGCAGACGCTAACAGGACTCTTCAACTAGCTACTACTGCCTTTACTCCCGTACCCGTCAGAACTGGCGGCTTTGGCCAGCCGTTCGCTCAACCTCCGCACCCCAACCTGTATGCCGCTCCTGCTAATCCGCCCCAAACTGTAAACGCGGCATCGGCACCCGGTAGTACACAACACCAGCATCCACAGTCGGAGCAGAAGATTGACTGGCCCGACTCTGTTCGCTCATATGTACAGCGATCTTTTGAGACCAAGAACCTGATCCCCGGCGTTTCGCGCGAGGAGATGCAGACCAAGCTAAAGGAGACCATCTCCCACGCTCGGGACTCCGGTATCATGTACACCACCGACTGGGACAACATGCCCTTGCCCCAGGTCCTGGTCCAGTCTGAGCGCCTGCAGGCCTTGACTGGCTTCGGCCGCATCGGCGGTGTCGCCGACGCCATGGAGCGCGCCCAGTCTCAGCCTACCTCGAAGAAGAGAAAGTCTTCTGATCTGTCTGAAAGTAACCCAATGACTCCCGGGCGTAGTCTCAAGGGCCCTTCCCTCCAGGATCGTATTTCCCAGCCCTCCAGTGACCAGTCCTCGGGAATGGACGCACCTCTCTCTGCCAAAAGTAAGTTTCAGAAACAAGCAGAGAAGCGACAGCGCCGTTTTGATGGCGGTTACAAATCCACCTACCGGTCACCTAGCCCACCGCCTTCCACAGGACCCGTTGTTGGAACCTGTACCGACCTGGAGAAGCGGTATCTCCGCCTGACCTCGGCACCAAAGGCCTCCATGGTGCGACCTGAGCATGTGCTCCACCAGACGCTGGATCTCCTGAAAAAGAAGTGGAGGAAGGAATCGAACTACAACTACATTTGCGACCAGTTCAAGTCGCTCCGTCAGGACTTGACTGTCCAGCGTATTAGAAATGACTTCACTGTCTCGGTCTACGAAATACATGCTCGCATTGCATTGGAAAAGGGGGATCTCGGTGAGTATAATCAGTGCCAGACCCAGCTGCGTGCGCTCTACGCCATGGGTCTGAAGGGGAACCCCGTCGAGTTCAAGGCCTATCGTATCTTGTATTTCATCCACACCGCAAACCGTACTGCGTTGAACGACGCTATTGCCGATCTAACCACAGCAGACAAGGAGGAGCGCGCTATCAAACATGCCCTGAATGTTCGTTCCGCTTTGGCCTTAGGAAATTACCACAGATTCTTCCAGCTCTATCTCGATGTCCCTAATATGGGAGCCTATCTCATGGATATGTTTGTCAAGCGCGAGCGGCTGGCTGCTTTAGCAAACATGTGCAAAGCGTAAGTTTTTCTTGCCCACTCACCCGTCGAACAGCGGATCGCGCTAACTACTGTCACAGTTACAAACCAGACTTGAAACTTCGCTACATCACTGAAGAACTCGCGTTCGAGTCGGATGCCGAAGCCGCGCAATTTATTATCGACCAGAACGGTCAAGAGTTGCTCCAGGAGCGTGAAGATTCCATCATCTTTCTGGCAGGCAATGCCAAGTTTCTGTTCGAGACGGCAAGATCAGAAGCCTTCCGGAGAGTCGATCTCAAAGGCCAGATCTGATTCGCCTCCCGATTTTTCTTTCTTATTTTGTCGCATCCCTGATATTGCAAACAACCTGCCGCCCGTTCGCCCTTCGAACTCGTGACTACGCTGGCGACATCCCGTAGCAGTTCGCCATGTTGAGTGTCGACACGTTACAGTTGATGATGCCTATCGACAAAGGGCGGAAACTCACCTTCCAAACCCGGTTTTGGCTATTGCCACGCAAAGAAGTTCGTTGAGGGGCCCTCCATGCCGAACGTATCGGTACCCTAAAACCTCGCACCACGCGTCGTTATCATTCGTGTCCTACCCTGGCACAAATTTGCACACTGATGGCGTGTGACGAGAGATGATCGGGCCAACATGGACACTGAAGCGAGCGCCTGCGAGAAGGATCCAGCAAGCTCGTGGGTGTCACGACTTGATAAATAGGTGCAATATTGATCTGGCGTTCTGGCGCCTTGGAGTATTTGGACTGATGGTCTCGCGGATGATACCCCACTGAGCGAAGAGGGATTTCGCTGGGCGGCTCGCAGTGTTCGGCCCTGACATCGATGTTTCGCAGAGGCAGGGAATGGAGGTAGCAGAAGGCTGCCGTCCGTAGCCAGTAATGTCCATAGTGCTTGCATCCGTATTTAAAAGAATTGTTTTCTACACGCAAAACTTTAACGCCGAGTGATCATAACATCAATCAGCATTCCATTCTCTTTCAACTATCGTATTCAGTGAGCAAGTATTGGCTGCATTAAACAAACAAAAGCGAGCATATCTAACTACCTGCCTAGGTAACATGATTTAATTCAGCATTGGGTTCAAACCTCAGGCTCGGCTGTATATGACTACCAGAAACCACGATCATCAGATCAATGCGCTACAAAGCAAGCTATTAACGAAGTTCACATTCCTTCGAGCGGCAAGAATCCTTCTCACCACAGAAGATATATTAATGGTTAGGTGGGTTAGGGGTCGGATTCACTTTCCCCCTGCATAATCGTTGAGGAAACGAACTCATGAAGAGTCTATGTTTCCCACTCTAAATACTCACAGAGTCTTGACTCTTTTTGGTGCAATCAGATGCGCGAGGCCGCCGGCTATCGTCATGAACTGTCCGAAGGTCAGCAAGTAAGGCATTCAGCAAGAAACTTTGTTTCGCAGTCCAGATGCCAGGCAAGTTCAATATGTATTTGACATAATCCATGCCTTGTCGTGCTGCGGAGGGAACTTGGATCAGGAGAAAAGACCAGCGGGTGATACTGACCACTTCGTCGAAGAAACGGAAGTACAGTGGCAGAGCCAGGTACGTGTCCCCGTCGTAAAAAGCTCGCAGCATATGAGGTACGTCGGCGAGGGTCCCAAAGCTGCCCGTTGAGAACACATCGCTAAAGAACCTACACTCAGTCAGCTCGAGATCCGGGCGGTCTGTTGTTTCTTGTTGTATGAAGCATTCGAGACATACACGGCCTTGTAGTCCCCCGCCGGGTCCGCTCGCTCTCGTACAACCAAACGCTCCCCCTTGAACCCTTGGATGCTGTGGACAGTCCTCGCCGGAACAAAGAGGACGGGATCGCCTGCGCGGATTACATGCTTCACGCCGTCGATGGTCACGGCCACCCGGCCCTCGAGGACCGTGAAGTGCTCGGAGTGGTGCTTTGATATGCCTCTCAGTGCTTGTTTTCAGAAATAACGTGAACCAAACTCTTTTTGGTGCCACTGCTGCTTAGAGTGACGTAGATCGAGACAGCAGTCAAGGAAGCTTAATGCAGGGGGGATTCTCCATAACAGGGTCCGTATCCTTACCTTGTGCCAGTGTGGAGGGACGTAGAAAGCATCTGTGCCTGATTTACCGGTGCAGATTGTGTCAACGGCGTACCTGTCAATTGAGGTCTCGGGCTCGTCGGCGTTGACTTGGATGTCCACGGTCACACCCTGATCCATGATATTAGTAATTAATTGAATGTGCTTGTAATCATCTGATGAAGTTAGTCTTACTGGACTCATGGTTAACGTTTTGACGGTTTCGAACCCCATGATGGATGATTAAGGAGTCTTGCAGCTCAACAATATAAACAACCTGGAAAACGTCTGGATAACTCCCAAGATGAACAGGTCTGCACTTATCATGCATTTTGCAATTCCGAATTACGTAGTGACACACCTATGTAGCAAGAGCTAATGTAGACGATCTCAAACCCCGCTCGGCTTTGACCCAAAGCGCGAGCGCAAGCTAGTGAGAAAGCAGTATACCATATCATTTAGAGTTCCGCTAACATCCTGCGATCTTCCGGGGCTATACGTATAAGATTGCATAATGCTTACCATCTCAGGCGAACTGGCTTGCACGATCACATATGAACGGCCTGTTGCAAGCAGCTCCGTTATGTACTTGGTATCCTGTTTACTGAGGCCACTCAGGGGGGCATACGGCCTGAAAGGATTTCCAACCGTTTGAAAGTTCGCAAAGCATCAACCGACCAAGAGGGCCGCTGTTTCGACCAAGACACAAGAGTACAAATGGTATATGCGGTGGTGCTCACATGTCATGCAAGAGTTCTTCTTCGTAACAATCTCTCTTGCGTATCTTGCACGTGCCACGGAGTGATACATATCCTAACGACAAGAACGCGCCTTATTCATGCCGAATTCAACTAAGTCTTTGTGGTATCGCATCTATATGCAAACATTGGCATTATAGAATTTGTGCATTTGGAGCCTTGAAGACTAGCGCACGGTATGGCCTTAAGCTGGCGCATGCAAGTGTTCGGCGTGGTAAGAGGAGGCAACTGAACTACCAGGTTAGGTTGGAAGTTCCCAAGCAATGTCTCAACATAGTTCATGTTTACGAATCGACCACTATTGGTGGATGTTACTGTAGTTTTCCTCAGTTACCCTGGGTGTATCGCTCGGTCGTTCACCTCGCGATCAATAAGTACTCACTGGCGGATCCAATCCCAATGTGGTCATATATGCTAGCGAGGTGCCTACTTCTCCTGAGAAAGCCTTTTAAGTCGGGGTAAACGGCAACCAGAGACTCTTTTGCGAGGCGTTTCAATCCTCGGACCCAATGCACATTGTAAGCTGCTTGCCACCACCCACAACTGTCTGTCCGCGTCCATGAGATGAGCGAAAGGTTTCAGCACGGCTGGCGAGACAGTGGAGACGACTATACGGTGTTCCAGTTATGCCAAGCCGATAAGAAGTGATACTCGAAGAGCGCAGAACCTTCAACTACGTCTCATGCCTAATCTAATAGTTTTCCAAGGTTTTGGGAAATATGCCCGGTCATTTATGACATTTCAAGTTCTTCCACCTGTAAGGAAGTAAAGTTTATCTCGGCCAGATATATGTACAAGAGAACTGTCATCGTAAGGTGATATATTTCCACCTCCCGACCTCATTCATAATCTGAATGTGTGAGACTAGGTACCAAGTACCGCGCTGATATGTTGACAGAGGTGGTTTCCACTTAGTTCACTGAGCTGCTTTCCCGGTTCATAACTGACTACAGTTGCTCACCAGCGCTAAGAAGTTGCATAAGATCCTTCTTCTAGAGGACAAAAGTATAATGTAGGGCCAGCAGATTACTAGTTATCATTGAATGCGAACGGACGATATATTGGCTATTGGCAACTGATCGTCTCAAATGCATATGCTCTGACGCTTAGCATTTACTCGATGTATTCAATATTGACTGAATTGATAGTAAGAGTGTACTGCATGGCCCAGTCGTGGTACCAAGGACGTGTAGCTGAACCCGGCATGAAGTCTCCCTTTTTGGGCAATCTCCATCATTCTACTCGTACATAGACTTACAGAGATGTACTGTAGCTAATTCGTCAACACTCGACAATATCGCAACTGCTGGGAGCGAATTGCGAGAATGGAAAGCTCCTTGGCTGTCGACGATGGCCTTGCAAAAAACAAGCGTGAGGTCATTGCCTCTGTGAAAACGGTTATCAGATGGAGGGTGGTTGTTTCAGGGCCCGGAGTCTCCGCCCCCAGTTTCAAGATGGCTTGTGGGTGGCTGCCACACGGGAGCGTGATGATCCGGGGCGCAACGCATGAACTACAGACACCACGCAAGACTGATCCTGGCTACTATTTGGAATCACAATGCGATGTTCGTCCTGATTCTCCGTTTTGTAGCGAATACTTGGGTCTCTACTACGTATTACGAGTGAAATATTCGTCATACCAGGGTCGTCACCCGATGTTCCTTCTGGAAGGGCTATTTAGATGAGATGGACCACAGGTTACCTTGCCGATAACACAACACCTATGTTTTGGCGTCGCGGGCAAAATAAGTTCTCTGAGGCACACTAATTATTGCCTAGCCAATTTCCCCCTACGTCATTTGGGACTTCGGTGGGCTGATGGCGGCATCAGCTTCATACTACGAGCGCCGAGGTGTTGGTTCCTCGATATTGGCGCCAAGTCATCGGAGCTATTGACATTAGCAAGAACTTGGGAAGTCCCCCATCACCAATAAGCAGCTCAGAACAGCAAAGGCAGCCCGGCGCAAAAAAAAAAAAAAAAAGTGATTTACACCCAGTGCCCCCTCCCTCTTCCAACACCAGGGATCAGAACTCGTGAACTGGCGGTTCTTAATGCAGTAACTCGATCGATGGCGGGGTGGGTGTTCCAGAATGAAGCAGGCCCCGCCATCAAAAGGATGCAGCAGCCGTCTGCATGGCGCGAGCAGGGTATTGTGCAAGGAGGCAAGGGTTGGAGATACCGGAGGGGTCCCCGAGAGCAAACCCGGCGAAGAACGGTCAGCACCAATTTAGTTGAGACCGCCGGGTGGAGAGCAGATGAAATGAAACTTTGCCGTAACGAGCTGTCGGGAGAGAAGAAAAGACCTCCCGCATAAGTTTAGTCAATATCCAAAGACGGGCGAATTCCGCAACTGCAAGTCGTCGTGATCCTGCCATTCGATTCTCTGAAGACGCGACTGGGAGCTAATGAGCCCTGCCACATCGTCCAATTACGACTGCAAGCGCCTACAGTTTGACGCGCGCGTATGACAGGGATAGGTAACATGACTGGGCAAGGTGGCGGTCGACAGCAAGCTGTTGGGTGCTTGGTTGGGTTGCTTTCCGCAACATGGTGCATTACTGGTCGTCTTGGGAGACCCTTCCGCAATCGCGGCCCAATCCACTTCATGCATGACCGTACAAACCGACACACAAAATTCGTCATGTAGTCCCAGTTCTGCATGATTGGAACTTGTGCGGCCTTGCGTTCATTCAAGGGCGTCCAATGGTGCAGGTACCTGCAGGTGTTCGTAAATGTCGTGTTAGGGGAGACGGATATATCGCCGAATAAGATTTCACCGTTAGCTAACCAGATCTGACATGGCTGAGAAGGCAACCTCGTCGATAAGCTGTACCATCTGGCTTGAAATATGAACTATTTGAGCTTCACGAAGAGATGGTAAGACCAGACGTAACCTTGACTATCTTGTCAGCCTTGTGCCTAGTGAGGCGATCGTGCTTGATCGTATAGGCGTTGTAGATTTGATCCGAGAACATTCAATAAAGGCAGAGTATAAATCCCATCCACACTAGGGCCAGGGAGTACAAAGGATGGAGTATCATTTAGTGGTACTTTCTACCTCGCGCACTTATTTGACAGGGCTGGCATTCACTGCGAGACCAGACGCTGGAGGTATTGTGCTGGAGGTACTAAAGGAGCGAGCATTGAGGATTCTTTAATGGTCCGTCTACCGTGCAATCAGGCAAGTAGTATGCCTTGTCCATTCCTAGTATCTCGTGGTGCTAGTGATCAGCAAGACTTGGCACTTACTGTGTATATCGATGTGTTTAGCCTCGAGTCATCCAGATCAGAAGGCAATCGATAACTGTCGCCGCATCGACGGTACCCAAGATGAGCCCGTTGTCAATGCCATGTCTTGTCTGTCCCGCAATGAGCTAGCAGATGGGCGGGGCCAAGTTCAGTTTTGAGGCTGTGCAAAGCTGTTGACAGACCTCCTGCCCACACGATCATGTGCGATACTGTGATTCACAGCCGAGGAGGTGTTGGGAGGACTGGAGAAAAGCAGCCAAAGGCCCTTCTGCAGGATCGACGACGGCGGGCCATCGAAATAGTCTTGGCGTCAGGGTAGGTCGAGTCGTGAACACTGCTAATCGTGCATCTAGAAGCTGTAAGTGAGTGTCTAGAAACACATGTACGGTACCCGTCGAGGGTTAAGGTTTCGTGCCGGGTGTCAGTCCGAACTCAAGCAGGCGGCTGCTCGGCAGATCTGAACCTGACAAGTTAGCTTAGTGCCTCCTGTGTAGGTGTAGGTGTAATAGGCATCTACGTACGCTGTATGTCAATGAGTCGTGTTACACAACTAGCCCTTATATTTTTTTATTCTTTTTTTTCTCGTTCTTCCTTTGGCTGCTTTTCTGTGGATGCGCCTCGTCGAGTAAACGCGTGGCACATACAGTTAAGCTGTACGGGTGGGCTCCGGAGCTTGATGAGTCTATGTCTGCTCTTTGCGATTTCCAAAGCTGTCGTTCTCAGTTTCGTCACCCGAGGTGCCGAATGTAACTCTTTTCTTTCCTCTGTGCGGTTGCGATGGGTCCGTGATCGATTCACCCATTCATGGCCAGGGCGGAATGCGATAGGGTGGGGACCAAGCGCAGTGAGGTCTGCAGTAGTTCAGCAGGCTCGCAGCACTCGCCAGCAGCAGAGAGATGGTTCAATGCAGGTCTCATGCGAACCCACAAACACTACCGTGGACTACTGTACGTAGTTGACGGCGAAAATGGGTCGATGCGTAACATGCCTCAACTGTCTGGGTTGCGCTCATCCATCCAAGGCCACGACGATCGTCGTAACTCTCCACAAGGCCGGGTGCAGGTCGCTGGGCAGGGGGAAAGCACTTGGGCCAGGCCTACCAGGTAAGTACCATGTACCCTGTACGCTGGCTTGCAAGCTTAGGTGCCAAATGGATAATTTGGTTGCTTTGCTTCCGATATACGGTACGGAACCTGTGCGCGGGGAAGCACTTGACCGCACAGACGAGGCCTGCCGATTTAGAGATGGAGAGGAAGCCATAATAATAAGCCGCACGGAAACCCAAACCCACGTAGGCTCCCCATTGTATAACATGGGCAGCAGGCGATGGAAGCATCGAAGAAGCCCATGACTTATTTACGACACCTGGGTAACGAGGAGAAGCAGGCACTCTTGTCCCACCCCGGCAACGCCCAGTTCCATTGGCACTTGCTGGCTGGAAGCGCATCCGCGCGGGCCAGAAAACTAAAAGAGGAGCCACACTCCACGAGGCAATCCCGGCCAGACATGGGCGGGCAGGGGCAGGCATGGGCAGGCATGGGCACTGCCGTCCAGTCATGATTCAGTGTCGACGTCGGGACCCGTAGCAGGAATCCAGTACCCATGGATTTTTGCCCAATGCCATTTCGCACCCACCCACCCACAGAACCCATCAGCAAACTGCCCGGCTGCCCTCCACCACTACACCCCCCCAGGCCCCAGGTGCTGCCCCCCAGCTTGCCCAGTGAGCCCAGACGCCCAGCGAAGGCCCGGTCCAGCGACAGCCCAGCGAAAGCCCAGCGAAAAGCCCGCCTAGCAGCTGCCAAACAACCGGAGTGCCAGCCCTGTTCACCCTCATCCGCGCGCGTCGCCCCCCCCCTAAAGTTCACTAAGCCTCCCCCTCCCAACGTCCCTCTCTGCTCACCCACCCAGGCTTGCCAGGCCACCCACACACCCCCCCACCGGATCCAAAAAGTTAGTCCAAGCAGAACGCCCGAGGGTTCCCAAGGTAGAAGTGACATGTCCCGCCCGTTTCTTTTCCAAGCAACGCCCCGTCGATTCGACCAGCTGGGTCCGTAATCCCAGTCCGTCCGCCCTAGCTAGCGGCTGCCAAGGATTGCAAGAGGGCTCCTCTCGCAGTCCTTGTGGGTGATTGATCGAATAGTTCCCCTCCTTTTGACTCTGACTTTGACTCTGCCGTTCGTTCCATCACCTGCACCCGACTCTGGACCTGGGACATCCCGCGACCCTACACGTGTAATCTCGTCCCCCAATCTAGGTCGCGACAACCACCCAAGGAAAGGCGACGACACCTACCGACCGCCATCTCTACCAGAGCATCGCGCGCCGTCCAGCACCAGCCACTGTCGTTGGGAGTCTTGTCTGCCGAGGAGAACCAGCCGGGCAACTTCTCGTCAGGGAACAAAGGGAAAGGGGAAAGAAAAAAAAAAAAATAAACGAGGGCAACCTGGGCACATCACGAGGGTCTGACTTTGCGACAACAAAAATATCTGGTGGCCAAAACACCCAGGGCCATCGTCACCCACGATCAGCAACCATCGCGACCATCCCGAATCCGAAAAGGTTCGGTCTTGAGGTCACCATCCTCAGCCTGCGCCACGGCAGGTCTCACCTCGCACCTCGCGCCCAATCTGCCCATATCTCGCGCCGCCCAACCAAATTTCCGACCTACTTCGCGCCATCGTTCGCTTTTAAGTCATCTTGCGCTCGATACACGTCGTCGTACGGATTCAGACCGGCTGTCGAACCCCACCGTCTCCGACTCTGATCGCCCCCCCCCCCCGAAAGTCTGACCCTCGTCGGCTTCCGCTCAGTCACCAGCTTCAGAGACACAGCGGGGTGGCTCATCTCATCCTGTACCACTCCCACCAGGCCTCCGTCGCCTCTATATCGAACCGTTCCACAAAGTTCAACAGACACATTGTGCGACGATGAAGGTACGCCATAAACCCACCGTTTCCCCCTCCCCCCAACCTATGGCTACCATGCCATGACCCGCCCTCCTCTCCTCTACTTGCGAGACACCCGTGTATGCCCTCATGTGCCCGCAGGATTCCAGCTAGTTCTGCTTGCAATGTGTAGCGTGTTCCTGTAATATGTCGCGCTCGACTTCAAACACAGCTCGTGATTCGAGTACTTCGGCACACACAGTAGCTAACATCCTACGTCTGATACAGGCCCTCAGGCGATCCATCAAAGGCGAGAAGGATAAGGGACCTCAGATCTCTATCGCACCCAAATCCGCCGTTGCCATCGTCCCACCGAAAAAGGTTCGTGGTCCCGGTCTCGTACCGATTCATTTTGCTAAGTTCTGCAGGTCATTCGAGCCCTCTACGATTATGAGGCACAGTCATCACAGGAACTCAGCTTCTCGCGCGGTGACTTTTTCCACGTGATAGGCCGCGAAAATGACACCGACTGGTACGAGGCTTGCAACCCGGCCTTGCCGGATGCTCGTGGCCTTGTCCCTGTCGCATTCTTCCAAGCCTTGGGACGTACCGAGAGAGACAGCGCACAATCCGACTCAGGTTCCGGTAATGGACGCCCTTCGTCCAAGAATCCCGATCACGACTCCGGATACGCGGAGACGAATGCGTCCTCCATGCCTCCAACCCCGGCCGTAAGCCAGCGCAGCTCAAAATCTGGAGCGAAGAACGGCGCCATGGTGTACGGAATTGTCATGTACGACTTTCAAGCAGAGCGTGCAGATGAATTAGAGGCCAAGGCCGGTGAGGCCATTATTGTTATCGCACAGTCCAATCCTGAATGGTTCGTGGCCAAGCCCATCGGAAGGCTCGGAGGCCCCGGTTTGATTCCTGTCTCATTCGTGGAGATTCGCGACATGTCGACGGATTCCGCGGTTCAAAACCCCCAGGACGCCGTGAAGAGGGCAGGCGTCCCACGAGTCGAGGAATGGAAAAAGATGGCTGCTGAGTACAAAAACAGCAGCATCACCCTGGGCAAGTTTGACACGGGAGGCCCCCCAGGCCAGCAGGGTATGGAGCAGGGCATGGAACGTATGAGTTTGCAACAGACCACAAGCCGGACAAGCCAGCAGGTAAGTTTGGTCATCTACCACAGTAGCACGTATGCCGGTAGCCTAATCTCTATGTCTAGCAATCACCTCAAGCAGGGCTGCAGTCCCCCCAGCAGCAGCAACGCAACACTCAGCAGAACATGCAGCAAAATGCCTATGGAGCCAAGCCCGCCGCCACTCAGCTGTTGGCTCCCATTTCCGCGCGGATACCCAGGTACTGCTTCGCCGAAGAGAAGTACTGGTTCGTCATCGAGGCGCAGTTGGAGGATGGCCGTCACTGGGAACTTTCTCGATACTATGAGGACTTTTACGACTTTCAAATCGCTCTGTTGACCGAGTTCCCTGCCGAAGCCGGCAACACCAACACACAAAAACGCACCTTACCGTACATGCCGGGCCCCGTCAACTACGTGACTGATGCTATCACAGAGGGACGACTACACAATCTAGATGCCTATGTAAAGAATTTGCTTGGACAGCCTGAGTACATCGCGGGGTGCAATCTCGTGAGGCAATTCTTTGCGCCGAGAGAAGGGGACTACGAAATCGATGCAAACGGCGACGAGTACAGGTTATCGGCAGGCTCTGGGCAGTCATCGGCCGACTCGCCAAGACATAGTGCTTCAGGGCAGACGTCGCAGAGCAATCTGAACGGCAATGGCTACGGTGGGCTGTCGGCCGCCCCTCGTCAGATGCAGAATGGTCAACCGCAAATGACTCGTCAAACATCCTCACTCTCCCAACCCTCCCAGACCTCGTTGTCACCGGGCATGCCAGTAGCGGCTTTCAAGGTCAAACTCTTCTTTAACGGCGACACGTTCGTCATTCGTGTGCCGTCGGATACAAACTTCCAGCAACTCTACGATAAAATCCGGGAACGAGTCAAGGTGAACGGCGAGCTGCAGCTCTTCTACCGGGATGAGTCCAGCGGGGATAAGCTCAATTTGATGAGCAATAACGACCTTAACTATGCGTTGGACCACAACGAGAAGCTGGTCATTTTCGTTGAGCAAGTTTGAGGGGATGAAAGCTTGCAGTTTCACAGTTCTTCGATTGTTCATATTATACCCCTTTTCGGCCTTCTACTGCATCTATCATTGGCGACGGTTCTTGCAAAAAGTATACCCGGCATCCGCTGTTCCAGTTCTTTTGTTTCTAGGCAAACTGAAAATATACCTGCTCCTGGCACTCTTGTACGGTTTCACCACGGCAATTTTTCTGTGATCATGGGCCTTTTGCTCGCCGGGGCAAAATCAGCAAGCCAGACCAACCTTGGGATCATTGCCAGCCGTTCCGGTTTTTGAATAGGCGAACCTGGAATACGCTTATCTTGGGCACAGGCATAATGCATCGGCGCCAAGGCTCAATTTACTCTTTTGCTTCCCTTCCACCCCCCCTTTTTTTTTTGTTCTCTCTTTCTTCTGTATGGAGATACCTTACGGTTCGGTGTGGGTTGGGGAAATATCATCTTCCGGTTCGGGAGGGTTTACGGTTTCTGTTTATAAAATCACTTCTGTTTGATAATTATTTTATTGGGGAGGAGAGGAGACTTTTACCAGTACGGTGTGGTCTTTATGCAAGCAAACGAGGGTCCTGTCACTTGGGAGGACCGGCGGAGCGAAGGAAGCTACCAGGACTCGCTTGTCATTGAAACCAGCGTGGCGAGGAGGAGGATGAGTAGATGAAACACTCGCGACGAATGAAGGGCAGCAACGCTGGCGATGGATGACACATGGGAATGATGATGATGAGGCCACGTCCAAGTCGGGGAGAGAGCACACACAGTGGCAGGCACAGGTAGTTGTGAGAAACTTCCAGTTACGCAGAGAGAGAATCGAAACGAAGGATGATTGACGCTTTTGAAAATCTCGTGTTTTGTGTTTCGTCTTCGTGGTTGGAGGTGGCTGACCTGCAGTCATCCCACGACATCAGGATTCGCTTCGTGGTGCCTCTTCTGCTGGAATCGAGCAGAAGTCTCCCCTCGAAGGAACAAGGCTGTGGACCCGGGAGCCCCTGGACCACTCGCAGCCAACATCTTGGTCGAAATCCTTCTCCCTTGTGTCGGCATGTATTTCTTTCACTGTCTGCACACCAACACTCCGCATTCAGTTTGTCTCGTACTTGCCAGATGTGCAAACCCGCGGCACGAGGAGCCGTAATCTGGAAAATAAATGCCTTGACCGTTGTCAAGTCCCGGCAGAGGCGTGAGAGGCTCATGTAGCGTAATTAAACATAGAGAAGAAGTGATCTTCAAAATTACGATATTATATTGTGTGTAAAAGACTAGTCATGGGGTATTCCCGATCCCGCCCATTATATGGCTAGTAACCCTTTGTCTTCCATTCCCAAAGCAGATTAAGCCGGTATCTTTCGCAGAAACTCCTCCCTATAGATACAGATGCAGACCCTCAGCCCACTGCGAGCCGAAGATGGATATGCTATGTGGCAAACCTTGATAACCCCTCGTAAGGTCTCCCCAACAACACGACCACAGCCTCCTAGACGACAACGTGGGTACTCATATGCTCGACCGCCTCCTTGATGGTTCTCAGCATGCGCTGATTGACACAGAAGGGACATCGCAACGGCCGGTCAGACTGTGAGATGGGGCCCCCACTGGAGATTGGGGTCAAAGTCAACTCTTCGGGAGCGGCAGGGGTGAACCTCGCGCTCGATCGTGCGGGCTGGGCCGGAGGGGGTTGGGGCGTAGCCAGGCCTGCCGCGGCGATGGGCGGCAGGCCCTGCTCCTGGCGCTCACGCTGGTCGCGCACAGCCGCGGCCTCGGCCTCGGCATCTGCTTCTTCCTGCTGCAGGGCGCGCAGCGCGTTCTGGAGAACCACCTCCGGGTCCTCGTCGGCGTAGGCATCTACCTCGCCGGGGTTCGGAGTGACGGCCGGATGAGGGGCGGCGCCGGGGTTCTCGATGCGGCGGATGATCTCATCGCGCACTCTGGCGCAGGTGCCCAGGGTGGCCTCGACGCCGACAACGCGGACGACGGCGTCTCGGATGGCAGCGGGGCTGGTGTCGTGGCTGATGGTCATGAAGCGGGGGACGGCGTCGACGAGGTAGGGGATGTCGTCGGCCGGGTTGGGGGCGTTGCCGTGGCGGCGCTGGCGGCGGATGAGCAGGCCATAGCGCTTCTTGAAGCGGTGAATCCAGCCGGGGGAGAACTCGGGAGGGGCCTCGCCCTTGTAGCGGGGGAGCTGGGTGAAGATGGACTTTGCCTTCTCGGCGAGCTCCTCGTTGGAGGGGTTGCGGCCGGAGGCGACGACCTGCTGGTGCCAGAGCAGGACGAGCTTCTCGACGTCGGGCCAGTTGCCGAAGCGCAGGCGCGAGCCGCTGAACTGGTTGTCGTTGTCGAGGCGGGCGTACTTGGGGGAGAGGGAGTGGGAGATGGTAGACTGGGAGATGTTCTGGCCGTACTGGCCGTAGAACCAGTCGATGCAGGCCTTGTGGCTCGGGCGGGTGGTCTGGGAATGGGCCCAGCGGCGGAGGGCGCGGCGCTGGTCGAGGGTGAGCGAGTGGCGCTCCTTGGGGGTGCCGGCGGTGGAGGGCTCGTCGGGGGTGACGTCGTCGACGTCGACGTCGATGTCGACGGTGGACACGTCGACCGAGGACATGATCAGGTCGGGATGGATCAGGGAATCGACTACCGATATATCCGATTCGGGCGCCACGATGGATGGATATAGCTGGGTAGCTGCGTAAGACGGGATAAGATGGGTGGACGGGGTCCCGGAGATGCGATGGCGACGGCGATTGAATTGGGGAGGGGGAGGTTTGCAATTGGGGAGACGGGCTAGTGTGCTTGCGAGCAAGACAATCGCGTTGTCGGGGTGGGAGGACGGCCGGGACTGGTCGGGTCTTGCTTGTAAAGGAGGAGAGAGGGCGAGGGCCGACGGCGGTTTATGAAAGAGAAGGGGGATTTTTGTGGCCGGCCAGCACTTCCAAGGTTGGGGTCAACCATCAATCGGGGCGTTGGTTTTGGGTAAGCCGCTGGCGCCCCCCCCTTAGCCCCCCCCCTTAGCCCGCCTCTTAGCCCCCCGCTTTTGCGCATCCCATGGGCTGATGCTCGTCTCTGGTTGGCCGCGGGCGGGAAGGGGCTTCGAGGTTGGCCCTGGAGCCCTGGAGCCCCCCCCTTCCCTCGTTCTCTTCCCCCCCTCGCTGGTCTGCCCCGATTGTCGCTGCTCGCCTCTCTCTCTGCATCTGCATCTGCATTTTCCCGCCGTCTCGAGCATTGGGCCATGGCCAACTCCCGCCGTCTTGCATGTGTCCCCTGCCGAAGTGCATAACTCTTTGCATGTCTCATCCTCCCCATTTGCCAGCTTCCCGTTTCGATTGCTCGCCTCCACCAAGAGAGGCTGTAGCCCTGCCAGGGTCGTGTTCGTTTCTATCGTTGAAATTCCTCGTTCACTCTGACCTGCACCTCGTTGGGCTTATATCCCTCGACGTGATAACGACTGCATAATTACCCGATGACCTCGCATCAGTGGTATATCATGCCACTGCGAGGATAGGATACGCCATAGGTCATGAGAGTGCCCTAGCATTTTCGCTCTTAGCTAAGATCTTTGCATTAAGCCCAAGGCCGGCGCCTTGGTAATTCTTGAAATATGCCATCTTTATCTTGGAATATTATTTCCTCGATGATTTTATAAAATATCCAAAGAGGGCTTAATGAGCAAATCAAGGAGTTCAAAGATGGACCCTGCCGCGTATGCTACTCATGTAGAATCGTAGGCGGTCCCGTGCGAATATCTGCCTGCTACATCTCACTGCTGAGGCGACTTTTTCCTAATAAAAATTCGAACATGTATGTAAGCACACAAGGGAACCTCAGGGTGGTCAAGAAGATAGTCCCATCAAATTTGTCCACGTGAGTCTCGGCTGTGTCTATGTGCGAGATATCTATAATAAAGATACACAGGTAGCCCATCGTCTATTTCTGAGCAGACTGGGCCACCTCGCTGATGCCGCTTTATACAACTCCAATGCCACAAATAATTATATACCGTCTGACAATCCCTTTCCTAATCGTGATACCCAAAACAGAATGCACTATGTACCAAACCCGTCCGCGCCGTTGCCTCATACCGACATCTTCATCGCAATCGTCTTGTGGGGGTTGTAGTCCTTGACGATGAAGTCTTCGGCCTTCCACCCGTCAATGCTCCCCCCCTTTTCCCTCGTGATCTCCAGCGTCGGGAACTCCCTCGGCTCCCGCTCGACCTGGACCTTCAGCGCGTCCACGTGGTCGACGTAGACGTGTGCGTCCCCCATGACGTGCGTCAGGCTGCCCGGCACCAGCTCGCACACGTGCGCGATCATGTGCGTGAGCAGGGCGTAGCTCGCGATGTTGAACGGCACGCCCAGGCCCATGTCGCAACTCCTCTGGTACAGCTGGCAGTGCAGGTGTCCCTGCTTCTTGGCCTCGCCTCCGTTCTCCGCCGCCGCCGCCGCGCCCCTCGGGTACGAGACGTAGAACTGCGCAAACATGTGGCACGGCGGCAGGGCCATCTTCTTGAGGTCGGCCGGGTTCCAGGCGCTCATGATAATGCGGCGGTCGTAGGGCGTGTGCTTGAGCTTGTGGATGACCTCGGCGAGCTGGTCGACGCCCTGGCCGGCGTAGTCGGCGCCCGCGTCGACGTACTCGGCGCCGAAGTGGCGCCACTGGAAGCCGTAGACGGGGCCCAGGTCGCCCACGGCGCGGTGGGACAGGCCGACGCTGTCGAGGAACTCGCGCGACCCGTTGCCGTCCCAGATCTTGACCCCGGCCTCGGACAGCGCCAGCGATGACGTGTTGCCCTCGATGAACCACAGCAGCTCCGCCACCACCGCCCGCAGGAACACGCGCTTCGTCGTCAGCAGCGGCAGCACCGGCGTCCCGTCGGCGTTGAGGGCGAACTTGAGCGGCCGCGGCGCAAAGATCGAGTATGTGCCGGTTCCCGTCCTGTGCAGTAGAGAACTAGCGTTAGCGAACGGCGACCTGTCCCCACGACCTGGCGAGGCAAGTCGCAAGACGGCAGACGTACCGATCTGGGCGGTGCTCGCCCTCATCGAGGATCTCCTGCACCAAGTCCAAATACTGGTACTCCTCGTGGCGCTTTGTGGGAGCCGAGGCCCCGCTTTGCTTCGTGCTCATCTCTGTAGTCTGCGGAATTGTTGTATCGGTCAGTCCGGGAGCCATTGTGTCGAGCTGGCGGTGTTGTCGAAGTTGGATTCTGGAAGATGGAGGGATGGCCTGACGCGTCTTCGAGCGCGTCTTGGATTCCCTGAATTTAATGGGATTTTGGCGGGGTTGCCTCCAGACCAGGGGCTCCCTGCCAGCGCGGGAGGGGCTTGCGACAACCACCACCTTAGTATACGGAGCACGGTACTGCAAGTCAGCATATTGTATATTCACTCGGTCCTTTGCAAGCATGAAGCAGATAAGGAAATCACAGGATGAAAAGCAAAGTCAACAGCGCAAGCAACTACCTGACTCGGTCAAAGCACTCATCATAAAGCATCAACCATAGCATGAATTGGTCAAGTCAGCCCTCTTCCTCTCTGGAATCAAGCCTGATAATTAATCTTCGTCTCCTTTAAATCAATACGATAATGATGGCCAAAAAGGACCATACAACAGCCAATCGCGCTTTGCGGTATGTACAGATTGATGTCCGCTTGCTAAAGTATCCAAAACGCCGTGCATTCCAGTCGTCGCCAGTGTATGCATGCAATATGCCCGAATGACCCACACTTGAACTCCTATAACCTTGGAAGTATATACAGCAAAGCCACACACAATCATTATCTATCCCTGCTGCCCAAATCATCACATCCACATGAGGTTCCTACTCTGCCGTCGGTTCTGTTGCCACAATGGCCTGTCCGAGTTCCTGATGGGACTACCCGGCCGCTCGTCGTGGTCATAATCATGGTCGTGGTGGTGGTCGTCTGGGTTCACGACGGTAAGGGGCTGTCTGTCTTCATCCTGCATATGCCCGAGTGCAGCTGTGTAGCCGTGCGAGAAATCGTCGATCTCGCGGGAATCCGATCGCGTGTACGTGTCTGCGATTGGCGTGCCTCCCACGCCTCCCCCTTCGACGTGCACGGGGTCATAGCCCACTGGCCCTGCCACGCTTGGGTCTCCGCCGAACGTCGAGTGCGCCACGCCCATATCGTACGGGTTGTACGTATTGACCGGCGGCTCTGGTGCGCTGCGCGGTTCGTTGTACATATTGGCAGGCTGGTCTGCTACACTGTATGGTTGGTTGCTATATGGTTGATTGAGTCGTGGTTGTGGCGTCGCTGGCTCTTCCTCTTCTTGCCAAGTCGGCAGAGGTGCAAATGCTGCGCCATGGGATCTCATGGGACTGTTGCTTCGTTAGCCTAAACGAGCTGGGATTGCCTGATATTAGACCCTTACCTCATATATTCCGTTGTTGGCGGCGCAGCGGGTTGCGGTCCTGGTCCCTTCCGGTTGTTTCGTCGTTTTCTCAAGTAGAATAGTACGATTGCGATCAAAGCGACCAAGATGGCGACGCCGCTGATGGTTCCTCCCACAATAGCCCCCGTGCGATCGAAACTTGATCCTGTAGCGGGGGCCGCAGTAGGCGCTGAGCTGGTAGTTGAACTGGAAGAACTGCCTGCTGCAGACGCAGAAGAACTAGTCGTGGAGGAGGTAGTCGAGGAGGAGCTAGACGAAGTCGAAGATGAACTAGATGAAGTCGTTGTGCTTGTCGACGATGAGCTTGATGATGAGGCTGAGGACGTGGATGACGAGCCAGATGCTGAAGCGGACGTCGATGAGGATTTGAACGATAAAGAGATTTTTGAGATGCTGGAGAAACTCCGTGTTCCGGTGTTTGGATTTATCGAAGTCGGCTCCGATAGTGACGTTGGAGTCTCTGTCAAGGCCACGGAAGAAGCAGGCAGTACGAGTGCATTGACGCCGCTCACGGAAGTCTCAACTGTAGTCGCCAGATCCGAAGACGTCCCACAGCCGTATTGAAATATACCACCGCCGAACTCATTCTTATAGCACACGTCGGATCCCTGACATGTGTACACGTAGGGGTTCACCTCGGTCTGCGCTCCGCTGTTATAATCGACGCAACCCGTGAATACTCCGGCTGTGCACGCTCCTCCGTTCGGGCAACATCCCATGACATTGTTGTTCGTGTCCAACACGCAATGCGACCCTGCCGAACATGTGGCAGGGAGGCCGGAATTGCCCCCAATGAAACCGCATACCGTATTGTCTTCCTGCCTTCGTAGCAGTTCGTAGGGTGAGAGCGGTGCTTCCGTCGGGACGGGCGGCCACGCGATGACGTTGAGCTCATGGAATTCCACCGTCGTCGTCTGGCGCGGCAAGGCATGTCCCTCTGCTGTGGTTGCGAACAGTGTGGAGAGGACCAGGACTGCGGTGGCGGGTGGCAGCCGAAAGAGCAGGTCGCGCAACATAGGGTGGTGAGCCATGGCTCCGTTGCGACCAACTATATACAATAGGACGAAATACGCGCGACAACCTCAGATGAAAAGCAGCATCAAGAGACCAGGAACGACAGCACTCGAAAGGATTCGGAACACAGGAAAGATTAAAAGAGGCGAGAAAGCAGAGTTGCAGTAAGAATAAGCAGGGTATCACAGCGAGGCTGATGAGAGGCGCTCAGCACATCCTTCCTTCGTCATGAAAGTAACGAGGCCCCAGGCTCGTAATGCCAAGGGTCCACTAGGACAAGCTTAGAGGGCTGGGGTTAGTTCCCGCCAGCCAATGCTAATCTCGCCGTGGGGCGGGCCCTATGGACATACGGTAAGTTAGCAGAGGCTGGCTAAAAGAAAGATTGCGGCAGGCCACCTGCCCGTGGCAGGCGAGCCAATCCACGCAACAAACGCGTGAGACAAGGCTTCGCCACCGCCAGCTGCAGAGCCCCAAGAGAGGGACAGCAAGATGGACGGCAGCCAGAGGGCCGGACAGACGGCTACGACACAATTCCAGCGTACCATGGTACAGCAGGCAGGCTCCCTCGCACCGCAACCTCGCCGTGCTGCACATCACCCATCGACAGGGGCCCCTGCCAAAGCGGGGTTCTGGTGGCCCATGGCAGTGGCTGATGGCGAATGAGCAGCCGCTACAGCATTGGCGTGTTGCCATTTTTACCATCATGAGGTGAAGCGATTGCGGCTGTGTCGCCCTTTGACTTCCAACGGCCACGCGGGCGGCGGGCCCATCACCGAGAGCAGCGCGCGGCCATCTTGCCAAGCCCGCATTAAGGTCCATGTATCTAGCAAAGTCAATCGAATAACTTAACTCAACGGCCAATACGACGCCTTAGCACCTGGGAGCAATACTCTAGGGTGAGAATAAGTTAGATAGGCGAGGAATCTGCTCTGCAGGCCGAACCGCCGAGGTGCGATTGTCAATTGCCGTGGAATCTTGCCACTGGACCATAGCAGAATCTGGTTATACTCAACCGATGCATCATCATCAACGGCCCAGGTTCAGTTACCTCCCAGCGCGCAGATCATCCACCCTCCTCTCTGAACAGGAAGTGCTCCCAGTTGCAATCGTTAGGTTCGTCTCACAGAATCATAGAGCACGCAGGACATCCCTTTGTTGCTGCATTCAACTTGCAACTCCGCGGCGCATCTCTACAGTCCAATCGTGTGGTCAATGAGCACCATGGTGAGTTATTATAAGAGTTTATGTCGATTTGCAACTAACGCGTTGGCCCGTCGCGTTCCCGATTTAGCTGGTGAGTAAGCGCTATTCTAATGTGTTCTAAAAGCGTTTGCTGGCGTCCTCTATCTACTAATCAGATGTTAACAGCCATACCTATGGTCACGGCGGATGACTATTTTGCGCGTAATTGTTTAAGAAGTAGAAATGTGGTGCGCGGAAGAAAAAGGTTTCACCAATGATTGCATTACAGTGTCAACCGCTACAGTGAGAGAGAGCAAACGTGGACGGGCTTCAGCATCGAGATGGAGTCAATGTGCATTGCTTCCTCAGGCGGCTGTGCCCCCTCATCAGAATGCCAAGGAGAAAGCGATCCCTTCCTTGGTAAAACAACCACCCTTTCAGCGGGTGGGATCAAATTACTGGGGGCAGCATTCTTAAGCGCGCTTCACCTCCTCTAGCCATGAATCCTTCAGGCACCCCTCGACATCAGGGGGACCTATGGACGTTGGGCAGCTAGTTAGTTTTCCTTTGCCCCCTGGGCTATCAATTGTCGGAGAGCCGGCACGCCGTAGCCACGAACTCGTCCAGTTCAGAGTGGATGAGCCTTGATTGTGCGGTGTGGACCGCACAAAATTGGTACAGGCCTCAAAAGGAGGTATGCTATCATACTGCGATACATACCATCTGGGATTTGCCATCATGTGTCAAAAGCACCATGGCAAGTGTGCTCCAAGCTTGGAAGGGAGGAAATTGCCCGACTCGCTACCCCGGACGTAACGTTGTTATCCGTGCGGCTGGGTCAGTGCTATCCCGGTCTTTTTCATCGTCTCCCGGCCGAAGTGGCTCCAGCAGGTCCGCGCACACTGGAGAAAGCCGGGGCCGATGGTAGATCTGACAATGCGATAGCTCTGGACGATGGGAAAGGGGAGAAACATTTATCAGGTGTGGGTAGAGATACAAAGTTGGACTGGACCCGGTCGCCTCGCCTGCATCTGGGAACAGAGTGTATGTGTGCTTTGATATAACTGTTCCACCCACGTCTTACTTGGACATCCTATACCTACTTTCCAACATTAGATCCGCTTACTTTGTAGAGGCCTGGCATCCAACTACCAAAATTCTGGGCGCACGAGCATTCCAAAATTCTCCAGTCTTCCGTACAGATTACTACGTAATACATGACAATTACTTCAGGGCTTTGAGGACGCGCACAGCCCGAAGCGTACCCGTGGACGGGCCTTGGCCAACATATCAAGGTTTGTACTAAGCATCTCTTGCGTTAGCCAAAATCTAGGCCCTTCGGCGCAACCACCAAAGCGGCAAAGCCGCAAGTAGCTGACATGCTCACCGATGTGGAGGCTTTCAGCCCCAACTTCTGGTTTCTTGTAATTTCAGCACCCACCGGGAGGGGGCGTACAGCGATACTAACTGTTATTCTTGACCTTAACTCTCATTTTGAATGTTCTGTACAGCTCGGTCGACTTCGGTCTAACTCCACTGGATAAACAGTCTAGTTGAACATTACCCTGATCCCGTGAAACCTCACACGGAGCTGAACATCTCGCTTGTGGATAGAGTGGACGTTCAGTATCATGAGGGGTCCTCTGGCTGCTGGTAACCTGTATGAAAAGTTCCTCCCCCTGCCCCTGGGCCATCCTTGGCCGACAAGTTCTTCCAGTCCTGACACGGGCGGGCTGGTGACACTGACTCGCGCTCCCTATACGAAGAATCCCGGAAGCAACAACAGCTGCCGGCATTCGTGCGAGATACCCTCTTCAAACGAGCTAATGCTGTCAAGGAGCTGGCACACCTGTCACGGTGCAGTAGCTTGGCGATCATGAACGAGTTGAGCCCTTTCGGCCGCCACCAACAGGCTAACTCCACAATGCGTCTCCGAGACCCGTTCGCTAACACACGCCGCCTCAGGCACCGTGCAAGCCGTGGAAAGATCAAACGAGGATTTTCAGCCTGGAATGTCGGCTTCAACGGAATGCCCTGTAGAGAAATCGCCGAGCCTGGACACGCTAGCGTTTGCTCAGTGGCTATTAGCCTACGGCGTCGTGTTGACTAGTGCTAGCATCTCCTACTACACAAGCCCACAGGAGATGACCAAGCTGAACAGGATTCATGGCCAATGAGTGTGCCTGCCGATGCCCTCGGCACCTTTTGTCACAAGGATGCGGCATCCTGGCTCCTTGACGACCAGGCGTACCGCAAGCCCACCTTCTTGCGTTTCCGTCTGCAGCCGACCGGCGAGTACAGGTGTCCCGGTCGTCTGTGTTTTTCGCTGTCTTCATCGGCGTTGACCCTGCAGTGAAACAAGGGCAACCCCTGTCCGCAGACTTATCTGACTATATCATATCACTTAAAATATTATGCCTCATGATTTGTGTTCGCCGCTCCCCAGTTTCAAGAAGTATCGACGTTGACGAGAATGCAAGGCAGCGTCAACGACGCACAGCGATCAGAAAACCCCATCTGATCTCAAAGACATGAGAATCTGAATCGTGGACTTGAGCTGAAGTCGCGGCTCTCCGTGTCAGTTCTCCACGTGGAAACGCTCGCTCCAGGCCGGTGGTTCATGCCGGCTTCCCCAGATATAGTTAGCTGTCAGACTAGTTTCTACCCGATGTCGAAGCACACATTCATCTAGAGCTGTGATGGCCCTAAACGTGCAAACCCACCCCTCCATGGTACAAAGAGACAGGCCTAGAGACAGGCCTAGAGATAGGCGTGTCCGTTCTAGGGGGTCAATAGATCGGGAGACTGGGGTGTCTACGGAAGATAGTTCGTCAGCAGCAATCCTTGGTGCAAATGGAGTAGACTAATGGCATCCATCGATCACTGTCGACGCGGACGCACGAGCACCGTCTCATCTAGACTCTATGTTCTGTGAATCAGCACTCGGCGTCGCAACCGAGAATGTGGATACAGCCACCTAGCTCATTTGCGTGATCCCCTTGCATAATAAAGCACCGGTGGCCAGTCAAACTTTCCCCTCCGGAAGAAGGTTTCCTCCTCCTGTCCTTCCCTTTCTTCCTCGCAAGCCTATATCGTGACGATACAAGGTAGTCGTTCGTTACCTTTGGACGGGTCGCCGCGGTAGCTCAGAACCTCCTGTAACAAGAAAAATGGCGCCAGTGAGGGCAGAGGTCGCCCTCGACCATTGCCATAAGGCAACTGTCCTCGGCAACAAGATATCGATACATATGCTCGATTTCTTGAGCTCCATCAAAAACCACCCACTCGGCTTCCTCGAGCTCGCCCACGACTTTCTCGATGTTTGCCGAATCATGTGGTCTATCGAGGCTGGACTGAACGAGTTCTCCCGAAACCACCACGACTTGCCGACTGAGATGATTCAAGAGCTCGATAAAAAATTCAAAACTACTTTCAACGACTTCCAGCTACTTGACCAGTGGCTGAGCCGTTTCCTTGAGTATGAGCGAAAGGGAACGGTGGGGAAAATCCAGAGGGGTTGGAGGAAGATGTTCGCGGATACTGGGGTCGATAAAATGAAAGAGTCACTCGAAAAGACTAAAGAAGCCCTCAGAATGAGCGCGCTTGTCTTTCAGTGGTCTCTTGGGGATGCCAAGATTGACGATACCGTCGGGATTGGCTACACCGGCCTCGCCGCCGCGTTGGATCGTATGGACCGCGGAAAGTCAGTAGTTGGCATTGCCAAGCTGAAGTCCCTCGAACCACACATGGCAACGCTACAGGTCGACGAGGTGTCCGCTATCGAGTCCTATGCAAACTCGCAATCGCACTCGCACTCGCACGTGCACTCACCCCCACACTCGCTGCCGCCTCTGGATATACAGAAAGGGTCAACGACAGATCTCCTTCCGTTCGGGGTTCGCGATGACCATAGCACACGATCGATCCCGGAGTTGCACTTCCCTTCGTTGATCCGGCGAACTTCGAATTCAGATCACACAGTTTCGTCTCGAGGCGCCAGGGAACGTATCCTTTCTTCTACTACCACGGACAGCATTGCCAAAAGCCATTCGCCTTCTCACCTCGACAGAACATCAGGTAACACTGAAGGAGATACTCTTATTGGGGAAGAGGACTACTTTGATGGTCCCATCAAAGTTGTCCGTGTCAAGGCAGACCCCTTTACCATGCCTCGGTGGTCCCCCAGAAATACCGTTGGCGCAAACACCCCAGCTCTGCAGGACGCTCTCATCTCTGCCGTGGAGGCTCGAAACAGTAAACTGGTCGAGCAACTGCTTGACCGCGGTGTATCACCCGACACTAGCCCTGATGCGCACGCCTTGAACGAAGCAGTCCGCCTCCACGATGTTGAAACGGTTCGCCTACTCCTCCTCTTTGGGGCTGATCCGAATGCGCCAGACAAGTCAGGGGTTACGCCCCTTTTCTCCGCTGTGGAAGAATCCTTCCTCGACGGAGCTAGTATGCTGCTCAAGTACGGTGCCGACCCAAACCTCGCTGCTGGCCATGCGCCCGACTCGCCTCTGGCGCTATCAATCGCCGAGGACAAGTACAACTTTACACGGCTGCTCCTCACATATGGCGGAGATGCGAATACGATCATGGCGGACGGAGATACAGTCTTGATCAAGGCCATAGCTCTTAAGCGGGCGAAGAAGATGATCGATCTGTTGCTTGAATACGGCTCTGATGCAAATGGCAAGAACCGGGAGGGTAAGACGCCACTTTTCGACGCGATCCAAGGCGGCCGGGCAGATGTCGTCACGACCTTGATTGATCACGGCGCAAACCCCAATCTTCCGGGCCCAAAGCATATGCTCTGGCCATCGACGTATCAAACAGCATGCCTTAAAGTCTTGTTGGCACGAGGCGCCGATCCTAAGAAAGCCCCAGGGATTATGGAGCTTGCAACGTCTATCAACAACCTCGAGTCAGTCCGAGTGCTTCTCAAGGCTGGTGTAGACCCGAACGCCAAAAAGGATGGAATCTTCACGCCGCTGTGCACCTCTATTCGCGACAACCGCCCGGACATCTTCCAGCTCCTTCTGGCCAACGGCGCGGACCCGAACGTGCCCGCCTCTGAATACCCTTGCTTCAAGTGCGTTACTCATAACCGACCTCAGTTCCTTGCGCCCCTCGTGGCAGCCGGAGGAGATCTGAACTCGCCAAAGGGCATCCTCGAGACTGCCGTGCAGCACAATAATGTGGAGGCCATCAACTGGCTGATCGATAATGGTGTTTCGGTGAATGACAAGACGCCGAAGACGGCGGCAACACCGCTGACCACGGCAATCCGGGAGAACCGCCCGGAACTGGTCGACCTGCTCCTGCAGAGGGGTGCGGATCCCAACGTCAGGGGCCAGGACTGGCCCGTGTGCATGGCTGTCCGCCAGCCTGCTATCCTGAAGAGACTTCTTCCAACACTTGCCGAGCCAAGGGCCTTCAAGGGAGTCATGGAAATGGCTGTCGTCGCCAACCAGTTGGAGAGTATCAAGCTGCTGCTCCGTGCTGGCGTCAGCGTTGAAGATAGAAATGGCGGCGTCTTCTCGCCGCTGACCACCGCTATCCGGGAAGACCGAAAAGAGATCGTTAAGTTCCTCCTCGAAGAGGCTGGTGCAGACCCCAATGCGCCGGGTGAGCATCTACCGATTGTCAAGGCACTGAGGAGGTTGCACGATGGCGACACGGAAATCCTCGAGATGGTCCTGGACAAGGGTGCCGACCCCAACAAGGTCTATCGTGGTCACAATGCCATCATCCAGGCCTTGGAGAACGGCGACGCAGACGTGCTCAAGCTCCTGGTCGACAAGTGTGGCGTCGACCTTGAGGCCAGGGACGAGTCTGGCAGAACCGTTGTCGAGCTCGCATCGAGCAGGGGTTGGGCTGAGGCGTCTGATATACTGCTCAAGGCTAAGCGGGTGTAATCACGTCCGGTTGGGGTTGGACTGGGGTTGGTTTGCGGCGATAGATATCCCTCTTTACTTCCAGTTTCCTTTGTCACTGGCATCATCACACTGCCCTATTCCCGATGTACACTTAGCTGATTTCATGAACGCGATGATTTACGTTGTCATGCCTTATTCTAAGACCTGGCGTCTTTCGAGTTCTTGCAGTCTACCTCCAACTGCTCCGAAGGTTCTCCGACGCAATCGACCATAGGAGGAGTGCCCTGAAAAGGTTAGACACTTGGGCTTTAATAGAGTTATGTTTAATGCTACTACTATTTCACAACTTGACGACGTTGTACAATGCTTGAAAATAGCGTGTTTTTGTGTCTTCTAGGAATCGTATAGCGGTCTCCCCCGCTGCTCCACGCAACAAGGGTACAGAGGGTCAGATGGCATATCGCGATCCACTTACAGATCTCGTCTACCGAGATCAGGCTAGGGTCCAGTGGATCTGCGCTTCTCGAGTCGTTCCGACTTGCCTGTCTACTGTTTACCGTCTCTGATCGACCGAGGCGCGCCGTTGCGATTCGTAGATAAGATTCGGCGACCAGAAAGCTCCGCTGGCGTCGATGAACTTGACCAAACCTGAAACTCGCTGGGCCTCCACTCGAGTCAGGAGGCGTCGTGGGAAATCCTCAATGCCAAGCTAAGCCAGTTTAGTGGCGGCGGTGCTCTGTTTCCTTGCTGTGGCAGCACAGACCATCGCTAACAACCCCAGAATTCCCTCTCCTTCAAGGTTGCCAATGACCTCGACTTCACCTTCAATTGACCAACTCCTAGGCTCGGGAACTCCCATGTGGTCAGGTTAGGTTGCTCAGACACTTCTTTCATATTTACAGGATGCCTATCCGCGTCAAGTCGCGCCCCATATCGCAAGGAGACCGAGCGCCGTCACCGCACTGGGGTCAGTTTGAGTCGGCTGAGCTGCCTGATATTGGCTATGACGACACATTCCGTGATGTTGTGAAGCAGCTGTCAAGGTAAGTCCACTCGAGTATATGTTGCTGCCAAGTGGGAGACTAACTGGCACCTAGATATATTGCTGACGTGGTGTATCTGCCGAGTACCTTCGAACAGCTACGGACCACGTCCGCAGGCGATTCCCTCCGGCAATTGGTAGACCATCTCAGCGCGAACGTGACGCACCCGGCTATTGTCAACGCTCTACTGTAAGTATCAAATGCCACGGCAGCATCATCTGAAGTGGCCTTAACATGATGTTGGGGATATGCCACCGCACGTTCTGCTCCGCTTCAGCGGGTGCCGCCCGCGACGAACAGAAACCCAATTTGAGTGAACGCATCCTCCTTCGTCCACACACTCTTTTGATGCGGTTTTTTGCCTAGAAATCACGTCTGACCTACCTTTGCAGAGCGCTTCGGTGGCATTATGGAACTGGAGGTGATGAAAAAGGCGTCAGCGAAGCCCGTGCAAACGCATGCGAAATCGTGGCATGGCGATTCCTGACCCGCCTTTCAGAGCGAGAAGCCGTCGAATTCTGTCTTTATGAGATACCTGACCCAAAATATATCGCAGCTCCATCTCAAAGCGCCCCCGACCGGGGTGAGAGCAATGAACGCACAGCACTACTTGGTTCATCAACACCACACTCGGACGATAGTCTCGAGAACGGGAAAAGGATCCGAACAGGGACCCAAAGACGAAACCAGCTGATGCAGTCTCTTTCGAAACTGACCATGAGCATGCACTTCGATTCAGATGAGGAAGAGGATGAGACTGATCCAACTGCACCATTCATACACTGTAAGGAGTTTTTTATAGCGGGTCTTCTGATTTGTACATGCTCGTCTTATTCAGCACTCACTAATACCACAACACTTCCAGTGAATGCACTAGAAATAGCAGCCATTGCAGATGCAAAGCGCTTCCTCAGTCAACATGTCGTTCAGAAAATTATCACGGGCATCTGGAGCGGCGACATCATCTTCTGGGATCGGCTATCCGTGGGCTCGGTCAAGAAACCTAGATTCTACAACTTACATACTGCCGATCCCTTCTGCCGTTTACGCGTTCCAAAATATCTCAAAGCTTATGAGGTCGTCTTCTTTGGTGGATTCTTGTTCCTCTACTACGCAGTTCTTATCGAGCAGAGCCGGGCCGCCATTACGCCTTTGGAGGTTTTCTTATACATCTGGTTCGCCGCTTTCTTCTACGACGAAGTCAGCGAGTATATCGATGCAGGGTCAATCTTTTACGCAGCTGATGTCTGGAACCTGTTTGACATGATCATGATCGCCATTGGCGTCGTGTTCGCGGTGATGAGTGAGTCCTCTTACTATTCCAATCCTAGAACCCTTTCTCACAGATATCAAAGGGTTCATTGGACTGTACTACGAGGACTATACGCTGGTGGACATAGCCTTCGATGTCTTGTCTCTGGAAGCACTATTCATGGTGCCAAGAATTTGCTCAATTTTGAGTCTTTCCCCTTATTGGGGTACATTGATCCCATGTCTCAAGGAAATGGGCAAGGATTTCATCAAGTTCATGGTGCTAGTCATCATCATTTATCTTGGGTTTCTTACGACGTTTTCTCTAATTGGGCGAGAGATCTACTCCTTTAGAAGTATGGCGATGATTGTCACTAAGATCTTCTTTGGATCGTCGTATGTCGGCTTCGACATCATGGATGACATTGATCCCGTTTTTGGTAGGCTATCTGCTCTATCGAAAATATCGTGTGATATGGCTAACGTGTCTGACCAGGGCCACCCTTGATGCTCATATTTGTAACACTGAGTTCAATCTTACTTATGGGTTCTCTCACGGGTATGCTCAGTAATAGCTTCTCTCGAGTCATATCTCATGCTCGAGAGGAGTATCTCTACGTATACAGCGTGTATGTGCTTGAGGCATCGACTAGCAATCGACTCACCCACTTCTACCGTAAGTTTAATCCCTTGCAATTTTACATTTGTGAAAGAGTCAGCACTGATTTACTGTAGCCCCTTTCAACCTCCTGGCGTTGTGCATCTTCCGGCCGTTGAGATTATTCCTCCCTTCAGGAGACAAGTTTCGCCAAGCTAGGATTATACTGCTCAAGGCAACACATCTGCCAATCGTCGGTGTCATCAGGGTCTATGAGTACATCACATCCAAGATTTCACCCTCCGATGGCTTTGACACATTCCGCGGACCCCGGCGAGCGGCAACCAAACGACGCCCTGCGCCGCCTTTGACATCATCAGGACCGCGGCCACGAGTGACGCGACGTCCGACAAGTGGAGATGACATTCATCAGCCTTCGCCTGCACGATCCCGACAGCCTGAAGACGATTCCACTGATGCACCGACGGATGTCGAGGTCCGCATCTCGGAACTGTCTTTGAAGATCGACAGATTGACTGCCCTTGTCGCAGCATTGCAACCTGGCGCGGGCACCGAGACAACACGAACTTAGTACATGATGCGAAGCTTTTCTTGGCCGTGCTGACAGGTGCTAGCTCTTGGACTTCAATAGGGCTATAAGAAAGCTGTATATATTTGCAATACTGGCTTTGATTTCGTCTGCACTGCATTAATGAATTGGAGTTGGCTGATTGGCCACCGCCTTAGGTACCTAGATAGACATAAAACACGATGACGTCTATTCATCTTTGCCACAGAGCTGGGCGTGTTAATTTGGCGAAAATGGCATTCGACCAGAAGCCACCTGAAGTTAGGCCACAACACGACAGAGCGATATTGTGGTAAATGTGCATGCTGTCATACACGTGAAGAAATGTACTGCAGCCCGAGCCTCGAAGAATGACGGCGATTGGTTGCGAGCTAGTTTGGCTGAGTCGGTCCCATTTATATTTGACTCCGAAAGGCGTAGGGATTACTAGAATGCTGCCGATGCGGAGTTGACGAACTTCACATGTGACTCAGCTACGCGAATAAGTACAGGTACTTCAATAAGAAGAAACCACGCGCTCAGGTTCACTTATAGAACAGCATCATTGACAGAATCAGCCGCCACTATCACGCGCATTCCAAAATGCAATTGCAGTTCACGACGCTTGATGTGTTCACCAGGAAACGCCTGGAGGGCAACCCGTTAGCGGTGGTGCAAGTGCCACGATCGCTGCAGAACCATTTATCCCAGGCCCAGAAGCAAAAGATCACCCTCGAATTCAACCTCTCCGAAACGGTTTTCATGCACCAGCCTGCCGACGAAGCCCCCCAGGAGGTCGTTATTGACATCTTCACCCTCGAACAGGAACTTCCTTTTGCGGGTCATCCGACCATCGGATCTGCTGTTCTGGCAAAAAGCCGCCTTTACCCATCCATTGATAGATTCATCACAAAAGCTGGCCCTATCGGTCTGCACGCGGGCTCAGGTGATTTCATTCGGGCCAAGATCCCGCACAATGTCCACATCCACGCGAAGACCCTCGGGCAAGTAATACCGGCGGAACAGCACAACTCGTACGTGGGCCTGTCGCACTTCAACTCAACTATTCGAGAGGCAGAGCTTCAAGCCCCGGTTGTGAACATTGTCAAAGGGATGACTTTTATCCTGGTCAAGCTACCTTCCTTGGAGCATCTGCGCCAGGTCCAGCTCCTACGTCTAGACCTCAAAGGGTTGCCCACCCCCCTCCTGGACCCGGAATGGTCGCCGAGCTTCACTTCGAGGTACTACTATGTGGAGAATGGGGAGGTAAACGACAAAGGAGACCAAGTCCGGAGCATCCGTACCAGGATGGTGGAGCTTGGGTTCGAAGACCCAGCCACGGGGAGCGCCGCAAGCACTTTGGCTGCTTATTTGACTATTGCGGAGAAAACCAAGGACGCCAAATTTCTCATCATACAAGGAGTAGAAATGGGAAGGAGAAGCGACATTCATGTCCAAACAACAGCGGATTTGGATGAGAGTGGAAAAGTGAAGATCAATGATGTCTGGCTGGGTGGCGAGGCCGTCGTGGTTCAGCAAGGAACTATTGAGATCGACGATGAATAGGCCTGGAATTCAATTCACTACGCAACCCATTCGCGAATTACCAATTCGATTCAAAATCTGACCATTTTGGATAGCCCTAATTTTCTATGTGTACTGTTCCGCGTCCCATTTCGGTATCTCCCTTTTAGTACCTGACCGTCAATGAGCACCGATATGTCTCAGCCGAGACATGTCTTCGGATATCTGCAGACAGATCGAATCAGTAACTGAAGTATCCGTTCATGTGCGGGATCTCGGGAGGTTAGGTGCGCAATGCGGGCATGGTTCATCGGACACCATGAGTAGCTGTCTGGGTCTCTGATGGAAAACGGCGTGAGACATAAGTGGCAGACTGCAGTCACCCCTTGAACTTGGTATAAAATGGGGATGGACCTCAATTTGCGGTTCAGTGAAGCCATTCTACACTCTTCTACCAAGTTGATCAACCAGCTGAACGGAACGAAATAAATGTAACGAAGGAAATGAGCTTCCTTCTTGACATAGGTGCAGGGTGGCAAAGACCAACTGAAAGCAATAGCCAGCTGCCAATGACCTTCCCACCAGGACTCTTGAAGTCAAGTCAGATCATATCTGAAGAGTGAAAATAAGTAGGGAGCTGAGTCCATGTATAATTTACATCTTAAGACAAATCGAAATCAGAGACTTATTAGCAAGAATGAAAGACGCAGGAAATTCAAGATTGCCTCACAACGCAAATGGTGTCGTACAACATCATCAGGGCTGGCCACGAGGTCTACATGTTTCTTTTGTCACACCATGGCAGATCCATTTGAGTCACTGTATCAGCGAAATCTAATTTGGCGAAATACTCCGGGTATCGGGAGGAGGTTTTAGCCATCGTGACATTGGCGGGTGCCTGCATACCCCAAGTCCCCAGTTTCAGCTTCACATGTGGACGATAATGCATTTGTAATGGCCCACGTTACATTGCGGGTGCCGCGTATCTGGTTCAAATTGATTTGTAAATATGTATTGAGTACCTCGTGATCCATGACTTACATTCTACCAATGATCACCTCCACATCGGGAAGGAAAACGATCGAGATGTTCCAGACCGCCAGAATGCGCCTTGAGAGAGAGAGAGAGAGAGGCCCTGAGAGCTGGGACAGCATATTTTGTCTTGACGCGGTCACACCACACGGACCTTAGCAATGTAACAGCATGTGTCATGCCGTTGAAGCATCTCACCCAATCTGTACGGCGTTGACAGTCATGGTGTCGTATCGGTTGAACAATCTCACAGGGCCTGTCCTGTCCTGTCGACAGTACTTCCCCTTCTACAAGATATCACCAGCGATTAACATCCAGTGGCGACATCGGCATGCTGAAGTGCCGTCCAAGCACGTATGCAGGAAACCGTGAAGTACTGCATCTTGCCTCAGAACGACCCTTGGAGACACCCTCGTCATCGAAGGCTACGGATGCTCCTCTCTCTTCCCCGGACGAGTAGTGCATTACCATCAAGGGGCGGCCTCCTACTCGGACCATGCCGTGAGCATCGGAATGAATGTAGCAAATACGCGTCGTTACCAGTTCTCTGGATCCGGTGGGCGTACAGTCAACCACCACCGCTACGTGCGACTACAAGCAGCTCAGAGGTTGATCAGGCCTGGGATTACACAAGCCTCACTCCGTGGTGGCATGTCAGGAAGCTGGCCGAATGGAGCGGAGGGAACCATCGAATGGCGTTGCATGCTCACTGGAGCAAGTAGTCTAACTTGGGAAATTGTTCCGAAAAGTAGGAAGAAGACGATTAATCTACCATAATTACATACATGAGAGGTTGGAAATAATCATGATGTGGCAGTTTGAGTGCCCTTAAGCCGCTGCCGCGTCTACCTTGGTACCTTTCAAGGGATCAAATCCTTGCCCAGCTTCATTGTAGGCTTGATGGGGGCCTTCCAACCCTACAAACCTCCTGCACTGCATTAATGACTGACTCTCCTTAGAAATTCCAAATAGTACTCGTAAGCAAAGATCTCAGCTTGTGCTTACTCCTGCGAAATTTCGAGTAGGGAGAAGTATTCCGGCCCCCTCCGGCTGCGCCTTCTTCGTCGAAGGGACACATGACCTAGGGACTGGCGCCTCAGCTTCAGGCACCAACTCATCCGAACATTCTGAACTGAATTCTACCCATAACGCAAACCGCCATGGAGTTCTACAGGTTCAAAGTGCTTTTTGACCACCACCTCCTCTGGGGTATCGGGGCCCTCGTCGTCGCAGCCATTATCCCTGTATTGGCATGGCGATGGTGGCGTCTTCGACACATACCAGGACCACCACTGGCTTTGTTGTATTGCACATTCGGGTTATCGAGGACGGGACACCGGCAGGAGCCCCATGAATACGCCAAAATGATAGAGCTCAGTCACAAATATGGTAAGTCGGTCCTCCATAGCCTGCATATACAATCTTGACTGAGTGGAAATCAGGGAAGCTATTCCGAATTGGTCCCAATCAACTGGTCTTAACTGAGCTTGATGCCTCCCGAAGGGTCTTGCTTGATTCATCGACAGGGCCATTATCAAACCCAACAGCCTCGTTCTCGCCACTAGGCGACGAGGAGAACACACTGGAATGGAACGCCATCGGGATGGGACCACGACAGAATATCTTCCTTGACGAAGTCGTTGAAAGCCAATGCTCACGTCTTACAGATATGATAGAGAGTGAGTTCGTGTCAACCAGCGCAGTGTATCGACCGCTTAAGCTTATGGACATGGCCAATGATCTATCCACGGACGTTCTTGGGGAACTACATTTACCCTGCGATATACGGAACGGCAACCAAAAAAGCAAAGACAGCCTACCGGCTGTGGAGCGGAGCGTCCATATTGCCTCGGTAGCCGCAGTCATTGCTGGCTTTCGCTGGGTCCTTCGCTCTACTGCTAGGTCTTTACATATGCGAATACTTGGATCAGTTGGTACGGTGGAAGCTTTCAGCTGCGCTGTCACACGTTCGGGCGCGATATTATTCTGCTCAACGTTGATGCAAACCATCACGACTCCAAGCGTATACGACAAACTCCAGACTGAAATCAATTGTATGTGGTCAGACGCGCACGTCAGTTCCCGACAGGGATACAGCGAACATCAAGAATTATCCTACCTCGAGGCGGTCATCAATGAGGGCTTACGGATGTACCCTACCGTAACGTCGGTCACGGCCAAAGCGCCTAAAGGGGGCTACGCCGTGTCGAAGTTTAAGGCTCCTGAAGGCACGGTGATAATCCACAATATTGCAGGCATCATGCGTGCCAGCACCCACTGGGGAGAAGATGCAGACGTCTTCAGGCCAGAACGATGGGTCAATGCTACACCTGAGAACTACAAGGCCATGCACGAGGCTCTGCAATTGGGATGGGGTACAGACAGGTACAGATGGCTCAGAGAAGCTTATGCACGATTGCATTTGAAGAGAGTCTTGGTAAGAGTATGCTGCAGCCTCGCTTTCAAGGATAATGACTAGAAGACTGACCATTCCGATATAGTTGTTGAGTCGATATGATTTCGCCGTTGTCGCGCCTAGGAACCCAGTTGAGATCATGGGTACTGGATTCCTGGAGTCTGATTTGCAGTTACGGATCACAAGAAAACGAGATAGACTATAGAGGTTGACCGTAAGGAAGCTTCAAGTATCTTGACAAGCAATGGTCTCTTTAGGCGTACAAATATTACAAACGTACAAAACCGGCCCCACGGACCTACTTCGGATTCCGGCGTTGGTCTTAAACGCGCCAGACATGTAACTTCCTGTAGAGACTCGCGGCACGAAATCAGTCGCAATCGGAAAGGTCAAAATCATCGTCATCATCATCATCGTCCTCCTCTTCCTCTTCTTCGGAGGACTCAATCTTTGTCCTGCGGCTCCGGCGTCGGTTGGTGGTTTTGGGTTTGGCCTTTGGCTTTGGCTTCGCAACTTTTCGTCTTCCCCTTGGTGCTGGCTTCTGAATTTCCTCCTCTTCTTCCTCATCTTGTGGTTCTGGAACTCCATCTTCAGGTATACGAACCAGCTCGTCCTCAGCTGAGCCAATGGGCTTTGTCTCTTCATCCTGGTCTCCATGGTCCACTTCAAATGGATCGTTGCCTCCATCCTCATCGTGCGCCCCTGGAAAGTAGCTGGACGAGTACTTTGGCGCTTCGTCGGGATCTTCCTCCTCATACCCTTCAGGAAGAAACCCGCCCGCCATGTCCTCATCCTTCTCCCTCATCGCCTCGAACCCGCCGCCCTCGTCTGCGTTCTGCTGGTGGCCAAACACTTCTTTGTCCTGAATGTGCCCGTATTCCTCTTTGATCCTGTGCGCGATCCTCAAACCCATCAGCAGCTTCCGCCACATGCCGAGCGTAGCTTTGCGTCTCTTTTCGTCCTCCTTTCGCGCGCGCTCTACCTCGTCTTTCTCAATCTCCTCGAGGACCTTGCCCTGGTGCTCCTCCGCCACTACGACACCCTGGATGACGGGAACTGCCATCCGATGGCCAAACTCGAAGCCCACGACAGCCTCAGCATAGTCAATCTGGAGTCGTTTGCACACGCGCACGGCGCCGCGGTACGGCAGGTGCACAGCACCTTCCGGGCACATGTGCTCGGCGAACATGTCGATGTTGCCGTACTCGTTCTTGGGGATGACGCCGTTCTCAATCGGAGGCGGAATGATCCACTCGGTCTGCTCGTAGCTATACAAGGGCTGCAAGACCTTCTGGCCCGTTCTTGCCTCGGCCTCTGCAAGCTCTCTCCGCCGATTCGTCGTGGCGGCGCGGTATGGTGCGTGCTTGAGGGGCTCGGCACCAGGCAGCGGAGCGCGCCCCTGTTTGTGCCAGGTCTCTGCGCTCTTGACGGCCACAACATCCTTACGCAGGTAGACGTCTTCTTCTTCTATCTTGCCGCCTTTGACCTTGTTGCGAAAGACTTTGACTGGTTTAGCGTCCGGTAGAAGGGCTTCCTCCCGCTTCAAATGACGTGCTAGAGCAAACTCCTTGGAGGTCTTGTAGTACTGAAGGGTCTCCTCACCCTCCTTGACTTCCTTCTTCTCCGGGACAGCCGGCTTCAGGTCCGTTGAGTTTTCAATCTCGTCAAGTTCTGTGACGGGGCACCTTTGACTTCCGCGAACATAGCCGCTCATCACGTACTTGAACCAGTCGTATTGTTCGTAGCGCTTGATCTTTCCCTGCTTGTTGTAGACCGGAATCTTTTCAACGCCCATTCTTACACCCTTGGTTCTCCCAGGATACAGCTGTTTCCTTAAGTAGCGGACTGTAACGTCCTTCGCTGTACCATCTGGCGAGTAACCAACCACGTAGGCCATGATCTGTTTTGCTTTGTCGGCCTTGCCCCCGCGAGGCTCGAGAGACTCGGTTAGCTCTCGGTTGGTACCTACTACAGACCTGACAATGGGCTCTACAGGAAGGTATTTGAGCGTGACCGGAGATAAGACCTCTGTCCAGTAATGCGCGAAGTCCAGATCCTTGTCGAATACTTTCAACGCTGGCCGTGGCTTAAGATGCTCATCTGTCACGTCCAAAACAGATTCATCGTCGCTGCCGTCGCTGATTGGCTCCGCATATTCATCGAAATCATCAAGGTCCATTCTCAGCGCATCCTTGTCAGTTTTCCTGGTGCGTCGACTTGCTGGCCTCGCCGGAGTCTTCTTAGAAGGCTTTTGTGGCCTTTTCCCATTGGCCTTGGCCGGAGTAGTTGTGCCACTGGTCGGTGTCTCTTGGGCGGTCTTCTCTTCATCTGCGTCTTCCGATTTGCTCCAGCCGAAACCCACAGACTGGAGGTTTGCAACCATGCGCGCCTCGAGTCCGATGCCTCGAAGCAGGGCTGTGAAGAGTTGGGCACCCACATCTCGGCTCCCTTCACAGGTCTGTGCGTGTTTCCTGAAATCCTCCAAGCCGAGGATCCGCTCCCCAAATTTCTCGGGATCGTGATCCTCCTTTTCGAACGCATTCCTCCACTTGGCCAGTCTTCTCACATCCATGTAACCGATTTTCCGCAAACCGGGAGCGGTGATCTTGAATCTCTGCTTCCACCAAGAAGACAGGGACTTCATGAGCCTGAAGAGGGGGTCGCCGTGGCTCATGTCTGGAGTCCCTTTCTCTAGTCGATCCGCCGCGGCACTCCAGTCTCTTGCCGATCTCGATGCTGGTTGCTTCCCCTTCGACTTCGAAGCCGCCTTGCCCTTGACGTCCCTTTTGGGCTTGGGTGCAGGCTCTTTCTCGACATCCAGCCCGCTATTCAACCTCCAGCGATCGACTTCTTCCCACAATCTGGGAGTTAGCTGTGAGATCATGATTGCCTGGACTTCCGGGTCACAGAGCCACGAATTGCGGACGGCGTTATGCCACAAGAGAAACTGTACATGGATGCAATGTGTGGAATTGCGAATGAGTTTCTCCCATTTCGAAGGCCCTTTCTTGGCCGAGTCTCTCTCAATGGGGACGTTGTTATTCCGATATAGGATGAGCTCCAGATCACCCGACGGCTCGGCCCGAGGTTGGGGCTCGTGGTTCGGGACATCTTCGAACTCGATGTCCTCGTCCTCATCCTCTTCTCCCACCTCAGACGCTGCTGTTGTCTTCTGGCGTTTTGCGACAGGCACATCCTCGAATTCGACATCTGAATCTGAAAGTGAGCTAAGGGAGCTGCTGTCATCGTCATCGTGCATCTGTTGAAGTGCTGACTTTGTCTTTTCAGCCGACCGGGTCTTGCTTCCCGAATCCAGATCCTCGAACAAGGTGGGCTTCCGGGCCGGCGCAGTACCGGGTGCGGTTGTGCTCCCCGTGGCCGATGTCTTGGCTGCCTTGCGGCCACGGCCCGGCGAAGGCGTACGCAGCCTTTTGCGTGGGAGGTGTGGAGGCATGGCGTCCGAGCATGGAGTGCTGCTGTGGTTGAGTGGGAACCCAAAACGGGGGAGTATACCTAGATGTCTTCCATGTCTTCCCCTGGAGTCGGGGACGGAAGCGTGAACGGCGTTCCCTCAACCGTCGTCATCGAAACGCGAGAGCATGTGACCTCACTGATCGCTTGTGCCTGGCAGGGGACGGGAATGCGGCTAGGCGCTCTGGTGCTAAGGTGGTGCACCCAAGGCGCTGGAACAAGAAGGGCTTAGCGAGCTGGTTTAGCGCTGTGCCCCGCGATCGCCTGGTGCTATAGATAGCCTGACAATCTGGCCGCCCTGGACCTGAATGGGACCGGCATCCATGCGCCGGCGGGCGGAGCATTCGAGACCCTTCTCCCACCTTTAATCAGCCAGCTTGCGCATACCCGGGAGCCTTGCCTCCATTCGCCTCCTGCTTTGGCGTCCCGTCTTTCGCTGCTTGACAATACCGAGATTAGAGTCGTCGTCGTCGGGAGCTTACGATATCAGCTCTGCCTGGAAACACGGACCCGTTGTCGCCATCGCCATCGCCATCGCCATCGCCATCGCCATCGCCATCGCCGTCTCCGTAGATATACCCCCCCCCCCCCCCCCCTCGGCCCAAGATGGCGTCCTCCTCGAGCGACACACCAGACACATCGTACGTGAAGATGGACACGGCCGACGCAACCTTGATCGGCAAGCACTGCGAGTACGAATACTGCAACCAGCTCGACTTCCTGCCCTTCTTCTGCCAATCATGCAAGCACACCTTCTGCCTGGACCACCGGAGCGAGACGACACACAAATGCGCCAACGCCGGCGCCTGGGCTGAGCGGCGGCGACAGGCCGCCCTCGCCAAGCCGAGCGCCGGGGAGGGCAAACGCATGCGCGACTTTGTGCAGCAGAAGCCGTGCGCCGCGCGCGACTGCAAGACGACCGTCGGCACGAGCCTGGTGCCCGGCGTGCACTGCGACCGGTGCAACCGCGACTACTGCCTCAAGCACCGGCTGGGCGAGGAGCACGACTGCAAGAATCTGGTGCCCATCGGCGCGCGGCCGGGCGGGCAGGTGGCGGACCTGGGCCGCGAGGCCCGCAGCGCCTTCGCCAAGCTCAAGGCCTGGGGCGCCTCGCGCAAGGAGGCCGCCACCCGCGCCCTGCCCAAGCCCAAGCCCACGAGCGCCAGCCAGCGCCTCGTCGCCGTCAACAGCCTCAAGAAGACGGCCAAGGGCGACGCCAAGCTGGCCCCCGAGAAGCGCGTCTACCTGTACGTCGAGGCCGAGGCCGAGACCACGACGGCCAAGTTCCCCAAGGGCGAGTTCTTCTACAGCAAGGACTGGGTCATAGGCCGGCTGCTCGACGCCGCCGCCCGCGGCCTCCAGGTCGAGAACGTGAACAACTCGTCGGCCAACGAGAAGGACAAGCTCCGGGTGTTCCACGTCGAGGGCGGACGGGTGTTGGAGTTCAACGAGAAGGTCGGAGCGTCGCTCACCAGCGGGAACACGGTCGTCCTGCTCAGGGGAATCGGGCCGCCTGAGGACTTGATTCAGCTATGAGGGACGTGGGAAAGGATTGCATTCAGTTTCCGAGTTATCACGAGGCATGGTTTTATGGCATTTGCATGGATTGGGGCGTTCATGATGGGGTATGTCTGTTATTTACTGTGCAGCGAGATTAGAGCGGGTACTGCATTGCCTTGCATTAGATAAACCCAAGCGAAGAGTGTTCGCGAAACCAAAGAGTTGTTCGACACAACCTGTTAACCTCGTATCCTCTCTGTGGTGTATCGAAGCTCGCCATTTCAGTTAGCTTCAAGTACAAATAGAATGCCGGTTTCCTGGGTCACATTTGTATTTTCTACATATCAATGAGTGGATTGACAAAATATACACGACGCAATACGCCTCTCCGACTGTTACATCTTGACTCTTTCCCGGGCCATGTAAATGGATAAGCTCAGTGTGCGCCTTGAACTCCGTAGCCTATTTAAAGCGTTTTCTCGCTGACGCTTTTACAACTCCTTTTCTTTGGGCCGCTTGTGCAGCGCGTCCTCTCTACCAGTGGTTGGCAAATTGCCAACAGCGTCCTTGCCACCGTACAGGGCAAACCCCTTATGGAAGGCCCACTCAACCGCGTTCTCGACCGGTTCATCGAACAGGTACGGCAACGTGGGCACAACGGCCAGGCCCAGACCGATCGGTCCCCAGGTGCGCAATCTGGCATTCTTGACGTCCTTCATCGCCCGGCCCGAATACCTGACCACGCTGTGGATGGTGAAGGCGGGCAAACCCATACTGGCAAGACTCTGGAAGATGCCTCGCTGCAGCATGACGGTCCTCCAGTCCTCCAGGGGCGCCACGACACCAGGCTTTACCTGCTCCACAGCTTCCGGCGTCGGCGGGTTCGTCAGACCCGTCGCCTTCTGGGCCTGGTCACTGAGCGGCAAGGCCGGGTTCAGCTTTCGCTGGTTCTGCCAGTAGGCCTTGTAGCCCTCGTAGCTCACATCGCCCAGGATATAGGCCCACGAGACACCGTAGGCGCCCTTCACGAGATAGGGGTGGGCCACAGGCCGGAAGGACTCGCCGATGTCCGAGGTGTAGGCGACGTAGCGCTGGGCGGAGAGCATGATGGTGCGCACGCGGTTCGCGTAGGCGGCGTAACGCACGTTGGACTCGGTGCTCTCGGGGACATAGCCGTCGACCAGCTCGTCGAAGAAGTTCTCGTCCCTGTCCGACCTGTCGACGATGCTCTTTAGCCCGCGCGGCAGCTGCTTGCGCTCGGGCAGCTTGTTCGGGTCGAAGGCGGGCGCATCTTTGCGAGGCTCGGCGGGCTGGGCGGCAGCGGCAGGCGGAGAGGGATCAGGGTCCTGAGCCTTGGGTTTATCTGAGCCTTTCCCCCACCAAGACATGGTGACGGACGGAGCGCGGAGTTCTAGTCTAACTCGGTAGGAGTCTTGGGTGGAAGAGTCGACCGGACGAGGTGACGCTGTCGACCGAGTCGAAACGGATAGCTTCTTGTTGTGTCTTGGGTCTGGACACGGAGCTGGGGTAGCGCTCGCGTGATATTATGCCACGGATGTAACCTGGATGGGACGAGTAAAAGCTCCTCCGAGCGATGATGGGGGGAGTCCCGGGATCGAGCGAGTCTCAAGACAGCCCAAAGCCCAGGTGACGTCGCGGTACCCGCAGCGCAGCTTAAGCTTCCCTTAGGTGCGCTGGTACAGGACTTGCCCGCTAATGATGCTAACGATGGGCTCTGAGCCTCGCTGCAGCCAATGGCATGCAGGGTCGAAAGTCAGCCGGCAGATCCCGATGCAGTGGAGTTTTCAGTGGTTATGCACCCCAGCAGGGCCGGTACGTACCCGAGTTACAGTGGACTGGCTGCCTACTGTGTAAGGGACGGTCCAGTACCCGGTGCATCGGCATTTCCGTTGTTCCGTAGGCCTTGGCTGCAGGCGTCTGTCGGGCCACTGGCCCGTGCACGGCCTCTCAATTGAAGGAAACTGGAGCTTTGAGCAGTTTTGAAGGCCGATATTCAACTCCATATCCGAACGTCAATCCCTCACAACATCCACCCCTTCCGAACCGATCCCCCGGCGTCAACCCCTCCAATCCGTCAACATGGTTCAGATGTACAGCATCCTCGGCCGCCAGGTTGGCTCCCACTACGTGAGTTCCCGAACCTAGAGCCCCCGAACCGCCCCGGCAACCCCCGAGTCCGCCGTGCAGGTCTCTCTGACCTGGCTCGACGCGACCGCTTGACTGACTCTCAATTCCCTTCCAGCTCGCCATGGGCGTCCTCAGCGCTCTGTTCGGTGGTGCCTACGTCGGTCTCAGCGGCCCCAGCAAGGCCAAGGCCGCCACCCAGACTCCTCCCATCAACGCATCCAGCCCCGACGAGGAGAACTTCATCAAGTGCGCCGAACCCCTTCCCATCCTGTCCCGCCGCCCCGTACTCACCACCCCTCAAACAGGAACTTCTTAGAACAGAACAGCAAGGACGAGAAGGCCGCAAAGCACTAGATCGGGCAACATGTGTATGAATTGAAGCGCGGGGGCATTGGGTCAAGATGACACAGCACTCGATTGTATATCTATAGACGCCGTTACATTGCGAAGCGCGACTACAAGAATCTATACCCGGTTCTGAAACCAAAACCCAAACAACGTCTTTCGCAGCCTTTGTGTCCTATGGAGTCCCCGAGAGATGGCTAATACCGGGGCAAATACCGCTTACTAGACGGGCGCACTTCCTAGCAGCGAACGACACCCAAGTCCTTTTACTCATCTCACCACGGGATCTGCTGGAAATTGCCATACTCGCACTCCCAGAACGTCCCCGACGGTATCTCGGCCCGCCTACTGGCGAGAAGCCTACTAACTGCCTCAGCACCTTCTAGGGGATCCTTAGTACCCCGAAAGCCATTGAATCCCGTCCTGCAATGCCCCGGGCTCACGGCCCAAAAGGTGATGCGGTCCTTCTCTTGCGGAATCTCTCGCACCTCGGAATTTCGAAATTCGATCATAGCCAGGTTGAGTGCCGCTTTGGAGCAGTCATACATCCAGTGTTGTGACGGTGGCATCTGCCGCATCATTAGTGTCTGCCTCTTTTGGGTCTGTCCGATCATAAACTCACGTCTAGCGCCCTGTTTCTTGTCAAGCTGCCACGCGCGCTGGAAACCATGATGACCCTTCCCCATCCTGATTTGCGCAGAAGTGGTATGAACGCCTTTGTGACCAGCATCGGGGAAGTCAACAGGCAGTCCAGACCCTCTGCCCAGTTGGACCTGAGCTCTTCTAGTTCCTGGCTTTTGGGGACGGGAACTGCACCCGCGTTGTTGACGAGCACTACAGGTATTAGCCATGGTGGCTCTGGGCCGACAGCGACAGCAGGGCCTCACCATCTAGCCTTCCGTATTTCCCCTCCACAGTGCTCACCGCTTCTCGGATACTCGCATCGTCGGTTATCGTCAACGCGAGGCCATCAACTCGGAGCCCTTGTGCCCGCAGCTCTTCTACGGATTCCGCCGCAATCTCCCGTGAGCGACACCCCACGACAACCGTTGCGTCCGGTATACGAGAACAAAGACTTCGCACAATAGCATGGCCGATGCCACGGTTTCCGCCCGTGACAAGGACGACCGTCATGGTGCTGAGGGAGACTGGTTACCCAACAAAGCAGGAGATGTGGGATGTGCACAAATCAAGGTGTGCTTCGATATCTCGGGATTACAACAATGATATCACAATCCGTAAAGCGAATACTATGTATATGCATGCTTAAGGAGTGAACGCCAAGCTTTTATACTTGGCCATAATTAGTAGATCGCGCAGCAGCTCGGGATTGCTGCAATTAGACGCATGTCGCCGTGTTGTTAGGAAGCCCCTAATAGTCGGATTTAGGTCATCCACTAGGCTCATAATCCCGAATGCACCAACAGATCAAGGACGATAAGGTTGCCGCCGCGCCGAATCTTGGCATCTCTCGGACAAAGACTATGTATTTTCCAATATAGTGCTTCGAATAGTGAAAAATATCGACCGTAAACTCGTAGTCGTTCTCGATAGCCAGAACCATTCAGCCTCGGATTGTACGGGATGGCATCATTCCTTGCTCTACGGCCACGGCAAAGTATGTCGCAGGGTGCATATTCTTGGAGATAGCACACAATTGCTTCAGGTCATTGTCCTCCATTCAGATTGAAACCTAAGAACGAATTTGTCAGGGAGTAGAGACAATATTATCAGCAAACTCCCTCTTGTTGCCACAAAGACACATTGACAACAGACACTCGATTCATAGTTGGGTATTATTCCCCAGAAGACATGAATTGGCTCGAGTTAGGTCGTCAATCAATAAAATTGGTACGATATTAGTGAGCCTCCGTCTAGTAGAATAACACTCGGGATTGGCCATATCCCAAAGTACAAGTTCTTGTCTTATCAAAGTCTTTCGAATAGAATATGACCACCAGTGGCAGGCCCCGAAGCCCCCGCTCTCACTAGAATCTCTACAATCTCATCGTGACCACAGACCGCGGCACTTTGTAAAGCAGTTTGGCCTGTCCATCCCGAGCCTAGCTCTACATCAGCACCCGCTTCCAGCAACCGTTCTACCACTTTTGCATGACCCTTCTCTGCTGCTGCATGCAAGGCACTTCCACCTTTAAACGATGCACCCGCCGCATTCACGTCGGCACCAGCATCAATCAACGTGTTAACAACTTCCAGGCTACCCTTCAGCGCCGCCGCCTGCAACGCCGTCTTGCCCTTATGGCGGATGGCGGGTACGTTGACATCGGCCCCATGCTTGAGCAGCAGGTCCACGATCTCGACCTGCCCTATGGAGGCAGCACCGGCGAGCGCTGTCAAGCCCATGGTCCCAGCGGGCTTCGCGTTGACGTCAGCGCCCGAATCTAGGAGTATCCGAACGATGTCGAGTTGGTCCTCCTCTGCCGCCACTTGCAATGCAGTGCGCCCGACATACCTACCCGCCGGCGAGTTGACATCGGCTCCCTGTTCGATGAGAAACGAGACGAGAGATGCGTTCCCACTCGTGCAGGCCTGCTGCAACGCGGTCCGCACGCCATTGTTACCACCTGGTGCGTTGACATCGGCGCCGTGTGCAAGTAATAACCTAGCAGCATCCTCGTGACCAAACAGACAAGCTCCCTGAAGAGCAGTGTTGCCGTAATAGCCTAGCGGAGGAGCGTTTACGTCTGCTCCATCCGCGAGGAGGCGCTGGATATTCTCCAAATCGCCAGATTGAGAAGCCAGCTGCAGGTCAGTCCAACATTGATCCTCCTCGGTAAGCTCATCCTGGCCCGAGAGCACTGTCTGGGCCTGCCGCACCGAGATGTACTGTATCGGCGTCTTCATGCTGTGTTGCAACAAGAATGAAGGATGTTGGAGTGAGGACCACCAGGTCGAATGGGCATATTCTCTACTATCATTGGTTTGAAAATATTGAAGGCTGGGGGTTGAGGCTGCGTATCGTGATTGGCATGTGCGTGTTATTTGACTTGGAAGGGCGCGAGGTGAAGAAGCGGGGAGAATGCTGATACGCGACGCCCTGCGTCAACCTCTATAAGCGCTAGATAAGATCGAAGCGGTGCCGCATACACACATGCCCACGCTGTAACAAACAACAGGAAGGATTAGCCCTCGTTTGACTCGATTTGACTATATCGCCGCTCGGCAGGAGTGCGCACATGAACCGTTGCAAGTGCCTAACTCATGCGTGGGTGGTTCGCATGACGATGACGGCGAATCAGGGACATTGTTACCATCCTCCCGTTATTTCGTGTTACACAAATGCTGGATCCTCAGCCTTGGTAGCTTCAAGAAAGGAAATGCGCTTCTATAGTTCATCCAGCCCATGGGAAGGCTTTGTCTGCCTAGGCAAGTCTTGTTCTGAAGGCAGAGAATCGAGGTCCTAAGCTTCATAGCGCCATACTGTAGCCTGTGGTACATTTCCCCGGCATTAGTGGTACTTCTGCTTATCTCCGGGATTTGCATCATAGAGCTGATAGGCGAGGCCCAGCTTTACTGTAACTCAACTGGAGCTGCACCCTGCATCTTTTTGGAGGGGCAGCTCATCATCACCTCCAGCGCCGATATTCCGAGCGCCAAAGGTAGAAGGCAACCCGCGCGCAACACTCTTTGGCGACTGGACTCGATTGTATGACCTAGGCGCCGAACCCACAGGCTTCACCACTCGCCCACGGCTTCAGCGTGTGCGCTTCCTTCAAGCAGCAAGCGACTCGGCCGGCCGCCATGAGATACGCGCCAACATGGCCTACGTAGCGCCGATTCACCGGCCGAACAGCGTTCGGCATGCCGTGCGCGCCCACCTGTTCCCGGGCGAGGACGAATGCCTCGTGCTTGCAAAGGCAAACCGCCTCGAGTTCTGGAAGGTCGACGAGGACTCGGCCTTGTTGACCCAATTCGACACAAAGGTCATCTATGGCACCATCTCCATCGTCCAGCGCATACGCCCGAGAGATGCCGACACAGACATGCTTTTTATAGGGACCGACCGTTTTCAGTACTTCACCATCGCTTGGGATCCCGAACTGCGAGCTTTCGAGACGGTCAATTCCTGGTTCGATGTTGGCGAGAAACATCTGCGGGACTCGCAAAGTCAAGATAAATGCATCGCGGATCCCACCGGCCGCTTCATGGTAGTTCTCCTCTGGGAAGGCGTTTTGAACATACTGCGGATGTCCCCCAAGAAAAGCCAGAAGCAAATTGTACACTGGGATGACCAGGTTCGGATCAGCGAGCTCTTCATCAAGTCGGCTACGTTCCTCCACGTCGAGACTGGCCAGCCCAAGATCGCCTTCTTGTACCAGACGCGGACGGACATTCCCGACGCTCAACTGGTCACCTACAAGCTTTATTCCGATGAGAAGAACACGCAGGCATCTCGTTTCGAGACCCGGGACCAACTAGATCGCTTCGAGATCCAGGACCCCGGTGCAGCTATGCTTATCCCTGTTGGCCGAGGTGAGGAAGATCACAAGCGCTATATTATACGAAACGCTGCCCAAGCGCGGGCGCAACTCGGCGGCGTGATCGTAGTGGGCGAGACACGCTTGTTGTACTACGACGATGCAGCCAAGAAGACCGTAGAAACAGCCCTAGCCGAGGCATCTATATTCGTCGCTTGGGCTGAGTATGATGTCTCTCACTACTTTATTGCCGACGACTATGGCGTATTGTGGCTCCTTGAGATTCAGCTGGATGGCGGCGCCGTCGTGACCGGAATGAACATGCAGAAGATTGGCACCACGTCAAGGGCCAATGCTCTTCAATACATGGGCAGCGGGCTTCTGTTCGTTGGATCTCACTACGGCGACTCCCAGGTCTTCAGGGTCGATACTGAAAGTAGCTGGAAGATTGAGCTTGTCCAAGAATTACGCAACATCTCGCCTGTCCTAGACTTCACCATCATGGATATGGGAAATCGCGAAGGCGAAGAGCAAGCCACTAACGAGTATTCGTCGGGTCAGGCCAGGATCGTGACGGGAAGCGGCGTGTTCAAGGATGGGAGTCTGCGCAGTGTACGAAGTGGCGTTGGATTGGAAGACGTCGGTATCTTAGCAGAAATGGAGAACATTCGGTCTCTCTTTCCAGTTCAATCACGATCATCTGCCAAGACCGATACTCTAGTAGTGTCGTTCTTATTGGAGACGCGGATATTCAAGTTCGATCCCACGGGGGATATTGAGGAGGTCGATTCCTTCAAGGGCATGCCACTCACTGAACACACCCTATTGGCCCAGAATATCTCACACGAGCGGCTGCTACAAGTGACGCCCACTGCTGTGTGTCTCATCGATCTCGAAGGCGGTGTTGCTTTATCTAGCTGGCAGCCTGAAGATGGTGGTCTCATTACAAGCGCTTCAGCCAGCGACGAGTGGGTTTTGCTCTCGCTCGACGGTAAGAGCTTGCTCTCCTTGAAGATCCAGGAAGACTTGATACAGACGCAACACAACGATCCTGGCGACAATGACCAAATTGCCTGCATTCATCTACCGCCTCAATATCCGGGCATAGGTGTCATCGGTTTCTGGAAATCTGGAAGGGTATCGATAGTTGATGTCAAGACGCTGCAGCCCCTGCATAGCGAGTCACTCAGAAGGAAAGACGACACCACATCGATTCCTCGTGACATAGTCCTTGCACAAGTATTGCCACCGGAATTAGGTGGCCCGACATTATTTGTTGCTATGGAAGACGGCCTTGTCATTACGTTCAATGTGTCTCCAACAGACTTCTCGCTATCAGGACGGAAGAGCGTCGTACTCGGGACGAGATATGCTCGTTTGCAGCTGCTGCAACGAGGTGACGGCATATATAACGTCTTTTCGACGAGTGAGCATCCAAGTCTGATATACGCATCTGAAGGCCGAATCATCTACTCGGCAGTTACAGCGGACGATGCCACCTGCGTCTGCCCCTTTGATACTGAAGCATTCCCGGATTCAATCGTGGTCGCAACCGAGAACACCTTAAAGCTTGCTAAGCTGGATCGTGAGCGCCGTACACATGTTCAGACCCTGCCCATGGGCCAAACGGTCAGGCGACTTGCTTATTCTCGGAATGAACATGTATTCGCCTTGGGCTGCATTAAGCGAGAAGTCATTAACAACGAAGAAATCGTTACGAGCTCCATAAAACTCGTTGATGAGGTGATCTTTGACCAAGTCGGCAAAGATTTTATTCTCAATAACTCTTCTGAGACAGAGATGGTCGAGGCGGTCATCCGAGCCGAGCTCCCCGATTCCTATGGCAAGCGTGTAGAAAGATTCATCGTGGGTACCAGCCTTCCCGATGACACACAATCTAGCGCCAGGTCTCGCGATCAAGTCAAAGGGCGCATCCTTGTCTTTGGGATCGATAGCGAGCGTAATTTGTACCAGGTCGCCCAACACGAGCTCAAAGGTGCTTGCAGATGCCTTGGCATGATAGGCGACAACATCGTGGCGGGCCTGGCAAAGACCATAGTTGTTTATCGGTACAACGAGGTCACTTCGTCATCCGCCAGGATTGATCGTCTCGCCTCATATCGACCTTCGACTTACCCGGTCGACATTGCCATCAACGAGAATGTGATCGCTGTTGCTGATCTCATGAAGTCAGTAACCCTGGTCAAGTTCACACCGTACACGGGCGATGAGCCCCCGAAGCTGCAGGAAATAGCAAGACACCACCATGCTGCATGGTCAACAACAGTATCTCACGTTGAAGAATCGTCTTGGCTTCAATCTGATGCAAATGGTAACCTCATGATCTTAAACCCCAATAAGGAAGGTGTTACGGAGGAGGACAAAAAGCGCATGGATATCACCAGCGAGATCAATCTTGGCGAGATGGTGAACAGAATCCGGAAGATCACAGTTGACTCGAGTGAAAATGCCGTCGTCGTCCCTAAGGCATTCCTCGGAACGGTAAGCAAAAAGATTTGTGTTCTTGTTCCTTGCTAAGACTTGTCACAGGTTGAAGGTGGAATCTACCTCTTCGGACTCATCGCGCCTCGCTACCTAGATCTCTTGATCCGCTTCCAAACAAACCTTGCTAGTACAGTTCAATGCATTGGAGGCTTAGGGTTCAATCAGTATCGATCCTTCAGAAACGAGCAGCGTGAAGGAGCTGCACCATTCCGCTTTGTCGATGGCGAACTCATCGAACGCTTCTTGGATGTAGATGAGGAGATACAGGAGCAGATTTGCACAGGACTTGGTCCCGACGTCGAAACTATGCGGAACTTGGTAGAAGAGCTTAAGCGGCTTCATTAGATAGAGTAACATGTTGGTTTTGCTGTCGATTTGATGTCGGAGCTAGACTTCGTCCACCTAGACTCGAAGTGGGCATAGGAAGGCCCAGATTAAGCATAGTACCTACGGTTGAGACTTGAGTATACAGGAATCAATAGACACCTACGAGCCTTCATAACCCAAGATAGGCCAGTGAGACAGACTCTTTAGGTGGTCAACTGGGTTTCATTACGATATACTGCCAAGAGCGTCATTGAATTCCTTTTCAGTGAAGTCCCACCTGGCTGTAATCAACCATCAACTGTGCAGCCGGCGCTTATCCCTACTGACGGATATCCCGACTCACTGACACCAACAGCTACAGCCCCGAGGGCCATGACCAATCTAGGAAACCCGGCCATGCCAGCCCTTGGCATTAGTTCGCCGCAGTCTAAGTGCCGAGCACAAGCCACGTTCCCAGCATGGGCATAGAATGATTTGACCGCTGACATGCCAATGACTAAGTGTGACAACAGAAGATCGCGGGTACTTGCAGCTGGATCCTGATACGCAAAGGTACCGTGTCGGCAGCGCAAAAGCCAGCGAGGGGTTGAGGTGCAGGAGATCACCTGTTCTCGTTGCTGGCCTGAAATGCGTCGCTTAACTCGATGTCGGAGCTCACTCCGCTCAAGGAGTAGTTCATTCAAATGAGACTATTGACACAGACACGCAGCACGATGCCATTCGAAGAAGTGGACACCATGAGAATCGCCCGTTGCATCTTGTTCTGCCCACAGCCTATATCACCGACAGATGCTGACCATCTGTCACCTATCAGTTTTGCTTGGCGAGAATGGAGGAATCTTCTCATTAGACATCACGACGTTCTCTATGACTACCGACTTGGGTGTTTCAAACGAACTCCACAGTCAGTGATACTGCCTTCAACTGAATCCGCTGAGGTGATCGTGGCTGCCCACATGGCTAGAGTCCACAGTGAGCTGGAAGAAATCGCAGGAAAGCTTCAATAGCATGATCTAGGAGAGCACAGTTTGCCGTAGATACCCGGAATCGAAAGCTCGGCAGAGCAGCATGGTGTGGAAGGATGAGCATCTGTCAAGCATTCAAGCTGGACAATCGTTGGGTCATGAATATACATACACATATGGTGTTTCCTGTGCATTAAATACTCGTCCCTTTTACCTTTCTCTCTTCGTTCATTACTCGCAAGATGTTTTTGTGTTAACCACTTATCATTTGTCTCCAGCTGATGTATATTCCCTAACTTTGAGTCGGGCCTAGTTGAGAAGCCTCTAGGCTGGCGAGCTGCGCGAAATCAAAATCCTCAAGTAGCGGGTCTAACGGCACATCCTGAAGATGCTGCGACAGCACATTCAACCTGCGGTGCGAGTCAATATGGTCAGAAAGCGCCTGTGCCTTCTCGCCCATGATGGACTCGGCCCAAATGACTCCCCTGGCCACATCCAGCGCCTGCGATCCCGTCTCCAGCCCGAGGGCGTCCATGATGCCGCTTATAACCGCCACGTGCCAGGCCCGCTCGTCGCTATCCTCCTGGATGGCGGCGACAACGTGCGCCCACAGGTTGAGCTCGGGCACCACGGTCCAGTTCACCAGCGGCAGCCGCGAGATCTGCCGGAAGGCGTCGAGGTGGCGGGGCAGCTCCCGGGCCCCGGCCAGGCAGCGAATCTTGACGTCGGCGAGGAAGATCAGCGCCGCGCGCCGGAAAGCCTCCCGAGCCGCGATTCCTGAGTATTCAGGGTCTGCCGAGTCGCTCGGGAGCGGCCGCCCTTCCAGGGTCAGAATTTCGTGGGATGCCGGGCCCAATAGTCGTGCGATCGTGACGTCGTCCTTCCAGAAGTTCGGCTCGTGGCCATGTCTGTTGACGTAGATAGCCACCTTGGCTGTGGCCTTGAGGGCGCACATGATGTCGCCCAGGGACGGACACTGAAAGTCCCAGTCCCGGAGTAGGACATCAAGGTACATGGTGTCATCGCCAGTGTCGATCTCGGTCAGGGAACCCTCGGGCACTTTGAAGTACGGGCTGGCATTGAGATAGGTGGCCGCGCAAAGATCATGCCTGTAGCCAGTCAGCTTATGAATGATAGAAAAAGGAGAATAGAGTAGTTCAGGTACCATGAAATCATCAGCCGCAGAAAGGGGCTGCTTAGCTTCTCAAGTCCACCCCTTTTCTCCACGATGTGCTTGAGGCCCTTGAGATGGTCATTCATCCGCTCGAAGTTACCGACTGAGTTCTGCCTCAAGACATTATGAGTCTCTCTGAGTTGCCTTTGTACACCGTACTCAAGGGATCTTACATCATGACATATGAATCCAGTCACGGCAATGACGAGTCCTTCGCTGCCAACCTCCTCCGGGTCCTGTAACCGCTTGGATATAGATTCTAGCGATAGAGTGTAGTACTTTAATGCCTCTTGACTCTCTGTGTATTCAGTAACTTCGGCCCCGAGACCTCGGCTCCTGAATAGCGCAGCGTTTGCCAGCGTAATGTTCCACGAAGCCGCATCTGTGAGGCCCACAGAAAGCCACGCGAAGCGAAACGGCCTATACACATGCCGAGCTTCTTCAATCACTGTTGGCGAACTCTAGTTAGAGCATGTGCGAAATTTATCCCAATCTTGTTTTCCAGTTGTAACTGCGAGAATGATAGCTAAGAGACATACTATACCGCGCTAGCTGGATCCTGTCTTCGGTCATCTCGAATGGGTATACCATCTGGCTGATATGGCCGTCGTTCCTCACTCCCGCTGTCGTCATTTTATGTATGTACGACCGCAAGTCTTTCTCAACCTCGTCTTCGGCCCGATCAGCCGGTCTGCTGTCGTCTTCCTCTCCTATTTTAGGCTGCTCGTCGATGATCTTGGTCTGGCGTCGATCCCGAGGCTTGGGTTTGCGCCGGGCCTTGCCTATGTCCTTCATTACATGACGTCGAATCTTCGATGAGTGCTTCTTGACCTCTTTAGGATCGGTCACGTTCACGAACTCGAAACCTGCCATTTCGGGTCTGCACTGAAACCTAGGCGAGCCCTCACAAGCCTAAGATGACCGAACCCGATCCCTTCAGCTCCAGTTGTCTTGAATCGTCTCAAAGACTGGGTTTCCAAATAGTTTCTCAAAGTAATTCTTGAACACCAACATAAAGAATTTCTCGTAAAACGAATAATATTCCAAGCACATTTGCTTCCTGGACGTGACTGTGTTGGCAGATGGGTAAGACGAGGTAGTCGAACCGAGCTTACTAATGTCGCCTGTGTTGCCCCACCCTCCCAAGTTAGTTACCTAGGTACTGCGTCGCATACTCGGAGTCGTCGTAAACTCGGCAGCAAATTGCGAAGCAGACTTCGGTTCTAACTGGCAACACAGATAAGCCTTCACGTGGAATGCGTCTCAACCCAATTTGTGCAGGACAGAATGCTTTGTTCATGATTGTATGATATGGTCATTGTACTTTGGTTATAGTACGGCTGTTACTGATGAATTCAAAAACGATTACTCCAAATCGAAGCCCCTGAAACTCCCGCTTAGACTGTCCTGGTATCTTTACACTAGCAAGCATCGTAAACATCATATCTAGACCCCGAGAGCAGCGTTGAACGCATCGGCGGCGTTCTGGCCAGTTGCAGCATTGGCAGCGGTGGCGCCCTCCTGGCAGGCATCGACGGTGGCCTGGGCGGCCTTGCACTTGCTCTCAAGCTGTTGGCAGATGAAGCTGGTGATGACGGCGGGCTTCAGAGCGGAGCCGTGGTTGAAGTCGGCAGAGTTGACGGGAGCAAAGCTGGCCTCCTTACGGCCGTCGAGGCCATCGGCGAACTCGATGGCGGGAGAACCGCAAGAGCCGGTGTCGAGGGCAGCACGGCGCTTCTTGGCATTGGCGGTGCGGCAAGCTTGAGCCTGGGCGTCACAGTCGGCGACGGAGCCGCTACCACCGCTGTTGGCAGCATTGGCGCAAGCGTTCTTCTGAACATCACAAGCACGCTGGACAGCAGCTCCCAAGTTGATGAACGTGTCGCCGTTGACGGAGAAGGGACGGTCAGAAGCAGAAGAGACCACGGGAACAGGGGCTGAGCCGACCGAACCAGTGAAGGCGTTCACGTCGACGCCAGCGGTAGCAGTGGCTCCTCCGTTGGCAGCTTGCTTGCCAGCAGCGGAGGCTCCTCCATTAGCTCCTGCGGCGTTGTCCTTACCAGCAGAGGCTTTACCGGCTTTGCCCTTGGCCTTTCCAGCCGGAGCGGCATTGTTCGCGGCGTCTCCTGCGGCAGCGTCGCATGCTTCTCGGCTGTCAGTTGACTTTTTTCGATCATGGGCCATTTGGATGTCGACTTACCAGCATCACCGGCATTAGCAGTGCCGTTGCCGGCGTTGGCGTTGCCGTTACCGGCTTTTGCGCCACCAGCAGCCGCGACGGCGGCGTCAATCTCAGCAGCAGTGGCATCTTCAACGAGGAGGTTCTGCTGTACGATACAGCCGACGTCGACGATATCATCGCAGGATTTCCCCTTTCCAGTGTTGTCGTTAACATCACCAGGGGGGAAGGTACCAGTCGACAAAGCAAGCTGTGGGTCGGCGCCGATGGAAGCCAGTTGGGCAGCGAGGTCCAAGACGATCTGCTTGTTCGTAGCGGCGGCATTGGCGGAAGCAGGGTCCTGGTGCTGGCTGATTGCAGCGACTTCGGGGTTGACAGCGGTCTCGTTGCAAATCACAGATGCCAGACCAACTTTACCAGTGTTGCGCTCAAGAGCGCGGAAAAGCAGGGCGTTGGCCTGGGCGGTAACATCACCCGCGGCCTTGGCGTTGGTGAAGGCCTGGTCGGCAACCTCCTGCTGGAGGCAGTCGAGGTTGGTAACATCACCGGCACCCTCAGCAGCGGCGGCGTTGCCGAGCAGCGAGAAGACTGCATCCTGGATGTTCTTGGGGTTGTCCAGCTTCAGAGCAGTGTTGACCGCTACCAAGATTGGCTCGTGGGAGTGTTCCTCTAATGCATAGTTAGCAACCACCCCTGGACTTCTATCGGACATCTGGGTGGTGTCACTCACGGGGAACCTCTCGTCGAAACTTCGTCAACATCCCAGCACGGTGTGGCTGGCGGGCAACCACAGCAGAGCCTGATCTCACAGCATCAGGGCGGGCTGAAGCCACACCCAGCAGCACCGAGATGGCAGCACTTGTCTCGAACTTCATCTTGTCTGATTCGTAAAACGGTGTCGGTCAGGGGTTTAGGGATATAAATAGCTTCCAAAGCAGAGGCCCGGCCTAAGGATGGGAGATAGGTGAAAAGGTAATCGCAAAAGAGCGTATAGAACAATATCAAAAAGTTCACAGAACTGGAAAAGAACGTATGATGAAAGAGAGACACTGTCGCTGGATGAGGAAAAAGAAGAAACTTTTTGTACGTTGGCTTGGGCGGCCTGGAATATATATCCCCAATATTACAAGAGCGGCATGGCTGGCGAGGATGTCACAACAGTACCTACCTACCTACCTACTCCGTGTCTGGCTGCTCGACCCGCCCGTCTGCCGCTAGGATAGACCTGCATCAAGCAGGGTTTGATTCAAGCTGACGTCTCATAGCCGGCGAGGATAGTTCCCTGAGCTTTCGCTAAGATTCACGATCCGCCGATCATTCTTTGGACGAAGAGCTGCACAGGGGGTGTAGGGCCCGGGTTCCCATGTTGCTGGACACACGAGTCATCGTGGCCCGCCTCCTCGGCTGGGCTGGGCTCCGGGAGCGGTTGCCTCATCAAGGAGAATGAAGGCATGCATCAAAGCGCTTGGATCTGGAGGCTCTTCAGATCTGGCAGGGCCACCAGGGCCATGGCCGCATCGGTGGCAGGGCCGATTGGCCGACGAACCACGAGAAGTCCGGGGACAGTCAAGGGTCCAGCGATGGCTCCAGCAAGACAGTCCAATAGACTGACGATATGACGGGTTTGTCACCTCGTAGCCATGTGCGAGGTGCTGAGCAGACTGTATCATCGCGCTGCAGCTCCTCGACAACATGGTGCAATTGGGCGTGGAACAGCAGAGCGGCTGGGTAGTGAATTTGCACGGTGCTGAAAGCACATTCAGTACGCCGCGCAGCGGGCAACGGCGTCTTGTAACCGAAGATGAGATGAGACTGTGCATCTTACCAATGGTGTCTCAGGTTCCTTGAGCCGCAAAGCCTAACTCAGGGCGTGTGGGGCGGCGCCGTCGTGACTGGCTATCAAGCACCTACAACCCCTGCATGCAGCCCTGGCCACCCCTTATAGCAGGGCAGCAGGACAGAGGCAGGGACCGCGGGGAATTCCTCACACTCGTAAAGTTTAACCTCACTCACGATGCTAGGGCCGACGGGCCAGCCAGCCCAGCCCAGCCCAGGGCGCTTCTCTCGCTTCTCTCACAGTTCGCACGAGGATCCTTGTCTCCGCGCGGACAGTAGCAGCCGAGGGAGCATGGCTGCGGCGCCCTGAACGCTGCTGGTCTTCAGACGACCGGACTCCGAATCGTCGCCAGGTTGTCACCCCTTCACGACGCCATTGCCACGTTTAGACGAGGGTCGATGGGCAGATTGTCAGCGCTTGTTCGGACGACTGGGCCCGGCACTTGTGTCAGTACCGGTTTTGATGATGCGACGAACACGTAGGTCGATCAATTGTGAAAGGTAACATCAGTTGGAACATCAGCGGCTTGTCGGTTTCCAGCGTTTGGTCTTCGACGGCACGGTGCATGTGTGAGTCAAAGCAGGTGGCAGGCGTCGGTCAAGTTGTCCGGCTTGGGTAAACCTGCGGCCCTTGGTGGGTTTACTGGTTTCCTGTTACTATCGCAGAGGCGATGCTACTGTAGAAGAGATCGGCCGCTTCGACTTGACCCTTGTACGTTTGTGCGGAAACCGCCCTCTATACACGGGCGTTGGGCGGTGTATGGGGACGCATGATCATTTTAGTATCAAGGCATAAGAGGTGATGCCATACCCTGAGATGGAATACTGCATGGATAATGCCAAGCGCCAGCGAGGGTCATGTCACATATAGGCGGCACATGCCCATCACACACTCCTGTTTAAAAGATCAACTTCACACCACCACTGGCGAGCACTCTAGACTATACATGCCGTAAGGGTGTGCGCTTCCCACTCAAACATTGTTCACAACCCACATGTCTCTCATGTTTGGTTCGGGTCCGTCAGAGATATTTATTCCGACCGAGATTGCTTGGATGTGTTGTTCTTTTTGTTGCAGCATGCAGGCAGCGTTGGGATGGGCGAGCAGCTAGTAGATCACTTGCAGTCCAAACCTGGAACGATGTTCTCCAGGTCGAGATAGGCGCCCTTGGCATCTACATGCTGACACAAACTCCCCAAGCATCTGGGGAGTACGGAGAACCAAGGCAATGATTAAGATGGGCCGTTCTTTTCCACTTGTTGTTCTTGTTTTGTACAGGTTGGCAAAACGCCAAGGAACGTCTAAAGAAATGGTCGGGTCTCGCGATCTTTCCGCGACGTCTATTCCACCAAGTGATTGAGATGCACCGCCACTTTCCCCCAGTCTAGTACTCGTACAGTCTCCACGCTTAACCAATGACCAGCTTCTCGTCCTCGGGGAACTCGTAGGCGGGGATCTCGAGGTTGAGAGGGGCAGGTCCCTTCCTTATACGGCCGGAGATATCGTAGTGAGAACCGTGGCAGGGGCAGAACCAACCACCAAAGTCGCCAGCCTCACCGATGGGCACACAACCCAAGTGTGTGCAGACACCTACTCGCACGAGAGATGTCAGCTTATGCGTGTCTTCATGCGTTGGGGCCGGTCCGTGACAGGCCCGCAGTGTAGGATATGCAGCTAGAAACTGGCACAGAAACAGAACAACCAGCATGAATCATGCCGTGGCTTGCCGCGTGTCGCAAGGATACGTACCCAACATGACCAACCACTCGGGCTTCTGGACACGGTCCTCGTCGGTCTGGGGGTCTCTTAATGATTGCACGTTGACCTTGTTGGCCTCGTCAATCTCCTCGGCGGTACGGTGGCGGATGAAGACGGGCTTGCCTCGCCACTTGATGATGACGTTCTTGCCCTCGGGGATGGCGTTGAGGTCAACCTCAACCTTGGCCATGGCCAAAACATCGGCGGAGGCCGACATGTTCTTCAAGAACTCTGCGAGCCAGTCAGTCAGCAGTGACACTATAATATCGGGCACTGTAGTCATCTTGGAGCTTGTTGCACCGCAAGATCCTTGTCACTCGACGGCCTTGCAGGTTGGACCGAGCCGGAACCAGACGCGGGTCTCGGGGCGTCCCATGGACTTCCACCACCCCCAGTGGTGCTTGTCACGTTCATCGACGCGGACAAAACCATTGGTAGGGTAGATTCCATATAAGAAACCCCGAAGACCGGCCCAGGGCCTGGTCCGGCGCGGTCCGGGGCGCGGTCTCCCGTGTCGGGTGCGAGTGTCGGGATGTGGTCGGCAGATCGTAGGTAGGACGAACCTTGGACGGTGGACTTGGCGCCGGCGGCGGTGATGGCACCCATGGTTCCGACCATGAAGTAGCTGACGAGCGAGTTGGTGTTCCAGGACCCCTTGGAGGCGTACTTGGTCCAGTCGGGGATCTGGGTGGACTTCTGCTCGCCCTTGAAGGGGCTCGAGTAGGAGCCGGCATCGCGCACGGCGGTCGAGGCCGAGAAGGCGCGGGCGGCGGTGGACGAGAGCGATCGAGAGGCGGCCTCTCGCGCGAGGGCGCGCGTAGCGACGGTCATGGGCGCCATGGCGATGAGAGGGGAGTGTCAATGGGGAGTCGGGGGAGCTGGTAGGTGACGACGATGAGCTTTTGATGAGGCTTTTCAAAATCTGGGATGGGAACACCCGAGCTTGGGGCGCTTCTGGTGGCCTCAGGCCGCCGCTTCTGAAATTCGACGCCACTGATTGGCCAATGCGCCCGGGGGAAACAGGGACCCGCCAGCCCCGTCGTCCCATTTTCCCTTCCGTTTCTGGCTGCCCAGGACTGCCCAGGTCTGCCCAGGTCTGCCCGTGGCTACAGGGCTTACGGTACGTGCTGTATCTACTTGTCCAGCAGCTGGCGGGTCTGACGGCAGCTGAGCTCCACGACAACATCTACACTCGATAGGTACATTTCCATCAGTCCATGGGACTTGATGAAGGGCACCACTGCACCGGATCGGCCAATGTAATCACACTTACGTACGGCACGGTAGTTTTAGCTGCCACAAGGAAACGCTGTTTTGCATGTTTCTTCAAATGGCGAGATTCCGTTCCCACTATGTACAGGAGAGCTTGCCCACAATCGTGCGAGATCCACCACAGCCTCCCGTCAAGACTGCCAAATGCTATATTGTGAATCGACCGCGTACAACAGGTCCCTCCAAATCCCAAGACCCAAGAGCCATAGAGGAAAAGAAAATACGGAGTATGGGTTTGCAAAGACAACTCTATCAGCACAGTGCGCGTACACTTTGAAAAACAACATTCGAGACCTTGTGGACTTGGTGCAGCTCGACGGCGCTTCATCTGGGGAGGTTGCGAGCAATCGAGTCGAGCTCTGCTGCGATACGCTTTTTATGGGCAGTCTCTATGGCTCCGGGCGATCCTGTAGACGAGACCAAGGTGCTGGACGCCCCCTTCAAGTAGGACTGCAAGCGACTTTGGTGCAGATTACTCTGCTCGGCTGTTGGATGTGTCGACGGGTGAGTGGAATAAGTATGTTGCGGCTTCTCAGATGCCACGCTATCACGCCAAACTGTGTCAGTGTGTCCGTCATGTGCGGCGTTTTGCATGCGGCGACGTACCCAAGATGTAAAGCCTGCGTCGAGCTGGTTGCCATTTGGTTGAGAACCGATCGTCGGACTGGTTCAAAAACTGCAATTTAAGAAGTAGTGCCTGTGTCAAGAAGGATCGCCCTTCAGCTGAAACAAGATGTCTGAAAACCTCGAGAAGGCCCATAAACGATGCCGATACTGGTTCGAGGGTGTTTTGGTTTCTGAAAGCCCAGGGCCGAGCTATATACCCACCAGTAACCTGCAGCATCTCTGCTTTGGATGAAACAAGATGCCCACAGTACTTCCAGTACACCTAGCTACATACTGGCGGCTACAGTCGATGCGCCAATCATTATCATTCTCGGATGCCTTTTGGGGAGAGCGCGATGTGTGAGGTACCAGCAGACCGGAGTCGAGGTTGCACTGGAGCGAGCGAGCCCATGCCCACAGCATGCATGGAGAACATGTAGCTGATTACCCAGGGGGGTATGGTTGGTTGTGCTTCACCGAGCTGTTTCTAAGGTGTATGTGGGTTTGCAGTTAAACACGAAAACATTTTATTGAGTATATGGACACACGGCGCCAGATGAATAGGCACATGCCATGGACAACTCCAACTAGTCCCAAAGCAAGCTCTGAGAATCTCGGGAAATAAACAATAGAAAAGAGGTCTTACATGAGACAACGAGGGTCTATGCAATGATTCTTGATGCAGGCATAAGTCGACACTTGTCGTTCTATCCAAACATATTGTTTCTCGGCTAAACAAAAGGCGATAGAAACTGGCTCCTCCAACCTCCTAGATTCAAGCTTACCTCGACGACTGTTGCAGGGCATTTGCGACACAACGTGACGGTAACAAGCTACCCAAGGGCTCTGCTCAGTGAAATCATGGTTCAATCCGTGCAGTCGGTTCTGATCGTCCGAATTCAAGACTCGGGCACGTGAAGTCGCAAATGCATATACCGAGTGTGTTGGGACATCTTGAGAAGCGGGCAATGCGGGCATGGCCGGAAGTGCCTAGCATCTTGCATGATGTACTCTGCAGGCTGATTCGAACGTTTGCCTGACTCCCAAGGATGTTGGAACTTCTTAAGATGCAGCTTGCATCGGGTGTTGTCAAAGAATACCAATCTTCCCCGGTCACTGGCAGACTTCACTCCCCACACATGGCTGTGATTCGATGCTCGCTGGTCAGAGTGCAGTCTCATCCGATGGTCCAATCGGATGGATAGACGTGTTGCAGAATGCGCCTCCCGGTGCTGCACCTGATGCAGAATTGAGCGGCGGTTGCCTTGATCAAGTGGAAAAACATGGTTGAGGGAATTGGCTCGTCCGCCCGATGTGGCGATTGTTGTTGGAACGGATCTCTGGTGAGTATCTGCAGCGGGTGTTATGCAGCAGTCCTAAATCAGATGTAAAGGCGGGGGTGGTCCTGTGTAACCGCAAGGCTCCCATCAGGCAATGCCTGTGTAGGCAGCAGCCTCGTTCTGCATTCTGATGCTGTGGCCGCCTTACTGCCTGGGTTGCCTAGATTTCATGGAGGGGGTAGTCCGCGGGGAATAGTGACCTCCCTCTTCTGCTAGGTATCAAGGGCTTCGAAGCCGTGCGAATTGTCGTCGGCGGGAATGGATGCGGTGGGCGAACCCCTGCGAGATCACGACTGTTCTGTCACATGCTGATTAGCAAGAGCAGTAGCGGATAGGTCGAATGGGAGGACAGAGGGGATCGAATGAGGGCCCGGAGACTATAAGCAGTGTATGGCTCTTGGTTCAGAAACAATACTGTTCTTAGATGATGTCTTGGTGACGGCTTGTGAGGAGGAGGATGAAATGGATCGGCTGGAAGTAGGAGGTGGGAAAGAGTACTGAGCTATCCACAGAGAATGTAGTCGAAAGATCAGACAGCCCCCTACTCGTCGGTGGTCTCATCGGTGGATGGAGGACTCGATCATCTTATATATCGCGCGGTTAGTCAACTTCAGCCCTACAGAGTTGAGTCGTCCTTTGATCCTTCGAGTGGCCGGGCCGTTGATTGGCTCTCTCCGGGCCGGCCATAGGCCAGAGTTGCACATGCGGTGGGCCTCCTGCAGAAGCTGCAGCCGGTCAGAGTGTTTGGCCAATCGCGACTCATTCCTTAGCTCACCGAGTCCGCGATCCATCACGGCTGCAGGGCAGGAATATGACAGATGAGTTAGTAGGGTTGCTTATCCAGGCATTCTCCGACCGGCGAACGCAACCTTTGTGACGTTGCGACTCTCGGCTACCATGATTATAGGTCTGTCGGACGGGCCAGACGGAAGACCCAGACTGGATTAGTGCGGTTGGCTCTGTAAGGGGGTAGCCCGTCTTCAACTATGTCCAGATGTAGTAAGCGTCGATAATGTCGCGCTGGGAATATGTATAATCATATAGTCTGCTTCAAAAAGTGCCCTTACCAAAACCCACTTCCAGAAAGAAGCTATGGCTGAAACTTCCTGAGCTCGACCCACACACACAGGACGACGTTGGTAGCGAAATCTTCCTTCTTTGTTCTTCACTTTAGTATTCGTGAATCAATTACGTCTTACAGTTGTAGTGTCTCTGCACAGCTGCCGTCACAGATCTCAATTTCACAAGGACATACCACTACGGCACGCGTTACTTGAACTCTATTATCCCGGCTGCCAAAATGGACAGGCTGCCCCAGCTTGTCTACGATGAGATCAGTTCGTTACTTGATGATCCAGGTTTTGATAAGCCCGCTTTGGCCACCATCTCATGCCCGTGGCAAGTGGCCATCGAACGACAACACATTTAGGGAGATACGGCTGAGAAGCACTGATTTAGACTGCTTCCAAGAGATCGTTACATATGACCAGCGCCGATATGTGAGCGCCATAGACTATCACATTATACTTCCTGCGTATAGTGATGATGCACGCTGTCGGTTCGAGCGCGAGGATGACCGGCAGGCGAACAACGAGGTATTCACGGCTGCAATCCATCATCTCTTCCACATTTTGAAGACTTGGGACGCTCATACAGACGGCTATATTACACTTAGCATTAGAGATGTGTACTCAAGTTCGGACCACCCCTTTCTCCGTTATTCGTCGCCCTGTTTTGAGGAGCGCAATACTTTACGCCTATACAGAGACTGGGACAACAATATCAATATCGATTTGTGGAGCTGGCGATGGCAATATTCGTACCTTCGTCTCTTGCATATATCGGAACTGCCGGCGGTACCTGTGATCTGGTCTTGTTTGATACCTCCTATAACGAGACATATCTGCGATCGTGTTCCTATCGATATTGCTACTAGGCTACCAAGCCTCCGCGTAGGCAACTGGAGAATGAACGACTGGGAAATTCGATATATCGCGTTGCGTCGGGCTCATCGCTGCGATTTAGCTCAGGCATTTTCAGAAGTTTCTCCTTGATCATCTGTTTTACAATCCCTTACATTGTATATGGATTCCCCCTTCTTCTGGACTCCAAACTTTTCTGTCGGTACTTGTATTCCTGGGGAATCCACTGTTGATACGCTAAGCAATGCGATCCGTACGGCCACGGGAGGCATAAGCACGCTTAGGGAACTTGCAATATCAGGCACCATTGACGCGTTAATATTCTCGTCTAGTCCGTCCTGTGCTTTGGTGGAACCGTATTGGCAAAAGCTGGAATATCTGATAGTTCACTTTGAGACGGGACGACCATCCGGTGGCCATTACTTCTGGGATCCTCAGCAGGCGGCGCGCAGCCCCTTTCATCAGGAGTTACCTCTGGTATCAGAGACAGAAGTGCCTCCGGGATACGGAACCAGCGAGGATGAGGACGCTGAAACTGCAAGATCCTTCTCTTCAAAAGGGCAGAGAGACTTTGACGGACGGGTTCTAGAAGTATTGCCAGACGACGACTCCCTTGTGCCATTAATTCAGGTATTTGGGCGAGCATGTTTGCAAATGCCAGTGTTAAGGGCCGCCGAACTGTCTACTATTATACCTACTCCTCCAGAGTCCAACACTGCTAGTTGTCATAAGGATAGGTCCCCGTGGGGGGTATGGTACTTTAGTCCTGGCACATCGCCTGGTGCGAAGAATTTGGAAATGAGTCCGGCGTTTTCCGAAGACATTCATTACAGAAGGCTTTTTTGGGATATAAAAGGATGGCACCTAGATATGAACTTGCAAAAGCTTGTAAGAAGTATTGGGGCCGAGAGATATGGGAAACACTTGGTTGAAAGATTCGTAAATACTTGGGTTCCTGCGTAAACTTGGACATGCAATAACGCAAACACACTCAGATTATAGAATATTGCCGGTATTTCTCATGGCAGCTACAAGCATACATAGATTAAAAAGAACTACAGTTTTTTCAACAACATTGTCGAATTCTGATATCCAGATTCGACAAGCGGCTGTCTAAGCGACTCGTATTATGCAACTGTAACGGATCAAGATGTTCACAGCCACAACAACGTGCGTGACGATGAGCTCTAGAAATATGCAGTGCGCGAACGGCTCTCAAATTTATTTGTCAATTGCGCAAGTTTACCTGCGGTGTTCTTAACATACACTCCAGGATGCCGTGGTTCCGCCAGACCTTGAGAGTCATGGCGTGGGGCCACTAGGTGACAAGTGAAATTGGAGCTCCGACTAATGAATTACGACGACGTGGGCAAATATGTTTACTGCAGCACCATTCTACAAGGTGCACGAATTATCCCCAAGTTACGGGAAATCTTCAAAACTTCAAGAATGCGCTATTCTGCACCTTTCCAATGAGGCTAGCGCGGGAGAATAGGCGTAGGCTGAAAGTTGCTTACACGATATCCAAGATGTGACTGTAGATAAGTGCCTACATTTCTGAACGACCAGTAGATTATGGACAGAACCTGAGAATACTCTTTGTGAGGGCTGTTAGTTGTTTTATGCACTGCGAGAGAATAATCTCGATCATGTTTGAAAAGTATGGCTTTATTTCTTCCTGGCAACAACCATATAGTTCATCATCACGAAGCAGCCATGGGGACAAACCCACATCTGTGCCTGTTATTGTCTTTGTTCACGTCGATCGCATAGTCGGATAAATAAACGCACTTATCCTCTTAGGCATCAGCCACGACTCATACCAGATTTATATGGTCCCTTGATGTTGTTTCAATGATGCCTGTGTTTTGTTCGAGCACTAGGATCGTGGTCGAATATACCACGACATCGCCACATAGATTCTATCCTCAGACCTCAAAGTTACTGACCAGGCTGAGGCAATCTGATTTGCCGTTGCGCGCTTACTCTGAACGTAGATTTCCGTCATTCTCGAGAGTTGATCATTTGAGGGACAAATATTGGCGACACAACTAGTCAAGGACTCCAGTGCTAAGACTAGAAATAGTCCGAGGACAAACTGGTGGAGAATCTAGGTGCAGGTTAACTTGCATGAAAGTAGTAATGTAACGAATATTGGGGTTCAACAGGTCTTATGAGAAGTCGAATTGCACAATATGCATTAAAGATTCAATCGGTCGAAATCTGCATTACACCAAGATATGTGCTGGAAACAGTGTGGGCCATTACTTGTGTTTTTCCTGCCAATGGAAGGCAATCTCGGCGTTACAGGCATAACGTAGTGACAATCATTTTCCTAGTGGAAGAGTAATCGGTGCTGGGGTCTCTCTCACATGGCTCATAGCTTGGGTCGCTATTTTATTGATGTTGTGGCTACGTATCTTGTCAAGAGAAATAGAAAACAGTGCTGAATTTTGAGAGAGCGTACGTTTGAACCCAGGATTTTGGTATCTCTTCGAGGGTCATCCTATGGCTTTTCCATTCCTCGACATAGGGTGTGATTGCATAGCTAAGGCTTTCTTAATGAGGTAGTGAACGTTACTCCGCTGGGAATGAGATGCCAAGGCTATGCGGCCGAGATCTTCAGCATTAGCAACACAGCCTGCACAACAAGCAAAGCCAAGACAGTCTTCAGATGGACGTCTTGACGCCGTAAGCGTGTGACACAGGAATTTGATGCTTCAACAGATAGCACGGCCATCGCCCAAAGACATCGCGATCTGCTATACATCGCGCCGCACTACTGTCTTGCGGGGCCAGCACCACCGTGCCATGCACGAGTGTTCCCTTCGCCCAATAAGCCGCGCTGATCAGCCTAGTGACGAAGCAGCAACATCAGATCTTTGTGTCGTGCAACATACGGTGCATGGCAGGCTCAAAAATCCTGTTAGCGCCCGACTTTGCGGCCGCTGGTCTGCCAGGGCTGTGCCGCTCCAGCGCCTTGCCGACTCTGATCCCCCGGGGGGTTTGGGGGCTGAGAGGAAACGTGCTGTGCGAGCCCGCAACATGCGCCAAGCGATTCCTTGGACGAGATCGACGTCATAAGGCTGCCAGCGAGCACTCTCTCTGCGACATTGTGTCATAGTCCTGAATGAGGTCAACTCGCCGCGAACAGTGAGATCTGCCATTTCCAATAGGATATAAAGCAAATTGGGGTTTCGTCGGAAAAGGATGTAGACGAAATAGAGTTTCGTAACTGTCTCCTTTATCGCCGCTTGGCTCTATAGTCCTGCCGCCACTGATCCGCCCCAATACAACCCCGTACGCTTTATAGTAAAACAAAGCTTCGCCCAGGACGAGCCTCTACACATAATCCAATATGAAGTTTACTACAGCCCTTTGTATTGCCTTGATCGCTCTCGCTTCTGCCAGCCCGGTGCCTGAGCCGGAGGATGTCCGCATAGCCCGTCCTAGAGAGCCTGTAGACAACGAGGTGTAAGTCAGGCATCCAAAAGACCAACATCCGCGAGCTTAGCGGGAGCACTTGACTGACTTATAAACGACTCTCTAGAAACCTCCATCAGTGGCACACCCGCAAGGGTGGGGGCTCAAGTGGAGGCTCAAGCGGCGGATCGAGCGGCGGGTCAAGCGGCAGCAGTGGTTCATCTGGTTCATCGGGCTCGTCGAGTTCGTCTGGTTCCAGCGGCTCGTCCGGTTCCAGTGGCTCCTCGGGCGGCTCGAGCAGCTCTGGCGGCAGGGGTGGAGGCAGCACCGGCAGCAACCCTTCCAGGAACGGCGCCAGCGGTCGCCAAGTAGGCCAAGGAGCCGCACTTATTGCGTTGATGGTCGCTGTAGGGGCCACCGTAGCATGATGAAGGATGCTGGCAGGTGATTTAGCATTTTAGGGCATATGTTGCATTGTACTATTATTATGATAATGACTATACGTCGATGGATGAGCTGTCTGGCTGACTATGAGCGCAGATAGCTGCAGTCCCGGGGCCTTCTGTACTATTGCGGTTTGTTTCAATGTTGATACTATTTATTGTCTGTCAGATACTCTGAAAGCCATGTACTGGGGACGAAACGGCAGTTGGAGCTCCGAAATTTGGCGTCTGTAGTGTCAAGTGTCAAGGGACCAGTGTCGGCTCAAAGCCAGTAGCTGACTGACGTAAATACCCCGGCTTCAAACAGTCGGATGGTGGTGCTATATCACACTGAACGATGAGCAAAGAAAAGAAGGCGTATGTGTCAGTGATGCGACTTTTGAGAATAATCTCTTGCGAACAACATTTGAGATTCCTCAGGTCTCGTGTCTCATCAAGTTTTATTATCCGTAGAGGCCTCTATGGTTACATCCATATCCCAGGTCTAGGTACTTTCCACACAACGCCGGTCGACCCCATGAGCTGAGCCATCGTCTAGTGTCCGTGTCCATCATCCTCCGCCCTCTGTTCCGGGTCCAGCTTGATTAGGGTATCAATTCTCATGATGGCAATGGTGGCCTCGACAGCACTCTTCAGTTGCCGGACCTTGCTCATGTGGGGCTCGAGCACGCCGGCCTTGATCTCATCGATGACCTTGCCTCTAGCAAGGTCCAGACCGTAGTTCTTGTATCCCTTCATACGAGCAATGGTCTTCTCGTCCGCCGAGCCATCACCCTCCTGTGTTCTTTGCGACACAGCATGCCTCGATCGCAGTTGCGCTACCAGCTCGCTGGCGTCCTTTGCCGCGTTCACCGCCAGCGTCTTGGGAATGACCAAGAGGGACTGTGCAAACTCGCCAATGGCAAGCTGTTCCCTCGAACCAACCGTACCGGCATACTCCTCGAGGTAGATGTGAAGAGCGGTCTCCACAGCACCGCCACCGGGAACAATCCGCCCACTCTCCAGAGTGCGCTTCACAGCGCATAAGGAGTCGTGTACGGAGCGCTCCATCTCATCCAGAGTAAATTCGTTGGGTCCTCTAAGCACGATGGACGCCGAGGAGTGCGTCTTGGTGCCCTTGACCAAGATGCACTCATCGTCTGAAATGCGCTCCTGCACAACCTCCTCCGCGTGGCCCAGATACGAGGCCTCAAACTTCTCGTCACCGTTCAGGTCGGACAGGGTGCTGAGGAGGGTTCCGCCGGTTGCCCTGGCAATTCGTCTCAGGTCCTCCTTCTTGCAACGTCTGACGGCCATGGCGCCGCGCTCGATGAATAACTTCAGGCACATGTCATCAATGCCCTTGGTGGTCAGGACAACGTTGGCGCCGGCCTTGAGGATCATCTCGACCCTCTCGAGGACCATACCAGACTCACGGGCGCGGATCTGCTCGAGCTGCTGAGGGTCGTCGACGGTAATCTGCACACCCAGCTTCATGCGCTCCTTCTGCAGGTTCATGTCCAGGATGGCAATCTTGGCGTCCTGTATCCGGGTAGGCATGGCCTGGGAGGCGACTGTGCAGTTCAGAGCGTAGCCCTTGACGAGGACCGACTCGAGCGACGACTTGCCGTGGGCCTTGAGGATGTTGACGGCCTTGACGGGGTACTTGACCTCGCTCTTGTTGTTGGAGGTCTTGACGGACTGGATGGCGTCGACCACCATGTTGGCAAAGAAGTCGGAGTCGGAGCCGATGATCTTGCTGGACATGGAGGTCTTGGCGATGCTGAGCAGCGACTCGCGGCCCAGGTTCTCGACCTTGATGCTGATGTTGTCGTTCATGTACTTGATGGCCTCGCGCACGGCCAGGCGGTAGCCGGTGATGATGGTGGTGGGGTGGATCTTGTTCTTCATCAGCTCGTTGCCGCGGCGCAGGAGCTCGGCGGCGATCAGGACGACCGAGGTTGTGCCATCGCCAACCTCTCTGTCCTGCTGGTGGGCCAGGTCGACGAGGATCTTTCCGGCCGGGTGCTCGACATCGAGCAGGCTGAGAATGGTGGCGCCGTCGTTGGTCACGGTGACATCCTGCGAGATGGCATTAGTATCCGGCGTTCGTTTTCAGCTTTCCGGCAGCTCCATAGCCCCTATCCCCGTCCGTCCCCGTGAAGTCTGAGTGCCACTTACACCGATATCGTCGACCATCATCTTGTCGAGACCGCTGGGACCGAAGGAGCTCTTTACGACGTTCGCGATGGCCTGTGTGGCAGAGACTGTAGTTGGTCAGCATTGTGCAGGGCAGGGCAGGGCAGGGCAGAGCCTGGAGCGGCGGTGCGGCAGGGCCAACACACCATTCTGATCTCTGATGTCGGCGCCCGAGATCTTCTGGCCGCCGAGGAACAGAGTCCCGTTGCCGGGCTGCTCGAACATGGAAGCCATGGTGTGAGGACGAGGACGAGGACGAGGACGAGGACGCGGGGATCAAGCAGCAACTGTGCAGGTGCGAGGCGATATGGGACCGGAGCAGAGGCAGATCCAGAAGCGCACAAGACCTTGTCGTGCCGGGTCGGGTCGTGTCGTGTCGTGTCGTCTTGTGTTGGGTGGGTGGTAGGTGCCTAGCTCTGTCTTTGTCTGCGGCCCTCTGGGTTGACTTGAGCTCCGTCTCCCCTATGCAATCCAATCCAATCCAATCGAATCGTATCGCACCGGGCCCTCACAAAAAAGTTGGCGGCGCTGAAGGTTTTTCCCGGGCCGGCAGCTGCCCGCCGCCCGCCACTACCTAATCGTGCCTGGTGACTCCGCTGTGTTAGTGGACCGGGCAGGCCTGGGGCTAGGTAGCTGAAGCCCCCTGACCTACCCAGGTACTTGCTTGGTAGCAGAGTAACGGGGGCTTTATGCAGGTAAAGGGTACTTTGGCGGGGTTCACCTCTTTTTCCTCCCTTTTCTTTCTGCGTCTGCCAGGGGGCCCAGGGGGTCCCAGGGTCTGTCTGTCTGGTCCCTGCGCCTGCTCCCCCGCGCCAGACCGCCGCCTGTACACAGTACATACCCAGGTACTAACGTTAACTTACGTAGCACTCAATTGAGGGGCAGACGCCGATTCCAAAATTCCGAAGGACGCGTTGCTTGAACTTGCGACCCGACTTTTTGGGAACTTGACTCACCACCTGTACCGGCGAAAGACACATCGTGAGCCCACGGCACGTCACACCGAGCACTTTACTCAGAACGGCAGCAGCACAGGTGAGTCTCGTCGCCTGATCACGTCGGCCCTCGTTCGCCCACTATTTCCTATATTCTATGAACAATGGCTAACACCCGTGGCCCCGTCGCAGACCCCGCTATCGTGCACAAGCCCTCCGATATCACAGCCCGGCCCTGTGAAGAAAGACAAGACGCAGAACAGCGATAGCACCACTGTCAAGCTTGAACGTCCAAGCCGCCCCAGGCCAGACGAACCGCACTGCAATCAACCCCCTCCCCATTGTGGAAATCGCCGACCAGACCGAGAGCGCAATGGCCGAGACCATCGAGAAGGCCAAGGACACCGTGGCCGCCGTCACTGAGCAGGTCAAAAATGTCGTCGTAGGATCCGGCGAGCAGGCCAAGGAGGCGGCAGACGAGGCCAAGGGCCCCTCCAAGAGCGCTCAGAAGAAGGCCGAGAAGGAGGCCAAGAAGGCTGCCGAGAAGGCCGCCAAAGCCGCCAAACTGGCTGCCGCTCCTGCTGCCGGTGGCAAGAAGCAGGACGACACCATTGGCCTGACCGTCACCAAGGCCGACAACTTCCCTCAGTGGTACCAGGAGGTCGTGCTCAAGTCCGAGATGATCGAGTACTACACCGAGATCTCGGGCTTCTTCGTCATGCGCCCTGCCACCATGTACATCTGGAACGTGATCCGCAAGTGGTTCACCGAGAGGATCGAGGCCATGGGTGTTGACGAGACCAACTTCCCCATGTTCCTGTCGTCCAAGTCACTCGAGAAGGAGAAGGACCACGTCGAGGGCTTCGCCCCCGAGCTGGCCTGGGTCACCAAGGCGTGAGTTACTTACATGGTTCCCGACTTGTTGCTCTGCAGAAACTTGACTGACACTCGTGCTCGAAAAAAAGCGGCGACAAGGATCTGGAGGTCCCCGTTGCTGTCCGCCCTACATCCGAGGCCGTCATGTACCCCTACTACTCCAAGTGGATCCGGAGTCACCGTGACCTCCCCCTCAGACTCAACCAGTGGAACTCGGTCGTCCGATGGGAGGCCAAACAGACCACTCCCTTTCTCCGTGCCAGAGAGTTCCTGTGGCAGGAGGGCCACACTGCCCATCTGACTGAGAAGCTTGCCGGTGAGGAGGTCCTCGAGATTCTGGAGCTCTACGCTGGAGTCTACGAGCAGCTGCTGGCCGTCCCCGTCGTCCGCGGTACCAAGACCGAGAATGAGAAGTTCGCCGGTGGTTACTACACTACCACCGTCGAGGGTTACATTCCTTCCAACGGCCGTGGTATTCAAGGTGCCACATCTCACTGCTTGGGACAGAACTTTAGCAAGATGTTCGACATCACTGTTGAGGACCCCGCAGAGAAGGGCAAGCACATCAATGTCTGGCAAAACTCGTGGGGCCTCTCGACCCGTGTCATCGGTGTCATGGTCATGATCCACGGTGACGACAAGGGTCTGGTTCTCCCTCCCAGAATCGCCAAGAACCAGGTTGTCGTTATCCCCGTCGGCATCACCAAGAGCACTACTCCAGAGGCCAAGGCTGCTCACGAGGAGCAGCTCCAGAGCATCAAGGCCACACTGAAGAAGGCCGGCGTGCGTGCTGTGGATGACTTGAGAGAAGGTTACACCCCCGGTTGGAAGTTCAGCGACTGGGAGCTCAAGGGTGTTCCCTTGAGAATTGAGTTCGGCCCCAAGGATGCTGCCAACGGGGTTGTCAGCTTTGCCCGCCGAGACACCGGCGAGAAGGGCACCATCCCTATCGCTGACCTGGCCACCAAGGTTCCTGAGCTCCTCGAGACCATCCAGAGTGATCTGTACAAGAAGGCCGAGAAGTCGTTCGACGAGCACAGAATCGTCATCGACGATTGGGAAAAGGTCGTCCCCGCCCTAGACGCCAAGAACGTTGTCCAGATCCCCTTCTGCCTCGAGCCCAAGTGCGAGGACAAGATCAAGGAACTCACCACTGCCAAGCATGACCAGGAGCCTGATGCCTCGGTTCCTCAAGCTGCATCTATGGGCATGAAGAGCTTGTGCATTCCCTTCAAGCAGCCCAAGGAGGTCGCGGAGGGCCAGAAGTGTCTCAACCCTGAATGTCAGGCACTGGCTAAGAAGTATGTCATGTTCGGCCGCAGCTACTAAGCCCGCGCCTGGGATTGGACTCTTTTCTTTTCCTTTCACCGGTAAATCACGAGGGTATGAAGCACGAAATAACGGCTCGGTTCACTTGGAGGGGGGAAGGGTGTTTGTAGGCATGGCGGTGCGAGATATCCATTATGGTTGTGAAGAGAAGACGATAGATCTATTTAGATCGACAAACATGTAGACGTTGAGTTGGTCTGCAAACCCATGTCTGGTGAACCCATGATGCCATTCCGCAAATATATGTGATGCCCAACAGGCTTTGTCACTCAAACATGCACTTCTTGCGTATCGCTTTGCATCATTGATAGCTTGTCTCTCGGCTGAACGAAGGCTATTCAAATGTGAACACGGATAGAACAAAGTCGTTACAGTCCTCATCAGGTCGATTTACTCCCAGGAGCAAAACGTGTAGACGAATGTATTAAATAACAAACTACGTGCTCCCTGTGCATTCCCAACCATGCAAACATGCTGCCCTCATGCCATAACGAAGGAGGAAACAAAACAACCGCTACCGGGTCCAACTCCGCAGTGACAAACCAGCTCTGAGAATTACGACAAATCGAATATTACAAACTGAACAACCGGGGTATCAATGACTTGCGCTGCTGGATTCCTTCTAAAAAAAAATTGCCTCAATGCCTTCGGCCATCTCCCTCATGCTGCGGAAAGTCAATACCACCACCGTCCAACCTGGGCGCACCACCTGCGCCGACCTGATTCATGGCTTCCTAAACCCTAGCATCTCCAACCTGGTTCGCTGGCGCGGGCCGTGCATTTGCGTTGATGACCCGCTGAACCCTCATTCCGTCGCCGATCCTGGCGGCGCCTGGAAACATGTCCAGTCTGACCAGATCAGGAAGCGCCGGAGGCCGAGCCTGAAGCCCCAATGCGTTCTGGGCAAACTCGCCTCTGAACCTATTAAATTGCTCGAGGCCGCCCCCGAACATGGCTCGATGTCCCCTCTGTCGTTGGTTATCCAGAACGTCTTGCATGGACTGTGGCCGTCCCAGGAAACTGAGGTCTGCACCTAGCCTCAAGGGCATGAACACGTTGTCATTACGAAGGCCTTCACGGACTGAACGGGACTGGGGTGGCGAATCGGGGTCTACCACTATGGCATTAGCTGCAGTACGACCCGAATTCGGTATGCGCCCAGCATTTCGGATGGGACCAGGTACGCCTATATTTGCTGGTGCTTGCACCTGCAAGAATGGCAGCTGGATCATGGGCTGTTCCTCTCTCCGAAGGATTTGTTCCTGTCTCGCCCGGTTTCTTGTTTGTTCTGTGACCAGGTCCAGCAGCTCTTGAGCACGTGTTTCGTGGGCCTGGCGCATCGCGTCCACGTTTCTTTGGACGGCCTCCTGCTGTAATCGTTGTTGCTCTGCAACGTGGTTCTGGTGGTGCTGCTGAGCTGCCCTGATTTTATCAAGAATAGTCTTGTGCCTAGCCTCTTGCTGCTCTTGCAGTCTTTCTCGATGCTCTCGAGCTCGCTGCACCTGAGCTTCAATTTGCTGGAGTTGCCGAGCATTGAGTTGTCTTGCTCTGCCATCATCGGCGATCTCCGGGGCTGGGCCTGGTCATGAATTAGCCTTTGACTCATGTGAATAGACTCAAAACTGTCTAGGCCCTCTAGGATCAGATGGGTGGAGGAGAGCTGAGCGCCAGCAGCGCTTTCATAGTCTGTGGAGCACTGGCAGTGATAGCTAGAGGGCATCGATACATGGTAACATACCAGGATTGAGAGCTTGGAAGAAGGCTGGAGGGGCGAAGTGGACCCTAGCCCGCTGCCGCTCGCCTTGTTCTTTCCGCTTTCTTTCGTCTTCTTCGACTCTGGCGGACATCTTTAATTTAAGCGCTTCATTATCCTACAGAAGTTTGTGATTAGCGCATATCTCAACTCAGAATAACCTGTCTCTGATTGTCCAATAGACTTCATAGCTAATACAAACATTGCCCAAAGGGAATCTCTTCTAAGCAATGCTACATGCGATCCTAAGCGCAGTCGAAACTACAGCCCAGGATTGAGGACTACGCCAATCTGGGTGGTAACGGAACAATTGGGGTTGGTATCTATTTTTCATGAGGAGAAACGAGCTGGGACTGCTCAAAGGCACATCTGTGTAGCTGTTAAGGAAATTGAGGGATTACCATTTCGGGGTTTTCCCTTGCGACTCGATCTCGAGTTGCATTTTCTGCACGTTGCGCCTCTTCTTGGTGGTGTGCTTCTGTAGAGTCGAAAAGAGGACACTGGCCTTGCTTGCCGCCTCGGTTCTGGTCGTTAAAGTGGCTATAGTCCTTAACAGTTTGACGGCATACGTAGCATTGGATGGTTGAACACTTCGTGCAGAATATCTTGTTGCAACCATCAGATTTGATGTACGGGTTGGCGCCTGCTCGATGATCAGCTTGAATTCCCCGAGTTACCTATGTCCACGCCCTCGGGTCGCCATCCAATATGGCGATCATACTTACACTTGTTGCACTTTCTGATCACTGCCTCACTCATAGCTTCTTCTATGGTATGCCTTGCGGAGTGTTCTTCTTCGGCTGCCGCCTCGGCGCAAGTCTTGGGGATATGAGTCTGCTTACGGCATAATCGGCAGCTCACTATCTCGCATTCTCGATTGGTACATCGAAATTCCTTGTTCTCATGGACTGGAGGGTACTCAATAGCCATGGGGCAGAAAGGACAAGTCTCAAGATCCTCGATGCCGGCCTTCTCGAGCATTGCTTGTGCTTCAATCCGGTCCAAAGCAATTTGCAGCTTCTTGTCGAGAAACAACTTTCTCTGAGCAACGGAGAATCCTGCACTACATCCGTCCATGGACATGCATTTGAGCTCGTACTTGGAGTATCCGATGGTGTTCTCCGCATGTTGACGCATGCAGCCACGACAGAACCAGTGCCCTTCCGCGTTTTCACAGCACACCATCCGATTCAGTGGACATTCCTCGAAACAACACCCACACTCTGCAGTCTGGCCAGTTTGCCGGGCTCGCTCGAGATTGGAGACTTCCGCTGCTTTTACTGCCGCTTCTGCATCCTTGCGGGCTCGGACTTGCCTGGCCGCTAGGAACTCATCCAAGGCCGCCGTTTGCTCATCCGTCAGGTCTTCACGGTTCACTTTTCCGATGTTGGCAGCCGTGTACTGCTCCAAAGGCTTCGTGCGTGTTTTTTTATTGCTCCAGGGGATGCGTCCCTCGTCTCCCTTGCGAAGTGCATCATCGATAGCAGCATAGGCCCGGAAGAGCGATGACCCATTTTGTGACAATAGTTTGCTTCTGAGCGTCATCTTGGGAATCAAAGGGAAGTCTTGACTGAGCAAGAGTGCAGCCATATCCTTGTACTTTGCGGAACTCATCGTGCGTAGATGTTGGTGGTCGTTGAGCTTTGCTTGAATCTCAGTGTTTGGGTCCACTGACTTCTTCTCTTTATCTTCGTCATCGACATCTTCACCTCGTTTCCTTTTTCGACTTTTCTGGCGTCTTGGATATAGAATGTCACGTTCCTGCTGGTCGAGTATTGTAGCAATGATGGCATCAGCGTTGAAAGCGTGTTGTTGAGCCAGCTCGTCCAGATACTTGGGACAGATGTCCTCAAATATCAAGAGCACACCCTCTTTGCACGAAACTTGGTCCAAGTCCGAAACGGCATTACGCTCATCCAAGTCTGCCATTGTGGACGGTTCTCGATGTGTGGCGGAGTTTGACGCAAGGTACCAGACTGGGTAGGACGAGAGAGCAACTGATGTTGCCTACGTGGTGTCCAATGCCCCGGGCAACAACACAAGAAGCGAAGAGCCTGCCTCTTGGAAGACCCAAATTCTCTGAACTATTTTGTCACGTTATCCCTGCTGCGTTCTCATCAGTATCTGTAGAGAAAGGATCCGATAAATCAGTGAGGTTGAGAGGATTGCAACGCCTTAGCGGGTGAACGAGAAGTAAGATGCGTCAAATTCACATCGTCGTCAGGGGATCCATCAAATAGTCAGCGAGAGTGAGAGAGGCGTTCGAGCGCAACAGCAGACAAACGCCTTCTGCAACCACAGCTGTATTCGCAGTGTTCCGCTGAGGCTCACAACGTTCTGTGCCAATCAGACGAGTTTGCCGAGTGTCACAAGATCGCTCACCACACCTGCCACCGATTGAGGCAAGGAGAGGTTTCGCCGTTCAAGATCTTCCTCGTAGTCGCTTGCGGTTAAAAACTGCATAGAATCCGTCTGGGAGGATGATAACGTTCGGCTGTGCACGCTTCTCAGTAGGATGTCCCCCAATGCCCGAATGTCATCCATTTAAATAATAAGCAAGCAGATTGCTTACATTCACAGAGCGAGGCTCCTAAAGAGTCTGCCTGGGGATGTGGAAAACAGGAAGGAGGGAGGTGATACAAACCCTTCCCAAGAGAGAGTGCAGGACTTGTGGCACACTGCAATCCTCGGGCAGGTATGAGACCACAGAAACCGATGAAATCAGGACTTACGCGACGGTCAACAATGCTTCAGGCGAACAGAAGACGCCTAAGGTCTTGCGGCGGGATCCGAGACCAGATGGCGGCCCTGGATCGGACGGAAAATGAGCACGGGCAGGTCGTCGGCGGACGGCACGCCCACTCGGAGGACAAGGTCTGGTTTCGGGCGAAAGATTTTCAGGCTGAAGGCTTGGTTGCCCCATGCGCGACTGGGCCGGTGCAAAGGGGATAAGAAATAAATCGCTGGCGAGTAGCACAGGAACGGTAACAGGTCAGATGCGATGGTTTGTTCAGTGAAGCAGCAGCAGCATTGCACGAGAAGGGACCGGCGGCCGCGGAGGCGGGGACAAAGAACCAAGCAACGGCAATCCAGGTGGAATAAGCATTGAGACTGAGACTAATAAATCATAAACCACGCCGGAAGCCGGTCCAGCGCTCGTGTTTGTGCGGCGACAGGCCCGAGAGCCATGCGATGCTCGGGGAAAGCAACTGTATCGTGAAAAGCGAGCCGCTTGAGAGGAGACAGGATCATGTCACTGTGGTGCGTTCGTTCAATTCGCCGCGAGAAGCGGCCCCATCGTGCCTTTTTCCCCCATCCAACGTGACATCCAGCCTGCGCTCGGGATTGGCCCGGCTCTGTCTACTCTGTGTCACCATGCCCAAGAACAGCATTGAAGGGCCAAAAACAGTAAATGTCCCTTGCAAACAGGACGTGCCAATCGTACCAGGTGCAGCACAAACGTCATCCTTCCTCAATTCCTTGTGTGTTTTCACCATTTGCATTTCAGCGATTCTATGGAAGCAAGCCGTAAGCGTTTGGATCCTTGCTGCGACCCGCAGATCCTTGGAGCTAAAATTAGGAAGTGTCTCTTCCCATCAGCCTGGCCCCCTGGAGGGGAGGGCGAGACTGGCCAGGCCCCGTCTGTTGGTTGGCGGCCCGAGACCATTTACACTTTTCGGCTGGAGGGCCGCTGTTGTTGATTGGCCTACCTTTGGCACCCATTTTCAGCATCGCTTCAATCAGATGTCACCCTGAGGCTGCGAGCCATATGCCACCCTCTATCTGATTCCTTACCAAAACTCAATTGCACCTGCGGCAATTTGAAGAATCTGTTCCAACCAAGTAGTACCCGTTCAAGACTTGCAACATAGATGTTCTAGGGCTCGGATATGCTGAACACAATGTGTGACACTGACAGTGGACCTTGGTTTAGGGTCCAGGATAGGTGGTTAACTTAGTTAACCCAGGTACCTAACGTGCAGGCTGGCACCTGACTCGTAAATCGCACCAAGGGAGCCAGCAGCAAGCCAAGTGCGGCAGATATCGAACGAGTATGAATTCGTGACACCACGTTTACGACAAGCTTTTGGGCATTGGTCAGAAGCGATACCAAGAGGCTGAGATTCTTAGAATTTCTGTCGACTTGTTCCTTCCCCGGTTCCAGGCTTCAATAAGTGCCGGTAGGCAGGTAAAAGTAAAAGGAAATTGGCGAGACACCGAACCCACAAGTCCTGCGACTTCAGTGGGCAGGATACAGCTCCTCTAAACCCACCACGTATGCCGATCCTCCCATCTGATATCCAAAGGGCCTCTCCGTGATACAACACCGTTTTGCAGTTCATTCAATCTAGATCAGCACCAACAGTACTTCTCATTCGCAACCCACTCAACCTGACCTCCGTCAGATTCGGCATACCACATCATGCTCGGGATGCTATCGGTCTGTCTCTCGTGCCGCTCATAGGCCAAACCGCTCTTCTCCACCAAAGTGTTTGCCAGACTGGTAGTGTTCCAAAGTTCAATCTTCCCAATCTGCCACCGATCTGCCTCAGACTGGGCCTTCTTCAACACAGCCGTAAAGGACGCTGTGAGTTCATCAATTGGGACTGTGTCATCCTCGACGACTAGTCGTAGAATGTACAGCGTATTCTTCGCAACATTTGTAGCATCGCCGTTGTAGTTCCGTGTCCATAGCGCCCAGACTCGCCGACCTTCTGGGCCCGCAACAGCGCCCTTGACTTGGGACTCTCCTTTGCCACTATTCTTGAATACAATGTTGGCGATAAAGTCGTCTCGGTAGAGATGCCAACGGAAAATATCAGAATTGGGAGTAAAGGCAAACCTTGGCTTGCTGTCCTTGGCATGCTCTGCCAAGTGCTTCCGTAATAGCTCCTCGTCTAACTTGCAGAACGATTCCAAGTTGCTGTAAGTAATCTCCGTGACGTTTCGAGAGTTCATATCACTGTCGGTACCTGCCGATGCTGCGAAGCAGATGTGCTCACTTGGAAATGGTGCCCAGCCCAACTTCGCGTAGAAAGACTTGCCGATGTCACTCCATAAAGCGCTGGCGGCTATTTCAGCAGCCTGGCCCTCTATTTTCTCAGTTTCCAGCTTCAGCAATGAGCCCAGGTCGCGCAACATGCGACTAGCATAGCGTCGTCCTCTGAATTGGGGGTTGGTGTACACGCTGCCGATTCCGTAGGCTACGACCTCTTTCACCTCGCCGCTCTTTGGATCTGTGATAAGAGCTTTCTTCCTCAAAGATTCGCAGCTCGCAAGCACGGGTCGAGCATCGGGCAGACCTGATGCCTCAGTCAAGATCCAGTACTTCAGACCTCCCTTCTCAGCGAGCGGGATGGTGGCTAGATAGGGTTCTCTTTCGAGGTACTCCTCCAAGTTCAGGGCACCACCCCATTCCGCATGGTTCATGGTCCATGTTTGACGCTTCTCAGCCTCGGTTGGAGTTGTGAGGATCAGCTTGGGCGAGGTTGCATCAGGAAGCTCTGTGAGTGACCCCATTTTTACGATGCGTGATTTGGTTAATTCGTGGGCCGGTTGCACCAAGTGGGCGAAGGAAGCTTAGGAGTGAGCTTAGTCTGCTGTGTGATTTCCAGAGTCTGCTTTCTAGGAATGTGCTGTTGCTGACGAAGAATGACAATCTCCAGCCCCTCGCGGAATGATGAGGCGGCTGACAGGTAGGACAATGGCGAGTGTACGAGGAAAGCAAGGGAAAGTGTGGGCCTGGGCATCTCTTTAGTCTTTAAAGGGAGCAAGTGCACTATCGGCCGAGATATGGCTGATTATCTCTGCACCAGCGGGCTGTACACAGTAGATTATACTAGTAAGCCGCAAAATGCAGACAGGGGCCCCTAGCCAGATAATGTCGTACAGGCTAACTGCCGCAACAAGACTTGCAGGCTCCAAGATCCACGCTCCGTTCCCATCGCCGGTCCTGGTCAGGTCTTAAATACTCCGATACTCCGATTCTCCGACTCGCCTACGCCGCTACCCCGGATTGATTCTCCACGTCCAACAAGCCATCGCGACAGTCAGATCTGCACGCAAAGACAGGTCTATTTACAAAGACCTGCAGCGCAACGAAATATACTTTGCCTGGACTTCGAAGCCGCATCCCACAGCTGACCTTATTGTCCTCCGGAAACCAATCACGGAACCCAGAGCGAGTTGATTTGGTCATCCGTGACAAAGAGAAACGGCAGGACCCGGAGCTTGGATGCAAGCGGGGCCGATGGAAACCGAAAGTTCGGCGGAAGGTCCCCTAACGGGGTCAGGAGACACGCCGTCTAGCGGCTTTCAACACTGTGGTGTAGCGATCTGACGCCGGCCTCCTCTGACCAAAGTTCTCTATTGGCTTACTCGAGGGTGCTAAACCTGGAAAGCACCGTCATGTGCCCGGAGCGAATATGCAACCCAGCCCGGAGGCGTTACTTGTAATCCATGCTTTGAAACCGTCGCGTAAGGAGAAGGTAATGTCTACACGACTCTGGCGCCACGATACCAACCCGGCTAAACATTCAGAACTGCAGCTATGGTGGAGGAGCTGTGTGATTGTGGAGGTCTGCTTCATTGTGACTGATGACGAGGTAGTGACAGCTAGGCCCGAAACTCACGTCGGCGCTCATCGTGAATAGAAAATCGTTCTAAGTAAATCAGAGTTAATTACAGGACAATGTAGCATCGAATTCAACGCTTCGCTAAAGCACCTCGTCCCTGGACCATCATAGGCAATCGTCATTCATCATCATCATCTTCATCATATTCATGTATACGATATGACTCCCATTGGTCGCCTCTAAGATTTCATTTGTAAAGCACGACGGCTTCACCTGTCATTCTGCCTCTCATACGAGCATGGCCATTCGTGTCGGAATCCAGTCTGGATCGACAGGACTCGGAAATATTGAAGACCTTGACTGGAGCAAAGTATGAGGGTGGCCAGCCATTTTCAGTGATATGGCATGACACAGAAGGGTTACAGGGTGTACTCGACTCTGTTTTGGGATGAACTTGATGGGGGGTTTCTTGCGGAATCTTAGTTTCCACCACTTCATATCGGTTGTCTTGACTTGGTACCGAGTAGATCGAAATACCTCTGGGCTCAGGTTTTGAACCCGAGCGTCTCCTCGCCCTCGCCATGCTCACGGTCTCTACCCGTCAAATTGAATTTTCATACAAAGCAATATTGATGTTTGAAATAACACAGGGTAGTGCGACTAATTGTTATCTGATGAGAGTTGGCTGTTTGTTCAATGGACAAATAGACGCCTTCTGGATGGGCCGCTCATTAGTCCATACGGGGTCAGTTTGCTTCTATAATACGACCATATTGTATTAACGAATTTGAAACTACAGGACCACGGACGATAGTCATGCTTCCACGTTACCTCATTTTACGTGACATTTACTATGTACAATAGACCACCACCCGTTTTATCGTAGGTGTGGCCAAATGCGACAGCCATATGTGCCGGCTATGCCATCATCGACTTGTTGAATATATGTGAACCTGAAAGTCGTCACATGACCCGAATTCAGGGCTTCAGGTCTCCTCCGTTTGAAAGAGGTGGACGTAAAATAAGGCTGAATCGTCCTCTGATTATCCGCTTCTGGACCTTAGAGCATGATTGCGGTGCAAGTCAACAAGTGAACACAGAGTAAATGGCCACAGAGTCAACTTGGCATAGACGAGCTGCGGTTAGGCAAGGGTGAATTATAGCGTTCGGTATTCGTGAGAGAGCTCGGGCGCAGGGGAAGTTGGCAGCATAGCAGCGCTCGTGAGTCAAAGGGGGAGGCTTGATACTCTGGGCCTTCTGCCAGCTGAGAGCAGCTGTGGAAAGCCGTTGGGCAACTGCAGCCCAGCTCAACATAGCACGATCGATAAGATAAAGCTGCCTGGAGCTACTGTACCCCACGCCTCCGAGAGGCAACCATGGGGATGACGCTCCGATCTTGGACAACGTAGCACAGCATCCTGCAGGTTTCATCTACAAATATAACGGAGGCCTCGCCCAGCATATCTTCCCGACTGCTTACGTTTCCCTTTTCACTTGACTCTTCAAATGAGAGACCTGTATTCTGCTCATTGCGAACTGACGAGATGACGACGAACCCTCTCCACCCCGCGGCCATCCTGCAAGGGATGGCTGATGCCCTGCCCACCCATCCCCATGGTGACACTACATCGGACCTAAGCAGCTCCCACGAGGCCCTAGCCCTCTTCGCCCACGCATGCATGGCATCTCTCGGCTTTCGGTTGCTTGGATTTGATGAAGAAAAGACGATCGAAGCCAAGTGCCGAGAGCTTGCGCCCCGCCTTCCCGAGAACTGGAATGCGTCATTCAACACCTGCGCCTTCGTATACGCACACCAACAGTCGGCACTGAAGTTTGTCATCAAGATTGACAGGATTGGCGGCAAGGCCGAGATCCGCGGTATCGCTCTCGAAGACGACCGTATTGCGCGGGCTGAAGTGACTACCAAGGACTACGTCTCAAATGGATCGTTGCCTGTTCGAATCACTCTAACGGATGACTCGGTGGAGGATCGGTCGGACCTGGCTCAAAAGCTACAGGCGGTTTTCATCAGCGAGGGTCGGATCACCGATCTCGCTAGCCTCATCAAGGTCAATATCATCCAGAAACTGCTGCCCTCGCTGCAGAAGGAGGGGTATGAGGAGTCCCCAGACGAGCGTGCCGCTCGGGAGGACGCCGAGGAATCAGGACGACGTGGACCCAGACAACCAGTCATGCCGGACCCTATGCCTCAGCCGGCCAATCCGTACCCGTTCAACGACCCACTCAACCCTCCGCCGAGCAGACCCGTACCGGCTGGCGACTTCCCGCCGCCCGGTTTCGAGGACCCTTACGACATCTACCGACCTCCTGGTCGCACTGGACTTGCACCAGGCAGATCGCCTTTCGGAAATATCGGGGCTGATGACCTGAACCCTCCAGGCTTGGGGCCTCACGATCCCCTGAGACCCTCACTTGGTGGTGGTGGTCTTCCGCGTCCTGGAGGCTCAAGGGGCATGCACCCTGCATTCGACGATCCTCTATTTGGAGGACAGGGCGGCGAACCTGGTTTCGACCCACAAGTACCACCTGGTGCCCGTTTCGATCCTCTTGGGCCTGGTGGCAATCCTAGATTTGGCGGACGTGGTCCTGGCGGAGGAAACAACCCGTTCGGTGGCAGTGGTGGATTTGGAGGCTTTGGCGGTGGGGACATCATCTAAGGCGTTTGGTTGACGATGTCCAAACCATCTTGATTAACTGCCGCTCATTAATGGCGTCCATGACGCTTTTGTATGAAATATTATGAGGATCATGGGAAATGAGATACCAAAAGTAGCTATGAGCAGCTCAGCTGCACATGCCAATGATTGAATGAAGTGTATTATATTCTGCAGCATTGAATTCGAGCTTTAGTCCACTGTAAAAACAAAACATATCTATAACGGCGGATTCGCACCGAAGGCCTAAGCCAAAAGCTGGATTAGTATAGTCATGTGCATAATTACATTTGTTGGCAGTCTATTCCAATCGAAACCGACTATTTCTGATTCGTACATCACTAACAGCTAAGTTGCGTTGTCAAGATCAACTGTCATGACGATGCGCTAGAAACTGCAGGTTCATACTTCGCTTTTCCCTCCTCAACCCAGCATTCAAAGAAAAGGGGGCCAGCTTCGACCGATCTCAGCGGCGTTGTCTTTGCACCACCAACATCCTCCCCTGCCTCTGGCCTCTGCGAGGATTGCGTCTGCAGATTTCGTTCTGTCGGGATCCAATGCTGCGGATACTGCCCAAATGGTCAGCTTTCTCATCTTATATTACATATCCGCTGGACGCGGTACTCACTCCGATAGGCGGCTCGCCATCCTCCCTCAACTCGACGGCGATGGTGAAACTGCAGCCCCCTGGCAGGGGACCCATCTTCTCTCCGGCAAACGCCATCCTTCTTACCGCGCCACGAAACGCCTCGTCGACATTCGTCCAATTGATGCCGCCCTCCCGGTTCCCGTCGCGTGCCTCCGGCGCCCCGAGCCCGTCGTCCTCCTCATCTCTTCGGTTGCCCCTCGGCTCCTTGACGCCCGTGAAGGCCGGGAACGCTGCCACGTCGATCATCCAGCGCTCCAGCACGGCGGCGTCGGGCCCGTGGACCACGATGGCGATGCGTTGCACCGAGCCTTGGACCAGCTGGGCCTTGATGGCGTCGACGGCGTCGCGGATCCAGGAACAGACCTTGGGGTGGCGAGACTGGTGGACAGGCAGGTTGTACACGCGGGTGGTGAGGAAGGTGGTGGCCGGGTACAGGTTGCGGTAGAAGAGAACATTGTGAATTGCCACGGTCAGGAAGTGCGTGAAGGAGACGAGGAGATGAGAGGCTTGAGCGAGGGTGACGCTCATGGGTTGCGACTGGGCCGAGTATGGCATCTTATTTAGGTGCTTGCGATTGTGTCCAATGTGCAATGTGTTTCATAGGCAGCAAATGCAGGCAATCGGACGTGATCACAAGAGGAAGCATTACACAAGCCAGGCGTAGGAAGGTTGCCAGCAACTCAGCGGATATACACTTGCGAGTTCGATGGCGCAGACGGCATGATGCTTTGGCAATGCTGTGGCACTTTACCTCGCCAGCTGCACTACAGTAGCCTCATGGAAGCACAAGGCAGAAGAGCACCGGGGCCCATCGCAATCAGCCTCATGGACGGGATCACAAGTTAGCCTAAGCGGGCATTGACTGCATGCGTGAACGCAGGCCGTCGCGTGGCGGGGTAGCGGGGCGCGAGAAAACGCGTTTCCGGGGGACGCGAGCTCACATGAGATGATGGCCCCGCTAGTTGGGTAAGGTCCCCCCTCATAGCGAGGATAGGCCTTGTATCGGGGCAATTTCTGCCGGTAGTTGCACCAAAAAGTCGGGAGGCCCAAACGCGTCCCGCTTCCTCGACTGCTCTTGGCACCGAGACCCTTCATGCACAGCACTGACTGGGCCTCGAGATTTCCCTCCCGAACTGTTTGCCTGAATCACGAATCCGGCCTGACATCCTCATAAGGAGGCGGCACATACCAACACGTCTCCAGGCTCCCCGCGCACACGCACCCTACGCTCGGCCCCTCACCCAGAGCACCCGCTTGTTTCACCGCAGCTCTAGGCGGGATAAGTACATAATCGCGGCGCTCCACAGCAACCGAACGACGATCAGCGGTCGAGGTCGAAATCTGACCCCGAGGTCGACGGATTCCATCCTGGGTAGACCTAGACCACGATCCAGTCACGATGGAGGACCAGCTCGTCCAGTACCTGACCAACACGCAGTCGGCGGCCGAGGGCCCGCGCAAGCAGGCGGAACTGGACCTTAAGCACGCCCAGTCCAAGGAAGCGTTCCCCCTCGCCCTCGCCAACATCGGCAGCCACGCGTCCATTTCGATCGAGATCCGACAAGCCGCGCTCTCGTCCCTGCGCCAGTTCATCGAGAGAAATTGGAGCGGCGAGAGCGATGAAGGCCCCACGATCCCCATATCAGACCCGGTCAAGGAGCAAGTACGAAATGTGCTCCTGGAGTTGGCGCTGGGCTCGGATGGCGAGCGAAAGATCAAGACGGCGGCTAGGTACGTTATGACATTGTTCAATATGCTCAGTGCCCCTAGGTTCGGAACATAGCCTCGCGGGTGTGGGTTTTCCACCAACCACGGGCTACATCAAACCCGTAGAAGCCTTGAGGTCATTGCATGGAACCGGGACTGATGAGGGGAAATAGCTTTGCCGTCGGCAAGATTGCCAATGTTGACTTCCCGGAGCAGTGGCCAACGCTCCTGCCCACTTTGCTCAATGTTATCCCCAACGGCTCGGACGGCCAATTACACGGCGCTCTCAAGGTCCTCAGCGATCTTGTGGATGAGAGTCTGAGTGATGAGCAGTTCTTTAGCATGGCCCAAAGCATTGTCAAGGTCGTCTACGACGTTGCGATCAATGAGGGCCGTAAACCAATTCTACGTGCTCTGGCCATCTCTGTCTTCAAGGGATGTTTCGACCTCATGGACCAAGTCAAGGACGACCACCCCCAGGAGGTCAAGGGTTTCGCCGAGGAGGCACTCAAGGGTTGGTTCCCATTCTTCCTGCAGATCATGAAATCACGCTTGCCTGAGCGGGATGGGCAGGATGCCAGCCAACCCGAGAGCTGGAATGGCGTTATTGCCCTCAAGCTCCAGGTTGTCAAGTGTCTGATGAAGGTCAAGTCCGTTTTCCCTCAACTCCTCCTTCCCGAAACTCCCCACTTCTTCGGAGCCGCTTGGGAAGAACTGTCGCTGCTGGAGCCCGCCTACGACCATATGTATATCGAGAATGAAGCCCAAGGCCGCTTAGAAGACTCGGACGGGCTGCCCTACACGCTAGATTTCCTTGTCCTCGAAGAGCTGGATTTCTTGACCGGCTGTTTGAGGGCTTCTCCGGTGCAGAAGCAGCTCGAGGCGGAGCTCGCGGCTCGTGGTGGTGCGCTACACGAAACTCAGTGGGTCTTGGATCTCATGAGACTGGCCACCTCGTATGGACGCATCGGCCGCGAGGAGGAAGAACTCTGGGAAATCGACGTCGGCCTCTACTTGGCCGAGGAGACTTCCGTCAGCGCAAACTACACCCCTCGCACGGCTTCAGGCGATATCCTGATCAAGCTGGGTGAATGGCTGAGTCAGCGGGCCCTAGAGGGTCTTTATGCTCACACCAAGACTCTGTTCACCGGCGAAACTTCGTGGAGAAGACAGGAGGCTGCTCTATACTTGCTTAACATGCTTATCAGCGACTTCCTGGACACTGGGAAGAATGTGCCGGCTGAAATCACTCAAGCCTACCTCGAGTTGGTGAACTACGCAATCAACAGACCGAATGAGCCCCTATTGCGCGCCCGAGGATACCTAGTTGCAGGCATGCTTGTGCAGTGTGATGGGGCAGTTGCAAGTCTAGCGGAACCAACCGTCAATGCCATCACAGCCGAAGAATCCGAGCTCGTTCAGGCTGCGTGCATCAAGGCCGTCGAGGGTTTCATCAAGGGTGGCGTCATTCAACAGCCTGGCCAAGCCACGGTCGTTCATGCTATCTCGCAATGGGTGGCAAGCAAAGATATGACAGACATTGAGGATGCAGATGATCTCTTGGTCACCTTGGCTGAAACTCTTCGCAGCGCTATCAATATTGACAAGCGCATCACTGTATCAGCAGATGTCCCAGCTCTTGATCTTCTATTCCTAATCGCCAAGCACGGCGCCTCCAACTGGCAGGTGACAATGATGATCTGCGAGGCATTTGAGGATATCGTTCAGAGTATGGCAGATCCTGCATCGTACCATGCTCTGTGCCAAAAAGTCTTGCCATCTTTGACTGGAGCATTCGACGTAGCTAACGTCACATCGGACAACCCACTAATTACTGTAAGCCTCTCAAACACCCCAAGATGTTGTACTTTAATTCTAACACGCGACAGTTTGCCACGGAGTTGATGGCTGCCTTGACACAGTATGGCACGGAGCCTCTCCCCCCTGGTTTTGTGGCAGCTACCCTCCCCAAGTTGAACCGCCTCCTCACAGAGAGTAATGAGGGAGAAATCTTGCGACCAGGCGCAGAATCAGTGAAGTATCTGCTGGCTCATGATCACGAGCAAATGTTCAATTATCAGGATGAGAGCGGTCGCTCTGGTTTGGAGATTTGCCTCCGTATAATCGACAGACTCCTGGGCCCCAACATCGAGGACAACGCTGCCTCCGAAGTCGGTGGTCTTGCCGCTGAACTGGTTGAGAAAGCCGGCCGTGAGCGACTGGGACTGTATCTGGAGCAACTCCTTCAGGCCGTTGCGAATCGACTAGCGACTGCTGAAGCTGCCACGTTCATCCAATCCCTGCTTCTGGTATTTGCTCGGTTGTCTCTCGTTGGGGCTCAAGAGGTGGTCAACTTCCTCAGCAACATTCAAATCAGCGGAGAGAACGGTCTCCAGGTTGTCTTTAGCAAGTGGCTGGAGAACTCTGTCAATTTCGCAGGCTACGATGAAATCCGTCAAAAGTAAGGCAATATCTTCATCTTTATATGATTATAACTGACCCTCGACAGTGTCATCGCTCTTTCAAAGCTATACACTCTTGGCGATCAACGCATAGCACAGACCATGGTCAAGGGAGACCTGATCATGCCTACGAGCGACAGAATCATGACTCGCTCGCGTGCGAAACAAAGTACGTGGACCTCGCCTTTCAGGACTCAAGATCTAACCGGGTCACCAGCTCCCGATCAATACACCATGATTCCCGCCCCTCTCAAAATCCTAAAGGTCCTAGTTGACGAGCTCGCTTCTGCCTCTGGTATGCAGAGCGCTGCGACCGCTGCTGCCGCTGCTGCGGCACAGTTTGTCGAAGACGACAACGATGATGACGGCTGGGAGGATGACCCCGATACGGTTGATCTGAGCCTTGGTGGCACCAAGAGCGATCTTATGGGCTACTTGGACGCTAACAACATGCGCAACCGTGATGATGAGACTCAGCAGTACTTGGCAGAGTTCTTCATCCACGCTGCCCGAGATAACGTCGCCAACTTCAGCGAGTGGTTCCCGGCTCTCACAGACGATGAGAAGGCTAAGTTGAGCCAGCTAGCCAACGCGCAGAACCAGTAATCCTTAGGAAAGGAAACATGGAGGGAGATGAAACAGCAGGCACCTCCCCTTGGGCGAATACGCAATATGGAAGATGAGACATGGGTTTTCATACGCAGATAGATTAGTCTCCTAGCGATGAGACAATTAAGGGCGGCAAAGTTCATTAAAATGTAGATAGATAGATGGCCACCTGGATGACATACACGTCTCCCAGCAGCGTGGCGGGAGGAAAGACCTGTGGATAGTTGGCTTGGTTGGTCCATTACAGCATTGCAAATTTCTTGTTCACCAACTGTTCCATAAACGATCAAAGAACTAATCAGAAGTTGTTTATAAACTACTATATACTACAAAACATAACCTCAAGGGCCTTACTGTATTCAGAGCATCGCGAAATTGCCTCTCTGGTTTGAAATACTTCAAATGTAGAACGCCCCCAGCCCACACACACACACAGCATTATTCACCTGTCGTCAGTCAAGTAAAAAGGCCTCCGAACTGCTAAGGGTTGGTCGGTCCTAGAAGTAACGCCGTCATAAGTTTCGTTGTCTTAACTTAACGCGGGCCTGTATCCGGCATCATCCTCATCACACCAAGCATTGCCTTATGAAAGGGATACTAACCTCGACTTGCTGGGGTGTTCCACGTGTAACTAGGATCATTAACCGGAGTCATTGCAGTCAGTCTACCTATACAGCACGCCACGCGGTTATACCATAGCAATGACATGAGACTAATGTGCATGCACAGCCCAAACTGTAGCTTACTTAGAACGTCGTTGGGGTCGTGAAGATGCTACCTGGATGCGACACAATGTGGTCTCCGGAAACAATTGGCCGTGGCCGGTCAGGGAAGTCTGTTGGCAAATGCTTGTCTCTGGGTTACCACGTTGCCCGGTGGTATCGTCATGCAGCTGTTGAAGACTGTGACCGCTTGCTCTGTAGCAGTGTCGCACTGACGGCGAGCATTTGGGGGCCGGCGTACGACGGACCATCTGGTCCAGCCTTAGCACAGGACGTAAGGACTATAATTCAACTAATAAGCACGCCGAATCTAAGGCAGGTAGCGTTCCATAGCATACGGTTAAATGTGTCTTCAAACCTGCCAGACCCGTCAACTGGGGAGAGCCGGACGGTGTTGTCCAACGAGACGTAAAGACTGGTAGGCGAGATATAGCTGTCCTAGACTTAATTACCCCGGATTCTCCCAACTCCACAGCCGTAGAGTCTATCGTTAGAAATCGCTTGGGTAGGCATGTGAAGACATCACAATGAGCTCCTACGTATGATATCATGCTAGACCCGACTTTCTCTTGTTGTTCTGCTGGCTGGCCCGACGGGTCACAACGTGTACTACAGCGTGCTTCTATATAGTGAAACACCGACTAAGTTGGCCAACTTCCGGAGATGTCCTCGCTAATGATCATACTACTGATCAAGTCTACTATATGAACCGTACTTTTTTTTTTTTTTTTTTTTTTTTTTTTTTTTTGTTACGTGGTCCCTCCTTAACCTCTTCGAACTCTAAAAGGCATGGTGCATGAACGTCGTACGCCACACAGGTGCCCGAGCTCTGCATCGGTGAGCGATTCAAACTGCGAAGCTTGTACACGTACATATCGCGCGAAAGAGTGCGCGATGAGGTCCGAAAACGGCTCGCCAGTGCTTGCACGTATCCTGATTAGGGAGTTCGCTTACCAGGTCAAGGGCTCCCGGGGCCTTGAGTATGGCTCGCAATACCGGCACAGAGTCACAATTGCAACACAGGACAAGGCCGGCCGTAGCAGCAGCGCAGCCGAACATTGCAAGACTCCCATGGAACCGAAGCTGCAGCAGGAGTCAGTCCCCGGCTACGCTTCGGGGCTCAAAATGACGGCTCATCCTGACCGGGCACGGGAACTCCGCTGTGCCCTCCGTCGGGCTATGTAAGTTGGAGCGGGCGCGAAGCGACGAAAGTACAGTACCTGCGTAGTTGCCCAACTAGCGCAGCCAGAGCCCAGCATCGCTCCGTGTCTGGCGCCAAGCGGATGGCCCTCAAGACCAATCCGATACTTGAAGATGATGTTGGTGTCGGGAGCCCGGCCTCCTCTGCACGTCAGGGTCGCATGGCACACAACACTGCAATGCGGCTTCCTTGAAACTGTAGGGCTAGTGTGTGTTATAGTGTGGGCACGGACAACGAGCATAACGGAGCAAACTAGTCTCTCGAGCCAAATAGATGAAGAAGAAAGCATCAGATAACGGCCACTGGTCCATTCGCGAGCCAAGTCCCCTTCGCCAAGAGCAACTTCGAACTGTACCGTGAACCCCAACTCCATCCTTGTCTGTTCTCCTCTTGATCGTACCCTCTCTTCTCCACCTACTCCCCCGCATTCGAGATACACGGGGGAGAAGACACATCCCTTAGCGACACCAGACATTGCAGATCGCACCAGAACATCCACAACTGCACACCTTCGCCGCAAGACTTCCAGCTCACGAGAGCGCCTTTGGGGTGGCCACCTGTCCCGCCCATCCCCTGTCAGCGTCCCAAACTTCAACTCCAACTGGGTGACCGCTGGTCCCTCCAGTAGGTCCGGAGTGGAGCAAGGCCAAGGGCGAGGGCCGGCATTCATTCATGCAAGTGTGGAGGAGTAGCAGCAACGCGATTGGGATTTTGCTAAGACGCCTCCTCCGCATTTCCCATATGTCCCGGACTGGGGTCTGCCTAGCCAGGGATACTCCGGCTAAATTCCCATCGCGGTAGCTGATTTCCTGATCAGGCATCCCAACCTAACTCTAGACGAAGTCTGCGATATTACGCCGGCAGGGCGAGTTTCGTCTATCACGCCGCCCCTATAATTTCAAGTGGGTACGGTCCACGATGGCAAGACCTGGCCGCGCAGCCAAGGATGGAAGGGCTATGTATACAGTCGTTGCCGTTGGTCTGGGTCTGCTGGGCGTCGTCTTCGTTTCGTATCAGCTTCACCTGTCGTTTTGGGACTCGCCCATCATGTTGAAGATTCTAGGCGCAGGTCTCCTGTCCTTGCAGCTAGTCACGCCGTCCTCGGCTACGCTGCTTTACGTATCGTCCTATGCCGGCACGATCACGACACTAAACCTGACTGTGCCTAGTGGGGATACCTCGAGCGCCTCTATTGACACCATCTCAACGTCGACTAGATGTGCCTCCAGCCCATCATGGTTGACCCTGGATTACCCCAAATCGCTGCTCTACTGTACGAATGAGGGGTTCACCACGCCCGGATCTATATCATCGTTCAAGACCAATAATGATGGAAGTTTGGTTCAACTTGATCAGCTTGATGTAATTCTAGGCCCAGTCAGTGCCGTCGTCTTCGGAGAGGGGGGCCACGGTCTAGCTCTGGCACACTAGTAAGTTACAGTCTACTACAGTAATAACGTTCGACTCTCCAGAACCGGCAGGCCGCCGCAGTAGTCTGCCTACTGTGGTCATGGCTCCTGGCCTCATCTACTTTTGAACCAAGTGAAGAGTACATCTGACTTCGCTTCCGTAGTTCTGGATCGTCTTTCAGTACTTTTTCTACAGCCGACCCGTCTGCACTTGCCCCATTGCAGAACCAGACTTACACGCTTTCACAGCCGGGTCCCAACGCGACTCGGCAGGATGCACCACACCCACACCAAGCCCTGCTTGATCCCACCGGACAATATATCCTTGTGCCGGATCTTGGTGCTGACCTGGTGCGAGTCTTTCGGGTAGACAAGGGCGGCGTCACCTGGACAGCAGTCGATCCTCTCGTAGCCGCTCCCGGCTCTGGGCCGAGACATGCAGCCTTCCTGAGAACTGAGAGCCACACACTCATGTACCTGATCAGCGAGCTGGCCAATACCATCACGGGCTACGAGGTCTTGTACAATAGCAACTCGACCCTGGGCTTCACGAAATTATTTGTTACCAGCACGCACGGCGAAGGGAAATCTGTCCCAGATGGAACCTCAGCCGCTGAGATTACACTGACAGTAAGCCTGACTTCACTCATACTACTCAATAGGAACGTCACTGATACAAATATTCAGCCGGACGAGAAATTCCTCGTCGTATCCTCCCGCGGAGAAAACTCATTCACAATTCCGAACTTTGATTCAAGCAACAGCACTGAGATCGTTTCGGACGCCCTCATTAGCTTCTCCGTAGATCATACGAGCGGAAACCTGACGCACGTGCAGTCTTACCCTTCCGGTGGACGCTTTCCACGCCAGTTCTCGGTAAACAAGGCAGGAAACCTGGTTGCGGTGGGTCTGCAGTCAGACAGTCGCGTTGTCATCATTGAGCGAGATGTGAAAACTGGTGTGCTTAAGCGGTTCCTCGCCAATACTACCGTGGCAGGGGAGGTGACTGCAGTCATCTTCAATGAATAGTCAGTAACATAGCGGGTCTAGACCAAGCAGAGGGCCCCTGGACAAAAGGGGCCTCACGTTCCAAGAATCAATAGACGAATCTGAAGAGGTCTTTACGTATAGTCTACTCGCCAAAGCCTGAGGTACAATGTTGATGAGCCTCTCGTAAGGGCAAACCCGACCCTTCTTGAGTGCCCGGCTAGTAGCGCAGTATTGACTATGTAGAAAGGTCTACTCATCATGCGTGCGGCAAAGGAGCCTCATCAAGCACCTGGAGCAGAACTACGGTAGGTCCAACGCTCATGATGTCCACGCCGCGGGGATCCTCTGCAGCATACAATCTAATTAGATTGAATCACCTGCCGCCGTGGAGCCGCGTACGCCCTGGCTCACTCCTTCTCCAGCGCTCTGACTGGACGCTCGCAAGCCACGGCGGGCTATCACTAATATGAGCTGTCGCCACCGGGGCTCGATTAATTTGATAATTATAGAAATGATCGAGGCGTAGAGCCCCTCATAAATTGAACGTATGCGTGTCGTAACGGCCAGGCTAGCGATCACCATGAGACTGGAATCTGTAGCAGAGGACTCGCTGTTAGAAGGGATTTCTCTAGCCGCACAAGGTGTTCATAAGAAGCTGATATTTGGTCTCTGTCTAAGTACCACAGAATGGCAACCCTGCCAAGGTACAAGTTCTTGCCAGGTGACACTCTGCACCAACGTGGGATCGTAGCAGGGGGCGGGTCGGCAATCACACGGGCGTATTCCGCTGCGTACTCCCAATCCAGAAGCAAGGGATCGCAGAATAGATGGTTTGCTCTGCGATAGATGGCGAAATGGGGTTTATTAGGCGCCTTTTTGCGTTCTGGGAAAGTATCACGGCGTACACATGCCCAAGGAACTATATTCCTGTCCGCAGTCATGACATAGTGCTGACGTAGAAGAGTAAGCTAATATGGTCTCGTATACTGGTACAATATAGTGCGCAGTGGCCAAGTCAGCCGTCATTCTCAAGTCCTAAGGGCCAAGGCGTTGATCTCACAGGGCGGGGGCTCAGCCATCAAGTCCAAGGATGGCCTCTATATGTACGTATCCCACATTCACTACGGCCAGTGGCAATTCTGTATACAGCACACAAGTGGATCCTGGTTTCTCTTGCATGTTGAGGTATGGCCGCGTGTTGACGAGCGCGTTTGGGAGAAGTGACCGGATGAGCCGTTTTGCGTACCCCGAAGCGGAAGTCTGCGGAGGCTCGCGGCCGACGGGCCTCACTCGAGGCTGTGTTATGGTGCCCTCCAGCGCGGCCGACTTGGCTACGGGTGACAACACAGGTTTCGAGGGAAGGCATGATCAAGAACCAGGAGTTTGGGCTGAGGCTAACATGCCCAGGGGTGTAATTTGACATCCACCGCGCGTCAACGTGTAACAAACTATTCGATGTATGCGAATAAGGAAGAACCAGGCCCTCGACCGGTAATTGTAACAGTGGTCTCCCAAACCTCGCTCGAGGTTCATCGACGGCTCAGTAATGAAATTCTCGAACCAAGGCTCAGGTATGAGAATCTAGGATGCCAATGAAAGGAAATGAAGACTAGGATCTATTAGTGTGATTCAAAGCAGGACCTTAGCTGGCCACCGAATCTCGACGCCAGGTCCCGGCTGGGATGGCGCAAGCTTGATTGTCGTAGGAACGTAAAATTAGAATGCGTTCCGGACCCGAAATGAAGAACCAGAGAGTGCCCATCAATCATGGTTTACCACGTACAGTTCCATCTTAAACAGATACAAACCAAGGGATAAGCTCATAACCTGATTAGGACTTCTGAAACTGCTAAATTCACTTAAGGATCCCAGCCTTTTGTAGCTCAATGCCTTTCCCCACGCGTGTCTTGAGATAACTTCGGAATCGCCTGAGAGCATCTTATTGTAGAGTTATAAGTGTCAGGGTGTTGGCGCCGGCGGTGTTGGTTCTCATGCAGGGCTGCCACGTTTTGGACAGTCGTTCACTGAGGTACCCATTCGGCCCGTTCGAAGCCTCGCTCCCTGCAAATACCTTCTTACACCAACACACATGAGGCAGCTGTGGCCAATGAAACCTCTAATCAAGCGTGTTGTCAGGTCATCCGTTCGGTTGTGGCGCGCATCATACCATGTTGATCGTTGCTGTGCTTAAAGGGCCAAGGCCTGCCACATACTATGTAGACCACCTTCGCAGCGTTGATCCACTAGTTTTTATGAGGACGAGCGAGCCGTGTCTTCCCAGACAGCAATCGAGCTCCGCTTTTCTATGCTCTTGGAGCGGGATCTCTGGAGTGGTCGGTCCTGGGGTAGACTTCAATAAAGTCTGTAGGGCAATGGTAATGCCACGTCGGATGGTGGGCGAGCCGGCGTTACCAGGCCTGCAATTTAAGGATACCTCCCGTCCGACTCTCTTAGATGATTGAAACACGATGCTTAGGTTGACTATGGAAGTCTGGCGGCAAGTGAATATGCGAATCATTAGATCGAGTTCCGAGAAAGCATGGGACGTGGGACGAGGGACAACTAAATGTTAGCGAGGTTAGGATTCTGGATCAGTATTGCCCCAATAGGCATGGGTCGCGAATCCCACAACAGTTCCGCAACAGTCAACTTAGTGACCATGGTAAGGGCCAGTCGGTAGCAATCCTCCCTGCCTTAGTGTTCTTTCGGATCTCCAATCCAGCTTCTAGGCGGCGGGGCTCGCCATCTTGACACAATATACCCCAAATTGCGGGGGTCTGTCCAAGCAGCAATAGCGAGGATACCAGCGCAGTAGGCATCCGATGGCGCTGGCGCTGGCGCTGGTGCTGGCACCGGCGAAATGCGACGAGCCGCTCGCTGTTCGTGGCAAGCAGTTAGAACAATACTGCCTGCCAGATCGGCTAGATCCAGGTTGCAGCTCGGCAGCGCAGCGATGCTAGTCACCTGGACGCGCACCTGCAAGATGGACCTACACGATAGGGGGCCCCCGCCCCGCGGCCGTGCTCATTCCCACAAGCGACACAGACGGGCGGTAGCGAGCATGGGGCGAGCACAGGTCCTCTACATTACATATGTATGCAGTGTCCGTAGTGTAGGTGAGGTGAGGTGGTCAAGGTGGTGGGTGGTGAGCATGGCAAGGGGTCAAGTGTGGATGGGATTGTGTCGATGCCCACCGCATTTCCGCTTGCCAACCAGTCACAGCGAGACGTGCCGCACTGCAGGGAATCACTGCTTGTAACTCAAGCACAGCTTGCACAGTACGGTCGTGGAAGGGTCCAGTAGGTACCGTAGTCCACGGGTGGGTATCTCTATGGTATCTCCAAGCCACCACCCGTTGCCTAGGCACTGTTTTCTGGGCGCATACCCTCGGCCACCCCACGCTGGAGAAAGGCAACTCAGTTCAGTTTACGTACCCAGGTCGGTAACCATGCCCTTGAACGCTGGGCGTGAACCAGGGCCTCGTCTCCCCGCTACCTCTTTCCTTCTGTCCGATCTGAGGTCGTGAACGGAGGTGGACCCCAAACCTTAATACCCTTATGCTATGTCTTCTCCAAAGCTTGATCGCTGGTCACCAGATGCGCTGCTCTTATACTGCATGCGCAAGGTCTGTCTGAACGGGTTGCGACAATGGCTTGCTCATGCCACAGAGACGACGCCATCGGCCCAGACCCTCGGAATGCCGCGGTAAGTACTTGACATATGCTTCCCCCGCCAGCTTTCGTATTATATGCCGCCGAACCGCGGAGAGGGTACGGATCATCCAGTTCTGGTAAGCAGCGCCGTCTTGCTTGACCTCCACACGCTCTCCTGCTGCCCCAGTGACCACCGGGCCGGCGAACATATGCTCCCCATCAGTCGCCATCGTCAGCCGCTGTGGATAGGTACGCAACCAAGAAATGGCGAAGACCGGCGCCGGTACCCATCATCGTTCGATCAAAGAGAGGTGTCGGTTGCAGCGCACCGACCAACTAGGCCAGGGTGAAAAAGGTGTTTGTACCTAGACACACCGCATTCGCTCAAAGGAGTGCTGAGGTCCCTGTCGTCCGTCGCTCATTCCACGTCTGGTTTAGTCTCCAAATGGAGAAAGTACATAGTCTGGGGTTCGTGACAAGGGCGTTAAGTCTCGTGGGACTGGGGTGACGGGCTGGGGTTCTGCGCATCGCTTCTGCACCTTGCATGGGGTGGGATGTGGAGGAGATTGACTTGTACAGTCAGATCCTCCGGTTTTCCAGAGTTCCGTTTAAATAACAAGTCGGCCGCTGCCGTCCCTTGCAGGCCCCCTTCTCAAGGGCCCTCCCTCGCCATGTCATACTTATGATTTCCTCTTCAGTGACTAACGTGCGGCGTCCTGGGTAAATGCTTTGGTTTTGGTTTTTTTTGGGTTTGAGACTTAGGGGTTCCCGTCCGGTTACACCAGTGGGCACATAAGTGTTATTGCCCCCAGCATACCTATGACTTCCGACTTGGTTACCACGTCGTTGACTGCGGTAAGCCTGCAGAGCAACAAGATGTCGCCGTCCTCAACGGGTGATTCGCCTCACTCGTTGGGAGGAACAAGCAGTTCGGGGAGGCAGTTTCCGCTGCCTTCGCGGGAGAACTTTGCCATCGAGGTTCCGTCGCAGCCACATTCCGCCTCCAACGGGTCGTCATTAAAGTCACCGAGCTCAGCGAAGGCGGCGCGGACAACAAACTTCAGTAGGGAGGGAATCTTGGGCTCCGCACAGAAGGCACGAAATCTGTCTCAGTCATCAGAGGCACGCCCAGACACTCTTGCCGTCGACTTACAGAAGGTGTCCAGCGATGAGAATATCAACCCTTTGAAGAGACGGAATACCGACGCAACGATTGACTACCCACGCAGGCGGGCCACAATAGCGGTAAGGCGGTCCGAGGCAAACGTCAATTAAGTATTTACTAACTGTGGTGCAAGTGCGAGGTATGTCGGTCACGCAAGTCCCGCTGTGATGGGACGAAACCGAAGTGTAAGCTGTGCACAGAATTGGGAGCCGAGTGCATCTACCGTGAGCCTGGCATCAAGCTCGATGCTGGCGACAAGCTCATCCTCGAACGACTGAATCGTATTGAAAGCCTTCTACAGATGAGCATGGTCAACAATCCGAACAGCATGCAGATATCTGGCGATTCACCGCCCATGAGCAACGGCACTGGCCTTAGTGGCGACAACCTGCTGGCTGCTAGTGGCAGCAACTTTGTGTCCATAATTCCCAGCGGTGGCCTAGGAACTTGGACCAACCATGCGACAAGCAGTATATCTACGATGCCGAAGGTCCACACAAATGCCGCGTTACACCTACTACAGTGGCCGCTGATTCGGGACTTGGTCCAGCGTCCTTACGACCCCCAAATACTCCTTCAACTCGAAATGGCCCGGGAGCCGCTACCGTCTCTGGCAAAGACGCCGTGTGTTGATTTGTCCAACACTCATGCGTACATCGAGGCATATTTCGACCGAGTGAACGTTTGGTATGCGTGCGTCAATCCGTATACATGGAGAAGTCACTATCGAAGCGCCTTGTCCAACGGGTTCCGCGAAGGGCCAGAGAGTTGCATTGTGCTCCTCGTACTGGCTCTAGGACAAGCCAGCCTGAGGGGCAGTATATCACGCGTCGTTCCTCAGGAAGACCCCCCTGGACTACAGTATTTCACAGCCGCTTGGTCTCTCTTGCCAGGCATGATGACTTCAAATAGCGTACTGGCAGCCCAATGCCATCTGTTGGCCGCAGCTTACTTGTTCTACTTGGTCCGGCCTCTTGAAGCATGGAATCTACTATGCACGACCAGCAGCAAGCTACAGTTGTTACTGATGACACCTTCACGGATCCCAGAGGACCAGAGAGAACTGTCAGAGAGGATCTACTGGAATGCGCTTCTCTTCGAAAGCGATCTACTAGCAGAGCTGGATCTTCCTCATTCTGGTGTTGTTCAGCTGGAGGAACACGTCGGGCTTCCTGGTGGGTTCCAGGGCGAAGAGTCAGAAGCAGTAGGGCGAGACGACCTTTGGTACTTCCTTGCTGAGGTAGCTCTTAGACGGCTGCTCAACCGTGTGAGCCAGCTGATCTACTCCAAGGATTCCATGGCATCGACAACAAGTTTGGAACCGGTTGTGGCTGAGCTCGACTTCCAACTCACTCAGTGGTATGAGAGTTTGCCTTCGGCATTGCAGTTCCCGTTTACTCGAGCACCACTGGCGGATCCGGTGCAAACCGTCCTACGGCTGCGATTCTTCGCTTGCCGAACAATCATATACCGGCCCTACATCTTGGCAGTGCTGGACAACGAACAAGCCGTTCTAGACCCCTCAGTACGGGACAGCTGCCACAAGTGCCTAGAGGCGTCAATTCGGCAATTGGAGCATATAGGTGCACAGTAAGTTGTGACTCCCCCAAATTTATTGGCCAATGCTGCATCCCTTTATTTTATGCCTTATCCGGCTCCCCAATTTTTCCCCCAATCTAACCATTTGACCGCAGTCACGCCGGCCATATGCCATACCTGTGGCAAGGAGCACTATCAATCGTCTCACAGACCCTCCTAGTGATGGGGGCTACCATGTCGCCCTCGCTATCCAACATCTTGTTGACGCTTGTGCCTCACCGGGAGGTAATCGACCAAATCATCAACGATGTCATTATGGACATCGAGAGGATGGCAGTCCTCGCGCCTAGTCTGAGCTTGGCGGCTGAGATCATCAAGGAGGCTGAAGTCAGGCGACGAACGTTCCTGAACGGCTGAATCCTTGATCCCATCGACGCATACGACCACTGATGCCCATTCTGAACTACATCATATGGACCTTTTCCCAGTTTACCTTGAACTCAACGGCTGTTGGAATTCCAACCCGCGACCACTGTCGCTGCCGAGCACCAATCGCCTGTGCGATGTTACTGGCACAATCACTTCATGGCACTGGAGGCGACCGGGGGCTTCACCCACATCGGCCATGCCAAGCGCTCGTCTTACACGCATTTGGCATGTGTGAACGGCGTGCGGCAATGTCAGTCGTCATGCATGCGGTGGCTTGGTCTACTCTACGCTGCGTCGAGGGCCTTTCAGCCTCGTCGGATTAACCGATGCCAAACACACCGGCGCCTATACTTGCACCTGCTGCGGAAGTGTGGTAATTTGCGGAGATGGTGGCTTTTGGGCAGGACAAAACAGGCTTCCGACGACCGAGGACGAACCCGACGGGCAAGACGGGCACCCAGTACCAAGAGTCCGTCTCACCTGGGGGTTGCACCGCTGCGCTGGCACGGCACCTGACGCGAAATGATCGGTCATGGTTGGCGGGGAATTCTCAAGGGTATAGGGATGCGCGGCCCGCCTAACCGCAAGAACCCCTCTCCGCCAATCAGCGCCGACTCCTCTATCCGGAAGCGGACTGGGCTCTGAATCGCATTACCCCACAACCAAGAGGCGGTTGCTAATTACCTACTACGACACAACTTATCAGGTGGAAATACCTTCATCAAGTCGTCGGGGGAATATACAGTGCTGAATGAGGGCTCTCTGGGTTTCATTTTGACTCAAGGTATACTGCTACCGCATCCATGCGGTTAGGATCTCCCAACCAACAAAACAAAAAAAAATCTCCTGAAAGAGGCCTTCCATTCCCTTCCTTCGCACATTCTAGGCATAGCCTTGCTTTTGAGCCGCCATAACAATTCAAGCGACTCGCCGCTGTTCGGGCAACGTCTCTCGGCCTTTTCTCTTCTTGTTTTTGTGGACAGGCATCGGTGGGAGGTGGGGATACATCGAGATTGCATATACTTGCGGAAGGGTAAGCATCTGGTGCCGATCACCAGACACGACAAGTTCGCGTGGTTCGTGAAGTTTTGTGTATATAATGATTACGACACACTTCGTCTTTCAGTCGGCCCGGGAAGATGAGAGGCCAAGCCAATTCGAGAGAGCTGCAGGTAGCCAGCAATTCTGGATTAGATGGAAAATATACCCAATTCGCACCATGGCGCAATGTTCTGCATGTCTTATAATGTATGTGGTGTGCATCAAAGATCGCGTCGTCCTGGATAGCTGCAAGTCCTTAATATATACGAGCTGCAGGTCCAATACCGTGCCCCTGATGCCATGCGTTTTGGATAATACGAGTTGCATATGTCACTATACCGACCCAGGCCAATCAATCATGCAAGTGTATACCAGGTGGTCTCCCTGGTGTGCTCTTCACCGTCTTGTAGGTGTGTCACTAATTGGTGGCCGCTATGCGCGCTTGTGTTACAAGTGACTGACTATACCTAAAATATATTGTAGCACATATGTTTGCGCGTCCCCTCCTCAACATGATACCCTGGCATGTCCATCTGTGTCTGCGAGGTCTCAATGGACATATACTCCCACCGCCACACCTGTCTCGAAGGACCCAGTGCTGGATGTCCACTACGCGTTTTTCCGGAGCATAATTTCCATGCTCGAATTCTTCCGGCGAGAATGAATTCATGATGAAGTAAATCGTCTCGAACTCCTTCCTGCATGATCGACCCGTTCCAAGCCCCCTCTCTTGTTGCTGCGTCGCCCTGCCACCCCATTCCATTGCAGATTAGCGAAGCCTAACGGCAAACCCCGGATCCCACATCCCCTCCCCTGGTAGCAGATCTTTCGCGGCCTTGGGACTTGAGCCGCCATGCTGGGATTTGACTATCGAACTCCACCCTTGACAGCACTAAGAATTTTGTCGAGCTGGGGAGATGACAGCAATAACTATGGGCTCACAGTAATCTCCTAACCATGCCATCCATAGCTTCGATGGAGCTATGAAATATGGGCCAAGTCGAGAAGGCCTCCCTCTTACGGCAAGGTTTGCGACTTGCGACAGCTGAATGGATGAGGCTTCGACGGTGGCGTTCGCCAAGATGATATTTGATCCTTCGCAGAACAAGAATGGAAGAGTGCTTATCTCCGTGGCTGCGGGCTTTAGTAAGTACCCTGCCAGTGCAACTGGCACAAGGGTTGGTAGACGGGAATGTATGACGCTCACTACCTTGCATAGAAGTTTGGCCAAGTACAGTGAACGGTTACTCAAGATTAGAGACTTTATATATTATAGCTAAGCAGACTGTTCCAGACGACACGTTTCAGTAGCTATAGAAGTATTCTGCGAGTTCTGGCCCACGACAAGCTGTATCGACCTCTGAGACGACCGTGCGTGACTCGTTGCATATGTAGGTCACGCAATTCACGAGTGCAACATAAGTTTCTTCATCTAGCAAAGTTTACCTCTGGGCCTTCAAGATCGAGTGTACCTGACGAATCAGACGTAATCACATCCTTTATATCTCGTCAATGCTGGTACCTCTTTGCCATCATTTACACAGTCGATGCTCCCTTTGATCGGTCTTTTCTGACCACAATTGCTCAGCTTGCTTTGGCACTGATGCTCAGCGAAGCACAACGCCCTGATGCGACAGGATATCCGGAACTGGGCCCAGCGCACTTGCCTCAGGTTTGTGCATCAAAATCAGCCGGCGTCCGCAGCTGTGTGCATCAGACTTCGTGGGAAGTGGTGCTTGGATCCACGAATCGTAACTCATGTCCTGGGATGTGTTTGTAGTCCAATGTATCAGGATCGAAGAGCGCGGAAGTACTGCGCGACGGCTTGTACTCCCATAGGATGTTTCTCTCTTTCGAATCGTTGATACAAGTCACTTGTGACAGGTTCAAGTGACCCGGCCTGGCCTGCTTCTATCCTAAAATCGAAAGCCGTACTTCAAGTAGGATTTTCAACTTGCTTTCTTGTAAACAGTCTCCGTAGCCCCGTAGTGCTCTGTTTCGCCTTGGGCCTCATAGAAAGTTCTATGGATGCTTTGCCGACCTCATGAAGGTTCTGGAGGGGGTTCGGGGGTGACACGGATTTTGGAAAATCCTTTTCGGGGACGGCCGGTGGTTTATCATCAAATGATTGCCTCTGCCGCTGCGCCGGTGCCTGATCAGAGGTGCGTAGTCGCAAGGGTTGGACCTCCAGCGGTGGCACATCATAGGGGGCAAACTCGGGCAGCCGAAATTCAAACTCTTCGTCCTCGGAAAGCGTGACGTCCTCGGCATCGAGATCATCTTCGTCGTAATCTCCATCTTCGGAATACCTTCGTTCCTCGTCGCCACAGACCACCACGTACCACCGAATATCCTCCTCTCTTTGCAATTTATCTCGGAGCTTTTCAAGCCAACCAGCCTTTTTGCTTCCTATCGTATTAACTTTCCGCCCCGTCTCGTCACTTGGCCCGCTCATAGCTCTTAATTTATCGGCTTTGATTCTCTCCTCATATCGTAGCATTTCTTCCATGGGTGATATGGAGTTATCTATGCGCACCACATAGTCCGCCATGTAGGCCCAAGGCCCACTCATGACAGACTCATTAAGTGGATCGTATTCCTCCAACATCTTGATAGGGGACCAGTCGTTGAAGGCAACATCACCAACAGGTTCTGGCGGTAACGGCGGAGGGGGCGGCGGGGCTGGCGGTGTCTGTGGACGTCTGTCTGGTCTGCGAAGCCGGCTTGAAGACTTATTGCGCTTCCGTGAAGCACCTCTGGATTTACTGTCTGTAGCATTCTCGCGACGTCCTCTCCTTTCTTCCGCGTAGCTGTCGTTATTCCTGTTCTGGGCATTCTGGCTGCCGTAGTTCTGCGTCAAAGTCGGCGTGCCATTGCCGTCCAGAAGTGCACTTGGGGGTATGAAGTCGTACAGCTCGTAGAGCGCTTCTAGAAGGGCCACGGCGCTGCGCGGCGCGATAATCCACTGGGGGGCCGCATCTTCGACGTTCTGGAGCACGATGAAATAGAGGATGCTTTTCCTGTGCCACCTGAATCCATGGCAGAGGTAGGTGGGCATATTATGTAGTGGTAGACGGCCTCGCGACCGCACGGCGCGGGTCAAGTTGAACTGCTCCCCAGGCTGGAATAACGGGTCCAGGCGGGGTCAGGGTGAGAGCAATGTCGCATCCGTTCTGTCGTTGTGATCCAAATCTTGAGCCGACCTGGATACTAGAAGCTTGAATTCCAGATGAAGCCGTAGACGCTTCCCTTGGGAAGCACGATTTCTCAGATATCGCCTGAGAGCGACGAAGTCCGCCAACGTTTCAATCAATTCGCAGTGACGATGTTAAAGTTGGGGCTGCAGATCTTGAGGCATGCAGGGCCATCAGCCGCCAAACACGAGCTGTCGCAGCTAACAGGAGCCAGAGCCAGAGTTGGGGCGACGCATTGATTGCCGTGCAGCTGGATTCCGGGGTCTAAGATGCGTGCGGCAACGAATGCGGAATGCCAATATGCAGGAGGATATAGAGAAACGGAGATCACAGTGCTTTCACTGCAGTCCTACCCACTACCCCTGGCTTCATGTTCTGTACACTCTTGTGAAGTTTGTTGGTGAGCAGGAAGTGGCTTGTCTGGCTCATCGAGAACACCCCTCGCTTTTGAATGGCTGTGCTTCTGGCATCTGAGCGTCACTGCTGGCGGGGCTTGGGTACTGCGGCGCTGGCTTACGTTGGAGTGGTCCTCAATTGCATATCATCGAGGTTGATGCCGCTCATAGACCAGGATGAGTAAGACGGGTGAGACCCTGGCTTATGACCGAAGGTTTCTTCAGTGAATTTCTTCTTTGACGGCCAAGTTACTGTGCGTATCCCGCAGGGTGTCATGATATCGGATGGCCCGGGTAGTAAATGCCATTGTAAAGTGGGTCGCAGCCAGGTACTTCGGTATACTAAAATAGTACCCAAATGGCCAAGTCACTAAAAGCTTCCTTTACTCCTCGGCAACTCTCCATGGATATGTCAACACGATGCGTCGTTCTAGTATCTAAAATTTAGACTCTAGCATGCCGTTTAATCAAGGAAACTCACTTGACCCTATTTTGAAGAGCAGCTCCATACTCAGGTGCCAATATTGATTGGATCACCGTCCCTGTTGAGGGCATGATGATGTGGCACTCCAGCACGTTGACCTTGGACATGAATCCCGCAACATCCAACCACCAGACCATCCGTGTTGATAGTGTGGAAGGCGGCGGTTCATCTATAGTGGGACTAATAGCTCTGGCGCCGATTCATATCCAGGTGCTGTGCGTGTTCGGAGTCATGGCTTCAGACTATTGTATGGATTGCGAGAACCCATACGACTTAGCTATATAAACCCCTCGGAACCCCGAAACGGTACTTCTAGTACATGAAACTGATCCGGAAAAATGTGTATCGTTAGAAAATGGCTCAAAGATGCCCGTGAACGCACGCAATACCATCGTGACTTGATCAAGTCGTGATCGTATGACCAAAACGTACCTTTCTAGCAAGATAATGCCTGGCCCAAAAGTCGACGGGTGTACCTGTGAAGTTTGTCTGCAATAATTATACAGAAGATCTTTTTTTACAGGATGCGCCAGATCCAGCATCCCGTTTAATGAGTTGTTAGCTACTGAAAAAAAAGACATACATGAAAACGAATCGTATTGATATGCAGATAATATTATTTCCCGGCGGATGCTAACACTCTCTTAACCAGCTCCATGAACCTAAGCTCTCGTGGATTATACCCAAGAGATGGGCTTGCTCTTCGATGTGTCAAGTTATTGCAGGAAACCCGAGTTGAGGAAGGCATCAATTGGGCTGCCCGCGCTGCAAAGCCTCAGGACCAGCTTGACAGAGAGACGGATTTTCAACCCGTTTTATAACTCCTCCATTTATAGCTCCCCAGTGGAAGCGTGAACGTTGGTCTGATCCCTTTCATCCTTCAGGCCTGAGCAGTTCTACACGCCCAAGTTAGTTGCAGTATATCGTGCAGAGTCATGGGGAAGTCCGTCGAGGAAGAAACCCGTACCCAAGCGACAGGGCAGTTCCCCTCAATGTTCAAACTTCAGGGCAACGATGACTGGCTCATATATGACTTACGGTGCAGTTGTGGCAGTTGTCACAGTCCTTGCAGTTGTTGAGATTCGTGGAATTGGTGCATCCCGTCGAATTGGTGCAGTTTTCACAATCCGTGCAGTCCTGGCAGTTGCTGCAGTTGCTGCATTTGTCGCAATTCGTGCCTACGGGGATACAGTTGAGTCACTGATCATCTATGACGAGAGTCAATAGCTTACAGTTGCTGCAATTCTCGCAGTTCTTGCAGTCCTTGCAGTTCGTGCAATTGCGGTTGCCGTTCTTATCTGACATTGCCAACGGTTATGTTGTCCCTTACGATTATTGTTGTTAACTCGATGTCCTGAAACGCAGCAATGGTCTGCAAAACACCAAGTCTTCGAGTATCTTCATCTTGATATACCCGCTGTTTTTGGCTTACCTACGTCAGATTTCCATCACTAGTGAATATGGTGCGTAAAAATTGATTGGTGCCTATACGTGATAGCGTATGTGTGTGCGTAACAACTTGATTGCATTGTAATTCACCGCAAGCACCATTCACCCAATGATGACCAAGCAACGCTAGCAATTTTCTTCATTCTAAAAAGAACCATTGGGGGTAGGAAGGGAGCAGACTATCTGGTGTTGTTGATACAAGAGACTGGCTGTCTTGATCGGCTACTTCCCCAATTACTGCAACCGCCTTCAGCCAATCAACTCAAACCGCCTGCCTAAATACATGCAGCATCGTAATCCTCCTACATCATCAATGATGTATTGACGACGTCCCAAATGCAGTGTCGACAACCCATCCTCTGCTGTCGAATGCTGATTGGCGTGATAACACAAGAGGTGACGGTTAGCATACTTCTCCTAGGTTCGCTTAAGCACCACCCAGGACCTCCTGTTCTCACACGCACTTGCCCTCGGGTGATTTACCACCTATTGCCTACCAACAGATGGGGGTTTAGGAGTTTCTATCCCGAGTGGTGATGCACTGAGCAGCTGAATACGCGAAGCAGAACGTGGCGTCGGCAGACAAGCTGATGCTATCGCCCCGCCCGGTCTTATTTCATCCGGTGTCAGCTGAGCATATATCTTTCATAGGTTATAGCCTATGGAGTATTTATCTCTCGAGCTGCCGCGTATTACGCCTCCTAGACTTACATCTATCGGCCCTGAGGATGTCGCGGGTACAGGCTTGTTGAGCAAACAAATGGTATCCCATAATTTCTGGTACACCATTCTGAAAGCGAAGAAAGTCACTACTGAAATACATCAATTTGAGAGGGTCGACAGGCACCAGTCCAGCTACTTAGATGTAGCTGCAAGTCAGTCTGTTATGTAAGCGGCGTGGGCACTATTATCTCGTCTCATCATGTAAGCCTTACCTGGATGAAGCTGAGCAGGCCTCGCCTGGTCTGCCGCAAGCCCAGCTCAGCCCTCGCGACGTACCACTACCAGCTTGATTTCCAACACGGCCTCGGAAGGCGGCATTGTGAGACCATTTTTTCAGACATTGTCACAGCGTATGGGCATTTTCCGGGTTGCCAACAACTCTATTCGGACCATTCGAATGCGTGGCGTGTTGGTTTTCTGAACTAACAAGACTTTTCAAGCCAGACGCGCCGCTGGGCCATTCTGCACAGTTCATTTCATCCACGGATACGCCGCACACAGTACAGTGCCTAACCACGCGCCTGGTAGATGGCATGCAAATGGCCAGAATGAATCTATAGGGCTGAAAGCGAAAAATGAGATGCACTACTGTTCATATACGTAAACGTTTCTATATGGGGCGTGAGAGTTTGAGGTAAAGCAGACCGTCTCCCGCCGTTCGTGACAGAATTCGCCATGTGGGCCGATAGTTTCATGAGGAGTGTTTGATCGAGACCTCCCGCACCTGTTCCGTCCGAATTATGAACTTCGGGGGCGCTTGGCATGCCCAAATTCTCCCTAGAAGGCTGTTCCAAAATTGGATAGCTCGTGACGAAGCACGACAGGTTCAGGTGGGTGGAGCGTGTGGAGTATACAACTCTTCCTCTGAAGGTTAACGCAACACGTACTTGCCTTTGTCCCGAAGAGTTACCCTGAGATCATCCATCGATTCCCCGGATTGGCGGCAACGGACTTAGCATACTCCCCGTACCTGAAGATCTTTTCCGCTGCAGGCTCTGCCAGGACCCTGTGGCGGAAGCCACTGTCAGGGCCATACGACCCAAGCCAGGCTTGAACTCAATGCACGTAGATTATCCTATGTAACCAGACAGATGCATGAATGTGCGAACAAGGTCACGGGGACGTCGTCCTTGGTAGGACACCTCTTGGTGATTCTGACTCGTCAAGGCTGATGAAAACCCCAGGAAGCAGGCATCGGAATTCCATGCTGTGATTTTTTTTTTCTCTCGTATGGCCGACGGCCGAGGTAGTGCGACAGGCTCGTAAAAGATGGGGCCATCCGTTGGTGTTTTACGGGTGTTTGTGGACCATCCACCGATCACGAAGAAGAAAATGGGGCAATCGGAAATGCAGTGCAGCTCTGTCGACTTCGATGCCAGCATACCTCCAGCCATACGCTTCGGGATTAGCGACCACACGGCACCTGCAAATCCACGGAAGGGGCGCTGGTCGGGCGTTCATCCTTGTCGCGTTCTCAGGTTTGCGGTGAGCAAACCCATACCATGGTACTTCAACATGGGCTACCGGAGCCGGGCGGTGTTACTTCTTAGTGAACCCCCTTTTCCGCAGCCTTTGTTTGGGTCCGGGGGGATGATAGCGCCAGGAAAGACATCGTCATCGCGACGCATCGATGCCGGGGACCTGGGCACCCTAGCACATGAAGAAGGTTGTTGCTTGGAAGGGCCCTTATCTTTTCCTGCTGATGAAGTCAGTTCTGAGACGATGTAACACCAAATGAACCTTGCTTGCACGATCGCAGCCAAGCACACCTGAGCAGTCCTCTTTGCCTGTCTGCCAGGTCTGCCTTCTGACTTCTGCCATCTGAGCTTCGAGAAAGTCACCACTGGGCCCACTGGGTAATTGGTTGCTCCCCCCACCGCCCAAAGCCTTGTGCAAATTCTAGCGTCGTGCAGCCCATGTCATTCAGGCCTTATGGCGCCATCGCTAGCGCGCTGGGGCCCGCCGAATCGCACTGCCACCACAACGGTGTAGCAGAAAGCGAGGGAGCATGGATGAATGCCACTCGGATTCGCGGCGCTGTAGTTACTATGTAGGGTGTGCCTTTGTACCTGTGTACCTCAGCAGCCAGCTCATGCAGCGCTCTCGAGACTTTGAAGATCATCATCATCCAACGTGCGATCAAGTCATGCGAGAACGCGAAATGGCGCAATGGCTGGCTGAATGTTCAAGATACGCATGGTTGCACCAGAGCAACAATGAGGGAAACCACCTTTATGAGCCACCGTCTTTATTGGGTTCCCAGCAGTAGCCAAAGTCTGTGTGTGGTGTCTTGGTGCCCTACTGCGTAGTTAGGGGATCCATGGGATCCATCAGTCTTTCGGCGCTTGTTTCCCGCGCAACTCGCGAACTCTACCTAGGTAGCCAACTAGCTTTCTTTGAGATCCCGTTCTTTCACCACTCCATTCTTCGGACCTTCTCAGCCTTGTAACTAGGTACATCGTACTCGGGCTGGGATTTGTTGTCCACAGGTGTGGACTGGTTTTGGGCCGTGTACAGGTCACAGCTCGAAAAGCTGCCGCGCTGGGTTTACGGGACCGTGCGACCTGCATAAGCCCCAGCCAGTTTTCATATATTCCGTCAACCGGCACCTCTCCAGCTTGTATTTCTTCTCCTTCACCGGATATTGACCTCGCTCTTTATTTATTCTCGTTCGATCCGTGCGACTACTGGCTGGCAGACCTTCTCTTCTCTCCATCAGCGTCCGGCTTCTCTCCTGCAAGCGAGAACATATATAAGCTAGACGTGGGCTGCATCCATCCTCCCATCCTCGGTCTCGAGTCTACCCAACAAGGAGGGATCAGCAACGACGTCAGCCACCGCTGGATCGTGTCGTGTCACGTTCCTTTCGATCACTCCGACGACAAAAGTACTCGACGCCTTTGTAGCCAGAGTATGAGGAGCACCTTCGCCTCGTACCTGAGTGGTTTCGGTTTCTGGCTGGACATCCCGTGAAGAATCTACGTACGGCACCTACGACAAAACCGCCTTTCAAGATGGGTCACAACAAGAGCTTTTCGCAAAATGACGGCTTTGAATTCGACGAGGCACGATTCCGGAAATTCTACAAGCCTTTGTCGAATCTCCCCACTCCTCCGCCCTCGTCCAGGAACTCGTCTGCGACCCAAAGCCCCCGCTTTCCCGCAGAAGATGCGGAGGTGTGCGATGTTGAGTCTCTAGGTATGCCCAGTTCCTTTCCGGTCTATGGGGATCTCGCCTTGCTAACTGGAGTTGTCTGTAGCCCCAGCTGTGCATCTTACCCGGATGCTACCCTCGGGACTTTCATTGGAGCCGCCATCTGTTGCCGTGGTACAGACAATTCTCCGTCACGCCAACCTACCTATGGACACGATTGCCCTTGCTGTCTGCATACTCGACGCCCTGCCCGCCAGGTTCCGCAACAGATGGCGCATGGCCTACCCTCGATCACGCCAGACTCCGCTAGCCTCCAAGCGCCACACCATGCCTTCGGGGCCTATTCAGCCGCCAAGCGACGATGCTGTGATGCCCGAAGTCGTCGCTCTGTCGGCCCTGATTATCGCGAACAAGTTCCTGGAAGACATGCACGATACGACACAGTATTTCAGTTCTGTCTGGGGTGCTGATGCTTGGTCTTGCGAGCAGATCAACGTTACGGAGCGCTGCGTTATGGAGGCGCTGGAATACCGCATCATGCCTCTAATGGCTCCCGACTACATCCAGGAAGCCCGCCATGATTTGGAGTTTACACGACGGGAGCTGTTGGACGAGAACAGCGATGCTGCTCTCGAGGCCAAGGAGTGTGGGCTCTACCACATCAAGCCAATGAGCTCTGGAGAGGCTGTCGTCGGACTTGGGCTGCAGCTGACCCCAGCCGAGACACCCAGGTCTGAGCTGCACACACCTTTCGGCTTTAATCAATTCCTCGGCCAGGAGACGAGAGAAGCTTTCGCCAATACCCAGGAGGTGCCACAAGGCTACCTGCATCTGCCCTCCGAGGCACACCCACAATAGAGCTGCTGCATTGAGGACGGCACGCTAGGCTACCCAGTTGGGGCCTCTTTGTTGTAATGTTTATTTCTGCATAGCGTTTGGTTGCATGGATTAATTGCGGTCTGAATACTACATCTGCGGGTGTATAGTATTGCCCCCTCTGATCGGGGAGCGGAGCATTTACTCGAGGCGTTTGTTTGACCGGCCCAAGGGAAGGGTCTATGGCACGGAAAAATGCGGAGTTCAACAGCAGTCTTCACGACTGACTGAGGCGGGTTGATTACGGGGCTATGCAATACTTTGTTGACGAATACCCACTGGCACAGCTCTAGCAATAATGTCAAATTTCTACTAGTCTCACCATTCACTTTGACCTGCAGCGGGTGTTCGGCTCGATCTTCAACCTGGCTTAATCGTGAGACTGTTTCTAGAAGCTTTCGGCAGATGCAACCCTAACATAGATCTTCCACACAGCCCATCCCATGCACACCCCAGGACTTCCCCGGATTTTGCCCGGCCCCTGCCGATCTCTCCTATACAGCCTGAAAGGCAGACGAGCTGCCGCTTGATGTCAGCACCCCATCCCAACTGCCCTGGCGCCCGCACAGCTCATGTACTCCCTCGCAGCAAATGTACTATTTTTATAGATCTAGACTGACCGTGCATGCATTGCGGAGTTTTTCCACGGCTGGCAAAGGCGTACTGAAAGTTATAGCTGCAAAGCCGCGTAAGCTTTGCGAGAGCCCCGGTAATCGGCACTGGTGCTCAGGTTCTCCTGGCGGTCTCGCATCCCGAAAGGGGTTCCAGACCTAAGTTACAGCTTCTTAAAGTGAGCCACATCACTAGCAAGATGGACTATGCACCCCATTACCTCTATGAAGCCGGCAGCCGTCGGAGGGTTTTCAGGCAGCCTCTCTGGGCTACCCACCAACGCGTAATTTCAGGGATAGCTGTAAAGGCCCAATATTCAAGCTCAAATGCACTGCCGTCTGTACCGAGGGTCTCGCAACGCGGTAAAGGGGGCCAACGCATTTAGAGTTGCCCAGTGCATGGTGACCATCCCATCTCGATCTACTCTCCCAGGGTCCCATGGAACCAGGCTGATGCAAGTCTGGAACCTTTCTGGCCAGCCCTATAGCCGTGCCAAGCCGGAAACTTGCTATGCAGGATCACGGATTCCGCAAGCGGCAGAATTTTGGTTAGTTTGAAGTTGCCTGAAATTTCAAGACAACTCGAGTTATCAACACTGGACTCGGTGCCGACATCTGTATCAAGAGACCGTATCGGATCACAGATTGCTAGATTGCGTTTTCTACTCCCCAAGCCGATCTCCCACATTGCTTTGAGGGATACAGCAAAAGGGTCTCGCCATTTTTTGCTTATTTCGTCTTAACGAGACCAAGAATATCCATGGATGCATTTTGAAGGGACAACCCAAGTCTGTCGCAGCATCCATGGATTGGCCTTACAAGGAGTTGGAGTTCAAGTATGCGATTAAGCGTACAATCTTATCAAGATAAACCTCAATGGGGCTAGTGCGGGGTTGGATCTAGAATTTTTGGGCTGTGACGCTACTGAGGACCTTATGATATGCCCCATTGAGAGTCGAAACGGTGGCCATAAGTGAAAATCAAAACAAAATACTCTACTCTCTCATAGTGCTTCACCACAGCCCAACTTATTTTCACATCAAGGATGGCCAAGAAGAGGGCGAGAGAAGCCGACGGTGCGGCGCCGGACCCGGACAAGATGCAGGAGGATGAGAGCTCAGACGACGAAGTGAGTGAGAGGCCGCAGGCTCAGACGGCATCGTGAGAGGAGCGGTCTAACACGGAAGATATCAGGATTTCGACATTGTGAATGTCGACTTTGAGTGGTTCAACTTTGACTCGGAAATCGACTTTCACGGCACCAAGTCGCTCCTCAGACAGCTGCTCGATGTCGACTCACAATTATTCGACATCTCGGGCCTGGCGGACCTGATACTGTCACAGCCCACCATCGGGTCCACCGTCAAGACCGACGGCAAGGAGGCGGACCCGTACGCCATGCTCACGGCCCTCAACCTGCAGGAACACCGGGCTAAGAAGCCCCTGGCGGACCTCATCCAGTACCTGGGCGAGAAGGCCAAGGCGACCGAGTCGCTGTCGGCGCTGCCGGAGCTGCTGGCGTCGGGCCAGCACGTGGGCCTGGTGCTGTCGGAGCGGCTGATCAACATGCCGTCCGAGATCGCGCCGCCCATGTACAACCTGCTGGCGGACGAGGTGGAGGCGGCGGTGGAGGACGGGGAGCCGTACGTCTTCTCGCACTACCTGGTGCTGTCCAAGACGTACCACGAGGTCGAGTCGACGCTCGACGTCGAGGAGCGCCGCAAGAAGAAGGGCAAGGTCGCCGAGCCCGCCACCTACTACTTCCACCCGGAGGACGAGGTGCTGCAGAAGCACGCCCTGGCTCACGGCAGCTACGCCTTCACCAAGAACGACGAGGCCGTCGCCGACAGCAAGCGCGCCTTCCAGGAGATGGGCATCGTGTCCAAGGGCCACCTGATCCTGATAGAGGCTGGCAAGTTTGGTGGCGCCATCAAGGCGATGAATGAATATTTAAGCCCTCCGTCATGAAGATAAACCGAAGGCTAGAGACAATGAAAGCTAAATAGAATTTGTTCACGAAAACAGCTAGTAGTGATACGCATTGCGTGTAATGTGGTTAGTTTACGGTACCTTGCGCTCGCTCACTACGAGTGACGGCTTCACCGGACGCAATAAGTAACGATTGCGGCTGAAAGCCCCTATAACGCTGAGCCCTGGTTTTCTCAGGTCAGGCAACGCTATGTGCTTATCTTGCATATGCCTCCAGGAGGATCCGTCATGAATCTTAGATTGGGGGAATACAGAAACTTGGCTATTCCTTCAACGGTCTAGCAATACCATCCTCTTTTCTTTTTTTGTCGTCTCCAGGCAAAGAAATCTATCTAATCCCTGGTTATTGGTTTATATCGATGGGCCCCAAGCATCTACATATTCTTTTTCATCTCATCTCATCCCAGTTCGTAACCTTCCTGGGGAAGCCTTGCTCATAACAAACGCTGCATCAGATACTCAACCTCGACCTCTTTCGTCAGGGGGATGACGAACTGCTCGTACATCTCGACGACCTTGTCGGCGTCGATCTTGGACTTGGTGGCCTCGCCGTTGCCGTGGGCGGCGGGGTCCCGGCCATAGGTCTCGGCCTTCTGCTTGAGGCGCTTGAGCACCTGCTTCTCGACCTCAGGCTTGGTGATGGCGTTGCCGATGCCGTCGCGGTCCTCGGCGCGGATCAGGGCGGTGAAGTGGTCCTGCTCGGAGCGGAACTTGGACTCGGCGACGAATTTGCCAAAGTGGATGCGGCGCGAGATGGCCTGTAGGCAGGCGATGTCGCAGGTGGCCGAGGAGCCGTAGTTCTCCTTGGACTCGCCGCGGTCCTCGCGGCCAAAGTCCGGGCACACGCCGGGCAGGAAGGTCTCGACGTAGTACTGGCGGATCTTGTCGTTGACGTTGACGTCGTTGGCGTGCAGGATCTTGGGGTACTCCAGGGGCGCCAGCACGGGCTTGACCTTAGCCGTCTGGTGGAAGAAGGGGTACTCGTCTGGCGACTCGTAGCGGCGGATCAGGGCCTGCAGCTCCTCCTGTTTCCGCAGGTACCAGTCCATGAAGCTGTCGCCGGGCTCCTGGCCGATCTCGATGGCCCCCGGCGTGTAGATGGATTTGTTGTAGGGGAACTGCACCCGCTCAATCAGGTGGAAGATGATGGTCTCCTCCAGCCGGCTGCAGCACAGGTCAGCATGCGGTTCACGGTATCTCCTGGTTCCGGTTCCTCTTCTTCGTCCTTTCAATTTCTGACGGGATATCTCTCCGTTTGGGTGGTGCCGCCAAGACAAGAGGGGGCACTAATACTCACATGAGCTGGAAGCGGATGTTGGCCAGGTCCAGGGCCCTGGAGGCGTCGGACAAGTCGATGATTGTGTCCATGGCGAAATTACTGGTGATGTACCGGATTGAAGGCGCGGGGGTATCCTGATCGCGGGGTAATGACCTGGGGTTGTTCATTGAGGGAGCTGGCCGGGCCTCATCAAAACTGGTTGGTCACCGTTCCGATATTCGGGTAGAAACTGTCACGGTGAGGTGCGGATGGCGGCAGTGGGAGCCCCGGGCGACCTATGATTTTTAGGCGCCGCCCCGGCCTCGCCCTGCCGGGCTGATAGTCGCATCTGCTGTGTCTCGAGGTCGTCCATCGGTGCAATCCAGCACTTTCGCTGCCCAGTAATCGAGTTGTCTGCCATTCAATTGGGGCGAGCGCATGCGCGTCTTTGTTCAGACCTGCACTGGCACCGCGCGAGCATGCACAGCGCGCTGGACAAGTCCGAGTCCATGCCTCTTCCGTGAGGCAGAGAGCCCTGGACGCAGGGCACCTTCTGGTTGGCTGGCTGGTGCATGCAGGGCGACCTTCCAGGTAAGGGTCGGGTGTTTTGTGGCATGGCATTTACGGTACTGGAACACCTCCCCCCTGCTGCCATGTCGCAACAGTGCAGCTGCAGCCCCCGTCGAGCACCGACCGAGAGCCCTGGAGCGTGCTGGGTACCTGGGCCTGCTGAAGCAGCTACATGGCCACGGCTACTGGACCTTAGCTACTGGACCTTAGCTACTGGACCTTAGCTATACTGGACCACAGTGAGCTGCTGTACACTACTACCTAGGTAGGCCGGCTGAGCCCACTGCCTACGGCCACGGCCCAGGCCCAGGCCCAGAATGAGAGGCTCCCTATTGGTCAAATGGCTGCTTGATGGACGGGTCGCGTGTGTACTATTATTTGTGGCTCGTGCCTTTCTCTTCCAATTGAACGTCTGTCACACGGATTAATCCAAAACCAGCAAGCTCGAATCCAAAAGTGACGACGAGCTGCGTCGCGCGTCCACGGGTAACGCTATCGCCGCCGCATCGACGGATCGACTACAGCCTCTCAACCACCAGCGCCTACCGTAGCCTCTTCGCTCCCGCCTTCATCCTCGCCCTCATCCTCGCCCTCGCCCTCGCCCTCGCAATCCACACAAAGCTCCAACTACCGCCCATTGAGGAGGGAGTCGTATGGACGATACAGACCTGCACAATGCTTACCACGATGAAGCCTCCATGGGCGAGGACTCCATTCTCTCGGTACCGCGAGCCCGCCCCGTCGCTCCCCCACCCGCAAGAGATAACTAATGTCTGTCCAGCCCCGGGGCATCGAGCACTTCACCCGCAAGGTGACGGCCACGGCGAGCCACCTCGTCGGCCCCCTGACCGACCAGTCCCCCTCCGCCGCCAACCACTACTCCAGCGCCATGGCCGAGGTCCACAAGCACATGAAGCGCCCGAACCTCCAGCGCAGCATGTTCTCCATGGCCAAGACCACCCCGACCGACCTGGTGCGCTCCAAGTTCTCCACCTCCGAGATCCAGAACCGCGCCCTGTCCTACCTGTCCGACGACATGCTGCAGAACATCCCCGAGATCGACAACTCGTACTCGCTGTTTCAGGGCTTCCAGGCCAGCTTCCCCGAGCTGTCGGACGACGGCAAGAAGCACCGCCGGCGCGTGTCCAGGGGCCGCAAGATGATCGACGATGCCCCTTCGACCCCCAACAGCCCCCAGCACCTGCACAAGCTCAAGAAGGAGAGGGCCTCGTTCATGCACGAGCTCGAGATGCTCGGCATACGGAAGAACATGGCCAGTTCCGAGATCAGGGAGATTGACAACAAGATAGCCAACTTGGCAGGCATGCGCAGGATCATACTGGACCGGCTGGCTGGTCTGGAACAGGAGGAGGCCCTGCTGGAACACGATAGTAAGTGGCCCTCTTTTACTACGCTTCTGCATACGGCGGGTTGTCATGAGCTAACATATCCAAAGTCGTCGACATGGAGGGCCGGATAGAGGACGCCCAACTGCTGGTAGACGAGGCAGAGTCGATAGCAGCAGACACGCCCACAAGGGACGACGACGATGACGACCTGGTGCTGGACCAGGACAACGACGAGTTCATGTCCAAGTCCATCTACGAAAAACTCCCCTCGGCTTCTAGTACCCCTTCCAAGTCTAAGCGCCACAAGGTGATAAGGCGCAAATCCATGCCCATCCTCCATGAGCACTTTGAGCCTGGGACGGCCATCCGCGAGATCAAGGCTCACGAGGACAACATTACCGCCATCGACTTTGACCATCCCTTCGGAACCATGGTGTCTTCCGCCATGGATGATTCGGTCAAGGTATGGGATCTCAACGCCGGCCGCTGCATAGGTGTGCTTGAGGGGCACACAGCATCGGTGAGAACACTGCAGGTTGAGGACAACATTCTCGCGACCGGTGGTGTGGACGCCACCATCAGGCTTTGGGATCTGAGCAAGGCGCACTACGACCCACAAGGCAACCAGGACGGCGAGGAGGAGGACGGTATGGCTTTCGAGAACCCGGATGATCAACCTGTCGAGCCCCCAGCAGGTACCATGTCTGATTGCCCAATGTTCACCTTGGAAGCGCATGTTGACGAGGTCACGGCTCTTCATTTCCGAGGCGACGTTCTCGTCTCAGGCTCGGCTGACAAGACCATTCGGCACTGGGACCTTGAGAAGGGGCGTTGTATCCAGACGCTAGACGTCATGTGGGCAGCAGCACAGGCTTCCGCTTCCATGGGCTCCGCCGAGGGTGCCTGGAGACAGACTGGCCGCTCGGTTTCCGGACCTGCGGACTTTGTTGGCGCCCTGCAGGTCTTTGACTCTGCTTTGGCCTGCGGCACAGCCGACGGCATGGTGAGACTCTGGGATTTGCGAAGTGGCCAAGTCCATAGGAGTCTAGTCGGGCACACTGGGCCAGTGACATGTCTGCAATTTGACGATATGCACTTGGTGACAGGCAGTCTGGATCGAAGTATCAGAGTGAGTAGTAGCCTATTCTCGGCCATGGTTGAACTGGCTTGTGCTAACAAAATCATAGATTTGGGATCTACGGACAGGCTCCATCTTTGACGCCTACGCCTACGACAACCCCATTACGAGCATGATGTTTGACAGCAGGCGCATCGTCAGCGCCGCGCAGGAGGACGTGGTCAAGGTGTATGATAAGCTCGAGTCGCGGCAGTGGGACTGCGGCGCCGGCATCACTCAGGCCGAGGAGAACAAGACCCCGGCCATCGTCGAGCACGTGCGCATCAAGGAGGGCTACATGATCGAGGGCCGCCAGGACGGCATCGTCGGCGTCTGGACCTGCTGAGCCAGCGTTAGCGTAATGTACATCTATCCATACCTATCTGTAAATAAAATATACGAGCCCGACAGCCAGGGCCCAGAGTCTGCACCGGTACGCTGCCGTTGCGGACTAGGGCGGGCATATCCTCCAATACTGCTAGCATCCGGGGCTCTCCAAGTGACAGATTTGCGCTCAGTGGGTGTGCTCAGGGGGTCTTCATAGCCCCTAGGCAGAAGCAGCCCACGCTTCTTTCCTTGGGCCCAGGACACATGACTTTTGTTCAGGGTAAGCTACGTGTTCGTTCAACACGGGATCACAGTAAAGCGGCGAGATATCATGGCCATTCTATATTGGATTACTTGGAAGCCTGCCTCCCAGGCCTCGATGGATCCTGAGGCGTACTTGGACGCCGATACCCGATAACAACAGAAATAAAGAAGATGAAGAAATAATGCTAACCCGCTGCTGTGCTGTACGATGCGTGCGACGGCCGTGCCGGTCGTCAACCCTCCTCTCTACCCCGACCCCTTTTCGCCCCCCGCAGCGAAAATGATACATGTGAATATATACAGAAAGGCTTCGCCCCCCGACTGCTCTTCCTCCCTGGCGTGATTGATGATAGAGAAACAGGGAAAAGAGAAAGGCGGTGAAAAAGCCAGAATGTGTCCTACAACGCCCGCCCCCAGAGACCCAGCAGAGCCAGTCCGGGGGAATGGAAAACAGCCGCCTCGTCTATCCAGCAGAACCAAGAAACCGCCGGCGCGCCGCCCTGGCAAGGCTTTGTTGCTCGAGTCTCAATCCGTCTTCTTCCCCTTGGGCCCCAGGGACCGGCCACGGACGCTGCCGTCGCCGTCGTTGCGCGCCGTGGACCCGAAGTAGCCCGAGTTGAGCAGGTTCGCCTCGGGCATGCGCAGGGTTGGGGTGCGCGGCCGGCCGTCGTCGCTGTTGGTGTCGGTCAGCTCGATCAGGTCCATGTCCTCGGCGGTGCGCTGCCTGGAGCCGAGCCTCGGGGTCGTCGGGCGCTTGGCCCACGCGCCGCGCAGCCACGTCTCGATGGTCGCGGCGGCCTGCTCGAGCCCGATGCCTTGCTTGTTGTTGACCGTGTCCGCGTCGCGCCCGTCCTCGAAGGGGCTTTCCACGATGCCCCGTGGCACGTCCTCGTCGCCCTTGTTCGCGAAGCCCCAGTGCGCCGACTCGGAGCCCATGACGGACATGGACGGCATCGAGTCGATGTTGAAGCCCTTGGGGAGCCTTCTATTGGCCCAGGTGTTGAAGTAGTCCTTGGCAGGCCCGGGCGCCTTGACGGTCCGACTCATCGATCCTACGCCGCCAGGCCTCCTCATCCAGGCGGGCATGTTATCTGTCTGACTGATGCTACTTCCTCTGCTCCTTGCCACTGACGGGGATGTCCCCAGGCTGCCTACGACCGGGCGGCCGCTGACCGAGCTTTGGCGCCGCAATGATATGCCACCGGGACTGTCCAGCGCCGGCTCATTAGAATCAGCCGTCATTTTCCTAGACATATCAAGAGACTGCCGGGGCGTGGAAAAGGTCGACACAGTGTGTATGCTCTTCTTCCTTCTCGGCGGGAAGAACCCCATGGCTTTCCGGGAGACCCTCACAATTTCCGTAGGGTGCTGAAAGGAATCAATCTTCACCCAGCGGACGTGCGTCCAGGGCTGCTCCTCCTCTGGTAGCGACTGGCTCTTCCGCGGCTGCGAGCTGAAGAAGTCGTCATGTAGAACTTGTGACTGCGCAGAGTCCGTGGCGCCGCTCTGGATGAAGCTCTCAGGCTGCGGCGTCGTTGCTAGGTGGTCCACCTTTTGATTGTAAAAAGTTGGGGGATCGCATGGTCGCCCTTTGACCTCACAGGAATCCACGGGTATCATGAGGTGTTTTCTCACTTGGATGTTGTCGCGAGACCACAGGCCGTTTGTCTTTCGAAAGGCGTGCTCCTGGCATCGGTACCGCAGCACCACACCAGCGTAGGTATCGTTCGGTTGCACGTGGTGAAGGTAAACGAGGTGCTCCTCCACAATCGGTTCGCTCATGGTCCTCGTCAGGTTTTCGTCCGAGTTCCTCCTCTTGTATTTTCCAGCCACATCCAGCCCTCCGTTGACTCCGTCATAGCTCTCGAGCACACTGGCCGTTTTCATGGCCTTGAGGGCCGCCTGTCTCTCCGCCAGCGACCCTGCGGCGATGTCTTCGGCTTTGGGTCGTGCTGTTTTTGTGGGAGGCGGCGGGCCCCAGTTATCCGGCAGCTTTCGACTGCTGTTACCTCCTCCACCGCCCAGGCCCTTCCATATAGACGACTTCTGGCGTGATTTGCTCCCGCTCCTGCTGTTCGGTCGAGAGCTCTCGCTGTTGTAGCCGCTTTCCCCACCAGAAATCAGCGAGGAGGCGAAGTCCTGGACTGACGTCCAGCTCGGAGCCCAGGAGCCCTCCAGCAGCCCCTTGCTAAACGAGGCATTGGTTGGCGTCGAGCGGCCACTGTTGGAAAGCTTGGAGCTGCTCAGGCGGGCTGATGGCATGGGACTGACCCCCCGACTGGGCACGGGACTAATGGCCGGGCTCAGGCGGGATGTCGACGGATTCCTGCTGGTTTCCGAGACGGCACTGGGTGTGGCCCTCCGGTTACGGGGGCGGCCTGAGTCGGCATCGACGCCGGCGGGCATCAGGCCGGTGGAGGACATGGACGGGGCATTGCTGTTACTGTTGCTGTTGTTGTTTGACGATGTCGTCCTGCTAAGGCCGGACATGATCAAGGCGAAGAGGAGGTGGTCGTCGCCCGGGAGTGACCAACAGGGCTAAGGCTGGTGTCCCGCGCGAAGCGGCTGGAATGCGTTACTAGCATCAAAGCTCTGGAACGTCGGGCGGTCGAGAACAATAGCGACGTTGGCGAGCTGGGGGATTGCTGGGTTGGCGACGGAAACGCGGGCCCTTTGTTGCCGTGTGGGTGGCCGTCTTGGTCGGCAATGTGAGCGCTGTCCAGCGAGGTAGGTAGGGTTCTGTCTGCGTGGATGTCGTCGTGGGCAGCTTATCGCGGGCTGGGCCAGGAATCAGGAGACGTGGAGGTAGTCGTTGGTGACGACGGACCCCAGCTGGGAAAACCGGAGCGATTAAAGCAGAGCAGGCCGAGAACGATGGGGGTGGGATTGGCCAATCTTGCTTTCGGCACTCGGAGAGCGCCAGAGCACTTGGTGAAACCTGGAACCCAGCAGCGCCCAGGTAAGGTCGGGAGGACTGGATTTTTCTTTCTCTTGGGGGTTTCTGTCCGGCTGGCAATGACAAGATCTATGAGGGAGGCTGTCTTGGACCCGATCACCTGGGGCCGTCCTGTGGTGCCATCTCTCTCCCTTCAGACGCTGCTTGCGGGCTTATGCGCTGCGGTCACGGTTGAGGAGACGGATAACCCGCCAGGCCTCCCCCTGCACGCAGATGTCAACCAGCGAGTGCATGCTAACTAAAAGCTACTGGACATGACTTAATTAGGCCCACCCGACGCCTGCCGGCAACCCGGGGATACCCAGAGCGTCAATTGGTGGCAGGTGGTTCAGCGCTAGCTCACGCAGCTAAGGATGGTATCATACTACCTAGGTACCATGGTATTGCTCCCTTCGCCGCTAATCAGTACCGTTATGCAGTGCTGCTGCACTGGAGCCTCCCGGGACAGCGGGAGTATTTTTAGACGCTTCCATCATGGGTGACAATGGATCTGGGGCATCACTCGCAAGTGCATCCAGCATTTGCGCGCATGATGCAACATGCTAGATATGCTTGACTCGCATGCACCAGCTCTGTCCTTTGTATCTGTTCAAGCAGATTTCCAAGCGGTAGTACGATGACTGGCCCAAGGCGAATACGAGTGGTTGTTTCCCAACAGGTTCCCACGCCGGGTTTCAACCCGTGTTGCTTGTCATGAGACATGTGGCGCCGGGACGACACAGCAGATTCCCCATCAAGTGTACTTGCAAGTCCTCACCATACCAAAGTGGCGCCGGTTCCCATTTGTGAATAGTGCTATAGAGTGGTATTGCTAGCCAAGTCTATGTTGCAACCCGAGATGCCAATGATTCAAATGATGGCCCAGACCAATGACCGCCCGCCCGAAAACGCCGCGCCTATATAACAATTGCTGCTATCAGCTAACCTTCGCTGGCCCTCGATCATCCCTCAGGCAACTTGCTGGACGGCTGGTGTCTCGTCGTCGTCAACGTCTTCATACTCGTCGCTCGACGATTTGGCCGACTTGGCCTGGCTGTGGTTCTTCATCAGAATCTGCCCTCCACCTTTCCGGCCAAAGAAATCTTCCGTCCTCATGCCTCGGACGCGCTTCGGGTCGATGCTCGCCATGGCGCTGCCGCTTGCCTTGTGCTCGCGGATGTACTCCCTGACCGGAATCATGGCGGCATCCCTACAGGCTTCCTTGATGTCGCTTCCTGACATGCCAGCCGTGACTCTTGCAATGTACTCGATGTTGAAGTTGTTGGGGTCGGTCTTGGTGTCCTGGAGAATGAGTTGCAATATCCTCAGTCTTTGGCTCTTGTCTGGTAGAGAGACGGGGAACTTCTTGGGCATTCTGCGCAGAATGGCCTCGTCTATGTCGTGTATCCTGTTGGTTGCGCCCAGTACACAGATTCTCGCCGGGGCACCGCGTGCATTGGCCGACGTCAGACCGTCCCATAAAGTCATAAATCTGGTAACACGTTAGCTAAGGAGTCCCAAACCGGCCGTGGGTCGACGTACTCAGCCTTAACCATACCGCTCGCCTCGTGCTCGCCGCTTCTCCGGGTTCCGAGGACTGCATCAATCTCATCGATGAAGATAATGGCGGGCTGCAGTTTGCGGGCCAGAGAGAAGACGGCGCGGACAAGCTTGTTGGAATCTCCGTACCACTTTTCGGTCAAGGTCGAGATATGCAGGTTGATGAAGGACGCGCCACTCTCGTGAGCGACGGCCTTGGCCAGCATGGTCTTGCCGCACCCGGGAGGACCGTAGAGGAGCACTCCGGAGGGAGCGGACAGGAGGGAGCCTCCCTGCGTGTAGAGGTGAGGCATCGTCAGGGGGTAGATGACCGACTCCTTGACCTCCTCAATGATATCGTCCAGACCGCCTATGCTGTCGAATCCGACGGGGATGTCCTCAGGCGCAACGACTTCGAGGGCGACCATGTTCTCGTACTCGTTGAGCTGCAGGTCTTCTATACGCGGCCCACGCGGGGCGCCAGTACTCGGGTCGCACTCATCGCCGTCGTCGGCTCCTCTCGGTCTCTGTAGTCGCTGGAGGTTGGCCTTGGCCTTGATCCTAGCCTGTTCTTGCTTCTCCTTCTCCGGATCGGCAAGGGTGGATTGCAAGCTCGACACAATGTTCTTGGTAAGAAACCAGGCGGTGCCGGTCTGCAGAGGGACAGCGGTCGTTAGCCAGGACACAACGGGACACGGCCAGAGTCACCAAGTGGTGGAGGAAGAGGTCATTCATACCATGCCCAGGAAGATGATCAGGTCCCATATGTAGTCGGAACCGGCTCGCCTTCGGTCACCCATTGCGAGATATTTCTGCAACCAGCTAGGAAGCATTTGCTCGCGTCCTTGTGGATGGGAAGGGGGACCAAGGAACGTCCAAACCAGATGGGCGAGCGAACGTGAGTTGGAGCCAAGTCGAGTGCCGCCACGGCGGAAATGCAGTGATTGGGCGGCGCAAAAAGTGAGGTTAGAGCCAATGAATGCCGAGGACTCGATTGCAGACGCAGGCGCAGGCATGTGTCAAGGCCCTGCGCTCCTTTTCTACAGTGACGCCACTGCGCGGCTGTTTGGGCCTGGCGCCCGACTGGCTTGGGGCTCCAGCCGGGGGGGGGGTTGGGGGGGTTCCAGCGGCTGGGCACCAGGGCTGCCGGCGGGTTGGCGGCCTGTCAAGGGTACTGTGATATGTTACAGTACCTAACTCGGGTGCTTCCAGTCAAGCTTCCGCCTGGTCTGCTGGTCTGATGCAGTGGCACTGGGACCCGTGGACGGGTGGGGCAGGATCTACTACCTAGGTAGGGGGGCACACTTCGACCGGGGCCTGCTGTGTAGGCACTGGACACTTAGCGCAAAGGGCCGCTGGGTTGGGCGGCCGTGCTGCAACGCGGGCAGACCTGGACTAGGATCAGAGCTGCCCACCTAAAATTCGCTTTGTTTACTTTCTCCCCGTCATCCCACCATTTAGAGGCGCGCCCTCTCAGCTCCGCACGTGTCGACACTTCAACCCTCCTACGAGATAGGCTTTCTTAGACCTCCGAGCTGCGGATACACCCAGTGCACGGCGAATTGCTGGCCCCAACAGATCAATCGGTATCTTACGCGCAAGTGCCGCTCTTTATTCACCTGCCGTCGTCGCAAGGGGCAAGAACAACGCGTACAAGACGACCCATGTCCAAGGCGCGATCCGCAGCGTTGCTTGGACTCGTCGAGTCGGAGGACGAGGACTCATCAGAGATTCTGGAATCCGCCGCACGCCCGAAGACAATACAGAAAATGCCTCCCGCCAAGAGAGGCAGACCCCCGGCTGCCGGCCGCAAACCTCTGGCAGAGAAGCCTTCCAACGTGCGGGAGAACATGACCCAGGCCAAGGGCAAGAAGCGCTCAGCTCCCGACGACACCGACGCGCACCAACAAGACGACGACGACGCCTCCACTTTGGCGGCGAAGCCCAAAGGAGCCCGTGGCCGTCCGCGCGGCGTAAAGGCGGCAAAGATCTCGGATGAGCCTGGCGACGATGCATCAGAAATGCCAGAGCCTGCCGCGCAACCCGCTAGGAGGGGCCGCAAGCCCAAGGCACAGGCTGTAACCCCGCCTGCCGAGACCGAAGTCCCGGAGACACAGCAGGTTGACCATTTTGACGACCTTGAGGCCGAGCTCGAGATCCCTGAGACGCAACATATCGGAACATTCGACGACGGGCTCGAGGACGAGCAATTTGATGACCTGCCAGCTTATGCCCAGCACATTCCCTCCTCTGTTCAACGTCTGCCGCATCCTATCATGCCATTCAGTGCCAGTCGCTCAATGCAGCAAGTTCCTTTCAGCGCAAGTCGGGCCCAACATCACACCGTTCCCTTCAGCGCCAGCCGGCGGCCCATGGCTTCCTCGACATCAGAGCTCAACGATCCGTCATTACGCCGACGGATTGGCGAGTTGACGCGCAAGTATGAGAGTCTCGAGTTGAAATATCGCGACTTGAGAGAGCTGGGAGTCAAGGAAGCTGAGCGCAACTACGACAAGCTCAAGAAGCAAGGGGAGGAGCGCGCACAGAGTAAGCCCATATTTATTTAAATTTATGGACAGAAGCTAATTAGTCTTGTAGCCGCCAACGAACTCATTGAGACGCTGAGGGCACAGTTGGCTGCGCAGACTGAACTGGCCAAAGAGGGCGAGCGCCTGAAGCAGCAGCTAGAAGCATGCGAAGACCGCGCAGCAGAGCTCCAGACCAAGGTCAGCGAAGTCACAGGCTCTCTCACCGCGGCAAAGACGGAAATCAAGACGCTCTCCACCAGGCTGTCGGCATCACGAGCTGCGGAGGCGGCAAATGCAAAGGTCCCCAGCAGCGCCATCAAGGGCAACACTGCCAACAACCGTATGCTCGCCAATGCCGAGGCGGCTGTCCAGTCGGCCCAGATGAAAGAAGACCTCTATGCCGACTTGACTGGCCTCATAGTCCGCGGGTTCAAGAGAGAAAACGACGACGACGTGTATGACTGTCTCCAGACTGGGAGAAATGGAAGTAAGGACTGCCCTGTACCAAGTCACCATGGAGGAAGAAGTTGCTAACAAATTCTGCAGCACTGCATTTCAAGCTCATCCTTTTCCGCGAGGAGAAAACAGATGACCTGGACGAGGTTCAAGTCATGTATCTGCCTCAGCTCGACGAGAGCCGCGACAAGGATCTGCTGGAAATATTGCCCGACTACTTGACGGAGGAAATTACTTTCCCAAGGCCACACGCGGCAAAGTTCTACTCCCGCGTCATGAAGTTCCTGACCGAAAGGCTGGACTAGGTGCCAGTGTTCCCCTTGTTTTGATCGGAGTGGCCAGCATGTTGTCTGAGAGATACCCTTTGCTTTCGAGCTGTGTTTTAGAAAATGAGGAGTTACGGGGTGGCCGTATGGGTAGATGAGGTTTCAATGGAAACGCTCTCTGTCTGGAGGCGAGATGTTCATTGCTTTCAAGCATTTAATTTGGCAATTCTAGAACCAACAATCATGAAATGGTGAAAGTATATGTCTGATCAAGCAAGCCCCGGTTGGCAAGGATGGGCCCGTCCAGCAAGCAAGCAAGCAAGCAAGCAGTTTCAAGGCTACCTAAGAAGAGCGCAGAAATATCCATTGCGCAGCCGAAAGCAGAATAAGTCCCGGAATGTACATTATGATAATATTGCACCGAGGTCCCCTGATTGGCACTGGATTGCTAGACATCCGGGTCTCCAAACAGGTAACTAAGAAGCCATGGGCCCGCAGAGCATGACGCGTTATTACAAGCTGTGTTACGGAGTATAGCCATCAAGGTTGGAACACGAAGGCCAGCGAAGACTCAAGTTGCAGCACTAAAAGAGCCCAGTGCCTGGAGCGTGCATTGAGCCCCTGGAGAAACAGGGCCAATAAGGTGCTTTTGATCCCCGTCGACGCCCCGGAAGCCACGGACGGCTCCACGTGGATCAACTGACGTTAATAATAATTTCCGATGCGACCTATGGAAAAGTGTCCACGAGGAATCTTGGCCTTTGGAGCTGCCCATCTACATTCGTTTTCTTCCCGTTGCTGACGTCCTTCACGCTGGCGCAACGTCAACTTTGTGCGGCTCTTCTTGCCTCATAAAACCGTCCGCTCTGTGCTTCTTCGCATCTAGACGGATGGGTGCAACTTTTTCCTGAGCAACGTCGCCTCCCGTTTTAGCATCCCACGACGACACGTCCTTGATAATCCCCGGTCTCGAGCTCCTCCCGAGAGTCTCACGCCATGGCGCTCAACCGGGTCGGATTCCTGGCCATTGCCATGGTATTTCACCTGGTGTACATCTATTCCATATTCGACATCTACTTTGTCAGCCCCATCGTTTCTGGCATGCAATTGTTTGAATTAAACCGGCCCGAGGGAGCGAAAGCACCGGCAGACCGTCTTGTCCTGTTCGTTGGTATGCAGCTCCAGGCCTCCTCATAGCTTTTGCTTTCAAGCTAACCAGTCATTTTCAGGCGATGGACTACGCGCAGACAAGGCCTTCCAATCCTTCCCCGATCCCACTCCTGAGTCCGAGGACACCGATCTGACCCCGCGGCCTCTTGCGCCGTTCCTCCGCTCGCGCGTCCTGGAACATGGCACCTTTGGCGTTTCGCACACGAGAGTCCCCACCGAGTCGCGACCCGGCCACGTTGCTCTGATCGCGGGTCTCTACGAAGATGTCTCCGCAGTGGCGACCGGCTGGAAGCTAAATCCTGTCAACTTCGACAGCGTGTTCAACCGGAGCAGGCATACGTGGAGTTGGGGTAGCCCGGATATCCTGCCCATGTTCGAAAAGGGAGCTTCACCGGGCCGCATTGATGCATACTGTTACGATGCCGAATTCGAGGACTTCAGCCAGGACGCTGTGCACCTGGATCATTGGGTCTTTGACCACGTAAAGGACTTATTCGCCGAGGCCGAGAGGAACAAGACTTTGAACGCGGCCCTGAAACAAGACAAGATTGTATTCTTTCTCCACCTCCTTGGATTGGATACGACTGGGCATTCATACAGACCCTATTCGAAAGAGTACCTGAACAACATCAAGGTTGTTGACCAGGGTGTAAAGGAGATTACTGAATTGATCAAGAAATTCTATGGAGACGACAGAACGGCCTTCGTTTTCACGGCTGATCATGGGATGAGTGACTTTGGAAGCCATGGAGATGGCCATCCCGATAATACAAGAACCCCGTTGATTACCTGGGGCTCAGGGGTCGCAAAACCCGTGGTTCATCAGGGCTCGGTCGCTCCAGGGCACGACGATTACTCCTCGGACTGGAACCTTGACCATATCAAGAGACATGATGTTCACCAAGCCGACGTAGCAGCCTTGATGGCATATCTGGTTGGCGTCGAATTCCCTGCCAACTCTGTTGGAGAGCTTCCACTGTCGTACTTGTCCGGGACCATTCGCGAGAAGGCAGAAGCATATCTGGTGAACGCACAGGAGATTTCAGAGATGTATCGTATCAAGGAAGTCAGCAAGAAGACGACCCAACTGAGATACAAGGCCTACAAACCGCTGGGCGCAAACGCCAAAGCTCCTGAAGACCGTTTGCAGACCATCCAAGGACTTATCGAGGCCGGCAACTACGAGGAAGCCATCGAAGAAACAGCAGTACTGATCAAGCTAGGCCTAGAAGGCCTTAGGTATTTGCAGACATATGATTGGCTATTCCTGCGGGCTTTGATCACGGTTGGATACATTGGCTGGATAGGCTTTGCCTTGACCACCGTCATCGACCTCCATGTGCTGCAAGGAACAACACAGCCGAGCCGTTCCCCTGCTGGTGTCGTGCTCTTCTCGTCCGTCTTGGTCACCCTATATGCCTCTTTCATTTCTTCTCATTCACCCTTGACCTACTACGCCTATGCATTCTTTCCTGTATTCTTCTGGGAGGAGGTCTACGCCCGTCGCGAAAGTCTAGCCAAAGGCCGCCAGGCCCTGTTTGGACACGTGCAGTCGGGAGGCAAAGTGCTGAACTTGATCATCAACGCTGTTTCCTATCTTGGAATTATCGAGTCTCTGGTACGTGTTGATTATTTAAATCCGATTCTATAAGGTTTCCTACTCACAATCTGCAGGCACTTGGCTACATCCATCGCGAGATCCTCACCGTGCTTTTCTGCGTAGGGTCCATATATCCGGCAGTCCTCGGTATATCTTTCCTGCAAGAGCATGCCGTGCTCTCTGCCACGTGGTTTGTCTCTTGCTTGGTTATGAGCACGTTCACACTTCTGCCGCCGGCCATGAAGACAGAGAACGTCACCCTGATGTAAGCTATCCCTGCTGTTCCTACATAATAGAATACGGCAAATACTGACACGAAACAGCCTGCTTGGAGGCCTCGTTATGGTTGGTGTCGGAATAGCATATCTTGTATTTGAGGAGAAAATTCTGGCAGACTTCTCTGACGCATCAACCCCGAAATCCTCGAGGAGGGAAAACCACATTTCCAGAGCTCTGATTGGGATTCAAGTAAGGCCGCGTTCTCTTGTTCATCCGTATTTCCGTGCTCACTGGTTCACAGATCGGTCTCACCCTACTGGCAATGTTTGTGACACGCTCCAGCGCCCTTTCACTCCAGGCAAAGCAAGGCTTGCCCCGCGGCAACTTCGTGGTTGGTTGGTTCACGCTAGTTATATCTCTCCTGATGCCCCTGGCGCATAGACTCCAGCCCAACCACCACTACCTCCATCGGCTTCTAGTCATCTTCCTCACATTTGCGCCTACGTTCGTGATCCTCACGATTTCATATGAGGGCCTATTTTACTGTGCGTATTGCATCACACTCCTCAGCTGGGTCCGCCTGGAGCATTACAGTCAAATCTTTGCCACATCTCCACCAGAGCATACGGGGTCCAATGGGGCAACGAAACCCACAAGCTCTGTGGTCCCGTCGGATTTCAGGCCTCTGAAGCTTTCTGATGCGAGGGTGGCATTGTTCTTCTTCGTGCTACTACAGTCGGCATTCTTCAGCACAGGAAACGTGGCTTCCGTCTCAGGCTTCAGCTTGGAGAGCGTGTCTCGGCTCCAGCCAGTCTTCGACCCCATCTCGCAAGGAGCGTTGCTCATCTTGAAGATCATGATTCCATTCGCCCTGATTTCGGCGAACCTGGGCATCCTGAACAAGAGGCTAGGCGTTGCGCCCTCGGCGCTCTTCATGGTCGCCATGGCGCTCAGTGACGTGTTGACGCTCTACTTCTTCTGGGTCGTCAAGGACGAGGGCTCGTGGCTGGAGATCGGATCCACCATCAGCCACTTTGTCATTGCGAGCCTCTTGTGCGTCTTCGTGGCCGCGCTGGAGGGTGTCAGTGCTATATTTATCTCGGGTATCAAAGTCGACAAGGGCAAGCCCACGCCTGACCAGAAGCGCGCGATCAATGGCAACGGCGCGGCGATGGATACTGTGGCTGAATTAGTCGTTGGCGAGGCTAAGGAGAAAGAGCCAGTCGCGGGGGAACAGACGTAGTAATCGCTTGGATACTACGACAAATACTAGCTAATAAATCATCTTATGCTTTGAAAGACGTTCTGCCTGTATTCTTGCTTTCTTACTAGCGGGTCAAGATCACGCTTTTCACACACACACACACACACACACACGTTCGTTACGCCGTAAACGGATAGGGTGCTTGCATTGCATTTCTATCCTATTGAAATCGGTGGAAAAATTAGGCCACTGGCTCATTTTCAGGAAGAAGCTGGCCAGGCATGTGAACGCGTCCGGACGCGCGTAGTCGCGATTCTTGGGTGTAAAAAAGCCGAGGCATCTTCCCCAGATTCCACTAGTAACCAAGCTGCCCCTCCCCCGCGATTCCTTCCAGCAGATCGACCGCAAGGTTCCTTTCCACCGGGTTGCCGAGTCTCATGAGACATTAGTAGCATAGTCACAAGATCCAATCGCATCCCGAAGGCAAGGCACAGTTTCCCAAAGCCCAAAAAGAGGGTGTAGAAGACCAATGTCCTCCCCGGTTCTGTCCGTGGCAGAGGTGGGTGGATTCCACCTTGGTTCAAGGCGAAGGAGCCAAATCCAGGTTTACTGCAAGCCTCATGGCCAACCGTCACAAAATGCCATTGCCTCTCTTGGAAAGGAGGCACGTATATGCCACTTCACAGAAGTCCCATTGGATCAGCTACGGCCCAATCTCCGACGCCATCAGCCATGATCCATTCGTGGTGATGTAGGTATGCTGCGGGATGCAAGGCCATGACACGAGAATGAGCCTCATTTCGGCCGGTTCTCTTGCACCAAGGCCGGTATAACCCCCCACAAGAGGAAGTATTCCCAAAGTGGCGATGGTGGTCTGTCTATTGTGGTCTCACTATGACGACTCCCTTGACGAACTCGGCGAGGTGAAGGACAGACGGGCAGAGCAGTCCTGTACTTCTCGACGCGCCTAATGCGCGATGCGAGTGGCCCGTCAGCCATGGCCGGATCTGATTACCTGACGGCACATCATACGATCGCGACTGGACACCTGCCAACTCTCACACACCACGGGCTCTTAGAGCAGCCCGAGTGGACGGAGGCGTCCTGGGCTGGATGCGGAGAGAGTCGGTCAGGGCTGCATTCTCCTAGCCTCAAGTGAGCTAGAGGCCGCGAAGTGGTGTGCCTGAGCGTCCCCCGGATTTCTCTGGGGCCAGCTGGGATAAGGCGCGATGCCCCGAAGAGTGGACGACGGAGACCATTTCCCGAACCAGATGCTGTACCCTCCACGCCCTCCATATTCCCGTGCCTTGGGGATGCATCCTTCAGCGCATTGCTGCTGCAGCTGTGGGAGTGGGAGTGGACTATGCGCCTGACATCACCTCTCACAGTGCGGACGGTGGACTCGGCCGGGCCTAAAGCGATGGGGTTCCATCATGTACGGGGTGCGGAGCATTGCCGCAGGTGCATCCATCCCGCTTTCTACGGACAATCACGCATCACATGCAAAGGCACGGTGAGATTTGCTAGGCGCAGCGGTGGGTTCGCTGGCGGACCCAGATGCGCTTCCGTGGAGGCGCTGGGCGCCACACCTCCCCAGCTGCCCCCAGTGATTTCGATGCTATTGCGATCGAGTCCAATAGTCCATTAAAGCAGGTTGTGATCTGCAAAAGACTCCGAACGGTCCACATCTTCGGATGTTTCCTGTTGAAGAGGAACCGCAGGCGTCTTTCTCGACCGGCGTGTGACAAGAGGCCTCTATCAACTATTTTCTTGCGCAGCTCAGCCCAGCGCAACTTGGCGTAGCTATCGCCATCTTGGCCTTCGCAAACCTGCCGCAACTGGGCAATTAGCTAATGTACCCAGGTAGGTAGTTGGCTGCATATTCCTCAAGCCAAGACTGGGGAAAGTTTATCAGGACCTCTGCGCTGTGCATAGCGAGCTGCCTAGCGGTACCTACATGGCCACCAGCCACCCCAACGCCTGCAGCCATCATCAGCGCCAACGCCAACGGTTGCCAGCGCGGTTTTGATTACGAATACTGCATGATCTCACATACGCGCGCGCAAGGGCCTACTGCGAATAGAACGGGCTCTTTTACGCAGGATAGGGGGCGCACAGAACCGTCACCGCAACGGCTCTGCATTGGTCGACATAGGCAGGCCCTGAGGAGGAGGGCCAAGCGTGACGGCGTACGGGAAGTTTAAACGAAGTGCCGGGGGTTCCGCTGGTGTCTGCTCGGTCACGGTGCCCGAGGAGCCAGTGCATCCTGCTTGGCTAGGGGGTAGTGCTGCTAAACCTTGCTCGCTGGGGACAGCGCAGTGCCAGGCAGCCAGGGGCCCTAACGAGCTAAAGACCAGTGGCCCAGTAAGACACGACTCGATTCGACTCAACTCGACACCGCACCGCACCGAGTCCTGCCCGACAGAAAACGAAACGTCTCTGTCGCTTCCAAAAAAAACCACGCCGAACCGACACGACACGACACGACACGATCGCCCCGTCCCGAGAATCGTCCCCCGGCCAGCGGCGAAGATGGATGTCGACACGTCGTCGACCGCCGGCGGCAACCATCAGAACTCGCAGTCGCCGGCGCAGCAGCCAGGAGCTAATGGCACGAAGACAACACCGCCCGGCGCGACAACGTCGACGCAGAATGCCCAAGGGGCGCCCAGCTTTCGAAGGTTTGCAGCAGCTGCCCACCCCCCAGACTGGTCGGCGATGACCTCGTGCTAATTGTCTGCTTTCCCATACAGACAACGTGCGTCGAGAGCTTGCGAGGTATGTTCCCTTTCTTTTTTTTTCCTGCTTTGGTTTCGTGCTGCCATGGGACCGCGGGCCCCCCTTCCCTCTTATCTGCGCCGCTGCGTGCGTGAAGCCCTCTATCTGTGCCTCGGCACCTCGGTCTGCCGCTCGTTTCGGCCCTGCCACTCTGTCGCATCGCATCGCATCGCATCGTATCGCAGCGCATCACGGCGCCGCGCATCTACGCGATTAGAAGACGCTTACTGACTGACAAACCCTGCATATGTAGACTTGCCATGCTAGAAAGGTATGCAGCAATCCCCGGATCCCTCAATACAAAATTACCCGATGCCAAGGAGTCGTTTCGTGTCTGCCTGTGCTCCTCTTGCATCGCCCATCCCTCGACCACCCGTCGCAACACCGTCCGGCCAGCCACGATACTGCTTAAGCCAGCCGACCCTACTCTTGTGCAGCCCCGCAAACGTTGATTGCATACTGTCGAAGACAATGCCTCGTGTTCAACTTCCAAGGCTTGCAGGCAGCGGGCGCTCTCAAAAGCTGCAGGAGTGAGAGCGATCAAAATCGAATATGGCTATCAGGACGAAACTACCTATTAATATTATGAGGGAGCTGTCGCCTTTCCTGGGAGGCGACACGCAAAGTGCACTCTCCGCAGCTGTTCGGCTTCGCAAATTGGCGCCATCGGCACACTGGCAACGACTATCGGCGAGGGTGGGCGATCCAGGCAGGGGGCACGATAGGCGCGGGCAGAAACGACAACTCCTCGGGCGCCTCAAAACGGAGGAGAACCATGCCATTGACTTTGCTCACAGGTCAGATGTGATGCTGCTAGTCTCGGAGTACCATGTAAGCCACTGCTCCCCGAATCCTAGGCGGCCTTGTTCAACCACCACAAAAGTATGATTGGTCGTTGGAGCATTCCACTGACTCCTGAATGTCACAGGCACGAATTGCGTCGCCTTCCAGATTGAATGCAAGATCCCAGCACCGAAGAGAAAAAAGCCTAATGGAGCAAGTGGAAGGGATTCAGACAGGTAGGCCGAACCCCTATCATTGCTACAGGCGGAATTGGAAGCTTAAAAGTGTTTCTCAGCGAGCGCGGTGATGCCATCGAGGATCGATCCCCCGCCCCGGCTGGACAGTCGACCACCTTCCCGGCGAGGCCTGCCGTCTACCACTCGTCTGAAGGTACCCCAGCTACAACGTTAACCGAAGCTCAGGCCAGGAAAGAGGAAGTTGACAATAGCACCTATGTAGACCTTGTGATGAAGCCGAAATTCACTAGGGCCCCGATCACCGAAGCCGGACGAGTAGCTTTCCTCGGAGAATCTTCCAATCTGACCCTACTGGTCCACGATCGCCAAGGGTCATCTGACGTTGTGCATTACCCCTTACCGGACAACGTGAGAGGTTCCAGAGCGAGGCTCACGGAACTGGACAATATCGAAATCGATATCCTCCACCAACGAGGAGCTTTCCTTTTGCCACCGAGATCTCTTTGCGATGAACTCATCGAGTCTTACTTCAAATGGGTCCACCCTATCGTCCCAGTCGTGAATCGGTCTCGATTCATGAAGCAATACCGGGACTCGAAAAACCCGCCATCTCTGCTGCTGTTGCAAGCGATACTCCTGGCTGGTTCGAGGGTTTGCACCAATTCGCAACTCATGGACGCAAATGGCTCCACCACACCGGCCGCACTTACCTTCTATAAGAGAGCGAAAGCACTATACGACGCCAACTATGAAGATGATAGAGTAACGATCGTTCAGTCCTTGATCTTGATGGGTTGGTATTGGGAAGGGCCGGAGGATGTCACCAAAAACGTCTTCTACTGGAGCCGAGTTGCGACTATAGTCGCCCAGGGGTCCGGCATGCATAGAACCGTGGAGGATTCCCAGCTCAGTAAAACTGACAAGCGGCTATGGAAGCGCATCTGGTGGACTCTGTTCACCCGTGATCGGTCAGTTGCTGTGGCACTTGGTCGTCCGGTTCACATCAATCTGGACGATTCGGATGTCGAGATGTTGACTGAGGATGATTTTATCGAGGACGAGGGAGATTTTGCCAACGTATATCCTCCGGATCCTATCCATGTCCAGTTCTTCTTGCAATACGTCAAGCTTTGTGAGATCATGGGCTTGGTTCTGTCACAGCAGTATTCTGTGGCATCCAAGGGCCGCCAGCGCAATGCCATCGACCTTACTCACAGCGACATGACCTTGGCAGATTGGCTACAAAACTGCCCTAAGATTGTCTACTGGGAGATGCCCCGACATCACTTCTGGAGTGCTCTGTTGCACGCCAATTACTACACTACTCTGTGTTTGCTGCACCGCGCCCACATGCCGCCAAACAGCCATTATGCCAGCAGGTTCCCTGACGACTCGTCATATCCGTCGCGCAACATCGCTTTTCAAGCAGCTGGCATGATCACTTCCATCATTGAAAATCTGTCAGCCCACGACGAGCTGCGCTTCTGTCCGGCATTTATCAACTACAGCTTGTTTTCTGCACTGATCATGCACGTTTACCAGATGAGATCGCCCGTGCCATCGATCCAGCAAGTCACGCATGACCGCATTCGTACCTGTATGGGGGCTCTGAAGGATGTTTCCAAGGTGTGGTTGGTGGGCAAAATGGTCTATACGCTGTTTGAGGCCATTCTAGGGAATCGGTCGTACGAAGAGCGTCTTCAAAAGGCTGCTGGCAAGCGGCATCGCAAAGCCCAACAATCGTTAGCGCAGTTGGAGCAACACCAACAGGCACAGCAACTAGCGCAGCAGCAGCAGCAGCAGCAGCAGATGAGACCACAAGAGGTTGCTAAGAGGAAATACGATGAGATGGCCATTGACTTCAGTTCAAACACGCCAACACATCAGGAGTCTTACGAGCGATCGCGGCCACAGACACCGGCCCATTCGAAGAACGACCAAAACCCAGCGCAAATGGGCCCGCCTGTGACATCTCCTAATGCGCGAGCTGGAGATACGTTCATGGGCGGATCCAATAGCCGACCACACACCAGGCCAGCAACCCCTTTCAACCCGTCGTTTTCTGTCCCCGCCACGCCTCCCGACCTATACTTGGTTACCAGAAACTCTCCCAATCTGTCTCAGTCAATATGGGAGAACTTCCAGCCGGATCAGCTATTTCCAGAGAATACGGCAATCCCACAGTTCCCACAGATGTCACCGCAACAGGGACACCAAAGTCTGGATCCTAATCTCATGGCACAATTGCAAGGCATGAACGGGCCACAAATGCAGCAGAATCAAGGGGGGCAATATCAACGTGGTCCCCCACCAGGAAATCGGGGTCAGAGTGGCAGTCCATTGCAGAACAATGGCATGCTACAACCCAACCTCGCACAATTCCAGGGACAAGCTGGCAACATGTGGCAAGGCGCTGGAGTCGAGGGCTTACCTGACGGTCATAGTCCTAGCGACAGCTGGAGCACCGGGTCAGCGGCTGCTCCACCGGTGCCCGCGACGCTGAACGTTGAGGATTGGTAAGTAAAATGCCGGCTCTTAGATGTGGTTATACCGGTGCTTGTAGTTTATTTGCTAATCAACTTGCCTTAGGTTCCAATTCTTTGGTATTAACGGTAACGATGTGAACCTGGCGAACCTGGACATGGGACTCGGAACTAGCGGCTAGGGGCGGACGCCAGCACGGACTCGGACGGGTAAAATGTATCTATATCTATTGCTTGTTTACCATTGGCCTGGCGTTACCTAGGTGCTCAAGATCACGGCTGCTGTTCTGGAGCTTGGGGAGGGACCTCTGGGGCACCCTTGGGTGTACGGCTTAGCGATATTACCGGTCTTGCTTCGAGATTATCATGCGGTGGCTGCTGCTTGGAGTTGCTACACTGTCTTGCTTAACACTCTGCAATATGCAATGGAATACCAGCCTCTTTGATAGGCTTCATCAAATACTCAAATGCCCGAGGGACTTGCATCCTCAGTTCAAGGCGATTGCGTAAGCGCCGGCTCCATGGTTCCATTCAAGAAATAGTTCTCGGCTCAGAAAACCCTTCCGGGTATTTCAAAACTAATCGTCTCAATTCCGCCATGGCCCTGACAAAAAAAAAACGGTTCAGTCACAGGCTCAAGTCCACTATGCGTTGGATTCTTACGATGCTCTGAAGACAGGGTTTTTGGGAAACAAAGCGGAGTGTAGTAACTCATATCGCCTGGCCCGTTAGATCACACAGGCCTGCACTTTGGCAGGGGTTCTTCGACTCACAGAGCGTATAAAGCATGCCGGTCCTCGAAATCTTCCGCGGGTTCCGAGACGGGGATGTTCTTGAAATACTCCTCCACATATGGACGGCCGAGACTATAGCGAGGTGCTTTGCAGCATCCGAGGTCGGCTGGATGGTAAGTTGGACTGAACAAAGAAGAAACAAGGCTGTGTGTATATGTTAAATCCACGTACATTCATGATGGCCCCAGAAGCCACAGGAGTCGAAGAAGACAATCTTGCCGTCGGCCGCATCGCGTTTGACATTACCTGGCCACACATCCGAGTGACAGAGACAAGGTTGGATCGCATGCCCTCCTGTCTCCATTGGTCGCAACAAACGAGGGATCACCTTGTCGAGCAACGCAGTCTTCAGCAGGTCCAGCTCCTCATCGTGGCCCTGGGACTTCTCTTCCTCGGTGAACATCCGCAACATGGCCCCGGAGAACCATTCGGTCCAGGTGTCGGCCCAGGAGTTGTCGTTCGGGATGAAAGCGAGATGCGTCGGTGCGTGGAAGCCGTATCTCCCGGCGGGCGACTTGCCCATGCTCCTGCGATGCAGCCGCGCGAGCATCGCTCCGAACCTGGCCGGGTCGGGAAGGTCGTCGGTCATGTCCTGAAAGTGACACAGGTAGAAGTGCATGTTTGGTTTGGACTTGTACGTGCCCCAGGCGACGGGCTTGGGGACGTGATCCGGAATAAACGAGTAGACAAGGCTCTCGGACTCAAACGCCCCTTTCATCATCTCGCGACCTCGGTTTCCAGGCGCGCCCTGAATTCGATAGTGGATTAGTTACTCTTTGTGCCTTGAACAACGAGATATATGGACTGCCAGATATACCTTTTTGAAGTAAGACTCTGTAGATCCGTCCGGTAGCTCAACGTCGATCTTGAGCGTCCTGACCCACGCACTCATACCCGAATATGCCACATTCACAACTTTGCTGCCGGCGGGCAACACTTGCGTGGTTCAGTAATTAGTCACACAAGCGTTCGGTCTACGTAGGGGTCACACAAGCGTTCGGTCTACGTAGGGGGATTTCACTCACCAGAAATCAAGTTCTCATCTAATACGGCATTCTCGCCGACTGCGTCGACCTCCTCTGCATCTGCCACCCCTTTCGCGATCATGGTGGAACTCATATTGTAGGAATCCCAGTCTTCAAATCTAGCCACAGAGAAACAATTGACTATGAACCCAGATTTGTTGCTTTTGAACATAGCTGATGCAAGCTTGTATATGCAAGGGAGGCTGGACATCCAACAAGAGAGCATCTCACAGGACTGGAATGATGCATGGGTTCCATGCTAGCAATGGAAAGAACTATACATGCAATGAGCCTTGTTAAGAATTCCAGAGGAGACTGTTGGCGATCTCGTTGGCATTAACGCATTACTGTTGGGGCCTGGAAGACGAGACAGCATTTCATTTTGGCCATCTATACGGCTAATCCAAAATGAGTACCAGACGAGCGAAAGATCAGGTGGAGGGCTTCAAGTTTTGGAGAGCCCTCTGTTTGGATGGGTTATTGATTGCTCTTTTACACGCGCGGATCGACTTTTGGGCCATTCCGTTGAGAGCCAGGACTAGAAGACTTGCCATGCTTGCCCGTGCCACCAGTTCGACCGGCACAAGTATAAATAAAGTACATCCGTTTGCCTGATGTTTCAGTAGCTGGAGAAACAACGTGGGGCATGCATTCATGCCTTGCTGCAAAAACGAAAACAAAAAATAGGAAAGGGTTCCTTTGAGACTGACCAACATCTGCCGTAGCCGTTTGCCCTCCTTAGGCGATGTTATATGGTGACATGATGAGACAAAAGGCGGATAGGAATATTACGCAGCGAACGCCTGCCACGAGACATCTGATAGTGCTGATAACGCTTGGGCATGACGTATGAGCGCTGCCTAGTAGCTGAGTCCTATACCATACGGTGCAGATTAGGCTAGGCCAAGTGCAGTGATTGTGAACAGGGCGGATACCGCTGGGGATGCTTTCGACACTTGCATGAATAACTTCTCAGGTACGCGTCCTCCAGCAGGGTACAGATTGGGGGTGACGTTGGCAGCTGGACGCGAAGAGGACGCAGCCCTGGCGCCGGGGCACCCCTCCCCGGCAGATGCCCCGCCTTACCCGCTGTGGCTACCAGCTAAACGGCCACCAGGGTGCCGGGTCAGCTGGGGGAGCTTGGGAGTTAGCGCCAATCAGGTACCTAAATCTAGGCCCGGGGGCCAACGGTTACGTCGTCTTCTGCCTTGACGTCGCCTGGTCGCCGCCTTGTGATTCTGCCAGCTTCCATACCGGTGAACATTTGGTGAGGTGAGACCATCTGGCGCAGCGGCCGCCGCGAAACACGAACGAACTTCACGAATCCCAGACGGTCGACGAGCACTTGTCCATCTGCACTCGTCGTACACAGCTTCACATCAGCGTTTTTGCCCACCACACATCCCGCACTCTGCTCGCCGACGGCACCTTGTTTGGCACCATGTAAGAGCCGCTCACCACCCCAGCCCCAGTCCCGGCCGAAGCGTGCCGCATGTGCCCCGACTGACAAACCACAGGCGTATCACGTTGAGCGTGAGCGACCCCGATGCCACGGGCGAGGAGCAAGATCTGCGTCTTGTGACGCTCGAGGTCTTCCCCGACATGACGCTCGAAGCCCTGCGCAGCTCCATCGAGGCCGAGGGTATCCCGGCACCCGCCCAGAACATCTACCACAACGGCCAGCTGATCACAGACAACTCCAAGACCCTCCAGGACCTGTCCGTCACGGACGGCGACATGCTTGCGCTACATGTCCGCGACATGCGGGGTAACACAGGTGTCTCCCAGGGCCAACATGTCCAACAACAGCAGCAGGCGCCGCCGCAACGGAGCAACAGCGCCGCCATGGCCCAGGACCCCGAGCTGATCCGCCTGCAAGTCCTCGGCGACCCGCGACTGCGCGCCGAGCTCGAGCGTTCCAACCCCCCGCTCGCCGCCGCCGTTGACGACTCTCGCCGTTTTGGCCAGTTGTTCCGCGAGAGCGTGGAGCGCCAGGAAGAGGCCCGCCGGGCCAGGATGCGTGAAATAGAGCAGCTCAACGCCGACGAGTTTAATCCGGAGGCCCAGGCTCGCATCGAAGAAATGATCCGGCAGCAGGGTGTCATGGACAACCTGCAAAATGCCATGGAGTATAACCCCGAGTGTGAGTTGCCCGCCGTATACTGACCTACCAAACCGGGGGGTGGTCGAGCTAATCTCGAAACAGCATTCGGTCGCGTGCACATGTTATACGTCGACGTCAAGGTCAATGGTGTCAAGGTGAAGGCTTTGGTGGACTCCGGTGCCCAAGCGACTATCATGTCCCCCTCCTGTGCCGAGGCATGCCACATCATGCACCTCGTCGATCGCCGCTTTGCTGGTGTGGCCCGTGGCGTAGGCACCGCCAACATCATTGGTCGGGTTCACTACACGATGCTCCAGGTCGGTTCTAGACACATCCCGGCTGCATTTACCGTTATGGAGGGAAAATCGGTTGACCTCCTGCTCGGCCTGGATATTCTCAAGGGCCACCAAGCCACCATCGACCTGGCCAAGAACAAGCTGATCATCCAAGGCGAGGAGGTAGACTTCCTGGGAGAAGCCGATGTACCCAAGGAGACTGAAGATGCAGTAAATCAGGAGCCCACAGTTCAGGGGCCGGGCGGCACCACCATCGGCGCACGATCAGGAGCAGTTATGGCGCCCTCCTCATCGTCTGGTCCCACTGCCGGAGCCCCCAACACTGCACCGGCCTCTAACCCAACTCCTGTCACTGCACCGAATCCTTCGCCCGTACCTACGAGACCAGCAGCACCGCCCAGTGCTGGCGCTCCTCGGGTGCCCGCGCAGCCTTCGGCCAGCAGATTTGCTGACGCAGATATCCAGAATCTGACCTCGCTAGGAGTGACTCGGCAGCAAGCTATTGAGGCGTTGGAAGCTACTAACGGCGACGTCGAGTTTGCGGCCAGTCTTCTGTTCTCGCGCATGTGATTGCAACCGTCTCTCGCATCTGGAATTTTGGCGAAGCACGGTGTTTGGTTCAAGGGCGGAACAGCATTCGGATGGGTACAGGCGCCGTTTGTATGCATCGGCTGGCAATGAATGGATTATGGCGCCTTTTGATAGCTAGAAAGCATGAACACCGCACAAGCTCGGAAAGGGATGATCTCGTGTCAATAATTACTGGAAGACACTGGGAAGACTTGAGGGCAGCATAGCGGCGCAGAATAAATGACAAATAAGAAACTGGTATTTGAGCCATGTCATCGCTTTTAAACTGCCTGTCTATCGACTTGCTGCCACCCGTCCTGCACGCTGCGTGCAGAAAACGCTATGTGAATACATTGTGAAGCCTTTCCTTTCTCTCTGATCACCGTATCTTGTACACGCAGGGCTTGAGAATGCTCCCTTCGTCCGCCGTGCCTTGATCTGCGGCATCGATGAACTTGACCGCCCCCCTCTTGGGTACAGGCCGGCCAGCGTCTTTGGCGGCTTCCACACCCTTGCCAACGACAGCCGGCGCCCCCTTGGTAAAGTGCATCTTGACAAACATCCTGTTACTCAAGTCGACGGCCGCCTGGCCTTCGCCCTGCAGCACGAAGCCGCGCTTCCGCAGTGCCTCGACGAACGCGGACACGTCCGTCTCCTGTCTGCGGTCGTCCGCGCCATCGACCTCGACCGCCAGCTCCGCCTCGCGGGCGGCGTCGTCCTCGGGGTTCTTGCCCTTCTTGCCCGGGACCTTCTTGCGGTTGCCGACGCTGTGGGTGACGGGGCCCTTCTTGCCCTTGCCGACGGGGGCGAAGCGGCTCTTGATCTCGGCGACCCAGAGCTCGCCCTTCCAGTGCAGGACACGGTAGGCCTCCTCGATGAAGTCGAGCCAGTTGGTGCCCATGAGGGCGAGGCAGAAGATGACGACGTTGACGCTGCCGTCCTCCAGCGGCAGGTTGGCGATGTCGGCCCGCGTCACGTGCGGGCTGGGGCTCTGCAGGTCGTAGCTGAGGATCTCGAGCTTGAGCTTCTTCTTGTCCTGCTGCAGCGTTGCCGCCAGCTTGGCGTCGCCGCACCCCAGGTCCGCGATCGTGCAGGTCCCGTTCGTCCTCAGCAGCGGCGCGGCGCCCGACCCGCCCTTCGGCGCGTGGCGCTGCCGGGCCCGGACCCGAATGTCCTCGATGTAGCCGTCCACCGGGTTCTCGGGCCAGACGTTGACCTGTCGTCGGAACCCTTCGTGGTACTCCTGGAACATCTCTGGCGAGTCCTCAAACAGGCCAAAGGCCTCTTTTGATGGCCGGGTGTACAGAGTCTCGTTGAGGTGTCGAAAGCGAGCTGACACCAGCTTCTCCCTCATCGCAGCCTGCAGGGGCGTGAGCTTGGACGGTGCAGGTACCGGTGCAGCGGCTGCAGCAGCCGGAATGACTGCCTTGCTGTCGGGAACGCTCTGCTTAGCCTCCTTTGACGGCGTCTCGCCCTTGGACTTCTTCTTGTTTCGTTTCTCTGACTTCTCACCGGAAGCGAGCCCCGGCGCGGCATGGCCCTTCGCGGGCGATGCCTTCTCATCACTGACATCCTTCGCGGGAGCATCGCTCTGGTTCTGAGTCTCCTGCTGCTTCTTCTGCTTCTTCCTCTCCTTCTTGTTCTTGGCATCCAGCTTGGCCTTCTTCCCCGGCTTGCCCTCGATCACACTCTCGTACAGCTGGGCGACATTTCCCGATGTGACGTTTGTAGGGCCGGACTCCCTCTTGCGCTTCTTGTCGCCTTTCTCACCGGCTGGGCCCTTGCCATCTTTGGCAGTTTCACTCTTCAGACTGGCCGCCGAGACGGACCAACCTGGCACGGCGAACATCTTGACAATGCTTCTTCCGAAAAGTGACTGCGGTGCTGATTCGTAAACCTCAGCTTATTCCAAGTCTCAATCATACGACAGGATTTGCCAATATAATTGCTGGATCGAGGTATGAGCAGTGGATTGCGGTAGTGGCCATATGAAATTTCTCGATGAGGCTTCGTTGCTTAATTTTTTACTGGGGCCAATCTGCTTAGGCTGGGCCTATCTTGGGAAGTGGGGGCTTTTCACGTGGCGCTGGACAGGCCGCAGTGGCTCTGGGTGGCAGGTGGGAAGTGGGATGGTGGGGTGCTCTACCGCAGCTTGGCAGACCGTGGAGCATTGGTAGTTACGCCCCATGTCCACACAATACAGTACCGAGGTAACCTTGTTACTAGACACTCTAGATCTGGGCGAGTGATGTGGTAGATACGCGTCTTCTACTCATGCTGCCAGCATAGAGCACGAGGCCACTGCCATACCTGGTTTGTGCATTCCGTTTCATTTCGTATCATGGTCGGAATTCATTCTGCCCTTCCAGGGACACACCAGCTACGGATATCTGCACGTCAGTCCGCTTGCCTGCTTCGGCGTTGGCGATCTCCCACTCAGGTCTGACGTGAAGTTAGGGTATAGGGCCGAATGTTGATATATCGTTCAAACGACAAGCTCGCAGGACCATGTTGTATAAAAATGGAAAACGGCTAGCGTCAGGCTCCTGGAATCTCTATTCAAAATAGTTGCGAGTGAATACAATATGCCTTGCTGGTTCCGGCACATAGTCACAATACCACCCCTTCAAGTCAGATGCGTCAGACACAGTCAGGAATGCTCGTCCTCGTAGCACTGTCTCAGACATCTGTGCTGCTGCTAAATAACCTCTTCCATCTCCCGATCGCGGACTTTGGTCGAGTGACCGAGCTTGATGTAGCCAACCGACTTAAAACAGCTCCTCCTCTGGACTTGTTCTAGTCCCCGCATCCCAACTGGGTTGCATGATCTCGATCGATTATTTCTCGACGGTTGCGCTGTGGGATTCTAGTCATTGTTGGTGTATGGCATCCTTGCCACACCCCGTCATTCACCTCAACTTAGAAGATCGAACTGGGCAGTCTCTTAGGAGCAATGTAGCACAATCCTGAAATATGCCGAGAGGCCTTGTGCGTACAAGGTGCGATGCGGCTTCAGCTCCTTAGATCGAATCGCGCGAGAACCATGTGGAACAAGACAGACAAACAAGAACGTTCTGCAGACGGCGAAACGCGATTTACAATATCCATCTACGGGAATGCTACAGTATAGCAGGAGACGAATAGTGGTTCTATTACGGGGCCAAGACATGCTGGTTCCCTCAAAGACCTTTCCATACAATTAGATCCGTGATGGTCAGCAGAACAGGTGCACCGTATCTCTGTTCAAGGACTATTACAATTTTGCGAGGCACGAATAAAGCTGGCAGCCTTCATCGTTCACGCAGTAGCGGGTTTCAACAGCAGCCCTGGTTCCTTCTGAGGAACCATGCACATTTGGACAGGATCGAAAGATCCAAGGGAGGTTCTGCCACGGTCTTTCCCGGCCCCAACGGTTCTGATACGAAAAGCACTGGAAAGTTCTTCTCTTCCATGCATGTCTGAGTCCGCAGACCGCAGACCGCCGACACTGGGACACAGAATCCCTCAAGATGTAGTGTTTGTGTAGGACAAGGTGATGTCGACGCAAGCCGTGTAACCAACCTCCGCGCGGAACGCCGCTGGTTTTCTACAGATGCTGCAGACTGGACCGAGGCGGTGGGAATCTATGCAGCCAAGTGTTAGTCAAAGCTGGGGCCCTCGGGATTTGACAATCACTGCCCAGGGGGTAGCTCGGCAGACCAATACAACAAGGACGAACTGGAGTTCAACCTGTGCACCACGATGCCCTGCTAATAAAGCGCCAGCTAGGGCACAAACTAAGACGCCACCGCGGCATGGGCTCGGCACCTCCCAATACCGTAATGGATTATAGTTTGGGTCGACTTCTGTAAAGCAACCTGTCACATTAGAGAAGGTGGCGTCCAGTCATGCAGTATCTTAAAAGAAAAGGCCGAGAGTCCTGTGAGGCTCTCGCACACAAGGAGTGGTCCCTTCGAGGGAGCGTGCATGTCAGGACGGAGCTGTCCCTCTGTGTGTGGTTTGACCCCCGCCGAGAGATAGACCCTTCGCCCAGGCAATTGCCAGGGGTCTGCTTTGGGGGAGATCCCTGTAGATTGATTGGCACGACGCTGAAGCTGCGTCCCTACTCCCGAAGTCGATCCCCCTCCTATTATTAAACTGCCCTGTCCTGGACCTCGCTGCTCTCCGCCGCAACGCCGCAGCATCCAGGCTTGAGCAGCTGAAATCGCAACTTCAGCTGGGTTCGGGGTTGGCTGGAGAGGCCTGAGATGACCCAGCCAACCAGCCAACAGCCAGACGTGTGCGTTGGACCAACGAATCCTCACATCCTCTGGCGACCGGGTTTCGCACATCGGAACGATGAGCCCGTTGTGCTAAGAGTGCCGCTAGCTCCGGAAAGCCAAAGCTCCAAGAAGACCTCTCATCTTAACGAAAACCCCACCTTTTCCGTTTTTGACGCCCTAGTCCTATGCGGGATCGTATCCCCCAGCGTTGTGTAGAGACGATCCGGCCGTAGGTAACCTGCAACTTCGACGGAAACATGTGGTCTATACATATAGTGGCTTACCCACCTCCCCCATCCTCGTTCATGCCGCCAAACATATCGACCGGCACAGTTCGGTGACACCATCTCGTTTCAAGTGCCTGTGCCCCCAGGCATCAGATACGCGCAAGGGTGCGGTCACTCGCGTCGAGTGCATGCGAGCACCTATCCGCTTGGTGTCCCTTCTTACAAATATCGACGTTCGACGTACGACCGTGGAGTCTGTTGACTTGTCTTGCTTCGTGATCGCTGGGCTGTGTCGGCGAGCCACTGCAGAGCTCTAGCACACATCGTCGTGGGCCCTGACTATAGCATATTATCTGTGACCTAGCAAACTCCAAGTGCCCACCGGCTTTGGATGCATCTGCGCATTCTCGCGACAGCCGATCGGTCAGGTGCGACTCTGTGGGACAGCTGTTGCCCTACCATGTGCTAGACTTTTGTCGAGGCGTGCTGGGCAATGCTTGGATAATATATACGACGAATTACAAATACCAAGGGTCAGGCCAAACGCTCAAATGGAGTCTGCCGAAGCGGCTCCTGAGGCATCCAGGTCTCAATCTGACGAGACCTCGCACTCCAAGGAGAGAGGTGATGAGGATCCGGCATCGAAGAAGGCGGCGATCAGAAAAAGGACCAAGACCGGTTGTCTTAGTATGTAGCCATTTCTTCGGAGTGTTTGACCATTCGCCTTGTCAGAAAATGGAACTAACTTTCTCAGCTTGCCGGAAGCGTCGGATCAAATGTGATGAAGCAAGGCCGACCTGCGCCAACTGTATAAAGTCGAAGAGGCAGTGCGAAGGCTACAATCAGCGGGTGATATTCAAAGACCCGTTGGGCGCTTTCTCCCCTTTTGGCCCACTGGTCTACCCGCAGCCATCTCCCCAAGCCCTCGTCAGGGAGCAACAGTTATCGGCAGCTCAGCAGAAATCGGCATCCCAAACGCTACCGATTATTGCACCGAAACCGCCGCCACCTGGGTATATTCCAGGGGCCGTAGCATCCTATAGCCCTCCGTTCCACGGTGAAGGCGCCCACGGCCCATCACCGCCGTTAGACTATGATCCCAACTTGTTCGGGGTTCCACCGGCGTCAACGTCATCCAAGTTTACCTTCTTTCCTCCAGAAACCGTCGATGGGTACTCACAGAGCCAATGGAAGCAGATCCAGCAGCCGGAGGAGCCCCAGCTCGACCTAAATCACATGCCACCTCAAGCCGCCGTTGAGTTTCTGTCGGATGGACCCGCAACACAACCAGACCACGATCAGGCATTTGAAGTGGTTAAAGGTAAAGCTCCAGAAGGTGGTAACGTGCAGCTACACCCGGAACCTGAACCGAGGCAATGGGTATCCTCACTATACGATGATGATGCCGAAATGGGCGACTCGGATGATGACGATAATGGCGTACTTGCGAAGACGCGCGAAGTTGAGCTGGGCTTGATTGTTTCTCAGAGACTCCAAGACCGCTACGATGCTACTGGGCTCCAGCCAAGAACTTTTGCATACCATTCTGACCACACACTTGCAACGTACGAACCAGGACCAGCAAACTCCCCTTTGAATGACAAGCAGATCGCATCTGTATTCTGGCACTTTGTCAATGTCACTGCACCATCGATCTCCATGTACGAGAGACATCCTTTCGATGGCACATCTTACTTTCACGGACCGCAAGTGAAATCGCGCCAACACATCTGGACTTGTAAGTTGTACCCGGCAACCCGTGTTCCTTCAGACAATGTCCTGACAGCTGCCCTAGTTACAATTCCCATTCTCTCATTGAGTCATCCTGCCTTATTGCAAGCTATCTTGGCTATAGGCAGCCTACAGATCGCCAAATTAGAACAAGTTCCGCCCACAGCTTCACTTAAACATTATCATCTCTCATTACGACGGATAGCTCGGAATGTCGGACGTCCATCCAAGAAGACGCAGCCGTCGAACCTTGCAGCCATCCTGTTGCTTGCTTTCTACGAAGTATGGAACTCAGATCATGGCAAGTGGTGCAAACATCTCCTTGGTGGTCGTTGGATCATCAAAGACATCCCCTTTCCAGAGATGACACGGTCAATGATGGACATAAAGCGCCGCTTGCGAAAAAAGAAGGAGGAGGCAATACTACAGCAACAGCAACAGCAGCGGCAGCAAATGCAATTCGACGATTTCGGACCCATGAGTGCGTTTGGAGTGTACGACCACCTAGAACCACAGCCCGACCCCTTGCAGGGCGAACGAGACCCGCTGTATAGCGACTGGGATTGTATAGATGTCTCACTTTTGAACACTATCACGGGCAGGCGCATCACGTACGACGAGTTGGGCTTGGTGCCAAAGGAGCATAGCGCCTACCCTAGAGTCAGGGGTGAGGTCACGGACAAGGACATTGACACATACGAGACTATGAGTGATTTATACTGGTGGTATTGTAAACAAGATGTTTATCAGAGCATTCTTGGAGGCACAAAGCTCTTGTAAGCACCCTCCCCTATATTCGTGTCGTTCCCTCTGCTGACCTTGCATCTAGCCTGGAATATGACCGATGGACTCAATGCCCACCTCGCGCACCAATGGGGCGATCGGATGCCATGTAAGCAGGACTCAGCCCAAAATTGGATGATATTCTGACCCTCTCGTCTATAGCTACGGAACATACGATCATCTGATATTACTTCTCGGGCGTTTGTCGAATTTCCAGGCTCGCGACTTGAGCCGCAAACGCCGAGTGCTCCGTGCAAAGGGCACCTTTGGTCCCAATGGCGCCCCTCCTGGCACTTTCCCGGGCATGATGCCGGCCTCGAACCGGGTGCCCATGCCTAGGGGCTTCAGCCCGCCACGGGATGAAGGATCCTCGCCACAGTCCGACAGCTCCGAGGAACAGGAACTGGAGACACTCACGGCTGCTGCCCACCGGGAATGGGAAGGGATCAACATTGCTTTCGAGGCCTTCAAGAACCACCTCGGGCCCGACTTCGAGCCGCTGGACCAGGACCTCCACCCGATGTCCATGTCTCCCTTCGGCCCCGCCCTGCGCTACCGTACCTACAGTATCGCGGGCATCTGGATGAATTACCTGATGGGCAAGATCATCCTGCGGCGTTGCCACCCGGAGTTGCCCCCCGTGGCCATGATGGCTGCTCCCATGACCGCAAGGGAGACGATGCCCCACGCGCTAGAGCTGGCGAGGATCGCACACGGGCTCGAGGAGCATCTCAGCATCATCCAAGAAGTCAGCACATTCATCAGCGCTGCACTCATCGAGAGTGCGTTCTGCTTGTTTGTGGCTGGTGTACAGGTACGTCTTCTGACTTTCCCCCCTCGCATCTTCTTCGCATATGAACCTTCATACTCCTATGTCAAGATCACTCGAGACTGACCTTGATGCTCCCCCACAGTTCCAAGCCCCTCCCCAGCGCCACTGGCTCGTGCAGCACCTGCACGACATCACGCGGCTGACGGGGTGGGAGTCGGCGCGGCAGATCGCCGACGGGTGCGAGTCGGCCTGGTCGCGTGCGGCCGACCGCGGCCACGGCCCGGCCTACACGCGGGTGGGCGGCGAGCTGGCCAAGCGGCCGTCGGTGTCGGCGGACCACCACAAGAAGCCCGCGGTCTGGGGCAACCCGCGCCGCATCGACCAGCGCATCCAGGAGGTCGGCGGCGAGGACGGCCACGGCAAGCTGGTCCTCGCCCGCGAGGAGAAGGCCCACTATGCCCTCGGCATCATCGGCGTCCAGGAGGACCTCGAGAGGCTGGATCTCGAGAGCGCGGACCCCGAGGACGAGGGGGCCAAGAGGTGAGGGAGGGAAAGAGAGGAGCGAAGAGCAAGGCGCGGGCGGGTGTTGAGATGCTGATTGGGAGGTCAAATGGTGGTTTATAGTTTTGTTCAGGTTTAGGTGATAATGAGGAGAGACCAGGACATTCGCTCGAAGAGGAGGTTGGGATGAGACTTGGATCCTTCCAAATTCATATATAACGGCCGGTCTGGAAGACATGTGAGTTTGGGATGATTCCTTTCCTGGATGCAGATATGTAGACCAACAGACAGAAGACACAAACCACCTGAAAGGGCGGGCAGATGGCAGACTAGAGAGCCACCTGAGGGGTGAGAGGTTGATAGCCTGTCTGTATAATGTGGGCCTCTGGCTAGAAAATTGAATACCAATTAACCGTGCTTTGCTTGATTATACAGAAGAGCTTCACTTTGGCGAGGTATTTGGGCCTTGTAGCGAGCGGCAACAACCACCATCGACAGTTGCGCAGAACTTGGTCAAATCTTACATTTCATTTCTTGGTCTATCGCTAGAATGTCTGCCAATGAACCCAACCCCCGGCCGCCGCTCTAATTTGCAGGTAGCCTCTCGACAACGGCAGCCATCTCCTCGTCCGTGTATATTCTGAAACCCTTCTCCTTGGTGACACTCGCCAGCTGCACGTTCTTGGAGTCCAGCTTCTCCTCCATCACCTGCTTCAGCGTCTTGAGAACCAGGGTCTCGGCGTCTGTGATGGTGAGGGACTGTGACAGGTCAGCTTGGGTCTTGCCTTCTGGGAGAGCACAGCGGCAAGGGATGGCTGGATGGTAGTATAGGTGCGGCCCAGATGGTAAGTCTGCGCAGCTAGCCCATAATGGCCATTGACTCATATTGAATGACTGACCTTGTGGTACTCGTTCTGCAGCTCGGCCTGGGCACCCTCGCTTCCGCTTCCAATGGCCTTGGCGTCGTAGCGGTAAAAGGTGCCGCTGGGCTCGGCGTGGTACAGCGAGGGGCCGTCCTCGTCGTAGCCGGCGATGAGCAGGGCGACGCCGAAGGGGCGGCTCATGATGCTCTCCTCGCCGTCGGCGCTCTCGCCGAAGCGCAGGGCCAGGTCGCAGATGGCCTGGGTGCAGCTCTCGACGCGCAGGGGCTCGTTGTAGTTGAAGGCGTGGCTCTGGGACTCGACGCGGGCGTGCTCGACCATGGAGCGGGCGTCGGCCTGCAGGCCCGACATGGCGCAGCCGATGTGGCGGTCGATCTCGACAATCTTCTCGACCGACGACGTCTCGAGCAGGGTCGACGTCACGCGCTTCTCGACGCCCAGGACGACGCCCTCCGAGGTGGCCACGCCGATGGCCGTGCTGCCGAGCTTGATGGCCTCGAGGGAGTATTCGACTTGGAAGAGACGGCCCTCCGGGGAGAAGGTGCTGTTCGGGGGGTGGTCAGTGGACAGGACGGCGGCGGCAGGCAGCGCCGGGGACGGGGTGGACGTACTTGATGCCCCGGTCTGTTGGTCACCGTGTTAGCCATGCATGCAGCCCGAACGACGACCCGAGGCAGACGTACCATATTCAGATCTTGCCATAAACATCTTGGCGGTGTTGTGGGGGTGGTTTGCTGGGAGAAGGTGCCGTGATGGTGCGTCGGGAGGCAGTACCTAGGTAGAGGTGGATGGACGATGGTGTTTCGTCGCTCGAGGTTCGGAAGGCTGACGGTGACGGGTCCACGGGTTGTTTGGGATTGGGGAGCTTGGAGCTCAAGGCTGCTGCACCGTTGACGAAGCTCCCGGTCCCTTGCGCCTGGGGGCTGGCGGGCTGGACTGGGACCCGGACGAGCTGGGCCAGGCGCCTTGGGAAGCACTGACCGTCGCCGAGCTGAGGTACTTCAGTACATAGTTGGTCCTGGCCTACAGGTAGGTAGGTACCTTGCGTACTACAGTACAGCGACTTATAGCTGGATAGGCCCGAGGTTTTAGCGGCTTAGTTAACTTATATTGATCTTGGGGGGGAAGCTGCCAGCAGGGGCACCCACACCGACGCGCTTGCCAGCCCACCCTGACGCGCCTGGTAGACATTGGATCAACTTTAGAAGCCCGCCCCATTGCGACTCGTTCGGGCGCCAAATCGATGCCGAAGATATACACGTCTCGACAACAGCCCATGCTGTCGCCGCGCCCGCACACCGAGAGGCTGCCGTCGGCCCTTCCCAATGTCGCCGTCCCGTAACCATGTCCTCGAGACTCCCAAACCACCCAGATAGGCGCACCAACGGCTCCACCGACCATGCCGCCGCCGCCGCCGCCGCCAACCAAGGACCCCGCATGCCATCCGCCCAGAGCTTCAAGGCCGACCGCGCCGACTCGCGCAGGCCTCGCTCGCCCCAGCCGGCCTACATGACCGGCTCCCAGAGCACCGCGCACAAGAGGTCCGCCTCCGGGAACCCCCGGCCCGCCAACAGGAGTGTCGACGAGCGGAGGACGGAGCGCGTCACCGTCACCACCAGGGAGAAGCTGGTCTCGCGCGCCAAGAGCCCCGAGAGACGCGCCGCCAGAGATACTGCGCCGCCCGAGAGATGGAAGGGCAAGGAGTCCGTGAGGCCGCGGACCGCCGACGGGAAGCCCAAGGAGCCCGTATTCGAGGCCCCTTCGAAACCGTGGGACCCTGTCGCCCACCTGATACCACACACGACCGCCCCCTTGGCCAGTCGCATAGCGGTTCCTCCGCCCGCCTCAGATCTGCCGCCTGCTCTACAGCCACAGCCTCTCTACGAGATGTCTCTGGAGGCCCAGGAGGCCGCCATCATCGAAGACCTGTTGTTTGTTTTCATGGGATACGAGGGACAATATATCCGTTTCTCCTTCTCATATAAACCCGACGACGAACGCGATCAACTCACGGGACCCCCCTACAAGATATTGCCGGGCCTGGACCCGAGTTTGGAAGACTTGACCCGGTCCATGTTGAAGATGGCAACGCACTATTCTGCACTCGAGTACTTCATCGATGTGCAAAGCCGGGAGGAGTTCGGCGCTGTCAACCACGCTCTTTGCGCTGCCATACGGAAATATCTCCAGGAATACCTCGTCATGATCGCTCAATTAGAAACGCAATTTCTCACAAACGACACCTTCACCTTACATGTACTCCACATCCATATCATGCCTACGAGCCAGATGTTGTCGCAACTCTACTCCCTAGCCCACGAACTTCTGAAGCGGAATGCTCTTCTCGATGAAGAAAGTGAGGAGGACTCAGACCCCGACGACATCGATCAGATCCTGGAGAACCTGAAGCGGGGAGCCGACATTGTCCCCGGGAACATGACGGGGAGGAAGATATGTAAAGGAGGCGTGGCGATAGGTCTCATCTCCAAGCGACTTGAGACCATGTCCGGTGATCCTGCGGCGAGAACCCTGTTGACATCGTTGCTACGTGACGCTACAAGGCCATACATGGCCATGTTAAACGAGTGGTTACATCGTGGCGGCATCAACGACCCACACTCCGAGTTCCTCATCAAGGAACAGAAGAGCATAAAACGGGAGATACTCGACAAGGATTTCACCGACGACTATTGGGAACGAAGGTACACGCTACGTGAGCACGATATACCTCCTCAGTTACTAGCTGTTAAAGACAAAGTCCTGCTGGCTGGGAAGTATCTGAATGTCGTCAGGGAGTGTGGAGGTGTCGATGTTAGCAAGGTCGCCCAAGACCTACCCCTTACATTCGATGACCCCCGATTCCTGGATAATGTTAACAACGCATACGCCTATGCCAACGAGTCTCTCATGAAACTACTGTTGACGACGCATTCACTTCCGGCACGACTGCGCTCCCTGAAGCATTACTTCTTCCTGGATCCATCGGACTACTTCACATACTTCATGGAGCTTGGCGCGTCGGAGCTGCGAAAGCCAGTCAAGTCTGTTAACACCGTCAAACTGCAGTCTCTCCTCGACATTGTTCTGCGCCAGCCTGGAAGTATTGTATCCCTGGATGCCTTCAAGGAGGATGTGTATATAGAGATGAACGAGGTCAGTCTCATCAAGATGTTGCAAAGGGTCGTCAACATCACAGGCATGGAGCAAGGCGAAGCACTACAGCCCCTCAGCAATCAGCCAGTGGAGAACGATAAGAACGCCAATGGCTTTACCTCGTTACAGCTAAACTATACGGTGCCGTTCCCTGTGTCCCTGGTTATAAGCCGAAAGACAATATGGCGGTACCAAGCACTTTTCCGATACCTTCTCTCGCTGAGACACCTGGAGTCCCAGCTCTCCACGACTTGGCAGCTGCATCACAGCGGCATCGTGTGGTCTTACAGGTCTTCGAGTAGGCGCCTAGAGATATGGAAACGCCGGGTATGGACATTGCGGGCCCGCATGATTGTATTCGTACAGCAACTACTGTACTTCTGCACGCTCGAAGTCATCGAGCCAAACTGGCAGTCTCTCATGTCGAGGTTAAAGTCCAAAGACGGAAGCTCGGATGGGTCTGGAAAGCCAGATCGGACCGTGGATGAGCTGATGCAGGACCACGTGGACTTCCTTGACACTTGCCTAAAGGGTTGCATGCTTACCAATGGCAAGCTCATAAGGGTAAACAAAGCCTGAGAATCCGTGTTGTGGATCTTTCATTAACATACTACAGATCCATTCCAAGCTGATGCAGACCTGCACCATCTTCGCAACATACGCCAACTGGCTGTCACGAGAGTTGGAAAAGACAGACCCAGACCTACTTGGCAACTTCAAGCCCCCCAACATGAGCGACGAGCAGTGGAAGCGGTTCAAGGCGGCCAAGTCGCAAAAGTCTCACAACGACAGCATTTCGGGTAACAGCCAACTGCACGACGAAGAGGCGCGGATCGACAACCTGTTCGAGATCATCAAGAAGTGGGAGACCAACTTCAGCCGACATCTGCAGATCCTGCTGGATGCCCTCAACCACTACGCCGCCACCGAGACGGTCGTCTTGCTCAGTCTGTGTGCCCGCCTGGCCACCGCCAACCAGGGCACCGAGTACGCTGGGCTGAGGAACGAGGAGGATATCGTGGCGTAGGGTCCCAAATGTGAGCGGTCTACATTGCCCCGTCTCAAGGAACCCCCTACTGGATAGATATTGTTAGTGGCGTTTTATTGGCTGGAATCCTTGGGTGCCGGGAGCTCACCCACCGTTTATGAAGAGATACCATGATTGAATTCAAGAGCCACTGGCGGCTTTTTCTCCGCTATCATCTTGCTTTGAGCTACTACTGATTGCCTTGCCGTGCATGCGTTACGCCAGTGATTGGCTGAACCCAACTTTCATCCTGCATCAAGTGGAGAGAATGTACACAGCAGAATACGGCTAATTGGCATTATATTGGATACAGTAGTGCGGTGGAGTGGGGATACGGATTGGAGATGATAGCGAAGCGTGTGCTGGTCTTCTGCGTCTGAGATGTCTCAATATACTGTTTCATTGTTCTTGGAAGCTATATAGAGAAGATGCGCCGTCGACTCGGCCTTGTATGACCTGAATCAGGTTTTCTGTAGTGTTGCCCCAGTGGCAAGTTCATGTTCCCAAGAAAATCGACTGCGTATACGCATACGCATTTCTTAATTTACCTGACCGCTCTAGACTTTGTCTCTCAGGCGGTTGCCCTGGCCAGGTCTACCTTACGAGCCATCCTTCCTTTCAGACGCCGTTCTCGAGCTCCTCTGCCCACTCCCTCGCCAGCTCGGCTAGCTTCTTGTTGCGCGCTGTCTTATCCTCCGGGCCCTCGCTGGCTTCGTCCAGTTGCTCTCTCATCTTCTTGAAGCGGTCGCGCAGCTGGGTTTCTTCTCTCTTCTTCCTGGCGCCATCGTAGGTGGCGAACATGGTCCTGAAGTTTCTGAAGCAGTGTACTTCATCGGCTCGCTCCACTAGTGCCTCCAACCGTTGCATCCACGACTTGTCCCCATACAACTGCTCTGTTCCAACGAGCTGTTGTTCTTCAAGTACCTTGAAAACATCAGTATCGAGGTCACGAACCTTATCGCCGTCGCGTATGACTTTCTATATATATTTGTCGTCGCTGCAGACCATCTGGAATAACTTCATGCGTGTTATAGAAGCCTCACGAAGTGTCCCCCACGAGCTGTAGCTTCTCAGTCGCTTATCTATCCAGTGCTTGACTCCATCTCTGAACACACAGGATGCCAAGTTCTGAAGGGCTTGTTCCTGGAGGGCTTGGTTCTGTGGTTGTCTTCTTACGAAGTTGATAGCATCGACCTCATGGAGGAACTTCTCTGTTTGCTCGTAAATGTCGTTGAAGCTGTGTGTCATTGATTCTTCGGCCTTTTTGATTTTCAGGACTTCGGAGTTCAAAGCGGAGAGAACTATTGGATTCTTTGTATAAACGAGTCCATGGATGATGTCGGCCATGTCCTGCTTCGAAAGCTGTGATAGACACTCTCGGGCCTCATCGCAGAGCTGTTCCGTATCGTTGCACTGCATGCTGGCAACCCCTGTGGCAGGTTGGTCCTCTGTCTTCAAGTCTTCGTCAAGGCGCTGGCGTTTCGCGCCAGCCGCTGGGTTCTCTTCACCCCCCGAACGCTTCAACGCCGCGCGAGATCCCCCGGCTGGGTGCATGTCTTCAGATGACCCGGAGTGGGAAGGCAAAGGGTTCAACGGAACGAACGACTCACCATCTGGCATCGTTGTCAGATGTGAGTAGTACCTCTTTATTCTGTGAAGATATGTGTTTGTGGTGACGTGAGTTTTGGGTTTGTCGTTTGACGATTGCGCTGACCCAGAGATGCCGGGTGATGTTAGAGATATCGCGACTTGCCCACCGTGCTTTTGCTTATGGATGAGTGTGAGCTAAGACCAGTGCCTCAGTAGAAAGTCGAAGGCTTTGTAGAGGTCATTAAATTCGTGCGTTTCTGATGAGGAAAACTTGGTCTCACTGAAGAAGGCGTTGAGCTATGCCCTCTTGGTCTCGTCTCTCCCTAATATCGGTACGAAAGTTACCAGGAAGTGGTCAGGCTCGCCGCGCCTCAAACACAAGAAGAAGATAGAAATATTGATCAAAAGTGTATTCCCATCAATCTTATGTGGAAAGCGTTTCATTGAGGGATAGTGCCCACAAGCGACTACGTATCTAGGTAGGTACGTGAGTTGATATTTGAGCATTGTCTTGGAAACCTTGTTGCCGCAAGGGTTGATATAGGTACTTATCACAGCCCAGCCTCTCAAGTGCAAACAAGCTTCTGGTTTCTCGCTGTGTCCCGGGACCTCCAGTGCTTGCTTCAAGCCCCTCAAGATAGCACCCAACAGCGAGCTCTCCAGTTTCTCCTAACCTAGGTAGGCCTCCATTTCCCAGCACCGTCTCATGTTAGTTCCTCCTTCTCCTCTTCTCGAGGAAGGAACCACCAAAACCACCATCGTTCTCCAGACAGTTAGGCGCCACCTTCTTTTTCGGCCGCAATGTGCCCTGGAAACCTTTCTCATGATCCCCAGATCATTGAACTTCCATCACGGGGCTCGAATGATGCTGGAATTGGCCCAGTATTGATTTGAACATGTCTTGGTGCAGTTGCCCAACTAAAGGATGACCACACTCCTTGAACCTTCTAGCCGTGACCATCGTTGAGGGCATGCCTGATTGCTTGCTGTGGTGGTCAAAGTTGAATACGCAGTCACGCTCCCTCTACGTGGCCTGTTCCGCTAATTCTTAGCAATAGGCGGCGACCGCAGGTTGTGCTGAGGTTATCGGGGCGAAAGCCGATCTGACGGTCTCACATGCTGGACTGTCGATTCAAAACATCTCAGACGCTGGTCGTGCTGATAAGCATAGCGGCTCTACGTTCGAAGGACAACGGATGCGCTGACGCTTTGCTGAGCTGTGGGCGTTGCGGAACTGTGGGCCATGCTGGCATGGAGGGTTTCGGGACAATACAAAGAATGAGCAGCAAGCAGTACGAGTTCCTGAGCAATGCGTTTTGAGCCAACTTACCCTCCCCTGCCGATTGACTTGGCAGAGTCTCAATCTGAAACTCCACTTTTCATAGTACAAATCCGGTAAGATACGAGCCCCGTTCTTACATCTTATTGGCAGAGCCCTCAAGCTGTAAGTTAGTTACCAAAATCTTACTGGAAGCGTTGGGCCACTCGTGCTTCCTAACCTATAACGACACACGCTTTTTGACTTGTTCGACACGTCGCTGAACATTTGGTCGTTTCCATCGACGTGGTTGACGTGATCAATGCGTTGTCTTGAAGAAAATACCAAATGCTGACTCTGGATTGCTACGTGATAATATACACTCTAATACGACTTGTCTGACAGGTTGTCAGTGTTGTTATCAGAGCGTCATGGGAGCAGCGGCCTATAAATATTGAGACTGATTCTCCTGTGAAGCTGCCTTATTTTGTATGACTAGAAGAGTCAATAACCTACAAGCATTCAGCACCAGTTTCGACATATCTTCTGATCGCAACTTTGAATAATGACTCATCTTTTCGGCTTCCCTTTCCCATCCCAGAGGATGCTGACAGAGATGCCTTACGTTGAGTTCCTTGGGCAAGAGGAGTTGGAAAAGTTCATGCGGGTTCTTGGTGAGTTTCCACCCTCAGTTTGTTGCGGAGAAATAGGCCCCCATGTCACCCTCCTTACACCACGGCTTCATGGATGTCTGTGAGTACTTATACGATCCTTGCACAGAGGAAGACGACACCTGGCACGAGATGAACGTGCTGCAGGCCATCGACTGCGTGCGCACCACGCCTCTCCGGCCCCAGGACATCGACACGATGGAAGATGAGTGGAAGCGCCACGATGCTTACCTGCACGGTGACGTCGCCGGCGGCTCGATGATCGAGGACGAAACCGACCGCGCCATCATCCATCAGGCCATCCACGAACAATTTGAGAGCCTGCGAATGCGCATCAAACTACGCTTCCGGGTCCAAGAATTGCGCCCGCCCAGCCATCAGTAGGAGATGGCGCCTGTTTTACAGTTATGAGTTTTCGGGCACTAAGGTGCACTTGAGGGTGCAGATATAGGTGATAGTCCAGAGACGAGGACTATGAATGTGCACATAATACGCCTGGGGGGAGGCCACATGGAGTTGATCCCAGTAATGAGAACCTTCTGGATCCACCAAAGTGGTTGCTGTGATGTTATTTCTGCTCTTAATTGGCTTCGAACTAATAATGGCTTGAAACACACAATAGGTATGGAATTAAATGCACGCTACCACGGGTTATCATTGGCATAGCAAATTATCAGAATGTAGTGAAACAGAAAAGCGTTTGATTTGAAGCATATCCATGCTTCACATTTCTTTTCATAGCTTGAAGAATCTTTTTCCGACCATCATTGATTGCAGCCGTGAGACGCAAGACAACAGTGAAACTCGAATAATTACAAATAAAATATCACAGAGCACTGTAGGTCCCCAAAAACAACCTCGGTCTTCTCAAAGATCAGGTATGAGCCCTTTAGCGGATTATCTACTACTGGTCTCCGCCATACCGCGGGCACTTTCGTTTCTTATGCATGGGTCATACGAAACCCATTCAACGAGAGAATTTCTTGGGTATTATCGGAAGATGTTTGCTTCATGCTCTTCCTTATGTTCTCCCTTTATATGGTAATTCATTCGTAAGATACGCCCATTGCCACCTGTTACGTATCTTTAGTCGTTCATGATCGAGCCCTGACATGGCTCTAAGCACACCCAGCTTAGGGCATTGAAAACGGTTTCCATGTATGCTACTATGATGTTTGCATGTATTGAGCTCGACAGCAAGGTCATAGCAGTGTACGATGCCCTATAGCTCTTTGATTATCTCCTACGTGGGTAAAGCGCATATTGTGAGGTTTCGGAGCCCCGAGCCAGTCGCGTCTAGAGTAGCACAAAACTCATGGTGACTTCATTGAGACCTGAAGATTCAAAGATACAAACTGAAGCGTTCTGGGTAGTTCGATCGTGAGACTTGCGCACGAGTTCTCGCAGTGGACACGACCCGGGGATAATGCGACGCAGGTAGTCGTCAGAAACCGCATTCTTGACGCAGTCTGTCGTGTCGCGCTATTCAATGCCCGATAGCCGAAAGAGAGGTAAGCGAGTCAACGCCGTGTCATCTGAGAGCCATAACCGGTGAAACCACAGATAAAGCAGCTTAGAGATGGCATTTGGAAAGTCTGCATAGGCCGTAAGCCTTGTTGCCGGGAGGCTACAGGACGTATGTATACGTTGACATAAGCACTGGGGTCACCGTCCCCAGGGCCTACCTCGGACATTAAGCCACGAGTCACAACGTGCCGCTTCTCCCTTTGTGGAGAAACGATTGAAGCAGTATGAAGCGGACGCATACATGATCTGAGTGAACATCGTACGAGATGATGGCCGCGTGCTCCAGGGCACGAATGAGTTGAGACCAAGACCTATGCTGCCGATCCTCGAGCAGCCACGCAACCAGAGCCGGATTTTTTACTGCAAAGTAAGCAGAGCATTGATAATTGATCATCTGCTGTTTCATAGAGTGGGGACTTACCTGTCTAGCTTCATGGCAGTGGCAAAATAGGGTGACGGTTTACTTCTACGAATGATTACTGAAGTAGGTGGAGTCGAAGGCGCCGTCTCTGGGAGATCGCCCGTCTCTGTGCCACCAAGAAGTCAAGACTTGAGCAGGAGAATGCGACTTACATAGTTGAATAAGCCCCCTCGTTTCAGCACGAAGGGCCGATGTGACGATGGAAAGAAATAAAGGGGTCCAGGAAAACCAGGACTAGGGTCCAAAGAAGGAGAGTCTCTCACTGACCGGTCTCAGCGGCCTCGATCCTAGATCCGACGCCCTTCTTAAATCACCATCCGCAAGGCGCTCAGATTGCTCCGGACATCGTGGAAGCCGAAACTCGTGGGGCAGCGATGGGTAGACACCGGCGAGTCTGCGCTCACCCTCGAGCAGGCCCCCCAGGCGGAATTGAAGCCACGAACATCTGCAACGGACCTGTCACTTTTCTCCCCGTGATCGATTCCTATTGAGGCATCAATGACGTTTGGAAAAGGAAAGCGACATGAAGGGGGTCATGGGGACGGAGGGAAGCGCAGTGGGTATCTAACGGGATATTTGGCGGCGTCGGGCGACGGGGCCCCCTGCTCACCGTCCGTGGGCAGAAAGCAAACATTGCTTTCTGACATACATCGTGAGGGCTAACAACGGACGCATCGTTCCCTTGGGCCTGCCAGGCTAGCTCGCTTCACCGCTCCCAAATCCAACTTGGCCAGTTTTGCTGCATGGTCGCCAAGGCGAGGCCAGCCCAGGCTCTCCGATGCGAGAGCTGAGAGACTCGCAGCTTTCATAGAACGAGCGGGATCGCCGGAAGGTATGCCAGACCAATCGCTTGACAAAGGCACGGCGAGCAGCCGTTACTGGAGGCTGCGAGATGCTGAGCGTATATCTTGGGGAGGGAAGTCGAGTTCGGTAAGCCGACTTGCCTCGACTTGGGCTGCCAACCAATCGTATCGTCGTATGTAGAGGCAGGCAGAGGCAAGGTGCCGCCGCGTTTCTTATCAAGGCCATGTCATGTCTGTGGAGAATATGACAGCGCAAAAACCGCCTCTTGAGTCCACGGCATGCAACATGGCGCGGACGACTGCATAACGCTTCGCGGAACTCAAGGGGATGAGAGCGGTATGGTCTGGGGGATAAGGGACAAAAAAAGAAAGAACATGGGGGATAAGGTAACACAAAGATTCCCCGTCCTGGGGCCAGCTTCGCTTGCAATCGGCTGCCCGAGCAGCTCACTACTTGTCAGTCTCGCATCCCGGTAGACTCCAGCCATAAAGTGCTCGCAAAAGGACGTCTTGGGGGTTTGAGCCCTTTCTTCACCGGTCAAGAGGTGCTTGCAAATTAATGGGGAAAGCAAAAGGGCATGGCTGTGGTTTCTTTTGCACCAGGCGGCGGGGAAACGACGTGCGGTGGCGGACGTAAGGGAGGAAGGGGGAGTGACGGACCTCGCGGTTTCAAGGGGGTGCGGTGCGAGAGCCAACCAAAGTCTCAACACCAACCCGACAGGCTACTCTGAAAAGTCACGATCCTCCCCTCCCTATTTGCGGAAATGGTTCTGTCTTACCCAAACAAGCTGACTTTGACCAACCAGGGACTTGCGTACCTCGAAAGTGAGCTAGAGAGCAGCATACAATAGTCTATGCATGCTTGGACACAGAGATCAGACTCATGGCACTCCGGGCCTTTGGGGACCAAGGTGGACGTCCCGTCACACCGAGCCTGGGCTACGCCATTGGAAGAATGACACGAAACGGGTAGACTGATGATCCGCGCTGCGAGAGCCGGAACCGTCATCTTGTGCCGGCTCTTTCTTCTTGTCTCTCGTGGCACCGAACTATCGTGAACAAGGGCTGTGCATAAGAAAGGTTGTTAGCAGAAACCGCCTGAGGCCCCTGCCCGAGGAAGCCAATGGCAGCCCCATCCGTCGTGGCAGCTGCGACAAGCCTAATGGTCTTATCGGCGTTGGTGTGCGAGAACGTAGGTGACGATAATGGTCACAATATGCTGCATGCTGTGGCAGTACAGGACTGGAAGTATAAATTGGCGCCTTGGGACGGACCAGGTCGGAAGGGTGGAAATCTATTCCTATACCAACTCACATCTTTCTGTCTTGGTCTTCAAGTGTGTTTTTGTCTTTACATTTTTGAACGCCATTTATCTATTTCCCAGCTCAGCACGCCAAGCGCAAACAGTAACTGTGCGAGTAATTCGACGTCGCCATGCCACATAGCATCCATGACAATTCGGAGGAGACCGACAGGTCAGTAGCCTATTAGTCTGACTAATCGCGCACTAAGAGGATATATCTAATAACTCCCTATAGTCGTCCAGGGACCACTGAGCTGCCTCCTGCCGTGAGAGAACCTGCACAGGTGGCAACACCCCAGCCGCCGAAGTCAGTCATGTTAGACAGATGGGCTAGCGAGACGAGCCAGGAGGAGGTGTCGATTAGCGAGCGTCTACACTCCTACACGAAATGACGTTGAAGCAGGTGATTACCCCCAAGCGCCGCCCCAACAAAGCCACGCTGACGTCGAATAGGTAGCGTGCCAGCATGCCGGTTGTCAACCGCGAGGCCAGTGTAGCGGCATGATTTGTATATGTTTTCGAGGGATTCTGCGATGGCGGTCAGGTACCACAGATCTCCCTGAGCCCACACAAACCCAGCATTAGGGTTGGATGGGTTCTGAATGATACTCGATATTTTTTACTCCATTTCATTTCATTTCTCCTCAGGCCCTCTCGGCCGGTTTATAATATCCTGGCGCCAGATAACGTTATTTGGATGTGACCAACAACAAAATCGGCTACGAGGAGGTCGGTGTCTCTGAGGCTTCAGCATTTGCCACCGACGCTTGCGCGACGCTCTGTGCCGTTCCAGTCGCGTGGAAGCCGTCTAGTGTGATATTAACAGCACCAGCTTGCACCAGCTATTATTAGATGTTAGACATGTGTTACCGTGACTCGGCTAGTTTTGACAGCTTACCGAGCGTGAGAGATCATCGATGAGATCATGAACGTCCTCGATTCCGACGCAGAGTCGGATGATGTCCTCGGGCATCTGCCTCTCAGCCCTTGTCTTTGCGTCGATGCTTGCGTGGCTCATTCTGCACGGCATGCTGATCAGACTGTTGACACACCCGAAGCTGACACTAATTCCGTACAACTTGGCGGCTTCGACGATCCTTTCCGAGAGCTTGATATCCCCCGTCTCAAAGGAAAGTACACCCCCAGCTCCGCGGGCCATGGACCAGTGAAGGTCGTATTGCGGGTGTGACTTCAAGCCCGGGTAGCGGACCTTGAAACCATGGGACTCGAGGAATTCGGCAATGGCTTGAGCATTGGCCTGCTGCTTCTCCATACGGATAGCCAGAGTCTTGACGCCGCGCATAAGCAGGAACGAGTCGTTGGGCGAAAGACCACAGCCCGTCGAGTTGATGGTAAAGTACATCTTGTCACCCAAGGCCGGGTCGTTGCAGGCAATGATACCAGCCATGATGTCGTGGTGGCCAGAGAGATACTTGGTTCCAGACTCGTAGACGATATCGGCGCCAAGATCAAGAGGGTTGCAAAGCATAGGAGAGAGCATGGTGTTGTCGAACACGACCAGGGCCTTGGGGTTGGCCTCGTGTACCATCTTGGCAATGGCGACCAGGTCGACAATCTTGATCAAAGGGTTGGTGGGCGACTCCAGCAGGACCATGGCGGTCTTGTCTGAGATGACCTTGGCCACGGGTGCGACTTGGGTTGTGTCTACGTGGTGGACGACGATACCTTGGTTTGAAGACAGGTATGTCAACAGTCGGTTGGTTCCTCCGTATAGGTCGTCGCCCGTGATAACCTCATCGCCGGGCCGTAGCAGGCGGGTAATGACGTCCAGTGCGCCCATGCCGGAGCCCACTGCCAGAGCTCGCGTGGCGTTCATGATCTTGGCCATGTGGCGCTCGAGGTGTGTGCGAGTCGGGTTGCCCGACCGAGTGTAATCGTACTCCTCGCCGCCGCCGGCCGAGCTCTGCTTGAAGGTGGCCGACTGGTAGATGGGGATGCTCGAGGCGCCGTACTGGTCCTTGGTCTCGGTGTAGACCAACTCGGTGGCGAGGGCATAGCGCCGGCGTCCATTCGACGGGCTGGAGGGTGCGGGCGAGGGAGGCAGATTGTGTCCGTCGAGGTCGACCTTGGAGAAGGCCTTGTTGAGAGGCTTGGTGCCATCATCGTTGCTGCCAGAGGCATCGTTGTTCGGGGGAGAAGCCATTGTTGCGTCTGGTGGTGTAAGGAGCGAGAATGACTTTATCGGGTGCTGAATCTTGCCCGGGTGGTAATCATTCGGAGCTACCGACAGCCTGACGTACGTACAATGAAGTGGGGTTGATCCGGGGACTGGCCAGGCCGAGCTCGGAGCGGAAGAGCGCTGCTGGAACTGCGGGTGTCTTCAATTGAGCTTTGGGGCAGCGCCGGGATAGCAGATGGCGATGCTATCAACTTGCAATGGCTCTCACGTGTGGGTGTGTGTTTGAGCAGAGTTACAGTAAAGTGTAAGGGACAGAAGAAGTCGAGATGGAGGGTGACTGACACTGAGTGAGTGACGGCGGACCGGATACCGGAGGACTCATAATCTGGGGTGCAGCTAGCTGCCCAGCTGACCGATAGCCGTGTACTTGGACTCGCCGCCCGCCACCCGCGTGGTCCCAAGTACCGCACTAAGTGGCGGGCAGAAGCTAGCGATGGCGTGATTGGGGACCAAGACAGCATCAGCGTGCCAGAGACATGGGCACTCGCAATTGTCTTCGGCATCTCGCAATCTTTTCCCAGCCCATCCCCGTGCTGGCCCCGAACCACATCATCGTTGTGCGAGGCCGGTGACCATGTCTGCCCAAACGCATGTAAATGAATTGACTGCCTGCAGTCACCCAGGAGCAGATACATCCGCAGTATAGACAGGTCAGACACGGTCACGACAGCGGTTATAATCACCGGTTGAAACAAGCATCAAGAGCCGCCATCCTGAATGGGTGTGGCTCCAAACGACGGGACATCGAGTATGCAAGATGGCGCTTCCGGTGTACATAAGCGAGTTGACCGATCCTGGAATTGCCGAGACTTGATTGGCCAATTGAACTCGATACTCTGATTGGCAAATGCTCGTAGCTATAGACTTGCATTTCTTACCAGTCTTGGCTGTTCATGTCAAGGAACTGAAACCGCCGTGGTCTTCCTCTCACCACGCCATCGGGGGGCAGCAATAGTTCAACTTGAAATGTTGATTTCTTCTTGTCTTCTGGTTTGAATCAGAGCCCGCCAGCCTGGCAGATTTCCGGCCTCGAGGGCTACGGAGGCAGGTCTAAAGGTGTATGTATTAAGCTAGGCAGAGGCAACCCAATTCCCAGCGCACGCGTCCCGTCTAGCAGTACAGCTGCAACTACACATGCTTCGTGACGTGTCCATGTCTCCCACTCAACCAAGAATAAAAACCAGTATGCCCCCGCCTGCTTCCAGCGATGAAGTGATCTAAGTCTTTCTCCTCGTAACATGTGGGTATACCCTCCTGCAAGTCTTGAAATAAAAACCCCCCAAAAAATAAAAAGGCCGACCGCTATGCCATGCAGAGCAGTTCGTCAACTAGAACATGCTTCAAATGAAATCTACTTTCTCCACCCCCAGAAACCTCCAGCGTTCGCCGTCGACGCAGCACTCTGCGTAGGGGCGGGCGCCGAGGAGGCGCCCTTAACGCCGCCGTTGGGATCCGCGACCGCACCTGTCAGCCGCCCAAACATGCCCATAGCAGCGTTGGCTGCCGCATTCGCTGCTGCACCGGCTGCCGTGCCGGGAGTCTCACCCGGGGCGATGCCGTATGCCTTCTTGAAGCTCTCCAGCTTCTGCTTGTACTCGTCCGCCTCCTGTCGGGCCATGGCCTCTGCCGTCTTTGCCTCGACGAGCTCCATGACCAGGGTCTCGTGCTCGTCAGACGACATGGAGATGGGCTCGGTCTGGGTCCTAACCAGCGACGAGTTTCGTTTCGAGAGGCCATCCCGTGAGTTGGGTGTCGACTTGCTACGTCCAAGCTTCAGCTCACGGAGGCCACCGTGTGATCCACCACTACTACCCGTTCCGGTGGCTGCCGCGAGGGCCATAGTGGCCGCCGAGGAAAGCCAACCCGTCTGGTCCGCTGCCGCTGCACCTGGCTGTGTGTCTGACGAGGCCCGGACGCGCATAGCATGGACCTGCTTCTCCAACCGCTGCTTGTCCTGATGCAAGTTCCGGGCGCGGTTGTGGCTTTCGCGCAGCTGCTCCTTCAATGCGTATGCTTCTTTCTCCATCTCGTCCATTCGACGAGTGGAGTCTTGGGTCTTGGATACTTCGATCATGAGGTGCTCCTTGGTCCGCGCCAACTCATCTCGTAGCTGTTGTTTTGTCTCCGCCGTCGAGGCGTTGTGGCTATTGCGGCTCTCATCCTCTATAAAGCGCTCCTCGACGCCCTCAATTAATTGCGATAATTCGGCATGCGTACCGTCCCCTTCCTTTTCGCTGGGGCCATCCGCAGACGACTTCTTCAAACCGTGAAGCAGCGACTTGACTGCCTTGCGCTCCTCCTCTCTCTCTTCTCTCTCTTGTTGTAACTGGGTTGCCAGCAATGCATGGTTTCGTTGCAGCTCACTCAGTGCCATCAGCAGATCCTCAATCTGGCTATGCAGTGCTTTGCTCTCGATCGCGGCGGCATTCATTGGGTTCTGCTTGGGTGCGGTCGGCGTGGATTCGCGAATTGATGCATCGTCGCCGGTGGAAGATGCGCGGGAGACGGTCGAGGCTTCGGTCGAGGCGGAACTCAGGACGCTGGCAGAACTGGTTTCCATGGAGTTGAGGGTAGATGCCAAGCTCTGCTTTGACGTGCTGCGTCGAAGCATGCTCAGAGGTCTTGAGGGCGCAATGAGGCCCGGGGAGAGAGCACCAAATGCGGACTTGGTGGATGAGCTGCTGGAGCTTGTGGTTGTCCAGAGGCGACCTAGGAAGCGAGATGCTGCCGTGGTAACGTCCGATGTGCGGGCCGCATTGGCAGTGGCGATCTTTTCCTCCCTGTAACTCAGCTCAAGTTGGGCTAGCTTCTCGCGCGATACGACGTTGGAGAGTTCGACAAAGTCACCGACAAACTCGTCGGCATTGTAATGATAGCAGTCCCAAAGGCCGCGCGACAGGAGCAGTTGCATGACATCCTCGAGCTCCGAACAGGCCAGGATGCGGCTCTCGTTCTTGCGCATGAGCGATAGGGCCACTCGCATGATCGTCTCCGATGCACCTTCGGCAAAGATGACATCGTAGATCCGAAACAGCATGGGTAGGGGGCAGGTGACGGCGAAAAATGAGAGGAACCATTGTGAAACATAGGCCGGGTCGACTTGGAGCTCGTCCAAGTGGGCCGATAGATTGGGGAGATTTTGGCGCAGCAGCTCGCGAAATTGATAAATGCGAACGTGCAGTCCCGACAGATCGGGAAGAAAGCAAGCTCGCAGATCATAGTGCTCCATCAGCCTGTCAAAAAGGTTAGCTTTGAGATGGCGCGACAGGAGGGATGCCGGGATAGGCCTGCTTCTGTGCACTCACCGGACCAATACGCAGAAGGCCTGGTTGTCGGGCATATGCATCAGCAGAGGTCCAACGAGAAAGGCCAGCCCCTGGCAATAGCCGATCTTCTGATCGTAGAGACTGAAGCATTTCAGCACTCGCGCCAGCATCCGCTGCCCGTCACCGTCCGGGTCGCGGAACATATCTACGCCGGGGAAGCTCCTGCCCAGGTCCTTGCCGATGATTCCCTCATAAGGACTCGACTCGTTGCTGAGCCTCTCAAACTGATCCAGGAGGACCGAGTCGCGCGCCTCTGCCATGCTCTGCCAGACCACGCCTCGAAGTGGCGGTGGGATACCCTTGCGAATCTTCTTGGATAGAAGTGTCGGCAACCGAGCAGCAGTCTGCTGGTAGTCTTTGACGAGTGCGACGTAGAACTCCATATCCGTCATGGGCGGTGGTGGCACGACCGAGTATCGCAGGGCCACAGGCGTTGGGCCATTAACCATATCCCGTAGTTGGGCCATTGACGGGGGTCTCGGACGCCGCGACGTCGGCTGCTCAATCACCTTCACCTTGACGCCCTTCGGATTTGTAGCAAGCTTGTTGTTTTCTTCCTCAAGCCGCGCAAGTAGCATAGCAGTTGACTGTGGCACGGATTTCCAGGTCAGCAACAAATTGTCATGTAGTGCATGGTTTAAAGTCGGGCGAAGGAGTCGGACCCAGCGAGAGGATTGCATCACTTACATTATCATCCTTCCGAGCTTGTTCATCCTCGGTCTTCTGCAACCTATCCCAGTTGACCTCGTCCTCCTCTGACTCGTCCAATGAATCTCTTTGTTGGCTGCTTTGCTCTCCAGACGCCTCTCCCGCCGTGTCGTCCTCGGTTGAGTCCTCAAGCTCCTCCATCAAGTTTTTGGCGCCGTCGGCCACGATTTGAGGGCTGACAGGGCTGTCCTTCATGTCTTCTTCCTCCTCTGCTTCCTTTGGCCTGGGTGATGTGGCACTGGTGGGTGTTGGGGTGCATTCTGGGCCGAAGATGCTTCGCCTAGAAGGCATGATATTCGGCGGCAGGTTCGTGTTTACCGATAGGTTTGGTGGTTCCGAGAGGCGCACCGTGACCATGGAGTCGTGACCAGGCAATACAGGGGCGTCCTTCTCCATGGGAGACTTCACGTCGACCGGAGAAGACGCCATTTCATTTTGCTGTTGCATCCCCGGGTCTGGCTCCATCTCGAAGCGCAGACCCTCACGATATGGAAAACGTGGCAGGTGACCGCGGCAGCGGCTGGAATGGCGATCTGCAGACGGTAGGAATGTCGTCCCTTAGCTGAATCCCCCTTCGTTCTTCTTGGGCAGTGCCGTACGGCGCCGGTGTATCGTGCTACTGCGACTGGCTAGGCAGACAGACGCGTAGGCTGGACCGATCTGGTCGATTGTGCCTGTACGCGGGAATTATATCCTCTTCTGAGATGACAAGACTGTGTTCGGTACACAGGCAAGGTGCCGTATGGGGTTTCGGTCGGTTTGAAGCGTTGCTCGGTTGGAAACTCGGCGATCGATATGCGGGGACCTCTGAGACAGTCTTGGAGCTATCGTCGGTTTGTTGCCGAAAACTTGGAGAAGTGGCTGGGGCCAGGGATTCGGGAACGATAGAGGGTCGAAGAGAAGAGTGGCAGTAGCGGTATTGTCGCGTGCTGGTGGCTTCTGCCTTTGTTTCATCGAAGGGATTCAGAAAGTGAGTGAAACACAATGAACCCTCATATGCGAAGAGTGGATTCGGTTCGCGAATGACCTTCCCCAGCGGTCGTGCTCCAGCCGCAACAAAAAAATCTCGAAAATTGTGGTGCAGTATGACCAGCCGCCTCCGTCTTCACAAACGAGACACTTGCTCGCTGGACGTTCAGAAATCACGAGACACGGCACGCGGGTTGGCTGAACAGCTGGAGACAATGAACGCATGTACCGCAGGCGTGGATGTGGCGCGCGAGTCAAATGAAAGATTGGCCCAGTGACCTATGCAGCGATCGCCGGGGCCAGGAGCGTCGACTCGAATCTAAAGAGCAGTGGCAAGTAATGAATGGCTGTCTAGCTTCGGTTTGATTACCCCGGATCCAGAGCAACAAATTGAGGGGAGATGAGAGGCCGGAAAGGAGTCGAGTGAGTGGCGGCTCCAGGTAATCTCGAAGCTCTTGCTCGCTCTTCCACTCTGTGCAAGAATTCCCGTCGGCTCCGTCATGCGATGCTCGTGATGCTCTCTCTCTCTTGTCGCATTCACCGACAGCAGGAACCCAATTAACGGTGAGCAGCGTGTGCATTAACTACACTGGACAGCTGTCAGTCCAGGCGAGGCAGGGTGCATTGTATTATTGCCCTGCTCCCGGCCAGGAGGATCGTCGGAATCGGCTGGAGGTGGATGGGCACCCTATTAACCAGGCGAGCCGCTCACTGGTCGACCTGCGTGGGCGGGCCCCTAATACGGCAAGGTCCAGGGGTCGTCTGAACTCGATCGGGCCAAGCGTCAATTTTGCTGCTCAGGGCCTTATGCACCCGCACACGACGCGAGCCTTCGAGCCGGCCGGTGATTGGAGGCTCTGGGCAGCGGGCGTCCAACGTCGCGTCTTCTCGCATGAACTTCACGTCTCCACAATCCGTACGGATTGGACCGGCAGTATTTATCGACTCATGTCGCCCATGTTTGTCTGACTGTTACCCTGCCTGCCAGCGGATCCCGATGGATATGGTTACGAACAAGCACTCGATAGATCAGACCAGCCTCTTCCTTTCCCGTCTAGAAGGATGGCTGGACGGGCCTCGAAGGAGACCAAGGAAAATTCCTCGCTCCATTGGCACGGAGATGATCCACTATCAACGCTCCATCTCGAAGCTTGGAATCAAGCTTGATACCCGGACCCGCGGGACTCGGGAGCGCTTGAACCCGTGGAAACCGTGGGTCTTATGCGGTGCCCCAACTGATCTGGATATAAACCAACGTCTACACAGCAACAGAGTCGGTGCCAAGTTTCCCTTACTTGTGGATGTGCGTACTATAGATTGATATACGCGACATCCGGATTATGACATGCGAACTTGCAAGTACTCTTCCCCTCTCCTCACAGGAGCAGCAAAACTCGAGCCGTAGGTGATAAGATGGGCGTATATATGTACAGATCCTTGTGCCCTTGGATACGTGATCTTTCATTCGACTTATACTTATCTTGCACCGATATCCAACATGATTGGTATAATATACGCAGCCCCCCAGCTTTTCGTAGGAATGGATACCCAAACTCCGCGTGCTAGAACCAGAATAGCCCAAGCTCCTTCAACGCCGGCGCCCGAGAATGACATTACGAGTTAATTTTTCCTGATACCCGCATCAACTCAACCTGATTGGCCTGGCCGCTGTTCACAAGCCGCCGCTTCGTCAACGCCTCAGCCGCTTGAATCTCACTTGCTGCATGATTGCATAGACTTGACTGCCGGCCGCCCTCGGCTGCCCAATTCGCAGAAACAACCATGTGGCCGGTGTGGCCAGTTTCAGCCCAGCGAGTTTGCAGCTGGGTGGCCAACTTGCGGTTGAGGCGCGCCTGACGTCGTCATTTGCGGTGTCCTTTGGTTTCCGGGCACCGGGCTGGCCTGGTTTGACGGCTGGCCTCCCGGCTTGTGGCCTTGAGGAGCGCCCGGGCGAGCGCCCGGCTGCTGCGGCGCCGGCTCCTTATTGTAATCCACGCCCGGATAGAGGTTCTGCAGTTTCGTGTACAGATGGTTGAAGTACTTCACAGTCTCTTCCCTGTCAGTCGGCTCAATCTTGCCCTCCGTGCCATCAGGCGCTGCCATTGGCTTTATCTTGACCTTGGTGCTGAGAGGTGGTGGTTTCATGTAATTCGGATGCGGAGCAGCTTGACCTGACGTCTTCTTATCGGCCAGTTGCGCCAAATAGGCAAGGTTACCTTGCAACCGCCGCATACAACTATAGTAAACGAAATGAGTTTACGCGTGAGGCAGGCGATACCTGGCGGGCACTTACTGTGATAACTCTTGCAGTAACGTCTTCTCTTCATCCGTCTTGTCCTGGTCGTTCGCAGCGCCGTCTTTCGGTGGCCCACGCTCATTCTTGAGTGCCAACGTGGTGTTTTGAATCTGCGTGCACTCCCACAGGAGCTCATTGTTGATTTCCAATATGACCCCAATCCTATCTTTGTCCTTGGAGTCACCGCCTGGGCTCATCGGCGCCGAATTAGACGCGCCATTGGTCATCGCGCCCTGCACATTGGAGGGAAACGTCGGCGTCTGCGGGGTCTGGATATTGTTGCCCATCGGCGGCGGCTGTGGTTGCTGCGGAGCGTTGTTCGGCGTCTGGCTCTGTGGCGTTCCCTGATTCGGTTGCGGCGTAGAGAACTGGGGCTGCTGAGATGGGAGCGAGTTGGTCGGTGTGGGCGTACCCTGAGGACCTGGTGTCTGCCCTTGACCCGGGAACTGGCGCTGTGGTGTATTCGAGGACATGCCCCCCGTGTTTTGCTGCTGCGGCGGCTGCATCCTTTGCATCATCTGCTGTTGTTGCTGTGGAGTCATCTGCCCGGGATGCATTTGGAAGCCAGACATGGGCATATTGCCGCCCACGGCGTAGTTTGGCGGCATATTCATCTGAGGGGCGACGGACGACGGAATGCCGGCACCGTACGGGGAGTTCGAGTAGGGAGTCTGGTAGTTAGGCACTACGCGCGAGTCACAGATTAGTATATGTTAACCGGCAACACGCAACGAAGGAACTGCCATGTGTTTGTGTATGCAACAACGCCAATGGCGCGGCTTTTGCAGGTGGCTACGGGAAGCCGTATGCTCGTGCTTCCATGCAGCTGCCGCTACGCCCGGGTCTCGACCGGGAACCGGGTATGGAGGCACACACACAAGGCCCGCGCCTCGACAGAAGCCAAGGCCGGTCGAGATGGATACCCGGGGACTGTCGGTCGCGACACTCGACTCGACTCAACTCAACTCGATCCACCCTGGGATGGGAGGGCCTGGAGGGGGAGGGATATACGAAGATCATTCTTACTCTGGCCATTGGCGGCAGCCATGTGTGGCATGCCGGAATTCTGCATCATCCCACCTGTGGCACCGGCTCCGGGCATCATGTTGACATTGGGGCCGCCGGGGAAGCCGGGGCCCTGGGGCCCCATGGGGAACTGCTGCGGGTTGTACATCATCTGCTGCTGCTGTTGCTGTTGCTGCTGCTGATGTTGCTGATGCTGCTGATGTTGCTGCTGCTGCTGAGGTGGCTGATTGGGGTTCGGGCCTTGACCCGAGCCTGGCATGTGAGGGTTCTGCGAGGGTGGGGCGCCATTGGGGAAGCCATAGTTTCCGGCGTACATGGCAGATGCTGATCGAGGTGTGTCTCGCGTGCCTGACTCTCGAGAGGGACAAGATGAGACGGACACGATAGGCTGACACGGAGCTGGCAGGCAAGGCAGGACAAGGGCTGGCTGGAGCTGGATGGAGCTGGCCTCGGCGGGACGTGCGTGCCTGCGTGCCTCGTGGTGTGGTGTGGTGTGGGCGGGCGTGGACGTGGACGTGGGTGACGTGACAGCAAATGGCACGGCGCGCCTCTGCTTGATTGACACGGGCGGGCTTGTACTGTGCTGTGAGCGACAGCGCGAACACAAGCACGAGCGAACCTGAGACGGCAGTCGTTAGGCTCGGATTGCGTCGTTCTTTTTCGGGGGCAGGGTTGGTCAATGTTACACTGGCGCGGCGCAGTTACGGATCGAAGTTGGAATTTGGGAACTTCTTCAGAAGGGCGTATGCGCAGAGAAGGGGCTCGGCGTGCGGCTATCCGATCAGCCCACTAAATTGTCCCCGAAACGCCAGGACTACGGCTCAAGCCCATCACTCTTCACACCAGCCATCTCCCGAAAAGCACGTAGGGGAGCCACACGGGCTCGAGATGTCAGGACCGATATTGCAGTAATAAGCCAAGGGAAAGGTTTGCACAGCCTTCAGTAAAACACGCTCCAAAGGCACAGGCGTGTTATACCCGGCCCACGACGCTGTGGCGGGGAGCTAGGTAGTAGGAAATGCCATAAGCTGGGGGCCAAACAGCAGGCTAAAGTTGCGCTGTTCTGTCCGGTGTTTCTTATGAGCTCACAAGCCCATATCTAGGAGAGCCGCAAGAGCATGGCTGTCTCAGCTGCTATAGTGGCTTCCGGCATTTAGTATTGCATGGGGCGACGGCGTCACTATGATTAAGTATCCAAGAAACGACCCAATGGATGGTGCGTCTATGGACGCCCCAGGCTGCTGGAGGCTGTCGTGTCACGATGCCATGCATCGAATCGTTGGTTCGCTGCAACAAGATTGCACATTATGCATCGACTGGAGTTCCCAGGGGCGTGACTATGTTGCACCGTCTAGTAAACCCCTTCTCAACGTTGCAGATACTGCGCCGCCTGCTGCCCGAAGGGACAAGAGACTGCTTTGCCAAGTTGTTGGTAAGGGATGATACTCTGCATGATGTCACTGCTGGGAAGGTATATCTGCCCCAAGGTTGTATGGTTCATGTTCATAGGTCTGGAGTTAGTCGAGTAGAGCCACCAAGCAAGATCTGGATAATAATCTACGTGACCAGCTTAAGATCTACATGTAGATGGAGCGCTCGTCAACAATCACCGGAGCCATCCAAGAATGACAATTTGGGCTAAAATAATTATTACATGATCAATAGTTAGATGTTCATGTAAGTACTTATACACATGGTGAGGCTGTATTCTTAGAAGGGATCTACAAGGTACAATGTCGCTGTCGACCCTTTCCACGAGCCTTTTCTCAATCGTGTAACGGACATTGTCGAGATGCTCCAACAACTAATCCGTCCATCGCCCTTGTTCCACAAGCTACCTCTTCAATCGTACGTCGTAAAAGTTGATGGGTGGACGCCGCTTATGATGCCTGGCATCCTGAAAACCCCTTCAGATCTTTAGCCATGAGCTGGTTGAGTGGATACTGATTGCCTTCAGATGCGCTGAACCGAGCAATACGCGAAGCCAATGGACTATACTGCAACAGGGAGGGTTTGTTCCGGCATCGAACATGACAATACAATGAGGCCCAATTGTTCAGCCACGCAAGCCACGAAGGTCGAGCGGTCACCGAATCATTGGTGTGCGATTTGAGTGCCCTGTAAAGGGGGGTGGCGCCTTTTCCATGCTATTGGACGTAGGTGTGTCTGCGCCGCATCCCCTCGGGCCTCAATACTTGATCTTGGTGAGTTGGGCTGGCATTCTCAAATGGCGGCCTCATTCGCTTATGGCGGCCAATAGGCGGGAGGCCCATCGTTGCGTTGCAACTAACGTTCCCTGGGCTGTTTTAATATCTATAAAGGACTTTGTGGTCAATTTCCCATGGAATGCTAACAAGGTGAAACTGAACTCAATTCTATACATTGCGCAGGTCAAATATTCTTGAAATCCATCAATTCGCCCAACGCGTGGATTTTGCGACGCTGGACTCAACCTGGAAGCACCCCCTCCATTTCCTACCTTGGATTCGAGGACTGAGACAACATCCAAACCGTTCAGGCCATAGCCGCATGAAGCGTCCTTAGGACTCAGATGAAGTTTTCACCTCAACAGGAACAGTTCCAGATCCGCCATTGGGTCTTCGGAGAATCTACAGTCAGCGTTGTTGCAAGTGCACATCTGCTGGTAATACAGCACAGCATCCAGTGCCTACGTGGGCGATCCATCCCCAGGAGGCGTTTTGATTGAACCATTGTTCTCCCAGGGGCCGGGAAAGCATCAAGAATTGCTACAAAGAGATCCCAGGTCCTTGCCTAGGGGACCAGAATCACGAGTGATATCTTCATTGCTAGCTACTGCTCAGGAAAAGAAAAGTAGGTTGACAGCTCTGGGTGATTGCGACATAAGCACATGCCCGTGCGGAAGAAGTCTATCTATTCGCCATATGTAAAACACTTCCATTGTCATTGTCACTATCCAGGAAATCAAAGACTGTCTAGTCTTGGGACAAGCCGGAGCCTCTTGGATAAATCGGACTGCTGTCGAATCCAGACAGTGGAGGAAACTTACTCCTTATTGGATTTTTACTCAATTCGGTATGTAAACTACAACATCCTGGTTAGCCCCTGAGATGATCGACGTTACCTTGGATCACCAATTTTATTCCTCATTATTCGGGCTCTTATTCCTCAGTTGATGGACTATTTTTTGGATGGGCTCTTCCTGCTCGATACTGTGCGAGGGCTAGCCAATACTTGACCGCGTACTTTATCACAGGAATAGGTATTCGAATAATACTATGACCTTGGTTGCTGCGCTGCCACTCAGGTAGCAATGCCAAAAAGCCTGTGGGGCCTACGGTGATGATCCGAGCATGATCATGATGACTGACGCTGGTGAAAGGAACCTACCTTCGTTTCATAAGAATGGAGCAATTCGACGGTTTATGGAATGAGTACAGGCAGGCTACCTCACATAGCTCCGACAACAACATCGCGACACCATCACAAGATCAATCCCATCATATGGCCCCTGTTGAGCTTTGGGCAGAGGGTGTATTTGAAGCTAGCCAGGACTATCAAGAGGTTTGTACAAGCAAATTCGATGCCCTCTCCCCTACAACTAACTAGATGTGCTAGCAGGGCTTTGATTTCCATACTTATATGTCTAAACACACAGAAATGTAGGCGCCCCGTCCAATTCTGAACAAACACACTGACATTGTAAGGAACCCACAATCGGATATCGTGCCAAGTCCCGATTCGCTTGACTACCATTCCTCAACCAGCACGTTTACTCAGTTGCGCCAGACCGGTAGTTCTGCTGGATTCTCGTACTGCCCAGGCGGAAAGGCCATGCCTGCAGCAGATGGAGTGGTCAGAGAGGAATTGCAGCAGAGTACCCCGATAACTTATTCACCAGAACTTGTGAATGCTCGATCGAGCACAGTTATGTACAATGCAGGGCCGGCGACTGATAATTGGCACCAAGTATCTAGGCTGGGATTTGCGCCACCAGCTGGCCCTTTCTTACCATGGCACAACACCCGTTCGAATGACATTATGGATGACAGAGCCTGCGCAACATGCTATACTATCGGCTCGCCGCTCCACTGCTCGGCAGTCAACTTAACCGTTAACCCCTTCACGGCGAATAGCGGAGCAGAAGACGCGGGTAATCCAACCGTGCCGACCGTGCCGACCGTGCCCGGACTAGATGCATACCCGACTCACGCTGGAGTGGCCGCCACAGAACGAGGCCATGACACTTCTCTGCTCGCAGGAGTAGAAGAAAGCAGCAGCCATCACGTAACGACGGGCACCAATGTAGCTCAGACGCGGAAGCGTAATGGAACACCGCAGCACGGCGTGTCCGACCACAAGTAAGCACCGAATCCGGGGATTATAGCACACCCTGTTGCTAACGTTACCCGTTTTTCCAGGCGGCGGAGGTCGTCGAACTACAGGATCATGTTTGTCTGTACGTTGGGGGACTGCGAGCAGACATTCACGCTGGAGAAGGACCTCATCCGGCATCAGCGCCAGAGCCTCATCCACAAGGATGAGTGTGAGCATCTCTTCTTTTGCGAGGAGGCGCGGTGTCGTAGCTTTGGCAGGAGCTATTCCCGAGAAGACAACTACAACAGGCACGTCGAGACCAAGCACGCGGGATTCGTGCGATAGGCGTCAGTGTTTGAAACTGGGAATGTGAGATACTCCGGTTAACACAACCGACTTCATCAACAGGTTTTGTAGTATACTTTGGATGCAATGTATCGTATGTCGATATCTAGCCAACTAGCAGGCTGAATGGCTCCTCTATTCAGAACGTCCTGAATAGCTGCCTGGTCTCGTCCTCAGCTATTAGTATCCTCCTGAGCCCCGCCACCATTGATGAGTTATTTCACACATCGACAGAGGGGCTTGCAGGCTCACTCGCTAGTCCTTTCCCTTCCTTCTAAATCACCGCAGAAGCAACTCAGGGTCCCGCATCTATGTGCTCCTGAGTGCTGTATTAAGAATTCCTTCCTTGTATCGTTCGCTTGAATAGTATGCTGTGTAATCTGGAGACTCCCTTTTCGCCGTGGAGCATTTCACACCCTCCCTCAAGCCCTCAAGACCGAGTTGAAGAAACGTCTGCCTGCAACTAGCAGGCGTATGATTATGTGGGATACCATGATGGCCTGATCTGACATGCCAATGAAGCAAATACAACACCTCGAGACCAAACACCGAGCCATATATGCAGATGCAATGCAACGTGTAAGAAAATACAGTAAGGGATGCGGCAAAGCGGTCCTCAAGGGAATGCGGGCCTCTTATGCCCCCTGATATAAAAGAGAAAATGCTTCCGATGTCTTGGTGAAAGTTGCCATTGGTCGTCAAAGGCTTTATGGACGCGTATATGTGCAGATGGCACGCCGTCACCGTCTAGGTGATTTTGTATATACATCCTCGCATATAAATGCAGCGAGGTTACAATGAGCCTGTGCTCATTTATCTGCAACTGAAGTGGTCGTATATGATCAACTCAAAGCAGCACGATCACGGCGACTTGCCTTGTTTCCGGTCATCGGTAAAGTCACCGTCAAACAGAGACCGAAGCCCCGCGAATGTAAAAGAATCCGTCGTTGAATGAGCCGCAACGAGCCAAGCTGCTACAATGTTGACAAGATAATGCAGCATATAGGCATGTGATACGCCGTAGACTGCCGCATAGATAGCGATGCTGAATAGCAGAACACTCGTAAGATGACGCAGGCGACTCGTCACTCGAGGCACCATCTTGCCAGTTGTCAAGGTTTCCACTAACAAGATGAAGGGGAGTATTGACAAAACGTTGTGGTGAGACGAGAATGGCGTAAACCACTGGACGGCAAGGTTTCGAACCCACACTACCAAAGTAGGTAGATTTATGGGCAGAACCCAGAGCATTAGTAGGAAAATGGAATGGACGTAGTTGTAGAAGTTCGAGTTCGCCAGGGAGGGAACTTCGCGGGCAAACCGAAGGGCTCGGACGCTTGTGCTCAACTGGACCAGGCAAGCCACCACGTATGCAAATTGATACGGAATAAATGTTGACACGAGGAAAAGCAAGATGCTTGTGGTGATGACACGTCGTCTTGGTGAGGAGGGCACGAACATGGGCGACACAGCCCGTCTCTTATCGTCCTGATGAGCACATGCTCGACTTGTGGCGAACCAGCCATAGATGACACAGAAGATCGATGTCAAGAGGAGAGCCATGTAGTGGAAAGCCGTGCAGACCCCGACGCAGGTCAGACCGATCATTGGTATGAGAAACCAGAAGAAAGGATCAGTGGTGCCAACCAGAAGGTCATTTTGCGCGAAGTCTATTCCACCCGTGGTGTTCTTCCATAGCCAGAATCCTGCCAGATGGGAGGAATCTGGGTGACCGACCGACAGACCAAATAAAGTCAAAGACAACAGCAGCAGTGGCAAAGACTGGCGGAGGCAGCTGTCTAGACTGTCTATGAAAGGCACAAACACCCCGGTGCTGTCGTACACACGGAATTGCTTGCGCAGGGCCAAGGTTACGATGAGCAGAGGAAACGCAGCGAATACCGTGCGGTATCTCATATAGAGCTTCCCAAGGCTGCCCAGGGGATCGACTTGGAGCTTTATATGTATACCAGAGTCACACGTAGGATCTGCCCAGAACTGAAACCCGAGCCCATCGAGCGATCTCTTGGCTTTCATTGGTGGTGGCACGTAAGGTGCGGCTCCGTGTAAGCTCACTTTGACTTCCCGAGCGTTAACAAAGAACTTGGACTCGTATGGCTGGCTTAGGAACTGCCGTACGAGTGGCGCAAAAGCTTCGTTGCCACATTGTGGTCTGCTTATCTCCAGGTTATACGCGAGTAAACTGCTCTCGATTGCAGGCACTCTCAGTTCTGTTACCATGGGGCGTTCGGCCGGAAGTTGAAGCCGTACGCCAAAGGTAAGGAGGCGCTGCAGACTAACTTGACTAGTCAGAGAGTAGTTGCTTTCGTCGCTGAATTCAGCAACGACCCATCCAGGGGATCGTGAAACGGCCTTGTCAATGACTGCGACAAACTGGTGTTCGCCAAGATCCTCCAGGTCGTATTCCAAGTATGAAAATGGCGAGGTAGGCTGTTCTCCGTCTCTGTAAAACGGCAGGCGTGTATCTTGTGTCGATCGAGGAAGCGTTATGAGATCCGGGGCAGCATTTTTGCAGGCAAGCCGCGTGGATCCATTACTGTCGCCAGACAAGTCCATATTCATCGAGAAGAGAATATTAGATGACCCTGGTTGTAAGGGAAATATTGTACAAAAGAGAACTTCGAGACGTCCATTGTCGCCCGGGTGGTCCAGCGCCGTATCAGTCAGCAGAGTGAACCGCTTTCGTTCCAGTGGGCTGGGGTCGGGGACGGGAATCAAGTGCGCACTCGCTCTCCCAGTATGGCCCAAGTGGCGGAGTACGAGGCGCTCGCCTTGCCCCAGGATGGTATTTGAGTTGTCATCGAGCGTGAGCAAGATTTGGGGCTCGGCCTGGGAAAGTGACTTCTCGGCATTGTCCTCCATCCCTGTGAGTAGCCATTTCTTGAACACCATCATCCTCTCAGCCCGGGGCTTGGTTTGGGATGCGCGACCTGTGTCGACAATGTCATATAAAGAGCGAGCGAGAACCTTGCGAAACTGGTCGCACCACATGATGGCGGCATGGTCCATGCTTGTCCACACATTTGGGATACCCGTTGTGAAGACTGTGAAGCCGTGGGTTTCGGGCACAACGGACTCAACACTGGCATAGTCTGAAGGCACGACAGTATCCAGGCCCCCGCCAGCTATAGATACGAGAGTGACGTGCCACAATGGGTTGTTGTTGGCCCACTTTTGGGAGTAGGCGTGCCTCCAAAAGTTATTGATATCGTCGTATATCTTAACGATCTGGGAGTCAAAGCTTAAGGGTGGTCTTGCATGTGGGGCAGACATTGTAACGATGGTGTTGATGGAATTCGACTGGTAATTGGGCATGACCAACATGGTGCGCGCAACAATCCCACCCATCGAGTGTCCCAAGATGATGACGGAGGAGGGATCCGGTAGGTCGGGATCCCGGCGGCGCGAGGTTTTGGGATCGAGGTACAAGGACAGAATATACCTGATGACTTCGTTCAGGTATTCGGCCTGGTCGAGCATGGTCTGACCGTGGAAGGCCGAGAAGTCTTCGTTGAAGTCGACGGTGAAGAAATCAAGGTTCCGAACACCAGCGTCTGCTGCCACTGGGTCATGCTGGAGCATATCGTGGTAATACCGTGCAGCCTCTGCGGCAATGGGACGAACCTGCTTGTAACTGCCGGCATTCCCAGGAATGAAGAGCACCGGTATTCCAGAGACCTGAAGGGAGAAGTGTTAACTCTGCCAAAACCTGATCAAGCTCACGCATCTCACGAACCATGGTGTCATCGCAGATCCCCGCTTCACGGTACAAGTACAGAGAGTACTTGCTGGCAAATCTTGTGTGCTCCGTATCGAAGTCGCTCATATGAACATAGCGCGGGCTCATGTAAGACATGCGGCAGCCCTTGGGGTCCAGCTGGCGAGTGGCAGAGGAGTTGATGATGGTGAAGAACAATGTGATGCCAGCAAGCGCCGTGAGGAATGTGGTCAACGTCGAGGCCCAAGGACTTCGCGTCCATAACCGGCGACCTGGGAGCCTCCTATCTGCCATTTTCCCGCCTTGCACGCCGGCACCATCCTCCGGGGAGCTCGTTGCCAAAATAGACGGCGCTTGTGGTTGGGCAAGGAGCTCCTTCTCGTTAAGGCCGTTCCGCGAGCTGTTCCGCGAATGCGCCGGCTTCCAATTGATGTGGCTGCTCTGCCGTCTTATTCTGGCCGACGGATGCCTTGAGCCTGCATTTTGTGATCTCTCTTGCCGCTCAACCCCAAGACTGGGCTGTGGATGTTGCCCCAAACTGCGCGGGTCGCTCACTGGTATCGTTGGTTCCTCGTCGGGAGTGAAGGAGGATGCCGCGACAGAGGCATTCGAGTTGCCCTCCTCGGAGGATCCTGACGAGCGCCTCTTCATGGAGTTGAGGAATGGGGGTGCCCCTGCGTTCTAGACTCGATCGTCTCGCGTTGGTGCAATGGGTGAACTGTGGACCGTAAGCTTGCAAGAAGCGTCGTTGCCGTCGTCGCCGTCGCCGTCGCCGTCGCTGTCGCTGTCGTGCCGGCGTACGCTGCACCGTGAGTTCCGTCCAGCGGGGGTATCGGAGGCTGGTCGCACATCAAACAGGGAGCCGTTGCGCGTGGTTTCCGGGCATCTACAAGATGTGCACCCGCGAGGTTGTACAAGGCATAGGCTCGGGACCCGGGCGTGTGCGCAAGCAGCATCAACCGGGGCGGTAGTCAGTTTTACCAAAGCGCAGTCCCGCAACGAAAGGAAAGGACAGGACCAGTCTAGGTCGATCGGTGGAAACGAATGTGGTCCCCTGATGCGACGAGCACCGAAGTAATCGCCGCGCTGCAAGGAGGCAGAGGAATCAAGGGGAAAACAACGACGATGGTGCGGCGGTCGAGTGATCACCAGCAAGCTGCAAGTCTGCAGAGGGCTATCGTTGAGGAACGAGCTATCGATGATTACCAAGAGGTCAATTCGTCCTGACTGGCTCGGGATCGGGCTGCTTCAATGATTCGATGCATCGGTCGCTCACACCCTCTTTGCCATGTCATGGATGCCATGGGCCTGGTACTACTGTACACATGGAGGTAACTACATCAGTCGGGAGAGCCCCTAAGGGGCTAGGCTACCTTAGTGGGCTTGCAGGGCTTGCAAAGACCTGCTAGTGGGGGATGCAGGGTTGCGTCTGCCAAGTTTCGTGGTGGCTGGCGAGGTTCGGCAAGCTTTTTGGGGGGGGGCTCTCGGGGAAGGCTCTCCAAGCATGGGGGTCCAAGGGCCGCTAAAACAAGGTCTCCTGCGGCACTCAAGTGCAGGCCGCGTACCTAGTGCTAGCGCTGTCCCTAGAGTGGTTAGGTTCGATTCCCGACAGCGCTAATGGCTTCGCTCTTTTGCCTCAACTCCTACTGTAGGCAGTGCGTGTGACCAGCTCGTTACACCAGCCCCACTAGTTCTATGTAAGTCATCCAGTCAGGACCCCAGAGCGACGCCACTGCCCACGGCTGCCGTGGCCAGCATCTTCTTCTCGCTGTTCAGCAGTCCGTGGCTTGGAGCATCAGCGAATGATGAGGGCTTGGTACCTCATTGTGAATGCTGCTGTATCATCGGGACGAAGCGAATCACGGTCCTGCGTTGGCTGCAATGCGGTCGTTCACGGTACTGCGGCTAACATGTAGCATGCTATGCCGAATGTACTACGGTAGCTACTCAGCTACTGTGCTCAACCATGGCCCGGGCAGAGCTAAGAGGCAATAGTCTGGCGTTTTGATGTAGTCCAAGGTTTGCAAAAGCTTCAACCTACGAGACATAGATACCATACAAGCCCGGAATGTTTTGGGAGGCTTTGGGTTCTCTCGATAACTGAACTGCTCTCTGTTCTGCTCTGCATCTGCAGGTTGTGGGGGGTTCCGTGGCCGGCAATGGTGCTAGAGGTCTTGGCGATCGGCCAAGCGCGCAGTTAAGCTAATGCAGTACTTCATAGGCCACAGTCCGACAGCATAAGGTCAAGAAAATACGAACATTGTGGGCATGCAAGCCAGGCTCGGCCATCTCTAGCCACTCTGTCATGCAAGAGATGTCTCGTGATTTGCGATCCAAACGTGGTTGCGATGCAGCCCATTGATTAGAGGCTAGACTTAGTCTCTCTCGCGTTGGCGGACCTTGTGCGCAAAGAAACGCTTGAGCCGCGGCCTGTTTACTGGGTTCTAAGGCTGACGGGGCTCGTGGTGAGCTGCATACACAGTGGTTGCACTTCAAGATATGGGAAATCTGGCAGCTCATAGGTCAAGGAAGACAAGCAGCCGAATAGATTGCGGTTCATATCAAGGTACAGATCAGCAGGTTCCGCCGGACTGGTGTGTTACTTTGCACCCAGCAGGTGCTGTGCTTCCTCGTCCAAGCTCGTGTTGACGAGAAATTTGTTTAGTGTGCATGATCAAGAATTCTGTTGCAGTGCATTGCAGGAAACCTGATAGTTAGTTCCACCTCCCTACGTCTCGATTATAAAGTCTCCGGTGGTACTGCATAGCAGGGATAGCCGTGGTTTAAAGAACCTCGTCTGGCTGCCCTCTTGTCGCAATTTTCATCTACCATTCTAACCAAAGAACGACAGCGTCCAGAGAACGAAAACCGGGTCATTGTGACTTTATCGGTCCAGGGCTCTGTCAACCTTGCCTATAGTCCAATAATCCCCTCGACTACGAGTTTGCAGCTCGGCATCCTAACCATCCCTCGGGTTGATTTGTCGATTCTAATTCCCGAGACTAGTGGCATGTTTCAGCAGTGGATCTACCGTCACGTCATTATAAGCCTGTCCTCCCGTGCCCACGCGCCCCTAAATAGCCAAGGCGGCTGATTTGTGGCTGGGGGAAAACAGGGGAAGTTGGGGAGGTCACATCGAAATCTCCGAAGCTGCCGGCCGAGAGTTGCATCCACCACGACTTGCTGGTCTGATCATCCACCACGGAAGAAAATGTCTGCAGAAGCTGGGATCACAGCTTACAAGGTGAAATCGATGGTAGTTTGGGGACTCGTGATCTCAGATGGTATCTTGCTGATCGTGTTTGCACCAAAAGGGGCGCTACCTGAAGCCCGCTTAAATTTTTGGAGGCTTCTCCAATGTCATCATTAGGACTGCTAGACAGGAATTGAGTTTTCATCAAACCTTTCCTTAGGTCTGGGCAGCCATTGAATTATTGCACGAAAAGGTGCAAAATCGAAGCTGGATTTGGGAGAAGGCGATCCTATCTTCTTGGGTGGTACGTTGCGATGACTACTCCAACAGCGTGCAGCACTCATTACGATACGAGGACAGGAACTACGTACTTGGGACAGCCGCCTTTTAGAGGACGTGACTTAATAATTGATTCGTGACTGGGCACATCGCAAGAACCCAGCCGTCCGTCCCCCTTTTGAGGATTTATAATAACCTGCAATGTTACGAGGCCTTACGTTGAGACGTCCCGTTCTAGCTGAAGCGTCGACATGAGAACTGCCTAGGTCACCAAAACGAAAGAGCAATGATCTGTCGAGAATTCCCTTTCCTAGATATTTGGAATAGTGATGGCTCATTGGAAAGGACTTACAGGACGTGAATCTGACTATTCCCGACTCGACCACAGAAGCACCAGCACAGCATCGGGGGTGGTGGCTTACGCGGCATGCTCAGCCACACGCCACACGCCTGGAGCGCGTTTCAATTTAACTGGACGCGACGAGGCTGCCAGTCGCCCGAAGAGGCTGTGAGGCATGCACAGTCGACGAGTGAAAGCGATAGCTTCTGACCCGGGGTCTGAGCCTGCTTTTTATCGCTTTCCTGTGCGTTTCCCATGTATTCATGAAGATCTCGTCCTTGTGACTATTGAAAGTGCGGGGAAGTCGTCGCCTATCATCATGGATGATCGCCTCTGTGACACTCTGATCTACCAATAGAAACGCCAAGTCCCTATGGCCACCATCAAGGCGATCGAGGCCCGAACGGTAAGCCAGCCGGAGGCGGTTGACAGCGGACCAACGTTCTAATGATGCTGTCTAGGTCCATCAAATCCAGTCTGGTCAGGTGATCGTTGACCTCTGTTCTGTCGTGAAGGAGTTGGTGGAGAACAGCGTCGATGCAGGAGCGACAAATATTGGTAAGCCGCTTTCCCTTGTGTGACAAACAATGGAAAAGACTACTGACTTCTTCCGATGTAGAGGTTCGCTTCAAAAACCAGGGTCTGGACTTGATTGAGGTTCAGGACAATGGTGCCGGTATATCGCCAGAGAACTATGAGACATTGGCCTTGAAGCATTACACCTCCAAGCTCTCAACGTATGAAGATCTCACCTCGCTACAGACCTTTGGTTTCCGAGGTGAAGCTCTGTCTTCCCTCTGTGCACTATCAAAATTCTCGGTCACCACCTGCTTGGCTTCGGACGCGCCAAAGGGATCCAAGCTCGAGTTTGAGACATCCGGGAAGCTCCGAGGAACCGCTGTCGTTGCAGCCCAGAAAGGTACCACCATGACAATCGAAGGTCTCTTCAATAACCTTCCAGTACGTCGTCGGGAGCTCGAGCGAAACATCAAGAAAGAATGGAACAGGGTCATTGGCGTGCTCAACCAGTATGCTTGCATCCTCACTGGAGTAAAGTTCTCCGTCTCGCAGCAGCCGAACAAGGGAAAGAAGATTGTTTTGTTCTCTACCAAAGGCAACAGTACGACGCGTGAAAACATTGTTAATGTGTTTGGGGCCAAGACATTAACTGTGCTCATACCTCTCCAGTTGGAGTTGGAGCTTGAGCCCACCAGTGGGCCAAGCCAACACCGGAATACCCGGGGGGATGAAGACAGTACCAAGGAGGTAAAGATTAAGGGTCATGTATCACGTCCTGCTCATGGAGAAGGACGGCAGACACCGGATCGACAGATGTTCTTCGTGAATGGACGACCTTGTGGCTTGCCGCAATTTGCCAAGGCTTTCAACGAGGTCTACAAGTCGTATAATTCGTCTCAGTCGCCCTTTATCTTTGCAGACATTCAACTCGATACCCACATGTATGATGTAAATGTCAGCCCGGATAAGCGGACAATCCTACTACACGACCAGTCTCGACTGCTCGATAATTTGAGGGAGTCGCTGATTGCGTTGTTCGAGGCGCAGGATTATTCTGTGCCACAATCGCAACTTGGAGGGCCCAAGCAAACACCATTTAGGAAGCTTACTATGAGTCGCCAGAGCACAATCGAAAGCGACAAAACGAGCACAAGAAGCCCTTCTGTCGGCGTTCAGGGGGCAGTCAAGACTGGCCAAACCGGTCCACGGTCTGCTGCAGAAACAACTGGAGATCAAGATGTGGAGGATGCCGAAGAAAATGACGATGTCGCGCTTGGAGGCAGCAACATGCTGGGCGAGTCACCGGCAGGAACATATCAGGCCACCAAACTGATGAGTCGATGGCTCGACAAAAAGTCTGATGCCCGCGCAGATTCTACCACGAAGGTGTCTCCGCCGGCGCCCAACAACCGACAGGGAGAGCTATCTAGATCCAAGGAAAGAGTCGTTTCCAGGTTTTCACATGCCGACCAGGATGCAGAGAACGAGGATGACGTGGATGATGATGCCGATACCGATGCGACCGAGACTTCACTGCCAACTAACCGTGCCCCCAGTCGAGTAGCTGATTTCAATGCGCACATGGCAGAGTTGAACGAGTCGACCAGAGCCTCAGCAGGAGAGGGAGAAGATCAGGGTTCCTGCACAGCTGAACCCCGCATTCCCAGTATCTCTACGCCTTCTCGTACGTCAGATATGAGAACTATGAAGTTGAGTCCGAGGTTCAAACGCACAGCCCCAGAAGTAGCCACCATTACCATCGGCAACGATACTGTCACCAGTGTTATAGGCTCACCTGCCAAAAGGATGCGAACAGAAACGCCAAGGGAAAAGGGCTCTACAGGACAACACACTGCCTCCAAGGGAACTGCACCCATACCCTCATTTCAAGGCCGTCTCACACAGATGTTTTCCGCATCAAGCACCTCGCGAGGACGAGGCGAGAAAGTCGAAATTATCACTGGCCTGGTGGATGGTCCCCATAGGTCTCGCTCCCCTAGCGAGGAAAGCGAGGGCTTGTTTGTACAAAACGCATCTGACCTTGATGAAGTGGACGAATCTGGTGGAAGCAACGATGCGGGCTCGCCATTCCGGCAAGAGTTAACGCAAGATGCCGATGAGGAGGCTGATTCTCATATGTTAACCTCTCCTGTTGACGAAGAAGTAGTCATGGATGATGCCAACGAGTCTGGCACGCCAGCTCCATCTGAGCATAGTGACGGAGAGTATATAGATGAGGATGACAAGAAGGCGCAGGAAGAAGATAAGGTCCGGGAGATGATCGATGCTGCCGAAGACGCCACGAAAGCGACGTCAGAGGAGATGCAAAAGCGGCAGCAGAGTTTTGTCAAGGGTTTGATGAAGCGGAAGGACGGAACACGCCAGCTGCTTCAGAGAGTCCGCCTAGATGAGGATATCATCCGGTCTAGCAGTGCCTCCTTGGCAGATTCTCTCACAAAGTCCACCGCTAGCACCACCACCGACTTTCCGGAAGACAATCTTGATGCTGATGATGCAGAAGAGAAGTTGTCGCTTACCATCTCAAAGACAGACTTCGGCAAGATGAAGATTGTTGGCCAGTTCAACCTGGGCTTCATCTTGGCTGTGCGCCCAGCGGAAGCGAATCCAGACGACGCCAATGATCGGCATGCCATGGACGATGAATTATTCATCATTGACCAGCACGCGACAGATGAGAAGTACAATTTCGAAAGACTGCAGGCCACTACTGTCGTTCAATCGCAGAGATTGGTGCAGCCGAAAGCCCTCGAGCTCACCGCTATCGAGGAAGAAGTCATCAAGGAGAACATTGAGGCACTGGAAAACAATGGCTTCATGGTCAGCATAGATGAAAGCGGATATCAACCCGTGGGTTCTCGATGTCAGTTGCTTAGTCTGCCACTGAGTCGAGAGACTACATTTACACTAGCCGATCTCGAGGAGTTGATTTCACTCTTGACGGACCATCAGTCAACGTCAGCAAACACCATACCGCGGCCCTCCAAGGTGCGAAAGATGTTTGCCATGCGAGCCTGTCGCAGCAGTGTCATGATTGGCAAGTCATTGGCAAATAAGCAGATGGAGAAGCTTGTCAGGCACATGGGCGAACTGGACAAACCTTGGAATTGTCCGCATGGACGTCCGACAATGAGACACCTCTGTGGACTCGGCGCGTGGAACGAGTCGATCTGGCAGGAAGGGGACGGGCTTGGCGGTGAAGAGGGCAGACCTACAAATTGGGCTGCTTATTTAAGGGATAATCGCGACACATAGATATCGGGGGATTGGCATGTGACAAGCACCGATGGACATTTCCATGTTGGACGATATTTCTACCAGCTGCTACTGGAAGATATCTCATAGATTTTATCAGTGTTGGGGGACAAACAAAACCCAACATGTTAATAAATAGATTTATAGAACTTTGATTCATGAAGGGAACTTCTATGGACACGATCCTGTTGCCCTATACATATTTGTCGATATACCATATCAAGGTACACGCCCTTCGCACGGTGAGGGTGCGTATTTGACATCCCTTAACAGTGAAGGTTATACTAGGGATGCCCTACGTATGATACTGGTTCCCGGTATGGCTCGCAGCAGGCATGCCATAGATGGTTGGTTCACAAGGCCTGGTTTGTCCACTCAAGACGTATGACCGAATCTGTTGTACTACAGGGTCGGGCATCCTCGATATCCTGCGGTACCTACGTACGCACGTATCAAATAAGATGCCTCCCCAGCGTCTCTGCGAGTGCCTACGGGCTATCCAGCTGCGTCTACTACAGGCCGATGTCATTATACCACCTGCTAACTGAATTACACATAGACGACCAAACAATTCGCCAAGTGTTGGTTTCTGGCCTGATGCGAAACATAATGGGCATGAGTATAGTAATTCCAGTGGAAGTCAACATCATGATTTGTATCTACATAAGAGGAGCCGCCGTTAGCCCAAACGCGATACCATTCAATTGCCTGATCTCCTTGCTTCGACGATCGGGTAGTGCTTCCCAAACAGCCTCCCCGAACATATGATCCCACTCATCAGCGCACTGCCTGCACAATGCAGCTTGCTCAAACCCAATTGGATACACTCCAGAATGTCCCCAGTCAACCAGCACGAGCCGGTTCGAGTCCTTTTCGAGGATAATGTTCCGTGCCATAAGATCTTGATGCGTGAGAACCAGCCGCTCGAAATCAAACCGGGGTATATCAGGTGGGGCTTGATTAAAGCGGAGGCAAACATCAATCTTATGGTTGTACCAATCCTCCATATCCTCAATATTGGAAAAGGGTCCTGCACCATATTCGCTAAACCAAGGTCCAATCCAGGGTTCCAAGCTCATCTCCCTCACAGGGCCAGGAGGTAAGCCGTCCACTGGAATCGACTGCAAATGTGTCACAATACCGGCGACTTGATTCACAATCTCCTTGCGAGCATCTTCGTCCATACTTGGCCAAAGTTTGTGTAAGTTTTGCCCTTCAATAAAGTCCATCACCATGAACCATGATTCTGTTCTGTCAGGCCAGTCAAGATCAAAACGCGGTCTGGCAAAGTAGCGGTGGACCGCAGGGACCGGCAGCCCGGCCGATGACGCAAATTTCTGTGTCTCAGCTTGACCCTTTGACATAAAATGTCCGCCTTTGATAATGAGGTTCTTGGAGATTCGAACTAGCTTGTTCCCGCCAATCTCGTAAAATACTGGACATGCGTCGAACAGGGTTTCGAGCTGCTCATCGGATAGATCGTCGAGTTTCAGCTCGTCTGGCAAATATGTGAGTGCATTCTCCAAAGGTTGACTCGATGAGGGCTGCTCATGGAGTGGCTGCGACGTGTCGTCCGAGAACAAAGTGAAACTGCCGTTGTGGGGGTCTGACAATGAGCAGATTGGCGGTGTGACAACCTCCGCAAGTCCCGAGTTCGAAGCCAGTCCTTCGGCGGACAACTCGAGGGCTTTTGATGGTTCCGAAGATTTCAACGCTGGATGCTGTTGGGGCGATGCCGAGGTTGGGTCGTAATCCAAGACTTGGGAGCAGTTTAGGCCCCCCGTTATGTTGGTAGGCTTAGGCATCAAATCCTTGTCAAACATGAGAGTATTTACTGCTTAAGTGAGCGGACGGTAACAGGAATAATTCCCTTTCTTATGGCCTCCTGAGAAGGAAGTGGTGTTCGGACGAAAATACTGAGGAGAACTTGTGGGTAATATACTGCTGTTGAAATAGCAGGACTCAAGTTGGTTTATAGCGCAGTATCATACTAACGGGGTCCATACATCCCATGGACTGGCGAATAAGCTTAGCCTTAGCATGTTGTCTACACCAAAGACGTATTGATCAGAGGAACCTTGATTTGAGATCTCAGAACTCGGCTCTCCAAACTCTGGTTGCAATTCTTGCGTCAAACTGTCCACGATTTGTCATCCTTCTCACTCTGAACTAACAGCTCTCACACCGCCAAGTTAATCAACGAGGACTACCTCTTCTGACTTATTATTACCACCTTTCAAGTGTGATCCCAATCAGACCGTCCCACTGCCTGTCTGAAATGGTACATCGACATTCTCGAATGCCGCCTCGCCATTGCCTTCAGTCTAGGATTCCAAAGCTTCCGTTCCTGAGCGGCACCCCTGTCAGTGACAATCTGGAGGATATCAATGGAGAGCTCCGCCTCAGCCTTCTCAAACACATCCGACGACCACGAGACCATCATCACCTTAACCCAACCCTGCGTTCTCGACGTCATAATAGCGCCTAACCTTCTCACGAAACGATCTGCGTCCATGTCAACCATTCTATTGTCCTCAATTCTGCATGCCGCATGTATCAAGCCTGTGTCGACCACGACAAATACTCTTTGTACACATCGAAAACATCTATCTAATATAGTGAACCAGTCTGAGGTAGAAGATGCGCTACTGAGGTCTTGTATCGACACAGAAAGCGGCTCAGCAGTGCTTCCTGTCGTACGGCCTAGCAAAAGAAGTGTTTGCAGGACTAGGGACTGTACAATATCTGTAAGTGTCGGGGTGTGGTCGGACCCTGCAGGCAACGCCCACACTGCTGGTGCCTGTGCGTCAATGACAACATCTAGAAAATCGACCGCGAAGTCCATTGGGCTATTTTTGATCCCATGCCCCTGTGCGATGAGTAATGTGGATTGTTGGCTCGAAGCCCACGCCTCAAGCTTTGGTATCTCGCTATGGGGCATATGCGTTGGCGTTCGCAATCGTCTACGATTCCTCAACGACCGGCCAAAGCCCAGCATTTGTTCGGCATTTCCGTATTCAGAGTCAGAAGACTCCAGAATCTGACGCAAGTTGCCAATTTGCCACTCCAAAAGTAGCATATTTTGCTGGCGTTGATGTATTGTCATTTGCCTCTGAATCATCTGGTTTTCTGTTGATCAATATCTTGCGTCAGTACTTGCGGTGTCAAAGAGCATACGTCTTTACTTACCCACTAGCGTTTGGTTCATCGAAAGAAAGTGATTTTGCATGTATGACATCTCTGATCTGAGTGTTCTTACCTCTAGATGTACATCGCGCAGCTCCGCCTTGAATGCTGCATTTGCGAGATCATCGACGCATCTCGACCGCTCTGCGATCTCGTCTACTATATTCTTGAAACTCAGTTTGTATGGGCTGACGACAGCTGAGAGGGCGTGCTGTAACTTTGACTTTTTATACCACTTGACCGACTCAAGGACGAAGTCAAGAATTTTAGTGTACACACTTGCAATTGCTTCTTGCATCTCCTTGGTCGGATATAGTTCGCATAAAAACTTGGTCCTGGGCAGCACGTTCGCTATATTGGCAATTGCGCGAGCAAACTCTGCCAGAAGCTCTTCATGATTTATGATGGCCTGGATGATCAGCCTACGGATTCCCTAGCCTCGCGTATTAGCCATGTAGTAATGAAAGTGACTTACCGTGAAGAAGAACTTGAAGGCGCCCCAGGCAAGGGACACATACTCAGGATAATGTTGTGAAAGGGTGTCAAAAACGGCTGAAGCGTAGAGAAATATCAGCGCCCTTTGATCTTGCTTCTAAATGAGATGACCTCGATGGTAGGATCTTCAACTCGAGGGGGCAGGACATACGCGCGTAGTAGACAACTCTTGACGAGCAACTTGCTAAAATCGATCTGACTTTGCTCTTTCCGGAGTGGCTTTGGTACTTTGCCCTTGCCTCGAACAGTGCGTTTTGAACATCTTCCATAGAGTTCTTCCCACGCAGCCAGATAAGATCGCAATCACTAGGCGTCATCTCCTTCTTGAGCACCTCGACAGCATTATCGAAAGCTTGTTTGGCTGGATTCGACCAACTACACACACTTTGAGTGTCTGTTGCATTCGTACGAATCATGCAGGAACTGACCGTGTGGTTGATTCGTTGCGATACCATGCAGACAACGTTTGTCTTGAAGTACTCAATTCATCGCACTCCCCTGAGTGGAGTCCTGTTGCGCACTCCTTGTACCTACGTAGTACAATCCCTTGGGCATCCTCTGGCGTCTGCAGTTCTGCCAGGAGACTATTCAAAGATGTCTGCTCTATGCTGTAACATTGTTCCAAGTGGTCTCGGCTACTAGAATCTTGCTGCAACTGGGTAGGCCGGAACAGAGCCATAATGTGAAGGCTCCGACATACAAATGAAGTTCAGCGTATAGTTTTGCGTTGAGTGATGGTCTGACATCTTGATCGTTAGTTCTGATTTTGTCGTGTGATAGGTGTCAGCCTGATGGTGGCAGTGCTTTCGCAGCTACATGCCAACATGCATGCTGCATTGGTACTTGAGCACTCAGCCACACTGTATCTACAGTCGCTTATGCGACTTCAACGCCGTTCCGGTGGTGTCTGTCGCAGGTTCAGACTGCTTCTCCGAGTACATTGGTCAGCGGAAAGGGCCATGAACAAGCCCTAGAGGAGGTGTCTGGCACCAAGCTTAGATGGAATGCTCACACTTGGTGTCAATCTACAGCTACGTATTCTAGCCTTGCTGACACTACTTAAAGGCTGTGCAATTATATTGCCTACGGACCTTGCCTATTGCCTGCAGGGCAGCTTGAATTAGTGTACGTGCCGTGGTAAGCGGCCCAGAAAGAAGGTCGTTAAAAGGGCTCTTCGCCACTTAACAGCGTACGTTTCCTGGGAAATTGGATTCACTCGAACTGTCACGGGTTCTCACTTTGACTGACACGCATTCCGAATCATCGTTCCCTCTAATGTTCAAACTTGCAGTGAGCTGATTAATTGAAGAATTGACAACATAGCTAAGGACAAGTATATATTCACACCACCAGGTAGTATTCTGCAAATCCATATCCTGCGTATACTGATTAGATCAAGATCTTGACACCAGTGCCTATACCATTAACAATGGAACGATGTGGACCTTCGAAGCCGTCATTAGCTGCAGTTTCGCACCCAACTCTGTTCATGCAATCGACCATTTCAAAAGATGATACACTCGGTGCAGCGGTGAAAGAACAGATACTTCTACGGTCCATTCCACCCGCCGGGCTTCCCCCTCCAATGCCAGGTACCAAAGACCGTTCAATTTCTACCACAAGTCGTGACTGACGTAAACCTTTGAAGTTTTCAGAGGCCCACCTTCTATCAGACCACCGATACCTCCACCAGGAATAGATTTCAGAGGCCCTCCACCTCCTATCAGACCACCGAAATCCCCATCAGGAAAAGATGATGAATCATGGGGTTTGGAACCACAGAAGAAAGTGGCTCGACAAGATCGAGAGCAATTTCATCTATCACAGGCAGTAAAAGACAGCCTTGACACTCAAAACGAAGCTGAGCATTCTACCCATGGATCTGGCGATTGGCGAAAGTCGTTGCAGGCTCAGAGGAAAGATGGGCCGTTCGTCACCGATGGTACTGGTCAAGCCCAGCTTCAAGGTCGAGTCGCACCATCTTGGACGGATGAACGAGCCACAACACTGGCAGGGAGGCCAAACATAACTTTTGCATTGAGCTCGCTCGCCGATGAGTACTTGAACATCGATATTCTGGACGAGGACCGAACTTCATCACAGTACATGGCGTTCTTGCTTGACGTTATCCACAATCTGCAAGCAAGGTTAGAGTTTCAAAAGAGAAACATGAAGCCTCTACCACCTCAAAAAGAAGAACAAACCGAGACCATAGCCTTGGACAAGGGACCACGGTTCCTTGTGTTGCATCGGGTTTTTTGTGGAACATCACATCACGATCATGACGCCACGGTGTACGAGGATGTGCCCACACTAATGGACCAGGATAGTGGTGCGCCGCTGGGAGAAGAAATGCTTTGTGGGAAAGTGATAATTAGAGATGTGGAGGCCTATTTAAGGAAGCAGAAGAATGTACACTTTGTCGTCTACAAAGAGTACCGTTGTGGGCATGGGTCAAGTTGGGGAGCGAGGCAGCGTCGTCACACTGACCAGCTCTTGACGGACCCATTTAAGATGACGCGATCTGACATCTCACCACGACAGGAGAGAATGAAGATCGTGTCCCCAACGCTTCAGCGAGCGCTCAATGGAGTCGCCACTTGTAAGTTGGATCAGATCACCTTTGATGACCCCTGTGAGGATAGTGAAGAGTTGCAAGCACCCTATATGTTTCTCTTCCATCATCGTCGACAGCTCCAGGAAGTCGTCCAAGAAAACCAAGTACATGGTCCATCAGTCAAGCTGCTATTAGAATACCTGAACGCCAATTTCGGGCAGGAGTACATCGACGCAGAGGCCATGATTGCTAGAGGATTAGTGGCGGAAAACAACATTGACAAACTTTTCAAACCGAATCAGATCGTCGTTACTCAAGAAAAAGGTATATACAATGCCTACATGCTTGACGAGTGGCCTGTCAAGAAGTCAAATCAACTTATTTTCTCTGGGTGGCAGTGGAGCTACAATGGTCGGAACCTGGAACGCAATGTATGGCGCCACATATTGGACCTCAACTTTCTCGACGAGAAACAGATCAAAAAATTGAATGTACAGCCTATTGAACACGTTGAAGAGGATGTCATCATCAGATTGCGCGAGCGTGGGAACCAGTTCTGGTCTATGAAAAGACAACGCCTCGTGTCTTACGATGGCTGGGACCACCATCACAGTTATTTCTACGTAAGACATTACTTGTGGCAGTATTAATAACACTAATTTAACGTGACACGACTAGTCTAGAGAGCGTTTCATGGTTGATATGGCGACATATGCCAAAATTCACGGGAGCCAACACAGGCCCAAGATTGGAGGGCCTGACCAGTTCGATAGCATGCCAGACATGATCTCGCAAGATGACAACCTCACAGATGATCAGTCTCTTCTTTTGCCTCCGACTATGCATGGATACAGTCTCAGGGAAAAGAAGTGGGGTAAAAAACCATTGCAACCTCTGTTTTACACTCTCGCTGACGATGGTCAGTCTCCATCAATATTGATCAAACGAGCGAGGTCGTTTGGAATAAGCAGGCCTTCAAAAGATTGGTGTTGGATAGCGAAACCAAGGACTTGATCAGTGCACTTATCGACGTGCGGATGTCTGACTCGAAAAAGATGGACGACCTGGTTGTTGGTAAAGGAAACGGGTTGATAATGCTCCTCCATGGAAGCCCAGGAACTGGCAAGACTTTGACAGCTGAAAGGTATTCCGTTTCCTAGCTATGACTCTAACTGAATCTTAATAACGACTTGGTTAAAGTGTGGCTGAATTCGCGGAAAAGCCGTTGTACCGTGTCACCTGCGGAGATATGGGAACCGTGGCCACAACCGTGGAAAAGTACCTTGAGACTGTTCTCTACCTGGCCAAGATTTGGGATTGCGGTGAGTTTTGAGGTTTCTCGTCGTCGTTCAAATCTAACCTCTGAGCAGTTTTACTCCTAGATGAAGCAGATGTATTCCTAGAGGAGAGATCTGTCTCAGATCTTCAGCGAAACAGTTTAGTTTCCGGTAAGCGATTTCATTATGCTCAATACTATACTGGAGCTCGCCTATTTTCTGGAACCTGGGCTCACCATGATGTGCTTTAGTATTCCTCCGCGTACTTGAGTACTACGAGGGGATCATGATTCTGACATCCAATCGCGTTGGTACTTTCGACGAAGCGTTTCAGTCTAGAATACGCGTAGCGCTCAGATACGAACCCCTCACGTTCAAGAGCCGCAAGGCCATTTGGCGAAACTTTTTCGACATGCTTGATGATGATGACGACGACATAAAAGTGAATATCAGAGGGCTCGATGACCGTTTGGAAGAACTCGCGGCTTACAAAATGAATGGGAGACAGATCCGGAACGTTGTACTGACAGCCCGACAGCTGGCCCTGCATCGGCAAGAAAGCTTGGAGTGGAAGCACTTGAGCCAGGTCCTGATCTTGTCGGATAATTTCAGCAAATACCTCAAAGATATTAGAGGAGTCAGTGATGAGACTTGGGCGAAGAGCCAATCGCTACGGTGAAAGTACGGACACCAGTAACAGGGTATACTAAGTTGTGATTGTACGACGCTGTGGGTTCCGGCGGATTTTGGCAAAGAAGAACCATGTTTGGGCAAAATATATGCGCATTTATTGCAGAGAACACTGTCATTAACAATACCTAAATTTTCAATCGTCTTATCACAGGGAATGAGTATCGCTCAGCAGTCAACGGTTCAGCTGGCGTTTATACCTGAGCATTGGCGTGAAAAGTCCCTCTCACGAAGTCTTTCTTATAACGATTGTTTCCAAATCCCGGACAAAGTCATCTCAAGCTACTTATATTGAAGAGATAGATGGTCTAAATTAAATATGTGGCAGTCAGTTGGTTTTTGTCGGCGAGGGCATGAACAAGTCGAAGGTAACTTCTGCTGACTTGGATCCTTTCAGGGCAGCTCCAATCCCAATAGAATGGACGGAAAGAGTAGAAAGGAGGACTGGTACACAATCTGGCCTGCCCTGCACCGGTACCTATGAATCGGTGTTTAAAAGCCATTAGCGGTGAAGAGATTCGAAAGTAAGCCGCGTTTCATGTTTCTGTCTTCGGGCCGGAGCATCTCATCCAAGAGGAGAACCAGCTTGGCTACCGAACCCAATCACGTGTCCGACACCGGGACTCAATATAGGCTTGGTCTGTTTACATCCAACCAAATTGACACAACCCAGCCTGGATTGCCCAAATCTCATCTAGCCACCTTACACAGATCCTTGTGAACAGGACACAGTTTCTATCTACGTGCGACCAACAACCTGTCATGCCGCCTCTGTATCCAGACCCCGCCTCGATGCCGCCACTTCCTATTGAAGAGGAAAGGATCTTGGAGCTGATTCACACTGCCCTCGACACAATGCACAAACAACCACTACCGTACTTCTATTCAGGCATCGATGCGGTTATTACATGACTTGTTCAGGTTGGCATGAAGATTTCTGCGAAGCACGAGGGCCAAGCAGTCGAAGAGAAGCTGAATGGCATGGCTGAGGTCAGTCGCGTCCTAGGGGCCGTCAGAGCGCTCATCGACAGCCATCTTATCCGGAATAGGCGCGAGGTCGCCATCCAGCGCTGCGTCACTGGGCACCTTACTCTCTGGCTCAGCATGGTTGACGCGTGGCTGTCGTGCTGTGAACAGTTTGCCCGGAAGAACAAGAGGCATTTCTCGGCCGAGGTTGCGGTGTTTGAGGATCCTCAGAGGGAGCTCACTGCCATTGCTCGGGAGCATGGACCGGACAAGTCGTACGGTTTTGACAGTTTTGTACAGCTATTTGACTACTTGGGATTGATTAATGCGTGAGTTTTCAGTTGGACAAATGCCATCAATGACTAACGTCCTGACGTTTAAGACGCTTGGAAGAGATGAAAGCCTCCGTGGAAAACATACAAGAAGTGTCGTTTTTCGAATACGTCTTGGAAAAGTTTCTCGTTCTCAAATACCTACGATGGCCGTGGAGGTGAGGAATAAGTCCAGAGACGGCTGAAGATGTGTTACGACGATTGCGGCTTACTCTGCAAGTTGCATATATTTTGATGTTTTCATTACAATGCTGTCCACGACCAGGTCGTCTACAGATTTTTAATCGCCTAGGGATAATAACAGAAAGGACCATACATGTCTAAGACTGAGTTTAGGTGACGGCGTTGGCTAAAGACAACTATTGGATAGTCAGTCCTTGGGTCGTAGATTTGTCGATGCATAGTCCAGTAACCACGCCAGGACAATTCGCAGGGAACCGCTTACAGGCCAAGTACAATATGTCATTCGAACCAATTGAGATGTGTCTTCGCATGGTGTTTTCGTAGGGCGTCAGTACAAGCTCACGATGCGCAATCGCGCGTCCTGACCACTTGCAGGTGGCAGGCTTTGGGGGCCCGTCGTTCGTCGGCGATCATCCTGGAGCTAACCGCGAGTCTCCTTGCTGCGGCTGCGACCGGAGCAATCAAAGAATTTGAGTCAGTTGATTCAGATGTGAGATTAGGGTCAAGTTGACATTCGCTCTTGTCCATGCATCCTCTACGCGAAAGCGCATGACCACCTGATTGTCCAGGTACAATAGGCTGCCCCTGCGAGTTGCCCCTCTAGCGGGTGGTTGCCGGCTTTAGCGCCCGCCTCCAGCGGACCAGGCGCCCGGGAGTGGTTATTCGAATGCGGGCCGCGCCGTGATTATTCGAATGAGGCTCAACGACGGCGCAACTACACAGCGACTTGACTATACTGCGCATGTATATGTATAGTCGCATTGGCTGGGATATTGGGTTGGAATGTAACGGCTTCATTGACTGGCACCGGATTGATGTGTGCTGCGAGGAATCTGCACGTTTGGTCAAGTCGATGCGCTTTCGATCAGGACCGCAATGCAAGTTGGCCACCCGTGCGAGCAAATATTGTGGACATGGCGGCCTATAGCATATGGACATAATCTGCCTCGGTGCTTGCATCCATAGGTTCAGATACGGTATCAAACCATTTGTCCAAAAGAGGGCGTTGCTGTTGAGCAGAATCGCAAGAAGGGCCAAATTGCTGCTGTGGGCCGCCATCTCGGTCCCTGAGATCGTCAGGTTGAAATTGATGTGCCTCTCCCAGAGTTCTTCGTGGCGCGATCAAACTTGCCAAGAGCAATCTTCAGATGCCGCTGAGCGTATCTATTAACTCAGACTTACAGCATGCCGCCGCGAGCCGGCTCAGAGTCCTGGTGTCGCCGCCTCTGGTGGCGCGGCTTTGGCAGCGAGAACCACATGCCAAGATCCGCGATAGCTCGCTCACCCGTCATCGAAACGCGCCCAAACTCTAGCAAAATGAACTGCGGACGCACCAGAACGTCCAAGCGTGCGCAGAATGGCGGGCTGCCGTCGAAATCCCGCCGAGAAAGTCGAGTGTCGCCGCGGGCCCGCCGCCCTCCAAACCCGTGCGCCAAGACCGGCGATATCTCACCCAATCCTCGCCCGACCACGCCCAAACTCGGCAAAAAGGCAGTTCCCGCCGCGCAGAACGTCGCTGCGCACTTGGAACCGCGAAAATCGGCCCAAAACCGCCAAAAAGCTGAAGAATCCATCTCCCCCACCTGGGCTCGAACCAGGAACCTCCTGATCGCTCGGCGCCGTCGGCCGGGGCCGTCGGAAGCACCTAACAGTCAGACTCGCTAGCCAATTGCGACATGGAGGATGTTCTTGGATGAAGAAACGGCATGGTATCGCGGTCCATAAGCCAGGAGGGGGCCAGGTGGCCGGTTGGGCGAGATTGGGGCGGATTGGCGGGTGTGGGCGGGCTAGGGGGGCTTGGCAGGGACGGGACGGCGAAACCTCGCGTAAAAGAGGGCTAGGAGACGCTAGGGGACGCTAAAAAGCGCGGGAAAGGGCCGGAAATGGTGCAGAACGGCCGCAGGGGGCGGCGGACGGCGTGAGGCGAGCTGGCAGTCCGGACGGGCGATTGAACGGGATCTGGGGCACCAGACTGCTCTGAGAGTGCGGGACGAGCGCCGATGAAGTCTGGACGGGACATTCTTGTCGTTAAAAGGCTGGTTTTAGTTGTAAAGTGCCTCTACGGTGAAGCGGCAGCGTTGGTCGCTGTAAGCGGTGGATCAAGCAGGAGTTTTCGCACTGAGGCTTCTGTTCAGCAATCAACACGCATACGACGAGCAACGGCGAGGGCAGACAACAGGAATCATCAGTGGAAACAGGTCATCTGCAGCCATCGTCTGTGAGATGTCACACTTGGGAGCGACCTGCCGCGGGACTGGCTATGCGGACTACTGGTGACGCAGAGTCTTGACTACGAGATAGCCACACACATGTACACCGATGAACGGCAGGAAACGTCGCCATGCCATTGTGATGCCCAGGAGATAATTGCCTAGTCACTGACCGACAATTTAGTATTGATTTCATCCGAGTTGGCCGGACGCGGTTGTATCATATAGCTTCTTGCCAAAGGGTGCGATCGGATCGTGCGATCGCACCCTATGGATGTTACACGGAGACGCGGTTTATTAACTGTCTTATCTCATATGCTGCCATAGCGTAGCAGAAAGCGGCGAACATATTTCTGATCCGGTTCCTCTCTAACCATACGCATAGTATTCCATAGCTTTCAAGCGCCAGATTCTAGTTGCACTTTCGTCCACCCGCTCTGACCCTGCGATTATCCCGAAGCAAAATCATCCCCTGCATCTAGCCTCTTCTTCAAATACTTACCTACGTTGCACATGGTAAGCGTTCTCTATGCTAGAAGCTCACTCCCAGTTCGACACGTGCATGCCCGCAGAGATCAGAAAGCAACATTCTGAAGCAATATCCCTTGTAGCTCATGTCACACTCGTTAAGGAACCACTATGAGCTTCCACTTACAAGCAATGGCCACTCCGGCAAGTCTGGTGGTGGCAGTGGCAACGTACATTAATATGAGGGCTAGTATGGCCGCGGATTCTAAAAGACGTGCCCATAGCAAATATGATCTGTGGTACTCCTCCACAAAGGCTCAAGCGCCATATTCTGTAGTAGACGAACAGTCACAATTCCAAGCCGGGAGTTCACAATTACCACGTTCAGGCCGAATTACATCGCGACACATGTCTTGAAGTCAAGCTGGGCGGTGATTTTAATAACGGGAACTGAATTGTCCAATTCCTGGGATCGATCAGGATATGAGACAGGATTAGGGACAAGAAACCCCCTTACATCACACCCTACTAACGCCTAGCCGTATCATTGCCCACTCATGTAACCTCAATACGGTGTATCATTGTATTCAATTCAAGTCATCTACTACCACAGAATCTAAAGTATAAACGTGCATGTGCCTACCGAAGAATTAACCCCCTCCGTTCATTCGACTGAAAATATCAAATCTCTCATATTTAAATCACTCTAGTCTTCTTGCTCTGTATCCTGTGGTTCTCCAAGGTAAAACTCCACATCTTCACGTGAGGATCAAGATGAAAACTATCGATCGTCAACTCCACTGACTCGCCCATCCTCTACCTGGAAGCGTACCTTCTTTGAAGGGCTTGGCTCGCCGATGCCGCCTAAAGACATCTTATGAACCTCCGCGGTCGTTGGGTTTCCAAGAACCAGAGGCGGCGGCCGCGTACGCCGGAACGATCTGACGGAACCGTGACTGCTTCCTTTCCCGTTGGCTCCCGTGGACCCGCCTGCCTTCTGAGACCCTCGATCTACCGACCTTGATCGTGCGGACGACCTATTTGACCCGCCACGTTCGCTGTGCCTGGTTGAAACGCCTCCGATGGCGCCCGCGTTCCCGCCTGGGACTGCACCAGACCCCGGCTCCGGGGGCCGCAGGCGGTTGAACGATCGAATGGACTCGCTCCGCCGGCTATGTTGATCAGGCTGCAATGGCTCCTTGTAGGTCGCAATCGGGTTGAGGTTTCTGCGGCTTGCTGGGAAGATCTCCTTTGGAGGCTTGCCCTCCTCCGAGTCTGAAGGCGATCGCACTCCCAGGTATTGGTCCGAATCCGTCGAACTCCCGCCCGTGGCACCGGAGTCTTCCTTGAGCGTCTTCAGGCCACCCTTGAAGGTAGGGGATTTTGGCGTGCTCACGGAGATGGCAGAATCCACAGAGGCCCTGTTATCAGATCTCGGTTGTGATCGTGGCTCTGGTTGTCGTGGCTCCGGTTCTAGAGCTTCGGCCGTAGGTTTGGGAGGGGTGTTACCATTGGCCCCGCTCATGTAAAAGAAGCCTGGATGAGGACTTGTGTCGTGTGATACCCTTTCCCATGGTCTAGGCTCGACATATCGTGGTGGCGCCTGGTATGAATCAGAAATCGCAGGAGGAGGGGAAGGAGCAGGACGGTGTGGAGGCTTTGGTCTTGTGACAGGTTCTGGCAAAGGTGACTTCCTGCGAGGAGGGTTCTTGGGGGGAGGCTTTTGAGAACGCTTCTTGGGGGGTTTCTGGGGAGGAAGGCGTTCCAACCTGGGAGGTTTCGCAGGAGGAGGCTTCTCATGAGGAGGCTTCTCATTAGGGTGTTGCGCATAAGGACCCTTGAGAAGAAACCTTTGAAGAGTGATGCTGTGGCCATTGTACGGTAGAGGTACATGCTCTTGACCTTTTCCGTGATCATCTTTCGCCTTGTTTGACTTGGGTACTTGTGGAGTCTTGTCTTCTGCCACATGAAGTGGAAGCAGGTCCACCTGGGAATGTACGGATCTTCTCCGATTATGGTGATGCCCGCAGGGTTGGTGGTGCCGCTCCTTCTCTGGCTTTTTGTGATCATGATGTGACTTGGAGTGATTTGATTTATATTCCCTCAGGATAATCTCCCGCGGTGGGGGACGGGGAGGATGCGGCGGGCAGCGGGCACGATCGTGATGCTCGGCAGAAGAACTGCTATGCCTCCTCTTTCTGTGGCTTCGCCCTCGCTCGGCATGATGTTTCCCGAGTTGTGTCTCCACGATTATCACGTCATGGGCGGTGGAATGTCTCGGTCGGCGTACGTGCTTGTTCGCATGAACTTTGTGTCTGTAATTGTGCACGCTGTGCCGTCGTCGGCGTTTGGGCAGTTCATGAAGCCCGAGCCAACAGAGCCACCACGCCTTTCCTCTTCCTCCATACTCAATGACATCTGGCAGCCCTTCTCGCACGACACATTCCTGTCTACAACTCAAGATCAATGGATGCGGTGCCGACGCGTATTCCAGAAGAGCCGCAGCATCGTAGGCATCGCGTACCCGGGCACCCCACGCCCGATGGTAACCACAAGAATCGATCTTGAGAACGATCAGATCGGAAAGAGATATGTAGGGGAATACACCCGGGCGGATATCCTTCACAGGCCACGCAGAAGCTGGAAGATAGGCAACCTGTTTTGGACAAAGGATTAGCAGCAGAAGGACGGCTTTCCAATGGGGAAGCGGCCACGCACCGAATCCTCAGAGATGATGCGAATCTCAATCTCACATCCCGTAGGACTCTGGTACCAGAGACTTCGGCCAATCTGAATGAATACGGAGCGCGGGTACTGCAACAGCCGCCTCCTGACGAAACTTGGTGAGACCGAAGCGTCAATGAGGAGGTCGATATTCTAGATAGTGTGTTGTCAGCCTACAATATCCTCAAAACGCAGCTCCCTACTGATCAAGAAGACATCCTACATCAGTCCTTCGTTGTGTTGGCAAGTAATTCCACACTGCCAGACCGCCTATGATCGCGACTTTGGTATGGCCCAGTCCTGGAATATGCTTGATCATACGGATCGTCAGGGCAGCCGTCTCCTCAAGCTCACGGAACGTGGGGGCCGCCATGCTGTTTCACTCATTGCCGAAAGTTGCTTTGCCTTGCTGTGCTTTTCCACGTGGGCATACACTTCCCTTTCATCCCAAGTCGTTCATCCCAAGTCTTCGGAGTATATAAGAGAGTTTGTGTACCGAACGTGAGGTCATCCCAACGAACCTTAATAAGCAGAACACTTTTCGACAAGACAAGCATACCCTGCACGTAAACTGCTCTAGAGGCTCATGATGAGTTATTACAGTTCGACTACGAGTATCCGGGACTGCTTCCGCTGGTGCCGCTTGCATCTCGTCTTGCAGTAACCGGACACAGATACCCGCTTCCTTATTCACTCCCAGAACTCAATATGCTGACCGCCCCTGAATGCATGACTCCTTTCCCACGCGTGACTCCTTGACTCCCACATGCCATCACATGTATGTAATTATCCCAAAGCTCAACGACGCCTTCAACAGAAACATGGTACAAGGGTCGTACCGGAACGCCCAATAACCTTCGATATGCTGCAGCAAGACCCCCTTTTCTCCCTTACAATGCATTAAAACACCATAACATACCAACATTACCAATATCGATTGCTGATCGATCATTCATTCATTCACAGTAACCTTAGGTAATCGGTTTCCACTCTGGACTTGAGAACCAACGCAGGCTGCTGGGGCGCTCCCTCGGTCTTGTCATCAAACCCGAAATCCGCGCCAACCTCATAGGCAAAGGACATCTTGATGTCTTGAAGCAGTTTACATACTTCGGAGGAGTCGCGGGCTGGTTCGGCAAGCCTCAGGAATCCGTGCTTGGCCCTGTCATTCTCGACGCCATTCTCCGAGTTGGAGTCCAGGACCAGATAGACCTCCGAAACTCTCGGGAAGCTCTGCATCAAGGCGTACTTGTTGTACGTTTCCCATGGTTTCCTAATGGCAGGGTTTACATGGTCGAGAGCCAGGTTGGAAATATCCGCTGCGCCCGTCACAAGTTGCGTGAAATCCCTGGCATTGTCGTCGTATCCCATATACGTTGGTCGCGGTATGTAGAGTGTGTCCAGATCGGGATGGAAGTATATGTTTGCGGCGTAACTGATTGTACCAAAGAGCGGCTTGTAGACGCGGGAGGCTTCACGTCTAGACTCGGTGCATACATGAAGAGCCGCGGGTTGAGGTGTGTTGGTCGTGCATATGTCCTGCGCTGCATCATAGTATACTTCCACCACACGTGGTTGGCAGCAGGTATACTGCCAGATCTCGAGTCTTATTTCGGCAGGCAGCGAGGAAAACAAGTGAAAATAGCCTTCTTGGCCCGCCATGGCGCAGGGCACGGGTGACATGTACAGAGCGAATCACGACACAAGAAGTAGAATACAAGACAGCGTGATAGGTGGAAGGGGGGCCGCGTCTTGAGATGTGTCGTACGATCGAGACACAGTCATGACCCTGGGGCAGGTTGGGCTGCTTGAGGATTATAAGCAACCTAGGGAGGGTGGGAGGAAGCCTTGCCTCCCCTACGCAATCGCAGCAACTTATACGGTAATGGGCATTGGCCCCATCACCCGGCCGGCAACGAGCAAGCCAGCCATCTTGATCAAACTTTGAAGGGGGTCACCCCTGCATAGCTTTTTGCATGTGGTGCCCCATCTCCGCCTCGCCTCGGGCAGTGTCGCCGTAATGGCAGATCCAAGAAAACCGTTTTGCGACAGGGTCCAGGTCCTAGGGCTGAGAGGAGGGCGGCCACGCGACTTGTACAATGACGGCAGACAAGGCATTAGGCCAAACTGAAAAATACCATGGCTGCCTCAGCTCACTTGGGCTATTTCGGGGCTGTCGTGACCGTCTTGCCTTTGTTCGCAGGCGCCCTCCATTGCTGGAACGGGATCCTGGTTCAGGGTCAGGGCCAGGAAAACCGTCGACTCTTGCTTTCTGGGGATTCCGTCGAGGACGGGGGCTGCCCGCCCATGCCAATGATCAATAAGATCTGCGATCCGATTGACGACGGAAGGGGCCATTTAGGTCGCTGCTTTGTCGCCAGGGGTTCCTATTCGAGGAGAAACGGCCGCGGTAAAAGGGGATCATGGTGCCAAAGAAAGAAATCGTACGATCTTCAGAAAACTGTACGGCGTCGGGTGTGCCTGGTGGCCTGGCATGGCCGTCTAAATTGCTCGGAAGGGTGTCGACGAGCCCGGAGACTTCCGATCTGCGGGTGTCCAGGCCGCCCAGGCCACCCAGGGGGGGGGGGGGGGCCAGCGCTGGGGGCGCCCGGACGCTATGCGTGCGCTGTGCTGGCGGGCGCTACGCCCCAAGCAGCAGCATTCTAGAACCCGCAGACCTGGTTCGCCCAAAGGGCTCACGCGAGCATGACAGCCTCAAATTTCATCCGATTTTCACTTCAAGCAGGCAATCTCCAGCCCATATGCCACTTCATGCTGCGTTTAGCTGCGGAAACTAGTCAGACGGTCTTGCTCAGCAGAAGTTAGCGTCCGGAAGAATCCATGATCGAGGAGCAGAATTGGCCTAGCTGACCGGCAAAACCCACCTTGCCAAAATCAGGTCCTACGCCTGCGTCCTGCAACGGGCATTGAACGGCGATAGCAGCACGCACACGGAACGGTCATAGCATAGCAGCCTGCTGCAACTCCAGGGCTGTCCATTCAGCAGCGACCGAGCCCGTCCGGAACTGCTCCCGTACCTGCGAGGTCCCATTGACCCACCCACTCATGCACCAGGATCCCGTTGAGGCCAGGGTACCTACCTAGGAAACTCCAAGATCTGACAGGACCGACGACTACCAGAGAGGGGATGCTCAAGAGAATGGCGAACGTCATAGCATCACAGTCCTCTGCGGCCCTTACATTTGACCTGGTTGCCCGCTGCTCTGTAAGATTTGACTCAAACCCAGAACCGTGCAACGACGCCGTGAGCCCTAACTAGTGCCAGACAACCCGGGCTCGGGCCTCCATCTTGACGCTGCCTCATGGAACCGTCCAGCTGCCGATTTTCATGCCCGTGGCAACACAAGCCTCACTCAAGGGCCTGACCCCGGAGCAACTGGAGGAGACAGGATGTCGTCTCTGCCTCAACAACACCTACCACCTCGGCCTGAAACCAGGACAGGAGGTCCTCGCGGCCATCGGAGGCGCGCACAAGCTTCAGGGATGGAACCACAACATCCTCACTGACAGCGGCGGGTACGGCACGCTCATCTCACAACGGACGCGGTGACTTTTGAAACTAACTCGACTTGGGCAGCTTTCAGATGGTGAGTCTGCTCTCTCTTGCCACCGTCACCGAGGAAGGCGTTCGGTTCCTCAGTCCGCATGACCGCACGCCCATGCTGCTGACCCCCGAGCACTCCATCTCGCTGCAGAATACCATCGGCAGCGATATCATGATGCAGCTCGACGATGTCATTGTCACGACATCGCCGGATAAGGCACGCATGCAAGAGGCCATGGAGCGCAGCGTGAGGTGGCTGGACCGCTGCATCGCTGCCCACCAGAACCCCACGACGCAGAATTTGTTCTGCATCATCCAGGGTGGGCTGGATCTGGAGATGAGGCGTGACTGCTGCAGGGAGATGGTCGCCCGGGATACGCCGGGGATAGCCATCGGGGGTCTCAGTGGCGGAGAGGCCAAGGCGGATTTCTGCCGGGTTGTAGCCACATGCACGGAGCTCCTCCCCGAGCTCAAGCCGCGTTACGTGATGGGTATCGGCTACCCTGAGGATCTGGTGGTGAGTGTTGCGCTTGGTGCCGACATGTTCGACTGCGTGTGGCCGACGAGGACCGCTCGGTTCGGGAACGCCATCACCAAGAATGGAGTCTTGAACATCAAGAACTCCAAGTACGCCATCGACTTTGGACCTATCGAGGAGGGATGCGGCTGCATCTGCTGCAGAAAGGGAGAAGGCGGGATTGGTGTCACGAGAGCCTTTGTTCACCACAACACATCCAAGGAAACCGTGTCCGCTCATCTCCTCAGCATACACAACGTTTGGTATCAATTGCAGTTGATGAGGGATGTTCGGACCGCCATCATTGAGGACAGGTATCCGGCGTTTCTGAGGCAGTTTTTCGCTGACATATACCCCGACAAGGCTCAATATCCCGACTGGGCCGTCGGCGCTCTCCAAGGCGTTGGGGTTGACCTGCTTGCGGATTAGACGTGGACATCATAAACTTCTCTTCGCGTTTTGACGTTTTGAGATACCCGTAGACTTATCCATACATGCCATTTTCGGTCATTCGGCTGGGTGAATGAGAGAAGTACATCCGTAAAGCTTTGTGTAACTGGGCCATTTCGTCCTTATGCCAACGAACGACGTGACAAGTATGTGGGTGTCTTATATTGTCATTATTGGATATATAAAAGTGGCTCACAAGATTACGGCAGCTCTCGGATCCAGCCCCAGTCCAGTCGATCTCTGATCCTACAAAGACAGTAGGACTATGGCAGCCCCAAGGCACCCAATAACTGACCAAATACGGCCGCGCAAGCCTATTACGATATGAAGTCGAGTAGCCGAAGGACCTACGGTCACGGTTACGGGAGTGGGTATCGATATGGCCATTCCAGCCACATGCAGCCTAAGTCTTAGAGGGCTTGGTCAGGAGTCCGGTGTTTCCCTGCCACGAATTTATTGACAGAAAAACATGCAGACGGGGTGTCTTAGGCACCGGGCAATGTCTACCTCTGGCGCGTCGTACGGATTCCCGAGAGCTCGAGCAAGGCTATAACATCCTCGGAAGTCTGGCAATCCAATTACCCCCGGGCCTCTTGTAACGGCGGCTACGGCAGCAGCGTTGAGGAGCGCCGGAGCACTGAAATCGACCGATACTTAACCTAGGAGCCATACGCCTGGAACTAATAAGCGAGCCATGGCCAGGATTTTCTAGTAGAAGGAGCTTGAGCAAGCCCTTTTCGTGACGCAACCTGGGCATTGTAAGCAGCGTATTAGAGGGGACACCTTCTATAGACGGATATAGAAATTCTAGCGGAGGTCATGCTAGATTCTGCATTGGAAGGCTGGGGAACAGTGTAGGCTACTGCCTTAGTAATCATGGTGTGACAGGCCGAGCAGGCGGCGGAGACTAATACGACAAAGCTAAGTCGCGATTATACAGGGCAGTGTAATCATATAGTCCAAACCCTTGTGGTTTTACTAGTGGCATTTCCCGAAAACTCGTAGTTGGGCCTAGCTATACCCCCGGATGAATAGAACGCCCGAAACACAGGTCAGCAATTCGTCTTTGCAGCAGAGAGAGCCTCAGACTTGGAGATGTGAGAACCTAAGAATTGGAATTGAGCGATCCGGACTTGAGGCGGAAGTTGATACTGGGCTGGTGGGAGCTGCAAAGACCACTGACATGTAACCCGTATAGGTCAAAATCCAGCCCATGAAGCCCAAGACCCTGAGTCAGCTACTTGGCGAGATTGAAGTCGTCATTTCATTGTGGATTCTTATCTTGCAGTCTTGGTTGTTCACTATTGCATTCGGAGGTCGGCCATTAATGTACAGGCGCTTTAGATGGAAGCAATAATGAACGATATACTTAATCTACCCTTCTCGGGACTTCTTGTTACGAGCACCGTTACTCGAGTTCGTGGGTAATCATGCTAAGCCGCGGCTCGTTCGGAACCAACCAACCAGCTGTTCGGACGGATCAAGCGACAAACACAAAACGGGCGGGAAAGAGGTTCGGCTGAAGTCCAGCTATTGAATTTGCGGACCGAGTCAGCCCTCCGCGGACCTTGACCAACTCGGGGTTTCCTATGCGAGCGACTATCCCAACAGTGACCTCGAAAGGGAGTCTCGACGCTTGACCTATTCTTCTGGCAAATCTCGATAAAGTACGAGTCATAGAAGTGCAGCAAACGGCCACGCACCTAATGTCGGTATCAAACAAGCCAAGGAGACGTAACCAGCCAGGGCATACCCACGCGCTGATCTCGTTCATTCCAAGGCTGGGGGCTTTTGCGGGGTGATACTACTCACATGGGTCTTGCAACCCCACATTGGCGCTCGTGAGACTGACGACCTGGAACTCGGCCCTGTAGCGGATTGATGAATGCTGCAAGCTTTGGTGCTCGTTTCCTCCCCCGACCGACGGACCTTCTGTCTTCTTGAATGTCCTAGCACTCGTGTGGAGTGTATCAAGCTTGTTTGGCACATGTAGCCAAGTTCCCTCGTTGTTCCGGTAAGCTATAAACGGAGCTGCGTGCCCCACCACGCTACCAGTTTCCTGCATCTTTCGCAAAAGCCAACGCAGTATAACTTGTTGCGTCTCCGGCGTCAGAGGTGCTCGAGACATAGCACGCCGCTGCGCCCTTGGACAGAGCTTCTTGCCAACAGACCCTCGGGACCGAGATTATATACAAGCCGCCATGGCCACCAAATCAAGCGAGAAGGCGACAAGCGCCATGTCCAAGCTATCACTCGACTCCCCCAAGTCCAAACCGGCCGCCAAGACAAAGAAACCCGTTGTTGCCGACTCCTGGGAGGACGAGTCCTCGGGCGACGACGAGAACGGCGAGAACGCTGCATCCATGAACCAACAGCAAGACCTTGACACCTCCAAGGCGAGATCCTCGTCCTCGGGCTTCGCCGCTCCGCCGCCCACCCCCAGCTCGCCGAGCTACAGCTCCGGTGCGCCGTGGCAGTCGATGATGGGCGGGCCAGACTCGCCTGACACAGCTGCGAAGCGGCCGGAGAAGACGGACGCCGTGGCGCGGCGCATGATTGCCAGCGCGCTCGGGGTCAAGGCGCCGCGCCTGACGGAGGAGCAGAAGGCGTACGAGCGGGCCATGCGGGACAAGGAGCGCAAGCGGCGCGAGGAGGAGAAGGAGCAAGAGAGGCGCAAGGCCGAGGAGGCCGAGCGGGCCAAGATCGCAATGTGGGAGGATTGAAAAGAAATCCGAGACAGACAAGGATACACCCCCCGGAGGAATTGCTCCCTCCTGTGTCAAGACACAAGGCGGCGCATAGGGAAGCAAGGGTGAGACCACTAGAGTGGTTGAGTCCATTGATATCATTGAGTTGATATCGTCATGATGAGAGTACGATGCGTATGGGTTTGGCATTAGCGAATTCGGCTTTGTGTGTTTTCATATTTTTCTTCTGGCAGCTTGATATACGAGAAACAAGCACGAATCAAAGGACAAGCCACTCAAAAGGGACGCGGGCTGCAAGCTCGACTGAGTACGCTCGCAGGAGGATATTATGTTTAAACGAAGATCAACGTTGCTACATGATGGCACGTTTTTAACATGGACGAAAGACCTGTCATATACAACAAAAGTAGACGCTCACGCTCCTTCACAGGTAGACTCCAAATTTTCTGGATTGGACAATACACATGAACATCTACTGCTATGACGCAAACTAGCCAATGGTGTATTCTCTAAGCTATGATATCCAGGACGAGCGTACCCGGCTAGTGAAGATTCATAGGTATTGTTAGTGTGAGCTCTTCGCCATAGCATCAGCTCGCAGCTGAAATACTTTCTTGACAGAAGGCCGAGCAGCAATCCTCTCATACCACGCATCATAGTTCTTAAAGCCCTTGAACCGATCGATTTTATCCGCAAACACCATGCGTGCGGTGGACTCCCAGGCGATAAAGGAGATATCGGCGTAGGAGCTTCGTCGCGTATTAGCCAAATTCGGCCAGCTCAACCTGTATAGAAGATAGTAGCGAAAGAACTACACTCACATCTTATCTCCGACAAGATACTGCCTGTCCTCTAGGATCTTGTCCAGCACGCCCACGACGCGAAACATCTGCTCCTCGTACCGGCTAATGGCGCTCTCGACCTTCTCCGGGTGGAACCTCGTGAACCATGCATACTGACCGTAGTAAGGGCCCTGGCCAGACATCTGGAAGTGCAGGAATTGCTTCTCGTGGAACTTGTTTGGGAATGAGGTGGAGCTGATCTTATGCTCCTTATCGTACGTCTCCACCAGGTACTCGATGATTGCACCAGACTCCCACAGCGTAATGCCCGTGTTCGGATCCTCGATGGTCGGCACGCGGCCGTTGGGGTTGAGCTTGGTGTAGGGCTCGTCCTTGATGGTGGCTATGTTCACAAAAATCTGTACGATGGTCATGTGTTAGTCGGATGGCTGAGTTTTTGTACGGCGTCACGGTAATGGCCTACGTGATTGTAAGGCAGACCGAGCTCTTCAAGAATCATCACGACCTTCCATGGGTTGGCGCTCGAGTCTGTGAACTTGTCAGTCAGGGAAACCTTTTTGGCTAAGCTTCCTTGGACACACCATGGCCATGGACAGTGATGGGCTTCAAGCTGGCCATAGTGAGTGATTTGAAAATTATTGAACTGGGTGAAAAGGGGCTTTAATTTGGGGGCCTCAGTGCTTTATCAAACGGAGATGCCTAGGAGATCGATGGGGTTTCAGTTGAGCACAAGAGGCAACATGTCGCCTAGACCGGGCGGTATCTATACACATGGACTTGATACTGCTGACAAACTCCCATCTTCCACCTATTCATAAGCAAGGATCAATATGTTCATCCGATTACAAACTACGAGCGCCAGGATGTTGTTTAGATCGTGCCACATGCTTCTCTAGAGACTGTCGAGATATTCTAAGCATCATTGAGACACATTGCGTGGATCTCTGACGAATCAGAGAGCTTACCGCCAAGACCCACTTCCCTATACGACGTGGCCGCAGGGATGTACAAAGTCGTAGGTGCTTGACAAACATCGACTCCATCTAGTTGTGCATTGTATGTCGGCGCGCGATTCATTGGCTCATCGATTGTTCGTTGGAAGGGACAGGCTTTCCCTTCCAGGTCAGGACCAACTCCTGGTCTGAGCTAGCTTCAGACAAACGAACGCCAATACCCATTCCTGCAAGCCCTTCTTCCTCTGCCCTCGAATTCCAGAGCATCTGCTGGACCGCTCCATCAGATGAACAAGAGATGAAGCCCATGGGCCACTTACTGCGGCCTAGGGACTCGCGGATCCCTTTGGTCGAGGGCCGGTGCGTGACGAGCAATCCTATGACGCTGGAGCCACGCCAGCCGGGAGGCGCACCGGTAAAGGCGCCTTCAATCTCACGAACCATGGACGGGCCGATCCTTGTGTTCGCTGACGAGACCTTGCACTGCAAAAGCACACGCAGCGGGCGGGGGGCGGAGGGGACAGCCCACGTCCCGAGCAGGTCGATGCCATAGTCGCCAGCGCGGCCGATTCGGGTCAGGTCGAACCCGAACTGGCGGAGAGCGGCCGCTACGGTGTATTCATAGCGGGTGCCCACGTAGACGGTCGCATTTTTATCCAGGCCGATGCGCGTTGCGTACGCCTCATAGGACGGCACGTCATGGTGTTCCTTGCTGGAAGGGTCCGGATATCTGAGTTCCTCCTCTGATGTGGCCGGACGTGGGCGTAGGGGGGAGGTGTGAATCAAGCAGCGACGCGCTTGCAGAGGCCTTGAATAGTAAACTCTCGAGTAGGGGGCAAGCCGGCGGCTATGAGGCAGCGACAGCCTCGTACCAAGTCTCATGTTTCATGCTGAACAAGCAGTTCCTTCGGTCATGTTTGCAAGCGTGGTGTTGCAAGTACTGGATAGTACAAGAAATTTTGAACCCCTGTACCATCCAACCCTTGGAGGAGCTATGACCACTGAAATCAAGAGGCGCGCTTGCTGAAGATCCCTGCAGCGCCCAAGCCCGGCCGGTAGTCTACTGTAAGTACCTAGGTATTAGCGACCCCACGCCGGAATCGACGTACTCAATCCGTTGGTTAACTTAGGTCGCGTCACAGCAGATCGCAAACCGACGAGAACTTCACACTGCTTGCCGTTCGTGTCGCAACAGCGAGATGGGGGACCGGCTCACCCAGCTGCAAGACGCTGTCGACCAGGTTCGCAATCCTGCCATCGTCCGGAAGAGACCGCCCTACTGACCCGTTACTTTCCCAGCTCGCGCAGCAGTTCGTTGCCAGTATTCACTACATCAACCGACACCACAGCCTCGAGACCCTGAGGCCGGGCGATCAGGTCCGTGAATCGAATAAGGAACCGGAGCAGAACGAAGGTTAGCCCCGGGCCCGTGCCCCTCCGAAGGAAACAGGTGCCTGTGCCTTCGTTCAGCATCGGTACTAACCGATGGTGCAGTTGACCCCCATCCGGCCGATGTCTTCAAAGCCGCCCAAGTCGAGCTCGCCCAGGATCTGATCACGAAAGAGCAGCAGATAGAGTATCTAATATCTATTCTGCCGGGCCTAGACAACAGCGAGCAGGACCAAGAGCGCAACATCAAGGAGCTGGAAGAGGAGCTGAAGGTCGCCGAGGCCCAGAGGCAAGAGGCCGTCAAGGAGAGGAAGGAGATCATGGGCCGGTTGGACACAGTCATTAGGAGCATACGGCGTCCATGAATGCGGCAGGTCTCATCGTTACGGTTCGGCATAAGGCTGTACCCCTTGGAAGCACAGGTTCCTGTCAATGTGCTTGCCCGACCTGTTCCTCGACTGTTCAACCTTACCGCCACGTTGCAAACGTTGCCTGCTGTCGACGTTTTGCCTAAGATTTCCTGCGCTATGCAAGAAATCTTGAGCTTTGACTGCTCTCAAGGACCGCTCCACAACCATTGACTGTCACTACGCTACGATACCCAGGGGGAGAATAGGCGTACCGGCAGGGTTCAATCGCATGTTTGATATTACTTTTTTTTTTTTTTTTTTTTTTTTTTTTTTTTTTTTTTTTTTTTTTTTTTTGGCAATTTACTCTAGCTAGTTTATTTGCGTATCCTATCCGCGGAATGTGTTGATATGCATTAAAATGCTTGCAGAAAACGCCTCTTTCTCCAGTGGCTCACTCCTCTTCGGCCTCGCATAAGCACTTGCCTTAACTCGACGACTTGAAGAATTGCGGGAAGATATTCCGCATCTCCTCCAGGTGCCTGATTTGGTGCTGCGACGCTGGGGTCTTGGGTACTTTAAGGCCTTCCTCAACCAGATGAGCGGCGGTCCATCCAAGTTTTTGGGCGCCGACACAGTTGCCGTAGGAGTCGTCTGGTTGAACATTAGCACGATTCAATCAAAAAAGTATATGAAAGGGGCTTCAAAGAATCAATCAACACACCAACGAAGTAGCAATCCTCGGGCCGTTCTACGCCTGCCTCCTTCATTGCCTTGGCATACATGTCCTGGTGTGGCTTGCAAATGATGGGTATCTTGGAGTAATCACAGAACGTCAAACCCTCAAATAGATCGTCGATGCCCAGGAGCTTGACCACGCGCTTGCCGTGAGTGATGTAAGCGTTGGTCAGGAGCCACAGCCGCACCTTGGTGGTGTCGATGTCCTCGAGCATCTTTCGCAGTTGCGGGTTCGGCTTGATGATGTTCTCGAGCGGTAGTGCGTCGTCGACCTTGGCGTTGTACTCCAGGGGGTCGATCTGATGGTGCCGGACCAGCCCCTCAATGGCCAGCCCGTAGTTCTGGTAGTACTCCTGGTGCAGCCGGATGGCTTCCTCCTCATTCACGCCCAGGTGCTTGGCGAAGTATTGATCGATGAGATCTGCCATGAGATCATGGACCTTTGTGCCTGAGACCCAGTTAGGATCAGATCAGAACCATGACGGAAGCAATTTCCATTTGAATCAAGGACATGTTTATTCCAGAGACTCACTTTTAGGGTATAAGCAATTGTCTATGTCGCTTTGAAAAGGTCAGACACGTGCTCATCAGGATCTTTCTCATGCTGCTGCGTCACTTACAAGAACAGCACCGGCATATTGCCCCTGTCCCCGTTGGGGGTTTCGGATTGCGATCCCATCGTGGTGATGTGTGCGTTATTCTGGCGTGCAGATAGCGTTTCGATGTATGCTCGATCCACACGAACTTTGTAGCGCAGAAGAGAGGTGAGACTCTGAGGCAATGGGTAGACGCTGTAAATGGTGTTGTTGGGGCCCAGGTCGATGAGAGAGAAATCGGAAGGGAACGAACTGGTGGGGCTATCGGCAATGGTCCAGTCTATGACTCTTGCTCGGATGCCGCCGTCTTCTTTATAGCTATGCTGTGATGTGCTTGAAACAACCTAGATCTAAGGCAGGATTCCAAGTCTTTATAGGAGTCTTTATCCTATAGTCGTTCAACAAGCGCCGCGGGGTTTGTCAGCTGTTGTTCGTTCTTGAGGCCCTGAGTCACCGGCGATCCTGGCGGCTCCGATGGTGCAGTGCAGTGCCATTCGGTGCAGCCAAGGCCGTTCATAGGAATTGTGAATTGTGGCGGCAGCTGAGTCGTGCCACGACGTGTGGCGGGGGATGGGTACTGACACGTCCACTGTGCCACAATCTTACAGGGGACCGAGCAGCTGCCCGAGCGCTAAGTTAACTGGAGGCGACCTCAGTAGCGCGGCAGCGCGGCGGCGCCCGTGCGTAATCCCATTCCATCACAATAAAAGTTCCGGCTCAGGCTGGTGATGCGACACGTCTTGCCTCCCCTTCCCTTCCGACAAACCTCAGGAAGTCGTACTCGACCGACAGCGTCAGTGACGCAAAGTGATCGTTCTACCTCCCGGCGTCCATTTCTTGTAATCTTATAGATGTCGGTCGATGGCTTTATAGGCTTTCGCTCTTTTTCTAACCGTTCTTCTCGCTTGCCGGCCGCCCGTTGACCGCGATGGCCCAAGCCAACGTAGCTACGATGTCGATGGCCACGACGCCATCGTCGCAGACTGCTGCACCGTCTGCAGGTGATTTGCTCGAGATGCAAGAGTATCATAGGATTGTGCGCTTACGCGATGCCATCTTGGCCGGCACCCATCCTCGTATCAAGGTCCCAGCTCCGCTTGGAGGGAAGCTTGCAGGCGGTCAGCAGGCTACTGGATCACCCAGGGCCTCGGCGACGACAACAAAAGGCCCGCAGAAGGCGTTTGCCGCAGATAATCTGCAGTCCTACAGAGCGAACTCTCAGCAATCAGCTGTTGCAGTTCCAGGCGTGGCCACGGCGCCCTCGACCGCAGGCGTATCGAAGCCATCCGGCTTGAGCGCTCCCCAGATCGATCCACTGCTGCTCACCAAGTCGCAAGAGCTCATCAAAGCCGAGTTCCAGTTGCAGCGGCAGAGACTCGAGAGGGCCCTGCGGGAAGAGCTTGATGAACGTGCCATCAATAAATCCGCAGAGCAGGCGGCTGACTTTGACCTCTCTGACATACTGGCCAAGGCTCTCACTCTCGTGCAGGCCACTGCTCCACCACTGACTGACGCCGACATGGCTGCTAACGCATCTGACTCAAGCGACTCGTTCGACGAGAATACCTTCTACTCCAGTCAGCATGACACTCCCGAACCTTCCCCCAGGCCTGAAGCTCACGCGGCCGCAGAGGACGCCCGGATGCCAGATATCGCACCCACACGTCTTGATGACCGGCCCGCCGGCCCAGCCACTGCAGCCGCTCCCACGCCCGAGCAGAATCTAGCCCCTTCCCCCTTCCTTTCCAGAGCCACCGAGCCTCACACCGTGCCCTCTGCCGAGCGCCCAGGTAATGCCATGCCAACTGTCGGAGCCCACGGCGGTGTGCTGGATGCTACTAATCCGTACGCGTCCAAATTTTACCCGTCCTACTTTGGTGAAAGTTCTACCACAGCCGGACAGTTGCTGGGAAGAGACGCGTTGCACGCACAGGTTGTCAGCTCCAACGGAAGTGGCTCTGCTAGTAGATCTGAGGAATCTGGTAATGCAGCTTCGGAACAACGTGCTGATCACAACCAATTTCAGACGTCACATCAAGCTCTTCCGAATCACCACCCATATGGCCATGATCAACCCGTCATCCGGGCCCATGATCTCTCGCCTTATGCTCCCCAACCAGCTCATGTATCGCCGCTCGCTACAGCACGACAGCAGCCTATACCTGACCCTGAAATAACCATACTACAAGGCGCTCCTGGCCCTGTGGCGGCTTTGCGACAAGAGCAAGGATTTGGTACCAGCCCGGAGAGCTCTCCCCAAGGCGAGAAGAGTGGCAGGAAGAAGAACAAGAGGAAGAATAAGCGAAAAGCAGCCGACGCCCCAGCAGCGGACCGCCCCCTGTCGCCGTATATCAAGCCAGAGCCACGCTCTCCGTCGCCTGTCACTACTCCGCAGTTCGCGCGCCCTCACAAGCGGCAGCGCCCCCTCAACCGCTCTCAGCATGAGCTGAACTACGATGAAGCCAGAGGGACCCAGCCGGTTCAGACCATACATGACGATTACATCCCCAGGCCCGCCCGGGAATACGAGAGGGTATATGACCCATATCGGCCCGAGATACGCCACTCGGTTGCCCCAAGCGGTCAGCGCATAGAGCGTCCTGTGTATGAGGAGCGAAGACCGGAGGAGGCAGTGCAATACGTTCGTCGCGTGCACTCTCCAGGCTATGTTCCTCAGTATGCTCCAGGTGAGGCCCGCCCAATGCGCTCAGCGACATACTCTGTAGCAGATCCGATCTATCGAGAGGCGCCTCCGTACCATCCAGAAGGACGTATGAGCGTGCGACCTATCGCGGACCACCTGCGCTCCCGTTCCCCTGTCATGGTAGACGCTCGCCAACCTGCCATGGCACCTCCGCGCCCCCCGACTCGCATAGTTGTTGACCGCTATGGACGTGAGTACATTGAGCCACCTCCGCCTCCCATGACTAGGCATTCAGTTGCACCGGCTGCGAGATTAGCAGAACCTGAAGTGGTCTACGAGCAAGCACCCTTGCGTGCTGCTACCCGCATGCCAGGTCCTGAAACATTTGAGAGAGACGGCGTTATCTATAGACGGGCCTCTCCTGTGTCCGCTCCTCGACGAGTTGTTACGCAGCCGGAGTATGGGGCTCCTGATTACCGTGAATATCGACAGCGGGATTATTCGGCACGGCCTGTGGCTACCACCGCTCCTGGGCAGGAGTTTGTCCAGTATCGAAGCGATGGGCGACCACCGCCAGAGGTAGCAGAGTTCGGTGCCAGACCCATCAGTGTTCGACCTCCGGAACACGTCCGCTACGAGTACCCGCCCCCTCGCGTATCTAGCGTTCGACCTGACATTCCACTCCGAGAGTACGCTGCAAGTGTTCACCCCGAGGCGAGACGTGAAGTCGCGCCTGTCTATCGCGAATACAGCGTGAGACCCGCAGCTGAGCCAGATATGCATCGTCGCGAATTTAGTGTTCGCCCCGTAGAGCGCTATTATGATCGCCCTGTGGTTGCGAACGACGATGTACAGTTCATCGAACAGCAGCCACGTACCGTTCACCGGGAGATAATTTACGAAGATGGGCGAAGAGAACTATACCGGTGAACGAGTTGGTATGCACTGAGTTGGGCATTGAGAAATATACCCAGCCTCAAGTGTCAAGCTTGTGTAAGAGTCAATCTTGAGGAGGACGGCTATTATAAAGGTCTGGAAACCGCAGAGGCCTGCGGTAGGATGGATAAGGACATGCATGCATTGGAAGGAGTTGGTGTTTCAGAGGGACAGAAGCGCGTATGCTCTCACGTACAGGAGATGCTGCCACAAGAGCGTCTGTATACTATAGCTGCTTGCATGAATGCCATTTGACTTTCACAGCCACTGCGAAGCAACCCCCTCTGAGTTTTGGGGCCTCGGAATCAGTATAAAGTAAATTTAACGAAAACAAAGCATACACGTGATGAGCCAGCCAATATCTCGACAGCGATCGCGACTGAAGCCGCAGGTCCTGGGTATCCTCGGTTCTGGCAGAGTCGATCCTACCTTTAACCAGCTGCCGTGGCCGGCCGTGGATCCGCAAGACGATTGGAACGGGGAAGTCGGGTGTCGGTTGTGGAAAGGGCCGGACAGATTCTCTGAAATGTAACGGTTCCGTCCAAGGCGGTGTCCGGTCCAAATCAGGGGAGCTTTTCACATTGTAGGGTTTTGGGAGGGATTCACTGTGAAACTTTGCAGCCAATGATATAAACCCTAAAATCCATATCTGAGCGGTTGTGGGCTGACCAGGTAGTGTTTGAGTCAGTCTCCAGGAATCCGATGCAGGAGTGTGGGATCATGGGAGGTTTCGGCTCTTGAAGTAGAGAGGTGCTCTCTACTTGGTACATATAATCCATTGGACTTAGATCTTTGATGAGGGTGTAAATTGCTACATAGGAGCCGCCTCACAGGAATATTGTAGCTCTGGTCGACGTTATGGAGGTCTACTACTATATGTCAGGCTGTCGGTTGGGATTGCCTTTCAAGTGGATTGCACGAGGAAACGGGAGGTTGATGCGCAGTACGGGTTACATTCTACGGCTGATCAATTTGTTGGGGGTTCAAAGTATACATTTGCTGCGCCCGCCGACGGGGCCTCTTACCCAACGGGAAAAATCCGAGGTCCTGTGTCGGCATTGGCTCTCTCTCTCTCTCCCTCTCGCGATCTTCGGAGTCGGGGGTTTGGCAGCCCTACCACACCGTTTTACGGACGAGCTGCTGGTGCCGTCGCCGACCCTTTTGAGCTGAAGTCAAGAAACGACGATACTGCTGCAGACCCATGGAAAGGTATCGAACTAAAGAGCATTAGGTCAAGACTAGGAACAAACACCCCGCGAGCTACCCATCTCTAGGGGGAGGGGAAGCTGCTCGAGGCAATGTCTAGTTGTCCAAGCCTGCTGGAGACGCGCCTTCGGTGCTTTTTAGTTAAGGTCTCAGAGAGGCCGACGTCGAGCTTCGGCATTCGAAAGAGAACCAGTTAGAACGCTGACGTGCATAGTTCGAAAGGCACAACCCGTCGCCGGGCTGTCATTGGCGAGCTCTCCTGCAGCTTACACGACCTTGGACGTTGGATGTGGATCGGTGCCCATGCCGCTAGTCTTTGCAAGTACGGACCGTATCATTACTGCGAAATCTTGTCATCATATTCCGAATGTACGTGTGAGCGAGCCATTGATGTGGAAAATGTGTGGCTCGGAATGTCACGTGAGGCCGTAGAGTTCGTAGGTGAAGCTCAGGGGCGAGCTATGACCGGGGGAATGTTACCGTCAGGATGCGCCTGTCATCTCCAAGGCATGTCGCCGGAGAGAGCTTCAATGGGGTTTCAAGCCGACCTTATTAGGGTGTCGCGTGGCTTCGGTGCCCAGAGGACCGCCGCCCGGGTCAGAAACATTGTTTCTGGTCCCAGCCCATGGGTGCATTTGGCAATCCAACGATACGTGTCGAGTCTCACAGTTCAGACGCAATCTTCCAGGTGTTTCTCGTGCTAGTGCCCGAGCGCTCCGTGTAATGTTGCTCTATTCTTGGATTTTCTTTCCTTGCAGCTGGACAGAGAAATCTTGGTCCACGCGTCCGTCACCGTCAAAAGGTGGACCGCTAGCCGTGTGGGCCGCCGTGGCTATGGCGAAGCATGTAATTTGGACCGCGAGATGCTTTAATGTCCTCATTTCAAACTGGGCAAAGTGTAGAGAAATCAAGATGCGATCCAAGGCGGCATGGCTTTCTTGGTGATCCCTGCTGCCCAGGAGATCCGGCTGGCCGCTGCTCGCTCCAAGTACCCTCGTCCCATTCCACCCACCCACCGGTGAACCCTGACAAGCATGGAAGGAAGCTTCACTCCCTGGGTAGTACGGCAATAGGCCGTTGGACCTGGAGTTATCAGGGTAATTAGAGAACGTGCTCAGACGCGGTTGACGGGTCTCGCAGCCAGCCGACGGATCAGAAGCCGGTCGCTAGCGGGATGGGAAAGCAACAAAAGTTTCACGGGAACAATAAGCATGTACGGAGCGCTGTAGGGACATAGCTATCAATTTTGGAGGCCAGCTTCGAATGGAATGGACTGGGCATCTGGCTTATTGTGTGGTTCGTGGCTTGCTCCGCTGGCTGCATGTATGAGGTCAGCACCAAGCCATAGAGTACCACAGTAGCGCAGCGCTGCTACTCCGTCTATGCATGTGGATATGCTCCATTTTGCTGGTACGATGATCAACCACGCCCTGGAGGCCGGGACGATCCAGAGTTACCGAGCGACAGAGACAGCAAGACGCGTACTGTGTACCATAGTAGAGGATTTGATAGAGCTGTCGGCCGGGGGCTCTATGGGGCACACCCGCGACCGAAGGGGAGAGAGGTTAGCTTGCGTAGGTCGAGAGCTTCATGTTCGTCGTCCCAAATTGTCTTACGACTAGGCGGACTGGTGGATTGGGTTCCCCAGTCAGCTTGATGCGGCCTGGCTCTTGGAACGGCTCACAAACACGATGCACGAAACCTAGGATCCATACGAGGGTGTCTTGCTCGATTGGGCATGGGGGTGGTCTCTTGTTTTCCATTGCGAACTATACATAAGCTGGGTGTCTCTCGCTGATACCGTATGCACGCGGGTGCCGCAGAGCAGCCACATCCATTCTGTATACAGTACAGTACATGTGTAGATCCAGTTGGCCGATCAGCAGTGTTGCTCACGGATAGCATCATCTCACAAGTCTCCATCTCCATCCACAGGGCCCTGGTCCGACTCGTCCCCCGGGGGGCTGTGACGAGACACCTTGCTTGTCTAGACCCTACCTAGTACTAGGTAGACCTGCTGCTGGATTAGCGAACTGGCCCCACCCGCCGGGTATCTCCAGGCCCTCCTCTCGAGCTTGGTTCAGGGCGCACAGGGCTCGCTGCGCACTCGGCTCGCGCCCTCCTCCAGTGCATCCCTCTGGCTCTGGGCCTCCGCGCTGCGCTGGCTGTCCCAGTGCTAAGTGCTGACTGCACCGCAGCAGGTTAACGGTGGGACCTGGGATCTGGCCACCGGGGCCTGTCATTGGCGCTGCCGCGCCCACCACCCATCCCATTCAGTGCCGTACCCTACCGTACCATCTGCCAGCGGTGCGGTCGACGAACCACCTGGGCAGCCCAGAGTCCCAGACTGGGCACAGGCACACCAGACTGTCTCCCCCCAACCCGCTCTCGCTCCCGGTCCACTCGCGGTCCCAGTCCCAGTCCCAGTCCCAGTCCCAGTCTCGTCCACACCCATTTCATCCACCCTCTCCGACCTGGCTACTACGACTCCTCCTCCTCACCACCCACCTCAACCACCCACCTCACCCCACGACCCAAGACAGCAGAGGTGGTATACTGCAGCCCAGGAAGAGACTCGACCTTGCCTTCGTCTCTCTTTTCCTTCATCTTTCTTTTTCCTTTTTTTCGTGTCGTTCCCTGCCCCGTTTCCCCCCCTCCCCTCCCACCCGCAACCGACGGCCCCGACACCGACACCGACACCGACACCGCGGCCACGCATCCCCCCCCGGATCCCATCTGCCAGTAGAGTCGTGTGCTTTCGTGTCTGCGTCCCCTCTTCACCATGCAAAAACTCGCCAATATGCGTCACTGGCCCGAGAGGATGAGTCCCAGCTTCGGCATGTCGCCGCGCCCCAACATGAACTTGGCACCCATAAACCCGCACCAGAAGACCGCCGCTGCGGGAGCTCCGCCGTTAAGTCCCTCGCCTGCTGCCGACAGCACGATACACTACTCGTTCAACGTGCCCTTTGCCTCAGATCTGGCTGGGCCCAACACGGAAGAGATCCTCCATGCCACCGGTGACTCGGTCATGCGATGGACCCACCCCGGCGACGCACCCGATGACGTGCCCATCTACGAGCTGCCCGTCCACGCACAGAACGTCACCAACCTGCGGAACATGTGCAACGACCTCACCAAGGGCCCGCTGCCCATCGAGGCCTACGTCGTCTCGACGAACCCCAAGCACCTCAAGGGCCAGGTCACCACCGTGTGTCTAACCGGACCCCCGGAGCTTGTCAACAAGAGTCGAGAGACCATCTTGAACGACACTCCCCTGGCACTGGTATGCATGCCCACACCCTCCCGGCCCTCGCGTCGAGGTATGGTACTGGGAGCTGTGTCTCACTAATCCGGATCTAGCGTTGCACAACCGTCGATATCGAGTACGGCCTGGTGGCTGATTCCCAAGCCGGTGTCCTGCTCAAGCATTTCACTGACGCCCTGGACACATTTTCCCAGTTTTGCGGAGTGGACATATTCATTCTTGGCCCCAAGCTGACGCCCATGGTTGACGGCCTCAACGGCGATGTCGAGGTCATCCGGGATCAGAGATGGCGTGTTGCCATATACGGAGACATGGAGGCGTCGGAACACGCCAAGACTCATGTGCTCATCTTCATCGACAAGTTGGTTAGTTGCCTCCCAAAAACTCCCCTCGCGGGATGGAACGGCAGGAATACTGACCTAGCTATCTAGCTCGGACGCAGGGTTGACGTCATGAATGTCGAGAGCACCTTGCATCCCATTGTCTGCGGGCGGTCGCGAAAAAACATCAAGCTGATTGAGTCGGCGACGAACACGGCTATCTACTTCCCGCCATTCGCTCAGCCCTACCGATACATCCCGCAGAATGCCCAGCGTCGGAAACCTGATGAGATCTACATCACTGGCGAGAACCCTCAGGGCATTGAGTTGGCCAAACGCAAGATCCACGATCTCGTCACCCGGACGAACCTCTTCGTCAAGGACGCGCACATCTCCCCTGCCAAGATTGATATGATTCTCCTCGGCCGTATGGACAAGGTCCGCAAGATTATGGAGAACAACGGCACCTATGCCATGTTTCCACCCTTGGCATCCAACCGTGACTTGATTCGAGTTCAGGGTGTCGAGGGTTTGCAGATCGAGCGAACGATGAAGGAGATCATGTCTCTGGTAAGTGGTCACTCATCACCATGTCATGTTGATCAGAAAGTTAACGTCCTGCTCTAGTTCGGACAGTACTATTTCGCCTCTTGGTGGATTCAGCAGGCTGGTGCTGCTCAGATTCCTAGCCCCCATGATATCCGCACCATGCTTGGGGACATCTGTGCCAACTCCGATGCTGACATCTCCTTTGACAAGATGACCTTCACTGTCACTGGTTCTGATGATGCTGTCAAGGATGCATTGACCGTACTGTCTCAAATCAAGTTTGTAAACCAAACTCAGCACCAGATTAGAGTCAAGATCGAACTCGCCCAGGAGCACAAAGAATTTGTGTCTGGAAAGAAGAACGGCAAGATCAACAAGATCATGACGCAGAGTGCGTTTTTTCTTTCCCTCCCCCAAAAGTGTTCCGCGCTCCGTACTAATATGTCTTGAAATTTCAGGTAATGTGCAGATTATCTTTGATGGCTTCAAAGAATACAACTTCGATATTGACGTTATCGCTCCGACTTATGACTCGATGAAGCAGGGCCTAGGCCTTGTTGAGCAAGAGATGCCCGCTTCTATCTCGTTCCATGTCCCTGACCAATACCACAAGCGCATCATTGGCATTGGCGGTCAGCACATCCAGCGGATCATGAAGAAACACTCGGTCTTTGTCAAGTTTTCCAACGCCATGGATCGCGGCGGCATGGGTCGTGAAGACGATGACGTCAAGGTCGACAATGTGATCTGCCGCACTCCGGCTCGCAATGCTCAGAATCTGGAGCTGGTCAAGTCTGAGATCTTGGACATGGTTGATCGTGCTGTAAGTCCAGATTGCATCAGTGTACCAAGTGTCAAGCTAATCTTGTTGGTTCAGCATTCCGAGTTTACTTCGCAGGTCGTACACGTGGACCGCTTGTACCACCGCCAACTGATTGCCCGTTTGCCTGAGATCGAGGAGCTTGAGAAGAAGTGGAATTGCAAGATTGTCTTTCCCAGTACCGAACAGGCAAGCGATGAGGTGACTGTGACCGGACCTGAGTGGCAGGTTCCCCTGTGTGCCGACGAGTTCCTGGGCATGGTCCCAGAGACCCACGAGCTTGTCATGGTCCGCACCCCGGCCCTAGTCAAGTTCCTCGAGTCCCCGGAATTTGTCAACGACCTTGTCAACAAGCTGAAGACCCAGCATGAGGTTACAGTAGAGGTCCACGAGAACCCGGAGGAGAAGACTGAGGACGGTGGCCGTACCGTAACTTTGCTGTGGAAGCTGACTCGCAACAACACCGGCGGCCTCCGCGACGCCATCGACTTCCTGCAAGCCCAATTCGCCGCAGCTGGTGTCGAAGCCACCGTCGTCAAGGGCGCCATCCCGCGACCCAAGTCGGATTCGTTCGAGGATTCCCTGCAGTACTTTGATTCCAAGCTTCTCCAGCATGCGCCTGCCCCAGTTGGTACCGACTCGCCCACCAAGCCTGGTTTCGGCGAGGAAATTCAACAGCGAGGCACCACGCTGCTAGACAAGCTTCGAAAGCCGTCTCAGCTGCTCTCGTCGCTCGACCGCAGAAAGAACAGTTCACATTCTGTCAACACCCTTTTCAAGGGATCTACCAATGTTTCCAAGTCGTCTCTGATCTCGATCGAGTCGACTCGCAGCTTCAATGCTGACCGCAACCCCTGGAACGATAGCGGCGTCAATCTTCCAGACGACGACAACAACCCTTGGTCAAGCCGCCACTTTGGCAATGGCTTTGAGACCAAATTGACCCCTCCCAGTATGCTCCATGGCGGGGGTGATGTCACCCCTCGACATGGCACCCGCGCTTCTGGTGATAGTGGCCGGCCTTCCACTTCTCATTCTACAAATTCAGGATACCCCGGTCCCATTGGTGGACCTTTCCGTTAGATTCTCATCTTTTAGATGCTTCTACGTGCAATACCCTCCGGCTGGATATACCCTGGCGTCAAAATACCCGGTCCATGAAACCTGCATCGGTCGGCTCTGTTTTTGATTTTCGTTTTGATTTTTCTGTTTCTGATCATTTTTTATCTATTTTCCTTTTGATGCGATTTCCAAGGGCAGCTGGGTGATGCTGCATACGATACGGCCAACACCGAATCGACGAAACCAACCTATGATACCACGAGGATGCTCAAGGGAGGAAACCACGGCGTTGCGCACAAGATCGAGTGGGTGGGAGCACTCTATGATACCACAAAAAGCAAAATGTCATGAATACGGCAGAGATACCACGAAGCTGCGGCGGTTTGCGTTATACAGGCGTTTGATCTATAGGGTTTCTGTTCTTCGTTTGTTTCTTTGCTCTCTTATTTTTTCTGTCGCCTCCCTCGTCGACCATTTTCTTCGAATCTCCCTCGAACCATCATTCCATGAGCATACCATACATGAAGGTTAAAAGGCTTTCGGAAAAGTTGCAATTTAGGGCACCAGAAAGACTTCTTTAGCAGGAGCGTCGGCATGGAGGTTGTTGACTGGCCAGACTGGACTCGTCGAGCGACAATTTGGGGAGAATGATTGGGCTTGGGATTGGGCGACTACGACGGCTGGTCGGTTCTGGGGCGGTGAGGAACGTGTACGATATCTCGTCAGACGATAAACGCTATGATACCCTCTGGTCTTCATTTTGACTAGCTGCATACCTGATCTGCTCCGTGACATTCGCTGGCAGCGGGTCTAATGACGATCTTTCTCCTCTGAGGACAAGTCCGAACTGCTTCTGTTTGTGTGCGTGGGGTTCGGCGTATGTGAAACATAATCAATCGATGGCAGCGAAACCCCCCAATCACCCGTTTGCGGGCACGTCGAGGGCGCTGCTGGCAAACAATGGCCAAATGTCTTGGAACCGCGCAGGGAGGCCGGCGGCACTTGTCTGGCCTCGTAAGACAAGGATATAGGTTCTTGGGTACAGTACCACGGCTGGTACCCAGCCCTATCGGCGGGGAATCTGTATGGAAAGTGCTGCGCAACGATGGCTGCTTTTTGTGTTTCTTCTGAACAAGAGTCGCAAGGACCAGATCACTTTGGTCTGAGCAATCTGCGCTCGCAAACTGGGCACGAGTGCACCTGGGAAATGCTTTGTCCCAATATTTGCTCCGTATGCCTTTCTCCATGGGCATTGCGCGATCGAGGAACCTCGACGGGTCACCCCGAGTCCTAGTTGGGGGTTGTTCTACTGCGGTACGCACGCCTGGAGCCGCGCTACTGGTCTCGTCTCATTGCCCTAGTATGCAGGACCTCAGGCGAGCGCTTAACAATGAACCAGGCCCGGAGGCAGCCAAACGGATGGGCTGCGGTATTCAATATTGCTGCTGCTGAAGAAACAAAGTTTTGACGTGGTTGCCTCGAATTGCCTCTCGCTGCCAGCGTCAACCATCACGCCTTTTTCGCGTTGGCAGACGGTCACGCGAGCAAACAAACTCCGCCATGGGGACCTGCCCCCAAACGACAGGGAAATGACCTGGGATAACTGAACAATCAAATACAATGTGCAACCCCGAGCCGAGGGTTTATAACCCGGGGCATTTCCTGCAGCCATTTACTATTCTTGAATCTGACAGTCCTGGCATCATTGGTCTGGACTTGTTTCTGAAACACGACGTTGTGGCCGTGTGCGTGTGGATGGACGAATGAATGATATGACTGCATCGGCCTAAATAGAGCCCACCCGGGCTGCGCGATCCTGACGATCTTGGGCTCCGTCGTTATTCCTTCGGCCGGCCCCATGAGAGCATTCGACCATCATACCCACCCCACATTCTCCTCCACAGCCCGTTGCTTGCTGCCGGCTGCCGGCTCATTGACAAGCGTTAGATCGGGCCTCGACAGGTCCCCCGCAATCTTGACCTCCCTAAGCTACTTACTGTAGGTATTACAGTTCACAGTTGCAACATCCCGGGATAACGGCTCGACACTTGTACGCGCAAAACTCCTTCTACACACGACCGGGTGCAAGTACCCCGTACCACACATACATATATACCTGTGGGGACCACGCACATTGAAGCTGCCTCTCCGCCCGTCACACCCCGGGTGCAGACATGATGGCGGACGATAGACCGATCAAGGGGGATGAGCCCGTCCCGGACCCGTTTGGGCCCGACGACGCCATCGATGACACGGAGGACCTGGACGATGAGTTTGTCGAGATCCAGAAGACCATCTCTGGCTCACGCAGGCGCCTGAGCAAAAGTAATGGCGATGTCAAGGTGCAGGAGGTCCTCCCGTTCCCTTTCCTGCCTAATGTCCGGCCTCTGACCATCTCGGATCTCGAGAGCTGCGTCGCGCTCGAGAATGCCGCCTTCGCCAACCCAGACCATCGATGCTCGCGTGAGAAGGTAAGTCGTTGCACAATATTCACGGTTTCTGCATCAACGACCCACAGCACCTCATGAGTGCAAGCGTTGCACGTGGTTTCTCGTACATGCACTTCTTCTTGCGATATCACCTGTGGAGGTTGGCTTAGTAGGCTCTGAACCCCCAAAGATCCGAGCATGTGTGGTACACAACCAATCACTGCCCAATATTCATCTTGTCTCCGCAGAGCTCCTTCGTGAGCCAGCAAGAGTCCAATGAAGCTAACGCAAGTCCAGTTCGAATACCGTTTGTCAAGCTGCCCAGAACTTTGCATGGGTTTGTTCTGCACGGTTTCACCTGCAAGCGCCAAGGGATGGGAGATCGAGACCTGCAAACCCGCAAAGCCGGTCGAGACGGGGCGTGACGACGGCGCCGTCAGCGTGCTCTTGGCCCATGTCGTGGGCACGAGGTCCCACGATGAGCTGGTGACGGACGCTGCCATGGACTATCCGCGCGACTACCGCACAGCGAAGCCGAACAAGACGGCACTCGGCCACCAGGAGGACGGCCACACGGTTGCCATCCACTCGCTGGCGGTGCACCCCAAGCTCCAGGGCTGCGGGCTCGGAAAGCTGATCATGAAGGCGTACATGCAGCAGATTCACAACTCCGGCACGGCGAGGCGCATCTCGCTGATCTCGCAAGGGGTAGGGCCACCCGGAAGAAACCCGAAGTCTCGAGTTATCCCACTTACACACGTGCATAGTATCTCGTCAACTACTACACTCGATTTGGGTTCGTTCACAAGGGTGAGAGCAGTGCTGCGTTCGGCGGCGGTGGTTGGCACGATCTCGTGAGTCTTCGTTTGATTCCTGTGGAAACTCTCCCCGGTAGGATAAAATATGATTAACCCAACTCGCAGACGATCACCCTAGGGGGTCCTTCTCCCAAACGGTGAAGAGCACAGGAAACGACTGCATTTTCGTAAAGTCACATGACTTGCTTGCTTGCATGCTTGCATTGTATTCTATTGAACTCTCAGCGTGGCCGGAAAGCCATATTCCTGCCATGTCAGCGGTCTGCATTGATGGTGGAAAACATACGTATGAAATGGAGAGAGATGATACCCCATAGCCAAGGACGGTGGCTGACCTTCGTTTGTTCGCGTCACATTTGTTTCTGCGCATCCCCAGCGGAGTAGGCATGGTGTGATTTGGCCGTCAGCATCGAAATGCTGGCGTTTTCTATAGAGGTCACGGTCATAGATGGCAGAAGGGGTAGCTACGCATTATGCATAGAACTCTTTTTTATTTTTATTTTTTACTTATGGTCCATAACCTCCTTTATATGGGGTGGTTGACTTCTCAGTTCCGACTGCCGTGGTTATTCTCCTTAACCGACAAAAATGGCAATGTTCAGAATGGAAAGCCTGCCTGTTCATGATCACGGATCTACGAATGACGGGTTGGCGGCGGCCTGAGCCCCGAAATCTCTATTTTAGGTCGTCTAAATGGTGTACCCCCTGGCCTCGAGAGCCGTCCAACCTGCTTCCCGTCCGACGTATGTAACGGACAGGGGCCGAGACGTGCTACCGGGAGTTCATTCTGTCATGGCTAACCTGCAGCAGCACTTTCCCGGGCAGCTTTCAACTCCCTTTTCCCTACATAATACGGAACAAGACGACCTTTAGTCGGTCGCCCCGTACTTGGCGCGGTACTCCTCGATGCGGCGCAGGTCGTCCTGGGAGGCGACGCCGCTGTCCTTCAGGCCCTGGACGATGTTCTCGAGGGTCAGGATGGCGACGATGGGGATGCCGAACTCGCGGCGCAGCAGGCCGATGGCGCTGCCGGCGCTGTCGGGCAGCGTCTCCTGGCGGTCGAGGGCGACGACGATGCCGACGACGGTGCCGCCCTCGGCCTGGATCTTGGCCACGGCGTCGCGCTTGGCCGTGCCCGCGCTGATGACGTCGTCGATGATCAGCACCCGCCGGCCCTTGAGCGGCGCCCCCACGATCGAGCCCCCCTCGCCGTGGTCCTTGGCCTCCTTGCGGTCGAAGCTGTACTCGACCCGCCCGTACCGCGCGCCCGCGCCGCCCGGCAGCTGCGCCAGCGCCATGGTGGTCGCCGTGGCCAGCGGGATGCCCTTGTAGGCCGGGCCGAAGATGACGTCGAAGGGGAGGGCGTCGGCGTCGGGCGAGGACGAGGACGAGGAGAAGGACTCGTGGATGGTGTTGGCGTAGGCGACGGCCAGGGCCGTCAGCAGGTCGGCGCGGTAGAAGTCGCCGGCGTTGAAGAAGTAGGGCGAGATGCGCTTGGACTTGAGCTCGAAGGAGCCCAGGCGCAGGGCGCGGCCGTCGAGGGCCGAGGCCAGGAAGGCGGCTTTCCAGGGCGGGATGGACATGGTGTGTGGGCTTTCTGCTCGCTGTTCGTCGTGGCTTGCGGGTGCGTGTGTCTAGGTGTCTAGCTAGCTAGCAACGGAGGCAGGAAGGGAGACGTCGAGGGCGCTCAGAGGTGTGTATGCTCGGATGTAAGTATGTATGGTATGTGTAAGTGGGATCGATGTACGAGGTAGGCCTATATTAACTTGTTAGTCGGCGGGGTTCCAGGTCCGGACACGGCGTGGGGCGTCGGGTTTGGAGGTTTCGTTCACATGGCCTTCAGCAACTTGTACAGAATATAGATGTTTCTCATTCTATTGTGGTATCATAAGTGGTTGTATGCATTGCTGCTGTTATTTCCACCACGCATTTCTGAAATGTCGCCAGTGTTGATAACCGTTTGCCCAGCAAGTGTTGCACTTTTACCATGCTGTATGGAACTATCGTTTGCATGGGTTGGAGGGGTCCGAAGGTGGGATTGGAACTTTTTTTTTTTTTTCCCCTTCCTTTCCTCCCACTGGCTGCCAGACTGACCCCGCCAATTGGCCCTTTGGCACTTTGGCGGTCGGACAGCGGGGCCAAGTCCCCTGTTAACGCCGATAAGATAAGAGATTTAGCGCCAAGATTTCGAGCCACCCGCCTGAAATTTTATCGTCTCGCTCCGCCTTTTTTTTCCTGAGAAAAAGTGCCTGTCCCGTCCTGCGGTGCGGTGTGATCCCTCCTCGATAACACTCGTCTACCACGATAGACCGAGTCGACCACACCACATCCCTCGCCCTCGCCCTTCCCTCCTCACCGTCGACAGCTCTCCCGACAGCCCGTCGCCACGATGAAGACCACCTGGAAGGACATCGCGCCCGTGCCGACGTCGCAGGAGTTCCTCGACATCGTGCTCTCCCGCACCCAGCGCCGCCTGCCCACCCAGATCCGCAGTGGCTTCAAGATCTCCCGTATCCGCGGCTTCTACACGCGCAAGGTCAAGTTCACCCAGGAGACCTTCAGCGAGAAGTTCGCCCAGATCCTCGAGAGCTTCCCCCGCCTCGAGGACATCCACCCCTTCCACAAGGACCTGCTCAACACCCTCTACGATGCCGACCACTTCAAGATCGCCCTCGGCCAGCTGTCCACCGCCAAGCACCTGATCGAGACCATCTCGCGCGACTACGTGCGCCTGCTCAAGTACGCCCAGTCGCTGTTCCAGTGCAAGCAGCTGAAGCGCGCCGCCCTCGGTCGCATGGCCACCCTGCTCAAGCGCCTCAAGGACAGTCTCGCCTACCTGGACCAGGTGCGCCAGCACTTGGGCCGTCTGCCCGCCATCGACCCCAACACCCGCACCCTGCTGCTGTGCGGTTTCCCCAACGTCGGCAAGTCGAGTTTCCTCAAGAGCATCTCGAGGGCCGACGTCGAGGTCGCCCCCTACGCCTTCACCACCAAGTCGCTGTACGTCGGCCACTTCGACTACAAGTACCTGCGCTTCCAGGCCATCGACACCCCCGGAATCCTCGACGGGCCTCTCGAGTCCAAGACCACCGTCGAGATGCAGTCCATCACCGCCATTGCCCATCTGCGCAGTGCCGTCCTCTACTTCATGGACCTGAGCGAGCAGTGCGGATACCCCGTCAAGGCCCAGGTCGAGCTGTTCAAGAGCTTGAAGCCCCTGTTCTCCAACAAGCTGGTCTTCATCGTGTGCAACAAGATCGACATCCTCAAGCCCGAGGAGCTGGATGCCAAGACCCACGACGAGCTGCAGTCGCTGCTGAGCGCCGGCGATGTCGAGCTGCTGCAGACGTCGTGCAACACCCAGGAGGGTGTGCAAGAAGTCAAGAACGCCGCCTGCGAGCGCCTGATCGCCGAGCGTGTGTCCCAGAAGCTCAAGGCCGGCACCAACAGCAGCGGCGCCGTCGGGGGTCGCCTGGCCGACGTCATGGGCAGAATCCACGTCGCCCAACCCATGGACGGCGTCGTCCGCGAGACCTTCATTCCGGACGCCATCAAGGAGCTGAAGAAGTACCAGAAGGGCGACCCCGAGCGCCGCCGCCTGGCCCGCGACATCGAGGAAGAGAATGGCGGTGCCGGTGTCTACAACGTCGACCTCCGGGCCGACTACCTCCTGGAGAACCCCGAGTGGAAGCACGACAGGATACCGGAGATCTTTGACGGCAAGAACGTCTACGACTACATCGACCCGGATATCGATGCCAAGCTGCAGGCCCTCGAGGAGGAAGAGGAGCGCCTCGAGGCCGAGGGCTACTACGACTCGGACGAGGAGATCGACGACGCCGAGGAGGCCGACATCCGCATGAAGGCCGAGCTGATCAAGGAGAAGCAAGCGCTGATCCGCAACGAGGCCAAGATGCGCAAGTCTCTCAAGAACCAGGCCATGATCCCGCGCAAGGCCATCAAGAAGCCTCTGTCGGAGCTCGAGGAGGGGCTCGACGTCCTGGGTGTGGACACCACCGACCTTGGTCTGCGGGCACGCTCCAACATGGTGTCTCGCGGACGATCAGTCACACGCTCGAGGGCGGGCACCGAGGTGTCGGATGCCATGGACGTCGACGACGACCCCGCGGCGAGACTACGGTCCAAGAGCAGGCCGCGGGACCGAAGCATGGCCGCGACCAACAGACGAGACGACGGTGTGGTGGACGAGGTATCGCGCGACAAGGCAGAGAGGGTGGCCAAGCTGGGCCAGAGGAAGATGAACCGCATGGCCAGACAGGGAGAGGCCGACAGGCATATCGGCGCCACTATGCCGAAGCACTTGGTGAGTAGCGGCGTCCCTTTGCACACCGAATTGAAAGCTAACCGTCTACATAGTTCTCCGGAAAACGGACAGTGGGCAAGACTGCTCGCCGTTAGACGGCGGGGGAGAGAGACAGCATGGTCACTACATTGTTCGTTTATGTGCATATGGAAGAGGGTTCGCAATGATGCCCTTTCAGACTGGCGTTCCGGAGTCCATCGGAAAACAAGTATGGTAGCTAGAGGTCTTGAGACGAATCTGTTAATTGAACTTATACCCATCCCATCCTACGCCGTGCTCGTCGGCTGTGTGTCACATGCCATTGACAGCAGGTATTCTGTGTCTGTATGCAAATGTCCGTCGATTAGACAGTGCGCGTGAGCTTGAGAAGGCACAAATGGCCTCAACCATTGGTGTGGCTGTGATTATTAAGGGCGAGGGTCCCCGGATCGAACATGATAAGACAACAACTTCACATCTGGACCCTGAAAACCATCGGATCGAGTTGGGCAGCGGAGCAGCGAGCAGCGAGCAGCTTTTCTTCCCAGGCCAGGCCGCGCTAGGGCCACCGCGGGGCATTCGTGGGGCTTTTGGGGGGTTACTCGACAAAGAAAGTTGCTACTTTGTGACGTCCGACGGTTGACTCATAATTTATTGTTATTGTTATACTGGAATCATTTCAAGACCGCTACCGCTACCCCCAGCTGGTGGAAAGCTCAGCATCGCACCCGGGACATCCACGCAGACGCAGTCGCTCTCCCCCAATGCATGCTCGCCCGTAGAAGAGCCCTCCCACCGTTCAATCTTGTCCGACACTTTGCGACAATGGCGAGCGGCGACGATGCCGTGCCCGCCTCGCGCGACCTGCCCCTCCGCGGCGCCAGCAACCCGGACGTCGAGTCCTTCGAGTGCGTTCCCTCTTATACTCATAAGCCTTCATCCTCAAGCCTGGAACCGGCCTTGCAGTAGGACAGCAGGAAGAGGAAGAACAAGAACAAGAAGAAAAACAAGAAGAGCTGACCGTGATGGCGTCTTTGCAGCATCGTGGCCACCTACCACCGCCTCCTGGCCGAGGACCCGGACCTCACCATGCCCATGGCCGCCATCGAGGCCCTGATCGCCTTCCTGGGCCACAGCAAGGTCACCACCGTCTACGAGACTATCGATCTCGTCAAGACGCAGAGCGCCAAGCTGCAGGCCGCCGTCACCAACCCCATCGCCCTGTCCCACGGCACCGACCTGTTCCAGCAGTACCTGGTCAACTCGCTTAAGCAGCCGACCTCGACCTCGACCTCGTCCTCGTCCACGGCCGCGGCCACGGCGGCGACGGACCCCCACGAGAGCTTCGAGGACGTCCGCCAGCACCTGCTCAAGAACGGCCGCCTGTTCGCCACGCGCGCCAAGAACGGCCGCGAGCGCATCGCCGTCAACGCCCGCAAGCACATCTACGACGGCACCACGGTGCTGGCCCACGGCGGCAGCCGCGTCGTCGGCACGCTGCTGGGCCGCGCCGCCGAGCGCCACGACTACGGCCACTACGTCGACGAGCCGATCCGGTTCCGCGTCGTCTACGCCGTCGACGCCGCGCTCGACGGCGATAGCAGCAACCGCGTCATCGCCGCCCTGCGCGCCAAGGGCGTCCCCGTCGCCGCCGTGCCCCTGGCCGCCGCCGCCTACGCCATGGAGAAGGTCGACATGGTGGTCGTGGGCGCCGAGGCCGTGACGGCCAACGGCGGCGTCGTCTCGCGCCTCGGCACCTTCCAGCTCGCCCAGCTGGCCAAGGCCAACCGCAAGCCCTTCTTCGTCGCCGCCGAGCAGCACAAGTTCGGCAAGACCTTCCCCCTCAACCAGTTCGACTTTGGCTTCGACCAGAACCTCCTCGACTTCCACGCCAGCAAGAAGGAGGAGGGCGGAGCAGCCGCCGCCGCCAAGCCCCGCCCTCAGCCCATGGCCAACCCGATTGATTATACCGTGAGTCCTAACTGCCCACACCTGGCCATTTCTGTCGCACCCCAATGCTAGGACCCCCCCATACTGACTCCGGATCTACAGCCGCCTGAGTACATCGAGTCCTTCTTTGCGGACCACAAGGTTCTCACGCCGGCCGAGGTGGCCAAGGAGGTGATTGATATGCTCATGTAGAACGGTCCCGCGTGGCCGGTTTCAGTACTCTTTTGAAGGGAGGGGAAGACTAAGGATATGGTGGTGGCATTGGTACAACGTCAGGCCGCCGGTCCTGACAGCATTCAAATGGCGTTCTGGTATAATGGAAAAGGGGCAGGCCGTGTCGTTCCGTTGGTTATTTAGGGTACAGCCTAGAGCTGAGAATGCTTGCCTCCCTGAGAGATGGGGGCAGAATAGACACTACACTTTTAAGAGATTTCCCAGTGCCGGCCTTCTGATCATGCAACTTCACACTGGAAAATATGCCGACATGTTTGGCTTATCTAGGCGGCGTAAATGGTGAAGCGGGTGAGAAGGAATGAGCACGAGATAGGGGGAACAAAGGCGTGAGGCTTCCTATCAAGAGTCCTGGCTTGTGTCACTCATTTCTTGATAGGAGAGGCACAGAAAAAAAAAGTCGGTGTATATAGCGCCATCGTACTACAAGGCTAGGGCTCCTCAATCAAGTGACCGTGAAAAAAGACTGCTTTTGGTATTCAGAGGATACCTAGTTGACTATGGCATCATGTGCTCCTACTTGTTAACAATACCATGTGCGATTGACCCAATGCCCGTGAGTCAGATTCGTGCCAACTCCAACGAAATTTTGGTGACGCTAAGAGATCGGATGGTCGAGCCGACAGTGTTAAGATGCTTGCTTGTAACGATATGATGATGCTTGTGACCCTGATGTCCCTCAGGAAACGCCGACCCAAATGCCACGTTTGCAATGCAAGGCCAGAAGCCCCTTCTGCGCCGACTGGAAGCCTTATGCTTGATTGGTTTTTTCAGGGATGTAGGTATAATGTTGAATTACACCTTGTTTGCGAACGAGTGCTGCCAGGGTTGAAGACTGGCTTTCACGGCTCAAACGTGTTCCTGGGACCAGTCCAACACTCGTACGCTTATAAATCGCGCACGAGTCTTGCGCCTACCCACGCATACAAATAGTTCCGTTGATACCAATTAACACTAGTAAGGCGGATCAGTGATCGGATCCCCCGTGTTCCTGGAGGCAAATAACTTACAAAGACTTCCGCCCTGCGACGCGGGGGTGTGTCGCCCATGAGCCACCAAGGACGATATTGTGCTTTCCGTCAAAGAAGTCCGCTAGAGACCGTCAATCTCATATACCAGTAATCGAGATAAGACCCCAACGCAAGAAAAGGGTTGGGGGAAAACCACATACCAGTGTAAGCAGGGTAAAGGGCCATGGGCTCGAATCCCTCATGTCTAGTCAGGGGAGAACTAGTCCATTCCCACACACCTCCCATTTCGGCCTGACCGGCTAGGCGATTGCCGTGCGCTGTCACGGCCGTGGGGTGCCAATGGGTAAAACCAACATTGGCAGTGGTGAGGTCCATGAAGAGATCGTCGTTTCCAGACGATGCCCCGCTGGCCTCAGACTGACCTTTGGATGGCGGAGTTTCCTCCACGCCATCGTTCACTAGGTGTCTGAATTATATCCTGACGTTAATGCCTTGGTCTGGAGGAAAAACTGGGTCTCTTTGGGCAACCTACCCGTTCACTGCCGGGACGGTCTTCCCGAGTTTGCGCTCTGCCTGCTCCTTCTTCATGTAGTCGACGTAACTGTATATGCTTCTTGCCTCTTCGAAGGTGGGGATCCTTCCTCCCATCCATGCGGCACAGCCAGCCAGCTCATTGTACGAGGCGTAGACGGGCCAATCCAAGGCATGTTCAAGGGGCACGAGACCATACACAGTTCTGACAGCCTTGCCCTCCAAGAACGATAGCGGCACCAGGTTCGAGGCTTCATTGTGGCCATTGCTCTGGCCATTGATGTGCCCGTTCCCGTTCACTCCATCGTTTTCCTTTAGGGGTTCCTGTGTCCAGGAGGTAGGAGCCTTGGCCACCTTGGCGTCATACATGTATCTTGCATACTATTCCATGGTCAGGTGCCGTCTAACACATCATGGGGCTTGCTTACCTCTTCATTCGTGATTGGCCGGGCTTTCGCTTGAAATGCAGGGATGGTGACGCGACGACATGGCTTCTCATTATCCCTGGAAGAGCGTCAGTGATAGCATTGCAATCGCCTTCTCAGATGCACTTACCACCCAAAGTGGCCTTGAGCCTCCTTGTCATCCTCCGGATCATCGAGACCGACAGCAATCTGCTGCTCAGGGATATTGAACCATTCATTTGCAGTTCTCTTTTGGGCGGCCTCCCGAGCCAGAGCCTCGAAATTGGGGTATGGTATGCCAGGCGGCGGCAACGTCTTATCGCTTTGTAGCATCATATAGAGAAGCGTTTCGATGTGCATAACTTCATGCTCAAAGGCGACCCATATCCCCCTAGCAACATCTCTAGGGATCTTTTCTGGCCCATCAGAATACAGCTTGGTCAAGCGGGCACGCACGGCCTTCTGGTACTCTAGAATCTCTGTCGTTGGAGGCCACTCGTTGGGAACCTCCGAGTGCGCGTGGCATTGTTCGGGGTTGTCCACGTCAGGGTCAATGCCTCTCTCAAAAATCCCATAGTAAGACGTGGGATCGGTCGGCGGGGTCTTAGTGGTTTTGGATAGCTGGATATCCAAAAATGTTGGGATATGCCCCAGGTAGAAAATGCAGGCATTTCGTAGCTTGATAGGCTTGTCCAAAAGTTCGTCGCTAGGTAGCATACACCTGGTGACAGTATCCCAAGTGGCCCACAAGTGCTTCCAGTCGTCCAAAGAGGGGAGGGCAGTAGCAGCATACTGATCCGGGTTTAGGCTGAAAGGCATGGTGGTTGGCTTCGTCAATAAATGAAGTCCTATCAAATGTTAGTGTAATCAAATAGGCGAGCAGTCAGGTGCTCAGTATGCAACAGTCTCGAAGGACGGTCCTGCTACAACCTGAAGACCCGATCGTTCCGTAATACTGGGAAAGTTGCCGAAGCAACTATGCCCCATGTTTTCTGGGTTTGAGACAAGGTAAACAGTTGAAAATAACTCACCATACTCATCGCCTTCTGTCATCCACCGGGTCGTTTCAACCACCCCTGCATGCGTCCAAAGCCTGTTCATTCCCTCTTCCGAGTACTTCAGGCTCTGCTCAACTTGGACACGCTCGTGGGCCTTGATGGAATTGCCCAGTACGGTGACGTCCCGAATTGGAGCGTAGAACGCTTGATGCCGTCCACCCTCAACATCGTAGACATATTCACCGATGACCTGCCAGTCGTCTAGGTTGAAAGCTTCCATACCTAGAACCTTGTTCGCTTGGACGAGACCATTCAGGATGAACCTCAGCCAGTCAGCTGATGTCGACTGGGTTTCTCAAGTGGCTAGACTCACTGGTGGGTCAAACCTTCGCGATCTAAGCAGAAATGATAGATCTCAGTACGGTTCAGCAAAGGCATGAGTAATACTAACCGTTGTATGCATGGCTGCACTAACAATTAGCTATCACGGAGGGCGCCGGGTGAGTTTCGAGCTGAAGGTGAGATTCAAGGCGTAACGTACTATACTTTTGACGGGTTCGTGCAAGAATCCAGGCCCAGAAGAAACGTGTCTGACGGTTGTAAAACATCCGAGAACCCCCGCAAAAAGTCTGCGGCTTCTTTTCTTGAGAAATTACCTGTCAAAAGATGAGCGAGTCCGTGGCTGTCTAGCGGGACCAAAGACAAGTCATATATACTCACCGATGCTTGAGCCCAGACTCATCACACACTTGGGTCGAGCTGATATCGAAGGTTGCTTCAGCCATTCACGGCCGTCATCGTAGGTTCCCAAGAGGCCGTGACACTTCACCCAACGGAACGAAGGTACTTGCGCCAGTGTTCTCTCAAGCTCCTCCTTGGAAAGGTCCAACGCGTAGTAGTCAATTTCCTTATGAGCTTCTTCTAGGGCTTCGAGCAAAATCTGGACCTTTCGAAGGTTGCCTGAGCCTAGCTCAACAACCATCGACCCAGAGGGTATTGCTTTAGCAATGGCGTGGGCTGAGCGGCGAAGCACTTGGATCTCCGAGTTGGTCAAGTAATACTCTTCCAAGTAGGTGAGCTCAATCTACGGTCAGCACGTTTGTCAAACTTCATGAGGCGGACCGTGTCACCTGTTCAAAGATCTGGAGGCCTCTCTCGTCATACAGCAGAAGTGTTGGCATTGTTCGTGGTCCCTCTTGAGGACGCAATAATCTGTGGATCTCTTCCTTGAGGTTAAGCTCGACAGCAGCTTGGCGGATATCGATGATATCCAACTTGGCATGTGGTTTGGAAGACGAGGTGAGCCCCTTGCCTGCCTTGAGGCCGGGGGTCACCGTCTGAGACTCGAAGAACATGGTGGTGGTGGAAGGCATAGCAGCCAGGGACACCAAAAAGGCTCTTGCGGGAGCTAGTCACTTGTTCTGTGCGGACCACGAGGACTAGTTGTCAGTGAGGAAGAAAGTTTTTCGTGGGGATGAAGAATATATAAACGACAAGACGGGACGTGAAGGAATGCCTTGGTGTGCACAGAGAGAGGAAAGGTAGCAGGTAGGAGAGCTGCGGTAGGTAGATAGATACCTACGACATACTAACGAAGTCAATACTTTGGACTGGCCCATTGCCGGCGGGACCTGGAGCTGGCCTCAGATGGTGATGTCAATCGCGGGTACCGCCAAAGTTCGTTTTGGACGGCGCAGCAATTCGATTCGTCCCTCGACACACAGTCCGTAAGCCAGCAGGGCGCTAGCAGCGATGGCCCACGAGCTGGTGGCTTAGGGATGTGTGTACATGTTCGGACGTCCTCGGCAGGTCTGCCAGCAGCCGGACGAGCAGTCGTCTCGCAGCATCCGCCTCGGGGCTGGCTTGTAGAGAGGACTGAATCCCTTTGTCATGCTATGTAGCACTTGGGTCTGACAGAAGGCACATCCTGGAGCTGGTGTGGGAGGTGGTTTTCGGGGAGCAAATCAGGGCCGCCGAAGCCACTGCAGTTCCAGGCTTGGAGCCCCACGCCCTGCATGCGTCCCCGCAATTTGTCTACGACCCTGGACAGGTGCGATGCCTCACATGATGTGCGTGCTGCTGAGAACGGCAATCTCAAGCTCCATATGTGCCTGGCGCCCCCGGTATGGCTGGCCCCATGGGTTGCTGGGGCTTTGTCCTCTTCGCTCCTAGCCGTAGTTACTATGTACGACCCGGTATGTGTCCCCCGGCGAACAGATGCCCCATCATCAGCAGGGCGCCGTTGTCGAACAACGAGGCCGTCCAGGGGGGTCCGCACGCGACCGTCAGAGTATAGTCAAGCACGAGGCCGGCCAGGAGGCCAGGGGTGCCGCCACGGTAAACTTAACTGTACCGGGACGTGGTCCAGATGTCCATGTCACTCGCTCTGTCGTCGTCTGAAAGGAGAGAAGACTGGTCGGGTCGTCTTCCGGGCCAGCCTGCAAACCACCGCAGGTATCGGCTCAGGCGGAATACCACATGCAGCAATGAATTATTACGGGAAACCACCAGGGCCGACTAATGACTGTTAGTGTGGGGGTTGGTGTGCAAGGTAGAACCACGATCTGACGCCCTTGAATCCGTAATCGCAAAGTCCATCCAACCTTTTTTGACGCCAGGAGTCGCGCGTGTTCGAATGCCTCCGAGGAGCACTACTTACCTGGTTTGCGCCCTATGCAAGGTCCGCATCCAATGCAATCCTGTCCCTTTTCGGGCTAGGGATGTCCTGCAAATGCCCTTGGACCTGAAGATCTGGGCCGTGGCAATGATATTACGCCGCAGGCCAAAGTTACCTTGAATGGTACTTCCCGAAATTAGAATACCTACCGCACATACTGTACCTAGTATACACAGCAATTGATACGGCTCGTCGAGTCCCATCTCGCAACGCGCACAGGGTCACCTACCGGGCACTTGATCCCTCGGCGTTACTTTCCTGCCTCCGCGTTTCGTCACTTCGTCGTCACAGGTCGTCCGGCCCCAAGTTGGGTATTTTGTGTAATTAGACAGACTACATATTATCCAGACGCCACACGCGCGCACCGGGGCCAGCTCGAGGAAGGAAGGCACTGCCGCACATGGTACGATGGTGCCTCCACTGTCCCAAAGTACCCCTCACTGCCCCTCATCTTGTCATCTGGAAGAGTATGTCGCGAGTTGCGTATACAGACATTGCAAAGCCAGTAGAACAGACTGTGCAGGCAACTATTATATCATCGGACTATACGTGCTGGTGCATCGGAAGGCAATGTAGCATTCCGCACGTCCACTCCGCGTTCTGAGTTGTGGAGAAATTGGGAGCCAACACACAAAATGAGAACTCGCCCAAGTTATTGACTGTTTTCCGCAGCCATAACCACTATGGTATGTATGTACGCTGCCACCGGACATGATCCTCCATGCTCCATTCATCGGGCGCTCGCTGGCACAGGCTTTCCCACAAGTGTCTGCGGTTTGCGGTCTGCGGTCAAGGATGCGTCGCGATCGATCACTCGGGACCGTAAAGAAGCGTCGAATTTCGTCCGAGTCCCGCTTTGCCGAAACGACGTTGTAAAGAAGCAATATGCTCAAAACTTTATACTCCACTATGCTGATGCAATGTGTTGAAGTACTACAGCCTCATAGGTCTATCGGATACCGACCATCGTTCCATGCCCAGCAATCCGTATTGTCGGCAATGGTGTGGTGCAGTTTAAAGACGCCACACCGGCTCATATTGACCCGGTAGACAAAAGCTACACGTGTGCGCCGGTGAGCCTCAAAATCCGGGGTTGTGTAGCTGGCTAGTCTGCCAGCCAAGCCTTCGAGATGCACATCAGATTGGCCGGGGATTGGGCCTGGTCTTGCCTTCCTGACGGAACTGTCAATGACGGTGAAACCTGCAGCCTTAGTTAGGTCTATTCTCTAGAGCAGAGAGCTACGACTCGTCAGCGTAGACAGATCGTCACTGCGGCCTTCCCTGGCCTTCCAAACTTGGCAACCCCGTGCCTATTGCGACATGTCTAAGAGCCGAGACAAGATCGCCGATCGTTGTCAGACTGCCATCAATACCCCAGACTGCCATAGCGTCTAGTTGGTTAATCATTAACAATGGCTTTTCCTGGTGGGGTCAACAGAGCCTCCTCAACGTCAGACCTTCCACCACAAGTTCGTCGTGCTCTGCTAAGGAGTCTTGATCCAATCGCCGCCAACATAAACTCATGAGGCACGTTACGTGCCATTAGTAGAGGCTTGTCATACCCCTGAAAGATAGGGCCACTCAAGCATCCAAGTTGGGTCATTATTTACAAAAGATTTGGATATGGCGTCATAGACTTCAAATCCCTTTGTGTGATGCCGTCCAACCTTTTATGGGTAAGATGTATTGGCTGGATATGAAAATTTTGTCGCTTACATATATTACGTGTCGGAATTCCAGCAATCATTACATTTTGACCAAGCAACGACGTGAATGGGGGCACGCTGTCCAAAAACCGAAACGTGTTCCTCGAAACCATAGGCTTCACAACCATTGGCCTGGCATTGTCGAGAAAGAGGCCTTGCTTGTATCGAAACTTTCTGCAGAGACAGTAACAAGCTACATATCTCCACGTAAATCTACAGTAACCTGCATATAAGAATGGACGGGTGGTTTGTCTACTCCTACTTTTTTATATACTGATGTACGCCTTCGTCGGTAATCCTTTCTCGTCATGAGACACATGGATACCCCCGCGCCGCCCCTGCCGATGACAATGTACGTGTGAGTCACGGTGACCGGACCGCTCGGTCGGTAGTCTCTATCTCTGATCGGCAGCTCACCAGGGGCCAATCTGTAGGAGGTCTTCTCAACTCTCTATATAATGGCCTGGGGGTTCCGTGGAACAGGCAAGTATACACATCGCACATTCTAGTATAGAGCGTAGAAACGACTCGCAAGGTCAAGACATATCGAACCCGTGTCACAGAGAGTTGGGATGTGCTAATATACTTACTTATATTGGTCCTATCCACCGCGAGGGAGATTGAACCCTCACTCTCGCAAGTGGTCTATACCTCATCTTCAGAGTCCGAATGCCGCAAGTGTCAGCATACGCAAATTATCGTTCAGTTTGAGGGGGAAGAGACGGGGCAACACAGGGATCTCTCACCAGCTCCAGGTCCCGTTGAACAGAGCTCCCCGCCTCGGACCGCTCAGATAGATGCCCGACAAGACCCAACAGTCCGGTAGCTGCTAGTCTCCCGCTAAGTGAGGCACGGGGTGGAAGCACGGTGGACGTACGGATCCAGGCAGCTTTGCTTCCCGTGAGCAAGGACAGCAGCGTGCGGGTCATGACTAGTTAGTCGGCGCCAAGACGAGCCGGCCGCGGTACAGCTCGGCCGGGTGAGACCAGCGAGGAAACAATGAGACTTGCTGCTGTTGGAAACCAATCAGGCCTGCAAAGGCTTGCAACCGCCAGAGATAGTGCGATTTGGGGAAATAAGCTTAAAGCCCTAGTAAGCTAGTCCCATGATATAAATTGTGCCCCCCAAGTTGACGGGAAACAACTGTTTGCTGCACAAGCATTGCGTGCCATGCCTTGTCAAGTTGCTCATGACGTAACCTGAAAATGGCGTCTGCTTTTTGCGAAGTCTATCGCTGTTATGTGACGAATTCCCAACTATTCAGACCACGAAGTCCTCAATCGGCCCCAACACAGCAGTCTGTGTCGTGTTCGCCCCTTGAAACGTTTTCTTCATCAGTGCCGTGTTCAGCAAAGGATAGTCACTTGCACAAATGCAGCTTGGACGGTTTAAGACAGCCTTCCACGCGAGGTAAAATGTCGTCATCGAGTCATGTCCTTGAGAACAGACAAAAAAAGTTCATGTTCGCAGCTATAGCTGTAGAGGATATCACTCGTAGGAAAGCAAGATTAGATACGCCCGCCCCGCTCCTCCAAGGCTTTCTTCCGCCAAAACATGACCATGCCATTCAAGGAAATAGAAGAAAAAAAGAAGTAGGAAGAGAAGAAAAAATCCATCACCAGGTGCGTATACATGGCGTCTCCGTTCTTTTGTTCAACTCCTAATACGCCGGGCAGAGTCCCGATGCTCACTAAATGCTGCTTCTCAGTAGGGATTTTGAACGAGTATTTACGTATACAGATCATTCGGTAGGTCGAAGAATGGAAACTGTTGAGCATCCATCCATGGGTCGTTGTTCTGCGTCAAGATAGTCAGATCATTGGTGTTGGCGAAACGTTTCCGCTCTTGGTCAAACAGCGAGTATTCGTCGTCAGACGGCGAGGACTGTGCCACCGCCGTAGAAGAATTCAGCATCGCCAAGGTTGATGATGCTATGGCCTGATTTGGAGACTGAGCTTGGCGTATTAGATTCGAGGGGCGGTTCCAGTTGTCGGTATGTGCATCTTCCAGGCGATGACCAGCAGAACCATTCAGGCCATACGGGCCTGCATGGTTGATAGCAGTGAAAGAACCCGACGGCATAGATCTTGGCGGCCCACCGCGATCTATAGGTGGCAGGTGATTGTCGGATGTAATTGGTGACATGCGATCCATGGTGCTTGCCCGTGACCGATCTGGATGATCCATCGAGGAATGGTCGTGAGGTTGTAGGTAGCCAAACTCCTTCAACATGGGAAGGTTTTTGTACTCTTCCAAGCCGCCGCCTCTCCCACCAAGACGAAGACTCAAGCTAGTCTTTTCGCTCAGCCCCTTGTTCTCCTTGACATGATTATGATAGTCCTGCTTGATTCGGACAAAATACACGTCCATCTTCTGCAGTACTGTGACATAGGTAGTGGCCATGCTCAGACAGATGGACATCTTGTTAAGCGTCGTATTCGCCAGACCTAGCGGGCCATGCCGAAAGATATCCACTTGCTCGTTCTCCGCTGGCTCATTCCACTTATAACTGAGAATATGCTGCTGCGTGTCCATCTGCTCGAAATGTATGGCATACAGTGACACGAAAGCTGCGGTCCAAATCGCGAACAAGACGATTGTCGACTGTGGAAGTTTATCCTTCTTCTGGCAAATCTCAATCAAGTCGATAATCTCCCTGGCCCCTTTGAAGACCTGCTCGGCGCTGTCGAGCCAGAAACCTGGGGGGTTTTGGTCCTTCGGCGGTATCGGGTCATCGATTGGACCTTCTGGCTCACTGCAGCGTATTGGCACAAACGGGATATACCTGCAATACCGTCAGCAATCATGTTGAATCATAGTACAGTAGACAACATGAGCGGAAATGTGGGTGTAAGTGTCGACTTACTCTCGATGCAGCATGATGAGACAGACGTTTCTCAGCATGTGCATTAACACATAAACGCTGGAAGCTTGGTGATTCTCATGCTTGAAGTAGTTGGATCGCGAGAAGGTAAAGGTGGCGGGTAATTCTTCTTCGAATGTCAAGAGTCGCGTCCGAAGCTTGAAAAAGCTGGACTCCCGATCCCAAGGGGGCAAGGTCTCGATCAGCCGGCCGCCATCGACACTATACCTTGAGATGTCGCCCCATAGGTGCACTAACTGGATGAAACGACTCAGAACGCTGTCGTCCGAGACCATGGGATCATCATCCCGAGGATCAAGGAAACCCGTGCTTGCGTTCATCGCCAGGTCGAACTTGTCCTCCGAGCAAGGCAGCTGTATCGAAAGTCTGCTGGGATGCAATATCGCCTGCCTCTCTTTCCCACATGATAGCATCCGATCCAGAACAAAGCAGCTGAACATGGTGCGCCGCTTGATTTCCTTCTCCAGGGTCTCCTGGGATTGGGAGCCAGACTTCTTCTTATCATGCAGCTTTTCCCCAATTGCCCTGAAATCCCTATCCAGGAAGCCGAGCTGTAAGAACTGCGCCATTCTGATCGCAGTGCCCACAAACATCCACGCACCGAGACCTCCAGTATTCGGTCGGGTCTGGCCCCACTCGTAGAGCCCCAACATCAGCAAAGCCTGCACACGCTCTACAGAGGCAGAGCCCATGGCATTTCGTACGGAGCCAAGAGCGCGGGTGAGGGTTTCGGCGTAGTACTCGGAGGCTGCGGCCGGGTCGACCTGTGTCTGCACCGGGCGCGACCTTGCGTTGCCGCCCTGGGCGTTGCAGATATGCGCTAGGTACTTGACCAGGTCCGTATGGTACCGGGCGGTGAGCGTAAGAACACCCAGCAAGACAAGATTGAAATCCGCACTGGACTCGGGCTGCTGATTCCTGAACCTACGGCCCAATTTCTCCTTCATGGTCGGTAAATGTAGAAAAGGCAGCTCCGGGGCGAAATGGAGCTTATACAGGTCAAGAACCTGATCCCAGACATCTTCGGTCAGGAAAGGGGCCGACAGCACCTCGTCTGCGAACAGGGTAGCCTTCTCCCCATCCAGTTTTGACAACTCGTCGATCTTCTTGAGCTTCTTCCGATCCGAGCCTCCGTCCCGTTCCTGCTTGATTGCCGACGGCGGCTCGTTCCTCTTCGGGGGCGTGGGGTTGGCCTCGGGGAGCTTGAAGACGCAGTCCTTGCCCGTCTTGAGACAGCTGTCGCATGGGCTGGTGCCGCCATTGTTCTCACACTTGATCTTGGACTTGCGACAGCGCAGACAAGCGATGCTGGAGCGCATGGGCGGGCGCATCTTGTTCTGCTTTTTGCTCTCGAAGGTCAAGCCTGCCAGCACCGGCTTCATCTCGTGGTCCACATACCCCCGCGGCACACCCCCGACTCCCGAGCCCTGCGACAGATCCGTGGCGGTGGAGAGTCGCCTGTCCGGGGGTGCTGGAGGCGTGGGCGGTATTAAGGACGCATCGGGGTGACCCGACGGGTCGTCGTATCTGCGCTTGGGTGCCGACTGATATGACGAGTTTGTCTGTGTATCATCCGTGTCGGGCGGGTCTGGCGGCGAGAGGATGGACTGGATTCGGATTGGGGTGCTAATTGTGACGGTTCGGGTCTGGGACAGACCCGCGAGGCTCGAGATGGATTTGGTCGGTAGATATGCAAGCCTGGTGACTCAGGCCAACGACGGATGCGGACGAGGCTGGGACGCCGCGTTCTGAGGCTGGCTGGCCACGGGAGGAAGTCGACGGGAAGGAGTCTGCACGCGAGGCTTGTTGTCGGGACGGACAGACGGCTGGCTTGCCCGTGCGATGAGAGGCGCAATCTGGTGGCCCGCCTGCCAAGAGGAGAATCGGAATGAGGGGATTGCGAGAGGTGGCGGGATGGTCGCAATGTGCTACAGCATGACAAGACTGCAGGTATCCGTGGACGAGGGAAGGGTCAACGGATCGCTGTCCAGTATAATGCGGTGCAGAGCTTGGTGGGTGCTCGGTAGAAACGGCAGCCCGTCGGAGGTAGATATCTGCAGACAGCTGGGGATGGCTGGTTAGGCGCCGGGCGAGAAGCGGTGCGGAGGGTAGGATGTCAACAGCGGCGGAGTGCCTGGGTGGTCCCGGTAGAGTGCAGCGTCGGGGGGTGGTGAGGGAGGGGAGAGAGATATGCGCGAGCGACTCGATCGGGTCGTTGGGGGTTGGCGACGGCGATGGGTGGCCGGCGAGGGAGAGGACGGTGAGGGCGGGATCGTGCTTCTGGATGAGGAGGAGGAGTTGGGAGGAGGAGGAGAAGAAGAAGGACAGAAGAGCGGGAGAAAGACACAGCACAGCGTTGAGGGCCAGAGGTAGAGGCGAAGCAGACAGCAGACAGCAGAAGCAGAAGCAGAAGCAGACAGACGACAGACCGAGATGAAAATCGAGAAGTGTCGAGCGCCAGTCCCATTCGACGGAGCTGGCTATGCCGCAGGTTCGTGGTGCGGCGTGCCTCCTGGCTCGCTGGGCCGCTAGGGTCGAATGCCGGGGACGGGAAGGCCACTAGACCAACGAGCCTGGGACCGACTTTGCCAGCCAATCGACGGCGCCAGGGGCAGCCTGCAATGGTGGTGCTGGGCATCCAGCTGCGGGCCTGCTGGGCGTGCTGGGAAGCATGGAACTGGGGGCGCGACTGGGTACCTCTAGTGCGTCCGTCCTCGCGGCAGGATCCTCCTTCGCCATGCCTGGCACCCGACCGCACATCCCTTGAGGTGGTACTGAAGAACCATTGGACAGCGACAGTGGCCTAGCTAACTACCTTGCTAACTTACCCGTCTGTGGACGCACCCAGAAGCGCGATAGCCCCAGAAAGGGACCCCACGCCCTCCAGCGGTCTATCCCGGCCTAAAATAGGCCGCTTCTTCTTTCCAATGGCCGGCTCTCCTTTGGTCCTCGGATCCAGAGAACCCAAGATATACACTGGTACACACAGACACACAAGTACCGTGGCCACAGTAGTTCGAGGTCCAGACACGTCCAGTCAATGCGTTGTACCTGAATTATGGAAGCAAATGATTGATCGTCATCTTTCATCTGTTCTGCATCGCAGCGCAGGTCGCTGCTGCGCCGTGGGCACTCCTCTTTCCGGCGCGAGAGGGAAATAAAATAAAAAACAGGGTCAGAAGGGTAGGTACAGTACTGTCGGTTGCCCATATCACAGCATACGGTACCGTACGTACATGTAGTAGGATCGGGTAGGAGTGCCGCTGCTACACGGCGCATCGCTATTGCAGGGCGGTCGGTCGGCAACTGACTTGACTGCGCCTTTGGATGGATGAACATACACCCCCCTTGCGCTTGACCCAGGTCGGTGCATACATAGTAGTACCATGTACGTACAGTTAGCCTGCGTTATCCAATGCTACCTACATGGATTCAGACCATCCGTTCACTGGCCTCAGCGGCAGGCACTGACACAGGTCCTAAAGGTTAACCAGCCTGCCGACCTACTGTGTACACACCTGCAACAGAGAAAAGCAAGGCGCTCTGAAAACAAAACACGCAATCGTCGTGAGGCCACCGTCGTGGCTGCCTCTCCGTACCAATGGACCGCCTCGGAAGCATCCTCCGTACAGCGGCTGTCGCTGCTTGCTAAATGGAACTAGTGGCCACGCGACCCTCGGCGGGAATAGAAGCCCCCCCCCAGCGACCGGCTTGCACCACGGCCACCGGCCAGTCCCCCCAACAGCTCTCGGCGGGTTCGGGTAGGCTGCTGCTTCTTCAGCGGAAACAATGCAAGCACAACGTCCAATAGGATCGTAACTCGTGCCCCGTAGATCACCTTCGGCTGCTGCGCGTACCGCTCAGACCCCGCGCAGCGGTTGATTCCACCAGGCGTCTTGGCTGTATATCTCCTGTACGTATCGAGACCGGAGGGGAGCTGCGGCGAAGCTACCAGTCCGACGAGTTGGCCATTTCCTTCATCTTTAGGGAGACCGTTCAAGCACGCCGCGAGTCCGAACTGTATGCCCTTCAGACCGAGGCCTTCCGAGCACCGCCCGGTGTTTGCTCTGGAAGCGAGCGACCGTTGCAATATGTGTCGGGGTCACGCTGGCGCATAATCCCGGCGAGGGTGTGCTTAGGGTGGGTGGAGACGCTGCATCTCGTTTTGTGCGTACCATGTAGCGTGCACTCCGGGACTCCGGATGCGTGTATGGATTCGTGTGTGTGACGAAACTTGGCTGCCAGCGCCGGTTGTGCTGACGCGAGACATCGGCCCGCGCAGCACAGTCGGCCCTTCCAACTGGGGTGAAGCGCCAAACAAAGATCATATCATATCCTGAACGGAAAAGAAACAACGACAAAAGGGAACAAAAAAAAAAGGCAAGGATAACTATAAGTCCTGCATTGTATACTCTCTCCCCCTTGACGACACGAGCTGGCTCTTCGCGCGTGCCCCCCCAAATCTCCATTGACCGAAGAAAGACCAGGCCTACGGGTGGGTGTAGTTAGAGGACTTATTTTAGCGAAGAAACAGAGTTCAATGTTGCGTGATTCTGTAATTTGGGTTGAAATCCCTTTTCCAGGGGGGAAGGCGGCTGCACGCAGGCGCTTCCGAGGCTCAAGGCCCGGGCTCCGATATTGACTGCTGCTATTATTGTTGAAGCACGGGCTAGCTAACTGCATGCAACTGCCAAATCGCTCAGGATCACCCGACATGCCCCCTTGACAAATGCGGCACAAGTGCCTCTGTCACTTCTGCACTCTCTGGAGGCTGGCTGCACTGTGACATACCGGTGTAGTTGCCTGTGCCTTTGGACAATGGATGTCTTCCTTGCCCAGGGACCAAAAAACCCTCACTCAACCCTCTTCGGTGTACAACACACAGCCGCGATACTGTAACTACTGTGCATGTGCAACTGTCACTGATGGCCGCCAAGGAGGAGGCGCCCGAATACTTGCGTAGACTTTGTCCCTGTCTTTCCCCCTGCAACGTACACACCACCACTTCACACTCGGTGTGTGTTGGTCCATGGGCATTGACTACATGACCTAGTACGCGTACTGCGTATACTTACTTCTCCGGGGAGACCTCCGGCCCCCTGGTGCTCAAGGGACGGAGGGAGGGAGGGGTTGTTGATACCGCTGTCATTTGTCAAGCGAGCGGCAGTCTGTTCCCCGAGATGCCTGCCGGGAGGGATGTAGACTACGGTCCAACATTTATTATAGTGACAACTTTCCGTGGCTTGCGTTGTCGAGTCGTCACTGGATCACTCCAGGTACGAGACATGGCGCACCGCATGAGACATGCCTAACAGTGTCAATCAATTCACTGATGTGCTCTGCGTCACCAGCGACAGGTGCGCCTTCTAAGAATACTCGCCGAGCAATGTAACTGCCAGCTGGGGATAAAAGGCCTCGTTGCCGCCTCCTGTTGTCCAGCTAACTACCTGCACATTTGATAGCTGAGAGATAAAACAGGCGGGCTGTGCAATAGAGGCATACGCAATACGTGAGGGAGGCAAATCATTGCCTCTCTCTGCAATCTGAGTGCCTGCTGGAAGTCGGTGTTGCCGCCGGGACACAATCAATTTGGCGATCAAAGAGAAGAGGTAGGCAGATAAAATCGAGGAGAGACACCGTTTCGCTTCATGGAAGCGGCGTGGCCAGTCTGGAACGTATAGCTTGATCGTGGAATAGCAGCAGAACCAAGATGGCCGACTCCTCACGATGGGTCACCGTTCAAGAATTGTTTGCTCATGCGTTTCAGTTGTGTTGAGAAGACAGCTACGGTTCCACGGATGGGCCCTCGACGCGCCAGGCTGTGAACACTGCCACTCTCTAGGCCTCTTGGCGAGATGGCCCCCCTCACCAGACTGGTTGCTGGACGAGAGGAGCAGTCCCCGATGTGTGCCCAGGTGGTGTGTTCACTGTTCCAGCAGTTGAGAGTGGCCCTGCCGCCCTGGACGTGCCACGGAGCCAGGCCCCAGGAGCTTGCTGGAACCAGTTAGGCCATTCGAGACGTTCCAGACTTCGCAAGGGTGTGGCGATCACCCTCTCCGAACACCAATGACGTCGCCCGTGAGGCCTCTCTGTATTGGTGCGCCTTACATCCAGGCGTGCAAGCTGCAGCACCTTTAAGCGCCTGGAAATCTTGAAATACATGCCTTGACGTAGCGGCTATGCGCGCGCGTTGATTCAACAAACTACCGATACCAACATTCCAGCTGTATCGCGGCTTACACACTTGCACAAGCTCATCTACCCAAGCTTTCAGGTTCAGCACTTCGTCCTGTAACTTGACTGCTTGGTACCCCTCACGACCTCCATTGACAGCCAACACCCGGAAAGCGACGACGCCGCTGCAAATCTCTCTCTCCAGAGAGAAAGAGGCACCGGACAGGCGAACCGTCGCAGACCCCCTTGCAGGCAGGATTCATTGTTGGAGTCCACGACATTGAAAATGGCGTCTGGGCATAATGTCAGTCTACAACATGCCGCTGTCATTTTGCATGACTAACACGGGATCGTGAAGGAACCCAAGCTGTTGTACGCCATCCAGGGCGTCTCAGCCTACCACCTGTCGCATGGCAGAGAGGAGGCGCTCACACCCGCGGGACCCCAAACCCTGTCGCTACTGATGGTACCAACGTCGTCAACCTACGCAGACCCGTCGACACTCGACGCAGGGAACGCGACACCGCAAGACTTCTACTTGCACATGCATCTGGTATGTCTGCCAATCTACCGCATCACTCATCCAAGGAGCTGCGTGCTGATCTGAAGATGTCCAGCCGCCCGAGTTGGATATCCCCCTGCCGGCGACCACGCAGATCTATCACCAACCCCCGACAAGCTACTTGATCCCGCGTTGGGACCTAGGGCCAGACAGCGGCGCCTTCACTAGGCTCGAGTTCCCTTCGCCCGGCACTCGAAAGGGCCTTCAGGAGGACATTGATACGTTCGAGACAATTTTGGCGCAGTGCACGGCTTTCTTGGAGCGGGCGGCGCCTCCTACCTCGGCCAAGAAGGCGAAGGGTCCTGCCTCCTCGACAAAATCCTCGCCAACGTCATCCAAGTCCAAATCAGCCCTCCAGGACGAGCTTCCCCCTTATAACCCCGCAGAGTATGGCCCCGGCCAAGGGTACGTTGATGGGTCTCAAAGCACCCATGCGGGAGGCAAGATCGTCCTCGTAGATGAGGAAGATGGTAGCGTGATTGGGGAACTTGGAGAGGGATACCAAATTGTCGAGGATGGTGCCGTAAAACCTGGGTCCAAGGGTAAGTTTCTTCTTTTTCCGCCTTGAACATGGGAACAAGGGGCTAACCCGCCAGCAGATCCAGTTGAGATCACGCTACCGAGTGAAGGGCAGAATGCTCTCGCAGTGGCACCAGCCTCGGAGGAGTATCTTGAGATGGAACTCCATCCGTCGTACCAGAAGTCTTTCCTGGTCTCCAAAGCGGTCTATGCATCTCGCCTCATAGTGACAACGTCTGATTTCATTTCCAAGGGAATGCAAAGCGGAGCCGACAGCTTCCAGAAGAAGACGAAGCCTGTCGAGAAGGCAGTCACGTTCAACCCTACTACGCACGAGCACGCGCGTCGCATTGGCAAGTTCTCGGGAGGCGTGGCAGAGCTCTCTTCGAAGACGGTCGGCCAAGTGTCCAAGGTGGCACAGAATCTAGGCGCCAGCCTCACGAGGAAGAAGGAGAAGAATGGGTCGAGCAGGGGCTACGGGCCCGATGGGCAGCCTCTGGAGAACTTTAAGCCCGGCTTGTTGAACAAGAGTCTGATGGCATTCTCCACTGTCGCGGACGGAATTGAGCATGCGGGCCGTAGTCTTATGACCTCGGGCACTAACGCGGCCACGACCATGGTCACTCACAGGTGGGGAGAAGAGGCCGGAGAATTGTCAAAGCATCTTGGCGGCAGTGTGAAGAACGTTGGGCTTGTGTACATTGACGTCACCGGTGTCTCAAGGAAGGCCATCATCAAGGCCGTTGGGAAAGGTATGGTCGTGGGTAAGGTGAAGGGAGGAGGTGAGGTTATCGTAGGGGAAGACACGGCCGTCCCGGAACCCAACATTGAGAAGCGGGACTCTTCGACGAATCTTCTCATGGGAAGTGCAGGCTCGTCAAGCGGGAAGAAGCCATATTAGGCGACCTACGGGGATACGGATGGTAGATCTCTCATTGCTTAGAAGACGAAGACCCCAGGGCTTAATGGTGGCGGTGGCAGCGCTTCTGAAATTAAAGAAAGTCTCTTGTCTCGTAATGCGACAGCCTCGATCCGTTTCGCAATGCGCTGTGAGTGAAATAGCGATGCTGTCTGATGAATGACGGACACCTGAATTGGCTATAGAGAATCACGTGATGCATACATAGCTTTCGCCGGAACGCGTGTGGTGCAAGCTGCGGAACCAGTCCGTCTGCAGCAGGCGCGGTCTGGGTCTGGATAACTCATTTCACCTCCCTTCATGCAAATGACTTGACTCGATGTATCTGGACGCTCCGAACTCGAGACCGTGATATTTCAGTCAGCGGAAGTATCGATTTCTCTGAAATGCCCTTTGCTTCCCTCTGGTAAGGACCCTGGTCAACCAGGTTCGCCTGTTTCTGCATGCTGCCTTCACATGGCCCGAACCCTCTGCCGGCTTCTAAGACAGGCGTAAATCAGACCAGCGACCTCTGCTGCTGTTGGCATCGTCTCCCCCATTCTCTCCCGCCGCGGTACTGTACCCATGTGTCGCCTTGAGATATTTGGCAGTATCCTCCTTATTTTCTACGACTTCGCCGACAGGTTCTGGCCCCGGAAACGCTCCCCTGTCGCTGGTATGGCCCTCTCGCCCACCCCCCATGCATCCGCATGGCCTAACGCCCAGGTTCGGCGCATTCTGACGCATTCTCACAGGCCGTCTCCCTCGTCAATATGCTACATGAAATACTGCTCTCCTTGTCAGGACACCCGTCGCCACTTCTTAGGAATGAGGAGTCCACCGCGGGCGGCCAGCCTCTGCTGTCCGCCCCGGAGAGAGAGCTTCTGAAGACGGCCGCTCATATAAGTGAGCTTCACTGCAGTCTCATCCAACATACAACTCACATCAGTGCAACCCATCCCTCGGTAATTTGCCGAGCCGTTTCGACGGCCGTCAGCTCAGTTCACTTGGCTGCCTTCCAGCGCAAGATACTGGAAGTCGAGGATGGCATTCTCCGCCAAGACGCCGGCCTCGTCGGAGCCTACAACATAGTTCCCTTGACTGCCGCCTTGGGCGAGTTCACCGGCTGGACTCGCAGGCTCGAGTGGCTCTGGGCCCTGTCGCAATTCATGTTGAAGAAGAGAGATCATGGGTCGACGTGTCGGGGCGCGGAGCTGATGAACAAGCTACGAGCTGAACTCCAGACCGGCTATGCTGACATTGAAGCAACGTCCTTGTCCTTGATCCAGGTCGCCGAGACAGCGTGGCTCAAACAAGTCTCTGCTTGGGTTCTCTACGGCCGCCTGCCGGGCTTTGGCGCAGATGACTTCTTCGTTCAGAAGGATAGCGAAGATGAGCAGGTGCGGCTTCTTTACAGCTATCCAAGAAATAATGCTAACCTTTGCTACAGGACTATAAGGTTGATCCCCAATTGCTACCGTCATTTGTCAGTGGTGACATGGCAGCTTCGATGCTATTCATTGGTACATCGCTACACCGAGTCCGCGACAAAGGCGTCGCCGACCCTACGCTTGGGGCCCTTGGGCATCTTTCCTCACAAATCCAAGAGCTTTCAGCTCTCACATACCCACTAAGCCCTACAGCACTATCGAGAGCTATCATGTCTATTCGCCTACATCTATCTAGAACGGTTCTACAGAAGCTCTTGCCCTTGGAGAAGGTACTCGAGATGCTACAAGTGCTACGGCAATTCATGCTACTCGGCCGTGGCGAGTTCGCCATGGCTCTAACTCAACAAGCCGACGAGAAGATCCGTGATCGATGGCGCCGAGCAGACAATCTGGCTTACGAGAAACGGGACGGTCTTGGTACGATCAATATCAAGGAAGGTGAGGTAGCTGCGGTGCTTGCTCGGACCTGGGTCGCTCTAGGATCTATGCAAAGTCAACACGCAGGGGAAGACGAAGAGCTCGAACTAGCCAGGGAGCTTCTACAGTTAAACCTCTCCAAGTCGAAAGCATCAACAGGATTGTCTTTGGGCAAAGTGGTGGCCACCCCTTTCCGAAACCTCCTGCTGTCAGTACCTGTCGATATGACAGTCCGGATCTATTCACCCCTAGACCTATTCCTAAGCAGATCCGATATGCAAACATATACCTCGATAAACTCATACCTACTATCAATACGTCGCGCACACCTTCGGCTCACCGACCTGTGGAAAGTGACCCGGCTTCGCCGCCACCATTTGGCGCCCCCGAGGCCGCCGTTCAGCAGCACGCAAGGCGGCATAGCGAAAACCAAGGAACTTCGGAAACGCTGGTCCACGCGGGCGACCAACATGCGTAGCGCATGGACCACAAGCAGCGCATCGATCTTCTTCCTTGCTGAAATAGAGGCGTACCTTCAGGTTGAAGTCGTCGAAGGTCTCTGGGACGACTTCCAGTCCTGGTTGACAGGCAAAAGGGAGGAAACAAGGCCCGGAAGTGAGAGTTTAGCTACATATGATGAGGCATTGACGAGGCCAACAGTCGCCAATCATGATCCTCAGTCTCTATCTATAGCCCATCAACAGTACTTGCAAGCTCTGGTTCGCCGCCTTTTGCTGACACAAGCCAAATTCACCGAGCCGCTATACAACTTACTCATCCAAACGGATCATCTCGTTGCCCTCATTTACCGGCTGGATGGTATTTGGACGTCCATGGACCTTGAAGCCGACGAAGGCGTCGTCGACGCCTTTTCGAACCTAGAGGCCGAAGAGTCCGACGTCCAATCTCATCTCCGCGAAGTGGAGAGCAAGGTCAAGAAGGAAGTCGAAGAAGTCGTCCGGGTCCTCCGGGATCTGAGCATGGATTCCGAATTCCTGGCCGAGATGGAGGACGAGGATCCAGCAGGCGACAGCCGGGAGATCATGATCGACGAGGGTGAGGGACGATTTAAACCCAAGCGGATCGGCGGAGTGGATCGGCTGTTGATGAAATTGGATTTCGGTCGCTGGTTCGATGCGAAAGAGTGACGAAGACCGACGACACTTGATGGAAACACATCTCCCAGCTTGATAGGAACAGGCGGGAAGATCATCACCGGGGGCACCGGGGGTTACAAAGATGAACTTTGAGTACGAGTTAGAACAGTAGCGTATTCCACAATTGACATTCGGCAAGAGTCGTGGCTTGTCGAGCTTCCGAACTTCTCGTAACCGCCGCATAACTTTACCCCCTGGCTTCCCTTCAGCTGTTGCTCAGAACGTGGTCGTGCATGCGATGACTTGAACCGCTCGTCAACATTTGCCGTGATGTCAGTTGGAGCCCAAGGACCGACCCGTCTGGGCCCGAGTCCGTGAAGTGGCGCGACGCACTTGCAAATACTACACTTCGCTGTCGCTGCAACGGCCCTTTTGGATGTACGGCCGACAGTAGCATTTACACAGTCGATAGGTAAGTGAAGTGCTACGTCCAAAAGTAAAAGCCAGACGAAGAGCCGGGGTCACTTTCGGAGGATCGGGCCGCAATGCATGCATTATCTGAGCGAGTAGACAAAGTGCTGGAAGCAAGATCGCAGGATTCTTTACATCGCTCGCCACGTAGCTTATCCACACGCATGCACCCACACACACAGCTGGCAAAGAGAAGAGAGCGAGAGAGACAGAGAGTGAGAACGAAGATGGACCAGAGAATGGGTCCTCGTGCAATGTGTTCGTCCTTCATCAAATCTGAAGTGGCAGTAACCCTGAGTATACCGCATATGACGCTCCCAGACAACGGGTCTTTCATTCAATGACTGCGAGGTCAATATCTTGGCCCTTGTTCGAGCGGATGCCGTGCTCGACAATGTGCGCAAATCGTACAACGTAGTTCGCGAGTCCTCCGAACCCGGCTCCATCATCCAATCCAGTTATATACTGTATATAATTGTACAAGCAAATTCTTCCCAATGCCTCCAAGTATACGCCACGCCAGATGCTGATCCCTTGATGCGAGTAGAAAAGTAGACAATAAAAAAAGACTAAGACACGACACTAAAGAAAAGCGACCATCGCTCCTATCATTGGATGTAGGCCGTGATAATAAGATGACAAATTTCTGAGAGCGATAAATGCAAAGAAATAAGAAAAAAACAATACTGTTGCTAAGTCGCGCTGACGTCGCCGATCGCTCGGTGCTGCCGAGCTGAAATGGTTTCGGAGTTTCCGTTTGTGCAAACTGGGTATGCGATAATAATGAAACCGGTCAACATGTCTGCATGTCCGTCGGAACCCGATATTCTTTCTGTACTGGTGGATGATACCGTGTCTCGGTATGCATCCGAATTTTTTTAAGGTATGAGTCAGGCTGACCTGCGAACCCCTTGATGCTGACCAGCGCTTAGGGGGGAGGGTGGTAGCCTTTTCTGTCGTGTAACTCCAGGCTGACCAGCCTCGTTTTCTAGTAGGCTTGCACTGGATGGTGTTGGTGGATGTTTCGGGGAGGACTTGGGTGATGCTCCGAATATCGACGGGAGAATATGCGTTGCACAAGCCCCTTCGGAGCGACTTGCTCGAAGTCGTCCGTGGTTTTGGATCTGATGGGGAGGCCGATGCGGTGGGGTCGCTTGGTTCCCCAGCGCCCTTTGATGCAGTCATCAACGAGCGCCATGAGCCCAGTTGCGACGACGACACTTTTGCACATTAGATTCTATAATCGCTCGAAGGGGGAAAATTACAGTATGCTTACTCAGCAACGTCAGTCACGGCATTGACAAGGTTCTTATCTGTCAACCACATGTGACAAGGAGGGATCCATCCGCCGGCGTGGTTGTCTGCCGCCACCTGGTTCGGTGACCGGGTCTCAGGCACGATGTGGGCGATGGGTGCAGAGTGGCTACCATCCCGAAAGAGGTGGAAAGATACAACACCCGTCAACTTGTCCGTGACTCTCTTCCAGATGTAGGTATGACCCCACCAGTCGAATTCGTAGCGCTTCGAGGTCTTGTGGCCACGACGTTGAACGTCAACCCGGGCATAGTTTGAGAACTCTAGCTTGATGCTGTTGGTTGCGACCTGACGTGCCTTTGGCATACTGTCAAGGGAGACGGCGTGGCTGAAGGCCTCGTTGAACTCATCATCGGCATCCGCGGTAGAGTAGCTTGTGCCTGGCCGGCTTCTGGTGGAGAACACGGAGCTGCCTGTAGCCGTCCGTTTGAGCTGCGGCCGTCCAAGTGACTTCATGGCGTTCGACATTGAGCGTTGCAAGCTGGGGCGGCTTTGGGTCGTTGGATCGTTATACTTGCGTTTCGAGTTGCAGACCTCCCGGCCAGAATCTCGGCAGTATCTCCGAAGGGAAAACTCGCGCTTGTTGAGGTCGTACATGCGCAGGTGGAACAACTGGACGGTCCTCCTCCTGCGGCCTGACACCACCGTGTCAACTCGCAGGTTCATGTTGCCATCTGGTGTGAAGTCGTCATGCCTGATCGACAGTCGATTCAGGCTGGGGAAGAGAGAGGCAAAGTCGTCTGGTGACGACGGCCGCACGTTGGCGTCGGCTATCTCATGTCGATACACTGGCAAAGTGGGAACCTCCTCCGTCTCATCCACCATGTCATTCATGTGTGGGTCCTCGAACTCCTCGGCGGAAACGCGTGAAGAGTACGTCTCAACTGAGGATCTCGGATACAGACTTGTCGACGGGGATAGATCCACATCGTACCGGTCAGGAAAGTACTTGGGGGCCTTGGAACTGGACGCCTTCGTGGAACTTGGGCTGTCATAGAGCGAGCTCAGCGCCGTACTCCGGGAGTCGTGTGACTCAGCACTCCTGTGAGAATCTCGCGTGCTTGTCGTGTGGTTTGACTCATGGGTGTACTGTCTTCTTGACATTGTGTCGACTTAAGAGTCTGTGAATATGGTGCAAATAAAGCCAATATGTCTATACCGGAAACTTGCTTGCTGGCAGGAGTGAGCAGGCGGGCTTTGTATATATAGCCGTGTCAGACGCACCTAGGGGTATAAGGGTCCTGCAGAGTTGGGCGGCGAGTGAAACATCTATGAACGTTTTCACGAAGCAGTGATTTGGTACGAAGCAGTTGAAGCCTGAAGCTGGTGGGTCTCTCGAGCAGATCCCTGGAGACGTGCCTGGTGGCCGGTTCAAATAGACGCGGGGCGGGTTGAAGTGCAATGGGGGTATGTTGTATGTCGTATGGTACTATACAGGAATAGGGCGGGACGATGTGTCGATACGGGAGAGGTAGCTATATGTTGCGAGAATTGGGCCAGGAACTGGTTGGCTGGTGGGGGGGATGCTGATGGACGCTGCCCGTTATAAACGAGGTAGCTTCACTGGAAAGAGATGGCAAGACGGAGCTCGGACGTGCGACTGATGGACGGCCGTCGGCCTGGTGCGCGCTTCCCAGATATTGGTCAGAGTAGAGCCGAGAGGCGTGGAAGATACCCTGCGGTTTCGCCCACGCTCGCCGTTTAGAGATGGGATGGGATGGGCCGGGATGTCAGAGTACATCTTAGTAAACCCAGGATCTGACTTTGGGGGTAGATCCCGTTGGTGGAACACCCTGGTCCCCACCGAGCCGGCCGTCGTGAGTGGCTGCACTGGCCCTGGGAGTGACAGACGCAGCTCTTCAAGAGGTGGTGTGTGGGGGACGGGCAGGACGGGTGGACGGGGACGGGGACGGGGGACGGTGGACGGTGGGCCAGCACCAGGAGACGCACGCAGGTGGGACGACGGGACACGCCAGCGGCTGCGCGCTGGGCCCCGGTGGTGCCCTAGAAAGCGACATTGTCCAGCGTCACAAGCCCGCGCGCCACAATAGTATCGTGCAGCTGCAGTAGCTAAGCAAGTTGGCATGTCCCACTCGTCCATGAGGTGACGACTCTCCCCGGGTGGCACGACACTGAACAGCCTGCTTGCCTAGTCTTGACCGACCTTGGCAGAGGCCTTCCAAGATTGGGAAAGAGGCCACGGTCGAGCTACTGGAGAAAGCAGAAGTTGCTGCCTCCCATTACTCTTGGGAATGACTGTTACTAGACAATAGTCCGTGTATTGCCACAGCAAGAGCGCGTACCTAGGTACCCATGCACAGTACCATCCATCCATGGGGCCATAGTAGTCGGCGGGTTGATCAGTACCTACAAGTTAGTAACCCAGTCCAGTCGAGTTATTACTCCCCTGTACTTTCCTGAACGCGCTAGAAGATCCCACGGAACAGCGACTTGCACGGCCGAAGCCGCGGGACCCCAGCGAACTTTAGACTTCCGTCAGCGCCTAGATGCAGGTGCTGTCGCTAGAAGGTCATCCAAAGACAAGGATCCAGGATTCATTCTCGCAGACGGCGACATGTTCCGCAACGTGGGATTCATGCTCTCTTTTCGGCATCCCATGGCTGCCCGTGGGAGTAGAGTTGCAAGCAGAAAATTTTTTCTCTTCTTATTCATTTCGCATCACACATCCCAGGAGACCAGTGCCGCGGCTACCTCCCGGCACATGCGTGCCAATTGCATCGAGTTCACTATCTATCCTCTTGGTATCTTTCTGCAGAAGCCTCCAGATCGATCAGTCAGCTCCCCTTGCCGATCGATCTTATTAATAAACCAGACCACAGTCCAGACCATGAACGCGCCGTGACTCAGGGCGTAGAGTCACTCTGTTCGCCTTGGCTGGACACTGGATCTCAGATGCCCCGGTGCGGCGCCGGCAGGCAGGACGTGATGAGTATACGAAGGGGCAGGGCTGACAGACCGAGATTCTAAGACACCCAGCTGACTTGACTGCCCATCCTTCGCCCTCGTTACGGTAGACTTCATGCTCCAGCCACCTTCATGACAAGGCCCCTGGATCCGTGATACAGTACTGTCCGGAAAGAGTTCGTTGGCTTTGAGAACAACCGATCGTGGACGAGTCGGGCCCCGTCAAACGCAGCGCTCTCCGTCGGACTTTGGCTTGCGACGGGTGTTTCATTGGCCAATTCGCAGCACCGTAGCCATGCGCATTTGCAATCAAGTCCGCGATCCCGCTCATGACGAATTATCCCCATCAAAGCTGGCAGTACAGCCTCCAACTTACGTGGCACTGTCCCCCGGGGTCGCTAGCAAGTTGGGTACAATGCTGCCCGACGGCCGCTGCGGCGACGGGAGAGCAGTCGATAGACAACCCGGGCGCATGCGCTCGGTTCAAGGCTACACTGTATCATTGTGCGGCCCATTGGACGTCAGCATGCCCAGGCGCAGGTCACCTGGCTCACAGGCGCGCATCATTAGGTTGCGAAGAGCTCCATGAATTCATGCGCCAAATCCTAACACGGGATTCCCATCTGGACCACCTATTCCGGGCAGCACCACATAATAAACGGCCAGGTGGTTTACGGTAGGCTTCCTATTCGTTCTTTGGCGCTTACCTTATGCGGAGCCTTTCCTGTAAGCAGTTCATGTTTAAGCTTACCAGACCTCAATCACTTACACACCTGCATATCGTCGGGATCAACCTGGAATGGAGCGACACAGTACTGACTGTCTTCTTGCCCCAAGATAATCACAACATATGATGATTGCCTGCTAAGCATGCTGCAGCACGACTTCGCATCGTGACTGCTCCACAGTACCTGGTCCTCGATCAAAGTTGACTTGTCCGACAAGTAAGAAGGATCCGCACCCAAGAGGATGATGCCTGACTACCAGCTATGCATCGCGCTTGTCTGCTTCCTACGAGTTCAGACCCAGTTCGCTTCAAGATTTCTGTTCCACTGCTGTCAGATCGTCTTTGACTGACGCATGAGCAGCGTACAGGCGTTCCTGCCGTTTCGTGGCCTCCTGCAGGCCGTCCAATGCGGACCTGTAGTGTGGCAACCTCTCATTCGCCGGTTTGTGCGACATCGACCCTCATTTCGACACCAACCCCAGGCACGCAGAGATCGAAGCACGTGTGCTGGGCAGCTTTCGGAGAGGCATTCCTTGAGCTAATCGACGCTCCGTGCAGTTAAGCTGCTTCGTGCATCGGGGCTACTACCCGCAGAGTACGGATTGGCGTCATAGGCCCCGTCGACCATGTTGGGCCCAGATGGAGCAATCTAGGGGATCTTGAGAATACTCAGATGCGATAAGGGTCATTCTGGAGACGTGGCTATCCTTGGCTTCCACTCTATGCTGGCCCCTGCAGTGAACTGAGTGCTCAGGCTGATTTTGTTTTCATCGTTTAGGCATCACGAGGTTACCCACCGTGCCACAGCCTTGGTCTGTGATGACGAGCCTCGAAGGCTTAGAGCCCTACGGATCATTGCGCTTCTTGTAGCGCATGTTATTCGAGCAGCCATTAGCCCTTTAGGCAAAAAAAGATACTTGCTGCAGCAGTGGTTCTGGCCACTCAAAATGCCCTCCAGGCACACTTACATGAGACCGGCAGCCTCCATCAGAGCCGCTGGAGCAATGATCATGATCACTAATACCATGCTGATCACCTTGGATCTAGATACTAAGCCCGGCGTGGCTTCCACGTCTGCTCTCATTCCTCCAGCCACTCTATGTACATATTTGTTTAACCCTACCAACCTACCGTGGGACGCTTCCTGTTTGTCCTTCCACGCACCCCACAATGCAGGTTACCGGAATCGGCGTCAAGATCAGAGCTCGCGCTTACCCGGCCGCTTCTGTGTCCCCTTTGACGCAATGATAATGCGTATCACTGGAGCTCGGCCAGCTGGTGCAGTAGCTTGGTATTGTTTGCTTGGTCCGATATACCCGAAGTGGATATCGTCGACGAGCTATCGAGGGAGCAGAGAATCTTATTTGTTTCCTAAGTGAGAGCCACGAGAGAGGTACTATTTGACTAGCCGCCTGTCGTGATACGCGAATCTGGCCACTGGACGATGACACTCTCTTGTGTTTGACGTTATGTCTGTGTAAACAGCCCGCTAGAAGATGTCATTAGATGTCATCAAGGAAACCATCATGGAACCCATTGACGGATCTTCAGCAGCGAACGCCGAATTCATGTCGAGGATCTGCAGAAATAAAGAAGTCTTTTCGAAGGTGGTTCTCGAGACCCCCTCCTTGAACCACAGTTCGCGTGGAGCTTCTGCTCCTAAACAACGTAAGTGGTGCTCCAAGTCACTGATGCCTGTCTGGAGTCGTGCAGGGTCAGTGTTTGGTACAGGTGGTTAGGCCGTACACAATACTGAGTTTCCAGTCCCGCCGAATTGGACAGACTTCTTTTCCCAAACACACATGATTTCCTCTTACTTTTCTCTCCTCCTGTTGTTTAGTCGTCTTTCTTGCTCCAATCCCCCACACATCCAGGGCAGGGAGCTTCAGTCCCGTTCTGAAGTCGTAAGATATTGCAGATCGATCCCAAAAGTGCCAGTCGCTTGAATTGAGTTGGATTCTCGGTTCAAGGCAGACATTGGCTGAGAGAATACGCTGCAACCCTCAATGCCGTAGAGCCTCCGATTGGGGCTTGCTTGATCACCTCAGCTGGTCAGCGCGCCATTGGACAACACCATGGATAGAAAACCAGCGCATTTGGGGTCGCCCAGCGTCCAGACTGCGATAGACCATGCAGAACGCGTGGGAGTGAGCAACATATACCCCCAAGCCCAAGGTTTCCGATGACTGCCGTGAAAATTTTATTTCGAATTATTGGACAATGGGATTTGTCTTGATATACTGCGAAACGTGTTTCTCCATGGATCTGGGCTTCAAGACGCTTTCTGGCGTGGGGACGACAACGGGCTTGTAGTACCCCAGCCCTTGCCTCTGCTCAGAGCTGACAGCCAGCCAGTCAGTCCTGCTACTGTTGAGAGCTACACAGGCTGAACGATCTGCATCCACGCCTTCGTGCCATTGGTGAAGCTATATATAAAGGCGATCGCCAATGGCTGCCCGCGCCGTCGCCGCTGTTAGCCGCACAAGGCCATTCGCCATCTCCATCAGCCCATCTTCTCGCTCTGATCTATCAGAAGCCAGGCTCTTGCTGAAATGGAGGGGTAGGCAGACCATGAGGAGCGCACGACCGAACAGAAAACGCAAGATTCAGCGAGTATCCGGCGCTACCGCGTTAGGCCACTCTATATGCATTACATACATGCTACATACATGGAAACACTGGGCGCGGACCCCGGATTCCAGCGTGCTGGGTTCAGCAAATCGGCCTTCAGTGATGCCGGCCAGCCTTGCCCTATTGGACGTGTAGTCATAGATGACTTCCCATGACGAGTCGGCGGCTGGTATCTAGGGTTTCGCTCGCTTATTTCGCCGCGATATCAGCAGGCACAGCAAGTATAAAGATTGTACATAGAAAATCCGGCTCTTCTTGTGCAACTAAGAACAAGTGGCAACTCGGATCTCGCTGCTAAGAACCATTCGTTGGGACCATCGGCTCGCACAGAGAGATATAGAACATAGTACCATGACGGATGCTTAACATGCCATACGACATAAGGGCGTTACAAGGGACCTTTGTCAGTCTAAAGGTGCTTAGAGACCAACGTAGCACTTCTAGCCAACAGGAGTACGCAGAAAGTGAGCCTGCAGAACGCCCATCGTATCATATGTTTCCCACGATGACGGGCACAACGCCGCGCGACATCATCCGACGATCTAACGGATCCGCATCGCTGGTCTGGGGCGTACCTGGAGTGCCGTTCCGCTGTTACAGGGCTCAGGGGTCGGGGTGTCGAATCACCCACGGGCGTCGGCTGGATAGTCAACCGGTGCTGTAAGATTCGCACTCTGTTGACGAACCTTCGCTGCGCGGCCGAGCCAGCCCACGGCAGCGCGTGGCTGGTCCAACTGGACCACCGCCGTATGTGCAAGGGGATAGTGAATCTTGATCAACGTCCATGATACAAAGCAAGCCGAGGACAATCTCGAGACCTCCCGAGCCCGACAGCCGCGCCCTCTCGCGTGTCCGGCTCCCTGGGGCGCGAGACACGTGAGCAGAGGGCCCTGCTATTTCTTCTCCTGCCTGTTAGCCTTTCTGCGGGCTTTGCTTTTTTTCCCATCGCTCTGCCTCTTTCCTCGCCAGTCACCACGTGCCCGTCTCCCGGCACTTCCACCCCGCAGGATTGCAGAAGCTGGGGAAGGAGAAACAGGAGGTGCAGCGAAGCAGAAGCACGGTGACGTGGTGTCTCAGCGCATATCACGGGATCCAGAACCGAGCAAAGAATATTTGCTTCTCGCAGATATCCCAAGCAGGCGGTTTCGCTCGGATCGGGGGTTTACGGGAGTTGAAGGGAATCCTCGGGCCGTGTGGCTTTTTGTCTCCTGTCCCATTTCCCTGCGAGGTAGGACTGGTTTTGGCATATATGGTGCCAAGGCCAGGCAAGGGGTAGAATTTTTTTTTTCAGCTGGAACTTCGCTTCCACAATAGGCGACGGCGATGGCCGACGTTCGGTTAGCTTTGGCTGTCGTTCGAGCGAGGCCCTTGCGTGGTGGTATGTTTATGGCATGACTCGAGAGTAAATTGTTGAAGGTGTACCTCTGCAATTCCATTAATGTATCATTCTATATAGTGAGGCAATTATTTGTATGGCCGGCCCCTTGTTGCGAGAGGTCGAGGGACGCACCAACGTTGTGCTTGCAGGAAGCTCTGAGGGCGCAGCTCTGCCCCAAGTTCGCCAGCCGCAGCCGAACGGTAGGTCAAAACAGCTCACGATGTATTAGAGGTCGTTAGCGTTGGGTTTGCATATTTAATTCCTTCGCATTTGGTTGGTAATAAACTATGATAACGAGAAGGGGTTGATGTGTTGTTGTCGGGAACAGTTACCTACGCCAGCAGGTATGCAGCATGGAAAGGCAGTGTGGAAACAATAGGCATCTCCTCTTCTTCACTTCGCCAGAATACATGCTCTCATCCTTCACCGAGCTACTTTTACCCTCCTGATTGATGTTGATGATCAATACCGGATCTTCCCCCTTTCCGCTTGTGCCCTGGCAATAGAACGAAAATCAGCGACGCCACTGTTGTGGTCGATGTTCGTTGATAGGACCCATGATCTCTCGGCTATGTCGTGATGATACCGGTGAATTTATTCTCGTGCTTGTTCTGGATGAGCGTTGAGAGTTCACTCGCATGAGCATTGGCAGGTAGTAGTCGAATGACCCCCAGTCCGACCTCTAGTTCGACGAGTCCCATCCGACCCAGCTGCGAGGCATGATACGCCAGATCTTGACTTCTCCGGAACGGAGGTCTTCTAGCTTGAAGCTTTCCTGCTTCACTTTTTTGCTCTCGCGGCCTTGCTCCCAGGCGCGGACCTTCTTCTTGGTACCATCCCATTCGGCAACGATGGCGACGTGATCTGGTTTGCCCACCTCCATCGAGTACTTGGCGTGCATGGCGCCGTGCTTGCCGGAAAACTTGGCATTGCGGATAGAGATGATATCACCGGGTCGGATCTCATCGTTCATCGTGGTGGAAGCATTGGCAATGTTGGCGTAGACAAGAGCGCCGTAGGTGCGTGTACCAACAGGGAGCAGAGCATCCTTGAACGGTCGCAGAAGTTCGTAGACCAAGCTATGGGGAGAGCCGTCACCGACGACAGAGTCCTTCTTGGATGGAATCGTGTTCGAGATTTGCAGACCAAATCGTTCGTAGGCCTGTTCCAATTGATCCTGGCGCAGAGTACGTGGTGGGGGTTCATGTCTTTGATCAAGCTGCGTGTCAGACGGGTTTTGTGGATCGTACCGCACTGTGATGATCGTTTGCGAGTAATCCTGGAACAAGACATATACCTCCTTAGTGACAACAGTTCTGCCCCCAGGTGCAGAGGTGGTAGATTCCTCGGACTCGAAGAATACATCTCTGCGCCCCTGGAGGGTTGGCGGGACGCCGTTTGGCGTTGACCACCAGTTCGTGTGGGGCGCAAGGTCAAGATCATTAGCCACGAATCCGGACTCCATCGAAATTGAAGGTCGGTTTACGTCCATTGATCTTCGTCCACCCGTGGGCCTGGAAACATCGAGGGACTGGCGTGGAGCTCTGTTCGAGGGCGGGGCCGGAGGTGGTGCGCGTGTGGTTGGCGGCGGGGGTGACTGGTAGGACGGTGCATTATCGGGTGATGCCGCCTCCTCCTCGTGTCTCGAAATGCTGTAAGACAAGGTTGTCGGCGCTGCAGGTCGTGATGCTGTGTAGTTGTAGGGATCGTACTCGTCGTCGTCCTGCGCGTAGGTTTCCGTCTTCGGCGGAGGTGGAGGAGGAGGAGCAGCACGAGGCATGTCCGCGGACGGCCGGGCTGGTGGCGGCGGCGGCTGGCTTGGAATAGGGGGAGGGACAGCCCTTGGGGCGGCAGCGCTTGGAATGGGAGGCGGTAGCGACGGGGGCGCAGCGTCAGAAACGGGCGACCTAACGCTCTCATCAAAGCTTGAATCCCGAGCATGCGACTTGAGCGCGTCCTTGTGGGGAACCGAGGATCCGATATCAGTGTCGTAGTCTCCGTCATATTCGGTGATTTCCTCCTCTTCTCCGTTGTCAAGGTGCCCAGGCTTCATTGGTGACACCACCCTCTCATCAGACGTAGATGTGCGGCTAGGAGCAGTGCCTGGTGGAGGAGGCGGCGGAGCCCGATTTTGTGCAGGGGGAAGCGGTGCAGAGCCTGGAATAGGAGGCGGCGGACGGCTGTTTCGCTTGCTGGGCTGGTCCGGGGACGTCGGTGATGTTTCCGCTCCCATGTACGACGTCCGGCGCCCAGCAGGCCGAGGGGATGCTGGGGCCATGGTTGGCGAAGCTACAGGAATTGGCGGAGGAGCTCTGCTCGTAGGAGGAGCCTCACCACGGGGTGTCTCCACCGACTGCAGTTGACTCTCAGATAGCTCGTCGTCAGACTCGGATCCAACGCTGGGCGAAGTCACACCAGCAGGAGGAGGTGGCGGTGGTGGCCGGGCTGGTCCATCATTAGCAAAGCTTTCACAACAGACAAAAAAGCAGCTCTTACATTCAGCAGGAACGGGAGGCGGCGCTGGTCGTCCACTGGGAACAGGGGGAGGGCCCCCCGGGCTCTGCGTTGGAGCTTCATGTACGTTAGCATTCGCTGGCACACAAGAACAATATGTAATTATGGAGTTACTCACGCTCAGGAACGGCACGAGAGGTAGCCGAGGTGACTGGGGTGATATCTTCCTCGACAGGCGACTCCTGCTCCTCGGCCTCGGCCTCCTTTTCCTCAGACTTCTTACCCATCCCTGGGAGAGCCATCATGGTCGGAACCGGAGGGGGAGCCATGCGGGGCGTTGGATTCGCGTCTTCAGCCTGTTCGCTAGCTCGTCGCTCGACTGGCGGGGGCTTCTTCTTCTTGGCTGCGCCAGATGACCCCAGGGGCGCAGCGAAGGGGTTCATGCCCATCATGCCCAAACCGCCCATACCAGCACTCATCTTGGCCATCCTAGCTCGGAGCTCCTCCTTTCGCCTGACCTCAGGATCCTCGTCATCCTCCTCATCGTCTTCCTCCTCCTCGGCCTCCTCCTCTTCGCCCTCTTCAGGGATTCGGGCTTTGTCGTGGCTGGCAACAGAAGCGCCGGTGGGCGCGCGCGAGATACCTTTAGTCTGAGCATCGCTATCCTCGCGCTCTGTCAGCTCTTCAGGGCCCTCGGTAGTGTCGCCAGCGCCAGACATGTCAGCTTCGTTTCCATCCTCGGGAGGCCCTCTGGAAGATTTCCTTCGGGATGGCAGTGACTGTCTCGGAGGAGGCGGCGGTTGGGCGTCATCCGTGGACTCCGTGTTACGGCGTTCTAATGGCGGAGAAGCCGTCTCGGGGATGTCGATGGAACCGCGCTCCTGTGGCTCCTGGCTCTCGGTGCGCTTCTTGGGAGGCCGCTCAGGCTTCTTCTTCTTGGCAGCAGCATCAGCGTGTCGTGAGGCAGCCTCGGCCTGTTGCTTCTGAAGCAGGGCCATACGCTCCTTCAAGCTCATTGGCTTGGGCTGGTCCTCGTCTTGGCCCTCCTGGGTGGGCACAAGTCCTGCCTTGGCCGCATTCTCCGTGTTCTCGGCCTCCTTCTCCTTGATCTCAGGATCTTCCTCGCGCCTGTAGACCTTGGCAGTCGGGGCGGCCTCTCGCGGAGGGGGGACGTAGGCGTTTCTGCTTGGGGGAGCTGCTACGAATGGCTTCTTGATGAAGCCAGAGCTCCCACCGGATCCGAGACCGCCTGGCTTGAAAGGCGCAACAGGCGGCGCAGCCGGTTTGTTGAAGGCGGCAATACGGTCTTTGAATGCACTGCTCGATGGCTTACCGGAAACCGGGGGAGGGCCGCTCCGAGCAGGGGCTGGCGCCTTTGCCGGAGGTTGCACAGCAGGTTCCGCGGCGGGGGCAGGCTCAACCGGCTTCGACACGGGAGCGACGGGGGCTTTCGGGGAGCGCGGCTCGGCGGCAGCTGGAGGCGGAGGCGAAGCAATTGGTGTCTCCTCCTCGACCTCCTCAGGCTCCTGTGGGACAGGTTCGGCTTCAGGCTCGGGCTCCTGTTCCTGCTCCTGTTCCGGCTCGGGCTCGGGATGGGGCTCCTGAGCGGGCGTAGGTGGCACGGGAGGCTCGGCTTCCTTCTTCTTGGATCTCGTGGGGCGCGGGGGCGCGACCGGCTCGAACTTCTCGACAAAGTTGCGAGGGAAAATACCCTCCCGCTTCTCGCCGGACGCATCGACGTACTCGCCGGTGTACCAGTCCGGGTCGTCGTCCTCGATGACGGTCATGACCTGACCGACGTCGAAGGGCAAGTCATCCTCGTGGCTCGAGGTGTACTCGTAGATGGCCTTGACCTTGAACGGTGCAGCAGCCATGATGCCTCGGCGTCGCCAGCAGACTGCACCAGGATAGGTTTTGGGGGAGGTTGTGAGTTGAGTGCCGGTCTCAAGGTCCAAGTCAGGGTTTGGGTCAGGGTCAGGGTCAGGTTCAGGTTCAGGTTCAGGTTCGGGGTGATTGGGAGGAGGCGGCGGCCAGGTTGGAAGGAGGCAGTTGCCTGGCTGGTGGTCGGCAGTGCGCCGCTGATCGTCGGGCAGATGAGGGGTCGCCGCAGAGAAATATCTCGGAGGTATTGGACTGAGCTGTGTTCGAAAGTGGAGGATTGGGTTACCGACTATTCTCAAACAGATCGGGTCTCCTCTCGTGTCTCGTTAGGTCGAGGCTGAGCACAAGAGTTGCTGCAAGTTGCGGCGGCAGCCTGCTGGAGAGCTCTGGGTTGAGTGGGCTGCTTTGCTTGCTTGCCTGCCTGCTTGCTCAGTGCTGGGCCGACTGGGACTGGTACTGGGACTGGGACTGGAACCGGGACTGGGGTGGTGTGGGCGTGGTGGTGGGCGGTGGTGTCACTGGTGGGTGTGTGGACGTTCGCCCGCTCGTTTGGAGAAACTGGAGTCGGACGGACGCACTGGAGCTGTAGACGTCAGCGCATGAAGATTGTATGGGGCCCGCCGCACGCCAGACCGAAAAGGGCGCCACTCGACGTCCTACCTGGCCGCTAGGTGTCGGTGGAGTCGCCCGTCTGTCTCTATTTTATTACGGCCAGGGTTTTGGGGCTATTTGGGCTATTTGGGCTGATCATCGTCCACGGGCCCGTTGACAGCATGAACACTCGATGGTAGAAATAGTCCTGTGTGGTAGGGGGTGTTTCTCCTTGCGTTCCAGACTTCGGACGTCTGACTGGCTAATAATCATGGGCCTGAATGCATGCTTGCATGCCTTACAGGTCAATGGGCAATGGGCAATTGGCATGGCATACATGGGTCTTCGGCAGCTTGGGGGATCCTTGGGCAGGGTTGTCACAGCTCCAGCTCCCCCCATCAGACTCACACAGACTCATCATCAGCCCGTAGCCCGCAGCCCGTCCCCCGTCCCGCGTCTCGTCGGGTCTGGCGGGTTCCTGCTCGCGCCACAGCCCACTATGTCATTGTGGCTTGCCTGCTAACTAACTTTCAGCATTGCACCGTACACAGTCGCGCCCTCTTTTTTCTATGGGATAGTCACCGATAGATCTCCAGGTCTGCAAGAACGACGAGCCTCGTGCGAGATAGCAACGCCTGCAAACCAGCCATGACGACCCCCGCGCCGCAGCAGAACCCCCCCAAGTCCATCCTCAAGCCCAGCTCGGCGCCGGGCACCCTGGCCGCCGACCAGGCCGCCGCCGCCAAGGCCCGCGAGGTCGCGACGACGCACGCCAAGATCATCCACCACCGCTGGGGCATCGAGGACCAGATCGGCGACGCCATCGTCGAGCTGTGCCGGTACCCGCTGGCGGCGGCGCGCGGGGACGGTGCCGGTACCGCCTGTTACTCGGCGGCCGACCCCGCGCCCTCGGACGCCGAGGGCTTCCGCGCCGGCATCCGCCTCTTCCAGCCGTCGGACTACGACGACCTGATCGAGGAGCGCAACGCCAACGGGCGGTGCGGGTACGTGCTGTGCCCGGAGGCGCGGCGGCGCGTGGCGGGCGCCGGCGAGTGGAAGATTGTCGGCAGCCACATCCTGCCCAAGAAGGAGGTCGAGAGGTGGTGCTCGCAGGCCTGCGCCAAGCGCGCCATGTACGTCAAGATCCAGCTGAGCGAGACGGCCGCGTGGGAGCGCGCCGGCATCGACACCATCCAGATCGACCTGTACGAGGAGCCCGGCAGCAAGAACAAGAAGGAGGAGGCCGAGCCGGCCGGCCAGGACGCCCGTCTGGCGCAGGACCGCGCGGGACAGCAGCAGGTCGAGGCCCAGCGGAAGGCGGCCAAGGACGCCAAGGAGCTCGCCTTGGAGAGGGGAGAGTCTGGCGAGCCACAGAACCAGCGCGACATTCCCATCAGGATACGAGAGAAGCCAGTCACCAGAACAGCGGAGGAGCCGTCGTTGGGCAAGGACGACGGCCACCTTGTCCTGGACGGCTACAAGACCAAATTCGAGAACAACCAACTCACTGCTGAGGTTGCTCCGGAGGAGGATGACACGAGTATGGTAGACAAAAGCTAATCACCGAGGGGGGGGATATGATGGTACGGGCACTTTTGAAGCATTTCGCGGCGTTTTACGGCAGCATGATAGATAAAAAAAGAGATACCCCAATGGACATTACAGCAAAAGGGCTTCAGAGTTATCTTCTGAAGTTCGCCCAGTCCATGCAACAGCTTTAATACGAAAAATAAAACAGAGCCCACGCTCGTTAATTAACCTTCATCGGCCACTTCGGTCGATCCAAACCGGCGTTGGTACTCGAGGGGTTGTCGACCATACTGACGGGAAACTGTAACGGATGTGGATCACTTTTGTTTCGAGATTCCTATGTAGTCACATCTCACACGCACACACATGTAATAGGAGCAGGGGAGAATTGGCCATCAACCGTCGTCTTCGGAATCAACCAAAGACTCAGGGACACCTTGTGTGGGTAGATCTTGTTCTTTTTGCAGATCTAGAAAGCACTCACTATCGTCCGTATAGACGCCATGAAGCCGTGAGACCAGTAATGCCAGTTGCCCAAATCAACCAATTCGTGAACCCTCAGTCGTGACGTGAAACTTGCCCCCAAATGCCATACAACATGCTTATGATCGGGGAGGGCGGTCGCCAAAGCGGCGGGGACGCTCGGTACCCTGCTGCTGGGTAACGGGGACAACGTTGACGGGGATGGAGTCGAACTGCAGGAGGTTCAAGGTTAGCTGGGCTGTCCACCAGGTGGCTGTGGGGGTATAAATGTTGGGTGTCACATACGCCGAGGTGCTTGAGCAGGTCCTTGGTCTCGCCGTCGATGTCGAGCTGGCCGCTCTCCGAGTTCTGGGCGAAGTCGAGAGCAGAGACCTCGGGGACGTACTGGTCCTTGCGTTCTCTCTCCTCCTCCTGGAGCTTGAAGGAGATACCACGGACGGGACCACGCTGGATACGCTTCATCAAGTGGGTGGTGTAGCCGGCAATCTGCAGTTCATCCAAAGGTCAGTTCCCTGTGCCCCTTCTCTCTCTCTCTCCCGCGTGTCTTGCCGCGGGTGTGGTGGCTGCTGACCTTGTTGCGCAGACGCTTCGAGGCAATGATGGCAATCTCATCGCACACACGCTTGTTGGTCTCGAAGTCCAGGGTGAGCTTGGGGTAGTAGCGCTCAATGATGACCTTGGCGGACTTCTTGACGGTCTTGGTTCTGACGCGACCCATTTTGGCGGTATTGGTGGTTGTCGAGTGGTCGGGGAGGACGGGTGTTGGGCGTGAAGGTCGTAGATGTCCAAGTTGCTCGTCGCTCGTCAGTAGGAAAAGTCGACTCGGGTGGGAATTTCCTGTGGTGTGGGGGTGTGAATTCGGAAAAAATCTAGGGCAAATGTGTTTTGCGCTCTGATTGGCCGGAAGAGACCCTCTGCCGCAGGGGTAGGCCATATTCTGGCAGCTGGCAGTCTATTGCGGCAGCTCGTCTACAGCTGCGGCTGACCGCTGGTCGGTTTGGAGACATGACGCTATCCTACGGTACCATCCATATAACTCAGTCCAACCGGTCCACTACCTGCGCTCGTGCACTGCGCAAAAACGACAAATACCATTGCATTCTATGCGGTCTAGGACTGGGTCGGTCTCTGGTTTGCAGTTATATAGGGAAGAGCTAGCTGATTGTATCCTACGAGGTGCAGCCTGTGCCGTTTGACAACACAGAATGCTAGATTAGCCATACAAGAGAGCACAATCGTTGCTACGTAGAAGAATCAGCACCTGGCGAGAGTGTGTGGTATTGAGACTGGTCTTCAGGCGACACTATAAGGCGAAGACTTGCCTCTCTATCCAGCCAGCCCTTCGGCCCCCTGAGTCTAGTCTACACATATCATCCGTATGTATTGTCACAAGTAATGTACATCAACCAAGACCTCCGCGCAGCTTCTCGTACACCGAGCCGCGTTGACAACCTCGCGTTGCTCCCATCAGAGCCCGTACGTCTTGGAGCTGCCCATGATGCTTCTACTCCGTGCTGCCCAGGGTCTCTGCAACATGGGCCTCTGGGCGCTCAGGGCCTCGTTCGTCTCCTTGACGGCGTCCTCGAAAACAACGCCCTCGCCGACCATCTCCTTCTGTACTACGGCCGCGCTGGGGTCTGTAGCCCCGAACCCAAGCACCACCTTTCCGGTGGAGCTGATGGTGACCTTCTGCGGTTCCACGTAGACCTTGGATCCGCCAACGACATCTGGCTGGAAATCGTTCAAGCCCGGAATGGCGCTGTTCTTGTTGTACGTGCCTCCGGCCTTGAAGTTGAACGACGTCTCTCCCTCCGGAATCTTGGAGATGAAGCCTGCGACACCAATCTTGGCAACGTAGTTGGCCGCGCTGTTCTTGGGTGTCACGATCCTGGCCTTGACGGGCGGGTGGCGCTGCTGTGGCCCGTAGATCGGGTGGTTGTCCAGATAGTTCTTGGTCCGTAGATAGGAAAGCCCAGCAGAGGGGTGTGTAATGGGCGGGCCGTTTGCTGCATACGGACTGTCTGAGAAAGTGTATCGCTTGTTCGGCCGTAGAGCACCCAGCCTGTTGAAGGCAGCTTCTTCAGGGGCGAGGGGCGCCAGGTCCAGGAACCTGCTGACGTGTTGGAACAGCATGACCGGGTCTTGCCGGAGCTGTCTGAGGTGCTCGGTGAAGGCAGTCTCGCTAATGTCGCTGGACTGGACGGGTACCGGGGCCTCCTCGGCTCTCTCTTGGGCCTGCTGGTTCTGCTCGTTGGTCATATCAGCCGCCAGCTGTGCCTTCAGATACGCACGGAACTCGGTCCGCTTCCCGCGGACGGTGCTCGACAGATATTCGTTGAACTCGCCGTCCGTCATGCCTGCCAGCCACGGCCCGTTGAACCGCCAGCGGATATTCTCCTTCTTCACCCTTTCCTCGGGGGTCAGGGCGGTGACGTCGGCGTCCTCCTCGAATACGGACTTGGGGGGCCGCTGGTCGTCCTTCTGCGGCACCGTGAAGTCCAAGTTCATTTCCTGGAACTTCTTGAGCGTGATGGCGTGGTCCGAGGCGGACCGGAAATCCGTCACATGCTCGATCGAGTCGACCTTGCGGACGCGCACCAGCGGCAGGGTGGACTTGGTGGTCGTCTTGAGGGGAAACGGGCGCTTGAAGCCCCAGTCGCCCACCAGACGCGAGGCCTGGGGCGTGGTGACGGTCAGGTGAGTAGGGAAGGGCGTGGTCGCCGTCGCCGACTTGTGCTTGGTTGCCATTGAGAGGTCGCTGGGTGCCGATATGGGCGCTGGCATGGAGAACATGCGCGATGATCTCAAGAGCGCGGCTCCGGGGGAGACATTCTTGGCCGTCGCCATCTTTGAGGAATGCGCTCGAGGCCGAGCTCAAACCAATGCGACTGAGAGCTGGAGCTTGAGCTTGCCGTTGATCTTGAGTCCTCGACGCAGCTCCAGTAGAATTTCGCGAGCACAGACCCCTGGGACTGGCCGACCCCCGGGTCGCGGTCCCCGTCCCCGGGCTGGTGGACATCGGGCCGCTGGCAGCTGCCCATTCAAACCTCGATAACTACTTACATACCTCCTCGCCCGCGACTACAGTCGTACGTACTTGGAAATCGCAGGTAGTATGCAAACGTCTGGAGGATGGGAATGCACTACAGGCAGCTGTTTGTTCCATCCCATGGTATGATGCTGGTGGCGGCGGTAAGTGCCTCTTGTACTGCCACACGCTACCTGTGCCATGGAGCCTCGAACTCAGAAATGGGGTGGGTTATCGACACCAGTACGGCAAGGGACGTCTCGTGGCAAGCAAGGAGCTGCGGGCGCACCCTCTTCACCCTTTACAGCAGCTTCGGGCTCCTCTGCAATCCTGCTTCTCTTCCAGGTGCAATGTTCATGCGAGTGTATTTATTTTATTCGTTGCCCAGGGGTCTATCGATTTCTTGCTCTCTTGGTCCAGGACTTCGAATCACATCCACCGTGGCTCTGACTGTGGTATTGTGTCTCCCTAGCGAGTCGGCATAGTCCCAGACTGATGGCAGTCGCCTCCTTCGTCCATCTACTGTCCCAGTTTACACCTTTGGGGCCATCAGTTCAGCATGCATTCTGGCCTTTCCACCGCCAACCTTCCACCGGAACTCTCTACTCCTCGCTAACCTGCAGGCCCTCGCGCAGACCCTCGACCTTGAGCTCTTCACCCGTGGCGCGGCGGTAGATGTCTCGGACATCATCTGTGGTGGTCTCAAAGTGGGAGGTGGCGTCGTAGCTCTTGGAGATGAACACATTATCCTTGGTGCCGTCCTCAAGGGGCTCATACAGCGGGATAGGGGGTCCCTGTTTCGTTTCATCAGTTACCGTGTCAATCCGTCACGAGTTACGCAAGCACTTACCAAAAACTGCTCCTCAATCTTGCCCAGGCGGTCCAGGCCGGGTTGCAACTCGAGGTGGTGGTTGGCCGAAGTCTCGGCAATAGTCGAGACAATGGCAATGTAGTATCCCTTGGGACACACGTTGTGCGCCGACGAAATGCAGGCAACGTAGATGTCGTTCTTTCGGCCAACTTGGGACTGGGGGATGATCAACTGCGCAGAGTCGGCGTCACCAGTGCCGGCCAGGGGGTGCTTCAGGACGCAGATAGCCTTCAAAACGTGGCCGACGACCTTGACCTTGCTGGGGAAGTAGCTAGGGTCACCCAGGATGAACTTGGCCTTGGTCTCGAACTTCATCTCGGGCTCAATGCCGCCCATGGTGGCCTTGATACCAGTTGCCTTGCCACCGTCGTACAGGACCTCATCGACGGATGCGTTCAGCATGTAGGTACCTCCGTAGATGGCCGACAGGCGGGCAAAGCCTTGGGGAAGCTCTCCGAGACCGTACAGCGGGTAGATGTAAGGAGACTTGCCGTAGCGAGCAACAGAGTTGCCGTACAGGCGGATGCGCTCGATGGACTCGGGGGCCTTTCCGGGGGCGTCAAGGTAGGTGTCGTCGAGGTAAAGAGCCATGGCGTGACCGATGAAGTCCCGAGTACCAGCCTCGAGGCCGAACTTGTCGTAAACCTCCTTCATGGTGGCCTTGGACAGGTCGAGTCCTATCCAGCTCATCAGCATAAGTGTTTTTCAGCCCAGGCACAGGCAGAGGGCGAGGCCGGGGAAACAGTGCGCTTACCCTTGTGCGTGCCAGCATCGCTGGCGTCAAAGGTCCCGACCCACTCGATGAAGCTCTTCATACGGCGCTTCTCAAAGATGCCCATGAGCGGCGACCGCAGGGCTTCGCCAGCATCCGAAGGCACCTTGGCAATGGTGGCCTTGGAGCCGGAGTTCTGCTGGACGAAGCTGCCGGCAACCTGCTTAAATTCGAGGTAGCGAGTGACGTCGGTCGAGACCAAGATGTTGGTCAGCTCGCCGGAGGACATCAGGAGCTTGGGCACCAGGTCAATGTTCCAGTCGGCGGGTCTACCGTAGGCCTTCCACGGCTCGGTGCCTTGTTGGAAGTTGCCATACTTCTTGAAGAGCTGTATCGACACATCTTAGCCAGGTGCATACTCGAACGGTATTGGAACCAGAATGCTATCCACCACCACCGCACCACGAGTTCTGGTTGGTGATAGCTGGATAAGGGGTGGCGAACGGGAAGCCGGGGACGTTGGGTAGGGGTCGTACCGTTTCGAGGTTGACAGACGCTGCCTCTCTGCAGGGGTTTGTTAGCCAGAGCTTCACATGGCTGGCATCAAGATTCCAAAGGATTTTACTCACCCTCCATAGTGGTCGTTGCGGTCAATGTGCAACACCTTCTTGCCCTTGACACTCAGGACACTGTGATAGGGGGGTCACCTGTTAGCCTGGTTCCCAGCAGCGACGGGAAGATGCGGGGAGGGGGGCATCAGTGATTTATCAGTGATTTGCATACCCCGAGAGAATACACTCGGTCAAGCCTGTGTGGTTTCTGTTGTCAGCATTCCAAGGCTCTGCTCCCGAGTTCTATCCCAAGACCAAGATGCTCCGTCGGGGCAACGCCCATCGCCGCTGAGCTCCCCGACCCCACCAGGGGACGCCCGTGAAGCAGAAAGGCGGATGCGGGGCAGGGAGACTCACCAGTGCCCAGCACAATGACATCGTATTCGGGGGCGATCTCATCCATGGTGTGTGGTGATTAGTGCAGAGAGCTGTTGAACGGAAGCCCAGGAATCTTGGGAAGTAAACAAAAGCAACAGAGCCTTTGGGGGGGAGGAAAAGTATCGGTGAGGAGTTGCATGGTCTTTGTGGTAGACCCTGTTGATGAGCTGCCACTTTGGACCCATTTCGGGGGAGCCAATGGGCGGGGTCCCGCTGCGTTTTGGCGTCTTCTGCCTTTGTCCCAGATCACCACCGCCATTATTACCTTAGGTGCCTACTTACTTAAACGTTAGGTAGCTTCTCAAGTGTGCAGCGACAGAACGGTACGACAGGCCGCAGCACGACCCCGATAAGTAAGCTTCACGCAGACATAGACATGGAGAATCCAATCTCGCATTCGTGTCTTCCTTGTGTTTCTTCGTCACTCTGTGTTTCGTCATGCGCCACTCAGGCTTTCCCAACGTGAAAACGGTTTCACCCCAGCACAAATGGCCTGGACAAGAGCGGTAATATGTCAGGAAATATATATTACACTTATTTACAGGGCTGAACTTCAGTGTCATGCGGTATATCCTGCCATAGACTTTCGTCGTTCCATGCGCGCCCAGGTAAGTGGGTGCGAGGTGCTGGTTTCTGGGTGGGTAAGCTTCTATACATCTGTTCCGTGCCTCTAGTAGTACAACTGGTATTTCATCCCGAAGTCGCCTGTCTACGGTTGAGTCGTCGTTGGTGTCGCAGGTGCCTTCGGTAAGGCGGACGGGTCGATCGGCTGCTCGGCAGGCTTCCCGGGCTGCTGTTCCTGTACAACAGCCTCAGCTTCAGCCTCCGCCTCGGCTTCAAGAGCCTGAGGGTCTGCCACCTCCTCCTCAAGGTAGGACCGGGGCGTATAAGGGCTACTCTCGTTAGACAGGTCTACCTCGGGATCCTCTTCGGCGAGCTGTCTTGCGTCCTCCCAGGTGTAGAATCGCTCCGTGAGGGCCTGCTTGATGGCCTTCATCGTCTTAGAAACCTGCAGTCCGCCACGGGTCAGTAAAAGTTGCGTTGGTCCAGGGGAACGAGCTCTGGGGTCAACGTACTGCTCGCATCCTAGCTTTACTCTCGTCTTCACCAGTCCTGAACTCCAGTCTCTGTCTCTCCCTGGCCGCCGTCGCGATTCTATTCCTCTCCTTCACACACACCCACCACAGCCGGTGCAGATCGTCCCAGTTCTTGTGCCTCAGCTCCTCGACAGTCCACGAGCGACCATGCTTTGCCTCCTCTTCGGGGGGTAGCAGCGCCTTGTCGCTCTCGTAGAAAAACTGGTACAGTCCGTGGTTGGGGTCTGTCTTGACATGTTCCTCGGGCTTGTAGTCGGCCGGTTCGGGGACTTCGAAACCATCGACAGCCATTCGGCCCTTCGTTCCGGACCGGTAGAGGGAGGAAAGACCTCGCAATCGGTTGTTGTCGCGCCGCGGCTTGCGCATGGACAGAGCGGTCGTGGTCGAGAAAGGGGCCGCGGATACGCGAGACGATCCGGAGGCAGCTGCTAGGCAGACGGTCGAGGGGCTGCACTTGTTTGTGTGCTGCAGTATCCGGCCAATGACCGGCCGTATGGAGGTCGAGGTCGCCATTGTTGAGAAAATCACGCCTCGCCTGAGGACATGGGAGGTTTCTGAAAATGACAGGAGAATCGGGCTGAAGCCTTGCAGCTCGCGTGAAGCGACAGCTACCAGCTGGTAATTTTTTCTATCTGTGGCGCAGCTTAGTAAGAGCCACAACCGTGCGCCACAATTTTATAGCCGCGCTTCTGGAAGACAAGTGGACGTTGACTTTTGCCGACAGTTGCTTAAGTAAATCAACGTGTGATCAATTCGAGCCTAATACGAATGAAAATCAAAACGATCAGAAATAATGAGGGTGGCAATTGGCTATGGAAACTCCTTTCTATCTATGCAATCGAAGCCCACGCAGCCGTAACCACCGCTTTCCTCCAGCCAAACGGAGTCTATTACCACCAACACCCGCGAGGCTTGAAACTGAACACATGCGTCCTGCCAATACAAGACTAAGCTGCATCTCCAAGAGTACCTGTGGTGTGCCAAAGAGTCACTTCCAATGGGCGTGGCCATGATAGGCTTTGTTAACAATACACCTATGAGGTACGGCAGCATTCCGAAATTCCGGAAGTCGGCCAGGCCACGCGAATGAAGGTCCGAAATATTGAAAACCACGGTCAGTCATCGAGGTCGCGGTGTCTGAAGGTATAGGTAGATTCATCGGAACAATTCTGGAAACAGCGAGTTGCGCCCATCAACATTGCAAACGACGCACCGTCCGGACAGGTAGGTTTTATGATCTGTCAGTTCAACGTGCCTCGTTGCTATTGCTCCCCTAGTCATCGTTATTCTCACAAGCGCTTGGGATCTGAAGCTTTGTTAAAGCTTGTGGTCACTTTATTCATCTTCACATGTTTCAAAAGGGTCAGCCGTATTGGCGAGAGCTTCGATACGGCTAAGCTCCACAGCCCGGCAGGCAACTTCGGACATTCTCGATGACCCGTTTCCATCTGATGTTGGTTGGGAAACAGTCCTATGAAGTAATAGCATCCTAGAAACCCGAACATCCAGGATCTGTGGATAAAGACGGGGGGAAACATGCATTATATTTTGGCATCAGCAGGACCAAGAGGCTGTATTGCGGGCCTCAAGCGAGCTCAAGGTGGTCATCATCTTACCAATTCTTGGAGCTCTTGATTTCCTACGTACCAACTCATGTTCAGACTTGAATCCAGCGCTTCTCTAAGCTGAGTGACGAATCACACCTGGTGATTGGTGAAAACGTCATGCTCGGATCGCATCGTGACTGATAATCGCGTGGTCGCAGAGCTGGTCAAAGAAATGAAACTCGAGTTCTGGTGCTCTCCAGCCAAGGAAAGTTGCGTCTCCGACGCATGCTTTCGCTCTTTCGACCGAAGCTGATAGCAACCATCATACTAGATTAATAGTCAAGTGTTCCATCCACCAGCAAACATATGGTTCCTTTGCTTTGCTGTGTTTTTGATTTTCGGTTCTTCGCACATCCCATGCTGGCCCTCGACAACTAATGGAAATGACAGGCATGATTTAGCGCTTGTGCTGTCATCTCTTGACGAGACTCTCTTTTGCGAGTGTGATGAACCCATCGTCCACCAGCACATGTTGACTGCTGCAGTCCTTTTTTCAACAAGGTTGCCACTTGTGTATAATTTCTCTGGGGGCAGCATTTAAACTCTAAGAAGTCTTGAGCGTGGTGACTGTCATTTGGCATCATCGAGGTCGAAGTTTTCCGATTCCTTAATTGGAAAGGCGTTCCTTTTTCTGATCGTCCCAGAAGTTATCTCTCAGCCCCATGTTTTGAAGTTGGCTTCGCTCTTTATTTCCTCCAGATCAGATTGAGTGAGTCTTGATCTTCGCTGGTCAATATCCCGGAGTTTAGAGTATTGGAGAACATTCGGATTAAATCACCCATGGAAGTGGGCAATTTCAAGTTCGAAGCTGCTCCATTAGCATTCGCTGTCTAGGATCTTTCCTTGACCAGCCCCGTAATCAGAGATCATCTCAGCGCAATGAAACGTGCCAGGAAAAACCAGTATCAGGTTCTTTGAACCCTTAATTACTCTGCCAAGAGTAGTCTTTGTTATAGTTAGTCGATTTATTTGGTCTGGGCTTGGTCCATGTGGCAGTGAGGCTGCAGGCCGGATTGCGGATAGCCTTGCTGCAAGTGGTAAATCGGCACCCAGCGGCAACAATTTCGACCGCACAGTGACCGGAGATACTGGCTGTACTTCATAGATCATGCTGCAGTATAGAGTGGCATGATCCAATTTAGGTTATCAATTCAAGGATGACGGAGGATGGGCAGAAGAATAACTCGCTGTCGCCTCCCGATGGGCGCACCCGAACTGCGTCTCAAAGTGCCGGAAATCAGACCTGTCTATGTAATATCGACATTCATCACCTGCCTCAGCTTAGTCTTAACCACAGTGTTACTCCTCGGTACAATTGTGGCCTCATGTAACGTAAAAAGTACAAGACGGTTTTGGTTTTACTGACAACGAGCGCGAGGAGAGCAGTGCTTTCAGTGCGATTATAGGAAACAAATCCAGTCAGAGCCAACGATCCTGAACGTTAACGAGCCGTGTTACACATACATTGCAGAACTTGCTATTTGTGCGAGCACCAAGCCAGGGAGTGAGTGAGGTTTATCTATCGAAGTCTACTTGAGAATGCAAGGAGTGGAATGTTATGTGAAGTGTTTGATTCTGTACCAATATTTGAACAAACCACGCTGTCTACCATACGAAGCCCAGGCCTTGGAATCGCCGAGCGAGCAGACATTGTCCATCAGTAGGATGATGAGCACGAAACCGCAGTGACGTCTGGCCCAAATTCCTCGAGGCATTATTTGGAGATGGCTTCCCCTTAGACGGCACATCAAAGAAAAGGGCAGGGCTCGGCCTCTCAATGTGACAGGTGCACATGCTTAAGGAAAGATACCAGACACGGCGTTCATATGCAAGCGGACTCTGTGACAGCACGGTGATAGTGGCGTGGTTCCCTTCATGTGCCTCCAACGCCAATCTCACCTTGGCAGACCGCTTCCTGCAGTGGTAATCGACAAGGCTTTTCATATTGGCAACAGCGGTAGGATATCTAGAGGCTGGCAGCCCGCCTCCGGCGATATCCTGGCTATGACAAACTGCGGCTCGCAAGCCCACTAGACTACTGTGGGTGAGTGCCTGCCCTCCATACGCAGCGACATCGAGTTGCCTTGTGAAGCCAGGGGTTACATGTCGTGGTGGATGAAAGGCTTGTTGCTGCGCGGAGCGCTGGTGCTTGACGCCATGGAGCAATCTTGGTCGATGTGTTCTATGCAAGAGAATACGACTACTAGGGCATGGCGGTGCTCCCACTGAACTGCGGTCGGCCACTCGCAAGGTTGCTGTGCAGGATCCATCACGCGCCTTGGCCAAACTACGCAGCAAGCCGTCCCACTACATGGTGAATACACCATTGTTTAACGTTGAGCTTGCCGTGCAAGCATGATAGTCATGCCTTCACCTCAGGACGAAGCTTGTCTTGTTCTACCGTGCTCTGCCCCTAGGCTCGTTGAGCCTGGTGCTACGACACACCGTGGTCGTGTATGTCTCGGTAGACGATCGATTGCTGTTCGAACACGACGCGTAATGCATATTTAGTTGTTTTGTCTAGGCGATGGTGGCCGGCTGAAGAGGAGAGGTGGCACACTTGGGGCCGTCCTAGGCTTGCTCGTTCGGCCTCGGTAAAGCATAGCAAATGGGTCCTTTGCGGTGGGATAGACCACAATATTTCTTTTTCGTATCCTCGCTTGAACTTCGTTGTCAGGCTACTAGCATCGTTGGTTATCGACAGATCGGTCTTCGTTGTCGGAGAATTCCTGTGTTTACGAACTTGGTGGGTTACTCGTCGTTGAATGTCAAGTCGTCGTCAGCAAATACATGGTTGATATTATGTAGTCTGGCCACAGGAGTGGTGATAAGTATCTAGATGCCACAATCACAGAAGAGGCAGACCATTAAGATTTTAATGTCAAAGACAATGGGGACTTTGACTTTTTGTGCCTGAACGCCATTCACCAAGTGGACCTGGAATTCTGGGTGCCCAGACAAAAACATGTGAACTCGAGCTGATTCTGGGGAAGTTGGAGAAGCGCAGTGTCCACATTCTTGGTATGGAGTCGACTACTGTCAAAGTTCAAACGGTCGCAGCCATCAAGCCATATCCAGATCAATGGGTCCTTCCGCGATGGAGACCATACAGGCACGACCACATACACACCAGACGGGAAGTCTATCAAGTCGACAACGGCTTCGGTTTGTGGAGTCTTCCCGCTGTGGATGGACGTTTGACAAGACTCAGGCTCAGCTGATGGAGAACTGGCTGTATGGGGTTCAAGTGGGCTTCTACCAAGTCTTAGGCTTCGCGTAAACATTGGAACACAGAATCACCAATCCTACAGTTCACCATGGACGCACGCTCTGTGTCACAATCACGGGCTGCTAACGCGATCGTTCTAGCTACCAGAGCTCGCCGCGAGCGGAATTTGTTGCAAACCCATTCAACATAATTGACAGGAAACACCTCGTTTTTGCCATACCTACATAGCACCGCAGCAGGCAGGCTGGTGTGGCCGACGAAAACCACCGATGGAAGCGTGTGGGCTAGTACGAGTCAAGCCGCCATCCTCATCCAGCAAGGACATGCCCGATAGTGGTATCGAGCCGGCGTCGCAAGTTTGCCCTGCTAGCAAGCGTGACATCAAGGCGCAAAGTTTCCCATCATGGCATGATTATTGACGGCAGCGCGTTTGGCAGGATACGAGATGCTCGGTTTGGAAGGCGTCGCAGGGCGATCGATCGCTAGATCGATGCAAAGCCTCAGACTTTGCATGTCTCGCTCGGGCTTCAACGGGCTGACTCGAAAACGTGCTCTGGCGTCCCGACCAGAGTCAGGCGCCCGACGGCCACCGGCTGGAGTGAGCATTCCGGCGGTGAGTGTAGCAGTGTTATTAGTTAATCTAAGCCTTGAAAGTGCGGAATTGGAGAGCGCAAGAC